AAAGCCAACAGAATCCAGCAGTTATGTGTAAAAACAAGTTGAAATTTCCATTTAAAGAATATGCACTGAGTGATGATGAAAACACCAACGCAGCACACGAGAAAACTGTGTGTGAAAACGCTCTATTCTGAAAAATAGTGTTTTATTTACGTCATCACAGGCACCCCTGTTACCAGAAGATTTCGCAGGCTGGCAAAAATCTATTTCTATTTCAATTTCAACGTCATAAACTCATTTTTAAAACTTTTGAACTTTGACCACATGACAGAAAGTAAAAAATGAGACAATTCTAGATTTGTTAAGACAGCCAAACTTATAACAGAATTTTTAAGATGTAATGAAGAACATGGTTTTCAGGTGTTCTGTTTTTCCAATTTGTTCACGTCTTTCCATACGCGTCATGTTTGCTCATCATGCAGCTTAATGGGCATCTGAGTTAGAATGAATGCATATCCACATAGCTCTTACTTATTTCGTCAACATCTTTGTACAAGCAAAAAGTTTCTTGCTTTACCTATATTACATATTTTTCTATTCTTCTTGCAGATTTTTGAAAGACTAGAGTCTATTAAATTGCCTGAAGGAAAAACAATCTGTAATAGATTTCCAATATCTGAATGATATCTGAGAACATGAAATTGAAATAGATGTGAAATTATGACAAATATTTCGAAATATTTGGTCCTACTTTTTATGTATAAGATTAGTGCTTCGAGTTTTTATCTCTTTAAAAATATACTTAACAGAAATATTTTCTTTGCACTGTCTGTCCCATTACTGTATCACTTGTAGTGGCGTCGCCACGGGGTGGACTGGGGTGGACATGTCCACCCCAGTTTTCCCAGAAGTCGACTTTCTAATTTCTCGAAATCCGTTAAAAACCTTTGATGAGGGGGGGGGGACATGTCCATGGGTTGATCAGATTTATTTCGATTTTCGCACTGGCAAAAAAGCCACTGTTACGAAAAATGCTGCTTGAGAAAGTTGCTTGTCCAAAATTTTCAAAATAGATAAAGAATACTAAAAAAGGGTCTTCTGAGAGTCTGAAGATATGGTCATAGGGTAACCAACCTTCTGATAGAAGATGGTACCTGATGATCATGATGAAGATCTGAAGGGCGTGGCCGAGAAAGTTTGTTTATGTCCACCCCAGTTTTTTTGATCTGACAACGCCACTTGTCATTTGTTATAATCGCAAGGACCACGAATCTTGTCAAAATTGCATATTGTTTACGTCAGAGACGAGACGCTCAAATTCTGTCGTGATTAAAAGCCTGATGCAATAAAATTTATAGAAATTGATAAATTGCTAGAAGTATCTCCCATCTGCACGATATATTTTGCAATCATGTTGACTTTGCATGCAAAAACAGTTATGGGAAATTTTTGCCCAAGGGTAACACTTAAAAAAAGTATCAGAAATTTCTTGGCTTTCTTTATCAGACAAAATCTTTTAGAAAACTATCCAGTCAGTCTTGAATGATAAATGTTAAGAAAAAAGAGATAATCAATAACAGAGAGGAATGTTCTGATAATGTTCAGGCTGATTGCGGTTCCAATGTTCTGTTGCGAATTTGGGTTCAACAGAGAAAGAGTTTGAAGCGAAAGACAGACAATGTGTTTCAGCGAACTCTGTTAATCAAAAGCTATTAGAGACCTTTAGCATGTGATTATAACCATAAGCTATTAGCTGAAAACAATAACAATTACTATTAGCTTGGGTTAATATTAAGATCACGCCAATGCGTTACAGTTCCTTACAAATGGAGGACTACCGGAGATGAAAATGGTGACAGAAATTCAATTTTACTACATTGCTACCCACTCAAAATAGAATTTGTAATATATTGTGAAGTAGAACAATCACCTTCGTATGAATGATAAATTTGAAATAAGAATCTACATGCACTTTTTAGATGTGAAGGTGTCCATTTATCAGTTTAACGAGCCTTTGAAGCTCTTAGGTATGCATCATTGTGTACATATTTCATCAAGCATTTCCATATGTAATGCAATATTGGACACAACGTGCCCGCATACTTGGAGAATTTTCACAACAACTGGAATCTTCCTAAATGTCAAGCGTTACCCTGGGTACCAGACTTTCTCTTACTTTATATAGAGTGAGTCTGGTACCCAGGGTTTTCAAGCGTATACCTTTAATAAAAGTACACAAAATTGATGCTTGATTGTCTGAGTGAAAGGCAACATAGAGTAGAATTGATATCACAACGTGGAATTTGAATGAGAGAAAGCAAAGGTGTTCCAATCCCACAATGTTGCATCTTAGGTCCCTTTCTTTTGATACAGTCAAAAGGCACACTTTCATTTAGAAAGATCCAAATGACTTTACTATGGAGAGGTACAAAACAAAATGCAGTAACATGATGTAAAATGACTATTTTTGTTATAAACTTGTTGGGAGCTGTGTAATAAAGCTGACTTTTGCTTGCATTGTAATGCGCCGCGGCACGTTAACACTTTTTTGTTTTGTTTTGTTATGTAACTTCTTACTCTGATCTGTTACATCACTTTTTTGTTTTTTGTTATAATGAATTCACCAATTCAACTAACGGCCTCGTTTTGAAAATTACTCCACATTTCATTGTACGACTTCTCAGATTCGGTTTTATCATCATACATTTCGGCCAGATACGATTCTTCAAATTGTTTGTGCTTGAATTTTAGATTTTATGGACAAATGAAGCTTAGAAAATTGTAAGGGATCTGATGGCAAAAATTTTTAGGGTGAAACTTTACCCCCTAGTTGCCAATCATGGTCAAATCCCTTATTAAATTTGTATCTATATGTCGTCATAGAATCAATATCGTGAGCAGCAACATAATGAAAATACCCAAGTAGACTAGAATTATGCTGATCAAATAAAATTTTATCAGGGTTAATTTCATGAGGGATGTTGTAGAACTTGATTTCAGTAGGGATTCTTATTTTAGCTTTTTTGTATTATTCTCACTTGGGTGTCAATTGTCATGCTTCAGTTTGGTATTTAAGTCCTTATGTGCTTCTCGGATGAATAGGCAATAATAGAGTAGAAGGAGTTTTGTAGTTTGGGCTTCTGCGCGGAAGTGTGGGTCTCTTGACTCTGATGGGTGTATTTGCTTTGGATCGGGATTATCGTGCTTACTTCGCATGCTGTTTCCACGCTGTTCTGTCCACGCAACTGGTTATAGACTTAAACCATAATGATTCCTTTTCTTAGAGACAATAGTGCTCTAGTTTTTGACAAGGAATATGCTATGTTCTACAGTGTAAAATGTCTTTCTAAGGTCAACTTGTACCAAGCCAACAAGCTGTCCTTTGTCCAAGCTGCTGTACCAGGCATCTGGTTTTTTTAATAGACAGGTTAGGGGTAGAGTGCAAGGCACGAAAACCAGATTGTGCATTTGCAAGTAGATCATTTGAGTTCAAATGTTGATGCAACTGGTTATAGACAAATCTTTTGAAGAGCCTAGAAATGACTGGCAGAACCAGTATTGAACAGTAATTTCATTCTTCACTTTAACACCTCGGTCTAACCTGCGATTCTACCATCGAGCAACATTTACTGGAAAACCCAAATTATGCAATCAAAAAACAATAATGGCGACATGTTTCGGATTGTTGGTAAAGGCCGATCGTCGTTCCATTTAGCAGTTTTGGAATCCATCTACATAAGAACGAAAAAACCGCTATTGTGTAGACAAAAGGAGTTTGTTTTCACCTTAGCACTCCATTGGTAACATTCTGAATCGGCAAGCGGCACTGATTGATTGCTCGCGTTTCTGATTGGCCTATTTCGATCCACAACTGGGTATATATATTTCTTAGCGTAGAGTTTTCGATCTATGTTCTGACGTTTTAAACTCTGCAGAGTGTCAGACGAAAAGCTTTAGTTTACTCAAATGTTTGCTTTCTTCAAAGATTTTAACCGGAAAGGTCACATCAAATCTCTGTCAACAAAACCAGTAGAGAATGCCAAAACTTTTTAACACAGGAACCTCTAAAGAAACTTTATACTGGTATTGATGAGCCCCACTTTAGATACTGTTGCTCAGTTTGGAGAAACTGTTGTGCAACCGAAAAGAACCATTTGCAAAAACATCGAAATTGAGCAGCACGAATAATTACAAATAGCCCTCTGCCCTCCATGAATTATTAGAAAATATCTACAATCCTTAACATATTAGACACAGCCATTGCTTCTCAAGCATGCAAGTTTATTTTTTAAGTTGTACCCAGTGGCGAAGATAAGGGGGGTGAGAGGGAAGCCCCTTGTAAAGCTAAATTACCGTTTTGTCGGAAAACTTCTGATCTTGTCGAAAATTTAACATGATTGTCTTTTTTCATCTAAGTGTTGCATTTTCAGAAAAAAATTTGAAGTGATTATGGCGATTTCTTCTGTTGTTCTGAATCGGATTGGTAACCCCTTTCCATGAGGTATAGTACTTAAAAATGCCTTTGTTAGCGAAAAAGACAAGGAAAATCATAGAGCAATATGATTTATGACACGTGATTTACGTGGCGTTATGGACAAATTTTTGACAATGATAAAAGCTCTCATAACATCTTCATCGGAAAATCTAAATTTCTCGCCACTCCAATGCATTTTCTATCTGCACTACTGGTCGTACCCTCGAAGTAGAAAAATCGTAGCCCGACATGGTCGACTCCGGAATGGAAGGTTGCTCACACGGTGGAATTTATGTCCAGTCTAAGGCACAGTTTCCTTTTTACGTTTGCTGTCAATTTTTATAATAACGAACATTGATAATTTGCATTGCACTTGTATTCATAACACATTGCTATATTAACAAAAAATATAGTTTTTTCAAATAAGGAAGGAAGGATGTAACAGGCTCATTCTCGTGTCATATGTCACGCATGCGCCGTCACTTCATATTCACATGACATTTAGCTATGTACATATTGTAACTAGAGAATTGATCGAGAGTTGGTTCATAAAACATGACAATGAAAGAGTGCGTTCTTCTTCACCTCTCATCTACTAGATCAAGCTGCCATCCTCAAACACTTGAAATGACTAAACTGGCAACCACTAGGTCACATGACTAGGTGTTGCAACTATTTTAACGCCTTTAAGTTAGTTCGGTTGTCGTAGTAACTGTACTTGACATCTCCTTCCATGCTGAAAACTCCTCTACATGCAATTGTGTTGGGATACCATAAGAGATATCCGATCCTCAAGTAGAGACACAAGAAGGCGTTTGTAAGGTAGTCTTAAATTTTGTTTACAAAAGTCCTTACTTGAAGCTAAACAGTGAAGAGTCAAAAGTCACGCTGACCTTTAAGACCTGCTAAGCAAAGCAGTCAAAAGTGGAACGACCAGCCAAACCGGACCATTGTCTAAGTGCATTGCAGCTTCAAGACGAACTGTGCTGACAGGGTGGTTTATTCTGCTCAAAGGTAAGTCAATTAGCCTGCCTTTTTCAGCTTTCGTTGCTCATATTGTTCCTTGCTTTGTTTTACATATATAAAGAGTATAAAGATGATTTGATCTGTTATTTTTGCCAAAAATTAAGATTTTTAGTTTTTTCACTAAGGCGTTAACCCTAATCTTTCAAAGCCTGAACGTTTTTAACAGGTTTCTGAAATTGTCATGTTACTATAAGCGACTCTATGTTGCTATGTTGTATTATAAGCGACAGTAACATGTTTTTTATCATTTCTGTGCGAAAGAGGAACTTTACATAGCAGTATTTTACCTTAATTAATAAATGACTCCAGAAACTTATTGTTTATTCAATGGAAATGTTCAAAGAAGCAGAGGGACTCTCACAAAGCAAAGCTATAGTGAAAATCAATGGTACGAAAAATGCATTTCATTCCTATTCAGAAAAAGCACTTTATTTGCAACATCTTTGGGTAGAATTTTAGAAAATATTCCTGTCAGGGTTCCGTTTTTAGTCTTACTTTTAACTTGTTTCTTGGATGTCAAGGTTTTCTAGGTCAGTCTGTCTCGTAAAACAATGAAGAACAATCTACCTCCCGTTGTACATAAACCTATTACTCATTAGTGGCAACTGTGCGAGTTTGTAGCAGACAATCTCTCTCCTTCCAGGTTATTTACCCTGATTTTCAAGTGACGCGCTATTTTTCTGCAAAGAATCAAACAAGATGATTAGCACGAAAATTCTACTGGTGTTTCTCAGCGGCAGTGTAATTACCTGTAAGAAACTTTTACTTTTACTTGGTTATTATCTGTTTGGAAAGATGAAGCATTATCTTAAAACAACCTTCGTGCGAATTAAACAAAACCATCTTAGTTCTAAAGAGAGCCTTAGATTTAAGAGAGGAACATCGCATACAAAACTAGAAAACATTATTTTCGAGAAATTTAATTCTTCTGCAGGTTTTCGGTATCGCTTTTTATGTCATATTGATGAAGATCAACACAAGCTCGTGTCAAAGTAAAGATTGAATGGATAGTGCAAATTGCTTGAAATTATAATATTGCATGAAAGATCGTATAGCTACATTTTCTAAAAGTGTACTGATTATCTATTTGTTTAAACTTTCTTTGTTTCAAGGTTTTATTTTTGCTCTTTACTGAAAAGTTTAAAACCTTGTAATCCCAGATTTTCTTGAAAATTTGCATACTTTGACTGATCTTTGCAGCAAAGACTGTTATCCTTCTATTCTAGCATCAACATACTACGCATTGTTCGCATTATGTAGGATACTAAAGATTGTGAATTTTCTGAGAGTGTTAACAATAGATTTTGTTGAAAGAACCTTTTTGTGTTTTTATATATCTCATTTTTCGATATGGATAAGGGTAAGGCTTGATTGAGATTTTGATTCACAGAAAATATTATTACAAACAATGCATTTTGTTTACATGAAACTTAAAAAGCTTTATCAAAATATTAGCTATCAAAACTATGCAATATAAATTATGACCAAATAATAAAGGAACCTTGAAAAGTTTATTGAGTCAGGCATTCTGAAATGATCATTGTTTTAAAGTTGCAAGTAATCAGCAAGTAATTAGTTGTCATGGCCGTGTCCTTCCTTCGCAGGCATGGCAGCTGACTGGAGCTACGATGGCAAAAACGGTATTAAGTTTACTTTTAGTTCACTTTGAAAGGACAGCTGTGTTTAAGGTCGTAATCCTTTTGCTATAGGATACTTCGAATCCTTATAGGAATTCTCGACTAGAGAGGCTCTAGCGTTCACAATTTTGCTTTTGGGCTAGAAATTTCGCCGTTCCTAATACTAATCACATTTTGCTACTTTTTTCAAAAACACTCTGTTTCTCTTGCGTCTTTTAGGTCATATTGGCACTTAATTATCGAATAGTTCTGCATAGGCAACTGATCTTCTTTGAATTTTCGAAAGAATGACGCTGTTCATAAGAGTAACATGATTCTGATCTACTGAAAAATTTTCCCACCAGTAAAGCTAGTTTCGTTATGAAGCGGCGAGGATTAAAGTTCATTGAATCAGTGCTTTGGATGAGTCATTCTTGGTTTACCCGTCACCTCTATTTGACAGCTGAATATTCTCTTTCGCTATACCACTTTAAATGGTGTAGTGTGGAAACCACCTTTGTGTGAAGAGTGGTTGAGTATATGCTTAACAAAGTTTATCGTTTATCGACTGACTTTCAGAAGAGGGATAGAGGGGGCGGGGCTCAAATTTGCAGTAAATAATGGCTAAAAAATTATCTTTCAATTCTCTTCCCTAAATAAAAGTGTTGAAAATTATTAATATATAATATATTACATAGATCGAATTTCCATATCCAGAACCTTGGTCGTAACATTAAATTAAAACAAAAGGCTTTTATTCACTTATTTGTACATATACGAGCCAAAAAAATAAAGCAACTGTAAAATTGTAGTTTGTATTTGCGAGGGGCAGTTAAATGACTAAAAACCTTTTTAGGCCCAGATGAATGGCCAAAGCATTTCAAACATTGTGGAGGCAAGCAGCAATCGCCAGTCGACATTAAACCAAACGACTCAAAATTTCAGCGAAGAAATCTCGAACACAATTACAAAGGAAAACATGCAAAACTAGAGTTCAGTCTGGAAAACAACGGTCATTCCGCCCAAGTTACACTGGAGAACACTGGAAAATTGGCAGCAAAAGTCAATGGTATATAGTTAAAATTGCTCTTGGTTGCTTTACAATGCTTTACCTCTTTATTATTAAACATTTAGGGTCCAGAACAGTGCCGTGGTGGACAGGGAGGCCGGGGGCCACGTGCCCCACCAGTGACCAGGAATCAGCGGGCACCGAAGGTGTTCCAACTCTTCGAAGGGACGCCAAAGTCCCTTGGAAAACAAATGGAAACGAAGAAGGCCACTTGACATAGCCGAGCTCTGGAAAGGTGCATGAAGACGTCGTTCTCTCGTTTCTTTCTTTCTTCCTCCGCACTCCCGCGCCAAAATACCTTCTTTACAACCCATTCAAGACCATTGAGCTCTAGAACCCAGGGTATGGATAGCATCCAGGCATCTTTTCGCAGTCCATTATTAGTTATCAGACAGTCGTAAGCAACCAACTGACTTGCTTGACCTCGAGGAGGTTGGACACGAGACATAGATATTTGGGGAATTTGAACGATCAGATTTTAAAAAATAATAATACTTCAGCTTTACAAAGATATTTAGCCTTACAAAGTACTTTCAATAGACCTGTTCTTCGGATAATATTCTTATGCTCATGTTTTATTGTTAAACATGTTCCTAAAATTTTGCAATACCTTTACCGTGTGCATGTTGCAGTCTTTTCAAATGCAAAACAAATTAAACTATGGTGCATAATGATCAAAATAAGCTCATGAATATTTTCTTAATGTCCATTGGGCCTAAAACTACGCATGTTGTAGATATTACAGGTGCGGTTTCAGCTCATTTCTTGAAAGTTATACTTTCAAAACTTTTCTAAATCCTTCAAGATGCTTAAATTTTGGCGTAATAATGAAGAAAACTTTATGAACATCTCCTTGACTTTTACTGGTTTTTAAATCTATGTTGCAAATATTGTAGATAAGTTTTTGCGTTTCAAGAATGTCATATTTGCAAAACAAGTTGGCGCCCTTCATTAAGCCCATTTGCGATCTAAACATTTTGACATAATGATAAAGAAAGCATATGAATACCGCCTTGGATCGTCAATCTGAATCAATGTTGAAATCATTTTGGATACAGTTTCCAGCAGTCCCTATAATGTCATACTTTAAATTTTTGCTTCCCTCTAACGATGGTGGCGGCTTTCATGAACCCCTGAACGGTAATAACATTGTGTCATCCCCCCCCCCCATTTTCAGTCTCATTTCACTGACCCTGATAGAGGTGTACTATAGGGGGCGCCAAAAAAGGGTGGTGCCTCCTAGCCAATTTTGAGTCACCACGCCTCTGGTTAGGAATACGCTCTCAAACTTCCATTAACAGACACTTTCCGCTGTTGGACATCTTCAAGTGCAGGACATCTCTCAACTCAGGCAGTAACATTAGTATCACAGGCATCATCTATATTTGCAGGTTGCCATATGAACCCGCTATTACAGACTGCTCCCTTCAAGCGCCTTAAAGTAGATTCCTCTATTTAAAAATCCGTTTGGTAAAAGTAGGATCAAATTTGTCATCAATCAAAGCCAACCTGTATTTCTTAGTGCATTTGTATCTTCAGATGAGCATCATTCTCTTATAGGAGATGAATTTGTGCCTGTGCAAGTTCATTTTCACTGGGGAAGCTCTAATAATGTTGGGTCTGAACATAAAGTCAATGGCAAGCAGTATGCAGCTGAGGTAAAATCTAGAAAATACAGTGGTTCGTTTACTTAATATGAAACTAATTTTAGCTTACTACAAAGGCCAAAGGCACAAACTGTTGTAATAGCTGCACTTATCAGAGTAGGTGTAAATCATTGCTTTACAATGAATCTTTCGCTATATCCTCAAATTCACACTGATCCTAAATGTACAGTATCATATCCCTTCTTCTCGCCCTATTCTAGCTAAGTTTCTGTTCGTTTCAGATGCATTTCGTGCACATGAACAAGAAATACGAATCTTCGGATGAGGCCCTGAAACACAAGGATGGCCTTCTTGTACTTGGATCTTTCATTGAAGTAAGCATATCAACAAACGTTTTCTTAATATTTTAGTTACACTAGAGAGATCAGATATTATCTAAAGATTAGGGCTTTTGACGTAAAAGCTGGGAGCACAGGGGGCATATCCCTCCGGAAACAGAAGTGAGTTTCCTATCTACAGATCTTGAATGTGACCCTTATTGCCCTTATACGCACACCCCTTTCCCAAAAAGGACTTTTATTATTGCTACAGGGAATTTCTGGAGCTCTGCACTTTTTCTTCGATAAGCAAGCAGCGAACTTATGATTCGCATATCATCTAATTTTATTCGGTTAATTTATCATCGATGTGCTCAATTCTATCCAGGTTGGAGATGAAAATTCAGATCTTAAACCCATTTTCAGTCAACTGGACGATGTTGGAGAACAAGGTACAGTAGTATTTTTATTTGAAGGTTCTCAATTTAGCAATTTAAAAATGAAAGCCATTTTTCTAGCTTGCGATAAAATTTTCTGAAAAGACTAGATATGTGTAATTTCTCAGCAATAACTGTATTGGCATACAACTGATAAAGTGTTACAAAATCGTTTTTTTAAGACGGCTTGATAAATTTGTTGAAGGTGAAAAGACTGAAGTTGATGATCTCGACATAAGCAAACTGATGCCATCTAACAAGAAGGACTTCTACTTTTACGACGGTTCACTAACGACTCCTAAGTGCAACGAAGCAGTCAAATGGATTGTGTTCAAGGACACAATCAGCATTTCAGAAGACCAGGTAGCTGCGTACTTTTTAGCAAATGCCCAAATGTTGCCCCCCCCCCCATGTTAGTGAACAACCAAATGACTTTTCTACCATTCGTACAATAAAGCTAAGCTTCTTGGATGATCTGGGGGTTTATAAGCATTTTAGTTACTTCATTATTGAAACGATTTCCAAAGAGCTAAGATTGATCTTATGGATCTTATGCATGATGGTTTAAAAAGTATTCTAATCACCTGCTAATAACACCTTTCTGAAACGTTGGTGTTAGAGGAATATCATTCGAGGCAATTGTGCTTCGATTCACCAATTTTCTACTGAATGTTGCTTTGGGCCTATTTGGGCCTATTTGTCTTTTGATAGTTCTGTCTAAAATCTCTTTTATAGGAATGTCTACTGATCTACAGTTGATTTCTTAATTAATCAACTGCTCCTAGACAGTTGATTTCTTAATTAACCAAGAGATTCTAGGCAGTTTTGACATGCTTAATTTTCTTAATGTTTAGATGACTTTTTTTAGATATACTATGTCGTTAGCTTAGGATAGCAGGGCTTAAGAGATAACAACAATTGGGCAGCTATAAGATAAACAGAGCTGCAATCCTTCTGTAGTTACCCTTTGGTTGATATTACTACCATTTAAAATGATTTGTCATCTCACAGTTCTTTTCATTGGCAACACATACAATTTATAATAATAAGTTTGTTTTTGATGGTTTACCTGTCCCCTCAATCTCTAGCTATACCCTTCTCTTTGAATATTTTTACACCTCTTCTATCTTTTTTGTTTCATTTTTTATTGTTTTTCCCGCGATCAATCACCAATTCACAAACATGTTTTTACAAACCATATGTCACTCTTTACGCTGTAACATTAATGCATTCTTTTTGCCTCTTTGAATTCATGTTCCAAATAAGTATTAACCCTTAATGCATTCTTTACTCTACATAATTAACCTTGACACACCCTACATTGAGCCTGATGAATGGGCTAGCAATTTAAAATAATTCATTGCCATAACAGACACACGCAGCAATACTGGTTATGCTAGATTCAAGACGGTATCCAAAAGGTTTGAAATACAAGCAAAATGGGTAGTCATGTGGAGATGAGATTTTCATCGTCTTATATTTTGATTCCCACTTTTTGATGAATACACTGCCTAATCAGGGCGAAATGAAACCAGAATGAATGAAATTAAGTGAAAACTTTGCATACTTGCAAAAATTCAAGCACTCTTCCCCACTAATTTTTTTCGAATTAGTCCCTTTCCCAACATTTCAATCTGGCAACAAAATTCAAATTCAGCTATTCTTTTCACAATTTCTTTTTCACCTTACCACTATATTTCACTCACTTTTAATTAATATACGCACTTTTCTCCAATTTTCCCTGATAAAGCATGGGCTACGACACAGGTGGGAAAGTGGGTGGGAGGACCAAGAGAAAATTTAACATCCATAACAAAATTTTTCGAAAAAGCTCTATTGTTTTGCAGAAATGTGGAGAGACCAAAGGTTATATCATCTCAAGATTGTTAAAAAGATTATAGCTCTTAAAATTATCAAGTGATTAAAAAGTGAAGCTAGAATAAATATAACTTTTCCTGAAAAAGCACATCTTCCCGTAAAAAGGGATTTAATTTGTGTGACACTTCTTATCACCAACTTAAAGCTAAGCCGTTATGACGAAAAGCTTTATTTTGTTCACTAGATTGCTGCATTGAGGTCACTAAAACACAAGGATGAGGAAGGGAAGGACAAGCCTATTGTTGACAATTTTAGGCCAGTGCAAGCACTGAATGGACGCGTCATCTACCGTACATTTAAAGATGAATAAACCATCTTCACTTTTTCAGCTAACATTTGTTAGTATTCTTCTACAGCAATTGAGTAAAAATGCTTTGAAAACATACGTTGTTGTTATTTTCACATCTCGTTTTTTAATTCTGTCGAGAGAAAATGAGGCAAAATGTTGCCTTGTTCCTGATTTTTGCTGAAATGTGAAGTCGATGCGTGGGTGATAGACGATGTGAAATCGAAACATGGAAGGGGGTTGTCTATAAATTTAAAGAAACAGGCTATTTTAATGAAATATGTAACAATTATTAACTTGTCAAAGGATATCTTATTTACATAATTTGAACCATGTTTTCTGCTTTGGCTATCTGCATAGCCGGGGTAAGGCGAGCAATGGTGTAAGAATGCAATGATAATTCCTCATACAACCAGAAGGAGTTGTCATTCAATGCTATTGATGTTGTGTAACTTCAAAAATCTTATATCTCGAAACGTTATTTATATCCGTCAAGTACTTCAATGAATGTTTAATTGTCATTTTAAAACGTACTACCTAAAAAAATTAACATATTTGAGGGCTACCATGAAGCTGTAGAGCACAGACTCTCGTTGCTTCAAAGTTTGCTTAGAATATCCTCTAACAGCTGATGGCCGGGAGCTGCAATACTGAAAGGGGGGGGGGCTTTTAGGTTTAATGTTTTTGTATTTTACTTGTTACTAGTTGGCTTTCGAAAGTAATTTTTAGGATACTAAGAGGCTTTGCTTATTAAGTAGGGACCTGGTACTCCCTCTAAATGTGACGCCAAAAATTGTTTTGAAGATAACAAAAACTTCAAAAAAACTATACTAACGAAACATAGATTTTTCTGATATCATGACAGATAGCAAACATCGATGATTCATGGAACAAGTTTCTAGGTTCACCCTCTTTTTTAAATACTCCATTCCAAGTCAAAGGTTTCTTCAAATACAGTGCAAATAGAATAATTAATCTTCAAGTTGCAACCTTTTGAGTTAGAGACTTTCTTCTGATAGGTTGCAAATCATCCCTAGATTAGTGTGCCGAAAATAGGTTAATTCTGGCTAACTCTGGATCGATGGATGGAAGATTAATCAGGTTAAAGAAAGTCTGGATAGATATTGACCAGCTTTATATTAAACTAGGTAAGGCTTTGCTGCTGTCCTGATGGAATTTGGATGGCTTGGAAGTAGGAATGGTGGGTAATAAAGGAATCGAATAAAGGAATCGACTAGATGATATTACATCGTGTATCGGCCAATCATTACCATCAGTTGGAAGGGTGGGTAATAAAGGAATCGAATAAATGATCTTACATCGTGTATCGGCCAATCATTACCATCAGTTGGAAGAGTGGTAATAAATGAATCGACTAAATGATATTACAACGTGTATCGGCCAATCATTACCATCAGCTGGAAGGGTGTGTAATAAAGGAATCGACTAAATGATATTACATCGTGTATCGGCCAATCATTACCATCAGCTGGAAGGGTGGGTAATAAAGGAATCGAATAAACGATATTACATCGTGTATCGGCCAATCATTACCATCAGTTGGAATGGTTGGTAATAAAGGAATCGAATAAATGATATTTTATCGTGTATCGGCCAGTCATTACCATCAGCTGCAATACACTAGGAAATTTAGGGTGATGTAAAACGTGATTTATAAACCTTATTTCAGCACCGGTTGGTTGTAATTTAGCCTGTCACAGACCTCGATTATGGCCCCTAAAAATCTGATGCGTGGTCCCTATCCCTTGCTACTAAGATCGAGGAAAGGAATAATTTAAAAACAATCTTCAAAGCCTTCGGGGGAAACGCCTTCTTGCCCCCTCCAATTGTGTACGGTGAGGATTTGGCTGAATTTTGTAGATCATCACAACAGTTTGACAGCATCAAAATTAGATTGCTAGGAAAATTCAACACGCTGAAAAATGATGTGGAATGGATTCTTTGCACTTAAAATGTCCTCACATTATATTCTCGTACTAGCGTTCTTTGCCTTAGTGCACTCTTGAGCCAATTTTCATGAAAAATATTTGGCTATCGATATATAAATGAAAAATTTGAGTTTATTATGCTCTCAATGTCGCAAATGCATCTGTTTCGCTTGTTTAATAAAGCCTTGTATGTTTGGAACATATTTTGATAATTGTTTCCTGGGTGATGCAGGGTGATATCGAAAAAAGGGAATAGTTATTCTCAAGCTAATGATAAAGACGAAAATGTTTTAAACATTTTTGCAGATACTGGATCAGCTGATTGAACAGCTTGCAAAGAAATCTCAGTTATTCAGTTGTAGAGCAAACAGTGTAAGTTTCTCTCAAAGCCTGTTAAACACGTTTAATTGAATGCAAATGCTGCAGGTGATACATATTTCAGAATGTTGCTTTTCCAGTAAGTATCTTGCTGCAGCTGTTTCATATCGAGATCTGCAGGGCCGCACTCCAATTCTGGTCGTTAAAGGTCATTTTGAGGTTCTGGGGAGCATAAGAACCTTAAAAATGCATTCAGGATATAGGGGAGCATGCACAAATTTTGAAAGAAGCAACAAGAATTTGGATCTTACAGTAAATTTTTAATTTGTCCCTTTAAATAGACCCCATGTAAAAATTTCCTCATTTACCATATCTCATTGAAAATCATTTCGATGGTTTAAAATAAGGGTTTATTTGACATGTTTACGACAAAAAATCGGCAAATTAAAGTGTCACAAATTAAAACAAAACATTTGAAAATAATCACCTCTTTAGGGGCCTTCTGACAACCAAGAATCAAAACATAACATTCCTCTTTTTAATGGCAAATTAAAACGTGTTGACAATCATAACTTCAAAACTTGTGTTATGCTCAATACTACCAAAAAGCCCCTACCCTCTAATAACCCCCCCCCCTCCTCTAGAACCAAGTCCCTAGAATACTATTCTGCTACAATTCATTACTTTATCATCATAATTTAACTTTTCCATTCATACAACTTCATTAGAAAGGTAGATTCAGCCACTATTTACCAAAAACTTTCCCGTTGCTAACACTAGAAAATTTTAAAACCAAAAATGATTTCAATTTCAAATTTATGTCTGAAATCTTTATTGAAAAGAAGATCTCACATACACTGAGAAGTCATGACAACTTGTCAGAACAATTTCCACACACACACATGCGTATAGAATAAAAAAAAGTTGGGTACCTCGGATGAAAAACTATGGTATTTGTTCCACTAGAAACAAAAGAGTACCTGGACGTAAAGGCATACATGGATGTAAAGACAGCAATAGAATGCATTGAATAGCATTTCTTAGTAAAATGACTCCTATCCTCTTCAATGAGTCCATGAAGAAAGTTTTTGAGCGTTGTATCAGATATTATTTAGACAACCGCAGGCAGTTCTGCAGGGTCAACGGCGTCAGCTCTGATCCAGCTGAAGTCAAAAATAGGGGTAACTCAAAGCTCTTGCCTTGGACCGCTTCTATGTTTGATATACATTAATGAGTTACCTTTTGCATTAAAAAATGCAAAGCAACTAAGTATGCCGATGAAACGGCAATTGTTTTCTCTTCTAATAATATAGAAGACATTAATGTTGTTGTCAATGCTAAACATGCCTACCTTGAGAAATGGCTACAAGGTAATAAGCTTTCCTTGATTGTCAAAACACAGGCCATGATAATAGGATCGTCCCAAAAGTGGAGCAAAATTGATACACTGACGGTACCACTTTCTCGTTTTCAAGTAAATGGACTTAATATTGACTTTGTGAAGAAAAAAAGTATCTTGGTCTCATGATTGACGATAATCTAAAATTGGAGAGCACTGTTGAATGTAGTATACAAAAGGAGATCGCTAGAGCTCAAGGACTCTTAAATTACGCCTAACAATATGTGCAAGAAGACACACTTAGACCCCGTTTACACTGTCCCGTGCAAGTTTGGAACCGTGACAAAACTGTCACGGTTCACCCTTCCGTTTACACTAGCACTGTGGAACCGAGACGATTTTGCTCTGCTATCTGGAACAGTTTTTGACCCTGCTTTGAAAGCGAACGAATTTCGTACCGTCACGGTTCCGTTTTTGAACGGGACAGTGTAAGCACCTATCCGAGACGATATTGTCACGGATTCACAAAGAGGTCTTTTGTATGGCTGTTTCAGGTTATCGAGGCTTTGATTGTGGCGTAACTACCTTGTCAAATTCTGAAGAAAAGGACATTCTGAAGACAAGACGACGACAGAAAAAGCTTGTATTGTTTCCCAGTCCAAGCCTTCATTGGGCTTTGCAGTTTTGTAGTCTAAAATAACACTGAAAATTAAAGCCACCTTGTCGTCCGTCCAAGTAAAGTTTTTATCGGCCTTCCGCTCCATTTTAGCTCTCAATAAAATTTAGATTGTTGACTTCGGCGGCAAAATAAAAGCCTCGGTTGACTAAATACAGCTTCTTCTAAACATTGTTCTACCATTCAATTAAGGTCGTACCGGTACAGTGTAAACGAAACGGCTAAACGGAACAATTTTGAACCGCGACAGTGTAAACACTTGCGAACCGTAACGGTACAAAATTGTCCCGGGACAGTGTAAACGGGGTCTTAAGGAGATATATCTTAGTATTATCCAACCACATTTCAGTTATTTTTGCTCTGTCTGGGGATATTGCGGGGCAATCAAGTTGAAAACCTTGCAGAAACTGCAGAACAGAGCTGCTTGAATTGTCAGCAGTAGCCTATTTGCCATATCAGCTGCCCCTCTATGGCAGCGGCTTGGCTGGCCGACAATTGATAAACTGATTAATCAAGAATTATGTACAATGGTATATAAATTTTTCAATGATCTTGCACATGAAAAACTAGGAAATATTTTCGAAAAATCATCTTATATTCATACCATGGCGTTACGCAATACAAAATGCAATCTTGCTGTACCAAAAATGAGAACAAAAACCATTTGCGTTTCAAGGAGCCGGCGCATGGAATAGACCGAAACGGAAATGAAATTAGTCCCTACGATTCAGTCATTTAAAACGAAAGTAAAAGGTTCAGACTGCGAATATTCAATCCAAGGGAATTGTATCCCAGGGCAAATATGTCTTAGATGAAATAAAATTAAATTAAATTAAATCAATAAGGGTGATGTCAAGGAAAGATTTCCAGGAAAAACCTTCCCACACGACCATTTTTTCGAAGACGCCCTTTGCCCTAGGCTTTCTTTCAGTGGTTTTTAGCAATTAAAAAAAATCAGTGGAGAAATTCCTGTGTGTTTTGCTTGAGAAAACTAGCTAGAAGTTATTTTTGTTACACTAAACAATCTTAGATCGACCCATTGTGTAAGAATAATAATATCGAAATACCGTACAGGTTGCAACTGAGCCGTGGAGACGCCAATTATACTTTTTAATTATTTCATGAAATTTAATTGATAATACTCCTTTTTATAAGAACATATGTCGAGAACATAGGATAGAATTGTTTATGACTTTGGCTGGCCTGAGAAGAGAATTTTATTCATTCAGCAGGTTATGCCCACAGAGTTACTTTAATTACAAATGGATGGAATTGACGAAACCAAAGAAGATGATAGCTCAGAGATTCGTGAGAGCATTTGTATAAATGATCTTCAATTCGATCCAACTGAATATGAAGAGAGTTGTCTACCAAGGTCACAGCATTACAAAGGTGGGAAGCGACCACTTCAACGTTTACAAGTGGCCGGCAAATATGCGGTAGGCCTAATATTTGGGCTGCTTCTAAAGTCGGCTACAAATCAGGTAACTTGACATGCGCAGTGTGTCTAAAACCTGGTGCCAAAATCATTGTTATCATATGCACTTCTTTTTTGTAAGAATGTATTATATTTCAATATGTTAAGGCTCAGAATTGTCCAATTTTTTTAGAAGAAGATTACAATAATTTTGCTCAGGCTCAGCTCACAGGTTTGTATCTCATTTTCCGGCAGTTGCCTGTTTTGCTATGTTCATAACAGGGAATTGCAGAACTGACATATCTGATCTTTTAAAAAGCGTGATTTGTATTCGAAGGCGAGCAATGTTCCCCGAAGCAGTACCAGATTTAAAAATCAGTTAAGAATGAATCCAAGCTGAAAATGAAAATTTCTTAAGAACATCGAGGCTAAGAAATACTTCTATCAAAAAAGTGTGTTTTTAAAAATTAACTACGTTCTTGATGATGTTATTCACCTGATTGAGCTATTTCCATAAACGTTCATGACTGAGCTCTTTGGTTTACACCAACGAAAACTATCCTGGTTTCAATTCTACCTTTCCAACCGGAAGGAGTTTTGTAAGGTTAATGGTGTTGACGCGAGTATTGGTGACATAAAAGTTATTATTCCACAAGGCTAATATCTTCACCCTTTTCTCTTCCTCGTATACATGAACGATCCTCCACAGGCTATCCAAGATTCAACTATATCCATGTATATATGCCAATGACAATGGTTTGTGCTGCGATTCTCATGATTTGACTAGGCTGACTGAGACTATTAATAACGACCTCAGAAAACTGGATACTGGGCTGCAAGGCAACAAGCTTTCTCTGAAAGTTGCCACATCTCAGTCCATGCTTATTTCTACGAAGCAAAGACGCAATATTCATAAACGTCAAACTAGAGATCTGGAAATGATATTTTGCAACAATGAGCTTGAAGTGGTCAAAAGTCATGCAAATTTGCCTCAGTGTGCAAACTGACTGCTTCTAGGATTGAAAAAAACAAGGTCTCCAAGACAGTTGGTTTTTTAGGATATGCTAAGTCTATTCTTCCGAAAGAAACTTTGCAAACGCGTCACACGGGTATTATCGAGCCCCAATCTTGGTACTGCTGTTTTTCTCTCTCCTTAGCTTCAGAAAACACTTGAGAAAAAAAAATTGTTTCTCTTCAGTTTACAAATTTTGAACATGACTGTCGATGGGCTGTAAACATTGCTGTAAAAAGGCTTTTCAGTTTATTTAATTTATTGGATTTATACTTTGTATCCTTGTAATTAATATTCTTATCGGAGAGCCCCTTAAAAGGATTAAATATATAAGTATGAAAATTTGAATATGTAGAATGTTCGCCACATTTGGGCTTTTCTAAACCTGCATACCAGACGGCAAAGTTTTGATTACCATGGGTACCAGACTCACTATATATGAAATAAAATAGAGAGTCTATCTATTATTTTATATAGTGAGTCTGGTACCCAGGGTAAGTTTTGATATGCTTTGGGACCAAATGCAAGCGTAATGATTTTCTTCTCAATTCCCGCCCGCGAATTTCAATAGAGAACGATGTTATTCAGTTTGTTATTGAGGCCCCATAAGGGGTATTTGAAATTATTTGACGGAAGAACCAAATCTTGAAAAAGAGCTAAAATGCTTCACGGTATGCTATGCCTGTGATTTCGTGCGGTACTCGTTATGGTAGTAATACATTGGAAGTGCCGGTGGGATGTTATCTGAGGCCCTAGATAAATCTGAAAAAAGCTTCCCTGCAAGCGAAGCAGCCAGAGAATTTATGCTACCACGCCCCCTTTAGATAAACTTAAAATACATTTTAGAATATTTCTTGCAGTCGTTTTCTTACAATCGTTTAAAATATTCTACAATTTTTAAGGCATGCTATTGTTATGTTTGATTACGTCCAGTCTTAAAATTGAAATCATTGCTTTACGGGGCCTCATAGACCTTTTCTTATTCCTTTAAAATTAAGCGATATAAGGATTTATTGCACTACTACTTTCTAACTTAGAAATAGCATATTTTTGCGAAAAAGTGGGGGGAGGGGGCTGACCCCCTTAGCCTTTAATTTCTAATAATCTAATTTTCTAAATAGCATATTTTGCAAAAACCTCTTAAAAATTTATATTTTGCGCGCAGGAATTGAACATTTGACAATCTTGACATACTTTGCTATGGCAATTATTGAAATATGAAATATTGGCAAGATATCTTCATGGAATATGAGATAATTTCATCCCTCCTTTAAGGGCCTCTTTGTTTTGCAACATAATTACCTTCAGGTCTTGCCTACATGTTTGTTATTCATCCACACGCTCAATGTGACAACGGCTTTTTTGTGCAACTGTTCAATTAGCCCAGAAAGAGCATTTTGGAACTGTAATTACATTCAACTAGGATATTTCAATTTTGGAGAAGTTATCCAATTTCAAATAAGAGGTTCCCGTCTGCTTTCATGCTTTGTTCTGATGAATTATTTATCAAGCAACAGAAAGAAACCTACACCTCAATATCATTAATATTTAAATGTTAAAAATGTTTTGTTGGGTCAGTTGCTCTGCATGCTCATGGTGCGATCTTTCAAAACTAAACTTATAAACTAGCAAGAATATGCATTTTATTTACTTCTATTTCAAATGTCTTTCTGAGGTATATGGCATTTCTGGTGGTGTAAATGAAGCAGACAAGTTGAAGAAACCAACGATTATAAATGATCTGGTCTAATTCCGATTGAATATGTGAAGGATTTTCTCGTTTTAAAAAACCCAAACAAAATGCTGCGGATAATTCGAGGTCGATCATCGACAGGATCTGGATGCGTATTAAGCGATTTCGGGGCTTCAAGCTTTGATGACACAGTTAGTGACCGGGACACGTTGTCCGATTGTTCGGTCAGGTACTTTTGCGAATCTGCCTCCGTGAGTTTAGAAAACGTAACACAGCCGTGTGCTGTTACATCGAGTAATTCCTCAAGGAAAAACATGGAGTCCCAAAATAATGATAGCGCGAGTAAGGATATGGATTATAATGGCTTTGAGCGTGACAGGGTCGAACTCGGCGATGGAATCGATAACCTCATGTCAACTTCAATTAATAAAGAGGACTCTTTAATCAATTCTTGTTCTTTCAAGCACGGTGAGTAGTTTTTGTCTTAGGCTGTTCAAAACCCCTTAGGCCCAATGCACCCGAAGTTATTTAGGCAAATGTTCTATTCGGTTGCCACACCCACAAGAAAGTGCCATCGAGATGATTGTCGTAAGCGATCCCCACACACAGTGTCTTGATAAAAAACTTTTTTATCTTTCCAGAAACAACCTTGCACCCAATCTAGTGGGCTAATATCAACTGAGAAATTAATGACTTTTATTCGGCATGACAACCAGTTCGGCACAAAACCTCTCCCGGAACCTTCCAGGGGAGGATTTTCAACTTCTCGAACAAGTCCTTTGAAAGTGACCTTTGGAGAAAAGTCACTTTTGCCTAATATCTCAAATGTGCTTTCAAGAATTCCTTTGTGTTGTGTGCACTTGATTTGATGTGTGTACACACATAACGTACACACAGGCTACGCTTTTTTTCCAAATTTATTTTCATAGTTTTATAGTAACAAAAATTCATAGATCTTATTGGAAGCCACGTGCATTCTGTTAAAGGCACACCCATTTTATCAAATGTTCAAAGATAATTTTGAAAAATATTTCAGGTGCGGAGCTGGTACATTTTTTGAACTGGGTTCATCAAGTCACCAAGTGATTTATTACTTTTCTTCTAAACATTTTTTCCATTTGCAAAGAGATAAAACAGCTACATGTATGGCTATGGAAGATGCTAAACATTTAGGGGGGCCAAGTATGGATTTAACCCACATATTTTTGCTTTGTTGAGAAAGGACTGCTTAAATTGAGCCTTAAATACTATGAGTTCTTCCTTATTACGGGGACTGCAGCCCTCCTAGCCCCTATGTCTCCTATGCTTATGGCCAGGGCCGTCGCTAATCACTTTCACTTAGGGGGGTGCCAGTCACAAATTTGCCCACAAATTAGGGCATGGCCTGAGGTATTTCAATTTTTAGGTGTGGCATTTTGACGCATTTCATTTTGTATATCAAAGAGTATTTTCTCGTTAGTCAATCATCGCTTCAATTTTTGAGTGACTGTGGGTACTTAGTTTGCATGAGTAAATCTTACTAATAGGACCGCCAAGAGGTTTCGAAGGCCTTCAAGGAAACCCGAAAGATGAGGCCCCTGCGAGCGGAGCCAGCAGAAATTTTTTGCAACCATGTCCATTAGATTGTCTTAAAATGCATAACAGAATATTTCTTGCTGTCATTTCTTGCAATCGTTTAAAACTTTTAATTATTTTTAGGCACACTTCTTCTACGTTTCATTGATTTCATTCTTAAAATGGAGTTCATTACTACTTGAGGCCCCATCAACCTCAAGTCCCTGAGGCACTTTGTCCCCTTGCTCCCCTCGGCAACCCTGCTTACAGTGGCTTCCAGTACGTTCAGAGTTTTTCAATAAACTTTGTCCCCAAACTTTAGGTAGAAATTAGGTCACCCTGGATATTGGACATTAGATTCTAGGCTCCGGCTGCCGACAGGGAGTCATTTGAATTTTTTTCTAAGGGTTTTTAGGTGATATTTTTTTGGTCTTTTCCTCATCTTATACAAACTTTTTGCTGAAGCTATCGCACAAAACCCAACAAAACTCTACTTTTAGGAAATTTGCCAACAAGAATTTTCTAGGGGGGGTGCCGCAGCCCTGCAGCCCCGCAGCCCCCCACCCCCTGCTAGTGATAGCCTTGCTTATGGCTACAAGGTAATGTTTACAAAGAGGCTTAGGTTGGTGCTGCCTGTCAAAACACCAGTATGATACCACCACAGAAGCTGGCAAAAGTGGCCTTGCTTTACGTCGGGGCCAAATTCAAATGTCAGACAAAAGATTTTTAATTGTCTTTTAATTCGAATTGAATCTTGAGGGCAGCTATGGCCATGGGACTAGCTTCTCATTTCTCATTCCGTGATGTCCCTAAACTTTTGTCCAGGTGGCCTTGCTTTACGTTGGGGCCTATTGTTATCCTAACATAAAACAAAGTGATGTGTCTGCCATGGTATAAACATTTGATTTCTCATACCATGGCCAGTCAAACCGTGGCACTCAACATTACGCTGAACTTTCACTTGATTGCATCTGCAAACTGTGCTTTAATTGGGTTTAGGAATTGAGTACCATTTGGATGTTTCAAATATTTTCTCCACTTTTCAACATTTTTTCAAGATGTTTAGCTCACGAACACCGACTTTGCCTAAAAACAGACAAAAGACCATTTCCATAAGTTACCATGAAATACATATCATGTGACCATGCATACAAGGAATTTCCTGGGATTTGTTGAGATGTAGAGGAGTTCTTACTTTTATTGGGCAGGTCTCTTAAAGTGTAACTTATCAAAGGTGAATTTTTTCTCGTAGATTATTCAATATTTTTAAGAAGCATTTTATCAGATAGGTTGTTAAAAGGTAAAAAAGGGAAGGTGAAAAGTATGGGTTGACAGGTCCAATTGTTGTGCTTTGGTTTGGGTGAAGTACTGTTCACCAAATTTTTCTAGAGTTGGCTTTTCGATTTGCAATCCTGATACCCTGACGGGTCAGTGGAAATTATGAGAGGGCTCTAGGCCATCGGCAATGATTTTAGCCATGGCTCCAAGCTCTTTACTGGGTTCACTGGCCATTGTATGAGAGTCACGATTCTCATACAATGCCCTTGAGGTGGTGATACAGCAAGGGCTGTGGGCCGTCTTTGTTTTCTAGTGGCACATTTCTTCCTATGTCAACCGGCCTTCCCCTAAGCCCGCTATTAGGCCAATGGCCCCATAAGTGCAAGCAGTTAGACAGCCCTTTTAAATGATGCATTTTCTTTGCAGAATATTTGTCATACAGTTGTTAGGTAGGGAAACAAAAGCACACCAGTTTCATCTTCTTTTAACAAAATCAAAAACACAATTTTTCAATTTTATTATATGGAGGCAAAAAATAAAAAATGGGAGTCTTGAGTAGGGGTGTTGGGGGGTTTTTTCTCTTCCCTACAGGACAAGCATTATGCCTGCGGGAGCAAAGTCCCCCAACTTCTTTATGTGAGAACATGCTCTTGTTTGGATCTTTTGAGCTGTTCACAATTTCAAAGAACTAATACCAGAAAAATTTAACTCCCAGCCAACTTGCTAAAATGTAATGATACAGGCTAATATGAAAGCTTCAAAGGTTCCACTGAATCTTACATAGTTTGTACTGAATCAGGGTTTAGGACATTGCTCAGCCTGCAAATTATTTACTTTTTACAGCACTCCTATGCATAAATGTTTTAAAAAAATACTAATACCCCTTCCCTATCCCTTGAATAGTAGTTAGGTTGTCACCACAGGGTAATAATTACCAATGTAACTAAACTATCAAGAAATTAATGATGCTGTTCTGTTTTTCATATACATTTTTTCATTTAGATGAATTGACTGTGGATGAAATCATTGACAGAATTGGATTTGGTAGATTTCAAATCAGATTGATGTTCATGGCTGGTTTTGTTTGGGTATGTTGTTATGAAAAGTTCCTTACTGATTGTTGCCAATGCCTTTAGAGTGCCTAAATTTGTTTCATCTTTCAAGGTGTGCTCTGGATAAAATGCCTGAAGACTGAATTCTGATATGCTAGCATTGTAAAAAGATTCTTTCCATTACATAACGTCATTGAGGTAAAGTTATGCAAAGAATAATGACCTAGTATTGATATGATATTAGATAAAATCTTCAGTTGTATTTGGTATTCGGTATATATAGAAATGCCATGGGGAAATTTTCAGCCAAAATCAGTTTCCTAATTGATGCAAGTCCAAGGGAATCTTCTAGTGGAGCTTTAAGACCGTCCTTGAAGAGATATGTAACTGGAAGACCTTTAGGGCCACATCTTTTGTCTTACTATTCATCAGAAACTGTAATTGTTAATATTGTTAAAAATACTCTTAGAAACCATATAGTGTTTTGTTCCTACAAAACCAACTGCTCATTTTTCAGAATTCATGCCTCATTCGATCAAATGTTTATTTGTGTTACAGATGGCAGATGGAAGTGAAATGATGCTTCTCTCAATCCTCGCCCCAACACTAAAGTGCTTCTGGTATCTTTCTTCATTCCAAGAAGCCTTTATCACAACGGTAGGTTACATAACATTCTCTTTCTAGCACTGTAAATAAAACAGTTTTTCTTTACAATTGGCATGGCAACAGAAGCACTTGGATTTGAAGAAGATCTAATTGCTGGTATATAAGCTTAACCTCAAAACTCTTGTAAACTATAATTGGAGATTATTGTAGAAGCCTGTTTGCAATCACCTGTTGTTATGGTATAACTTAGTTCTCTTCAGCACTTGCTTATATGAATATAAGCATAATTTACGTGGAACATATGTTTTGATTTGTGTTTATTGAAGGCTATTTTGCCTTCTCACTTGTGTATTTGTTTTTTTTTTTAATAAAAAACTTACCTTTGTCAAACACTTTTTCTTTAATTATTACGTAGGCTGTATTTTTTGGTCTTATGATTGGTTCAGGCTTCTGGGGCATTGTGAGTGACAAATATGGTAGAAAAAAGGTTTGTACAAGACGCTATTTCAAACATAAAGTCTGGTATATTGGAGTGCTGTCTGTAAAGTGAGCCCTTGATAAATGAACTCCTACCATTATGAACAGTTTTCTTGGCCCCTACAAAATTTGCAATAGCCTTATTCCACCGTATTTTAGAATTATTTTTGCAGACTGTGGTCATAAATTCAAGCTTTCTTTATTTCTGATGCTTACATAATGTATCCTGTCTATAATATAAGCCTTGTACCTTAGTCTAGATGTTTTGTTCTACCTTTGCAAGCTGAATAAGAGTAGATACTGTGTGTTGTTTCGTACTTGTGGTAGATTAATTCAAGAAGATCAGCATTTAGCAATTCCTTTTCAGACCTTGTTGCTGAGTACCGCTATTGTCTTGTACTTTGGTATACTCAGTTCCCGTGCACCATCATATGGATGGATTTTAGCTGTTCGGCTTTTTGTTGGCTTTGGAATTGGTGGTGCTCCACAAGCGTAAGTAAAGCTTTTCGTCTAAGAATAAAACAAAAAGCTAGAGACGCTGCTACAAGCCTTTTTGCTGTTTTTGTCTGCTTATTAACAATTTAAATTCAAATACTGGTAGACCAACTGTATCATATAGTTTTACTCTATAGATCAAACATAACAGCTTGTAATAAATAAAGTGTCCCAATTGTATATTGCATCTTTGTATGGATCATTTCTAGAGTTACTTTGGTAACAGAATTGCTACCTTCAGCTATAAGAGGGAAGTGCATCATTCTTCTTGAGGTAAGATTTATATGCTGTTGACTAAAAGAGAAATATGGGCTACATCAATCCAATCTGTTAAGGCTGGAGCCACGTCAGTCTAGAAACCTAAAAAAGTTCTGTGAGCACACCCTTAGTTGTGGGCACAAGAAGTTCTTTTGTGAATAGAAGTTCTAAACTTGGGCATTTATATTTTTCTTATAGCCATTTTTAATTTCACCTTTCCTTGACAATAGGCAAAGTTTGTGGAACCCCATTTACCTTTTCATCCAACGGTAACTTGTCCCTAACACCCCATGCATAACTAGCTTGGTTACAAGGAAGGGATTGGCAAACTGAGCACTTATGTTAGAGACTTTTTTGCAACATCTGAAATGTTCAAAAACTTATTGTATGTATCGACCAGCTGGACATAAATGTCAGTGATGACCTTTATTATTTATCTGTGTTTTTATTCGATGTCATCTGCTATCATTTGTTGCTAGGACCTCATTGATAGTGTAAGTCTTTTTTAGATGTTTTGGGCTGTCGGTTCTATATTTGCTGTTTCTCTTGCTCTTGGTACAGTAAACACAATTGGATGGCGATGGTTCTTAGCCCTGATTACAGTCCCACTGTTTCCATTTTTGCTTCTTTCTAAGGTAAACTAATCAGCATTATTAGTTATACTATATGCTCAGCACCTTTCTGATCTTCAATGAAAGATTGCATCTGTGATGTAAGGAACTTAACGATAAAGTTTAGTGGCAGGATTTTTTAGATAAAATTTCAAAGGAAAGTACAAAGTTAACATCTTAATGATGTAAAGAAATACCATAGAAATATGATTACTATATATGATAATTTTCAGTAATACCGTCGATAATATCACATTTCTATTTAAAGAAATTAATTTCATTTATATTTTAGCTAATTGAAATAATAGAACTATGAATTTAAGTAAAATTTTGCTAGGAAAATAAACGAATTTTTATCTGAATTTTCGACCGTAGCCCGTTATCAATTGCAGATAGAAAGCGATAATAACGGGATATGCTGGAAAAGTCGTATAAAAATTCGTTCATTTTCCTTGTACAATTTTACTTAAATTCATAGTTATATTCCATCATCTTGTACTGCATGCAAGCTAGTATATTTATGGAACCTAATTGAATTAATCCTTAGATTTGACTAAATTATTATCATATTTGAATTTGTCAAGAAAGAAAACAAAACGAAGAGCTTTTTCATGAATTTTATAGTTTATATTAACATTCTTTTATATCATTGATATATATTAGTTTTATTTTAGTTTTATTTTCATCAAAATTTGATACATATCCTCACAGTAAGTTTTCGTAATGAAAAAGTCAATGTGTCTTAACAGTACTCTCTTATCATAGTGGGTGCCTGAGTCGCCAAGATATCTTTTGACGGTTGGGAGGAAAAAGGAAGCATTGGAGATACTAAAAAATATAGCAAAAGAAAATGGAAAGGAAATGCCAGCAGAGAAAATCATAACTTCGGAAATTCCAGTAAGTAGCCAATTTCACATGACAGTCTCAGCTGCACTATCTCAGGCCCACGATCCTCGCGTAGTGACTCCATATATCATGACTGGGACCGTTATAGTACCGTCTTTCTTCTTTGTGCGCCTTCAGGGGATCATACTTTTGACCACAAGTAATGGTTTCTAGCTACTTTATAGGTTTCATATCATAATAAAGATGTTTCTAGCCATAGTGTCGTGACTTCTTTCCCATTACGATATACATTTTGCGCTTTTTCTTCTGCAATGTTTACCCGCCAATCGACCTTGTAAGATAAAACAATGAAATTATTCTATTGATGTCCTAAAGAAGTTTATGAATTTTGCCATACTGTGCTGCAACGATAACCTATTGGTAATTGCTCTCTGCTGTTGTAAGGCATTTGTCAATCGGTCACTGTACGGTCAGGTTTCTGCTGCTTCTTGTTTCTGGAGTTCTGATTATAAAAGTCCATGTTTCAAATGCATACTGCAAAATAGACGGGATGTAATATGTAACATGTATGTCAAATGCATACACGGGATGTAAGTCTTTTGAATTTGCAGATTTTTGCTCTCAAAGATGGTTTATAATGAAAAGAAATATGCTGATTTTATCAAAGTTTACTTTTGCTAACGTAGCTTATCTTTTTATTTCAAATTTTCCTTCTTTCATCTTGTGCTATCAATTTACCATTGTTGTTACGATAAGACACAGTAAAAGCCCGCGTGTAAGAACCAACTTTTTTCAGAGTTTGGCAAAACAGGTTCTTATATCATGGGGTACTTATTGACAGTTTAGGCTAAATAGGTCCTTAATTAGGATCTTAATTTGTACAGAGTAGATACTGTTGTTGATTATCAGAAAATAGCATTGAATCTGGTCTGTTCTTCATTCTAAATATTTATTAGTGTAACAATGTTGCCAAATGTCCATCAACAATTGATCAATGATACAGTACTGTATATAAAATAGTAGCAATAATTGTTTCATAATAACAGTTCAAATTTAACAACATTGTGCTTTTTGAGTTTTATTTTAACCATTCAATATTCAGTCACCTTTTTTGATTTTGCTAAAAAAGTATATTAATTAAATGGTTAAACCCAACATATAAGAAGAACCTGTTGGAAATTGTTTGGCGAAAGAGGTCCTTGTATTTTGGAATATTAAAAAAAGCAAATTTCAGCCAGAAGGTTCTTCAATCCCTAGGTTTTCATACGATAGTTTTACCGCAGCTTTTTATGACCCTGGTTCACAGTACTTATGTGACAATGGGGATTTCTTAGACATAATAAAAAATGGGTTTTCCTAATGATACTAGGACGAAGATCTAAATATTCATTCGAGACAACGAAATCTCTACTTAAGAACTTAACCGTATGACCTGGGTTGTCCTGGAAAAATAAAGGACAAAATTAGGACCCAGAATTCGGAAGAAAATGTTTCTTTTTTTAACGATTTGGACTAAAGCGAGGTTATCTTTGCATAATGCAGCTTTTTTAGGCGCTGTAATACTGCATTTATTTACATAACTTTTGTTAATTTTTAATATAGGTTGGCAATGGAAAACTTATGGATCTTTTTGGCCGAGACTATCGTCGCACAACTCTAACAGTTTGGATAATATGGTATGCAATTGTTCTATTGCTACATCAGTACTGTCTCTTTGATCCGCATGGCGGAACCTGTGAAGTTGTGTCGGTGCAACACTCTGTTTATCACATGGCCTTCTTTAAACCATAGTTTGAACTAGCCACGATGCCTCGTCTGACTGTGGTTTCGTTACTGACAGCTGCATAAGTTGTTATTAACCGCTCACGGAGTTGTATGTTCCTGGATTAACCAATCTCCATGAAAAAAACAATAATTTAACACCAAAGTATGTCTAGAATTATGTGAATATTGTGATTAATTAGGTTCCTAGTTATTCTATTGTACACTTCAAGCAAAACATACTGTTTCCTTGCAAATCGCAGCTGGATTTGCCTTTCTTTTAAGTTATTGCAAAGAAATTCAAACACTTTTCAACAAGTCTTAAGAAGACGATCTGTTATTTTACAATGAAACGGAGTTCGTTTGTTCGTACTAGCAATAGAAAGTTGAGTTTCATTCTTCAGGATCCATGTGCTCTTCTGAAATTATTGTGTTCTTTCTTTGGATACTCTATATTTACGTAATGCTTTGTGAGGCACAAACCCATTATTTTGCATTCATGTTTTTAGGTTTTCGGCGGCGTTTTGCTACTATGGAATAGTCTTGCTAGCAACTGAAATGTTCCAAACAAAAATTGATGCGTGCCACCCTAAAGGTAATATATTCGCGTGGTTGCTTTGAGCAATCAAAAAATTTAAAGGTGTGGACTTCGAACGGTCATTTTTCCATAATAATCATAGACAATAACCATAGCAACGCAACAAAACAAGTCGGATTAACAAAGAACGCAACAATATCGTCCTTTGTGATAGTAAAGAGTTAGTATTATACAAAGTCTAGGCCAAGTATGAAGACTATCAGCCAGAAACCTAGTTGCAATATTGCTTTAATATTTTATAACCTGTTTGTGTATATTCAAACGCCAGCAATAGCCTATAATATTATTCTGATATCATTCGGTTGTTTTATTGACAACTAATGTATATTCTTGGTATTTATACATATGTTTCTAATTAGCTGATTGGTAATAGCAAAACTTCTTATCATTATCATAGTCTCATACCAGATGCTATGCAAAAACTTCTGAGAGGTTAAATTTTTTACAACACATCCTAACATAGACCAGTTGATTGATTGGTCAAATATGCAAAGCTTGTTTTATCGCCTGCTTGCGCTGGTTAACTGCAACATTCCCTGTTTTTTTGCAACAAATGTATAAATCAATAAAATTTCTATACAAATCTATTCACTTGTAGGCATTAGTGTTGAATCAATGGCTTGTGGCTGTAATTACCTTACTACAAGAGATTACACTGACTTTATGTGGACTACTGTAGCTGAAGTTCCTGGTTAGTAGAAATGAAAGTGTGAGATTGACTGCAAACACAAAAGTTGATCTTGGTTCCCATAATCATTCTTCAATGAATAGGCACCATGTATTCAGCTATATTTCGATTTTCAACACTTAACTAAAAGTTTTTTACTACAATTTTTTCAAACTAATACTTCTATGTACAATATATTTATAAGTATTCAATGCAACACAAGCCTCCATCTTTATCGAATACTGAAGTAACGTTTATCATAAAATTTCAAAGCCATTTTCAAATTTTGTACAGCCCAAAATTGTTCACAAAGAATGTGTTGCACCAATGTACTTTTTTAACTATTTGTGGAGAAATCTGAGGCGATTCCTTCTCCCTTCACCCTCATCAAGCAACTTTTCCTTCCTTTCGAAGCGACTATCTTTATGACATCAAATATTTTCAAATTCAACTGTCATACTGAAAGGCCGTATCATTTTTTCAGTTGTTTCTTTTACAAGACACTACTTTATTGTTCTGTTTTGTAATATGTTTGAATCATTTTGTTTATGATTCTTAATTCTTTATAGGTATTTTAATCACCATTCCGATTGTGGAGTGGATTGGTCGAAAGAAAACTCTGGCTCTTGAATTCTTTGCAGCGGCTGTTTTTTTCCTACTCATGCTCATCTGTTTAAACAGGTGTGTTTATAAACGAACGTATTTTTTATCCTTCGTATCAAAATCGGTGTTTCCATCATTATGGTCGTCAATTTTTTTCTTCTGGACGTAAACCTATACTCTATGTACGTTTTTGTGTGTAAAATAGGAAGGCTCTTAGTAGCAAACTGCTATTTGGAATTGCAACTTACAACCTTCTTCTTCTGCACGCCAAATCGTGTACGGCATCAAACACTTTGTGTGACAGACCTGTATATATAATTGTCATTATATTTATTCTATGTTTACAGTATTCAATTAACTTGTTCTATGCATTTTTTTGTTGTAATTTTCTCTTAATTATTTTTCAGTCCAGTATAATACGTTCAAAAAGGGCTGTACAGTTGAGTCACGTTTTGTCGTGCCCCGCATAACTCTGGACGACTTTAACTAAGTCGGACTGATTTTCACTTCCAATAGAGTTTTTCTACGTTACTCAAGCCAAAACTCGTACCCCAGATAAGTCGGACATTTTCTAAGTCGGATCATTTGCTTTGAAGGACTGACTTAACGGGATTCAACTGTATATTTGTTTTATTACACACAAAAACTGATGCCATATTTGTATTGATCTTTTTTGCAGAACAGCTGAGGTTGTTTTTATGTTTGGTGTAAGAGCATGTGTAACAGGAGCTTTCCAAACGGCCTATGTCTATACTCCAGAGGTACAAAACAGAACTATCTCACTATTCATTGACTTTATCTGCTTTACAACTGAATCACAAGCCTTGATTAAGCATTATTCGACCATTTAGCTTGATTTTTGCAGCAAGTATGTTATTAGTAATACAGGGCTAGGACAGAAAAGGTCCCCTCTACTTTCTATCCTAACTGCATATCTAGAATAAATTTGATCCTGAAATAAAGCTTCCACCGATCGTTCTTATTTTAAAACATGGCGTCTATTAATCATTCCCCCCCCCCCCCCCTTCAAAATATGTCTTCGGGATTGATGATCCACTGGATTTAATTGCATCTTTCCAGATCAAGAGTCACCCTCTGAATACAATATTTTCACAGATTTAATCACTATCTTGGAGACACGGTAAACCCAATATACCTTCAATTATCTATAGCTCTAAAGAATATAGTTAATATATTTAGATTCGAACTAAGTTTCATCACAACCCTGGTTTGTTTCACATTGATAACTGTAACTTTTGTTCCACGCCAAATAGTCACTAAGTTCCTTGTAGATACTGCTTTAAGTATACATTATGTATTGACTGCGGGGATTTTTATGATCTCCTTCCCTCCGTAGGGTCTTCCTTATATCAAGCTAGAGGTATTACGTTCGTGTTTCTGTTGATTTTCAGGTATTTCCTACGAATGTCAGATCTTTTGGACTTGGTAGTTCAAGCTCATTTGCAAGAATAGGGGCAATGACAACGCCTTTCATTGCGCAGGTAATTATGCATGACATTTTTTAGTTATTTGCGACCAAATAACTTGAAGTCCACAAAACATTATGTTCCCTTACGAATGATCTTGCTGTATTCTAATTTTTATTAGCAAAACCTTACCTAATAGAGATTTATAAAATTCCTTGTTCGTAGGTTCTGTTCAATTCATCGTTTTCATCTGCAATTTTAATATATGCCGCTGTTTTGTTCCTCTGTTCTATTGCATCTCTACTTTTGCCCATTGAAACTAAAGGCAGAGTCCTCGAGGTATGTGGTTTTCGCTGCTGTTTCTTCATAAAAGTTCATCAAATTTGCTTGTATTTTCTTTCTTATTTTTTTTTGATCAAAGTAAACATGATATCCACAGAATTTTAAATTGCCATAAAATTGTAAAAGGAAGCCCCAGAATTCCATGTAAATGGCACCGTTTTGTTTTGATTTACATATGCCACGCAAGGTTCAGCATCTACATAGGATATCTTAATAACCTATAAAGTTATACTGCATATATAGAGTCACTAAACAATTATGCTTAGGACACTGTGGTGGGTCAGGTATTAATATAGCTAAATACCAAGATGTGTTGCAATGAATGCAAAATAATTTAGAATATATCTTACTTCAGTGTCTTCTTCACTTTACTCGTTATTTCGATTTAATGATACACCGGTCAATTTCAAATAGCAAACGTTAGTTTAAGTGAAATATTGTGTACTTTAATGCTGTTTCTCGAGCCCAGCCCGAATCCGATATGAATTTCACTCAAAACTCTTAATAGGTCTGTGGTAAGATGCAATTTTTTCTTCAACAGGAAACCACGAGTATGTCTGTTTCGTACCATAAAGATGGTTATGACAGACTGCGATAGCATATGATTGTTTCAAGTATCTTTATCTTTCAAATTCTTAATCAAATGGTTTTTGTAGATCTATATTTAATTGAACATTTTGCATTCTTTGTAATGTAAGTATCAATTTTATTTCTTGGTAGCAACCATCTATTCAATTCCATCCCAACCCCCACAAATCGATTTTCACAATTTTAGTTAGGTCCACGTGACAGTCTTTATGAATGTAATTTTTGTCATTTTTTTAAGTCAAGTAGAAATGCTAGGCTATTTATTTTTTGTTATTTTCTAATATTTATTCGGTTGGAACACATTGCAATTGTATTTGTAAAAGGGACATTTTATTTATCGAAGTATGCATTTCACAGCACACCATTCAACATAGATTCTTTTTCAAAAAAGGACATTGTTTCAGTTCATACAAAATCGATTTAGCTTTTAGTTAGTCAACTTCGATGGAAGTTACAATTTTTAGAATTTCATACAAGTAATTTACATCTCATTGCCACCCAGAAATATCTTCCAAAGGTGTAGTTAATATGACTCGGCTTTTTGTAGAAGGCTAATATGTATCGCTTTCTCTAACCCTTTCCCCTTCCGTACTTATCAAAACACCTTCAACAATAAAAATTTCTCTCAGGCTTGACGAACCTCCTCTTGCATTAATTTTTGAGAGGCATGCCTCTCCTCTGTAAAACATTAATTTAAAAACTCCCTGTGGTACCCTGATCTTTCAGTGGATTAGTACCCGTAATACTGTTATTCTCTAATTCTTTATTAAGATAGCATATAGATTTAACTCATGTCACATTCGTACACACTTGCATTTTGCTATATATATGCATTTAGTTTTGTATTTATTTCTCCCAAGATCAGTAGTTTTTTGGTATTGACATGATTAATATTTGTGATTTAATTTGCCTAATAATTTGAGTCGTAATCGTGATTTTTGTGAAGATAGAGAGCAGTTGCTAAAGAATTTAAAGTCAAATGTGCAGCATCCGAGACCTTTCGCCTTTATTTTTATGGATTGGTGGCACCGGTAACAGGCTTAGTGATTCAATGATGTATACCAAGGCTGCCTTCCATAAGAGCTCAATATCTTTGAAGTCGATGCAAGAATATTGTATTTGACAAAAGCCTGAATCATATTTGGACCATCTTGACAAAGGTAATATGGAGCAAGCTGGGCAGAAAAATTGAATATTTATGGAAAATAATTGTATTGCTAGCAGTTGATTTATTTAACATTACCAAGCATATTTGCATTGCAAATGATTTTGAAATCTTGTCATTTTTCTCTCTCGTGTCGTTATCTTTAATTGAAAAAGAGGAGACCTTTTCATTCATCTGGAAAAACAAGTTTCCTGATTCAATAAAATCGGCTGCAAATAAAGAATGTAAGAAAGAATGTAGCGAATAAAGAAGATGAAATTAAACGCGGTTGAAGCCAAAAACCCTGGATCAGAAGTTTTTATTTTTTGAAAACTGATAGGTTGTTTTGGAAAAAGTTGAGATTTTGGCAACTTTTGGAGCGCCGAAAATGCAAACTGGAAAAGCTTTGTAGTAATTTGCTAAGTGAAAGACGGGTGCTTGTTTAAAAAAATCGCAATATTTTTTCCTGGTTGTGGAGAGTGGTATGCGTGCGAATCGACAGACTAAATTGTCTGAGTCGTCAGATGTAAATCAATGCGAAAGGACTCGTGTCATAGCCATAGGAAAAACTGGGCGGTCTTAGGTAATGGAAGACGATAAACACTCACGCTTTTTTCTATCTCTATGGGTTTTGCCACTGATAGTGGTCATTCCCATGTTTAGGGAAAACAACAACAACAAATTTCGAAGAACTCCTTGCGCGCGTGGTACGAAAAGAAAATGGAGGATATTGACAGACCTCGAGGTGAAGGACATGTAAGTATTTTGATCTTGCTTTTAACAGAATTAGAGCCATGAACCTTTTTCAAAAGCCCTTTTAAACTTTTTGAAATAAAAAGAATATCCATTCGTTTTGCCAATATTAATATTCTAACTTCATATTCTAATTGTAATTTTTTAAAATACTTTATGCTTGGAGCCTCAAAGGATCAGGCTTCACTTATTACAGCGCCCTGTGATCATAGTTGGGTAAATTTCTCCAATTTTTATATTGCTTTTGTACATTGGCTGCAGAAAAATTTTAATACCAAAGGGTGATTTGATGTTTTTAAAACTCTTCTTGTTACGCTTTCTCTAATTCCTTCTTTATATAGTGTTGCTCCATTTGGTGAATGTGTGTTGTGGAAATTCATAGTACGTTATGACTTGTGGTCTCCTCTTAAAAATAATTTCAAAATTTTGTGGATCTTGAAATTGTCATAAACTTAGCAAGCCATATTTGTTGAATTCAAGCTTTCAGTCATAATATAATTCAGGCACCTGAAATATATAAGCCAATAATTATCCTCTATCAATACATAAAGACTAGAGAAATGATAGTTGTGGCGCTTGACATGGTACTTGACCATGCTCTTTTGCACAGCCAAGGAATTCTTGATAATAGCCATACATTACAGAACAATTCAAATCTTTGAAAGTAGTTTTTAAAACAAAATACATCTCCAAGAGAATGTGTCATCAAGAGAATGTGTCCTAACCTGCTTTCAGAATTGTTTATATCAGACAGTCATTTTTGCCTTCAAAATACAGCTTTGAAAAGGCATTTTAAATTTGAATTTGCATTCTAAGGCATTCTAAAAGGCATTCAGTTTTGAAAATAATGCTAAAAGGGAATGATGTGACTTTTGCAAACCCAGGATTGCATTTTTTGTACTCTTAAGCCATATGCTACAAACGACTTTTCCGTGTAATATGCTTATCTGTTATTTACAAGAACTCACTTTAACCATAAACAGACATGCTGGTGTTTAAGGTAGCATAGCTATAAACATCAGTTTAGAGTAAACTCTTTTGCTAGAAAACCATCATGCTAATGTTTGAATTCTTATGATATTTCCCAATTCAAGTTAATGTCTTGGTTTTCTAGTTTCGCGTGACAGGAGGAGGGATTGACAGGAACAAGTTACTAAATGAGCAAGAGATTGAGTTTGGGGTCGAAGTTGAAGACATAATAAAAGATGAGGATGATGAGTATTTTGATCGGGAAACAGTTTTCAAAAATTTGAATTTTGACTGCACAGATGAAGGGGATGATGATTCAGACGCTAACAGTGATATGGTGAATGATTTTACAAATTACATTGCTTTCTGTACATAAACCCTTTTATAAAAAGCTATAACAAAGTTGTGACTAGAATAGCCAGAGACAATTTGCCTTGTGCAAAGGGAATTGTATCTCTGTATTGTGTATGGAAATGAATTTTTTCTTAAAAAAACTATGACTTAAAAACCTCTAGATTTCTACATATAACAGCTGGTGTACACTTGATTTTTTAGACTCCATTTCAACGAATGGCGGTTGGTATGGAAGACATAACTCCTACTAAAGATGGAGGTGTATTAAAGAAGGTTTTGGTACCTGGTGTTGGTAATTTAGTTCCTAATAAAGCAACTGTTAAGGGTATGTTTGTTAGAATGTTTTAGTAAAGAAACTATTTAATGGTGTTTCACATTTTGCCACTTTATCAATAATAACATTCCCATAATGGTGTGGAAGCACATTTTGTTCCTCCTTAACTTTTGTAAGAATCCTGTTTTCTTAAAAGTGTCCTCTTAAGAAACTTTGGAAAAATATGTATCTTTTTTCTAAGCAATAGTGCCCCTTCCCCCTCCTTCTCCTCTGCCCCCAATTTTGAATTACTTTTGATGCCTCTACACTAAACTAACATGTGTTGCTTCTTGTTAACAAGCTTTGCTCTCCACAGTTCACTACAATGCCTATTTGGAATATTCTGAGGAGCCATTTGATTCAAGCATATTGAGAAATTCACTTTTGCAAATCAAACATGGATCAGGTAAAAAATTGTCAAAGTTCATGCACATCAACAATAGAAAAGCAGATTTATTTGTCCTTTTAAGTAGTTTTTAGTAATTGTTGCTCAGTCAGTCATTCAAAAAGCTATATTCTGAATATGAATCAGTCACTTTTGGTTTATATTTCTCTGCAGAGAAAATTTTTATGATCTATGCCTTTGTTTTATTTTTGATACCTTTAATCATTGAAAGAATAATATTCTTTTTGAGTTGTATTGCATTTGGATTTTTTCAATTTTCTTTTTAATTATACTTGAATGATTATATTGTGAAACCTTTTTTATCTTACACAGATTTCCCTCTTACACACTCTGTAAAAGGCCTTGTAAAATGCGCTATATACACTGGGACTGTCATGATTATTTTTTCTTTTTGCACATTCAGGTGAACAAATATTTGGCTGGGAAATTGCTCTGGTCACAATGAGAAAAAATGAGAAGGCCAGATACCTCTTTGCTGCACCATATGCTTATGGCAAAATGGGCTGCCCACCTAGAATACCTGCTAATGCAACTGGTAGGAATGTTTACCTGATGAGTTTTTGCCTATCTAACTCTAGGATAATGGTACACGAGAATACAAGTTTCCATTGTGGTTGGATCTTATCATCACATTATATATTACAAATTATTCTTTGTGAGCGAAGGTTTTGAAAGAATGACTTCATATGAAAAATTTCAAGTTGAACTGTGTACATTTGAGAGATGGGAGAAAGAGGAATGTATTGGTCTGCAAAAAAGGATGGCAAGGAGAAGTCTTTTTCAGCTTTGTTTGATCAGTTGCGATCATGATTTACCATTTTGAAGAATATCCATACCTTTACAAAATAATACGTTGCAACAAATTTTCAAGTTGGAAGAACATTCCACACACTTATTGATATTCTTTCAAGCACCCGGTTGTCAATGAAACTTGATACAATGAATAGGAGTTTTATGATTTTTGAATTCACCACTGAAGGTTTTGAGGAAAAGATACTCTCATCACTTGTAATATATATAAACTTAAGTAAAAGAAGAAAAATTTATAAAGCAAGCAAATGCTTGGCAGTATTAATGAAAGTGAGCCAAAAGAAAGCATTTAAGGAAATACTTAACAAAGTAGCTTTGAAAGCAGTGATAGCACCTTTAAAAATGAGCTAAGTGGTACTTAACCATGATACGTACCATGATTGCCCTGATTGATTTTTAGTTACATCTTTTACTTATCTTGCACGCTCAATTGACAGCTCACATGAAGCATGAAGTTTCAACACATAATGTTCCTTTGTTTGTGTAAACAAGTTTTGTTAGTATTTACTGTTTAAAAATAGGTAAATATTATCAAAAAAGGTAATTTATATAGGCCCTACAAATTTATTTTGCCACCCAATAGAATCACATACACATTTCCAAACTAGAAATTTTTGGAGGTAAGCAAAATTTTACCAAACCTCTTGGTTAGCACTAAAGTGATGATGTTGTCAACCTTGGACTAAAAGGATTGAGACTTGCAAATGTTACGAGGATGAGCATGTAGCTTGTAAGAAACTGCCTTGTTCAAATCAGGAATATTAAAGACTCATTGCTAACAATGGGCCTTTGCGAGCGTGGCAACGGTCCAAACATTGGCAGTAAACTTCTATGGATTAACCAAAATTGATTTCAGACAGTATAAAATGCTCATTGTTAGCAATGAGTCTTTAATTTTCAACTTTATTGAAACATATTGTTTTATCTCTGATAAGCTTGTATTGGACCATTTAACCCTTGCAGGTGGTTCTGGGGTGTTTTCCAGCCCCAATTGTTCCCTTAGAGAGGTTATAAATTAAGACCATTTGTAAAGAGCATGCTGTTTACACTTATAGGTTAGCAAGTTATTGTTCATGTTTGTCATTTATTTGATAGATCTAATGATAACTTTTCAATGTACAGTCTTTATACTTTGTGGTTTCTCTATTTATTTTTGCAGTGATGTTCGAAATTGAAGTGAAAAGTTTTGTTGATGCATTCAAGGCAGATGAGTTTGAAACCACCTCGAAGGTTTGCTTTCCTTTATCATTTTTAGAACCTAATTGTTCTTCATTTTCTCACTGTAAGATTGCCAGTTTTTGTCTTGATTCTCTTTAAATCAAGAAAGCAAACACAAACATAATTTTGTTTTGTTATATTTTCTAGGAAGAGAAACAGAAAATGACATTTCATGAAATTCTTTGTGTGGTAGATTCCTTGCGACAGGTAACTGTTGAATGTATCAGCCTTATTTTGATATATTTTTATGCTTAATTCCTTCAAATGATACAGACAAAAAGTTCAGAAGTTTTGCTGCATTTTACGCTTGCCAAAGTAGCATCCAATCATAGACACCCTATATTTAAGCAAGTGTGGACAGAATTCAGCCTATTTTTGGATCTTTCTATATACATCCTGTTCTTAGGTTGTGCCATCTCAAGTTTTTATCAGCAATTTTGTATTGAGGACTATTACAGTTAAATTTCATCATCTTGAGGATCATGAGTGAAACTTTGGTGTATTTATTTAATATTGATTAGCACCTAAAGATTTTTCTAGCAATATTTGATAAATGATATATGTTTGGAATTAAAAACTGAGCTATATAACTATTTTCTATTTCACAGAGAGGAAATGATGAATTCAATAACAAGAAATTAACCAAAGCTTTACGGACATATAAAATGGTGTGTGAAAGCTACAGTAGCTATTTAGTTGCGATTGGAAATGTTTGGTGTAGGTAGATTGAAATGAATTATGTGTTAAAAAAGGCACAGACCCAGATTGTAGCAATTGTAAAAAGTGCTCCAGTCAACTTTTCAAGAGGAGCCTTACAGTTTCCATAATTTAAGATTACATGAAAATCTAAAATGATTAGAATAGCAGAGCTTTAATTACCTAATGATACACAGGTGTTATTATAATGTACAGCCATGTATTACATGTACAGCCATATTCATTTAAACAAGCTTATTGATCTTGATGCTTCAACGAGTGTACCTTGCGAGTGCAATCAGTAAAATCATGTTTTCTCCGGACTTCCAATTCCTCTGCATACAGTTACGAAAAAGCTATTTTGTACCCAAGGAACCAATCGAAGGGCTCAAAATTTTACACACGACCAGAACAGATGTCGGGTAAGCAAAGGGTGTCTCGAAATTTTTGTATTTGCTCTGGTCCACCTTTTATAGCCAAATACAGATATGAGAGGGAAGAAAAATTGTTTGCCAATTTTTGACAGGGTATAGTTTCTAGGGGAGGAGGAATTTGAAAAATCTGAGACAAACTTTGTCAGCTAAGAATCTTCTGCTGATATAAGCCAGATTTTGTTACCTCAAACGCAAGGGTACAAAATAGCTTTTGAAAGTGGTACACGCATTTAAGCAATAAATTTGCCTGGAATATATCATTTTGCAATCTTTGCCAGTTATTTTGATATGGTTGCAATCGCCACATTCTTTTGCATCGATTGATGTATAGTTTTATCTGATTCCGTTAATAGTTTGGCTTTTAGGGAGAGAAAACCAAATATCATGTCAAAAACGTTTACCGAAGCCTTATTCTAGGAATTTCTGCCTCAGACCGAAGTGTTAAGTCACCTATCCTTGGGTTTAGTGGGTATGTTTCAAAGAACAGCATTCATAGATATTGCAATGCTTAGGAAACACAGATGAATGCATTTGTTATTACTAAACTATGGTTGCTCTATCTTCACACTTCTTCATTGTAGTAATCTTATCATTTCTAATGCAATGTTGTGTTTTGTCAACCTTTCAGGCTATACAACAGCTTGAAACATGCAGGCTTGCAAATGAAGAAGAGGAAAATGCAATGAAAAAGAATTGTCTTACTCTTTACCTAAATGCATCACTTTGTTCCCTAAGGCTAGGTAACTGGAGGAATGCAGCATATTTTTCAAGGAAGGTATGCATGTTGCAATAAGAAAATATCGAAAACTCAGTTTCATTTCATTCCTGTGTTGCTTTATATTCAGAGGGCAGAAAGGAATAGATACAACAAAGAAAGAAAAGTCAGCAGAGAGTGTGCTTGTCCACTTAGAACCTTTCTTTGGAGACTTGGGACCCGCTAAGTACAAATTTGTATGCTGATAATGTGTTGCCGCTCGTATTTTCTTTTATTTAAAAAGTTTTCACATTCTGTATCAAATTTATCTGTATCATTTAATCCATGTTGTTCTTTTGGCTTCTGAATAGCTATGACATGTCTGTATTGGTTCTTTTACACATTCTGAATTTATTTTTTCTTTTCACCAGAAGTCACCAGGTTTATGTTCATTCTGGTTTAGTGATCCAATTTTCATTTCCCAATAGGTTCTAACAAAACCTATGCAATGTGCAAACTATTCTCTTATTTTTTCTAGGCCTTACATATTGATACAACCAGCGTCAAGGCATACTATAGGCTAGGAAAGGTAAAAACTAACCGCCATGGATTTGTTTATTACCTAAAACAACTTTTTCCTTTTTCCTTTCCCACAAGGTGATGTATTCAGAAGTGTAAAATGAATTATACCATTTGTTCACAAGGCACTAGGTCAGATGGCTGAGTTTACAGAAGCAAGAAAACATCTACTCAATGCTCAGGCACTGGCTCCTTCAAATAAGGAGGTTAGGGAAGAGCTAAAGAAGCTCAATGCGTATGTGACACTTTGATGTATTACCTTTAAGGGCTGCTCAAGCATCAATTATCATAATGCTTCAAGCGAGACATAGGCAAATTACTGAAAAGCCAAAGCTAGGATTTTTCTTTCAGTGATTGGAAACTGTCATATCCTTAAAGAGAGATATGGCAGACGCTCAATATATCGACTTTGTAGATAGGAAGATTTTTTTGAAGCAAAATTTGCTGCTTAATGAGTTATGTCATTTTTTTGTCTGCCTTGGCTGGTCAATGAACAAAGGCATCAAGCACAACAAATTTATTGCAAAATTGGTAGCCCTTACAACCCTTATGGCTGAGTATTTTTCTCTTCTAGTAACTATGAGGAATTTCAGCAAATGGGCAAAACAATTTCAGCAAAGATGTTCAGCCAGCCACCTTTGACACAAGGTAAATCAGTAAATGTTTTCAAAATCTGTTAACTTATACCAGACTCAAGATCACTCTTTGAATAAAGAAAATATTCTGCATCGCTCTCTGCAACATTATAGCTCATTAGCCTGTAATTTCTAAAACATTCAAATAAGTTTTTTTATCGTATAATGTTAAAATACTAGATCCATAATTGGAATGCTGTGCTCTCAGGTAAAATTGTACAATTATTTTTCCATTGTTACCTAAATCTTTATTCAGACATCATGAAATAGCAGAGTTGATAAACTGAAAAATAGACTTCTGGAAATAATTAAGTCTAAGATGAATATAGACAACTTCTCTAATTTTCATTTTATCTCCAGAAATATCTCTCTAAATTTTGTTTGCCTGATTCTACAAGCCTGGAAATTTGAAAGAAACATTTGTTTTGTAAATGTGGCATTTCCACATAAAAAATGGTGATAATGATAGAGCGTTTCTGTGAAGTAAATGATAGTGAATCAGTTAGCAGCACTTTCGATGTTTTCTTTTCATTTTTGATCGATCATGGAAAAATTTCCAAATTTTTAATAAATCTCAAAGTAAATTAAGCATTTACTGGCTTCATTAAAACTTCAAAGTTTATACAGAATGTTGCACAAATCAAATGAATGTAGGAAAATTTGTTCTGTAAAACCATGCTTGTTGAAAAGTGATCAGCAACTTATTTTTATTTAAAATTTCAAAATAGCATTATTGCAGTAAACTTGAAAATTAAGGCAGAGAAACATTGTTCCATCATTTTGGCAAGCTGCCAGTCCCAGTAATGATGGCCTGTTTCCCTCAATGCTGAAAATCTCCATGCCTGGTCTATTTTATGCATTTTCTTTTCGTGGTTGATCAGTTGATATTCTAAAAGCATCTAGGCATTTATTGACACTGCTGCCCTGGCTATGAAAACCTGAAAATGGGAAAAGCTTCTTAAAGAGATCCCAGCTACATGGATTTTTTACTTCTTAATTACACAGAAAAATTAGAAAAAACAAAGAAGGGAAACGAAGATGAGGAAAATGAAAGGAAGATGATGTTAGGATTTATTGAAAGTAAAATACGGTGGGTATCAAAATATCATTTAGGGTTTCAAAAGAAGTTCAAGTTACAAATCTTAAGAGGGATGTGAATTTACAGAGTCAATATTTTTGTCAATATTATTAATAATATTACTCTTTCTTCATAAACATTTCCCCTATGTATGCAGATAGAAAAAATTATGTAAAATTATGAATAGACAAATAAGCCAAGCAAAGGGAAAAGGGAATCATTACCCTTTTATTCATTACATTTTAAAGTATTTTGGGAGCGTGGTCTCAAGTTGTAACTCCCCTTTAACTCCTTGGGCCATTTAGTCTTATACCAGTTAGTTTTTATTTTCTAATAGGATAGTCTCTAAATCATCACTGTAAAACTTTTTTCTAGCTTGAATTAAATAGTTTAACTTTACATATTAGTTGTTTTCTAAAACTATCAATCAACATCAACTGTCTCTCCTATTCATTGCTTCTTCTATGTTGAATGCCTCAGGTTTATGAATCATGTATCATTAGTGAACCAAAAAAAGCTCATCTTTAGTCATCTCTAGATTTTTAAATTTAACCTTTTTTACTTTTGCAGTGCTTTCAAAACTGATCAATCACAAGACATCCTGCACCTTCCACCCTTACTAAAAGAAGAGGAGCTTGAAGCTGTTAACTCACTGGCAAAATCAGAAGGATTCAAAATAGAAAATGATGAGGTTCTTATTAAAAACTCACTAGTTTTTCACCCTATTCCCTTCAAATGCATCTGCTAAATGCTAGATTATGAAAAAAAATTAAAAAAGAAATTAAAAGGTAACAATGTGCTTTGGTATGTTTCTTAAGTATAATAACTACATCTACTACCTATGTAAGGTACTCACCCTCCTAGACCAGATACCTAGAACGATACATCTTTTATAAAAATTATCCATGCCTATAATAAGAAAAGCCATGCAATGCAAGAACAGGCAACTGGATGCATGAAATAAAACAAAACATTCTTGGAGGATTGAAACAAATTGTAAACATCATTTTCATAAGGGCTTGAAATGAAAAAGGGCTTCTTTGTTTACATTTTTATAAAATTTGTTCTGGTTGCTAAAAGCTAGGTGAGAAAATTTCGTCTAGAGGTCGCTAAATTTCTGTTGCAAGTTGCTTGAAGTAAAAATCATATTAGAAATGAAAAGTTGGTAATTCTTTTCACTATTCTCTATAACAGAATGGAATTCCGTGTGTGAAGAAGAAATAAAGTGGTACACCTGAAGATGAAATTGCAATCTTGGTCAAGCATCAGCATTCATTTTCTGCTGACTATAAAGTTTGTAAAGCCATGTATGGCTAAAGCAAACTTTGAAATTTGTTTTATTCGCTTTTGTAAAAATTTTGTTTTGTTTTGTTCTATTTTGTCAATACAAATGATAGTCTTTAGCTAGCCAGCACATTTAACTTTAACACAACTTGACAGTAAGCTGCATGAATTATTATTATTCAAGCATTAGTTACTTGCAAGCAGGAACAAAAATAATGATTATAAGCATGAAGGACATGAACTGGACAGTAACAAGAAGAAATGGTGTGGTAGAAAGAGATGTTGATATTTATTTGGAGAAAAACTGTAAGACTGTTAAAGAGGAGCCTCCAAGTGAGAGTATTTGTCTTGAATCTCCAAAAGAATCTGAAACATAGATTATCCAATCAGAAAGGGTGAAGGAAAGAATCTTCAACTGAGCCAGGATCTAATTTGAATTCATACCCAGAAGAAAAACTTCAAAAAAGCCAATTTCTAGATGGTGGTTTTGATACTGGTTTTAAGTTTTATCTTATGTTTTTACTTAGCTGGTCAAAACTAACATATTTTCTTTTTGTTTGTTTCAAAAAGTCATGGTATTTGTGAATAAAATATCTCAATAATAATTAAAACAAGACACCTTGATCATTACATCAAATATTCATGTAAGCTGATCCATGTGGGCAGTTTGTCGCCCTTGTGAAAATTTCTTCATAAAAATTTAAAAATAGCTTTATATTGAGGTTGCTAATTCTCTTGAAATATTCCCTTTTTGTTCTCTTTTGAAATGCCAGATAATTTACCTAGCATTGCTGAAAAATGTCCCAACTGCAAGTTTTAGGTTCATAAGATAGGTAGATTTGGATTTATGAAACAAGTTCTTATTCAAAAAGAGAATGAAATTACCAGTTGAAAAGAGTATTTATGTTTATGTTTTCTCTTGTAACAATGCAGAATTGTTTACAAAATATTTTTTAAATTATCTATGCATAAAGAATATTTCTATGATTTGATTCGAACCCAGAGAACCCAGAGGTAAGCTTGTGATCAGGACATGTCAACTAAACACCTGAAAATTGGCAGTCCAAATTAATGTTCTTTACACTATTTTAATTGAATTGGCAGAATATTATCAGCAATTTTTTATCGATTTCAGATCTTATTATGCAATGCTGTTACATAACTTGTATTGTTTTGCAGACAGTGGCAAAAAATTAAGCATTTCATTTGCAAAGTAGACTCTTGAAGTTTTGTAATGACTGAAACATAGATGACATAGTTATGTCTTGGTTTGTTTGTCGAGAGCTCTTTTTACTTTTATTCTTGACATTGGATTTTCATTAATTGTTGTCTTTCAAAGATAAATTTAGCTATGTTCAATGGTGATGCATAGAAAATTCACTGGAAGGTCATTCATCCACCATTTATCCATATGCAAGACTTTTGCTATGTCTCACAACTTTGTATTTCACAGATCCCAGGTTTCCAAGTGTGGGTCATTGTGAATATCAGCACTGGACTGTAGGGTCGACAAAATTTTGGGATTTGCCTACTTTTTGCTCCTATCTTTTTGAACAACTCTAAGGTTGTCTGCACCTGCTTTTTCTGTCAGCTCTTTTTCCAAAGCTTTGTTATATTCCTTTTGAAGCAACTGAAAACAATATGGAGTAAACTAATTAAAACCTATCACAAAGCTAAACTGATGACAATAAACATGCATATCAAAAAAGTTGAAAAGAATGCCAAAAAAATGATCTGGTTTTCAACAAATTTCTTTCAATATCTTAATTTTGCAGAAAAATTCTGACTATGTTTGTTTGTTTTGTTTTGCTTTCTGTCACTATCTATTTATATTGCATTTTTCCACAGCAGTTTGCATTGTACCAGCTTAGTGTTCCAAAGTAATTTCTGATCTAAAGTAGTGTCAATAACTTTGTAATGTAACCTAAAACCCTAAACTGGATTCAAAGAGTTTAGACAAAATGCAAATGAGCACACAAACATTATGTTCTCACCTCTTTCATTTTTGCTTCTTCCTGCTTCTTCTTTTTCTTTGGTGCAATTTTCATGGCTAATGATGAAATATTTAAGATTATAATTAAAAATGAGCCTCCCCTTTTAGTGAAGAGAAACAATTCTTGGATTTTTCTGACAACAACATTTCGTTTTAAGCTTGTTACTGTTTTCTTGGCATGTTTACTTGATTGAAAGCCATCAGGCCATTGACTGAACAGACCTCAATTATCTTTTTCTGGCAGCACAAATCTCCTGTTAGTTTTGGTTAAGACCATGCAAAAATATAAACCTTCCCGTGCTTGCCCACAGCCTAGACTGGAAACTTTGTTGTGCACCTGCAATGTATATTGTCTGCATACACATCTATGCGCTTTTGCATACTGGCTGTGCAAAATCTGTAGATAATAACATTTACTATTATTAACTCTTAAAGATGCACAGTCAACCTACAAGGAAGCCTTTTACAGGGTCCTCTTTTGTTTATCAACATTGCACCTGCTCAATTTTACCAATTTCTGTGTCAGAAAATAAAATATGCTCGGTTACACCAGGAAGGTAAACATGACATAAACAAAGCTGCTGATGTCAGTCAGGACCCCGTTTTGTAGAATGCATACTAACGAATAGAAAGTTGCTAACGAATAGAAAGTTGTTAACTCCGCCATTTGCAAAGTTTGAAAACAATTTGTTCATGAAAGCTATGGGGATATGTGTAACTGCTTTTTGTTATCGGACATTCCATACAATCATGTCCCTGGATACACACTTTTTTTATAAGGAACCTAACTCAAGCTCAAGGCCTGGTTCCGAAAGTTCCTTATTCATAGACCTCAAATCATCAAATTGTAGTACCAAGAGTTCCTTATCCGTAAAATGTTATACTGACTAGTACTACTGTTCGAAAGTCTCTTATAAGTAATTCTAATTAGCTACTAAATAAATGATGTTATTTTCTGTTGAATGAAATGAATTAGAAAATAACTCTCACTTTCAGTGTTTTGACTACAATAAGCCTTAACACTTAATAGAGAGAGGAGTGAGACAGCATATACGGAAACTACTCAATGAAGCACTTGACACACGAATAGCAAACAATCTGTAAGTATTGGTTGCAAATGAATGGAATCAGCTTTTTAGTTCTTGATGCTTGCAGTTATAAAAAATTTTCAAATTGAAAAGTTCCTTAGGGATTCATATTTAGTAGTATAAGTTCTTTAAATATTTCGGCCTTCTATGTGTAGGTTCCTTACAAAGTGGTTACTTATAGAAAAAACATGTACAGCTTAATGCCTATGTAAATTGCATGGAATTTGAAGTTAATTCAAGAATGCCAGCCTTTCAAGAATCACACAACAGCACATTCTTTATTTTCTGACACAGAAAATCAAGAAATTGAACAGGGGCAATGTTGATAAACAAGGGAAGACCCTGTAAAATATAGAGGCTTCTTGTTGGTTGACAATGGGTCTTTGAAATAGCTAAGAATGTATGATTTCAGGCATGCAGTCTCAAATTTTCATAATAAATTTGTCTGCAAAAGAAACAAAGTTGCCAGTCTGGCCCACGACCCCACGAAATCAAATATTAAAGTTTCATATACGGCTTTTCTGTACTTTTTCATGCATTGCTATTCATGTTTTTCAATTAACCAGAGGATATAATCATTAACCTTGTTGCCGATGGTGTTAACGACGATATCACTGACATTGAAGTGTTTTGCTCCACTTCTGGTTATGGCCGCTTTACTATTATTGTACCGACGAGAAGGTGTGACAAGGAGAAAAATGATGGAGGAACATTACTGCATCAGCCTTTTGTGAGCCCACACTTTCTAATAATAAGCCCCCGCGTGTCTAAGAACTCGGGGACAGTGCTACTTTCAAATATATATTACATAGCCATGTTCAAAAGTGCATTCTAAAGATAGAAAGTCTCTGATGGTAGAAAGCATCAAATAACGTACCCCCTTTCTTCATACGCTGACTCTGCTTTTTCACCTTGTCTTTACTAGTTTTGATTTTGATATCATTTGGCTTTTTCGCCGTTAGCTTTCGAAGACCTTGAGGCATCTTTCACCGTGCTTTCACCTGATTCCTTCTTCGACTTCGACAAGTCAAACTTAGGCCTTGGCCTCGTAGCTATATTTCTCTTGAAAACGAGGCTCAATAATCGTTTAATTGCGAATAAAAAATATTTCATAAATATTTTTAGGTACTTCTTGAACATACGTAATTGCAAAGATAATTCAGGACCACCATTTTTTCTAATAAAGGGGTAGAATCGTCTTGCTTACGACCATTCCTTCAAGTAGAGTTACTGTTCATTCATTAAGCGTTGTTATCAGTAGTAAATAAGGAACACCGCAACGCGACGAGAATAAACAACAACAAACACACAAATGAGTATGACTTTGAAATAAGTTGTTATCAGTGTCTTTTTTTCATAAAATACTGTATTTCATGAAATAAGAAAGTGCTAAACACTCTCTTATTGCTAAACTCTTGTTGCTAAACAGATAAAGACGTCAAAATTGATTCTTAAAAGCTGCAGGATAGTTGCAACTCTAGATTTTCCTTGGCAGTGAGTTCCAAGCCTTGGTTCCAAGTCATTTGGGAGTATTTTGTTAGAAATTCTGTGTACCCTAATGTTGTGGCGGTTCCTTTTATGGTACACATCAGGATGATATTCGTTTATAGAATTCGGGTGACCGTAAAAGTTCTCAAGAAAACTTCCTAAGGTAAAAAAGTTTGGAGTTTGTGTTTTTTAAATTCTCCAATATGCAATGAAAATTGTGTTGTTGAAGACAAACAAGAGGTACATAAATCTAAAATAAAATTTAGCATGCTATCAGCAACTTTTTGCGGATAAACTCTTTGTGATAGTCTATGCAAAAATTTCCTGGGAGGAAGAGAAAAATATAATTATTTTCCCTAAACTGTCACTGGTAAAAATACCCGTAAATGTTTTGTTAAAATTTACATTCAGAAAAAATCAGAGCCAAGTTGTTGGGAATTCTGTACATAAGTACACAGGTATTGTATTAGATTATTTGGCGTATAGAAAGCCAATTCAGTTCAGTTAATATTAGTTTGCTTCTTGCTCCTTTATGTTGCAAGAGAGTGTACTTTTTTGAGCTTCAGCAAAGCATCAGATTGCGTCACGTCAGCTAAGATCGCGTACAAGATAACATATTGTCTCCAGACCATCACCTCATCTTTGATACCGACTGCAATTTAACAAATACTTAACAAAGATAACATCAACTCAAAAGACCATATTTTTGATAGATTACTGTACATAATTGGCAATTTTTAAAATTGAAAATAAAATCATTACAGTATATGTGAAACCAGTATAATATGCACCTTAAAAAAACTGCAACGGAGTAGCGTCTATTTAAAAAACAGTAGCGACTATTGTCACGTTACTTGCTACAGTATCGCTGTTGTCTATTCTAAGGGGCATGGCTAGAGGAGAGAAACCAGCATAGAGTACAGGCAGGGGATCAAAACATCAGTTAAATTACAAAGCATTACCACAATCAAAAGCGTTGAAAGGGCAGAAAGTGAGTGGATGATTCCCTCTCCCCTTGCAATACTGGTATCCTTGTAAAAAAAAGGAAGGGCCACAGCACAGTAGCAGGCTGCTCGACGGACTCCGATAGAAATCTTGCAGGTGAAAAATCAATTTAAAATGTAGTATATAAGGAGCACCTCAACGCGCCAAGAATAAACAACAACAAACACTCGTAAATCAGTTTTGGCTAATATTTCGTCCCGGCACACGGGGCTTCATCAGAGCAAAATTCAATTGCATACTGGTATACGTGGCTGGAAGAGGTACCAAATAGGCTTGGACTACCTTTAAATTCTTCGACCTTTTGAATCATCACTAACATTGGATCCTTATAGATAACAGGAGCCTTCTATAGGGTAGGATACCATAAGCCACAAGGTTTCACATTTTTAACCTGAAACATTATTTGCCTCCTCATAATAGGAAAGAAATATTACTCTGAGATATGGAGCAAAATGACAGTCTATAAGCTCAAACACGTTCATTTTGATACTGAAACAAAAGATTGCATGACTCGGCTTCAAAAACCACGCGGTACTCGATTTCCTGTTTGTTTGTGACTGTAATAGGATCTTTCAGTAGAACAACTCCTTGCTTAGAGTACTTCACCCATCGCCCTTTTTGGACCTAAAATAACATGAAAAATTAACATCAACAGCAGTAGCTGCACAGTCATAAATACTGTTTGGAAAATTCATGCTATATATTAAAATAGATGAAGTGTTGGTCTTTACAGGCCTGGCAATTTGGTGAATTTTGGAGTATATGAGCATTGTGGCATCAATACAACGACACTACCCTCTGCACATTCTTATATTCACAACACTACAAGCAACTTTGGTGGCTGCAACGGCTAGGCAAAAAAATTGCAAGTCAGCCTTAATCATGGTGGTAAGATTTGCCAAAGTGAAGCACTTCACAGAAGACCAGCACTCACCTCGTAACCAGTGCTCCAGTGTAGATCTTCGTCTAACCAAAAATCTACCCACGCTACAAGGGCATGCAGCACTCCATTTCTAGAAAACGAAAAACAAGATTGGTAATAATTGCCGAGAAAGAACTATTAGAAAATGTCTATAAGCCTGCCTGGGCTTCGAATATAATGATATGCTGCCCTAGGGATGGTGACAGGATGCAATCTTATCTCCTGCCCTCAAACAAAAGGAATACTAAAAAATAATTGATATAAGTGGCGTTTGTTACATTTCTAAATAGGTAACTAAATATTTTGGAGCTTCTTGTTGCTACTGGACACAACATGCAATTGAGACCTTGGGGGGTTGGGTACATGTCATTTACTATGCATATTGAATAGGATCTCAAGTCTTTTTAGACGATCAGGGCATTTAACCACTTATTATCTTACAGGAAAAACTTCGTTTACATACAAAATCTGGCTTGAAGTACATTGTAAACCTTGATTTGACTTTGATAACTATCACCGTCATTTATATTGCTCTAGCAATTATTCAGCTGCTGGACACGATTTTTTTCAATAAATTATTTATTCCTCACCCAAACCACTCCAATACTAGCCTTACGAAAACTCACATTTTACGTGAAATTATTCAAATTTGGCTTATCTTTACCAAGGCCTTTTGGCTTTCCGTTAAGCAGATGTACAAATAATCACAAATATCATATAAGCCAAAAAAACCCATTAAGTGGCGTTCTTTGAGTTTTTAAACAGCAAATATAAATTAAAGACAAACACGAATAAAAAAATCGACGATAAATTAATTACAAATATGTTATTTTGCAAGTGATGTTTAACATGGTACTAGTGGTGAGATTAACGCGTATTTTTGGGTAACCAAAGTACCGTCTCGATGAGTTAGCGATTTCCTCAGACTCAACATGTTCAAGAGAATTGCTGAATAAAAATAAATATTGAAATCTTTACGCGAATTTTTACGCGATTCTTAAACAATATAGCTTAGTTTTTAGAAGTGTTCAAGAATAGCATTGTCAATGATTTTATTGAATTTATTTATTGCATATAGTTGGATTGTAAGTTCCTGAATGGTCACTTTTGCTTGGTGTGCATGAATTGATTGTCAAAGATTCTAAAGATTATCAAAGATTGCCTCAAATCTCGCCGGATAAGTGATTGAGGTGGTTGGGGAAATTTATTTCTCCGTAGAAATGCTTTGAATACTGGGAACTCGAACACATTATCTATCTGGAGTTTCAGCTAATCGGTTTTGGCAATGAATGCATTTTACCAAGCAAGTTACTTTTTATCTGAGCTTATCGCATTAACTGGAATCATCTTGAATGCGTCTCAAATCGTAAAAACACTACAGACTAAAGGGAAGAAATCGGCTTTTGAGCTCACTATCCTTAGCCTATCAACTGCAGATTTTTTGAGTTCAATCTTTACTGTCTCTCATATTGTTTATTGGCATTTGAAGGACAACTATTTGGCATCACACAATCCTAGTTTAGATTTTGTATCTCAAATTGGTCTGCAATTTGGGATTCTTTCATCGATATTACACTTAGTGTTTATCGCAACGCAGCGCACCTTTGCTGCCGTTTCGCCTCTAAAATTTCGCCTGCATTTCACGATTAGTTTTTGCAACGGCTGCTTGGTCGTAATTTGGGCCCTTTCTTTCGGGTTAAGTGCTGTTAATGTTTTTGCAATCACGAAGGCAGATATTATCAGCTATTTCTGCGTTATTTCAGAGGCGTCTCTACTCGTTACATACACTATAACTTGCTATATTATCAAGAGGCAAAGCAGAATGGCCAGAGTATTGTCAAGCTGGAGCCACACAAGAAAATCAACGGTACGAGCTGCATTTCTTCATTCAATATCTGTTACTTTTGCCTTCATTTTGTGCACGTTACCCGCCTCTCTCTTCCATATCAACGTCCTTAGAAGAGTGAGTTCCGACTATTTGTACGAATGGGCTCGTTGGATGTTCTACATGAACCCTACCCTTGACTCAGTCCTTTATTTTTATTTCAAGACAAAGCAAATAACAACACCTCAGTCACGTACAGTTTTGCCCGTCAAGGCTTTTCAAGCTCCTGCAATTTAGAGAGTGCCAGGGGACAAGCATCGAAGGAGAACTGTTTGACCAATAATTAGTCGAGACAGGCACACTGGAAACCTGCAATGGAGCAGCAAACATCATCTGCACACTGATTCGATGAATTTGTAATCTGTCATGTGTGCTTCATGTTATTACCTAAATTATATTTGCAAAGTTCAAGCAGCATTGTCCACTCTGATACGCTCTGATTCAGATGCTTAAACACTTTCAAAGAACATGTTTCAAACAAGTACACAAGTTTGAAACTTGCAAAAAGAAAATCGGCATACACCCTACTATTATTAAAGTTTCGATTCAATAAATAAATAAAAAAATATTTTCACAAAGGTTGACGACCTAAGTTGCAAAATGCATAATCCATTGTTTGCGAAAAAGGGAAACTCCCTCTCTTACACAATTCACCATTGGCTGGAAAACCTTGCAGATTGAAGGAAACGACAAACCGTACCAAGATCAATCGTCATATCCTAGGCCTACAACAGAAAAACAGCCTACCGAACGATTTTTGTTTTCCCATTGAATTCCAGATTGCGTCGAGGAATCGGATTCGAAAAATCGAAAGTTCCTGCATCGTGGATCTCTGACAAAACTGCATGGTCATATTCCCAAATGGCATATGGTTCGGCTTCGTAAAGAGCTCCAAACTCGTCGGAATGGTCGGGTTGTAATGCATCCTAAAAATAAATGATTGTTTTTTTTGGGAAAATTGGTATTTTTCGAACAATTGCTTATTTTATTTGATAGTTAACGAGTATTTAAACTGGATACTTCAGACTACAACTGTAATAAATGTCTGTCAAGTAAGGTAAAATGAAAACCAGAGAGAAAATTAAGGGCACTAAAACGAAAGAGGTGTGTGAGAATATCAAGAAAGGGACAGCTTTATAAGGGAAGAGGATTAAAATCGCAAGAAGTAAATTACTTTTAACACTTACCATAAAAAAATTGATTTAAAATGGAATTCATCTTACACTAAAGGGGCGAAACCGCCGTAAAAGGTTGGTCAAAGACCAAATAATTTCATCACTTTTTGGGTAGAGTTTGTTAAAAAAGTTAATTTTACTGCATGCATATCTCATCGAAAGCCATCTTAAGGTGCGGATAAAAAATTATACTTCAAAAATTGATAATTCTAGCATTTTTTCTTTAAATACTTTATCCTCCAATTTTATTTCAAAAACTAAATTGATATCGTTCGTGACTGATTACAAAAAGAAAAACTACTGGAGTCTCGTTTGAAAGACTTATACTTTAAGGAAGCAACAAGAAAATTTGAATTTGTTATTTCGACAAACCTTTATTATCCGATCGAATGCATCTAGCTTGAACCCTTCTATTGATCCTACTGGTTTTCGGACTTTCCATAAGTCTTTGAACTCCACTAGAGCAATAAAACATAATATGATGAAGTCTCGACTGGATAAATGGTGCAAGAATAAAAGGCAATTGTGAGTACAATAAATGATTTTTATGTAGGGGAAGTGCCTATTAAAAAAGGCATCTGTCCTAGCCAGGAACATGATAATGAAGTGTGGCCACTGGCCAGTTTCTTTCCCCAGTGCCTTTAGCCTATCCGAAGGTCGAGCCTTGATATGAACCTGGGGGCTGTGTGGTGACTATTGGCTAATACAAGATAAATGCCTTTAGTCATATTGTCATTATAAAATCATACCATACTCAAATCATAACATCAATAGTATCACTGTCATTGAAACCTTTCATTGTCTTCGTATACACAGTAGCGTAATCAGTCACTCATTCCCAATGTCCCTTTGTCTTATGAGTATACGCCCAATGTTATGATTCAGTCAGTAAACACAGTAAGACGCAAAGGTCAGGCCACGCAGTTAACGTCTCTTAATTACACGTTAAATTAGTGTTTTCTGCACGTTAAAGAAGAGCATAAAAATGACTATCCTTGCAAAACAACATCAAGTTAAATCAGCATCACCAAGGCAAGCGTTACTCACACTTCAGCACTGCAGCTAAGAACCCTAACAGTTTTTGTTCTGTATTACATCAAACAGTTTATGCAAACGATGGAATCAGTTAACAAAACTAACAGAACTGGATGAATATTTGATATTCATGCCCAACTGAGGCGCAAAATATTTGAAAAAAAGAGTTTCATCAATTGCTGTCCCGAGTATTTAAAAATGGGAAAACATGAGCGTCTTATAAAGACTAGGTCCTAAAAAGAAAAACATGATGATTATGATGAGCCATCACGCCATGTAGCCGTTTACTTGCAAAGTAGAAAAATAAAAAAGACCAAGAATGATTTACTAAGTAAGTCACAAATCGATACGAAGCAAATTTTGACAATGTAACCTAGAAAAACTTAAATGAAGATACCTGCTGCTAATTTCAAAATCCCCTTTTGAGGTATTACTGTTGGTTGGCGCCCCAGTGTGTTTTGAAAAATCTTGGTTAAATAATACCAGAACGTTAAATGCTCCCATGGAAAAAGACTTGTCGAGAAAAATGGTTCCACCAAAACTGCATCAAACTAGAAAAGAAAGCAAGATGTAAAAATTTAATAGAAACAGAAAAGCAAAGGTTTTGAAAGTTTTTAACTTAAAAAGAAGAGAGGGACGTTTGTAGCAAGTTGAAAACAAATGTGAATATTCGAGCGTTCAAATAGAGGAAGGCATAAACCAGTGTTATAAATAACGGCATTATCTGACACCTGGCTAAAAAGTTGTGTTTCTATTTGAGAACCTATCAAATGGGGAAAAATTTACTGCTAGATGAAAATATTGAATCAAATTGCTCGGCAAAAATTGGTAACAAAGTATTTTCAAGAAATGTTTCCTTGGTTTGCGTTTTAAACTTAAGTAATTAACATTTCTTGGGCTATCTATCCCTTGCTAAAATTGCGCAAGATATAATCTATTTCACCTAATATTTTCCGTAAAAATATTAAATGAGAATTCTCTTCCAACACTGAAAATGTTCTGGGAACCCAGTACGCAGGCTCCGACACTTTTTGCATCTCTGTCCTGAAGTATAGCCCAAAAACAAGGAAAATTTTGACTTTAACATGTTGCTAAAGTCATTGCAATCTTAGCTTTCTTTCTGCTACATATTCCATGTGAGCAATATCTTTTGATAGGAGTTTTATAAGATACAACAATATAGAATCCTGAATTGAGAAGGCCTTTTACAAATTGATTTGCCGCTGACATGAATCAAGCAATAAAATTGCAATCTATCATAATTATCCATATTTATCATATATATCATATTTATCATATATATCATATTTATCAAATTTATCATATTTATCATATTTATCAAATTTATCATATCTATCATATTTATCAAATTTATCATAATTATCATATTTATCATATTTATCATAGCATGTTGCTTGCACGCTATAGAGTAAATTTTTTTCTTCCAAAATTCTGCAAAAACACAACTTACAATGTAAAACACAAACAGATACATTCCTTGAAATGTCAACTGCCTTAATAATGGTTAAAAGACAATTCTCAACAAACATCCTCTATCAAAGTTCAGAACTTGAACAGATGTGTTGCATAACAACTGATTTTGACATATTTTCGTTGAGTAGCAAATCAAAGGTCGCCATCAGGAATATTTTACATGCCATGTGCATAATGATCGATACCTCGGTTGATTTCGAAAGATTGGTAAAATCATCGTCGTTTAAATTTCTTTTGTTTGATATTTTGATTTTGTCTTGCAGCCCGTTGAGTGTGGATAACTACAAGCAACAAATAATATTAATAGTATCATTGAATATTGGTAAATATCAGACAAAGCATAGCCGCTTAACTATAGGAAGAAAGGATATTAGGACTATTAAGGTAAAAATTATTATAAAGTTTAACTTTAAACTGCAAAGAGGTTTTCCTTCTAGCAAGCAGCAAGTCATAGATGGGCACCAACTATGATAATCGATTATCGACAGAAATATTTGTAAACCAAGTAAAACTGCAAGCAAGTTAAACAAAAAATACCTAAATTTGTTCATGTATTCATTTAACGTCAAAACATAAAAATTGGCCACTTATGGCTCTAAACTAAAGTTTCCTGATAGACCCTGTATTTCTGTAATGCATTTTCCATTAATTTGACACCACTTGAAAACATTCTTCGGTAATTACATTCCTATTTCAAAAATTAACAATCATCTGGAGGAGGTGTTGGCAAATTTTTGCACATTACCTTTGCTATCAGATTCCCTGACATCTGTGAAAATTCAATGTATGTTACCTAAAAGAATCAATTTTCTTAAACATGCAACGTCTTTATCATAAAAGACAATGTATAGCAAAGACTTATAAAGGGTAATATGATAAAACCCTAGATTAAGACAAGGATATTGGACGATTGAAGATATTACGACAAAAAAACTATGATATTTCTTTCTTGAGTAGGATTGCCTTTAACCTATTTGATAAACGTTACCATGAAAAAATCGAATGTGAGCATGCTCATCGGGTTCATCACAACATGTCTCAGTTTCAATCGCACAAAAGAAAAGCAACTTCGTAAAAGGCGAGGATATAACCAAAAAAACAGTGCCTCTAAATTGATACCTGATTTGCGAATTTTGCAGCAAATAAAGGAAGAAGTGATACATCACCAAGAACCAGCACATTTGTTAACTGTTTTTGCTAAAAATTAAGAAAAGGTCAAAGACAAATTTATTCGGTTTTGTAATAAATCTGAGAAACCTGGAGGCAGACATGACAAATCCATAGATAAATTTTGTAATATATAGCTTTCAGCAAAAAAAGAAAATCTATCTGTTTGAAAAGGTTATCTGAGAGAAAATTCAGAACATTATAGCATCAACCTTGCTAACCGTAACCACTTATAATGTGTCTGACAATGTGTACTAATATGTCGATCATAGATTAAAGCATGCTTTATCTATGTTTCTCTCATTTTCACAAGGCCTAGAAGTCTTTTTGCCTTGTAGTAATTCTTTGATTGATTTCTCTAGCTACAAGCTAAGCAACTTTTCTCTCTGCACCGGTCTCTGCATAACACTGTCATAATTCGCACGCCTTTCACGCGTTCTCTGATACAGAAAATAGGTTACACTAAATAATTACAAGCATTTTTGCTCAGTATTGTTGCCTGTATAGAAGTGGCGAAAAATTACCTTACTTAAGGCATTGGAGTAAACATTCCAAAAGTCTCTGTTATTAGACATGGAGAACCTTTCTCTGCTCCAAACAGTGTGCAATCCACAAGTGCAAACTGGGCGATCTACACCAGCAGACAGTTTTTTACTGGCAAGACAAATTAAGAATATATAAATAATTTGGGTAATCATAAGTATCATACTTTATTGAGAATAAAAAAGAAACATTTTCTTAATTGAGTTTCACCTCACAATTTGAGGATGCTTCAATTAGTCAAAATCATTGTCTAGATTCGATTTAAGAACAAAACTATTCAATTCAATAAAAATCACCCTTCAGCATTTAATACATATTTCTCCTAATTACAATTCCTTATTAATCCTCAAAATGAGCAGTAAAGAGGGATATATATAATTAAGTTACAACACGTTATTCCCGTATTTTTTGCGCTTCTCTTATCTTACTTTGCGCAACTTGAGAAAGAAAAATTTCAAATAACAACATTCCATTGAACAATAAAAGGGGGAGTGTAAAAGCCGCACACGTGATGCTAGCGTTCACATTAAGCTTGAAACTGGCAGTGGTATCTTAGAGCCGCCCTGTTATACATATCAAGATGTATATACCAATTAAAGAAATAATGAATGAATAAGGCAATCAGATGATAAAGCTGGTGAGACGGAGCTAATGGCAAGAGATTGATACCTTGGATTATGACCCACCTTAATAATGATCCTTCGCAAGGGTTCTCGCGTGTCATGTCAAACCAAAAACAATAGTCGTCACGGTGAAGAGTCAGGGCAAATTTCTGGCCTAAAACACGAACATAAAACGCAAAAACTTATCAAAAATGGATTTTAACAGACAGAAGGAGAGCTGAATATGATATCAGTACAACAAATTCGTATTTTAGATAATACTCATTGATGCATTGTCAAAAGTAAAAGGATCTGTACGCCCTACATTAAAATCTCTAAGAGCATTCCGAAAAACGATTAGACAAAAGTTGCTTAACCATGTATTAAGGACATAAAGCCAAACAAATTCATAGATTTACAAATTATAATTCATATATCATTCATAGTTTTTGGCCTTGAGGCAAGGCAGAGCCAAAATATCGCAAAATTTTATCCTTAGCTAAACTCAAATAAGATTAAAAAAATTAAAATACCTTTAACGACATAGAGCTCTTCTCTTAGATAATAAATAGCTTGCATCCAATGATCTCGCCACTAAAATTTAAACAAAAATAAAATGGTGCCTTATCAATTTCCGGCTTTAAAACTTTGACAGAAACTGAATACAGCAAAGACAATGACAAAAAATATATGTCAATAGACAGCATAACCAACTAGGATAGATATTTTTCTCTTAATGATGAAATTGATAAAAAAATTTCTTTTGTTTGCTTAGCATTCCGTTACTTTGCATAGCAATATGCAGACATCCTATGGCCTAAATTTCGACAATTTTCGCTAACTTTTTACTCTAAAACCCAAAAATAAGAAGCTTCCCGAATTAACGATTACAAACAGGTACGGCCTTGGGGTTAACACCCGTTTCAAGAGGGCGTAATAATTTTTGTTGACTGTCTTTTTCAGTACACAAGCCCCCCCCCCCCATACCCTCCTCAAAAAAGATATAAAAATTCTTTGTTTACAATGGACAATCCTTTTTGTCTTATTGTTGGCAAAAAACCCAACAGTACCTTCCCAGTAATTCTATCCTTCCTGCGGTACTCTTTTTCTTGGAGGAGCCTTGAAATTGAAGATATTGAAGATAATCAACAATTCATATTTTGAAGTAAATAAAAAGAATAAAAGACGTAAAATCTCACAATAACTTTATCAGGGCAGAGTGAAGAGCATTTTGGAGCCATACTTAATGTAAATTCTTCATCTTCATCAAGAGACAGATCCCACCATAAAATGATGCAGTGTACGCAGCCAGATTCAGTTGCTTCGATTTCCAACTGGTAGATCGTCTGTTCCAATTGAGTGGCAAAGGCATTTGGTTTTGCATTGAAGTCGAACCTGGTGATACAAATATTTAGGCTACCAGAAAAGAAATAAACAAATTACCAAGTTCATATAGTTTGATGGTAAATTGACAAATTATGACACGTATACTCATTCTTTCGTAATCATAATCCTGCATTGTGCAATGCTGAAATCTTTCAACACCAAAACTCTTTCTTACATAAATAAATATCCGTATTGCTCTTATTACTGCAAAATAGACTGCTTGGAGGTGATATTCCTTGCCGATTGTTTGTGAACATGATTCCAGGTCTTCGTTGGTTCTAGATACACTCAGAAGATGATCACTATCTTTTTTTCAGTGGCTTAGCTTGTAACAAATGATGTGCAACAGTTACTTCTCTATAGAAAGAGCAAGGCGTCTTAGTAGATGATTCAGTAGAAAGCTATAAATTATACTTTCAAGAGTAAATTTATTCAAAAATGTCAATCTTTTAGTTTATCTGATACCGCATACACAAACACCGCTGTCCCTTAATGTTCATATAAAGCGTGAAGCTTCTAGAAGTAACTTAGTAGGCAACCTTCAGTCTTAAAGATAATGGTGTACGCATTAAATAAAGTCAGATGAGTCCGGGTGTGACTAAACAATACAATTCTTGAACGAACTAACTTACATCCCAAGTAAACATGATAAAGCATTAATAAACCTCTTTATCTCGACCTTGCAAGGAATTTCAAATAAATTTGAATCAAGGAAATATGACACATCGAGCTACTACTAATACTACAATTTCTAAAACTGTTGACCTTGTTATTACTTCTGACTTTGATCCAGGAAATATCCTTAACTCTAAGTTTGCAAAACAAACACTGCTTGCTGAACAGCGTTGAAAATCAGATGATAACCAGATTATGAAGAAGTACGGTACAGTAGGGTAATTCAATTATGCATTCTGTTGTCAAAGATATCATTTCGACAAGCCTCTAGTGATTTTTAGAAAGCAAAACACAAATTACCTGACAGCTTCAATGCAGTTTGACATCACCCTAAGATCGTCAACTTGGTCAACGTGGAGTTCATCTGTTGCAGCTGTTCCTTGGCATTCATTAAGAGCTGCCATCGTTTTCAGAGATTTGAGATCAGAAAACTGAGCGAAAGCAAACATATAGAATCAATTTCGTCAAGTAAAGCAGGGAGGATATTGTTATTGGGGGGTACCTTCATCTGAGAACAGAAGGGAACAGAAAAGATGGTATATTCAAAACGCAGGATTTTGGAGGACCATGCTCCCTCAAGGGCGAGGGTAGCTGACAATACCCCTGTTAATACGAGTTTTTTTCTAGACAGGGGTATCGACAACAATGGTAGGAGAAATTAACACTTTCTTGCTCATTCCTTGCCCAGAATTCAAAGCGGACTGAAATTTAGTGACCGTAAGATAATACTAATGATCTCCAAGGATTATGTACTAGAGCGAATGGCTAAGGACAATTAACCCCCTCTCTATATCCAGTGACGTGGCCAGGATGATTAGACTGGGGGGCAAAGGCGAGTTGAGCAAAGGGAGAATTGGGGGTTCACACCCTTTTAAACGCTAGAAAACGCCCTTTTTCAAATATATTTTTTGCCATTGGGAGGGCGTCGTATTTGGCCTGAATCACTATGTGTAAAAAAACCTTTTTCAGGCAACAAAACCTCATTACAGCTCTTTTCGTTAACATAAGCATTTCACAGAAACTTCATATTTGAAGAATGAGAAAGATAGTTTAATTGCCAAGTCCGAAAATAAAAACTTACCAATCAAAGTTCCTCATTTTACTGTTACTCCCTTCTTAATAAGTATTTTTCACTGCCTTAAATCAATTTTATTGTTTCAACATTACCTCAACATTCCCAAGCTTATGTCTCTTCCATAGATTCTGGCTCTCGGCAGCTTGAATAAATACCTTCGCCGTTGCAGGCACGACTTTGCAGTCTTCCTACAAATGCAAAGGACGAATACAATTAAAGACTGGTTTCAAAGTAATCTTAACTATTTCTTGCCATTTTAACAATACAGTCTTCTTAAATTTATACAATACAGTCATTTATGAACTTTTTCAGTACAGTTATTCAATACAGTTACTTATGGTCTTTTTCAGTTTAGGTTTCAGTAACGGACCATGACCCCGCGGTGAGGGTTCAAATTTTTGGGGATAAGAGATTCAATGGAAATTGCCCTCAACACTTTCTTACAAAGAGAAGTTCATACACACTAGATTTATAAATTTAACACAAGTTCTTCTGTCCCATTTGCTGAATCCTCTCGCTGATTTTCAAACCGATGATTGTACTTCACCACTTAGCTTTTGCCTATTGTAGATATTTAACAACGTCAGCACAGAGACGACCATTAAATATCGCAGCACAGTGACGAGTATCACACACGTTTACAAATCATGCAGTCTTATTTGTTGGTGCCTTTTATTCAGTATTTTTTAACTTTTAACGCAAGAAGGTCCAAGTATTTCAATTATGTGTTTACATATAAACCTGTCAAGGACAAATACCCGGTGCAAATATCCGACTCATCAACCAAGCCACAAAGTCTTCCAAAAGTGAAAGGTCTATCAGCTTTAAACCAATTCCTTTGAACCAATACAATTTCTTTTTAAAATCCAATTTTATCTTTGTTTTGCTAATTGAAATTCAATTTATGCAGTGGAAAATAAATCAAAAACGTGTTTTATTGACTTGAACATACTCATAAACAGCCAAAAAATGGATATAATATAACTTTCTTTGGTTGTGTAAAATGCAGTTTTCAAAATGGCTCATAATACACTAAAGTAGATTGCATGTTCTACAAAGAAAGCTGATTTGAAATAAACTGTACTACTGAATTGAATTGAATCGACAAATTAAATTACAAACAACGGAGATCTCCCAACAAACGACACCACCAAACAACCACCCAGTACAAAGGGGAAATGCATTTACCAAAAATAACAGATAAGGCTTTAAACAACTCCAAAGCAAATTAAAACAGCTTCTCGGCAATAAATAATAGCGTTTTGTTCAACTTAAAAAGGGTCGTCGATACAATGGATTCTGACAGAAATATGTAAAAGTTAGCTCTTTAGGTCTTTAGATGTTAGTTTAGGTCCTCTCAAACGGTTCAAAAACTACATAACGATGAGAGAACAATAGATGACAAAGATTGCGTCGAAAGATATTTAGAGTGGTATATCACAGGGATCGTATCTAGGGCAAATGCTATTCACACTTTACGTACATGACATTCAGAGTTTTCCTGTAACGTATATGTAGACGTCACTAGTATGACACATTCGAAAGAAGAGTCACTCTCAAATGATTTGAGAACTGAACATACAAACATTTCAGATTGAATGCGGCAAAACCCGCTACACTAACATTCAACCTAAAAAACGATCCCTAGGTAGAGTAGCGTTTTATTTATCATTTAACTAGCATTACTGTGTACTTTTTTTCTTCTTAGTATGCTTTACAGAATATGTTTTGAAATATTATAGCTAATTGGGTTTTGCGGGTAAACTGATCTAAATTAATAGGAAATAGAATAAAAAGAGCAAGATGATTTTAGTTAGGGCAACAGAAACACCGCTATTTTATTGGGCTCTTCAGCTGGCTTTGAGCTCTCATATAGGCCAAAACCAATACTCGTCCAAATTTCAATTGGCTGATATTGACTTACATATGAAAATGATCTTTATTTACTGCCATCCAATTCATCATCCTCTAATGAATGTTGACTTGAAATAAACTCTGAAGCACCCAAAGAAAGATTTGAAACTGAAAATGAAATAAGTTTGAAACTTGCCGTCAAAAGATGCTCCTTTGCATGCTTTAAAGTAGGGAGCACTCCTTCACCAATCAATTCGCTGTCAAAGATTTCAGTGACAAGAATATTCGCTCTCTCCATCAGATCTTTTTCTGGGGAAACAAAAGTTTTTCTGGACAATGTGCCTCTGGAAAAAACTATCAATCAATGGGTAAAAATGAGGCAGATGCTGGAAATTTCGGAGGTTAATTCAAATATTAATATTAATTAACAGAATTAACTTACCTTTTCCAACAAGCATTTCTGTTGATCTTTTATCAACTATTTTGATTTTGCTCTGAAGTTCATTTCTCTCCACAACATTGTTGGCTATTTTTGCCATTGGCCTAAAAACCTAATAAAAATTAAAGAAAAAATACAAAGCATAAGACCAGTGTTTCTTGTGTCAATCTTGAAAACAAATCAATTTTATCTCAGGACTAAATTTATCATTCTTATCAGTCCCACAGACAACGTATAGGGCTATAGGGTTGACATGTGACATGTGAGATGACCCCTGATGGAGTTTGCTAAAAGTTTGACAAAAACAGACATCGTTAGCTGGGGCATCAAAAATGAAATTTCTTACAATTATTTAAAGTACAGTTAAAATTAGGCTTGCTTAAACCAAAGCACCAAGTCTTATCCTTCCTTTACTGGACCATGTCTACATTGAACATAAAACAATCTGCCCAGTTATTATCTGTATATTAACCTGCTTTCTTAATAGCTCATCAGCTCTGCTTAAGAAAAATCTTAAGTCCCTCCACCCATTATGGTTCAAAGAGCTGCCAACAAGGACAGACAACAAACAGTACTTCACTTTCTCAAATAGCAGAGTTTTATGGCCCTCCTTGTGTAATATGGGGCAAGAAATACCACAGCACAAAAACAGTGGAGCTTGGTGATGTTCTTATCTCTTCAATTTTTTGTTCTTTCCTTCCTCAACATGAAATTTAAAAGCTTTTCAATACATTAAAGCCAAATCAAAAGGAAGCACATCAACTTGATTCTAGTCTGAAATATTAAAATGTCTTTCTAAGTTCAGTTTTATGCTATAGATTGATTGAGGTTGGAAAGCAATAAATTTTGAAAGCATTATTCATACTTCACAAGCTGTAACAGACTGAGCTCCACATGAGGCAGCCATCATTGCTAAAATACCACTGCCAGTTCCAATGTCAAGGACATGGGAAGCATGTCCAGCCTCTTTGATTTTATGAATTGTTTTTTTTATGGCTTCGTGGTACTTTTTATTCTATAAAAGAGGCAATTTTTATGATTTTTCAACTTTGGTAATAACAAGGCAATGAATAATAAATGTTCTTTCTTAAGCAACAGAACTTTGATAGGGAAGTAGAAAAAAAGTTAAATGATTGACCTTATTTATTTCTTATTTATTACACATCTACAAGTAGCCATCATATTACAATGAGTAATTAGGTGCCTTTATTCTAATGCTTGCTTTAAGATATAAAGTAAGCCACCCTTTTGATTTGTCATTTAGCAACAGAAAGGGGAAATAGATCACAACAGTGACAATGACAAACTCACTCTTTCAACGTCATGAAGCATTCCAGCATAAGTGGACCTGAAAACAAAAGTGCTAATTGATGTAATATGAACTTCTTAGGCGTGATGAAATGCCTTTGAGCCTGAAAGAAAACTGCCATGTCCTGTTTGTAAAATTCAGAATGCCCTCATCCATCTAGACAAAAATTTAAAGTTCTACTCACCTTTTTGGATATAACCTAATGTTACATATAAGTGAAAGATTGCTAGATTAAAAGAAAAACTTAAGAATGATCTTATTGCATTGCTAAAAATTATTTCTTGTATAAAAACCAAATATGATCCCAGAAATATTTGAATAAAGATCATATTAACAGATCAAATATTCATAATTTTGTATCTTTAACAGCACAAAAGCCAAAATCATATTTTCCAAAATTCACCTTGCAAGTTCATGTTTAGCATCATCATCTTCTGTTTCTTTGAATAGCCATTCTGCAGTGCCAGTTACTGGGTTATCTTTCAACACAAACATCTTTAAACCAATGTACAGCCAGTCAAACTTAAAAGTATGGGAAAATACATTTTCTAAAATATGTACAAAAAACATGTTAAAAGATTGCAGAGTATGCATCAAAAGGTGAAAACTTATAAAGAAATGTTGCACCTTTTAGAGAAGGCCGTCTTGCCGAGTACCTACAGATAGGTGATTTGTTGAAACAGGAACTTGTTGATAGCCTATGGTGATAGGATGGCTGAGAGGATAGCATAGTGGTTAGGGTTGCTGCAGATCCAAGGGTCTATGGTTCAAGTCCCTGACATGACCAAACTTTCAATCAGAGTGAGGAGAGCCACCAGCTCTCTGTATTTCCCGGCATAGGAATCAAGATGTGGTCACATCGAGAGAAAGGAACAGGACACTGCTTGATAAGCACAGCTTCTCGGTGTCTTAAAAACTACCTTAAGATGCTAGGTGGCGAATACAAAAAATACAAAAAATCTACCTAGCCTCTAGAGGCAGCATCCAACTGCTTAACACTTGCTTAACAAGAGTTTTCCACTGAATTCTTCTCAAAACTGACAGAATGGCACTTTGTAGAGTTAGGTCACATATTCTAAAGTTTTTTTCTTCTGGAAAATAACATTATATATAGCACTGAAATTTTAAGGGCTACACCAAAAAACCCTTCCATTCTGCAGTGGCTGCCAGCAACCCTTGCTAAACTAACAAATTCATCATCAACAATTTTAGAGGCCACTGAAATTTCAGTTCTTGTACATACTAAGTACATATCAAGTGACAACAATGTCAACCTGATGATGTTTTATTTGTACAGCTAACTTTGCAACCTTACCAAGGATAAGTGTCTCAGGTTTCATGTCTTCAGAGGGTTTGGTTTGACCTTGTGATCTAACAACATGGCAAAGATGATCTAAAAAATGCTACAGGATTACCAAACTTAGGTTTAAAGGCTTCGAATTAGATCTACATATATAGCTAACTAAAAAAATAAAAGTGGTTAGAAAAGTAAAATGATATGGGAAAATGATAAGTCAAATCAGGAAAAACAAAAATTTGCAGTTTTGAAAACTCCTTTTGGATCTTCCATCAAAGATCTCTTTAAAGTTGGCTTACTTTCCATACAGGTCTTCCCGGTTATTGAGTATGACATCGATATCATAATAACTTACATTAATAGTTCATTCTCATACCACTCATTTGCGTCACTTCATGGACCTGGGCTTTTAAATCTTTGCAGTGCCTTGACCACCCTCGTGGTCACTTTTTGTGCTGGGTAACTTAGGCCACTGCAGCCTCGCTGTGATGATAACATTTCGCGCGCGAAATTTGACTCAGTGAAATGTTTAAAATGGTCAGTCAACGCGTTAAACATTGTGGGTCTGCTTTTCAGCACAGTATGAAGCGGAATACTTCTTAAACGAGGAATTCAATTTTAAAGAGAGAAAGAAATTATTATGCACATATGGCTCATTGATATCATTTTAATACTATTAAAGTGATATCAATGAGCAATGTGACAGTGAAAACTGATTCGATGGGAAAACAAGCAACCTTATAACTTGTTGTTTGTATAAAATATTGAGAGGATTTTAACGGATTCTTATCCTTTTTGTTGTTCATGATAACTAGTTCAGTTCCTTGTCACTCGCGTATTTCTAAGTTGAGCCAACAAAAAACACAGTCTGCCGGCCGGTACTTTGAAATTATGTTTGAGACAAAATTTTTGTTGGGGAGTAAAAGAGTTCATGGTCTGCTCTTCATACAAAAATTATCAATTTTTGTGCAAAAGCTACCAGCCATAAAACTTTACTGTTTAATGCTCTCTGGACTCCTTCCCACGAAGCCATAGGCATGTTGGGCATTTGACATCCCGCCCTATCGTTAACATTTGTCTATCACTTGTGCTATCTAGTATCTTTCTGGTTGAAGAGCTTGAATGGAAGCAACAGGAACATCAATTAATGAATTAGAATAAATAAAAGGATGCTTTGCTGCCAACATATGGCGTCGACTTTGAAACGACACTTGAATATCATATATCAGATAAATCATTTTGATGGCTGTTGGCTATCACGATATGGAAGATGCGCATGTTTGAAAAAATTGATACACAAAATAGAGTTCAGAAATAATTTTATAAATTTTAGCTTATCAAAGCGACCTTGAGGTATAGTCGAACAGGCCCTTGGTGGGAAATTGTTTAATTGCCAGCCTCAAGTACAAACCGCAGTTTGAACTCTAACTTTTTAATTGGGAAAGAGAAAGAAATGACCCAGAAATGAACTATTTCTGCAACCAGATTCATCTTGCCAGGCCACCTTTTCCTTTGATCTCTCCCGATATTTATTTAATCCCTCCTTGAGACAAGTTGCCAACTCTAGATAGTCAAAGGAGCGTACCCACAGCAAAAAGTTTTACTTTTATCATACTACTGCTTTAAAGATATATTGTCAACAATAAACAAATTCATCCCTCTATAGGTACTCTTTTCCTGTCAAAAAAATTTCCTGTGTATTTTAAAATGGCTCAAGATTTCATCGGAAGCATTTTGGTAACATTGTACAGTATTGCCAACAGTTACACCCGAGAAGCGCCATTTCTTGGCAAATTTGGGACTTACCAAGCCCAATGATTTTCTTTAGGTTTGCCCCCTGAAAAACCTATCAATCATACAACATAGCAAATACAAATGAGTTTTATGATCATTTGCTCCTATCTCGTCGCTCAGGCTATAGCTGAATACCCTTTTACAGACAAAGGTCTCAAAGGCTGGTAGCCTTGAAATATGCTAATCGTGATAGGAATTTAAACAATAATTTTTTCATGATAACTGATAATTACAACTTGCAATAGCGTCGCTTCATACATGAAACATAATGCATTTTCATTAATATAAGAATCGATTGGTATGTTTAGTATCAACTCCAATTAGTGAGAAGAAGAAATCTACTACTTCACCGCATTTGTGCACTGATAGATTGAGACGGTGGAGAATTTCGAGTCTCTGTGTTCAACCACGACAAAGCGGATTTCTTAAATAGAATAAGTGAATTTGCTGTTGCCAAGATACAAGAAAAGGCGCTTTTGGTACCGAAGGTAAGACTGTAGCCATTTGTGACTGGATTAGCGTTATAAAGGGGCTTTCTCTTGCGATGTTATCGAGATAAAGTGAAAGGTCTGTGCGCATGCACAGCAAAGGAATGGATTAAGCTGAAGATTGCGTATCATGTTCGATCATTCGTAATAAAAGGACGCATATTTTATATTCGAGGGCAAATGTTTATGGAAAACTCCTGAAGATGAAGTTGTTGATTGCAATACTTCCATTTCTTGTCATGCTTTGTGCGCAGATCCCAAAGAATGAAGGTTTGTCTGTATCACAATTTATAGGTGGAAAAAACTAATAACCAATTAGGCTTAGGTTTCTATGAGCATATTTATATTTTGCTAAGTTTCAAGCATTTGAGGTAACGCTTAAAATGTTGATTATTGGGTTGAAATAGCATTTGGGACAAAACTATGTGATATCCTTGCACAAAACATCATTTGGCCTACAAAATCATCTGAGGAAAAGATGAGAACATGCTATAATTAGCAATTCATTTAATCAGGGAAAGAAAACTATTCTGCGTTGTTCACTCTGGAACACAACTGAAAGCTATGTGCAGAAATTTGTGATTATTCCTGACTGAGCAGATGCTGAGTGGAAAGGCTGAAAATTTTGCATCGTGGTAGATTCCAAGCTTCACGTTTATTCCGGAACATCAAGAAAAGATATTGACTTAGGATAGGATATTGACAATTATATATAATTTTCTTAGATTGTCGGGGTGAATAGAAACAGGAAATGGCAGCTATCATTCATTTATTGATAAGCTCCTACGGACAAACTTAAGCCCCTGCGAAAAAGCTAACGTTCTTCTCCATTACTCGTTGGATCCGACAAGACCCATCTTTCGATTTCTTATTTATACTCCCTCCTTTTCCGGTTCTTCACCATGGTAAAATCTTAGTTTCATGTCCTTTCTATTCTTTTTCTACTTAGCTCCTCGACACTGAACAGAAATTAAATCAAGAAACACGATAGCTTGAAATTTGAGATTCTGTAATAAAGTTATGATAACCTGGTTAAGCAAGTTTATTGTCATTAAAAACAGACGAGGTCGAGTTTGATTGCTTTATGAAAGAAGATTCCTCTGTTTGTAGTAGACGATCCTGCTTCACTTTTACCATAGAACAGCAACTCAACATATTACAAAATTGTTTTAAGGGGCAACTCGAGCCAAATGAGTTAATTTTAATTGCAATTTAACTTCTAAGCTATGAACATTCAGTGACTCGAGTCATTGCATTTTCAGATTTATTTTCCACTATTTTTAACTAAATGTAGCAAATAAGAAACACGGCAATACGCCGAGAATAAACAACAATGAATACACGTAAATCAGTGAAGGCTAATATTTCGCCCCGGCATACTTGGCTTCATCAGAGCAAAAGTTCATCAGACCTTCATCACTTTTGCTCTGATGAAGCCAAGTATGCCGGGGAAAAATAATATTTATTGTTGTTTATTCTTAGCGTATTGCGGTGTTTCTTATTTGCTACATTTTGATCGACTTTTCGCCGCAAGAACTCCTTGGAGCCTGTCGAGCAGCCTGCTACAGTGACCTTTACTTCATCCACACCTTTGTAACTAAACTTCTCTTGTACTGTCTCCTGCCCCCAGAATTTTTAAGATAAGGTTGTTGCATTCGAAAAGTGAACTTTCTAAGAAATTTGAACTTTAGAACTGTAGGCAATTTATATACATGTTTCAATTTGCCATTTACTCAAAGTATATGCTATATTTTAGGGACCGAATGTAAAGATATTTTGAAAAAAGCAGACTGCCTTTTGCTTGCGAAATACGGGACATGCAAAACCCATGCAAAACGGATGAAAACAATGTGCCCCAAAACGTGCAACTTTTGCGGTAAGTCTCCTTGTAGGTTCCGAGAGGTATCGAATCTAGAGAGATTATATATTTAATGAGAGGGGTCGTAAGAAGAATACGTGTGCTTTAAGGAGAAACAGAACTTGTACTATAGCAGAATTAGAATATCTGTATATGTCATGCTTATTCTGCGGTGCTTTGATGAAGTAAAACCTCATTATTTGTAGGTTCAATTATGTCTACAAAATTATGGTTATAGAAGACCACGTAAATCTACTCATTTCTCGGGGGGTTTCCATGCTAAGCCAAAATACATGACACGAACGCTGTTAGTGCATCTTTCAAAGGTTTTTTACGCAATGGAATGTTCGAGTCAGCATGTTAACCACAAAATCTTTAAAAGTGCTTGCTTTGAAAGGGCTACCACTGTCTTAGTGGCAAGTGAATGAGCTAAGCTTGACATGAGCCCACCACTAGGTTTCTCAATCAACCGAGTGAAAAAGACGTGATCTTGCGTGTACGCGTTATTTCCTTTACGTGTTCGTGAGTGTACACATTGTTATGTATGATTGCAGCGTTTTCTCGGGCGTGCAAATCGAAGAAGTGTCCATACAAACATGTCTGCCTGATTGACGATAACGAGACAGCCTACTGCAAGTGCGTTGCGAAATGCTCAACTTTCGATCAAAAGACAGGGCCCATCTGTGCAGGCAATGGGAAGACGTACAAAACAATTTGCTCGATGAAAATGGATCAGTGCAAGGAAAAGAAGTCAATTCATATTTATCATTACGGAAACTGCATAGACCCAGGTATGGATGGTTCAGCATCTTAAACTATCTACGTGTTTTTTAATTGGCAGTTTTTACATAGAAATGAACTACAATTATCAAAAGTACAGAATTGAGATATCGCTTTTACGTTAATTTGATATTAACTTGATTGTAAGCAAGTTGAAATTAAGAATTTATCTTATTTTATAGAATTACAGAAGATTTTGCTTTAGATTTAAGTAGAAGGGCAGCAAGGAGTATCATTTTTAAACATTTTGCTTTCAAGACAAGGGTTGGTTCACGATAAATCGAAAAAAGTTGTTTTGAGCAAATTCATGCAACTCTAGGCGTGTTCGTGTTCGTGTCAATTTTACACGCAATATTTCTTTATCGTATTGTGTAATATTTTCCTGGTTATTGATTTGATTTTCTAAGGTCATTTTTTATCGCTGGAAGCCTATATTTGCATCTGGTTTCTCAATGCTTTATTAAGTTGTCCAACTGAAGCTCAAAACAGTAGACCTGGACCTGCTGAATATGAGAAGATGAAAAGGATTCTCTTGATTTGCTGGACCCTAATTAGCATAAAAATATGGAATATTATGAGGCAGATTCGTGTCTCCTTCTCAGCTTGGATAGTTTATTCTCAAGTAGGATCTTTTTTAATGACATAAAGAAATGGGTTAGTTCCGACTATAGATTATAAGAAGAATTTTTTAAAGCACGTATATTTTCTGGTTGGTATGACAGCCAGGTCCAAAACATAATCCATTTGGTTTTTTCATCGATCATTTTTAGATGCCTGTGAGGATTTCATGCCTTCGCTCTGCGCTGACTTAGCTAGAAAGAAATTTTGTCAGACGTCACCACAACTGATGCAGTTCTATTGCCCTGCGAAATGTCGACTGTGTCGTAAGTAGATCAAGTTCTGTGCTTAAAACATTGTTAGTAAAAGGAACAAAGAGACTATGAGCATGAATTAATTGAGAGCAAGCAAAATGGACCCATATTCATAGGATATCTTACGCTATCTCATGCCAGTTAATTCATTCAAATTAAGAGGAAGATAAGAATAATCGAACTGAGTAATGTGTAAGTAGTACTGTTCTAAAAAGAATTTATCAATTTATCTGTTTTCAGCTCGGTAATGTTAAACACATATAAAAAATGAGGCACTCATTCCCCTTAATGTATGTTTGATATGTTTGGTATGTAAAGTATGTTTGAAAGAAATTGAAAAAATGAAAAACACGGGCTCCTCCGGGCCTTTTTAAGTCTTACGTTTATTCATGATTCTGATGAATTTCCTAAATGAAATCGTCTTGGCAATTAAAAAGATTCATCTATTTCTTTGAAGAACAGATTTTCCAGCAAAAGTAACAAATTTTGATACTGCCTAGAATACAAAATCAGTCAAAATTGCTCCACAACAGTCATCAACTCTTTGATTATACATTTTATGACGTCATCAACTACGTTCTTGTTCTCTCTTGGAAATTAGTATACTTGCGGTTCCTGGAACTTTGTTTTTATTACTTATTTGCTCCATACAGTTGCATCAAAACCTAGTGTCCATAAACCAGTTCTACAGTTTAAAGTAGGCTTGTTCTAGCCGATAAACAAACATTTAGCAATTCGAAGCACTTTATCATATGGCAGACGTTGCTACTATTATAGTAGACATAACTAGATACAGATAACCTTCTACAAGTCAAATCAGTTATGATCTGCAAAGTCTTTCCTAAGGAACTTGATATTTCTTACTGAAATTTGGCTCCACTTTGTTATTTAGAATCCTTTAAAAGGAAGTTCGGTTTTTTATCGCTTTAATGAAAATGCTGTTCAAAACAGATGTAGAGCAAGTTTTTTATTCTGATACTATGTCTGAACTCAAGCACAGCTCAATGCAGTTTTTTCACACATAGGACAGCCAGCTCCACAACCGTCGTGCTTTAAAAGTCGTTACGGGTGCTGTTGGAACAAAAACAAACCTGCAAAAGGGCCAAACCAAAAAGGATGTGGAGGTACATATAAAATTCTTTCTAACTATTTCTTAAAAAGTTATAAACATTTCGCTTTAAGCAATTAGCATTATCTTAAGTTCTTGAATCATTGTCGTTCAACATTTATCATCATTATTGTCGCCTTGTGAACATCAATCTATCTTATTTTTTATCTACATTATTGTTTGTCATAGTTATCAAAATAATTATTATTATTATCAATTAATCTTTTTTGGTTAGCTTGCAGAGAGAAGTCTTTCTGTAAGGGATTTAAAGAGCTATGCAGTGACTACAAAAATCTTGGGATAATGCGACACTCTTGCCCAAAGACTTGCGGCTATTGCTGAACTTTGCGAAATCAATTCCACATTGTCATCGATGAGTGACCTTTGGTAGCGTATTATAATTGATAGGGATTTACGCTAATAGAAAATCTGATGTGTAGAACAAGAAATTATTGTATATGTTTTACTAAATTATAGCTTCAGGTGTTCACCTTTAAACTGACAATTAACTTTTAAAAAATGTAATTATCTTTTGGTATTATGGGCAATTACAGCCGACCCTAATAAGCAAGATCTAACAGAAAAGAAGATCTTTGATGTTTGAACAATCCTTGCACATCAAGGTCCTCATCTACGTGTTTTTCAATGCTCCACAATATCCTTGTAAAACCCACCCCATGTTTGATGTAACTCGCCCATAGGGATTTAAAGAGGAACAATAGAGCTCATATGTTTTAAGAAAAGATTAACACATTGTCTCATAAAAATCTATGCATTTATGCATACAGTCTCACATGCTTGTATTTATATCGTAATTGATTAATTCCGTTGTTGGATAATTATAGCTTTGTTTGCCTCCATGTCAAATGAGTAGAGCTCAGTGGCGTTGCCAGCTCGAAAAAACTGGGGTGGACAAAAACAAATTTTCTCGACCACGCCCTTCAGATTCTTGGAAAATCCATTTTTTAGTATTTTTATCTATTTTGAAATATTTGGACAAGCAACTTTCTCAAGCAGCATAATTTGTAACGTTGGCTCTTTGCCAGTGCGAAAATCGAAATCGATCTGATCAGCACAACGCCCCCCCCCCCCCCCCCTCCCCAATGTTTTTCAATGGATTTGGAGAAATTAGAAAGTCGACTTCTGGGAAAACTGTTGAAACATCCCGTGGCAACGCCACTGGTAGAGCTATCTATGGGCTTCGAATCTTCGATTCATACTCGTATTTTGTTGGAAAATGTAATTGCAACTAATAAAAATTGAGAAAAGTATCCCTCGAGAAGAACTTTACCTTTTAATACTGTAAAAATCAAACAGCAACACAGCATATTTTACCATCATTAATGCACAATTCTTCCAAAATGTGCAATAAAGTAGCAGTTGACAAATGCAAGACGTTTTGCTTGAATAAAATAGTAAAGGAAAAATATTTGTAACGATGGAACAACTCTCTTTCTTGCTAGAAGATATTTTTAAAATTTGAATTAATATTCTATGTAACCCAGGAAAACAAAAGAGCGTCTAATTTTTTGGGAAGAAATACAAAATATGACCGATGGAGGTCCTAAACATTGAAAACTAGAGCAACTCAAATATGGAAAATCACTTGGTTAAGTAGCCTCATAACATATCGTTTTAAAATCTAAGGGAGGCAACCAAGCAGTTGCCCCTCCCTCACCGAGTGAAAGCAAGTCTGGCACCCCTTTTTGGAAATCATGCGCCCTTTCTAAAGAATGAGAATCAGATACAATTGTCATCAATTTCCGAAAATGTTTCAGCGCCCCCATAAACCAACTGCTCCTCCTTCAAATTTGCTCTGGATCCGCCCCTGTGCGCAGGGCGCAGACGCGCAACTACAGGGGGGGTCCTTGGGGTCTAGACCCCTGCCCTTTTTCTCAAAAGGGGAAGTGCCCTTTTCTTGAAAAATTGCTTAAATATTTTTGTTATAGCGCTAAATGAATGGTCATAAATGACACATTCTGGCGATGTAATGGACCTCGCAGAAATACAGATAAATGATTCAGTCAGACTTTCACGTATTTGTGGGGTCGAACGTTATCATGTTGCAGTAATAGAGCCTATGTTGAAGCCCCAATTCTACAGCGTGTTTTATGATGCGCTACGCATTGGTTTGAAGAAGAATGGTTCTGGGACTCAAAAACCTCTACGACCACTTGTAAAAAAGCTACAAGAAAGAAACCAACACATATTTCAAGCCTGTCCCATGGTCCATAAAATTTACAGGGTCATAGAAGACATTGCATGGAACGAATAATCGTAGAGGAACTTCCGCGGACTGGTATTAGCAAGCAGTGAAGCTGGCACAATAAGTTGATGTTCAGCTGTTCCATTCCTTGTCAGTATTACAACTGAACTGAAATCACGACTTGCAGACAGAAACCAGCTGATCTCAAGGGTCGTGGACCTGCTCAACCTCCTCCCATCTGTAATGCGAAGCAAATAATTCAATGTTCTTAAGGCCGTTCACATTTTACAGAGCAAATTGTCTTCGGATATGAAGGATGACGGGCTTCTTTTCAAAAGTGAGCTGGCACTGGGACAAGGAGATGACAGCAGGACCACCGAGAGGCGGTAAATTGCCCTAGAGGCTTGAGGTTTAGGGGGCACCATAAAGCAATGAGCTCCATTTCAACATGAAGTTGTTTATAGAAGTAACAAAATACACTTAAAAAAGTAAACCTTTATGAACGAATGAATATATTTAAGCTATTCGTAAGGGCGTGGTCACAATTTTTTTAGCTAGCTTCGCTCGCAAGAGACCTCGTCTTTTCAGTTCCCCCCTTGGGCCTCCAAAACCTCTATGCGGCCCTGGATGGCAGACAGAAAGGGAAAGTCCGCTGAGATTGGAGAAACTAGACGAAGCTATGTAGATAGTTAACATGAAAAGGAATAAAATATAGACCCATGCACCACAATATTTCTCTATTGATCAGCTTTCTTTTTCTGGCGTACAATATTTACAGGTTTGCTAACTGCTCATATTTTCTGCGTATCTAAACAAATGCCTCGGTGGACCTTCGGCGTGCATGAAGTGCACCCTTGGTTATCTTCTGTTTCTAAACATGAAAATATAAACCAGGCTATAAGTGAATCAAGTTTCCTTAGTGCCCTTTTTGCTTCTTGGACCCCTGCCCTCTGAAATTCCTGGTTGCGCGCCTGCGGGCGAGTCCAAAGCAAGCTTCTCGGCATCCCATTGAAAAACTATTTTGCTCGTAGGGTAATACCAATACCATCTCAGTATGCCTTGGCAATCTACCATTTCATATCGAAATTCTATGATTTGAAATTCTATGTAACAGAATGATTTGCTTGATATCATGGAGGTTGGATCAAGCCTGTAGCCAGGTCAGTGGAGTAAGGGTGGCAGACTCCCAATGTCCAATGCAGGCATTTCAGATGAGGGGTACTATTGTAATTACCTCCATCAAATTATATTTTTTTTGAATAGGTAAACATTTTCAAATTACCTCACTTAAATATGCATTGCAGGGCCCACGCCACGAATTTTAAAATGGGGGGGGCAATGCTAAAAATTAGGGGGCCAAGGTTTCTTCCCCCTTTTACTGCAGCTTTAAAACTACCTGCTTCGCAAGAAAGTGGGGGAACGTGGGCACCTTGGCCCCCCGGTGGTGCGGGCCCTGCATTGCCTTTTTAAAGACTTTTATGAATCTCGAATTATGAATCAATATTGACACATACTCATGGACGGAATTGAGCTAAGTCTGACCCTCCTTTCTCAAAGAAACCTGAGTCTCGACACCTAGAGGAAGCAGATGCTTGAAGTTCAGACAGGGATCAGTCGATTTTTTACCATATAGTGGAAGGTGCCCTGTTTGGATGGAAGAAACAAGTGATTTTGCTCTCATTGAGTTTTCTGAGAATATTCTAACCTTTTTATTTTACTTTTTTGTCACAAAACAGACAGTTCTGTTTATATTTGGAATGTGACTTTATTCTGAATTTATAAGGCATCCCATCAAGAACCTTTTACAATAGCCTTAAAACAGAATAAATATTCAATACAAGTATCTTCATTTTATCAGAAAATTTAGACCAAAATGCCTCCCTTTTGAGTTTAGCATTTAGTATAAACTCTCTTTTATTTCAAACTGGTTTAAAAAGCGTAGAAAAATTTTCCAAAGCTATAGCAACTACTATCGGGGGTAGCTTATATCTAATTATCCAGTTTTTGATGACACAATTTAATTCTAGGACTTTGTAAACATTTCTATGAGAATACTTCGTTTGTAAACATTAAGAATTTTTCGTTGTGTGCCTTGGTCACAGGGGAACATCGCCCACCCTCGAATAGAAACATCTTTTTGAAAAGACGAGAAATATCGGTCATGCGATTCTCTTTTATGAACATCACAAAAAGACAACTGCTGAGAAATGAAAAAGAAATATGCGTGATGCGGCTGAGCAAAGCTTTTATAATATTTTTAAAAATTGGATGCTTCTGAGCCTAAATATTCTGTTAAATACAATTTTCGTGAAAAAGAAAGAGTGCATAATACCTACACCTACTACAGACAAAATATGATGTGATTGCTGGTCCATTCTTTTAATCAACATGATTTATGTAGAAAATTTTTACTCATTAAGTACCAATTTCTTACGCTTGGTAATGTTAACAGTTTTTAAAAACACTGATAGAAACATTGACAAACCCATTGAACTTAGCAAAACATAAAGTGCCTCGTTTTTGTTCGCAGCCTCTACTCCGTCACACGGCCATCTTCTTTTTGATGAAGGAACCAAAGTCGTAAAGCGAAATGGTAAAGTTGCTTTGGTATATTTGTAGAATCTAGTAGCATTTACTGCAAATAAAAGTTACCTTCAACTGTTGCTAGATGGAAGCTGTCATTCTAAGATGGTCTGACAAATGAAGGAACTTTTAACTGCATCGGATCGGTGAAAACGAAAGTCCTATTCATCTTTTGAATCAAATTCGATGATGAGCTAATGGTTATTTTGGTGTTTTGTAATTTATTGCAAAAAGTAATGGAATCTTTGTTCCAAAAGTATGCAATTATGATATGCCAAAGCCTATACAGATTAAGCAGGAAGTATGCATCACTTGAAATGCAAGTGTTTATTGTACAATTGTGTACATATATGTGATCACAAAAGTTGGGGCTATTGCAGTTTCGCACCTATCAGCGTGTTCCATGCATAAGGATAGGGTTTGGGTAAGGATCAATGTCCAAGAGGTGCGAAGCTGCATTAGATGTGTCATCGGCAAATAGTTTTATCTTACACTTTAAGTCATTGATATAGATAAGAAAGAAGAGAGGACCCAAGGTAGAACCTTGTTGAACCCCAGCTGAAATATTACGTCATGTAGATGCTTTGCCATTCAAAACAGTAAGCTGTTTTCTGTTGTGGAGAGAGCTTTGCAACAGTATTAGTAATTTACCAGAGACATCACCTCAGCATAGTTTATAAAGAAGACCTTGATGCCATTCCCGATCGAAGTCCTTTGAAATGTTGAGATAAACAGAGCGGACATCTAGTGTGGGATTATAATCAAGTGCTATAAAAATGGAATTGACAATTGAAAGTAACTGGTTAACAGTTGAGTCTCCTGGGCAAAATCCTGACTGATTTGGATTTAATAAAACCGTTCGTATAAAGATGCTGATAAAGGGAGTCAAAGATAAGTTTTTCTAAAATTTTACCAAAGATTGGAAGAAAAGAAATGGGACGGCAGTTTTGTTTCAAATTTTTACTGTTCAAATTTATATTTAATGTTTCCAAAATGTATCCAAAAATGTTTATAGTTAATGTAATCCAAAATATGCATGCAAAATTAAAACCTCTAGATAATACCTGGACATTGGACTGTTGCTTTGGCTAGAAAGCTAATTGGTGACATAACCACATGCAACTGATATTAATGGTCTTTTTCTGGAAAAGAGTAGATAGCTCGTTGTTAAACGAGATGCACTTATTTCCCAACAAAAACAAAAATATATTTTCTAGGGGCACTCCAAATTTAACAGTCTTGGATTGTTAGGTTCAAGTTTTCAGTTTGTGAGTTTATGAAATTTGCAAGATTGATGTGTATTTTATTCATATGTTAACTTCTTCAAGTCTAAATTAACTTGTTACATTAGTCAAATGTTTTATCATGAACCATACTGGGGTTCAAGAAACTTTCAAGTTTAAGTTCAAAAGACAATAAGATTGTTAGTTTATAAGATATGCTGTATACCAGTTTGCTTCATTTTTTTTAAAAAAGCCAGGCCTGTCATTATAGGGGGGCAGGTGGAGCATGACACCCCCTTGAATTTTTTGCCATTTAGGGGTGCTAAGTTGGCAAATTTACAAACTTGTAGGCAAGTACAATATGGCTCACCAACTTTGTCGGCAAATGGGACTTGGAAATCCCCCTTCAGGGCTTGAAAAAAGATTTTTCTTCATGGCAGCAAAATAAAAAATTTAAGACTTCCTGCAGAAACTTCTGCAAAACTCGGAAAAAGTTTCCAGCCCCTGAAAATGATATTTAAATTGCTTGATTTCTTTAAATCTTTGTCCTAGAAATAAACTGTCAAACTTAAAAGGAACTAATTGTTTGCCCTTGTTTTTTAATAATAGCTATTTGAACAGCAATTATTTTGTTTATACTGTAGTAGATGATCAAGAAGAACGTGATTGAGCACTATACTCATAGTTTGTTTTTAAGGTTAAAGTTACTAGATCTGAAAATCTATAATAACTTTGATTAAATTTCATATCAGTGCTAGCAAACTAGATACTCTTGAAGCATTGATGTATCCTACATCTGCTCTGGGTCTCATGTTTGCTGCTCATTTTTATCATCAAAGCTAGTAGTTCATACAGCATGTAAGAATACTTCCTATTTTTTAATTGTTGAAATGTTTTAAATCAGTAAGCCCAAAAGGTTATATTCTATTGAGTTTGTGATGAAAATGTATGCGAATTCCAGGAGAAAAGTATTAATAATAATTGACACAGCCACAAAGGCATTTTCACCTTCAATACAATTGATGTAACACGCTCCTGGCACTGCCGGACATTTTATAGCCTGCCCCCTTGAGCACTAGCTAGCAACAGGCCTCAAAACAGCATATGTTTAATAATAATATTTGACTATTTGTTTTCTTTTTGCAGGAGGTATTTATTATAGTGAAAAGAAAGAACTTAACCATGTTTCTTGATGGTAAAATGACCACAACGGTGTTTGAAGTTAAGAAAATGATCCAAGGCATCACTAAAAAGCTACCTGAAGACCAAAGGCTATTGCTGTTACAAGAAAACAGAGAAATGGAAGACAATAAAACATTGGCAGATTATGGTCTTACTAGTCAAGTAGCAAAAGCCCAGACTCCGGCACTTCTGGCTGTCACTTACAAGAATGAAGGTATCTGGATTTATACTTAAAGGCCATGCAAAAAGTAACATGTAAACACCTGAGAACTGGTGAAAAATCACTGATCTTTCATGCATTTAGGGTATTTTAATAAAAATCTGGGAGTAGAAAAATATTTAAGTTACCTGCTGAGATTTAGAAATAAGATGGCCCAAACTCAAGGTTGAAGCTGATCTTTATGATTATTTTAGAGGAGTAAAGCTTATGTTTATGTTTTTTGTTTTGGTATGTGTTTCGATTTTGGGAGTTTGCAAAAAGGCCTTTTCGATAGGTGGGTTTCAAATGGCTTTAGACAAATACAGTATATTATGAAATTATTTTAAGGTACAGGCTCCCACAAACCTCCAGACACTGATGTCCCTTTTTAAAATGCTCTTCCCAAAGTTGAATTTTAGTCATGGTCATAATGTATCCAGCTAGTTTGAGGGAACTGTTGGGTCCTGCAAAATACACCTGAATGATGGCTGGGGCAAAATAGCCAGCAAAATTGTCTTTTGAAATAGTGGCTTGCTGCCTGGTAATGTAGGCCCAAACTTATGACCAAATTACTTCTAATACTATAAAGCTTTCACTGGTAATTTTAATACTATGCTTTCACTGGTAAGTAGGAGTGTCTGCTATAAAGCATCTAATTGATGCACCATAGAGATAGGCAGCACAAAACTTAAAATGTTTCATCTGATAAAAGAGGGAAATCTTAATTTTGTCAATCAAATCATCTCTCAAAAGGCATTTCAAGCAAAAGTATAGCTACATTTTTGCAATCCACAAATTCACAACCCAGCATTGTTTTTCTTTTAGCCATATTAGACTCTGTAATCCATCTCTTTGGCTTACAATATGAATAAAATGGCATTTTTTATCTTTGTGAATATATTTCTAGACCTATGCATTGGATTCTTTGTGTATGCTACTCTTAGATTGCCTTTCCACGAAAGATGCATGAATCTCACTACCTTACCAAAGGATTTTTGAAAATCAAATTTTAGTAAAAAAAATTAAACATTCCCCTCCCCTGTAGCTCTGCTGCTTGCTAAAAATTCAAAATTCATATGAATTACTTCCATGGAGAGTGAAGCTAGTATTGTCAGCTACATTTCACAAGAGTTCTACTTATGGTGACAAATCTACTCAGCATCAAATTCATTATGACCATAAGAATATTTGGAACTATTTTCTGCTTGGTTCCAAAACCACTTTATATTAGAATAGCCATTTTCATTGCCACTGTAGAAAGAAGACAGCATTAGTGTTTTTATTGACACTGTTAAAGGAGTTTCTACTTTTGAAAATCCTCACTTTGAATTTGTCCTACATTTTTTCATCCATTCCAAAAAGTTGCTCAGAATCTGCTAACAGAAGTACTTGTTATTTGATTTGGTTTTGCTAAGACAAATAAACAGCTCAGTTTCTCTTGAAGGCTAGCGCACAACAATCTGCCAAAATATATCGTATCAGAATTTCTCTTATTATGCCCACTCTTTGCTGGTATGTAAATTACATTTTTGTGGTCACTTGTAATAATCAACACTTAGCTATTTAGCTCATTAGTTATTTACCCATTAATATTTCATATTTCAGATGGGCAGTTTGAAGAAGTTGATTTTACACCTCTGTCACAACCACCAGACCCACCAGAGGCATTGAAACAACCTGATTCCTCGATTATGTCACAACACAAGTCATAGCTTCACTACACAAGACTTAGCTTGATGAAAGAAGTGTTTCTGTATGAACAAACAGCTAATGTCATTCTTAATCATAAGTAAATTCAGGTTATCATGTTGCTGTTTTACAGCCCTGTCTTGTTGTATCCTAGTCCAATCAAATTATACAGGCTTGCTGCATTCTAGATAACCTCATGTCTTACCTTTTTGTGTCGGACTATTATTATTTACTCACATTCCCATATTTTTTTTTCAATATGAAATCAACAATGCCAGAGGTTTTCTTTATTATTTGCTAAATGCCAATCTCCAAAAAATATACACTGTTAAATTTAAATGCCTTTTTTAATCTTTGCTTTTCTCTCCAGTCTAAAAGTTCAGAATTTGACCATTTTTTTGTAAAAATTCATTTCTCAGCTTTGGATTTAAATCCTGAGATAACTTCTTGCAGTAAATTCTTTCTCCTTTTGTGTCAGGTTCTTTACTTTTAGGATTAAAGTGAAGAATGTATTGTTAAAAAATCCCTCAAGTTGCTTAATTATTTTCTAAGCATATGTAAATTTGAACACTTTTCCTGTCAGTATGGTCTTATTTTTATTGTCACTATTTTGTGCAAATACTTAAGAAACATTGATGTTTAATGCATGAATTTTTTCTGAAAATGAAATGGACTGTCTTTATTTTCAATTACTCTTTTATGAGTCAACTTTGTATTAGTTTTTTGTTTCAAAGTATTTCATTGGTCTTCAAGAATATTAAAGAACTTCAATAAATCAAATAAACGACAATTGTCTAAGCATATTTACACTAGGGAAGATGCTCTTAACATTTATGCAAACTGTAATGCTTTAGGCATAGAATTAAAGAGGAAGAATTTAAAAAGTGAAGGTTTTTGAAATTTTAACATTTTACCAAAAAATTATCTTCTTTCAAATACAGAATTGAGAGTGCCCATCGTAATGACAGAGTAAAAACAAGTTTCCGTAAGAAAAGACAATAAATAGTATCAGTAGCAATTCACGACGAATGACATTCAATCAATCTAGATTATGTGGAAAGTTATTGCATTGCCTGAATGAAGCACTCTTTTAACCATTCCTATAAAAGGGCTTTAGGTGCCAGGTACCAGCTTGTTTAGACATTCAAACCATCTGTGAAATGAAATGTAAATGCTATGATTATTATTTTCACCTTATAGATACATAGACCGAGATGGCCCTTAATCCAACGAACATAACAGAACGAAACAAAATATCAATAACATACAATAATATATGTTAAAGACGCCAACAATCAATTTTCGAACAGATAGATAATACTTCTATGGGGCTGTTTTTATTGCTCACAAATAGCTTTCGCGTTTACGGAATGCAAGATTGATATTTTTGGTAAGACCATGGTTAGTTCATTGGCTTCTTTCTTGATTCATTAACCAGACAAACTTGTCTTTTAAAGTCAAATTTGATACATAGTTTTATCTCATTTCTAATATTACTTTTTCGTTTTTCCATAAGTTTGGACGCAAATTTGTCCATGATTTTGGATTTAATCTTAAATTTACTATCGTTATCGTCAATTTCATAAAAGGAATTAGATCCCTAGCATTTGATACCCAGTTTTTATCCCCAAGTTCGCATCTTTTATTAACACTTCCAACGCCTTCTTGGCATAACGATCAGAACTAAGGCTACTTAATCTAATAAAAAACTTAGCTATATCTAAATTCTTTATCTAACTGTAGTTTTGTCAACATGACCGCCATGTTGAATTTTTGGTAAAGCGAGTACTTCAGTCCTTCAATCCATTAGCACTATCCGAAATCGAAATCAAATCATCAGCTTACAATAATGTACAAATATTTACATCATCTAAACAAACACATGTAGAAACCGGACTAATAGCTTTATTTAAATCATTCAGAAAGAGAGCAAAAAGCATTGGACTGAGCAGACAGCCTTGTCTTACCTCCCTTGAACAGCTAAAGAAGTCAGTAAGCCCCTCGTTGCCTCTAGCACATGATTTAACTTTAGAATAAAATGGAGATGTTATATTTGGAAAGTTTCCCTGAAGTCCACATGACATAAGCTTTTGCAGCAGCATTTTATGATCAATCAAATCAAAAGTATTTTGAAAGTCAACGAAGCAAATATATAAAGGGGACTTTTTAGATTTTCTAAAAAAAATTTAAGTACGTGTAGAGTAAATATATAGTCACTGGTTTGGTGGCGCCTTGATTTTCACACAGAATGTCAAAATTTGTAGAAACTCTTTGTAATCTTTCTAATAGAGCCCCAGGAAGATTTTACCAAAAATGTCGAGTTAAGTTATTCATCTGTAGTTATCAAGATTAGACTTATCGCGACCTTTGAGGAGAAGAACAAGAATGCTTATTGCCCCTTCCTCAGGAAAACTACCACTCTTGAAAATTTTATGAAAATTATTCTGGAAAACAATAAACTTTTGAAGATTTCATCAGTAAGCGTATCTATTCCAGCTGCCTTTCCAGATTTCAGTTTTGTAACCGTTTTTTTTCAATTCCAAAATAGTAATGGGCATATTTATTTACGAATCCATTTGCCCTTATAACATTCTTTCTTTCGTTATTTTGATCGTTAGTAAGCAATTTATTGTATATTTATAATTGTATCTTGCTATAAGGAAAATAGACCATTTTGCAGTCCCCCTTCGAAATATCGAATTTTGAAACTGTTAAAGGGCGTTCGTTATTGTAATTTTTTAGATGAATGTTCTAACTAGATTTAAGTTTTTATTGGTCTTCGTTTTACTCCCGATCCATTCCTATTCGCCACTTAAAACTCAAATAATTTGCATAATAATAGCTTTCGATAATTCATGCGCCATTTCCTCTCCTTTGAGGTTGTGCAATACTTTTGTTGCAGTAGTGTATCTGAAGAATCATTTTTACCCTTATTTTATCAACTGTTTTGCCAAATGTCACTGTTCTGATCAAAATTATTATGTTTATAAATTTAACAAATTCCAGGATCTCCCTGTTTTTCTCAACAAATAATCTGAAATCTCCAGGTTTTGAAAATTTTAGGTTGACCGGTCTGCAAAATCCATTCCATAAAACTATGACAAAATTCCTTCTTTGTAAAAAAGTATCTCAGAATGGACCAGTTGAATGAAAATTTGGGGGAAACAGACAGGTGCCATGGAAACGGGAGTGCTATGGGGGCTTTAGCCCCCAATGATTTTCAAAATGTGCTTAAAACCATACAGAAGTCTCCTTGCTCTTGGTTTTAGTGTGTTTAGCCCCCCAAAACGTTTAAGCTGCACGGTCCTTTGGGGGAGACGTGTACTCCTCAGCCACGTAGCTGCAGGGGGCACGGGGGGCTGTGCCCCCAAATGAAAATTTTGACAACAGCTTGCCCCCTCTGGCTACAGTTTTTCGCAATAATATTTTGAAAATTTGGCATATTAATAATTCCATGACCTTGATTTTGTCCAAATATATCTGTTTGTTATGTATCTGTTTTCCTGTTTTAAAGCTTGCCCCCCCCCCCCAGGTATGGTTCTTGCTCGAGTTTGCCCCCCTAGCCGACACCTACAGCTACGTGGTTGGTACCCCTGAAGAAAATGCTATCAAATAGTGAATTGCGAATTTCGAAATACAAAGAGGCAAAAATCCCCTGGTGGTGACCACCTATTTCCAAAAGAAGGCAAATGCGAATGAAAACAGAACAGCCATAGCAAGGCAACATTGCAACAACGATGAAATTATTTCTAAATAATAGTAATTTCAACCATATTGGAAACAGTGATTGCTGCATGAACGGTAGTCTTTGGCAACTGGTTGTTGGCAGCTGCAGTGTTGTTATCAAATGATAATCAAATGAGGTGGTTCGATTGAGGAGTCTAGGCACTAACTCGTATGTTCTGTTATTGCCACATGGCCTAGCCAATTTGTTGGGAGGAGTCAAAGTTGTGATCTTTGCCTTTTGTAAAATATCACAACTTGAAAGTCAACATGGGCGATGAGGCAAATGGTGTTGCAAGTAAAAGGAAAAAGTATGTGCGAGTTTGGTGCGATGGGTGTTACGATATGGTTCACTTTGGACATGCGAATCAACTTCGACAGGCAAAGGCCATGGGAGACTATCTTATAGTCGGTGTTCATAGCGACGATGAGGTGAGATTGTGTACCTTTGCTGGCTCTTGTTATCACCGTTAATCGATACCCGTAATCATTAACCGCCAGTCTTTAATTTTCCTGTCAAAAAAGTTGGTTTTTCTTTGGGCATACACCGTCAGCATACACATGTTTCTCTCGATGTTAATCCCATCAGCCTTCTTTTACATGAACTATGCTTTCTTTTAGGTAGCAAAAAACAAAGGCCCGCCCGTTTTCAATGAACAGGAGAGATATAAGATGGTCAGGGGAATAAAATGGGTTGATGAGATCGTAGAAGGAGCCCCTTATGTGACTCAGCTTGATGTCATGGATAAGAATGGCTGTGATTTCTGTGTTCACGGGGATGATATAACCACCACAGCAGATGGAACTGACACATATGAAATTGTCAAAAATGCTGGAAGGTACAAAGAGTGCAGGCGTACTGAAGGTGTTTCCACAACTAATTTGGTTGGGCGTATGTTGTTGATGACCAAAGAGCACTTTGACCATGGCACTCCAATCTGTAGTGTTGATCCACGTATGTTGAAAAGTCTAAGTTCAAGCAGTGACGCATCCAGCCCAAGTCCATACACCGGTGTGTCTCATTTCCTGCCCACATCAAACAAAATTGTTCAATTTTCTGATGGTGTTGAGCCTCGACCAGGGGAGAAGATTGTTTATGCCCCTGGAGCATTTGACCTGTTCCATGTTGGGCTACTTGACTTTCTTGAACAAGCAAAAAAGCTTGGTGACTATCTTATAGTCGGACTCCATACAGACACGGAAGTGAATCGTTATAAAGGCAGCAACTACCCAATCATGAATTTGCATGAACGGGTTTTGAGTGTTTTGGCTTGCAAATTTGTTAACCAGGTCATTATTGGTGCTCCTTATTATGTGGAGAAAGATCTTATAAAGCAATTCAAGGTATATATATGTTTATATGATATATTTATATTTATTCTATGTTTGCACAGTCTCCATTCTATTAATAGATATTTAAGAACTTTGTGTCTTGTAATTCTTCCTACATCCTCATTTGTGTTGTATTATTTTCTTCTATACATGATTTATTCATACTAATGCCCTTTTTAAACATCAACTTTTGGAAAAATGATTTGCATTTCAAATAGAGTCTACTACTTATTACCACTTACTACCACTAATAACAGACTTAACAATGTGACCACAATTTTTTTCCCTCCTACCACTACTCATTATCACATTGGGCAGGGCATGGTACACAATTTCATCACACAAACAAGAAGCTTTTGCCATTTAACGGTACTAGTCAGCAAATTTTTGAATTTGTCAACAAATATAGGTTGGCTCACCCGCTTTGTTGACAATGGGGGGCACTCCCCTTGTGCACAATAGCTAGCAGGGGTCTGTTTTTTATATTGGGTCTGTTTGTTGTTTTTGCACTTCCACTGCTTGGATAAAAATGCAGAAGAAATTGTTTCAATGAGCCAACTTTAAATCTTTGTTGTTTATGTAGTATTTGCAATGAGTTGCAATAAAAGATGCTACATTTAGATAAGAACCTTGTTATCTTTATTAGGTTTTGGTGTAATTGTTTACCAAAGTTTACTTGAATAACCTTTGTTTTGTGAAACAAATATTCTTGTCCTGGAGTTGTTAGTTGTCGTCTGATAACTTTTTCACGGAATCCCATTTGACATTACATTATGAGTCAATGGTATTGTTTTCCTTTGGCATAGATCGATGTTGTTGTACATGGAAATACAAATGTGTCTGCAGACAAACTTGGTAGAGATCCCTATGAAGTTGCAAAGGAAATGGGCACATTTCAAACTATTGACAGTGAAAATCCACTGACAACTGCAGATATTGTGGAGCGTATTATTAGAAATAAGTAAGTGAGAACTTAAATTTTCATGTTTATCTATGGAAAAAATAGCATTGGAAATATAGAAGAAGAATATAGGTGTTGATTGAAACCATGGTGGTGTAAGAAGTGACTGCCAGGGATGGTTGGGAATAGAAAAACATTGGTATTAGCATGCTGAAATTGAGACATAAGAAGGCCCCCATTCAAGATGGTAAAACTATTTAACAGGGATGGAGCTTATATGGTTTGATTACGGGAGGGTGGAAAAAAGACTTTTTTGGTATGATGGTTTGGAATAGCTTTTGGCAATACCATATGTTGTGAAATAATTTGAAGGCACTGGCCCCAACTGCCCCTTACCAGACACTGATGTCCCTGTAGTAATGTAGCTCTTCCAACTAGTTTTGGGTGAAATATGGGTCCTACAAAATAAACATGGATGATGGCTGGGGCAAACTAAGCAAAAAAACTTGTATTTTGATACAGTGGTTTGTTGTCCAGTAATGGAACCGCAAGGTATTAGCCCATTAATTCTAATACCATGAGAGTAAAACCGTTTGTTTTTTGACAATCCAACAATGAAAAAATCTTTTGCAGTACTAGATTCCTCTTTCTAGTGATAAAATGCTGGAAGGCCATTTGACCCCATTGTATGAAAACTTCTGACCCGCCATAGAAAGATAATTTGGCCATACTATCAGCTATAAAAATAAATATTTTCCAGGGACCACGCCCCTGCACCTATCTTCTTGTAGCTAGTTCACTTTGCTAAATTCTTTTGCTTTTTTAGTACCATCTTATTTTCGTGCCAGCTACCACTGCCATTAAGACATGCAGCACAAAAACATAAATTGTATCATCCAATTAGAGAAACAGGAGATTTGCACCCAAATCTACTTTTTAAATAAGTGCCCCCTCTATTAGGCGCCTCCCTCGAATAAGCGCCCACCCTGGAGCCTCAAAATTAAGTAAGCGCCTGGGTGCTTATTTGAGCCATTAAGGTAGCTGCTTAAATCAATGATGAGATTGCATTCCATTTTTTCCACTCCACCAATTCCACATGTATGCCAAAAACTTCAAACTCTTGTTTGGAATATAATTTTTTATTCCAATATTTGCTTCTTCCATTAGATTTGAATTTGAAGCAAGAAACAAGAAGAAGGAGGCAAAAGAGATCGCAATCATAAAAGGAATTGAAGAAAGAAAAGGCCAAGCGGAGCAATAACAGCAGAAGGCTTCTTAAAGACTTTTTCAACATTTATTAGGTAGACTGTTTTCCTTTATCTTTGTAGTTTGGTAAAATCTCGAATTAGTTTAAAGGGTTATTTCAAAATAAATTATTTAAAATCAAATTCTTGTTCTATTTTTTTGGTAAACTAATTAATAGATTTAAACACATCTGAATAGTATAAATATAAAAATGTATAGTTTTCGTGTCTTCTCAGAACTCCATTCAATTTGAATACATTTTAAAGCTCTTATGCATTTGGTTCATGTATATTTCTTGTTGATCACTGCATCAGTTAGTTGTGATAAACTTTTTCGTTTCATAGCACTTTGTTACATTAGAAAGGAAGGTGTCTCTAAGAATTGGTCCCTTTTTGATCCCTTGTTTATGATTGAAAAATTTGCCTAACAATGCAAACTGTTTCAAATATAAATCCTTTCATCTTATGCCAGTTAGCACTGGTGACGCCAGCCAGAAAAAACTGGGGTGGACAAAAAATTTTTTTAGCATCCCTCTTCAGAATCTCAGAAAACATGAGCAACACCTTTTCAGTATTTTTATCTATTTCAAAACTTTTGGAAAAGCAACTTTCTCAACTAGCATTTTTTGTAACGGGGCTTTTTTGCAAATACGAAAGTCAAAATCGATCTGAACACCCTCCCTCCAAGGTTCGAAACAGAATTCGAGAAATTAGAATGTTCATGTCCATGTCCAACCCAGCTCACCCTGTGGTGCCGCTACTGCCAGTTAGTTGCCATGTAATAAAAGGTTATAACATCCATTCATTTTTATCAGTAACATTATCAGTTCATGGTTCATGTAAAAATTGTGAAGCCTCAGTTGAAACCAGGGTTTTTAAAAGCAGAAGAAATGAAGAATTCCAATTCTTGTTGACAAGGATATTGTTGCATTCTGTTGTGAATCAAGTGATTGATTTATAGTAGGCTCAAAAATATAAACAACTGCAATATTTCATTTTTAAATATTTATACAGGTTTACAGATTTCAGTAATAAAAAAAATAACTGTTTTACAAATCGACCTGTGCAAAAACAGAAAAGCCTAAATTAAAGAGAATTACAATGTACAATAAGTTAAAATCAAAAAGAGCATAACAGAACTAAATGTAGAAATAAAATGTACCTCTCATATGGATTTTTTAAAGGTAGCAAGGGATGGTGCCAATTTAGTTTCCTTATTCAGCTCATTCCATAATTTTGCTCCGCGATATGAAAATGCTTTTTGGCCTGTGCATGTTCTTAAAAGATGTATCTGCAAGTTTGTTTCAGTAGAGCGAAGATTGCGAACACTGCCCTCTGAGCATTTGCTGAAAAGTTCTCCTAAATATTGAGGAGCAAGAGAGTTCAATGCCTTTGGGTCAGCGTTGCTGTTTCTTTTTTGATAAGATCTTTAATTGAGGGCCAACCAAGATTTTGGAGCAGTGGGACAGCAGGAGCATCGAAAGAACTATTTGTAGTTATTCTTGCAGCTCTATTCTGAATTTTTTGAAGAGAATTGCGATGTAATCTTGTTTTGTTTTATAATCACTTCAACATAGGGTCCCACAATCTAGCGATGAACAGCACTGCCTAACCCTAATTCTCCGCCTGGTCTACTACAGTTTTTTATTTCTTTGTCATCTCAAATTGTTTATTTGAAGACAGTTTCTCATAAAATACTTTTGGTAAGGTTGCCACATTCGTTTAAAAGGAAATGTTAATATTGTGGATGGGTTAGTAAAAGCAATCGTCGTGGTTGGCGGTGAGAACATTGAACGGAAAGGTCTTGCAAAGGTTTAGAATAACCTTTTTAGTGCAGCGAGTAGTTAAATTTTTTTACACTAAATGAGGAACGAAAATAAGACGGAGAAAAGAAATAATGAAACACAGTTTAGCAATAAAACGTGAAAATAAGGTTTCTCTAGTGTCTCTAATAGACGCCCCCTTGTGTATTAATTTCAGAAGAATTTACCCTTCCCCGTCGCTTATTAGCACCCCCCTTCTATTAAATTTTACAAATCAAGTCATTTGATTTTCATTATTCGTTTTTTTCCATAGTTTCTTGTAAAATCTCAATCTTACAAAGGAAACCGATGATTTTTGACTTGGAAGTTAAAAGCTGTAAATTTGATTTAACTTTGTATGATTGCAATTTTCTCTCAAATTATGCAAGAAACTGAAACCAAATTTTGACGGTATATTATAAAAGGTACTTTGATTTCAAAGAAGGATTGCCGACATGAACATCCCCTTCTATTAGCACCCCCTTCTATTGAAAATTGGTCGGAATGAACACCCCCTTCTATTACCATTCTATTAGAGACACTAGAGTATAGACAGAAGAACTAACATAAACTGAAAATAACGATTAAGCAATTTTTTAAAGTTGGGTTGTTATTTTGCAAAAGCTGATTGTAAAAGTTTCCGGAAATTAAGTGGTTCTGATAAAAACTACTCTAGACTTGACCAAACTCTCAAGCTTGGCTTTTCAAAATATCTTAAATGTTGTTATATCTTACATTTTCTAATTAGATGGCCTGATAATGTTTTTTGGTAAGGTGGATACTAGATATTCACAGTTTTATTATGAGTGTTCCACCTCTGCCTTGGCAACACAGGATCATCGATTAAATCAGACCTTTTACCTTTCTCGACAATACTTCCAAAGAACAAATCTCCCGATTCTTCTATTCCTATAATCTCAAAAATATTCTTTATCGCGTTTTACTTTCACGCAACAGCTGATACTCTCTTTCTCATTCTTTTACGTCTTTGAGAGTTCGTCCATTAGAAAATATACATTGTGTGCCGGTTTAGGCCAGAGAAATAACAAAACATCGTCATTTGGCATACGAATTCTCACAATATAGCAGCCAACATTTCTTGCTACTTCTGCCTAAAAAATGATTCTGCTCTACAGGAAAATGGAGGGCCGTGAACCCCGGCCCCTTAGTTTGGGGGCCCTGCACAAGCTATGAACCTAGCTCCTAGGACTGGACCTCCACATAAATTTCACAGGATAGACCTCAGAGAGAAACACAGGTCAAATTCCAAATTCATAATAAACACTACAGGATTTAAGAAGGAGAAATAAAAAGTTAAACTACAAAAATCATAGTAATACAACAACTAAGATATCTTAAACTTTCAAATATGTACAAAAATTTTTTTGACGCAATTTTCCATTTTGAAATAAGTTTAATTGACTTTACATCTCAATTTACAGTTATCAACGTAGCTTATGTTGTAAAAAAACATTAAATAGTTACATACAGGAATAAATATAAACTATTGATTATCAGTGATGATTGTAAATGGAACACAATTAACAGGCTATATGAACCATATTTTCCATTGATTTCTAAAAGCTTACAATAGATTCTTAACTGGGCTCTTTTGACACCCCTAGTCCTGCCTGCCTAAAATTTAAATCAAAATTGCAGCGAAATTACGTGGACGCTGTCTAGAACGGCATTAGCCTAAAGTCGATATTATGGGCATTTGGTTAGAGGATACCAATCCAGAGTCAGTTAGGCTAGACAATATTTTGGAAAAGAAGCGAGCAAATGCTATATCTGGCGACTGAATGGATCAAGATAATTTCGTTTATGGTTCTACAATTGATCCATGAAAACTGTATTGCAAAATGAGATAATTGTTTTGCTTACAAGGAAGCATTTAAGGGTGAAAATTATTATTAAGATTTAAAAATTGATAACAGTGCTAAATAAACATAGTTAATCTAGTCGCTGATTTCTGCCATTTCTGCAGCGTCCTATGGAATTATGAGACATAAAGATTTACAAAAAGCGGTATGGTTGGCCATTGGTAGGACGAAATCCTAATTCACGTTTGTGTATTCATAAGGCAATTAAAAATCCAGGCTCCAAGAATGATTTTAGCTACTTATCAAGACAATAAGTTTACCGAACGTTGCAATCACCTTCCCTCTTGAAATCAAAGTGCCTAGTGCATTGGTGTCTTGTAACGAACAGGTTTTAAACAACAAACCGTTTTCCTTTAAAGGTCATCGGTTAAAAGTACATACTTTTAAGGGAGAAATATAATACTTAGATAAAAGAATATTCCTAGGAAACAACAGTTAAAAAGGAACAAGAGGGGGCTGTGTCACCTACAAAAATCATTATCGTTTTTCAAATTTGGGACAAGTCAAACGTTGGAATAATTGGCCCAAAGTCACGTGCCTGCATCAGATTAATGATTACTTAATTAATGTTAACAAACTTTATATAAACAAACATACGACAATATGATGTGCATTTTCCAAATTGATTATTCTGGTCACTAAATCCTAAAACTACCCATCGTTAACAATATTCAGCTACCGTGTTTGTCTGTGAAATTTTGCAATGTTAAACAATACATTTCAGAAGGGATGTCCAAAGTCTTGGCTTGAAAAAGCATGCATCAACTAAAGGACTATCTGACGGCAGTAATACAGTGATACAACAACTGTAAGTATAAGTCAATCACAATCACAAGTGGTGATGTTTGATGATAACGGTGATGATTGCAATGATTTATAATGATTTACGATTGGTGAATAATGATTGGTGGTTGATAATGAAGATGATACTACCAATGACTATGGTGATTGTGATCATGATGTCGACAAACAAGAAGATCACCCGACATGACAACTACAGACAAAAACACGATAACTGTCGTTGCTAACAACCAAAATTACCAGATAATCCCAATGGAATCCAACTTCTCCAAAACTTGCTCCCATGAAATCAAGCCATCATATCAAACAATCAATAAATCAATCTACTAGCATCAATAGATGATCTACAAGTTTTCAAACCAATGCTGCATTAAGCACACTAGAAACAAGCATTTTAGTTTAACATGGCAAGGTTGGCAAAAATTTGACGTATATCTGATTTATTCACGACCTTGGATTGGCTTTAGGCTGATTAAGGCTTAAATTGTGAGAAAAGTTCGATAAAACCATCTTTGTTTCATGAGTAAAAAGGAATCCTAAGAAACAGCTGATGATTTGTTCGTTTGATTATTAAAAAAGCAAAAGAATTACACAATTTTTGGCAAAAATAGGCGATTCAACTTATTCAAACTCGATAACAAGGCTGGACCGAGACGAAATTCTTTGGTTAATAATTAATATTTAACAGCAAATTCTTAAGAAATCACACCAACTTTTTTACAAATCGCCAACTTCGCTCGTACAGCGAATGTATTTTGCACCACTAACAGTGAGAAATATCTAAACAAAACTCACAACTTTTTGTTAAAAAAAATAAATTGTGGATTTTGATACCAGCGTCTCTTTAGATGAAAAAAGCTTCGAAAAAGAAATTTTTAATTGCTATTGAAAAGGAAGACACCTTCTAAGGCCAATAACTCTATTCCAAGGCTGGCAGGCTTTAAATTCTTTTAAGGAAAAACTGCCGAAAAGTTTTCAAATATATACTCTTTAAAAAAAATTTACGAAGACAGATGGTAAAATTTATTTTGTTATGAGCAAAAGACCGCCAGTGATTGTTAAGGGAACTGATTGAAGAAAATATTTTTGGCCATGCGTTGGTGAAATTTAGTTCTCTTGATCAATATTTCTAAGAAATTTGCAAATGGTGTTTATTTTCTTTTATACTGGAAAATAAGAAACGAATACAAGTTAGGAAGGGTATATGGAAAGGCGCTTGAATCTTGTGTGCTTGTGGCTGGCACTGTAATGAAGTTACATCTTGCTAAGCAAAACAAAGTATTTGCAGTTTTTGAACTGCCAAAACAAATAAATGTTGATTTAGAAATAGATTAATAATATATTTACAAATCTTCGATTCAAAAATTTGATGAGCGTTCAGTTAATTATAAACAGAAAACAGACTAGCTACCAAAGCCGAGGCGATTCAGCGATGTCAGGCTGTGGCGCGACGGATGAGCTGGAAAGGAAACACAAAACATATCGATAAATTTCAAATAAAATACAGCAGTATGAAAAAAAGCTGCTTAATCTATTGATGTCAGTGATTGGTGAAAATTTTGGCCAACAACTAGTACATAAGAGATATTTTGAAAGACGAAAATATTCATGGGCGTAGAGGATGCTAAATTCTTATGGAGGGGGGCTTCGTATGGATTTTGCCCGAATATTATCGCTCCATTGAGATAGAACCGCTCGACAAGAGCCTTAAATGTGATACATTTGCCTGATTAGGGCGAATGCAGCCCTCCCAGCTCTTATGTCTTCAACGGCTATGCGAATATTGATCTGTACGCAATAAAAAAACTTACATTAATTTAAAGCGATTGAAGGGAAAACACGCCAGAATGTGATAAAATGCCACGCAACCAGATATAGAATGGGATAAAATTCTCTATAGAGGAAGTAAGGTACTCAGAAAGAAGAATAACATTCTTCCTTTCCAAAAACAAGCATAATCGCAAGGAAAGCAAGACCTACCTTTGAAAAGTTTTATATACAGGAGATGACATGTTCAGGCAAAGTGGGACAGTTCCGGACTTGCGATGATGATCGATTATGAATCTAAAAATGTGTTCCTTAACACTTTTTACCGAGTGGAGACCATCTTCATATGTAAGGTCGTACGGGATAGGGCATATTGGCTCAAGATCTGAAAAAACGATATTTTGGTTATCAAAAGTTTGATGATAAAAAGACTGGCGTATATCAAATCGAATGTGGGCCATCGAAAGAGGATTTTAAGAAATCACCATAACGGCATTTGCTGAAAAGTTAAGCAAACAGACCATCAGCAATACATCGACACAAGTCTACGGCTAAAAACTTTAAATTTGAAATCTTTATAAATCTCTTAGAGCCAAACTGATGAATTTTTTAGATATAAATTGTAGCATAACATGAGCTGCTTTACAAGCACAAGAAGGGTGTAGATCTTTGCGAAACTGAAAAAGTTCATTTAAATTGAGAGACAAGGCTCAGTGTCTGGGCAGCTGGAAGAAAGTGCAATTAAAGTGAATAACAAAGGACAGTTGTAAACACGAAAGAGCTTTTACGGCGTCAACAAAGAAGGTCCCTCAACAAAATGCTTAAATGTGGCAGCATAAAAGTGATTTAGCATCTTTTGAGAGCCATCAACATTAGGTGTGCCAGCTTTGATGTATATTCAGTTACAAGCAGGTGCTAGCACAGTTAATTAAATTAAATCCGAATAAACATTAGGAAATGCATGTTTTTGTAGTGAATCTGAAAGAAACCTTATGTTTGAAACTGCTTCTGTAAAGCTGTCAAACAAAATTTGAAGAGGCTATAAAATAGCTAATATTTAGAGACGATCGGACATTTAAATGGATGATAACAAAAAATAGCTAGGATTAAAGTTTATGAATTGTAGACTGCCTGTACAACCAATAAGTTACAACAAAACAGATGTTTGTGTTTTATTGGAAACTTAAACCCGAATAATAGTTTACGAAAGCAAACTTACCTCCACAATACTGCCGTCCATTCGGGGTATTATGGCAGCATGTACACATGCAAGTGTGGTATCTTAGCCGGCCTTCATCGAGGTAAGGGTGCGACAAGGCATCCGTTGCAGTGATGCGCATGTCAGGGTTAAAAACAAGCATTCTACATAGCAAATGCACTGCTTCGTGCGTGGCAAGGCTTGACAAGTTATACAGACGATGCATTGCAGGCGGTTTGAATGCCTGAGACATTATGTATTTGAATGCTCCATCACTGGCACCTGCAGCTCTGATGTCACTTGGATGTGGAGTACCAAGAAGGTCTATCGTTTGGTTCAGCTGCTGTATAGGGCTCTGTGCTTGAAACAAAATTTTGCGACCTAACAACTCGGCGAAAATACAACCAACCGACCACAGATCCACTGTAAGAAAACAAAGACAATTAGCATGCAAAAACGTTCATCCTATTTTTATTTAGCATCTTGCGAATAGCTTCAAAATAGAGATCTTTATTAACGAGCTTTATAACAAAACCTTCAGAGATTTAAATACTAACTGAAGGTAACGATTAAGGTAACGTAACGAAAGGTAAAGAAATATTAGAAAATGCCTTGTGGCCAAAAATACTTACCCCCATAAGAATGATATGTAGATCCAGTGAGTAACTCAGGGGCTCTGTAATACTGAGTTACAACCTATTCAAGATATGGGAAAAGAATTTTAGACTGCTTAGAAACAGAAGAGCTCATGGAGACTTGTATTAATGACAAATTTCAGCAAATAGCAAGGAGAGATTTTGCATTTTAAAACGTCATTTTTTCCTACATAAGAAATCAGCTGCATGACTGTTTCTAAGAACTAATTACTTGCATCTTATGGAAACTAGACCATAAACACCGTGAAAGAAAACTCTTTCTCGAATTGTTGTGCAAAGTTCTATTTCATTCTCGTAATATTCCCTCCTTAAACTATTTCCTCTCTTTTTGTCTATTTATTCTTCTTTTGTTTTTATGTCTCACTGCTTCCCTCAAATTTTCTGTCTACGCATTCAATTTGAAGCCCATTAACAGCTCTGCTTATATTATCCACCTAATCATCTACTACAACAATTGCAAAACCGTGAAATTTTAACAGCAACGTTATAAAAATAACATTAATGAAAGCTTTAAGAGTTATCAGTGGCAGCAGACATACCTCTTGTGTCATTTCCCTGCTTTTATCAAGCTCTTCACACCTGGCTAGCCCGAAGTCACATATCTACAAAAATAATAGCAACCTAGCTTTTCAATCACGTAAAGAAATGGCAAATTTAAAACACAACTTCTTGTTAAATCTCTTTTACCTTGGCATTAGTTCTTCAAAAGACAGCAAATGATCATACATGGAACACATGATACTTTGCTCAGTGGTTGACTTGCATCACATCTCCCGGACCATCCCTCCACTGATGTACAGGAGTCTTTCCTTCTATTCAAAGGTTAACTAACTATATAAAATGACCCCTAGCCCTTTATCACAGTAGTAACAATTCTGATAAAGTGCTGCCTGCCCCCCAACTTTGCTTAAATACCCTAAAAGCCCTATTCAGCCACTTTCTATAGAGACACCTTTTTGAGAATTCAATTAGCACCTTTAGGGCCTAATATTGCTCTTGTGGTAAATGCTTGAAGTATCAGCATAATCTTTTTGCATTCCTAAACAGATAAAAAGATCCAAGTTTTACCTTAAGTTGACAGTTGCTGTTAACCAGCAGATTGCCTGGCTTTATGTCACGATGGAGTATCCCAGCAGAATGGAGGTATTTCAAGCCTGAAAAAGATAGGTATAAACTTTCTCATACAAATCTGATACTGTTTCTATAAGGCCAAACTATCTGGAAACATGTATTACTATAATATTTTTATTTGGTCACAGCTTCTTGCTTTTGCAAATTGCGTAATGAATACCTTTGAAACTGAGATATTTCAATAACTGCTTTTCAACAAAAATACCAACTACGGAACATGAGCAATACAAACATAGAAAAAGTCTTAGGCTTGTATTAGGAACTAAGGGAGCTAAATCAAACATAAGTATGCTTGTATTAGGAGCTAAGGGGGAAAGTTAGAAAAAGAGGTTGGCAGGGAGGCACAAATTCTTTTGAATACGAAATGTAACAATTTCTCAACAAAATTTTTCAAGGAGGCTTTGCTGGTGGAATTGATTCTGAAATTTTATGAGATGCAAACTTACACTATTAATAACTGTGATCAGCACAGCTAGAGTCATTTCAATTTTGTGGTCTAAATTGATGAATAACTGTTATGGCAATCAAGATAAAAGATAATAGCAGTTGGAGCATTTTCACTGGCAACGATGTTTACTCTAATAACTTGCATAAGATTATCTAGGGACAGCAGATGGTTGAGTGTGTGGATGTCTTTGGGATTAATTGAAATCCTATAAGCTATCCTTGAATATGATAAAACAGAGTACATATCTATTATGTATGTACAAATGAAGGTTTAAAATAAGGGTCGCTTTCAACTGGCTGCATTCAATTTGATGTATCATCAATACGACATTCGAAAGCCTTAGTTATCTGCTTGCTTTCAAACGTTTTTACCATCAATTATTTGCAAAAAGCATCTTTAACTTCTCTTTAATTCCTAGATGTCATTATTTATCTCTAAAGTTTCATTTATAAATTGGTATTCAGTAGAAAGAGTAGAAAATCTTTAAAAATGAATACAAAAGCTAACAATATCTGATAAAACACATAAGAAAAATTTATATGAAACTTATGAATCTTCAGCAAAGGATTCTGTGCATTCTCCTTTGAATCTCATAAACTACTGGCATGTTAAACTATACATTTTACAGTAAAAAGTCTGACTCTGTGCCACTAAAGATCTTAAGACCATATAATCTCTAAAAACATGTTTACAGAAGTCTAAGTCTAACTGTTCAGTGACATGTCCTGCCCAAACCTGTACCAGGACAGCCCAAAATGAAAAGATCCAATAACATAAACTCAAAACAACTTACCTCTTAATATTTGGTACAGGAACACTTTTACATGGTCTGATGTTAATGGTTGAGGTGAGACAATAATCTTATGCAGGTCTGACTGCAGGAGTTCAGTAATGACATATCTTCAAATGAGTCAAGGTCAAATATGCAATAGAGTTGGGCCTTTAGAATCTTAAGAGGGGTTTTTTAAGTCCAGGGTTGTATTGCTTTTGGTACATGATAGTCCTTCTTTCAAAAGGTTTTAAGAGTTTTATTAACTATACATGAGTAAAGTAAAGTACTAAAATCAACTATACATGTGTAAAGTAAAGTACTAAAATCAACTATACATGTGTAAAGTAAAGTACTAAAATTGTAATGAAATGAACATAAATAGTATAGTAAACTTTGGTTATAGTTGCACCAAACATTGCATTAAAATTGGTGACTGTAAACAGGGTGTGACTGTAAATTGAGGTAAATTGGATAGCTTTGCCAATTAGGTTCTAAATTTTATGTGACTGTAGCGGGTAGTAAACCAGAGTGAATATAAGCAGAGTCAACTGTAGTTTCTTTTGAGGTTGGAGTTAGTATGGATTGTCTGATAATAGAGTGACTTTATAGGTTTTCTAATTGTAATGCTTCCTAGCTCTTTCTCTGGGTAATCAAGGGCAGCCCTTGCCACATAACATCCTTGTTAATGAACAATGATTTAAATTGCATAGTATAAAAGAAGTCACATATATTGTCTTTCCTTCATCCATATATCTGGAGAGAACTTTGATCACCTGCCAATTTATAATATTTCAATGCACTTATAACAATTTTCAAGTGTGATATTTTGAATGGATTTGCAGCAATTTCAATTGATTTTATTCAATAAACATTTTGCCAGTGTTGGTTTTCTCCAATAATGAGTTGCTAATAAGTTACACAGTGGAATTTCAGTTGAGCCTCAGCAGGAGGTTCTTATCAATTTAGTATCTTTTAAAATTATAGTTTAGGTTCTATTCAATTGTCTTTAATTCCAATTTAATGTTGTATTTTATGTCAATATATTTAAACTTCAAGACATGCTTTTTGCATTTCCAATTCCATTTTTGTGATGCAATACTGATATCTACTCTGACAATAGAAAGAGAAACACCTCTAAATTTTAGCGCAAAACTTCTAAAATTGAAACACTATTTAAATAATAGCCTCCTTAGAAACTAGGTCAATCAAGGTGATTTTGGATGTGGTTTTAATTGCCCCTTTTTGGCCTACAGGTTCCTACAATAGAGAACTACCTTAGGTGGGCAGTTATTCTACATTGCTTTGCATTATTAAAAATTTTAAAGGATGTTGTCAATGAAACTTGCTTCTCTAAAATTCAATTAAGAACCCATACCTTATACATCTCATTGAATTTCAAATTACATTAAATAGGCAATTGGTGATCATCTAAATTAAAAATTCTAGAGAGAAATACCTGTAGGAAGCACTTATTTCATATTACTTTTTCACTAAAAACCCAGGCACAATTTCCTGATTGCCTCCAGCTTTATTGGTTTTTTGAATAATACTTCAAAAGCAAGCAATTAAATTTTATTGCACCCTATATTTTCAAGTGCTATATTTGATTCCAAATGAATATTAATGGCCTGTAAATTAGACCCATTAGTACAACAGCTCAAAATTGAAAGAATGACTTGAAAGGAAACAAAAAGTATTTGAATGGGACTGTTTTGAATTACACAATTGCTATAAAAATATCTGATTTCAAATGAAAACACAACAGAGTCAGAAATATTTCAACCTAAGTTGCGTAATGACATCATTTTGCTTTATGTTGTTAGATCAAGCCCTGCTGTTCTACTAGAAACCTTTAGAAATTTAATTGTGATTCCCTAAAACAATTGAACTGGCTAAACAATAAAAATACATCAACAGTATTCTAAAGCTTTGTGTTGGGTGTTTCATACTTAGCAAGTGGATCAGAATATCTTATCACCTTGTTATAAGGTCTAACAGGATAGAACCAGGGCGTAATGATTTAAGTACATTTCCTAACAGCTCACAGAAAACCCTAAGATTCCTATCATTCAATCTAACTTCCTTTTGTAATAACAGGTTACAAAAGCAGGAGAAAAATAATTCTGACGCAGTAGAACTATTAAAATTTAACCTGGGTGATACCAGTTGTTAACTCCTTAAAATTTCCCACACAGCATACTTAATTACAAAAAATTTGGTATCTCAGTACAAAGAGAAGCTTTTTGAAATTAATCTTATTCAGATAAAAATCAAAGGCAGCCACTTTGACATTCCTTGGATGCCAAAAACTGGATTTGTGTCCTCTTCAACATTACAGTATGAATCCTGGCAGCATTGTTCACCTAATCAAATATTCTGATTACTTGAATAGAAAACATGTTTTCATTCAAGCAGGATAGCTTCCATTCATGAACCAGCATGTCTTTTTCAAAAATTATTGCACAACTTCTTCCTATTACAGAAAAGCGGTGCCAAAAAAGTTCAAACTAAGATTGTATGCTCTACTTTGATCTGTGAAAGGAGTCATGCTTATCGATAAATATACTTTTTTTCCTTTAAAGTCATACAAAACACAGCAGACTCAAATTATGGTCACACCAAATTTTGCTTGAAAACTTGCAACTGTAAACGAAGTGTGACTGTAAGCAGAGCTAAATATAATAGTTTGGCATTTTTGGGTTTAAATTTTCATGAGCAGAGTGACTGTTAGCAGAGTCTAATGTATTGTGTGAATGTCCTAAACTTTTTTTGAAAGAAAACTTTTTGGACTATACCTAAGAATCAATATTCTAACAAATTCAAATTTGACAAGACCTATTTTTTTATTCAGAGGCTTAGTGGTTATGTTGATGGCAGCATTTTAGCTGTTTGGCCAGTAAATAACTTTCATCTATCAGAGATATCTAATATTGACAAAGGATTAACATTACTGCTAAGAAAATAGTTAATGTATCAAAAATTGAAGGAGGAGGTTTCTTACCAAAGAAAATAAAGGACCTATGTCTGCCTAGAATATTAACAAAGGATCCCTCTAATATCATCATACGGTAATACAAGCCAAACAACATTTAATGCTTGATATGAAACAGTTTTTTAACATGAACACCAGGTGGTAGAGGGACAATATTATTGATAAAGATTAGCGCATTTCGTAAGCAGCCGTCTCTAATGGACGTGAGAAATTTTCTGATGTGGCAAAAGAAGACTTTAACCATGAAAACCATCAAGTCACAGAGCGGAAAAACTTTGCATAGAAATAGTTGGCAAATAATGAAGTTTTTTGTCAAAATCAAAACATAGTTAAAGTTGTCTGTATCAAATAAAGCCAAGCCCTTGCGTAACTACCGGCCCTAATAATCGAGCTTTGATTGACGCAATTACCATTCTGAACTGGTGAAATTAAAGGTTACTTTATTTAAACGGACAAAATGCACATGTATGTTGATTAGAGATTCACCTGTCTTGAGTACCGTCACGAGATCACGAAAATTCGTAAAAGTAGAATAAAACATAATGTACTCATTCTTATACACATGAGAAGGATACAGTTCGTGGAAGATATCGATTGGGTCGGGTTGCAAGATATCCAATGCTTTCACAACCTGAAAATGAGTCGATGTTTTGTTTATGAAATATACTAGGTTTATAGTTTGTTAAAAAGCTCCGATAAACGAAATGACCAAGCGGCATAAGGTCGTTGTTCATGAAAGTACGACACGAGAGGGTGAATAGCAGTAATGATTCAGTTCAGAATTTCAAATCGCTAAAACGTTTGTCCAGTAAGTATCAAAGATTGTCCTTAAATATTGAAAATCTGTTCTACCCCGACGAATCTCCCTCCAATTGCGGAAGGGATAGCGTGTAATGACTGCTTCCCATAACACCAAGACAAACGACAGGACGCTTCCTTGTAAACACCAAACCAAACCCCATCAAATTTGTTTAACCGGTCGGGAAGTTGTGATTCAACCCCTAAAACTTTTTGAAAGATAATAAACTGCTAAAACCATTGTTAAAATTTATATCCGTAGTTTTCATAGCAAGGAAAATAGCAAGGTACGAACTTACATTTTCGTGTTTGAAGAAACAAAGCATTCTGAGTTCACGGTAGACACGCTTGCTTGAAACAATGTTCTGGAAAACATTTGGCATTTTCTTTAACGCGACTCTCTTGCCACTCCTTGGATCTGTAACAGCCCTGAAATAGAACCAATTCATTAGAAACCCTTATCGCAAAAGTTGTAATTTTCATGGGAAGTCGGCGCAAAAGCCAAGTCTGCCGTTTCCTGCTTCAGACAGGTCCTTGAAAGACGCCCCTTGCGACATTCTAACCGAAACAAATATTTTTTGGTAATACACTTCAACATTTTCAGACTTGAATACTGGGAAAATCTACACAAAGGGTACTGAAAGCCCTGCTTTCATACTGTAACACCAACATGAAGTCAATGGTCTCAAAAACCAAAACAAAGAACATCCCATCTCCCCAACCTCTAACTTTTTATGTTCTACAAGTACATTTTCTCAGTGATAAAATAAAACAGTTAATTCAGTGTATTTATGATAAAACGCAATGACTGGAATGATTTAATGGACAGAAATCGGTAGGTGTTTACAAAACTGAGAAAATAGGGAGGCAGAACGGCAGTTGAGCGGCTTCCTTTACAAATTAAAAAATTCTCGAAAACTCTCAATCTTATATTTAAACGGCTTACCAAACAACTCCAAACGCTCCATAACCGATGGGTTTATCTGCCTCGACATTTTTGCGTGCGATTTCATGGTCGTGGTGTTTGGCTTGCTCGGGAAACAAGTTATGATGAGGTTGGGAGGAATCCTTGCCCGGCATAGTTATAGGATGGTGGAGTACAACACGAGTTTTGCAGAGAGCCATGGCAAATTAGAATGAGCAGCAATGCAAAAAGCGACAGCTGAACAACATCACGGTGTGATCCACTACCAGTTGCTCTACTCTGTGCGGTGCAGGATGGTCCAGTTTGCGTGCAAGGAGGAGGATCGTTCTACCGCCCTCAACACCCCTCACCAACACTTCATCTTCCAAGGCCTAAGCACGATCAGAGGACTTTAATCTTACACGCATGCGCAATTTCTCTTTATTGTCTCAGGGGGCAACGTTGTTAGAATCCTCTGGTTTCGCCCACGCAGCGTCAATTGAGCACAATGAGATTGATTGAGCACTAACTTCTATATATTGATCTTCTTTGCCCTGTCTTGCGAATTGTTTTGATTTTTGCGAATAAATTAGACAGTATAAAATAATTTCTGCCAGGGACGTATGATATTCTTACAAATAATCCCCATTTCATTTCCGAAACCATCAATTCAAACTGGGTTTGCAGTTTTGTAACGCCGGACTGACCGAGACCTGGGGTAGTCAAAATTTCGAATCACGAGAGAAATTTTGATTTGAAGTCAAAAATTAAAGCTTCATCTCAAATCACAGAGTAAGATTTGTTTTTTCCCATTTAGCATGATAAAATATTATAGTCAATCACCTGTACCCCCTACTTGAAAGTCATTAACTGGATTTCTAAATTAATATGGTATTAGGTAGTTTTAGAAAATCAAAGAAAAGGCAAAATTCAGTGGAAATTTGGATGAATCGACAAAAGACTTTAAACGAATCTGAAATAAATCTTTCTTCCTTCATTTGAATACCGAATAGTGATTCGTTTTTCCTTGGGAACAAAAATAAAAATGGGAACCTGCACGACGACAGAAAAAAGATTTTTGCAATATAGGTGATAAGGCCTACCATTTTGACTTACTCCAATTCTTTCCGCTTATTAATCTGTTTGCAATTATAATGAGACACTAAAATCCAGAGTGTATGCATTCTCAATATCTGAAAAAAGCTTTTTTAAGACCTAAAGCATTTGATTCTTGCGAGGAAGAAAATTATTTGATACGAGTTGAAGTATATAAAGAATATTGTCTTGATAATATGATAAGTTTTGCAAGAAAGTGCCAGCATGCTTAGATGTAGCTACTTTGTCAATAAAAAATTTGGGAAAAAGAGCAGCTGATTTCAAAATCTGATTAAAAGAATTTGAGAAATATTTTATTGGACCCCGAAGAATATAAAAATCAGGGTGGCAATGTTCTTATCATTCAAAAGTAGGTAATTTAATAACGATTGTAAGAGTAATGGCGCAATCGTTGCAGTTGATGTGGGCGGGAAAAGCATGGATGTGGCAGTGTCCAGAAACGTTTTCAACCTTCATCCGGCCAAAAAAATCAGACCATATTTTCATATTTTGAACCCCCTTTCGTTTTCAAATATTTGGTCACCCTCGGTCATCCTCGATTTCTTTTTGTTTCTACAACCTTTCTCCGGCCAGTGGCCGTGGGGCCGTGATGTTTCCCTGACTCGGAGGTGTGGCTTCATTGCCTCCTTCACTCAATCAAAGAAGCTTCTGTACTGGTATTCTTTCTCTGGTTTCTTTCAGTAAAGGTTGCTACACTCTATCAAATGTCAAACATTTCTAAAAGATAATAGATTTTAGCCACTGATCTTTAAAATTTATCGCAGCAAACCTATAAACCTGTCATTTAAATATAGCTTCGGTTTTGCAAGCGATACCCCCTAGCTTATTGAATTGCAGCGCATTGATCAGAAGTGACTCAGGAGAATGCTTTAATATTTAAACACGATGCGTACTATTTCAAAAATTTTTCTCAATGGCAGCAGGTGCACACACGCCATTGGTCTCAGAGTCATATCCCATCGATCATTTGCTGCGTTCCGAATATCTAGTAACTGCGTGTAGAGTGCAGCTTCAAAGGATACTTTCATGCTTTACTGGGAGTTACGACGGAAAGTGCCAGTTCTGAATGCAAAGTAAATAAGTGTCCAATTATTGAAAAAATTGAAATCGAGATTGGCAAGCTCTCGCTGTGGAAGAACGGCTTCGGTCGCAGAAACCATGATCATTGCTCTTAATGGCAGTCGTTCACGATACTTTACAACGAAGGAAGAATAAATTCATGTATCAGTCATTTTTACCGTGGGTCATGGAAAGGGAACGCTCCCCCTGCTTTCTTTTTGACACATAGACACCGCCTCGTATTGAAAAATGTAAGATACGTGCACATGTGCGTTGCGATGGCAACAAATAGCATGCTCTTTTATAGTATTTCATCTATTGAAAACGTTGGTTCACACTTTTCGCCATTCGAAGGCTTTGATTAAAACAGGCTCCTATTCATGTGGACGCGCTAATTACCACGCGCGCACAGTTCAGACGTGGCTTAACCGTTAAAAACAATTAATTTTAGAGTCAAACAGCCGGCCACCTCTTTTATATCCTGAATGTTTTTACCTAAGTAACTCAGTATCGCAGCCACCGATCAGCCACCCCAACCAATTTCACACGATAACAATTTAGTTATTCTCACAATTGTCTTCAATGAAGAAAGAATCTAAACAGGGAACATAAAGTTGAGTTGGGTTTATTTGAGAACATTGAAAGTGATAAAAAGTGCATTTGAGTCTCTGATAAGACTTGCGAGGCGACTATCTGTATCCCTATGGTATAATTCGAGACAAAGACCTCGAAAAAACTGCACGTTGAAGCGATCAGGCATATCTTTTATACTTAATGTCACTTCTACCAGCTTCATATAAGAGTTCTTTTTACCACCAGAGTTTTAAACTAGCGTCTTTGGTGGCTGAAAACCATTTCTTAGATTTCTAGCTATTCGAAACTGTCCTTTTAACTTGGTTTGAATATTGGGGCAGCAGTTATCACGGACGGGGGGTGTTATCACTAAAAGCATTCATTATGCTAGCTGCTTGTGACTACCAGCAATGAATATGTTATTTGCTCAGGCTTGCATTGTAAGCGTGGAACACAGTCTTTTACTTGCAGGGCAGCAGGTTCAACAACACGTTACCTGCTTGTTATAAGGAGAGGATTTATATGGGAAGATAATTGACACCTACAAAACCAATCTGAATACACCTGCCCTAGCGAGCTAGAGTCGCATTCTTTTTACATGTATTTACTATTGAATCCACAGAGCTAGGTATTTACGAAACATAGAGCATCAATTCAAAGCAAGCGTCTTTTGCAGCCTCGGTTTGGCTTGGTTTACAGTCTCTATCTCAAAGCAACCTTGCACCTCTTTATACCTCTTTATTATGCGATGTAAAATCAATGGCGTTATTTTAGTTCGTCTCCCGAAAACAGCAGGTTTCTTTATCCACAATATCCATATCCTCGTTTGAACATGCCAGTCATATGTTGTGCCATGAGTCGCTCTGAGAATTATTGATTTAACCTTGGATAATTAGATAAGCACATGGTTTATTGAAGTTTTTCTCTCCAGAAACCTTGAAAGGTGTACAAGCATTCCGTCCTTAGCTGAAGTTGGGGACGCTGGAAGTGGGGTGCACAAGAAACACATACCCTTTACTTTTGGGAATCGCCTCTGTTCTAAAAGTAACCTTTTTAGGACTTTTTGAAAAGTGCATCGTTTTCTAAAACATATTGCCCCTTACTTGTAAAGACCATAGGAACCCCAGCGGAGCAAATCAAAACGTGAACAGAAAATAAAAAAATGCCAGATTCTTTTATAATCAAAGGTTGAAGCTGTGAGCAGTGAATGCGCCTTCAATGCAATGCCTGAAATCCCAGCAGCAAGAGGCAGGATTAACGTGGTAGGCATATTCTTGGGAACCATAGATATAGAGATCTCGGAGAGAAGAAATTGTCATTAGGAACTTGATTCTGGTATCTTGCTATCAATGGCCTTTACCTTAATGCAATATCTACCAACATGTTAATGTTAAAGTGACCAATCATAAGCCTGATAGGACTATCTATTGTCCAGAACGCCTCATGAGAAATTCAAGCTCAATTATACAGACAGGAGATTCATGTAAACTTCAAAAAGAGACGGACAAAGTAAAGCTAAGAACCTTTCAAGAAGGATTTTTTAGCTACCTACTAGGCCTTTAGTATTCAATGTGAGGCTATTGTCTGTCACAATGATGCCTATAGTTGTTTTAAGCCTTCCCGCCAGGGCGCCTTCAAAATGCCATTTGTAAGACCACACTACCGACACTAGACCTCCTTGAATCGCGGTGGGAGGAAGCCAATTACCATCTTCAGAAATCTTTTCAGAATGCCATAATTGATCAATTATTGCGAACTTCGCTGATTACACAAAATAGATGAAACCGGCTAAATCTTTTGAAAAGTCTTCTTTGAGCTAATGGGAATAAAGCCATATGTAGAGGTCAGGATGCTCTTAATATGTCGATAAAAAGCCGATAAAAACCTTTCTCAATAGCATGTTAATGTCACCATGTGTTCTTTGATAATCTAACCGAATTCATTTAATCTTTAAGTTTCTAAAGTTGCCGTCAAATTCAAATCGCTTGCGCGCCAGTTTTCTTGTCTCAGCGGCGAGAAGAATAAATTCTCTGCCAAGAAATGAATCGCCATTAGCAATTTTGATTGTTTAAAGGTAATGTGTCCAGCTAAAGCAAGCGATTCTGCGGGGTTTTCAGAAACATGTGATTGCTCTTGTCATTGTCCCAGCCATCACGGTCGTTCTGTTTATCTACCTTGCTGCGAGGTTAGCTTTTCACGTGGGCAGTTTTTCGCAAAAATACTAACCAATCGCAAGCCGTTATTATGATGGATGGCTTGACAAGTTGGGTATACGCAGTCCTATATATGGACACATTACCTTTAATGACCTAAGCTTATTGTCCTCACAGGACCGTGCCTAAATACGGGACCGTCCCGAGGTTTCATTTAGGCATGGATCATGTAATTTTGTTACATATTCGTGTTCGGAAAACATGTCTCCTTATTTTCTAATATTATTTTAAAACATGTCATTTTTTTTATCAATACAAAATTATATTCTTCTTCTCTTTGCTCGGGATACAGAAGATACACTAAGAAGAAAAGACATTTAAATTTTAGGCATGAATTCATGAAATCCCATCTGATAAGAAAGAGGCTGTCAGCAAAAAAATTTGCGTCAAGCTTTAGAGAGCACTTGTAAAAGCAGTCTTGCCTTATAATAGCTAGATATAGAAAAAATACCCCAAACAAGATTTCTTGTATAAAAGATGCGACGAACAACCAATTTCAATAGATATCCTGAACGGTAGATGGCGGTTGTTTGTTTGGTCATATATTGCGTATTTGCGTTTACCTTATGAGACACCAGCAGTAAAGGAAATTCAATCCTACTTTGAAAGATCAGAAGAATTGTTCCGAGGTTGACCTTGAGAAACTACCGTAACAACATTGCCAACAATACGACAACGACATTACCAGAGCAGAGCATGATCAGTGAAGAGAGACTTTCAGCCCTAATTCAGGGATGCAATAGAAGTAACATTGCTGGGGGATAAAGATGAAATTCTACAAAAAGTAGAAAAATTTCCTCAATTTTATCCAAACTATTGCACCTACAATGCCTGCCAAAAGTCTTTCTTTTGCGCTTCTTTTATTATCTTTCATTAAATCATCAACATTGTTTCAGGGGGAAGGGGGCGGAAGTAGTAACTTTTTTCATGAAAGGAATGAAAGATATCAAATGCAGCGTAAATTGCTGGGTGTTCCAAGTACTTTTGGCAGGCATTGTAGATGGGCACAGTTCACCCACTGCTACAGCCAATATGGTCCTGCCTTGATTTTGAGATTTTTTCGATCAAAAGGGCCTATGATTCCCTTTACAATTCACAATAAAGTTGTTGGTGCATTATTATATTGTGCCTGATACATAACAAGCGATAAATGGGATCCCTTGATGTAATCCCAGCAAAGTGCCTCAGTCGATAACCAATTTAATATTACAGAAATATTCCAATACCAGACCCTTCTAAAAAAATTTTCCTTTCCAAATTTTTTTTTACTTTCAGTTTTTAAAATCAAACACCTGCAACCAATCTTTACCTAAACATTCTTTAATTATTCAACTGCAAAATTTTTTATTTGAAGCAAAATAATTTTTCGGTCTAACATTGGCATCAGACTTTTTGGGAGCTGCTTGACAACTTCAATGTGAAAGTTTAACTTGAATTGAGCGCTGAATGTGTGCCAAACTGGTTACAGGACCTACGACGAAGAAAGGGGGCCGGGGGCATGCTCCCACTTTTTTGCAAAACAATAAAGCTTTTTCAAAAATATGTTGTTGTGGGTGCTAAATGTTTCCTTGGACCCCAATTTTTCAACCTGTGTCGGAGCCCATGGGTGATGATTAAAATCTGTGTTGCTAATTGTAATACATATTGCTTGGTGGAAAAACAGTAAGCTATATATGCAAAAATGTCTTCAAAGCAGCGGTGGAAATTTTGGGGGTGTGGGGGGCAACTGCCCCCAGGTTTTGCAAAATTGTGGGTTTTGTCGGTAAAATTATGTCATTTGTCGGGAAATTTGCTTGCTTTTGTAGGCATTGCCCCCCACTTCAAAAACGAATTTCCACCCCTGGTTAAAAGTCAAGTAAATTTTCTTTCACAATGATGTTATGCTCTACTGACCAGCCTTCTCTGAGACAGCTAAATGCTTGTCTCAAAGGAAATGGCCATATTCTCATATTCTCAAAGACGATCGTCTTGCTTAAGTTTTATCAAATGCACAAATATTGTAGCTCCTAAAACTGTTTTTCAAAGCATCGTGAGTTGCTGGGTACATGCAATACTTCCTAGGCTCTTGTTGATCCAATGACCAACATGCCTTTGCTGCATCTAGTGTGAATTATATAAATATGCAGCAACTTTGTTGCTACCAGCTGTGTAACAGAATCATCTAGATAAAATTTAATTATCCTTAAGTATTTCTTATTTCTGTCAAACAACTTTTAATTCCCTTTTAATCAAATTGTCGTTGACTTTCGTTTGAAAATGAGCAGTAACTAAGTTCAACTTTTGCATGATGGTTGAAATTGGCGTGATGCGCTCAAAGGTCAAACCAGGATTTCACCCTGCGTTGCGTGACTTCAAGTGATCCATTGAAGGTGCAGTTATCAAAAAACGGCCTGAACGAACAACTTATTATAATACCATCGCAAATGTGCTTAACAACAACACTGGATTTGCAACTACTAATACTGCTTCATTGACGTCATTCCTAAATGAGGGGTCTGGACTGAGGATGTGGAACGGTTATAAAATCGTGTTGTTTACAGCAAATTTACAGACATCTGGACGTTTGTGAACAAGACGCGAGACAAACAAATCAGTTGGAGTCAACGTCCTTCTGTTAATGAATGTTTCTTATGTGAACCATTTTCTCAATTCATGCTTGTTTTGGGAAATTTATTTATACGGTAGATATAACATAATTACGGGTTTCCTGTGTTAAAAATAGCATTTCTCAGGTACCTTGAAGGTGCTGAATCTAAATTGCCCAATTATAAAACATCATATGTAGTTGGGTTGCAATAGAATTAAGAAATGTGAGGGGTGAAGACACTTGCTACTTCTAGTGTTTTCCCATGAGCTCTGTGGGTTCTGCTTAAAATGACTAAAATATCAATCAATTCGAGCCCTTGGGGTTGTGAGCTTCTCGAAATTTATAAAAAGGACAACGCGGGTTGTATCCCAGCTGCCACAGTAAGAAGACAACTCGATCAGAGAAAATTGCTCATTTTGTTAAATGTATGGAGGAATTGTAATTGCGTTCAGTGTTGAATTATGGCTAGAATGGGTTTTGGCCCTCCAATTGAAACAAAAAAGTTATATTAACTCCCCAGTAAAGGCAAGTTAAAATGTGATCTTGTAATTTCTTCCCGTGCCTTACTTCATTTCATTTAGTATTGTGGCTACAATTTTGAAGCTCTTGATTCTTATAGCTCTGAAAGAAAATTCCGTTCGGATCTGACTTAACTGCTAGACAACGTCTGAACGGGGTTTAAAATAATCGAATGGTCTTGGCCTCGTTAAATGTAAGGCCAAAATGGCTATCGCGTTCGCTTAGAAGATACCTTTATACAATTATAAAAAGACAAGCTATTGAATAACAACACTCGCAGGAAAAAATGATGCCAATTCAAAGTAACCGTTTAGCCAAGACTTAGTTATTTCATCTTTTACTACAAAAACAGACATTCAAAGCAAGATAATAACTACTATTGAACCCCTTAATCACCATCATATGGAGAAATAAATATTTACAACAAAAATCTTAATTCGCTATTCCCTATAAGTATTTTCTACTTCTAACATCATCATCAAAACCAAAGTCTCTAATATTCATCAGATCCTGTGCACATCACATCTGTTATTCTCGTTCGCAACAGTTCTGACTTCTAACGTCGATTCTCTTATAAAATTGAGTCACCCCTGAACAATCATCAATTTCACCAAAGCTATTCCTTGGGAAATTTAGTTGATTTTCGCGGCATGACGTCGACAGATGTAGTTGACTAAAAGCCATACAAGTAATTATTGCTTTTGCTTTCCAGTGAGCATGCCGTGAATCAATGGCTTTCAGCACCAGTCTTCATTGATTTTCATCAACAATGGTTGCTTACTGAAAGCAAAAATGATTGATAATCAGCTTGGATTTTCAGATAAACCCTTGCAATGGAACGTACATTATGATTACATTTTGTAGTAATTAAAAAAGTTGTTTCATTGTGTTCTAATAGAGAGACTTCAAACGAATTGGTGGATCGTAGAATAGACCTCCTTTGATCAATGCTTGCCTCATAAAATAGACAAAAATGATCGATGCCAAAATATTGCTCTTATACTCAAATACTTTTGAGCTTCCTTCAAATCTTTCACACTTAAAATCAAAGAGAACTGGGCGGAATCAGAAATAAGTCTCTGAAGATTTGATGAGCTGACAAGTTATGTTGAATAAGATAGAGTCACATTTCTACTGATAAGAAACTAAAAATTATCGCATATCTGCCGTTGCCGTCGCTCTTTAGATTTTTATCAATTCAAAGTTTAACTTTGCTTGACTTCTCTCAGTAGAAATAATTTCAACATAGACCTGGCGCCTTAACAAGACTTATGCTGCATTTAAGCTCGCTGAATGTTGTTAAGGGTGCTGTTCGAACGCACTCTACAGCGCTGAAAACCACATTAAACAACGGAAATGTTGTGTGCTTTTCGGTGCTGAGTATTTCAACCGCTTAAAAAATTCACAGAGAGAAACTAGGCATTGCGAAACAAAATCAAATGTCGCTGAGCAAGACTGATCAACATTGAACAAGATCTTCCAAGAAACTCCAGAATAAAACAAGACACGCTGGTTGAAAATTCACATGCCCGACTTACTCAGATTTTTCATTGGACGAGCCTCCAAAGCTGTTTTCGAATTCTTCAAGAATTCGAGGGTCTTTGTCGTTCACGACTGACATTAATCTTTCCAGTAAATATTTGTGCTGCTTGTTTTCTTCCTCTTTCTGTTTCAATTTTATCTCAAATTCCTGCGAATGAACAAAAAATATAACTCTTTGCTTCATTTATGAAGATTCTGACAACCCAGTTAGGACAAAAAGGTCTGAAAATCTATCAACGGATCTTCTGATATCATGGAATTATTCGTTGAATTTCTACAAAGCGATCCAACAAGAAGTAGCCAACGGTCCTCCCCATTACAGCCAACATACTTTGATTACAAAAACACCGAGATGACTATAAACAATAAAAAAGTTATATAATCGCCTTTACTTCCTGGCCCAACGCGGTTTTAACCAATTTAAACCAGGTAACTTTGACAAAATTGGAAATAATCTAGAGAATTGAAAACTGATGCAAAAGACCTCAATTTTAGTTTAAAGTCATGGTTAACTTACTATATATTCACCTGAATGCGAACGATCAGAAAATATCTATACTTTACAATCAGGTAGTAAGACGATGGCAGATATATAAAAAAAAGGGGATGAGCTACCTTCCCAACACTACTACTGCGGCTCAATGGCAAACTCTTGTCTTTCGACTTCAATGCATCGTCCATTTGTCGAATTTTTTCTTTAAGATCCTAAAGAGAAAATATCACTCTTAATCAATCTTATTCAACTCATAGCAACGACACAGGAATTAAATACTTAATGGTATGCTGGTTAAAAGATATGGGTTTTCTCAAGGCTTTTAAAATAATTTCTATTGTGTCTGTTATTGTGTCTGACTAGAAATTTTCAACTAAAGAAATATCAAAGGTAATTGAGCAATAGAGCGATAGTATTTGCTAATAATGATCACATGTGCAAAAAAATACTTACCATAACATCTTTTTCTGATTCCTCTCTCACTTGTCGCAGCATTCGATCTTTATCAGACATAAATTTCTCGAATTTTTTCATATTCTCTCTGGCAACCTAACAAAAAGTAATACCCTATTAAAGTAAAACACTAAATCTATAGCTTGCTCGAAAGGCTGTTGAAAGTTGTAAGCTCAAGGGAAGACAGAACTGAGAAGAATGCTCCTGATGCTCAGTATCAGACATTGGAGCTTTCTAAAAAATTTTTATGGCTAGAGGATAACAATTTGCACTGTAACAAGACTGGAGTTTCAAACCTTTTCCAGTTTCGAAACTTTGGCCTCAAGCTTTCGCGCGCTGCTTTCTTTTTCAACCAGTTTCTCTTCAAGTTGCACAGTTCGAGATCGCTGCTCCTGAAAACGAGATGAAAATCGGGTCTAAAATTATGATAATATATGTGATTGTTTGCCACAAATTTTATTAATCAAATACAACATATTTTACATCAAATTGCTATTAAGAATGCTAAATGCAACAGACAGAATTGCTTTTGCTTTGCTGCGTGGAACAAGATCCTTTACAACTAATTTTAATCTATAAAAGTTTGACCATTAAAAAACATATCTTTGACCAACAAGGATATAACATACACCAAACCACATGTAACACCTACTCATTCATATATCCTAAATTATGCAAAACAGAATCAATCATCTGCAATTACTATTCCTTACTCACGATTCGATATAACAAAGAACAAACATACCTCTCTTTCATTAATAAAACGCGCCTCCTTCTCTTTCCATTTTGTCTCTTTCACTGTCACCAACCCTTGCAATGTCTCAAACCGGCTCTTCATTTCCTAGTTATAACAAAGATGATAAAATTCTGACTAATATTAACTTAATAATGAATCTCTTTCAATAACTGAAGATATGGAGTGTGGTTTAAAGGCAGTTCTACTCCCTTGGTTAAACTAGAGGTATCTATGAGCTCGACATAGCCTTCGTCTTACTTTGCTTTGTGAAGCCTTATTACAAGAGTGTTGATCGCTCTTTACCAACAGCAAAATGTGGATTCATTGAATTTCTCGTATATCACAAAAGTAGAAATGGAAGCTTCTGATTATTTTTAATCTTCTAAGATACTTTTTAGTACCTGGAAATTGCCCTCTAAAAGAAAGAGTCTTTGGAGGAATTGTTTGTAAAAACATGAGTATTCTTCCAACAAACCCCCCTCCCCCCCCCCTAAATCTTATGTCCTTTACCAATGGTTTTACGACGTTGTTCTCCATGTTCAGCTGAGTACATATGGTATACTATCGTTCGTATTCGGTATGCTAATTGAATCGTTAAGGTACTTTGTTCATGAATAGTAGAGTTTACATCAGTGTTCAGCTTGCTTTGATCTTCCACTAGCGAGTACGTATGCCGAAGCAACATCCTATTGCCTTTATTCACATTTCAATAAAAGAATCAATAGAAGTAGAAAATTCTCAAAAGAATAATTCTCACAATTCTTTCTTCGTCAGCTTTAGCTCGCATTTTATCGATGATTGTTTCTTTCTCTTGCAATGAACGTTGTGCATTGTTCAACTCTCTCTTTATAGTCTTAAAAAGAACATAAGAATTTATTGCAATGTCAAAACGATTCAAGAGCTTCGACTTTTAAAATCACGTTTTAAGTATTGATTTTCATTCATAGGCATACCTCATCGGCCTTTGTCTGGCTGCCTTTAATGTTTTGTATAATTTTGTCTTTTTCAGCAACAAGCCTTTTGTAGTCAGTCACTCTTTTATCAAGCTCCTGTCATGGAAAACCGAAATATTCAAATAAAATGAGGCAACGAATGCATGTTTGAAAAGTGATTTTTACAGTGCAATTTCCTTAAGGGGATTTACAGCAAATAGACGTTTTGAATTTATAGAATGTTCCAATATAAAATAGCAAAATAAAAATTAAGAACGCATAAAGATGAAACGAATGCATTAATACGATCTATAGCTACAATTGTTGCTCATGGAAAAATCTATTTATTTTAATTTTGAATTTTGTATTTATTATCTGAGTATTTATAAACAACAAAACTTACGGCCACTTTCTGTGTTGCGTCTTCAAACGCTAGTGCGAGTCTGCTCTTCTCTCTTGCTTCATCGTCAGCAACGTTCTCTGTCTCTCGCAAACTCTTTGAAATGGAAAATACGTTCAAATAACATGCAATACAGAGAAACGCTAACATAAATTCATGGCCTCTAAAAGCATTTAACAAGGAAGCTTGAGCAACTTAAGAAGAAATCTACAGCCGTTCCAAATCAAACCCCGAAACTTTTACATAAAGTTTTGCCTTTTGACAGGAGTAAAGGGTTCTCTTGTTTGTTCCAAGGATGCAGCAACCCCAGGACCACGTGTTGCCAGCTCTGAATTACATCGAACATTCTATACTGCATGGCTCAACGGTAGTAGAAGACCAGATTCAAATTCACTGAAGATCTTTCCAAGATACAATTAAAAACAGACATTTTAGGCTTGCTATGAGTTCTGGAGTTGTTTGGTATCACAAGAACGCTAACTAAAAATAGTGATTGTAAAGGAAAAGTCTCTGTACTGCAGTGATATATAAATACACGAAGAAACACGACAATTTGCCAATATACAGGGCTCTATGCTTTAATCACGCCACACATACGTAAGCCATAATCCATTTTTGTTTTCAGAGAATCTCAATAATCAATTTTCAATTTGATGATTTTCAACCTTCCAACCATTGCTGGCGAATGATAACATACATTATTTCTAAATTTAGGCTTCGGTTCTTTTTGGTTACTAAAATAACAAACTTTATAAGCAGCTTTGAAATAATCAATTTCTTATTTGCGCTAATGAATTACAACATTAGTTTAAATAATATATTTTTAATTACTTCTGAACAACACCAAATTCTGAAACAATCGAATAATTTTTGTGATTCATTGGAAAGAACAAAAACTGAATTATTTGAAAAAAGAATTAAGTAGATAAAGTTTCTAACAAAACAAACCAAACATGACAACCAAACAAAGTTTCTAAACACTTTGATCATTCTCACTCTTTCAATTTTCTGCAATTTAAACTCCAGGTCAAGAATTCTTGAGTCTTTTTCAATGAAACTTTGCTCCAAGCTCTCAATGTGGTCCCGCAAGCCCTAAAATCACAAACCACAAAATAAATAAATTGTGTGTGTTTTTATAAAACTCATTTAAGGCTGTTATGTTAATTTTGGTACGTAATCAAAACCAACAATTATTTTTATAATAGATTGTGCAGAGACAAATCAAGTTAGTTACGTATAAAAAACTCTAAAAATCTAAGTTTAGAAACATATAAACAATAAAAAACGCAAGCAATGTTGTTTCAGTGTTCCCATGTCTCCTTGTTTATAGCCGTATATTAAGTAAAAGGATGACAAAGCATAGAAATAGAAAAATGTGGCACAGAAGGGCCGTCATCAAATTTTGAATAGAAGGGAAATAGGTTAAATAATTTTACCTATGAGATCGTAAAAAAGGGTTATTCTCAAGTAAATACCTCATTTGAAGAATCCTTTTCCTTGCAGACTGCACTAAATTCATCTGCACGCAATGCCATCTCCTTTTCTAGTCTCTGAGCCTTTTGTTGCTCTTCCTGTAAAAAGAAAACATAAACCATATCATAAATTGAGATTTTTTAGAACAGAGCTATTAAAATGAATTTAAAAACATAGCTCTATACATCTAGACATTAGAACTTGTAACTTTAAACTTATCAAAACCCTTGAATCCACAAAAACAAGGATTAATCAAGCTTCTTCAAGAGGTGTTTTTGAAAATAACAGAAAATGTACGAAGAAGAAGATAGCTTCAAAAATACTTTGCAATTTTCCGGGTTCTAGAGCCCCTTATAAAGGTAATAGATTTATCTGAATCTGATGTATTCAACTTACTTTGAGTTGATGTTGGAGATCATCCACATCTTCCATTGCTCTTTCCTTCTCGTGCAGATACATTTCAAGCTCTTTCACCTTCGACTTCAGTAACTAACGGGAATAGAACGATCGTGTAAGCTTTATTCATGAAATTCTAAAGATAGAAAAATAAAAAAAAACATTTTCTTCACAAGTGTCTTTAGAGTATCTTTATTAAAAGACATTTGAGAAAAAATTTTGAAACAGAATGTCGGAATATATAAAGCATGAAATCAGGTTTTAGTAAAGGACAAAAGGGTTTCTAGAACAAAAGCCAAACTAAAAAGCTGTATCAAATCATATATTTACTTGAAAACTCTCTAACTATTTCTAAGCACAAGTGTACAAAGTGACCTTGACGATTCTTTGCTTAAAAACGTATGAAATCAGTAAATACAGAGCTAGAAATTTCAATAATTTAAGAAAATGATTATCACGAAAAATAATAACACACAGAAATGCTAAAATGTTCAAAAAGACAAACCTTTCTTTCCTCGTCTGCTTCCATGAAGTTTCGACGCAAATCGTTATTGTCAAAATCAAGCCGGTCTACAGTTTCGTTCTTTGCTTCTATATCACTGGAAAACTCTTTGCGCTTAAAAAACAACAACAATTAATTGAAAATAAACTCTAGCACCATAAATAACAGAAAAAGCTAAGCAAAAGTTGTGAAAATTTGATTTTCTATGGCGATCTTACCATATCTGCATTATCTTTAATCAATTTCTTCACTTCTTCTTTCTTTTCGATCAGTTCTTCTGATGCGCTATCAAATTTTCTTTGTAGTTCCTGGACAGAAAATTTCGTAAGAAATCATTTCAATACATTCCAACAATAAAAAACCAAGGACCGTGAAACACAATATATGTATTTGCTAGAAACCCATTCTTGAAACATTCTTGAAATCAGGGGTAATTGAATCATCATATATCTTAACTCTTAAATGTTTATTAATAAGAAGTAGGAAATAAAGGAAAAATCAAACAATTCATAAAGACAAAGATCGGAAACCACATTTTTATCTTTTGATAGTGAAAGACAGTTTGGCGAAAACAGTTTTTGGAAGCGAGAAAGAACCAATGTTTAAGGTCAAGGGATACAGATCAAAGGGTCTGGGGTTCGAGTCCCTCTTGACATGACCAAACATTTACTCAGGTTGAGGGGAGTCACCAGCTCTATTTTATTCCAGGTGTACGATTCACGAGGTGTGGTAACATCGAGAAAAGGACCAGGACACTGCTGGATAAACATAGCTTTGCAGTGTCCTAAAAACTACGTTCGGATGATAGGTAGAAACAAATACACATAAACAATTAAATCGAATAAAACAATATTGAAAATGCCTTTGGAAAAAGCAAACTTTCTAAGACGTTAAAAAGCTTTTTGTCTGACACTCTTCCGAGTATAATCAGAAACGCGAGTATGTGACTGTAAAGATTGCCAAATCAATGTCGCTTGCTACAAAATAGCTGTATTTTTACTTTTGGTAGATGGATTCTGAAAAAATATTGATTGATCATAAAATCACAGATCACATAACATAACAATCAAGTGGCTAAAAAATAATTGAATCAGTAAATCACGTACCATTAACTTTCTCTGCACAATCGATGCATCACTCATCAATCGATCTTTCTGCTTAACTTCCCTTTCTAACGCGCTGATTTTGTCTAGCAGCTCCTATAGGAAAAATTCCTCAAAAATATAATAATGCATGACAAATATTTTTCAATTTTAACATTCGAGCCGTCAATGAAACTCAGTAGAAAGATGAAAAAAACAAGGAAAAAAAATATAAGGTACAAACCTCGTTAGATTTAGCGAATTGGCTCATTTCATTTAATTTCTCGTTCTTTTTATTAATACTCATCTGCAAGTTTTGCACTTTCTCTGCTAACACCTATCAAAATCAAGATATCAGCAAACTCAGGCTTTCAACAAAAGTACTTGAAAGTTTCACGTACATAACAACATAAATTTGCAACAATATCAAATATAGAAAAGATCTATTCCGTTGTGTTTTAATTATAATAATCTGAATTGCAAAGCATGAGGGGTTCGTGATAAATTTGATTCAAAATAGCAGATGGTGTATTGTCAATTACAGTTAATTTTTTCAGATATTAAAATGATGATTATTCTTACCTCTTTTTCTTTCTGTGCATTTCGCAAAGAGGCTATTCTTACATCACGTGAATCTATTTCTTGTCTTAATTCAGATATCATTGAATTCAAACGCTGAAATAAAAGACAAATAACAAAATTCAAGTCACATAAAACCAATGATTCGCCGAAAAAATACACAGTAATAAATTATCAAGAAATTGATTTGATATTTTCAAAATAAAAAATGAATTGTCACGAAGATAAAGCCTCCTAAAAATACATGCCTCTATTTCTGCTTGAGAGATCTTCATTTTTTCACCCTCAGTCACTCTGGTTTCCAATGTGAGCTCTAATTGTTTCACAGTATTCTGTAGTTCCTGGACATAAGAAATTCTCTTGGTTACATTTGCAATACGCGCGGACAAGATCAAATCGATAAAATTAAATAAACTACAAATTGTTATAGCTTAGTTCCAAAAAATTAAAAGGTAAGAGATAATTGCTACTCAAAATGAGAGCATCCTATAAAATCCCATACTTTCACTGGAACCACCCGACAGGGTCCACTGGTGAATGGCAAGGGAAAGACTGTGAACTGCCACAGCTAAGTGTATACATTTGACATTATTTTTCGATTTTTAGCCCTAGATTTGGCATAGACATGAGAAATCAACCACATGTACCTTGAACATGACTCTCGTTGTGTCTGGGCAACAAATTTAAATAAAATTCGAAATATTTTTCAAAGCATCGACATTACTCTGAGACGACGTAAATTGAATGTAAAATTAAAACACATATTTCAGAAATTAGAATATTCAAGAAAACACTAAAAATGACTAACCTTGTTTTCTTCTTCTAATCGATTTTCATATTCAGCTAACTCGATCTTATTTTCTAGTGATTCGTTTTCAATTTGAACAATACGCCCTTTAAGAAGCTGAAAGAGATAATAAAATAAATATGAGGAAAAATATTGACATAATACAACAGATCAGATTCAAACAACAAAATTTTTCTGCTTAAGACAACTTTGATTGCTCACAGAACGATAGCAAGATTTCAAACTAGCTTTGGATAGTATCATCAGGATTATTTTATGACAAATGAACACAATCTGAGGACAAGGAACAGAAAAATTCTTTTACACACTCATAAAGTTAGACTAGAGTTTGTCAAGGACAGTTTTTGAACAAAGTAAACAATTTTTCGCGTAAATTTTACATATGAAGACATTTTATAAAACAGTTTTATCAGGTTTAAAAGGAGACATATTGATAGAAAATTTTATTAAGCTGAAATGCACATATCCTTTTAAATCATTGATTGATATTTGCTGATTGCAATGTCCTTGTTTCAGGTAGATGACACCATGGTTCTAGACTAAAATCACTGCTTTGTAAAAACTGCAAATGATTACTCAAAATGCCATACTTGATTTTCCTTTTCAACGTCTTTCAATTTATCCATTGCACTGTTTTCATAATCATTTTGCATCAGACCCATCTTGAAAATATAAAGCATACTCTTTAAAGGATAGATTTATTCGAACGAGATACATTCACAAAAGAAGGTGCAAATTCATTTCTTGATTCAGTGCAGATGAAGGTGACAGAAAGTAAACTGCAAAATGTCTCAACTTTACTTTAGATTGAAGGTCCAAAGATGAAAAAAGTTATAGACTAAAGATCTTGACAAATTTTAAAAAGTAGAATAGAAATAAAATTTGATAAATATTATTGAACTTGTAAATGATAGTCACAGTTTAAAAATGGTATAGATCGTTTCTTTTTTCATCTTTTCAAAATCCTGAGCTAGAAAGAGCTAGAAAGAGTAAGGAAAGGTATATTAAAAAAAGCATACTTCTTGAAGTTTTTCTAGTTCTCTTGCCTGGTTCTGAGTTTCTTCTAATGACGTTTTGAGGTTCTCAATTATCTCTTTCAGCACCTGAAAAAATGTTTAAAGTGGAGATATTGAAAAAGCACCAACCCAGTGCACGATTTCAATTCTTCTCTACTATTATCCATATATTCGTAATTGCTTGGGCTTGATTGAATACCCAAAACTAAGTTTAAGAATCCAAAAATGAAAGTAATTTGGGTCGTTGAAATCCTTATAAAATGCTGAGCTGACTTTTCAAAACCCTTTAAAGAATCGACATAGAAATTACGGGAAGACTCAGAATCTTTGGTCGTAAATTTGTATTGTAGCAAGGACGCCCGTACACTTGACCCAGATATTCAATGCTTTAAGCAAACTGCCGAGAATACATGGAACACCTATGCAAGAAAATACTGATAAAACAGTTTAAACGAATGACATCAAGCTTTGGCCAATGTGCCAAAAAAAAGTTAGATCCCAAATACTATTGCCATACTATTAAAAACGGGACAAAACATACAAATATACTAAATTCCTTTAATCTGATATGATAAAAGGTTAAAACATATCTTATGACGGCATTGCAATACCTTTTTCTCCCTCTCTTTCTCGTTCAGTTTATCAGACAGCGTTGCTATTTCTTGTTGGTATTCTTTGCTTTGTGACTGTCCGTTGCTTCCATCTCCTACCTGAGATCTCTGAATCAGAAAAAAACTTTCTAATTCAGTGATACCCCCTAATATAATTTTGATGTCTAGATACAGTTGCTTAATACAAAAAGATATGACTATGCGAAGAAGCGAAGCTAAGTTTATAGCAGTAAACAAACAATATAGGAAGTATCAGGTAATAAAATTGTTAGACATGGTTACTTGTCGTAACTAATCGTAACCAAGCACCAACAAGTTAAAAAGGTAACAAGGTAGAAGGAGCAATAAAACACTAACCAAGGTTTCTTCTGCACCATGAAGCTCTGTTATTCGTGTGTTTTGCTCATCGACTTTTTTTTCAAGAATTTCATTTTGACTTACAACCTCCTAAAACGGATTTGAAGTTCGTTTTATTTGATGCCTTATGCACGTCATCAACAGCATTTTATTTCAGGAACAGCTAACAAAAATCAATAAAGTGGAGTCCCGATACGTCGGACCTTCAATGGAGCAAGGAAAGGTCTGACTCAGCGAATGTCCGGTGTATGCTGGATACGACATATGACTTACGACTTATGACTTATGTATGGAAAATCCGGATGGAGTTTAAAATCAGTCCGACTTAGTGAAATGAAAACATGAACATTTGCAGACTTTTTTGCTTGTTAAATGCGTCATTAAAAGAAGCTTTAAACAATATTAAAGAAATTTAACTTGGTGCGAGATTTTTTATCGCTATCGATTAAAAAGTGAACTCAGAGTCAGGAAACTAAGCACATGGGGTTACTGAAGCTATTATTGAGACAAAAACTAATTTGGTAATGCACTTCGCTTCGTCTGGAACTATTACCTTAAGCCTCTTTTCAAAAGATTGGTTGGTCTTTCTGGCTTTGAACAATTCTTCTCGCTTTTCTTTAAGCTCGTTTTGAAGACGTTCAATCCTTTCTCTTTGGCCATCATCTTGCTTCAAAGATTTCTGGAGAAGTGATTAACGATACAGAAATATTAAGAAAACTGTTCCCAGTCGTTATTGTCCCATACACGTCTCTAAATTTAATAAAATTTTGACTGTAAACGTTGGTTAATTGATTAATAGATAAAGTCATGAACAACAGAATTTATATTCACAGCTGTGTGACATCTTTAAAAAAGATGAATGTTTAAAAACCAGCAAGAAAAGATATTTCTATGTGAGCAAATTTTCACCCTCTGCTAAGACGAATAAATTGAAGATAAAAAATTAAGAAGATCCCCTTAAAGAAGACCTGACTGGCATTACCTAGCAACTCATCTAATCTACAGAACAGTTCTTTATGGTGCTTTTATTGCATAATACAGTGCCTATAAATTATAGACGAAACATTCCTAGAGCAAGGCAGAGGAATTCAATGATTATGTAAACACATAAAGAGACAACGTAACCGTTGATGAACAGAGTTGACTATTTTCAACAGCTAAACTAATCGATGGCACATCCACGGTGCTCATTCAAATGCTGTGAACACATTTTATAACAGTAAGGTAAAATCTCAATATTTTTGAACAAATAATTAATGAAAATTAATGGCAAATTCCAACTGGAGACAAGATTTTCTTTCTTAACACATGCACAGCAATACGGACTTGTGTAAACCGAACAAGAAAATTGTTGCCAGCAAACCAATGAAAAAGCCATGTCACGCAGACAGAAAGTTCAAGGTTGCAGGGAAAAGCAGATTAACAATAACATTTACCGTGTTTCACATCAAAATGTGCAAAATCCTATGAATATCACAGTAAAAAAAACTGGATATGTGTGCTCCGAAAGAACCTAAACCTTAAATCAAATCTTACATACATGTATGAATAATATTGAACTGGAAACTTCTACAAACTCAGTATAGCAAATATCAATTTAGTTATTTTGATATTTTGCTACTTGTTTTTGACCAAAACACGAGCATATGTTTAACACCTGAAATGATGATCAAACTACTAAACTGTTAACTACTAAAGATACCATACCTCTGGCGATCCAAGAAAATTCACTCTTACAAGCTTATAAACAGCAGGTCTTGACAATGAACTTGCTATCTTCAAGAGATTAGCCTCCATTGGAATTTGAGATTCTTGCGTGCCCTCCGAGATTCCTTGAAGGACGAAAAGATCTTATTATCAGTAAAAATAATTCCAAATATTTTCAATTCATTTATAGCTAGGCATTAGGCGTAGAACTTATCATTAGTCGATGGACGTTAAAAACCGGGAGAGGGAGGTGGTTGTATCACAGTTGTTAAACATTATCTTGTAGCAAAAACCTGGATCTGTCTTCAGTATCGTTTCATAAGATAATTGCACTCAGATCTTCCTGATATATGGCAGTTGTGTAGGCCAGTGTCAGATTATACCAAGGACGCTCTGGTTATGTTTAAGCGAAAAACGGTAAATTAACTTCATTGCCTCACGTCAAGAGCAAAAGCTACATTTTGTAAGGACATCATTAAATTCCTTTTTCTTTTATACCAACACATCTCTCTGTTAAATATTGGGCCTAGCCATGGGTGAGCTTCTAGTTTTTGGTTAAAAAGGAGCACAGTGTCAAAATATAATAGAATATTCTAAAATCAGAAGAGAATTAACATAAAACGCTATGGGATTATAAAAAAATTACCTTGTTTTTGGTTCTTCATTGGATACAACGAGAAGCACTTCACTGGATCGTGGTTCTGGAGTTTCTTCAAGGATATCGCAATAATCTCTGCACAAGTCGTTTTCATTGTTGTTTCAATTTTCACAGATCTTTCATCGTTTAAATTTTCATCTGAATGCACGATCTACGAAACAGAAAATCGTGGACAAATCACTACCTACGGAATTTTTGCAACTTTCATAGAAGAACCTAAAGCAGATACTGAATGCAATTTGCAGAACACATTAGTTTCAGTCGATTTGATGACAAATTTAATCATATTGTTTGTTGTAAAAAGACTTACAATGACCGATCCTTCAGATTTCTTCTTCAACTCGAATTTGTAGCGTTCTGCATCGGGCCAACGGCATTGCAACACAAGAGGGCAATCGTCCTCATTGAGAACAACTTCAGGTACTGAAAAAAATGAATGCATTTTGGAAATCATCTTTATGAACTTGCAAGGTACGCTGGATTTGGAGCAATTCAAGATACTCAAAATAAACGATTCTTTATAGCTGCATTAAGCCGGTGTCATATGCGTTTCGGTAGCCTTATGCATTTCGGTCTGGGTACTCAAACGCATGGCAATTTTGGTTATGCAAAATCGTACCCAAGCACTTAAACAATAGGGTACCAAAACGAACGTGGAATTGTGCATGCAAAACGGTCCAGGTACACAAACGCATGGCAATTTTGCTTATACAAAAACGTACCCAAGCTTTTAAAAAACAGGGAACCGAAACGAATGGTGGAATTTAGCATGCGAACGCAAGGTCTGGGAACGCAAATGTTCTTGTTCATATTGTTCAGAATGTAAAGAACAATCGAACTATTTCTAACAAGGGGGTACTAACAAGAAAGCGGTGCTATGATTTCCCTTGTTAAGTTTATGCAAAAAAGTACAACATTAATGGCGACTCCAAAGTTTTCTTAATTGAAAAGTGTGAAATTTAAACTAAAAAAGCATTGTGTTCAATTTGTTAATTATAACGTGGAAGCAAAACATAAGAGAACAACCAAGTTATACTAATCAACCTGGTCGGATCGGAGGCATTCTCGTCTTTCTTTGATGGTAATTTACTTCGCAGAGGCTCGTATTATGCCTTGGTTTTGTTACGCAGTTCATCTGGTTGAGTCGCCAGGGCATGCGGATTGCGGACACGCGTAACCTGTAATCTTAAGGCGAAACCACCAGAAATATTGCGATTACAGACCAATAAACCAAGAATACAGGCCTGTATAGGCTTTTCACCTATCATTTACAAGGCATTGGTGGTTCAGTGGTAGAATTCTCGCCTGCCACGCGGGAGACCGGGGTTCGATTCCCCGCCAATGCAGTTTTTGCATTTTGAACTGCCCCCATCTATTGCTTCCATTCATGCCAGAATCACACTTTTCTTGGAATACAGCCTATATAAACTTCGCAATAAAATTCCCCTAAAGAATGCTCGCAAATAAAGTGGCAGCTTTAAAAATTACAACAAAACAAGATGTTTTGAACTGCTTTCTCCAAAAAAGTTGTAAAAAGCCAGCCAGAACATCATATGCCATCCAAAGTCAAGGGGCCTGAGCAATTAAGGCACCCTGTCTCTTGGGGTAAAGTCGAATCAGTTGGCTTTTATCCATATTCAGGGGGGCAAAGCTGAAGAAAATTGTTAAGGGGTGCAGAGCCGTAAATTTACCGACAAAATGGCCTTTTAAAGGTGTAACATTTGGCAATGATAAATACAACGTGACCAAACTGCTTCCAGTGAAATCGTACAGTGATTCATTTGAAAATACGCAAACAATTTTTGGCAAAAATAAAGTACATTTATGAATAAACTTGTTCTCGCTATTGATATATCTTCGAAGTTGCATACATTGCAGCAGAAGATAATGAACTAAGATTTTAAAAATTTGCTGAGAATGTTTCTACTGTTTTCAAATGCTTGTGATATCGTTGTGAAGAGATTTGTTTCCGTTAGAAAGCTGTATTTGATGGGGAATGGGAAGCATATTTTCATTCTCAGTGTCTAAAGTTTTATGCCAACCAGTAAATCATATCGATGAATTTTCACAAAATTTTGGAGTTGGGCTTGTTCAATTATTTCTAACTTGTTTGCTGTGAGTACTGAAGCTCCTTTTTTCTGACTGTCCGGTTCTAGTTGCTTATAGCGATTTTCTTATAACAAAAATGAGTACATAGCAGTAAATCAAAACTTTTTCAAACCTGGAATCAAACAGAAATGACCGTAAGAAACTGGATAAACAGCCCTTACCTGACTTCGAACTATGTGATTGAACCAAATAAAAGCAGTTAGCATCTTCAATCATGTCAAGTTTCTCTAGCAGAGTCTTCGTGACATCCTTGGCTGTAGTACTTGAAGTAACCAGCAATGACACAGCACTGGAATCTTCGGCCTTTGATCCACTGCCTGCTTCAACTGCGTACGTCCAGATTTTGACTACCCCTTGTGGGCTTGACTGCAAAAGATACTTCAATGAAGAATCGACTAACTTCTTCCTGCTACTGAACAATCTGGCAAGTCTACCAGACCCATTCCTTCTGAATGAAAACGCTCCTTTTAAGAAACTCTTCTTTTTAAGACCTTTTTTCTCTTTCCCCCCTACTGAAGGACTTGAGTCTACAGATGCCCCTCGAATATTGTGTTTCTTTCTCGAAGGAGAGACACTTTTTGAACGCTCGTTAGCAACGCCATCTTTTTCCGTTGATGGTGAATACTCACTCACGGCTCTTCTATAGTTTTCTTTACCTTTTGTGGACTTTTCGGACTTCTTTCTTCCTCCACCGGACAATTTCGGAGAAGGTGATGGTAAGTATTTATTCTCTTGGTCTTCAGTTGACATTCTCAGGGCTTCGAGAATTGCTAGCATCTTTTCACGGTCGTATCCAGAGGCGTTGTCTAAGGCATCTAGAAAATTAAATACCTTGATAATCGTCTCGTTTTTTTCCAGAAAATCTCCAGAAAATCATTGATGAATGTTTATCCAAACGTTTACGGATTTACAAAGACTTCTTTTGATAAAAAAGCCTGCTGTCGTGAAATAGAAAGAAAAGTAACAGAAACTTAGTAAAGGAGAAACAGTCAAATTAAGGGCCAAACATACCAAGCAAAGACATTTCAACATCCATATCTTCGGGATTTTTCAGCGAATATATTTCAGACAAGACTAATTCTCGATCTTCAAGGTTTGTAATTCCCATTTCATCTATAAACAAAAATGCGAATCTGTTATGACAAATCAGTGCCAAAATCAGCTGGGACAATATCAGTGACATAACCAACAAGGGTCTCCCTTGAGTTGGTCATTGGTTATTGATCAGAAAATATCGTGTTTATTGCAAATACCAGTCATTGTGAGCCACTTTTTACAAAAAGGGCCATTTACAAATAGTAAAGATTTAAATAGAACGATTTTTGCTCGAAGGTGACTTTTCGCATGTCTTGGACATGTGACTCCGGTATTCCCTATGTTCCTAGAGGCATCAAGATGGAGGTATTAGCACTTGCAACAAGAGAGGTGCTTATCCAAACAAGTACACTACTCAATCAAATGCTTAATCAGGACTAGCTGAGTTCTAAACCTGAAAATACAATTAATGAACTTCAAAATGTCATTTATCAGTCGAGAGCAATCGATAGGAAAGTTCAAGTAATAAAAATTATTTATTCGGTATTTGCTCTACGGTTTATATGGCACTGTCTAACTTTACTGTATTAAATAGTTGCTCAGTAGCTATCAGATACTTATTAGAGTGGCAAAGTAATGAGACCCCAAAGGCATAGCTTTAGAAATCTCTTATTACAACCCCATGAGCAAAAAAACCACTAAATGTTCAAAATCAGTTAAATTTCTTACGGATCGCCTGAGATATGGCCAAAGTTTTAGAACCAGGGTCAAACTACAGCAGATTGATGGAGGAAAAGCTTGTACTCATGTATCGATTTCTCAGATAATCATCAACAGATCTAAATGACATTGCGAATGCAAAGGATTTCGATTGTTTTCTCTCAGGTTATATGTTTAAAATCCAAAATTTAAAAAAAAAAGATTTTTGTGACGTCATGACTTTGCCTCTCTTGACAGTGTAAAAATATTTTATGTAAACAGAAAATAAACATTACTGTTTAAAGCGTTCAATGGCATATACAGCTAGGTGTACACTCTTGGATGTGTAGAGCAGGACGGCTTTAAGTTGCATTTACTTGACGATCGCATTATGCGTACACAGCAAAGTATGTAAATAGGACATTTCAAAAACCAGGCTAAATAAAAGAAGGTGTAACATACCAAGCAGATGCAAGTCTATAGAAAGCAATTCTGGTCCCCCTATCTTCCTTTCTAAAAAAGCAAACGTTCGTGTTTTTAATTCAATAATCTTTGAAGGACATATGAATTGATTTGAAGGCTTTTGTGCAGCCGGCATGCTTTACGGCAGCTGTTTCGTCCATGCAAAAATAAACGGACTGTATTTTGTTTTTTAATGCACTACGATATTGGAACGGTTTTCAAAATGTTTTCGCAAATCATGCCGGTTGTACAAAAACCTTAAAGACTCTAGAGAAGTTTTCCAATCCTGAAGGTTCCGAAAATTTTGTATTCAAAGCATCCTGTTTCAATCTGCTTAGAGTTAGTACAGGCAAATTTTACATTTGCGCTCAATTTACATAACATAAGAGATACTTATATAGATACATAAGAGAGCGCAAGCACTGCACCTTGAAACCATTCGACATTAATGCAAACTCCCATAAAAAATAACTATGTCATAGACATTTCGGGAAGACATAGGCCCGCCTCCCTTAATTTTTATCGCGCCTGCAAAAATATCTGACAACAAAAGAGAAGTCATAGCAACAAATTTGGGCTTATCGCTCCTTTTTAAAAACTAGAGATCTTTGTGGTTCTTTTACTTGAGGTTTGAAAACTCGTGCCTAGTTAATCTGGGGATGGGCCTCGTGGCTAGTTACTTTACAATGTTGAATTCTACATGATAAATAACGAACCTTCAAACTGCGCTCGCAGTTCGACAAGACCGATCATTTCTAACCAGTCACCAACATCTTCAGTTGTCCATTGATCAAGTGGTATGTTGTTGATTCTAGAATCGAATGCATCCTGCAACACAAATAACAATATTTATCTTTAGAAACTCGGCAGCAGAGTTTGGGGGAGGCGGCAAAAATTAGGCCATCACTTTTCACTGTACGAAAACCTCCTTTGCCAACAAAGAACTTCATTTTTACCAATAAAGAACGCACCTACTAACTTCTGCCTACGTAAAGGCAATCTCAAAATCAAAGAGTCAGATCGTAAAGAATACTTGCAAAAGAATCTGTGATACCAGACTTAACCCCTCCCCCAATACTTTCCTAACCCGCCGAGAACTGGGGAAGGAGGTATGCGTCCTCTTGAGAATGTGTCTCATCGCTATTTTTTTAAATATATTTATGCACAAATTAACCCTTAGGCAAATTACAATCCACGCAAAATAAAAATAAATCTAATTAAGAATCTAATTACATTGATAACAAGCCTAACAGTTAAAGATTATAAGACCTACAAATCTTATCTACCTATTGCTGTTCTTCCAGGGAGTTATGTTTTAGTGTTAGCTCTTTAGATACATTTTAAGTTGTTTTTTGAAACGATCTAGTGTCGGTAGTTCACGAGTTTCAGCAGGTGTGTCATTCCAAGATTTGAGAGCTGCATAATGAAAGCCCTTTTTGCAAATTCAGTTCTATATCTAGGGATCTGGGGATCTTTACAGTGCCTCGTATTATAAGTCAAGTGAAAAGATTTTGGCTGGTGTTTACCCCTTAGGCTTTCAGGGCACAGTCTGTTCATTATCTTACAGGTCATTGTGAGGAAACGCAAAGCAACCAAAGACAATATTCTGTCTGGACAAATAAGGATAAACCAATGAAATCTTGTTCTGTCCCATATATTGCCATATGTACGCAAAGCTCTTCTAACTGTCAAGAAACAATGAAATAGTCATAGAGACAAGATTAAAGCAGGTTTGTCGTCATAGAAATGACATGTTTATATGAGCATTTGGAATGAAATGTCATAATCATTTTTACCTCGATGAGGTCTTCACTTGAATCAATCTCTGAAGCGTTTTCATCTTTGTCACTACAAAAGTGAATCAATAGTCATCACTACAATCAGCTTGTATCAATAAACCAACAAAAATCGCATTGATAAAAACATAAACGATAACTTGTGAAAAAAAGCTAAAACAATGATTCTCCTGGGTACTCCTTATGTAACAACAATGTAAGAAAATACGTCAAGAAATCAATCTAGGAACTTTGAATAGATAGGTTTTTCAAGAACTGTTTTGTGGTTTAAGACTATCTGTTATTTCAAAGAAACTGATCTCAAAAACTGGTATTGGTCTACTAAAACAAAACTATGGATCATGCTTGCTCAATTTCGCTGTACATTGTAATGCAATTTATAAAAGACCCATGAAGATGGCGACATATTGCCTTCAAGAGAACTAAGAATGTGGGAAGAAAGGAGATTCCTTCGTCAAAGCAGAAGATACAAAAGACAGGCAAATCACCTGGTCAAAGGAACGCTAAAATCCAATTCAACTGCTGCCTCTGTATTGCCCAAGAAATCTTCAGCAGCATCACTACTATGAGTCAAAGTTCTTTCTCTCATCAGCTGTACGATGTTGACCTTTTTATCGTCATCTTGTTCATCCCCTGAGCTACTGCAAAATGATGACCATTTTCTTGGCACAAACAAATTTTCAGGTCCGCTCCTGATTGAACTAGAAACGGAAGATTTCCGCGAAGAGGGTTTTCCAGAGTCTGGCAGACATTCAACTGACGACCAGGGAGAGAGCTTGTTTGATTCAGCTGGTCCGAGCAGCTCATCTGAGGACGAGGTCTTTGCTTCTTGAGATTTAAGAAATGCATGTTGAGATAGCTTGGCATTTTTTGATTGTGAGACGTTTCCTGGCAAATCATCTGTTTCGTTCAATACAGGTATGTCTGATATCCCTATTGGTGCATACTCTGCTGTAATATTTTTCTCGGAAGAACAATTCGATAACTTCCGCTCTGGTAAACTTTTATTAACAATAGAATAAGGTGGTTCACTACAAACATCTCCTTCCCTTACATCCAATGCTCCGAGCTTCAGTGGTTGAATCACAATTCGTTCATCTATTCTACCATCGTTCTCTTCATCAAAAGCTGATTTTGCAATATTAGCTGGAGTGTTTCTTTCGCTAAATGACTTTTTTCGCTGCTTTCCTTTTTCTGAAATCATTTCTCGATAATCTAAAGACTCCTTGACTTCGTCTGCGTTTAACTGATCTTGATATGAATCCAGCAAGTGCAATGGCATTGACTCTACATCAAACATTCGCTCTTCTGGCGGTTTAATATTTTCTTCTAAGACAATAGATTTTGAATTTTCAGCTGAGCCTAACACATTTATACTCTGATCCATTTCTTTTTTATTGCTTTCAATATTTTCTGTCTCTATTGAATGTCTTGAAGAAGACTTATATTTGTGTTTGCTATCAACAGCATGGTATAAATTTTCTGGCCCTTCTCTATCTTCTTCATTTCTTTTCTGCTTTCTGCTTACACTTTCTGTTCCTTCACTAGCACTTGTCTCAAATCTATGAGCTAATGACAAGACACTTTGTCTTGCCCCAATTTTGTCATAAGTATCATTACTTTCAGTTAAGAAGTTGATTTTGCTCTTGTCAGATTCCTTATCACTGACTTCAATTTTCTGTTTGGGTTTACTTTCAGCTATTTCAAAACTTGATTTTTTCTCCAAAAAATCTGAAATTGGCCTGGCTTTTTTTGCATCAACAATTAAGTCTGTTTCATCAAAACCCTGTTCTATTTCATTTTCAAATCCTTCTGAAGTCTGCTGCTGTTCACTAAATCCAAAAGTAGAATGAAATGAGTCAAAATGTTTGCTAGGTAGATTTGCATCAAAATCTTGGGTAGCCATTTCTGAGTCAGTTGGCACTGGTGCAGCTGGAGGAGGTGGGCATATGTCCATGTCATCGTCATCACTGCTATCTCCATAAACTGTTGGGGGATCAATAATACTGGAAAAAATATTTTCATCGTCTTCGTCCATTGGAGGAGGAGGAACAATTGGTAGCATATCCACATCAAAGTTCGGGACAGAATGAAGAGGAAAATTACCATCTATGAAGAAGTAGAAAGAAATTAACAAATGGCTACAAAGTAAGCTTGAATGAAACATAAACAAAGTGTTATTTTATTGTTCTGCATATAATGAATAGGCTTTTTTTCTAAACTCTAAACAATCTAAAACATTTTCAGAAGCTTTTTGAATCTTCTCTTTTAAGGCACAAGCTAAAACATTAGCTGGTAAAACAAAATGATTCAAATTAAATGTTCACTTTAAAACTGCTTCTAAATAAATGAATTGGTTAATTCATTTGTTATTGCTCATAATGCTTTTATGAAGCAAGTTTAAACTTTGAATTTCAATTCAAAATCATCCTGTTATATAGAACAAATAGTGTACAGCTCTCCCTATACATCATCTGACACTCTATGACAGACCAGGAGACAGTAATTTTTATTTGATTTTATACTTTTTAATAATACATAAAATTTTATACCATACTCCTAACCCTGTTTGGCATTTAATGATGCTGATTCTGGTTCAAAAGTGAGAGCAAATTGAGCTTTTTGACTGCTAGGTTTACTGGGAAAAGGTGATGAAATACAGTATTGACAAAAAGAAGATATACAGAACCTTCTGTAAATGGCATTTCCACAACCCCTGCAAAAGCATCATCATATTGGAACTTTTTCTGCAAAAAAGTAAAAAAAAACATATATGTTAAAAGCCTTTTCTTTTTATAATTTATTTGTCTGATTTCAACAGTTTAGGACATCTGCATACCAGAACAGCTATAGCAGCCAGAAAAAAAATCTTACAGAGCCTAAAAAGTTCCAAAAACACACTTTCCAAATAGTTCAAAAAATAGCTTTTTGAGTAACAAGCAGTAATATAAATATGACCCAAGACAAGAAGTGAACTACATAGTCAAATTCAACAGCAGTGGTGCAATTACACTTTCCAAAACAGCAGAGCATGAATGTGTAAAAACTTTTACTATAAAACATTGAATTTAATTAAATTCCAATTGAATTCAAAAGAGCAAAGAAATAAATATTGAATAATTTTTACTTTGCTTCTTTGTGAGTGACTCATTTTAAAAAAATAACATTGGTGCTTTTTCTAATCATAGATTAAACAAACCTCTTGAGAATCTTTGATAGATGATGTAATAGTGGTATCAACATCCATGAAATTCTGCATCTGATTTTGAAGGAAACCAGGGGGGCCATCAGTTGTACTAAATACTGTAGATGTCAAGCCTCCTGAAACTTCCTTTTCTGCTGCTTTTGACAATATTTCAAAAGAAAAATTGGAGTCAATATCTTGAGTAACATTTTCAAGGGTCGATTCTGTATCTGATAAATGCAACTGGGCTGACTTCTGATCACCCTTCTGGTAAACAGCTTTTTTTGTACTTTCATGCCCTCTAGATTCACCAGTGCTACCAATTAGTTTTGTTTTATTGAAACTCACTTGATTATTGTTTTCCTCATTTTTCAAATCATATTCAGACTCTTTTTTGACTGCAAAAGAATGTTGGTCCCTTTGTGGGATATCATGCAAATTGTTAGTGTTACTACCATCTTTATAAGATCCTTTCCTTGTTTCATTTATACTTTTTGTATTTTCTTTAATAGCCGGTCTGTTATTTTCATCTGTTTTACCCAATGGTGGAAAAATATCACCTTTTGGCCTGCCACTTTTTTCTGACATAGGTAATCTTTCAGAGGTTACAATATCTCCATTTTTATTTGGGTCAAAATCTAAATATTCTTCATGCTGCAACTCTTCTAGAAATTTAGAATCATTTGTTGTCAACGATTTAAAACCACCATCAGTATCTACAACCAGCCCATTCATATTGAGGTTATCATTTTGTAAGAGATTTTCTGGCTTCTGCTCATTTTCTGCCAAAATGTTCAGTTCTCTTGTATCAAAACTATCCTTAGATAAACTTTCCTCCTCCTCAAATGAATTTCCAGAAGATAAAACTGAATTGACTGGCAATGGACAGACTGGTGAAATGCTCAAATTCTGAAAATCATCTAGGTCCAAATCAGTTTCCAATAGACCATCAATAGTTTGAAGACTTCCTTCATCACTTTTTAGGCTGGTTTGCGAGGAATACCTCCTAAACGATGGTATAGATGACTTAATGTCTGTATCATCATTACTCTCTGATATGGAGTCAGTATTCATAAATGTTCTTGAGCCCCTTCTAACTGGAGATATTATGTGTGATCTACCCTTTCCATTAGAAGTATTGGCATCTTTTCTGCGAGAAAGTGAAGAGGCTTTCAATCTTTCCGAAAATGATAGAGATGCTTTTGATGGACTATTCAACTCTGTCTTCTGTTGCTTGCTAGAAATTTTCTCTGCAGTAACCTGAGCTGAACCACCATTGTCATTGGATTGCTTTGGATTAAATTCCAATGAAGTTGGTCTTCCATTAACTGACTTTAGTGCAATGTCTGGTTTTGTTGGCAAGAGTGGTTTTGGTGCAATGGCTGGCTTGCTTCTAGTAGTACTATCAACAATGGAGCTAGTTTTGGACTCCTGTGCTCTATCATTTGGTAGGATGTTGCTTGAAGCGGCTTGCATGGAATTAAGGTTAATTTTTGGCTTCTTTGGGACAGGCGGAGGTGGCAGTTTCGTTGGTACCTTCCTTTGGCCCATCATAACTTCTGGTGAATGGTCTTTGTTTTGATCCAGCAATGGCGTGCTCACTAAATTACGCTTCAGATGACTCCGAGATGGTACTGAATGCTTTCGAGAATTATTTTTAATCCTGCTTTTTGTCACATGTACCAAAGGTTCGCTCTTTACCGGCAAATCCAACATTTGTTCCATGACAACACAATTTGGTTTGGGTTTAATCTAAGTTTCCACTTCTTTGAAGTTCAAATCTTTGACAAACGAGTGTTAGATAAATGTTGACAAACTCAAATAAGTAATGCTAACTAAAATTTGAAACCTCTCTTCATGTTAACGAACCAGATCCATAACGTAGGCTTTGAAATTAACTGTTTCCTCTTTGCCTACGTCCCATCTCTCGTAGAAAACTTTCTCGTTAATTGACAAGAACATATCTTCGTGCGTGGCGTTTACTCTCACTAGCTTATCTGAAGCGAATCCGTTGAAACTGTGAAGGCAGAATTGTTAACCGAGAGAAGGATTTCAAAAGAACATTGTAGGAAACAATGAAGCCGAATAAACACCTCTTGTCTATCACCATTGAGACTAATCAATTCAACTGAATTTGTTTATTCATGGTCATTGGAAATACTTCATGTAATCGCGATACCAAATTTGCCTCCGCTGCGGTTTGCTGTCTCTGCAATGGCGTCAAGATATATACTCCCACATAAAAAGTATGATTTTTAAAAAGAAACTTGATAAGAGCTATGAACATCAGCAGGATAAAAAATGATCTTGGATTTCTTAAGTTTAAAAGTGAATAATCAGGGAAACATTTCTTGCACTTTATCATTTCCTCGGAGGGCAGCTTTTCTTAGGCTTTTTTCTGGTTCCAGGAATGTTTTTAAGGTTCGGTCTCAGTGGAATTTAGAAGCCAGATGCATAATTTATCAAGCACATTGCATTAAAATTTTTATATATCTGAAAAACGCATATTTCAATGAGTAAGATATCGTGATATGCGCACTATTTGGTCAAAATTAAATAATATACATTTTTAATGATTCAAATTATCATGTTTTTCTTGATTATTGTTTGAAAGCCGTGCATCAGGGATGGCGCCACCGGGGGTGCTTGGGGGGGGCAGGAGCCCCCCCCCCAAAATTTATTGAGCCCCTCCGTCGGCACTTCAATTTTTGAAAAATTTTAAGCAATGTCGGCACTTGCACTTTATGATTTTCTTTCTTGTTTGATCTTTTTTCAGTTTTTTTTTTCATTTTTTGAACTGGAATTACCACAGCGGAAATGGTGTTAAATTAGATCTTTGTTGATGGTTCACTCACTGTCGGCACTCTGAAATTACAGCCCCCCCAGCATTTCTTTTCTGGCGCCATCCCTGCCGTGCATTGGTGTGTTGTCACATTTATTAAAATATTCCATAACATGTAAAATTTCACTGCTATTATTAGTCTCCTTTCTAATAAAAATTGCTACAATCACCATGAAAACTCTTGACCTTATAAGATTGCACCAACGTTCTTTAATTTACAAGAAACTGGTTTATAAGAAACTACTACTAGGATGCCCCAAAACCTAAGAAACTTTAGTACTAGGCTCAGGAAAAATCACGAAACTATAAAATTCCATTTTTAAAAAGTTTTAATTTGGTTGATCTTTCTTTGGAAAAGATAGCATACATTGAATTTTGATCTGCATGGGGTTTTTTCGTGACAATCTGGGTTTTTATTCTTCCAAAAATGCTCAAAACCAGAACAACAAGACAATTTAATGTCCCGAAAATAAGAAGCCAACCGGGAAACTTTTAGTACTAGAAAGCAAAAATCTTGATACCAGATACCAAATTAATGAACTTTAGCACTTAGTGCTGATCGAAGTTTCTTTAAAAATAAAAAACGTGTAGTCGATGCTGGTGTTTTCTTCATAGTTCTATTGTCAAATTATAAGTTTATCAACCAAGGTAACGCTAATGAAATACCCGAGCGATGAAATTATATCCTTTAGAGCTTGGCAATCATAAAAATACAACAATATAAGACAGAGTAATAATGAATGATTAAGCTGTGAACGTCGGCGCTAAGATACAAAAATATTCGTTAGGACACGACAGGGAAAAAACACGGACTTAATTACTGCATACACGTGCTCGTTGGTAATTTTTATCTTAACATTAGAAATTCTATGTACGGGGAAACAACCACAACGACGAAAACAACAACAACAACAATACAATTGCCATCAGTTCAAAGTCCTTTTCTATTCAGACATCTTATTGAATAATTTAAAATTCTACCAACAATAAAATGGGAAAAATTCGATTAATTCCGAAGCTGTCATATTAATTGAAAATAACACTCCTAAAAACGAAAAACCCTAATCAAGTAAAATTTCCTTGGAATAAAGGCACTGGGCACTTAATTCGTCATCATGATTTGGAGCAGTTTGAACTAAGGATCTCTCAAAAGACGCCATTTTCGGCGAGAAGGCGGTCGACTAACAAGGAAAACTGTAGCTCAAGTTAAAATTAGTTTCAAACTAGTAATTTTAATCATACTAAAATCATTTTAAAATTTGAATAATTGCTACATTGCAAGTACGAGCTCAGTCTGATTTTTTGTCGAGACTACTCGAAGATACAAGGGAGCTAAACATTCTACAGAAATCGGCTGAAAAAATTTACTTTACAACAAAATGTCAACACTTTATTTGTACCCTTAGCTTGTGCTGCATCGGGGAAAACCCCGAAACTCACTGCTTATCGACGTTACGCAAGCATTTTATGGCCAAGATAAATACATAGTTTAGAAATCTATCAAAAGCCAACAACACAAACACGAACTTTCGTTTTAGCTTTTTGATATCAGCTTTAATCTGCTGTATCAAAATGTTATAAAAATGCTAACAACCATTTCCATCGCTCCTAGCTATTACATTTACACCTTGGTTTTATATTTACCATTACATTGGCGTTGGATGACCCAATCCACAATGACGTCACTACAGAAAGCAATCACCAACTCTTCATAAATATCGCCCTAGTCACCTAGCTGCGAGTTCCTTTTCGAGCCTTTAAATGAAAAGGGTATCCTAAATGAGCTCAGTCTGTTATCCCTCTTGTCGCCTCCCTTAGGATCTTTCCTTCTGAACGGCACTGGTGATTCCTTTCCTATTTTACGCGATGTTTCTTCATCTGAGCAAATTGATACATTTGACGTTGATCTTGTTATATCTGGACCAGACGCGCCTTCGCTTAACAGCTTAGTGTCTGTAAAGCCAGTTACCATATTACCACGGAATGATAAAATGTCTACATTGTAACCCTGTGTGGATGATATTACCAAGGAGGCCACTGGGAAATCATGACCGAGGAATCGCGGGCTTGCTATATCGACGAATTTTCTTGAGAAGGTTCTACAATAAAAAAAACAAGAGTCTAAGCTAGTGACATAGAGGAAACGAAAGCAATGGATACAACGAAACGAGAAAGATAGTAGCTTAGAGTGACAACTTTAAAAAAAATGTTGAGTAAATGAGACCATATAAGTAATAAGATGAACTAACCTCACATCTTTACTCATATCTAACGGTATATTGCAGACCTCGAGAGAGCTGAAATGTGCAACGTATAGAAACGGTGCTCGATAATCTATACAAAAGAGAAAATATCATAAAAGATTTCAAATAAATACATTTTTACTCCCAACATCAATCAACTCACAATTACAAAGCGTGACACAGCAATGAAGTATTTACTCTAATAAAATTCGAGGGCAGCACGTCTGGAAAGGGTTCTTAGAATTTTAGCCAGGTGTCAACATCAAAAGAATGGGAGATATTTCGGCAGCAGAGCCGGAACAAAGAAAATTGCAGCTTCATACCAAAAGCTAAAGGAAGTCTGTTCCACTTCAAATCGCAAGGTCTTGTCCTTCGACCATCTTCGTCAACAAAAACTCCAAATTCTGCGAACAAAAGAAAAACATGACTAACATTTGTTGATTACAAAGGCCTCGAGAACATGAAAAAGAGAAACAAGACGCAAATTAAGCTGCAAAATGCCACGATCAAATGCATTATGATATATAATATAGCATATAAAAATTTAGAAAAGCCAACAGGTCCCCTTACCGTTGTAACACAACAAAAGCTCTTCTTTACCCATTGAATTTTTCACAGTGAAAATTGCTATGGGGAATGTGTGCACTTGCGTCATTCCAAACACTGCGAAGGCCAATGTTGTATCGCTTGAATCCAAAAAATCTGAAATAAAAAGAAACGCAATTTCTTAATGTGCTAATGAACATCTTTCATCAATTTAACAGATGTTGGGAAGGCATACAGAGGAAGCCTACTGGGTAATAATCATTGAGGTGGCACTTTTTTTGCTAATTCAATTCTTTTTCGTTCTGTTTTGCTGCCTATTTCACTGACTGTCGAAAGTAAACTATCTTGAGGTTTTTTCTTTTTTGCACAGCCATCACTAGATCACAGTAGGTTGTTAGATATGTAAAGCTTTAACCATTTGGCCCAGAAATGGTACTTTCGTATTCAATAGATGTATCACTGACGTTGAGCGGTAAAATTCTTGGATGAATCATCTGTTAACATTAAAGACTCAAGCAGATGAACGCATCTTAAAAGAGAATTAATCATCAATGATAGGAGTGATTAGGTAATCGATGATTATCATCGAGTATCACTAATCAAAAGATCTACAGTTATTAAGAATGCTAATCACTAATCACATGATGTTTAATGATCTAAGGTACCTTGGGGCGAGTTTAACTGCCTGACATCAACACAGTAGAACTTGTCAACGCCGTAAACCACATGAGTCTTTGTGAATTGTATGCAACTGCAGGGTTCAGCAGTTTCAATCTCCTGTTCAAAATAATTTCAAGATCTTGTTGTGAGAATTGCTATTCGGAGATGTACTTGCAAAAATATTAACAAAACATAAAGATCAAGTTGATAATAATAATGTCCAACAATGGTTAATCAATGGAAAGTTTTTTGCATTAGACCAGCGTTGCAACACAATGACAGCCGTTCAAAAACTGTAGCAATCGCCCAAGATGTGCTTTTGAACACCAATTTGCCTCAACACCGAAGAGAGAATTTCCGGTCACTGTTAAATTGTTCTTAAGTTGTTTTATCAAAATACAAAGCATATGCTTAACTTTAAACCTTAAGCCTAGACTATGGATGGGCAGGGCTGGATAAATTGAGTCTTACCTGCTTGAGAGCAAAAGACCCACTGTTATGACGTAATAACAGAATCTTGTTTGACAAAGCTGCGCAAATGTAATAGGCTCCAGATACCTATAAAAGAGACAATACACAGAGTAATTATAAACAAACACGGAAAAAATATAGCTAAACAATAAGAAACTGTGCATCTAGAATTATATCGAAGGTCAAATTCGTCAAATAAAACTGCTCTCTTTTTTATGAATACGCACAATTTATACATACACATAAGTTAGATATCAAAATCTTGACGAATGATTTCGGTTAAATGGAAGCTAAACCATCAACAAATAGAAATTTAAGTGGCAAAACAAGTGCCTTGAACAGGACACACAAGGTGTCACAACTCACTTTTCCGACGGCAAACAGGTGGCAATTTTTAACTTTCTCGATGACCTTTGAGTGAACGGATTGCGGTCTGCTTGAAGAGATCAAATGCCTCCATTTTGTCGATAATTCTTTTACTTCGATTCGACAAAGAAGACGGTCTTTACCTAGTGAAACGAATGAAAGTTTAGTGATATTAAATTCAGGAATAGAAAAAGAAATTGATAAAGAAAAAAATTTCAAAGTCGTAAACAGAGAATGTCCCGAGTTTAGTGTGGAAAAATAAATTTCGGTTCGCTTGTTTACTCTGCATTTTCAAAAGAGAGTTAGCTTAAAATTGCTGCTGGAAAAACAGAAACCCGACAATAGAAAACAAATAAGCATTTGAAAGTATATACCCGTTATCGCGATAATAATACCAAGAGCATCGATATGTGCCATCTGATACACGTTTCCAACGCCTGGTATTCCTATGGGCTTCTTCTTGCCTCCATTCCTGGTAGCAACTCCATACAAGGCGTCTTCTGCCCCAACAAGCATAATCTATGATAAAAATCGAAGCATACCGTGTTATTCTTTGCCGGCATGAATGAAAATCATTCAAGAAAGGCGTTGGCATAACCAAACAAAGTGCAAAGAAGGAAGATTGAAAACCTCTTTCTTGGCCTTCATTAATCTTTTATGGGGCTGAAATGACGCGATTCAGTGGCTACTAGCTATGAATACCAATGGACCAAGAATTTACTTCTGACGGTTCGCAAAGAATGCGGGAAAATAACCGACCTGAGCGAGGCTCGAACTCACGACCCACGAGTGTCAGGAGTCACGAGTTCGAGTCTCGTTCGGGTCGGTTATTTTCCCGCATTCTCTACGAGCCGTCTTAAGAAATCCTGTTGCCCATGACGATTTTACTTCTATCGAGGTCTTTATTATGCAACAGCAGAGAGTTACAAATCATGATGCAAGTGTTTGCTTTTCCTGGCGATCAAAGTTCTTCATTAAGCATCAAGCGTAAAAGCATGGAGAAGGGTTGCTTACGTCTTCGTTGAGAGCCACTGTACAGTTGGCATCGATGAAAGACTTCCCTTCCAAACGCAGAATTAGATTTCCAATGGTACCCTAAATAATAACAAGAAAAAATAGAAATTAATCATCAGATTCAGAGAATGTAGCCCTATTGAGCTAAAAAATTGTAGCTAGAAGAGGCGAAGCTAAAATTCCCTTAATGACTTACGCAAGTTAAGGATGGAGTGGTACAAGGCCTATCTTTCTCACCTTAAACCTGGGCCTAAGCCTAACATACCCTTAGATTTATGGAGGTTTTTACTCACTTTTTCTTCATCTTTATGGGTCTTCTTGATGTCATTTGCAACCGATTCAAGAGCAGTGGCCCACTTCTGTTTGTCATCAAACGTTGGCGCTAAAACATACAGTGTTCTGCCCGGCCAACAAGTTGTATACGGCACTAATTCAACAGACATGGCGTAAGGTACGTCAGTGCTTGCAGTTCCGAGAAGTTCGGAAGCAGGAACAGCAGGATTGATGTTTACTTCGCCATCAGTAACGTCAAGGTCCATGACATCAATGGGTCCAGCATCTAAAGACGAAGATATCGGTTGTCGTCAAAATCAAAAGAAACATTCAACGAAAGGGAAAATTCTTGGGAGCTCTGAGGAGTGGGTCGTGAAGACTGTGTAACGATATGCAAGAAAGGCAAGAGACAATACTGGAACAAAATCAAACACGTGTTTTGTACCTTGCTGTGGGAAAAAAATAAAGCATAATTTAATTGTCTAAAGTTTTGCATGCTTTCTATTTCGGAGATTTAAAAGGACAAAAATATGGAAAATGTATCGTCGATGTATGCTTACCGGTGTTTTCGCTGTCATAGGTCGATAATTTCATGTCTTCAAGGACGATCCACTTGTTATCCCATCCTTGCTTCATGGCTGATCCCCTTTAAAGGAAAGTTTTCGCATTAATCACAGTTCTTTTACCATTTCAAGGCAAGCATAATCTTTAAGTGCAGAGCTGTGAACTTTCGATGCGCGATGAAAAGGCTTAAATTCACAGCGGAAGATTGCAATAAATTTAACAATTTAAAACATCATACAAAGAGACACTGTAGAAATCAACTTTAATTTGATGATTTCACGACGTTAACATAGCGACAAACTAAAACTAAGAAAGCTAGATCGCTATTTTCAAAATAAAAATCTTGCTGGATAAAATCGTTGTTTTGTCATATATCATAAGTCATAACGTACTTTCTGGGAATTTTCAGCCAGCCACTCATCTTAACATCACCATTCGAAGATTCGTAAGCCTCGTCTCGAACTGTAGAGCCTCGATTCCCTTTAATACTGCTGCTGAAATGGGAAATGAATTTGCTAGGAAGGCCACACGTGTTTTGAAGCGAAGGCGCACACTTTGAATGGCAAACCAAGCCACATTCGGAGCATTTTGATACTTGCTTGCCAAAATGGGCACTGTTGAGGCACACGGGGCATTTCAAGGGTTGCATATTCAGAGTTGCTTGCATTCTATGTGGTATGTTATGGTGCATTCTTTCCATTGAGACTTGCGATTTAATTGAGCTATCACTTGACGTGCTGCTGCTTTGCTTTAAGTTCAGTTCTGAAATGCTGCTAGAGGTGGAGATTTTTGACGTCGTCGATACAATACTCTGGCTGCCAGGACTCTTCTGCAGCATTTGCAATACCTCGTTTTCTTTTCGTTGGCCTGTTGGCGTCCCTGGAGCACTGATCGTGGAGGTTCGTGAAAGCGACTTCACCTGAAGCACTGCAGTAAAATATAAAGTGTTACACTCAGACTAGTAGCAAGCAGGGAATAGTTACCAGTATAGGGGAATGACGTAGATGGAACAAACGTACTACATTGATACGGGCAGGTCAGCATTAAGACAGTATCTTTTGGAGGTTTTAAAATCTTTTCAGGTGCAATAGTGAGGATAAATTGGTAATCTATTTCAAGCCACAACATTATCAACATACAAACTGTTTTAAATAACCAAGTGTGTTTGTAATTGTTGAACAGTAATTGCTTTTGGTAAGGTATGCGTTGACAAATTACTTATATAGATCGTGTTGTTTTCTATATGATATCTGAAGATACTCACACTCAGACCGCACTTGCTGCAGCTCTTTCATGGCATTCGTGAGTTGTACATGAAGTTGAATGTTAGTATTCTTCTCCTTTTCAAGAGCTTGCTCGACTTCTCGATACCGCCTTGGCACCTGTTGGCCAGCATCCACCATGGGGGTCTTTCCCGGTTTCATCGCAGGATAAAACTATAAATTAAAGAAGATTAGTAAATGACTTAAGAATTAAGAAGATATATTTACACAAATAAGCTCAAAATAAAACAGAACCAAGCAAACAAATTTAGACCTTTCTTGGATTAACTCCTTTTTAAAATATATATATCCTATGGGAAAGCATAAAAATATCTTATTTAAGTCAGGCTGTATGAATGGTCAAGAATTGTGCTTTCCCCTTGGCAAAAAGGTTGTAAGCTGCTTTCTGCATTATTTTTTATTGAAAAGCTCGAAATTGGAAATAACTGTAATCGATTTTCAACACAAACAGAGAAATTTCAATAAACAAACAAAGAAGTGCAGCCTATCGTACCGCGAATGAGATAAAATTCAATTTAACTTAAGCCCGGATCCACTTTAACTTAAGCCCGAAGACTTTGCCAAATATATCAGAAAAAACAAAAAAGCTCGAAGTAGGCACAGATGAGGATAAAAGACGATGTCAACGATAAAAACATTGTACCACCTGATTGCATTATCGAAAAATTCGGTAATTAGTATAACTCCGGTATAAGTGACAAGACTGAAACAACAATTAAGAAATATTTCCAACCAAGACCCCTTCTTGGCAACTTTTGTGGATAAAATCATATTTTTAGAACATGTTGAGTCAAAAATATTCATATTACCTTGCCCTTTTTGCCTTTCGGAGCGCTTTCAACAACTTTCGCATTGAGGAAGTCAATCAATTTCGTTTGTTGGGCTAGTGTGGACTCTAGTTTAATTTTCTCCTCCGCATGGGCATAGGCGGTTCTTTCGATCTGGTTCTGCAAATTTTCTTTCTCCACAAGAAACTCGTCGAGCTTCTCCTGAGCAGTTTCAAGTTCTTGCGACAGCGCAAAGTTTGATGTCTTCTGGTTTGTCATCAAATCACTTAACCTTGAAGCCTGTTATCATTAAAAGATACAATTTTTACTTATGAAATATGCATAAATATTTTACAACAGTGAGCAAAAGTTCCTCTTTAACTAAGAAGAGAACTCAAGCCTCTCAAGTGTAAAAACAGATAAAAGATCTGTCTAAGAATAATAAATTAAAAATGACTGGAGCAAAAAACACTGCTGTTTATGACAATTATAACCCGTCGACCACTCATACGAATAATACATCAATGTTTTTCGGTAAATTTGGTTATCGTCTACCTCTGACTGAAGTTTTTTGTTTTCTTCCATCTCAGATTCGAGCTTTCTCTCTGCAGTTCTAATGCTCACTGCAGCTAAGGCCTGCTTCTTCTCAGACTCAATGACCTGAAAACAAAATTTAAACATATAATCACGAACACGTCCACATCAGCATAATCACCAGCTTCAGACTTTACCTAATGAGCTCGTTAATTAAATATATAATCCGAAGAGAATAGTGCGCTACAAAACATAACGATGATTCTAAAAGATATTTTGAGAGGACACTTCAAAAAATCTTTGATTCTAAAACACGCAAGCTATTGCAAAAAAGAAAAATGCTTTTTAAGCTTAATTAGTCGCGAATGCAATAAATAGCTGTTGTAAAGTTAGGTCAAAATTTGCAATTATAACATACTTAATGTTAACTAAGAACTGGAGATGGAGAATTACAAAAGGGTATAGTTGGGCATTAGGCATTCGTTTTGCAGAATTTTACACCGGCTCTTATATTTTATAAAGGCAGTTGTTATGAAAAGTTTGCAAGTTATAGTGTGCTGTTGTATCACTGCAATTCTGAAAAGAGATTACTGCTAGGTCAAGCAAAAATTCTAAAATAACAAATCAAACGAAGTCGTAACGAAATATAAGAGAATATCTTCAAGCGTTTTACCATATCATTCAATTCTTTGATTCTTGTTTCTTGTTGCTTTGTTTTGTATTCTAGTTGATCGATCTGCCTGGTGTACTCTCGTTTCACGTCATCAACATTCTCTTCAATATTACTGTACCTGTCCGTCATCTTTTGCCTGAATTTACAAAAAGAGTATCGATAGAACACATAGAATACCAAATAAAATCTTCTAAAGATAATAACGTGACAAGGAACGACTTAAAGAAGCATCGAGGCGAATCTACCATACAGATATGATCATGCAGATTTTCCATAAACAACGATATGTAGAACAGACGAATTAATATAATTTCTTCAAAACTATATCATGGTCTTTACATTATTTGTATTTGTTGCAGCCTACCTTTCGAAAGTAACTTTAGGACACCTGAAAGCTGTGTCTATCAAGCCAAAATACCTAATAAAAAATACCTCATAACTAAGCAGCTAGATGAGAACTTATACACACCTCTCTGATCGTTCTAAGTCCAGTGCCTTGAGAGCGTCTTCTAGCTGCTCTTGGAGTTTCTCTTGACTATCATATAATTGTCGTCTGGAAACGGAAAGGGAGCCAGCGTAAAAAGTTAAGAAAGGCATAACACAAGACCTGATGCTTTAATGAAATAGTTAGTAATACTGAAACATAAATTGCTCGGCTCAATGGGCAGTAATTTCGATTATAGAGTTCTTGAAAAGGTGAAAAAATGGAGTTAATTGAATTTTTAGTCTCGTTTATCTTACAAAAAATACAAAAGAGTTGACAATGATACAGAATGTTTTGATTTAATTTCGCATACCAAAAAAATTAGAAAGACAAACTTGGTGATAATTCTTCTGACAACAAGAAAAACCTGAACTACCCTACACTGATGCATATTATCGAGAAAGGTGAACTGAGCATGAATTATGTATCGTGTAATTACTTGAGAATGTTCCATTGGTCTTCACGATCCAAATACTCATCATTCATAACTTCAAGCTCCTCGACTTGTCCTTCAAACATTGTACAGGTTTGTTTCAACATTGCAATCGTCTACAAGAAGGTAGAAAGCATATTGAACTAAACTATTTAGAAGAAACATACAAACAAACGCAAAAACGATAATAATGAATTCAGGGCTTTCTAAATAGAGACAAAACTTCCAGGCTATTGGAAAGAAGCATTTTTTCGATGTTTGAAGCTTTTATAATGTTTCTAAAGATAAGAAAATAAAAATAAGAAAATACTAGAGAATCCCTTGAGCGAAACTGCATATGAACTTGCACTTAATGGTTTCATGCAATGCAAAAAATAAGAGGAGCCCTCGCACGAGAGTTTTAAAAACAATAGCAAAAAGAAGGAAAGGGGTCATTCGAGCTTTAGTGATGAGGGCTCCCTGACCCCCCAGCTGTATACCCCTGCTGACACTTACCAGATCCTGGCTTTCATACTGCCTCTCCTTTTCTTTAAGCTCCTCTTCAAGCTGTTCTTTCGCCATTTTCAAATCGGTCGCTTGCTTATTAGCGTGACGAAGTTTTACATCGAAGCTCTAATATAAAAAAAAGATTCATCAATAAGGGTTCCACAACTTGAGTAAATAAGTTTAAAGTGTTTTCTTGTCGTTTCCAAAACAGTTCTACATCAAAAAAAATTTCTGGATCATTTCATTGTTTAATTATATCATACAATTACGGGTCAGATAGGAAAAATGAACAATACAGGGTGCCTGCATGAGAATTTCAAAATAAAGGATACAATGAAAAGGACAACACACCTTCTTATCAGTTTTAGAATCATTCAAGGCCTTTGTCAGCTGTTTAACCTTTGCTTCCAGGTCATCCACAGCCTGCGAGAGGGTAAAAGTAAATTAGGCAAATGTCGTGTATGATAAGAGAAAGAAGTAGCAAGGAATGATTGGTAACAAAGTGACATATTTCAACATGTTTGAAATAATACCTTTGATTTGCTGGGGTCCTCTGCAATGTGCCTTTGCCTTTCCACCTCAGTCTGCAAAACAATGCGCTCTTTTGAATTATAAAATAACAGGAACAAATACTACAATCTAAATTGGACAGTACTAGTACAACTCACTTCAATTTGAATATGTATTGCAGGAATGAACAGCAACTACAGCACCATAGCTATATAAAAATACAGGTAGGTTCTGAAATCAGTATTCGGTAAAAAACTTTTAACTGCCAGGTTTTCTTATTTTAAAGAAATTTTGTACGACTGATATGCTGATATGCTGATATAAGTGTGTGAGTTTAGGGCAATTGAAAATCAACACACTTGGCTCTGAGAAGATAACGCCGAAATGATACTCAGTGAAGATTAGAATTTAGAAGATTAGTACGTGATTCTAAACGTGTAATCCCATTCGACATCTTACCTGCAATTGCATTATCTTATCATGCAGACTATCAGCTGACCTCCTTGTGGTCGAAAGCTCCTTCGTAGCCCTTTCTGCCTCGCTATTAGCCTAAATTGGCAAAGAAGAGCAGTAAGAAAAATTAAGAACTAGGGACGGTGGAAGGAGCACCGAAACAGCTTACACACGAACATGTTGATAGCATGAATATGAAAAGAGTACGTCCAGCATTTTTGATGCTAAAATGTGAATCATGGTACGAAGGTAAAAACACGGTCGCAAGAGTGAGTGCAATAAACCTTCTTGTCAAAGAAAATACGAAACAATTCATTCAGTTTTCGAAACAAGTTGAGCACAACTGTAAAATTTGGTGTTTGCCTTACTACTTCAAACTAAAAGAACTTTAATGCTAAAAGTAATTTTTTCAGATATAGAAAGCAGTAAGCACAAACAACTCGCAGAAATAAAAAAACCAGCTTAGGCCTACCCGTTGTAGCTCCTTTTGCAACTTGGACACCTTTGTTTCGAATTGCTCCGTGGTCTAAAACAGAAGGGGTTAAGGTTAACAGTAGTCTGTTCTCTAATGTGATCAATTTTTCACCGGATTAAAGTTCATGTTTGGTTGATGTTGATGAATTAGCAATAAAAGTCAATCATAGATGTCATTGGACGGTTAAAACCTGATTGTTCATATCAGCCAATCGCTGAAGGGACAGACTGCCTTAAAGAGGGAAATCAGCCTTGGGGAAAACAATCAATGCTTGTACAAAAAGGAAGTTTTGTTTTAGTGATTGACAAAAGCCGTCCTTATGAATCCGAGGCGATAAATGCTACTTCTTCAATATTTAGAAGATAATTATAATTAAAAAATATTGAGAACTAAAACCTCTTGAAAACGATTTCATCAATTGTCGGAAATGTTTTTCTAGAAGATTCAGGGCTCATTTTCTTGTGAGTACTAGTATGAAATCAACTTACAGTGACTATATTACAACAACAGCAACATAATAACCCAATGAGAGAGTCAAAAAACGATACTAAGGGGTTGCTGATTCGAAAGCTGACAGTTTCGAAGCATACAATATCTCCAACTTTTCTTCAAATTTATATTCGTTGAGTACAATTATGTTTTGTTTTAGTTATAGCATCAAATACCTCGTGTAAATGCCTTTCTCCATCTTCAAGCCGTTTTCTAAGAGATGAATTGCTTTGTTGCTCAGTTTTAAGGTCCGATTGCAGGAGATTGATCCTGTGCTCTAGGCTTGTCTTCTCTTGCTGCAACACGTCAATCTTTTGCTGATTCAAGTGTCTGGTCGAAAGATAAAGCATATTGAATCAGATCAAGACAAACAAAATATCTTAAGGCTGGGAAATTCTAATTAAATGTTTAATTTGGACATGTTACAGTCGTGTGTAGGGAAATTCTACAATTCGTTACATTTTGAATAATTTGGAAAGAATTAGGGCTATTATTGTACACAGAATAAAGACAACTCGAGTTCGCAACTTAAGAATTCGACGCAACTCGAGAATTTAAGGATTCGATCTATCTTTAATTCTTACAATTTATTCTCACAATGACGCAAAGAGTGAACAACATCAGTTCATGGGAAAGTTTGAAAGGTTAAAAAACACAGCCTCACTAAGCATTTTTTAACGAATAATTTGGGATAACAGGGTGCTGATAATTTTTCGCCTATAAAAACATTCATAGCCATCATAAACAGCCAAAACAAGGCACCTAAAATAAAAGTGACGTAATTCCTGTTGGCTTCCACTTGTAGGATTTCGCACATGGTAACACAACATCGATAAAAATTCTGAGTACGTTTTGGGAGGAGAATCCAGTAAGATATGGTATAGGCATAATCTAGATAATGTCGTTGTATCCCTACTCAGGGCAGAAAAGTGGATCTCTGACAAAATCTTTTAACGTGACAAACCAAAACCACATCTCTTTGTCTATTAGAACCATTGAAATATTTGGAAAAGTTGCTAACTTTATAGCCTTGGATCAGCAGCAGTTAAACTAATGGCCACTGAAAAAGATTTGAAGAAGAGGCATGCACTACAGGTAAAACTTACACATCGCCTTCGAGCTTCTTTTCCCGCTCTTTGATCTGCACGTCAATGCTTCTGTCCACCATTATACTCTTCATCTGCTCTTCTAACTTTCTGCAGGTGTCTTTCAGCGACCTTATCGTCTAATTATACAATGGAAAGATTGCGTTAAATAACATGGGGTGCTTAGCTGCCCAACGGAACGGTCACGGAAGAACCAACACTACAAAATCTAACGCAAAACATCCTATTTTTGTTTCTTTTCTTTTGACAATGTAAGCTAAAAATCAATATCTCCATTCTTAACAAACTAAAGCGGAAACATTCAAATAGAACTTTACGATCATTAACAGAAGACTGTTTTCTTTTAGAACTGACAACATATGTCTTCTAATCTAGAATTTATCGCGTAGATTTATTTGATAATACTGGCAAAACATCTTCTAAAAACACCAAAAATCTGAGATATGCAAATCAACAAAAATTCACCTCTTCTTTGTTTCCTGAGATCTGCTCTTTCTCTTCAAATTCCTCTTGAAGCTTCTTGTGTTGCAACTGCAATTTCTTCTGATCTTTTCTCGTGTCCTCCAGAGCCCCTTCTAGCTCCTTGAAAAGATTCAAAATCAAAATATAAAATAAAACGTCTCGCATCTAAACGTCTAAGTTTTCCACTGATGACAACGCAATAAAAGGCTGAGAACTCTCCACAAACCACCGGAATACGCGTAAGTACTCGGCTTAAGAGGGATTAATGATCCCTTATTGCTTATATAAATGGAAGGTTATCTAAAGGGGGCATTAGGGCTTAACCCCATCCCAGTAATAACGGTGAGCATAGTTTGTTACTTAACAGTAAACCATGAGTACACAAAGAGACGGTGACAAAAACACGACGTTTGAGTAGCAAGCAATTGACTGATCAAGCGGCTAAAGGTTACGTCATTTATACATATAAACAATTGTGAACGGACCATGGCTAGCTTTACAACAAAATTTCAACATGCAATTTCTACAACAATTATCTCAAAAAAGGGTCTTGAATGGACCAGCTGCCCCCCCCCCTCCCATTTTACCCCAACTGGCTTGAATGAACTGTACAAGGAAACGATACATTTGCGAGCCAATCTAGTAAAAGATAAAAGAAAGACGATTCCTATCGCAGTTTGAGGGTGTGCATTTAAATATGAGAGAATCTCGTATCGAAGTCAACTGCTGTTTGGCAGAAAAATCACAATTGTGGATCAGAATTTTTGTATCTGCATCTGCATGGATCAACGCTATTCTTCTGGGCAGCGTGCTCAGCAATTTAAACAAAGATCATACACCAGAACAGGAACAGGCGAAAGCTTTAAGAAAGATTTCTTTAGAAGAAAAGGCAAGTTTCTATCGTAAAGAGAAAAACACACATGCAACTCTTTGAAGAAAACTAACCTCAATCCTTTTCCCAAGTTCTTTCTTCATTTCGTCTCGAGCTTCGATAAGTTTCCTATATTTAATTTCCGATTCTTCGATTTGGATCCTCACGTCCTAAGGAAATAAACATATTTTGTTCGTTCAAACTCAGGAAACAACAACCTTCTCTTAAGTCGAATTCTTTGGTTAATACTGCAATAAAGAAGGATGTCGGTTGCAATATTTACACAAAAATCAATAATATGCTTCATGACATGTTGAAAAACCTCAAACGATGCATTAATCGGTGCCTCAGCATTAAAAATCAGCATCTTCAAGGAAACGACTTAAGAAAATGGGCAGTAACTCGTAGGAGGGGGAACAAAAGAGAAGTTGCTCCTTATAATCATTCTCAGACAATGATAGTCGGGGGTGGACAATTAATTAACCGAGTTCAGTTCCTCAATTGCCGCATCAGTTAGCCGAAAACGAAACTCAAAATCAAAAGTCTTCACAGAGAACACAGATCTTCTCGTAATTTTGGGGCGCCATGGAAGTGGAGAAAATATCAGTGATGGATTCGATTATGAAGCAAAGAAAGAACGCCAAACCTGATTCTCTTGCTCAAGTAGGCTCAGCTTTTCAGATTTGAGTCTTAACTCTTTCTTCAGACTTTCTTCTGTAGTGCTCGCTTCCTGTTTTTTAGCTTCCTCCTATTGATAAGAGAGCAAAGGCTAAGTCGGCATACAACGTAAAACATCAATTATAGTAGTAACATAAAATATTTTTGGGTAAAAAATGGCATTTAACTTCATGAAACAATACTCATTATTATCAATCTCCCTCGGGGGTACTCCCAGTTTGACCTAACAGAAGAACGGGTGGTCCGGTCGGCTTGAAGGACTTATCAAATGGCTCAGTTTAGCGAAATGGTGTTGTGTAAGTAGTTCTTACCCATTAGGAGGGGTACTTCTCATTGATTCTTTGCATAGTCAATTGTTGCAAAGTTCATTTGTGTAGAAAGACATTATATTTTTTTTCTTAAATAGGAAAATATTGCCACGGAAAATTTTACAGAATGATAAAAAACCTTGCACGTTTTAATTAATAGTTTATAGCGATTTTTAGTACCGCCAGCATTCAAATAAAATAAGGCGTTAACAATAGGCGTTAACTGTGGTCAGATTTTGTATTTGCTAGAACATGGAATTGAGATTTTTCACTCAAAATCTGCTTTTGCTTGCAATGTAGCTTTTAGAGGCTGTACAGAGGGTTTCAGTTAAGTCGCGTTCTCTCCTCAAAAACGCATGTCTTTCCTGTATTCCATCTTGGTTAAAGCTTGATTCCAGCAATGTAATTAGCAACGATGTTTGCAGGTTTAAGGTTCGCAAAGCACGCGAGAAGGAATACAAACAATTTTTGCTCTCTCTGCCCTAATTTTCCGTGTACGTGAATAAGGAATTTGACGATTTTTTACTACCCAGGGCCCTTGCCACGAATTTTAAAGTGGGGGGATGGGGGCCAAGGCTAAAAATGTAGGGGGCCAAGGCCAAAAGAAGAAGGGGGTCAAGGCATTTGTTGCAGTTTTAAAACTACTTGCTTCGTAAAAAAGTGGGGGGCCATGGCCACCCTGGCCCAAAGGCGCGGGCCCTGCTCCAGTCTAGGAATAGGTGCATTCACAGATATATTGCAATCGGTTCCACGAAAGCATACAACATTAGAAGAAGTGGCACTCCTAGAGTCAAGCAGTTAAAAGAAGGGCTGTTAGTAGCTGGTCGCCTTGTTCGTCCATTTCAAAAGCATAATTTGTTGCTTTTGATTAATTGCATAATTGCATAAGTATAATTGAACTTTTCTAAACTGAACGTCAAATGGGAAAGTTCACGAGATTATTTTCTTTCCATGTCAAAACTTCTGTATCAACTGGGAAACGAGCCGTTTTAGTAATCACTTTTTGACACGCCTGTTCGACAATTTTTTTCAAAAGACGTAAAAATCACGCTTGTTTAATAGCTGAGAAGGCTCCAAGCATCCTTACCCAAAAAGATATCAAATTATTAAAATGCCAGGGGGTTTACTGACTGAATTAGCGAATCCCCGGTCGCCTGGGGCCAGGAAACATCCAGTGAATAATGTTGCCTACCGTATTTTCTAAAATAGAAGCCGCCCCCGAATAGAAGCCGCATTAACTCATCACCACTTTAAGTTTTAAAACGGAATGTCTTTATATTAGTTGAGGGGTATTACAAATTAAAAATTAATTTAAAAAACCTCAAAAAGAAGCCACGCTTTTTGAAAAACTATACAGAAGTTGACTGGCATTAAAATGCCAAGTTTACAGACGCTCTCCTTTTCGAAAAAAATGCGGCATCCAGGTGTCCGCCCGATCTCATGCAGCAAGATGTAGTATTTTCACACCGAGCGGAAGTGCAAAACAACCAAAAAGACTCTGAGGATATTAGCGCCTTCCAGTGCCTGCTGCTATCTCTACACACACAAAATACACTGCAGGCTTGCTGTGTGGGCCAATGAACAGGCAGAGCTCGCGACAACTTTGGTGCTAATATCATAATACATTGTATTCAACCCTAACCGATATTGTCGTATTCAGACAATATCATAGAATGATGTACGCACGTGGGGTGAGTATACTAGTTTACAGAATCCCTAAATCTCTTATCGGACTGTGATCGTATGTTGGAGATACAAATCGACAATATCGAATAATTTGCTAAACAGATATAATACAGTATCTGCAAAACATAAGAAGAGATAAGAACAAAAACCAATTATCAATTAATAGCATAATAAAGTAGAAGTGACGATAATAAGAAGAAAAACAAACCAACCTTTACTTCATTTTCTTTCATCTGATTGACAAAGGCCTGTTGATGAACATGATTGAAAGAAAGTAAGCCAGTTGTTTTTGCAGTTTTAATTACTCTTAATTTCAAAGCCTCCATAAACGAAGGTACTTTCCCTGAGTACGCCATACCAAAAAGGCAAACAAAGTAGCACGCATGCAAACTGACTGTACATGACAAACTCTGATCTCAACTGCCTACAGAGCATTCGCTCTTCAGCGAGAAAAGCATAAATTTTGAATGACAACAAATGTGAAGAAGACAGCAAATATAGTCTGGTATCCCATGGCTACACTCTTTACTCTAAATGCACCCCATGATGTATTAGGAGAGCTGATGATTGATGCACGTCTTAAAAGCTTTGAGATTTAGACCCTTCTATTTACAAGCATCGATGTCAAGGAGAAAATGGCTCAGCCACTGGAAGAGGAATAATTCTCTATCCTTCTCTGAATATCCCGACACACAGCACACTTCTTTCTTCTGGCAAGAGTATAAAATTGTTATCATTAGGTTTTCAAGGCCCAAAATTTGAAATTCAACACACAATCCATATAGATAGCTCAAAACACCACGCACTTCAAAAAACTCGTTAAAACTTGGTTCCTGGAAAATAAGTGCCCGTGCTTCGTAGATAGTAAATGATCCCTTTATGCACTCCTTTAAACTGGCTTAGGTTTGTCTCGGGAGGTTAGTCTCGGGGCTGTAGTGCAATTAAAATAACATGGGGGCTCTTGTGCGAAATGTTGCAAAAACAATAGCAAAGCTAGAAATTGGCTACTTTTCGGTATTGACAAGTGGGCTCAGCCCTGAGCCACCCCGGCACTACACTTGGTCTTGAGCCACCTGGTTAATCGTAATTGTTTTACAAGTAGATTTTTTACCATAAAAAAATTATAAAACACAGTCTCGAGTTTATTAAAGTGAACTCCCGCTTCATATCTTCACTGCGAAACAGCACGATGTATCGTTGCGTGCACATAACCTTGTTGAGGATTTAAAGGTCTCAAAACGAATAGAAGGGTCGACGTATCATTGGGATGGAGGATAATCTAGAACATATCCACAGACATTTCATTTTACAGTTAAGAAGATATGCATGTTGCTTTGACGTATCGCATTTACAGGATTACGATATCAATTACGGCATAAACAGAATTGAAGTTCGTGTACCTCTCTTCTTCAAATTATTCAACTTTTGGCAACACTCTTATATACAAAATTCGTTTCTTTGGTTTGGTATATGGGCTTCAAATGAATAAGACACGGAAAAAATCAGAGATTCTCAGAAAACGTCATTTGAGTTTAGGAATGATTTCGCTATCTTTTATAAGTTTTCGTCAAGTGTATGAACGATTTTAGAAGAACACTGTGTCAAGTATTGTGGATGATGGCAAAACTGTTAAAATATTTCATAAAAATCAACAATAAACACATGCCCATTCAACATTCAATTTCGGGCAGAAAAGTTAAAGAAAAGCTGGAAATGCAACTGATATTTTAAACTCTACAAAATATCTTTCTATAAGGCAAATAATGCTACAGATGGACTTTGCCCAAAATATTATATATCAAAAAATTGAATATCTTTATTTTAATAAATATAAACGAGACCAGAAAGCATACCAGAAATATGTCAACAGAAATATCACCGGCAACTGTCCGTTTATGCCAAGTGTGCCTGGGCATCATGGATGAGCCAAAAAACGGCCCTCTTTGGACCTTTGCAAGTCTAACACTAGTTTAAAAGAGTGTCGCTGGATTGTTAAGAAATCGATGAACCCTGCCCAGAAAGCATCATAAAAAGGGTCGCAAACATCAAAATAGATAATTATTGTTATTTGTGTGTGTGTTTATACAAACGGCTTGACGTGCTGGGACACTAGAGATTGGCACTCGTGAAAAGCTTTTCATTAGGGCAAAAACATTCTGCTCAATACCCATGCCGAACTTCGAATGTTGTTCATTATTTTATGTCATTCATTAAATTGCATGATGAAGACCACTAGAATATGTGCAACATAGAAATTTAGGCTCATGTTCAACATTGACGCATTTTGGAGAAATTGCAAACTGTTAAGATGTTGATGCAGACCCGTTGCTTGAAAAACAGACGCACACTTATGAGCGGTGGGTGCTACAGAGGATGACGTCAAAACTGTTAGAAATCCAGTGTTATAAATGAGAATACAAAGACCTGCGAACCTCTGTAAGTAAACAGTTGATAAACAATCACTTTAGATTGGTAAGCAACTTCCATGCCTGGTACTGTAACCCATAAACAATATAAATATGTTTTAAATTTGTTCTCACACCAGGCACAACAACAAAGCGAGACTGAAAATACCACTTTACCTCTGGATTCCTTTCAGTCACATTAAAGTTTGTAGCAAATATTTGTTTGGCTCATAGGGAGTAAAAGGCCCTTACCATTTCCCAGGTGTATTCAAAAACCTGACTTTAGCTGCTTAATAAAAAGCATGTATATACAATCATTGCGCGTGTCGCTTAGGGTTGATAAGGATATGGCAACTGACGAGCTTATAAACAATATCAAAGGAAATAACCAGTTGTCAGCTAATAACAAAAGATACGAACCGTCAATTCTTCAAAGTCTCGATGCAAATCTTCTTTTTCGCGCTCGACGCTATGCCAGCGATCTGTAGCTTCTTGACAAGCAGCAAGTGCCTACGATAAAAAGAAAGATGATTACAGGTACTGCTAATGTTAAGGGAACCTACTTTCAGTGTAGTATGATATAAAAGAAATTCGTTACAATCTCATAAACTTCTGCATAGGAGCATATAAGGAAAAGAAGAATATTTTCATTATCATGCAGATATATTATTATATGGCAAAAAATTCAATTGAAGGAAGACCTTGACTGAGGTACAATATGGGGGCTTAAATTTTTGGGGTAGAGTTGAAAATATAGACATGTATTGCGCACAAATGTATAGTTAGACGAAAACCGAATACACATATTTAGAACCACAAACATTACAACTAGTAATGCAGATTACACGCTATAAATATATACAAGGTTACCAAAAGAAGGAAAATAAATAACAGACTTATTCGAGGTTATTTGGGATGTTGAAAAGGCAGTCTCAAAAAAGATGCAAGCTAAACTCTAGTTGATGGATGAGGTAACCTGACGCCTAAACTAGTGACAGGCTTTGGCTATGGTCCACATGGCATTAAGAATCAATTTCCAGGGCACGTAAATGATAAACAAAGCTAAAGTTACAATTCTTATTTAATACGAGGAACATTAAAAGCGCATTAAAAGGTAGCTAAGAATAACAAAGGATAATTTGTCAGAAAATTTCATGAAGCCTAGGGAAAATGCAACCAGTACTGACGTCATACTGAATGGAGAAACGTACATCAAGCATTCTGCAATTTGAGCGACAGATTGCCATTCAAATGACGTCAAATACGTTCGACAGCATGGCATCGAAGAACCAAAAACAACACGCCACTACGTAGATGTGAAGCCGCTAAATGAGATGGCATCGGCGCTTGGAATCGATTTATCGAAACAGAAATCTGATCCAAAGTTCTGGGTCAGATAGTAGTGCCACGATGATGGCACTTTAGTTGGTTAGAAAGCAGACATCTAAACTGCGGACGTAGCTGGAAAAGCTATTGAAGATGAGTTCCCACTCATCTCTTAAGAATGCATCGCCAAGGCCCCCAAAGACACCTAGCAACGCAAGCCAAGGGAGTCCAAGAAAAAAGACGGCAGAAAAGGTGCGAAGGGTGAGCTTCAAAGGCGTCGATAAACGGTCTAGTAGCACCATGAGGCTGACCGCAAAACGAAGTTCCATTCTCAAAAACAACCAAGCACCGAAACAAGAAGAAATGCTTCGCAAAATTCTTCGGAGTAATGACGATCAACGAAATACGGACTCGGATTCAAGCAGCAAATCAGGAAACAGCTGTGAATCTGCTTCTAGCGAAGAAAGGCAAAGGACACGGAAAGGGCGAAAACGCGGGGAAAGTGCGGGAAAAAATCAAAGCAAGGCAGCCATTGATGATATACCAATTTATCACACAAATCTTCCCGCGTATGTCATCGCAGTGGCAAACAGAATGAAAGAAGCAGCAATAAAGCGAAGGCAGGATCAGACCAAAGATGAACTGAATACTGTTATGCATCGAATAAAAATGGCATTGCATCATAGTGGAAATGATTTCACTGAGACAACAGATCAAAAGGATGTTACGTCACAAGAAATAATCGTGTATGGGATGCCGGATTTGGATATTGAGCGAGAACGGGAGAAAAGAGATTCGCGGCAGAGGGTTATCGAAGTGTTTAAGTCATCAATGAAAAGATCTAAAAGCAAGGTTAATATCATACAAGATTTACACGACTGGTTTCTACAGGTTAAACAATCCGATGAAGTCGACGATAACGAAATGGAGAAGCAAAAGGAGAGACATGACGAAGTCGGTTCGATCCACAAAGCGATAATGTCGTCCATGAACCGAGTGAAAACTTCCTCAAAGAAGCTGAAGAAGATAGCCAAACAAATTATGGCTGCAAAATTACTGGTTTCAGCTCGAAAAGAGGAAACAGGGGGGAATAATCCGGAAGGGGAGACTAAAGGGAGCGCCAAAGCAGGGAATGAAAGAAAGATGTTGACCGCGCAAGAATTAGGGGATAGGAAGAATTGGCCAATAGCAATCAAGAAGGTAGCTCTGGAACTGGACGACTTCCTGCGAATGACACATCAAGAACAAGGCCGAAAACATTTGCAAAGCATTACAAAACAAGTTAAAATATTTGGCGCTGTGATGGAGAATAAACTGCGAGAAATCAATGACACAGAAAAGAGGCTACAAGAGAAAACAATCGAGCTTCAAAAGGCTTTAAATGAAGGAGAGAGAATGCAAGAGACGATTAAGACTAATATAGAAAGCATTAATGCACACGAAGAGAAAAATGGCTTATTGAAGCAGAGAATTGAAGAATTGGAAGGAAAAATGGATGCTGATAGAAATGCAAAGAAGCCAAGAACGAGAGAGAGAAGGCGGTCGGTACTTTTGCCAACAGGCGAAGGGCTAGCCAAGCCAAACAGTATTGCAGAAGAGAAAAAACAAAATGTGGAAAAGCGACTGCCAAATGAACTTATCACAGAGCAAATAAAGTCACGTTTAGGTGCATTTGATGATGTTGTTGTTGCTGAAGAAGACAACCAAGATATCCCACAGAGAAATGAGAAGCAGGATGCTGCGCGGAGACATACATTAGCCGCAGGGCAGCTCACGATGCTAAAAGACTTCTCTAAAGCGAAAAAGATGGTACAGGAAGAAAAAATAGCTGAGGAAATTTCGGAGGAGGTTGCTAGTTCAGTAACAAACAACCAGGAAGGAAAGATTGAAGAATACAAAATTGTGATAAAAACCCTGGAAAAAACAATAGATTCGTTGAGAAAAGAGCTGGCTAATTCAAGAAAGGACATCGAACGTCAAGCACTGAAAATAATTGAACTTGAGACTGAACTGACAGGAAAAGAAGCACTGGAACAGTGTATAGAACAAGTGGAGTTGGAGAAGAGAGAATTAGAAAAGCAACTTCAGACATCGCTCACCGCGTATGAGAGAGAACTGGAAGTCAGTCAAAACAAAGCTGACAATCTCACAGACTCCGTTGAAGAACTGCGGAATAGCATGAGAATTAAAGAAGATCAAATTGGTCATCTTCAACGCTGCCTAGACACAATGACAGCGGATATGCAAACGTTATTGGATGAGAAAATCACTCTTGAGCAGCGACAAGTGAACCAGGTTGTCAAGATTGAGTTAGGTGACAGCGTATCAAAACAGCAGCTGCTTGTCAAGTTGAAAAAACAATACGAAGGTGAACTGCAACGGTTGAGAGACTTCTTAGCCAAAGAGCATCAAAGATACTTAGCAGAAATACGTCGAAATGAAACACAACATCGGAACGATATACTCACTATACACAAAGGAAGTATGCAACTGCTAAAGACAGTGAATCGATTCAAAGACTCCTTGGCAATGATCCTCGAACGGGAGTCTCTAAACGAGGCAGCATTTGAACTACGGCAGCTAGAGCCACTGCCAATAGAGCCTGGATTTTCCAGCAGCACGGAGACAAAGCAAATGCTATCAATGATGGCATACCAAGCAACTGAACTATTGGTGTCTCTAGAAAATAGACTATCAAAAGCTCTTCTCAGCAGGAGGCTTGAGGTAAAGGAGGCTACAACAGCAAAAGGATTCGTTGTCCGAGACTTGGAAAACCAAAGCGAAAAGTTGCGTAAAGCAAGAGAAACTCTGGCTGTCCAAACGGAGAAAATGAAAACATTGGAAGATGTGAACAGAAACTTTGTAAATGATTATCAAGAACTTAGCGGAAAATACAAGGCCTTGCAGAAGGAGCTTTCGCCTTACCAGCAGCTGATCGAGAATCACATGCTACTCAAGAAGGAAATCGAGAGAGTGCAGACAGAGAATCGCGAGGCGGTTCGAAGGAGTACGTATCAGCTGACAGAGATCGAAAGAGACAGAGCACAGCTCAAGCGGGTGGTGCAGAGTCAACAGGAATTCATTTCCAAGTTATCTACTAAACAAACGCCGAACCAGCAACGAAATAATAACAAAAGAGAGCAAAGATATTCACAAAGAACTGCATCGATGTTTTATATTGCAAAAACAGAGCAGGAAAGAAACCTTGAGCGTCTGGATAAAGCATTTGCAAGCGACCAGATAACATCAGAAACACACGAAAAGGCTGCGACGCTTATCAAGAAAACTATGGATCTTCCACGTTTACGGTTTGTGCATCTAGTACGTAGATACGTTGCATATGATAGAATGCAAAAAGTTAAGCAAGCAATGAAGATGTCGTTGATCAAATATAAAAATAATATTAGACTTAGTGGTTATATTAAAGATATGGAGTCAAGAATAGAGGAGAAGGCAAGAAAATGGGAGGAAAGGAAGGCAGAGCTTGTTCAGTACAGAGCAACGCTGCTTTTGCAGATGATGGACACATTTTCGTCAGTGCAAAAAGAGACTGGCCTCTTGCTGGTAGAGCCTCTTTGTAAAACTACAACAAAACCTGCAGCGGTTCATGGCAAAGAAGGAAGGAGGCTTGTGCTCCGACACGAAAAACAGACATTGATGCCATTAGCAGAAAGTATTGTCGGCAAGTCTATAAAGCCAGTTATTGAAGAGAGATGCACGATGTGGCAGCAATCGGACATTGATACAGAAAATGAGACGATTCTGATGCCTCGAATAGTTGATTTAGATATTAACAGATGGAAGTACTCCGCAAAATCAATGTTGGTTGGTGATATCAACGAAATACAAAAGTTTGAAATTTCAAAAGCAAAAATGGAGAAAATAAAGAAAACGTATGCGGCAAAACTCAGACTCCCACCGATCGCATCAATATACCCCGAGAAACCACAAAAACAAGACTGGCTTGTTGAAGACGACTGAAACAATACATTTATTAAAAATTGTAGCTAAAAACAGGGACCCTTTTATTATCGTATTACACTACAACAGTTTGTAATTTAAAAAATGCAATTTTTTATAAGAAAACTGACCCATCTTCTGTTATCCCATCTGCAATCCCATCTTATGTTATCTTTGAAAGAGCTCTATCTTGCAAATCAAAAATACTTTGACCAGATATCAGTTTGACATAATAATACATACTTGGCTTCAAAGTCAAGGGTCATAAATACCTTATTAAGTTTTTCTTGGAATTCCTTTATCCTTTTCTCACTGTCATTCGAGACTTTTGTGAGTTTCTCGTGAAGATCCGAAACGTTCGCTTTTGTATCCTCGTTAACCTGTGAAATACAAATCATAACAAATCAATACAGAGTCATTGCAAATTGAAAACAACCAGTAGCGAATATAGCTTGGATCTTTTAGGACTATGTGGATTTGAGGCTGGGAATGCAGCAAAAGGAAGGGAAGGCCTCCTTATAAAATGAAACAGGAGATGTCACATAGTGGCGGACACCTGGGGGGGCAAGGGAGGGGGCGAGGGAGGGGGCGACCGCCCCCAATACTTCAGGGGACAATGGTCTTTTGTTCTAAAGCAATGAAAAATGTGACGTCATCTTATTAAAACAATAGGCTTGCCCTCCCCAAATTTGATCAAGTGTCCGCCCCTGATGTTACATCACAGCATTAGGTATTGAGTATCCCTTGGCAGTTATGTAAGATTTTATTATGTCAACGCAAATACAATTAGTGTCAAAACAATTTTGTTCTACATTTTAAATGACTGCAAGATATTTTAAAACATGAATGACGAATGATAATTTTAAAAATTACAATTGAACCAGGCATGTGCGACTCTCCCAGGGCTCCCGAATCGCAAAGCTGGGTTTCATTCTTATGGCATTTCCTCCTAAACAGCTCTCAAGTAGAGAATGTTTACTAAAAACGAAGACTTTTTACTAATAAGTGTACACCCAAACAATGCTAATAAAGATAAAGCTACGTTTGATTTCAACTTTTTACATGAAACTTCATTTCAAATTTACAGTAAAAAGAAAAAGGTACCTTGGATAATTTCGATTTGAGTTCTGCGACGTAATTCTTTGTTTCTTCAAAAGACTGGAGTAAGAAGAAAATTTTTGTAAAAAGTTAATCATAAATTGGAATAAAAAGGATAATGGATGGAAGGCAGATAAATCAATGTCAAAGTAATCACAACAATAGAAAAATTTGCTTGGAAATAAAATACCTTCTTTTTGTCACTAAGCTCCGATTCTAAATGCTGGGCACGTCTATTTGCGACGAATCTTTCTTGCTCCAACTGGGCTACAAGCTGTTTTTGTTCTTCCAACGATTGCCTTAAAAAAACATTACAAGAGGTTAGGAATTTGTCGTTTATCGACCGCCAAGGCTAACACCAAACGGTTTAACAAGATGATTTTAATTGTACAGGGCTCGCGCCACTGGGGGGGGTGGCCCTCTACATTTTAAGCCTTGGCCCCCCACTTTAAAATTCGTGGCGCGGGCCCTGTTGGTGGTGTATAATAGACAATGATAAACACTTTGATAATTTTGATTAGTGACGGCACCAACAAATAGGCTTTGGGAGGTATGCACCATGCCCTTCTAACCGAAAAAAATTTAGGCCATGTCAGAAAACGCCCGTATACCTAAATCGAAAGTCAGATTTTATCTACGATGAATGTCTGTTAAAAACCTTTTGTTACGCTGAGGCAATTTTAAAATTATATAATCACACCACAAAGGATACTTTGATAAAATAATACCCTTTCCCAAACATTTTCTCACCAAATCTACACGAATACAATATCGATACTGCCGCAAACTGGGAGGACGACGCCCCCCAAGTCCCAACCCTCCCCCCTCTGGCACCGCCATTTATTATGATCATTTAAATAATGATACACAATGAGAAGATGATTATTGAAGTTGGCAAATGACTGGTTTTACTGATGCCACCCAGGGAAGGTCCTTTGTTCGTCGTCACTATAATCATAGGTCGCCAGCTCGACAAACAGTGGACAGAAAGACAACGAAAGGAATGAAAACACGCAACAGAGAAATTAAAGGAAATGCGTAAAACACAAAAGAAAAAAGAATACGTTTATCAAGCCTGATCAAAACTCTGTGACTTTTCATTAAAACAAAATTTCGATTAAAGCCGGTTGCCTACATTTCCTAAAAGAACATTTAACAGAAAATAAGTGTAAGATTATGCGATTTGAGGAGCCCACTGAGAAATGATTCACTGAACAAGAAAAAAACAAAGATGAGCAGTTGACGGAATTTGAAAACATTGACAAAAGGCCTCCACACTTCTTAAACAATTTAATACCAATGACCAGGTCACTTAACATTTGACGGTAGCGGATATGTAGGGCTCAAAATAGAATGAAAAACAGTTCCGTATTAGTTCAAGCCCGTGGAACTAGTCAGGATAAACTGCTTCTCATTAAAGACCCTTACAAACTGCGATTTTAAGCTCAGTATAGTAATGTACAGAATAGGATAAGAAATGACGTGCTAGAAGAAACAGGGGTCCTACCAACTAAAAAATGTTCAGGTTCCCAAACACCTCTTTTGGATGTCAAGAGGGAAAGTCGCGTGAGACAATTTCTGATTATAAAAGCCCGATCAAATATGTACTAGTTAACATGGGTTCCGTTCCAGCATGCACAATTACAATACTTCTAAAATTTGCAAATTTGCTTACTTCATTTCCATGTCCCTCAGACCATCCGCCTTTCGATTATTTTCTTTCAATTCATTAATAAGTTTCAACGTTTCAATTTCCGCTTTCTGGCGATCTTCTCTCTCCATATCCAGCCGCCTTTGCATGCTCTAAGGACAAAAAAAGAAGTCAGTTTACCGCCTTTATGAATAAATAGAGAATAATTAGACTCCAAGAAGAATAAATAAAGAACGTATGTATCAAGACTTAATATCTTTAAATAAAGAATTACATAATAGGTAAAATGCACGTCTACAAATATATATTTTTAAAATAAAAAAGCGACTCAAATAAGTACAAAACAATGAAAAAGGGAAAATCTATTTTCCTTCAATATTAAGGGGCATTTCAAATGCCCAGGTAACCCTTCTTCACTCCCTTTCTCCTTTCCTTTCCAATTTTCCCAATTTCCCCACCCCCTTCCTTTCATCACTCTTTTGCCTCTTTTATCTTCCCCCCCTTTTCTCTCCTTTCTTCCTGTCTCTTCTCTCTCTTCTCATATCCATTCTTCCCCTCAGTTCCCTTCTCCCCCCCCCCCTTGCGGAACAGGTATGCTGTGCAAGCAACGTGTGCTAGCAAACTGTAAAAAAAGATTATACAATGCAATATCCAAAAGGAAACAAATCGACCACGTACAGCGTCCTTAAAACTTGATACATATTCTTATTATAGAAACTCTCCAAGCAACACTCAGCTTCGATGGAAGGAATTTAAGACTCACAAAAGGTTCAACTCAGATGTTGTAATTATCGTACTATTGATATGGCCACCCCACTTCAAGGCTACATAGACGGCAACTTTTTAATTTTCATGGCGGGTATCAGTCAGCTACCAAATATAATAGTTCTCACTAGCATAAATAAGGTCACATTCTATTTATTATCGACCATGCATTCACGATGACATCCCCTTACGTTATTCACATCATTGCATACCACAGGGCATTCCCTCTACCATTCTTTCAACTTCGCTCATCTAGATCATGCTAACTCAGCTTCTATCGTTCGTTCTAAGTCTAGATCTTTCTCCTTCCTAGATCATTACATCACATTGCACCATCATTACATTTCTTAACTCATTCTTAGTCAGCATACTCTCAGCATTAAGACCACACGTTTGTCCATGGACTGATTTGTTTGGTGGTTTCATCGTTCGATGTTCCTATGTACACTATAAATCGATGACTTTTTCTTTTAAAAAGCAAACTGGTCATGGGAACTATATCAAGCCTCTGTCTACAAAAATTAAGAACTTTGATAAGGACTTGTCATCTTAAAATAATACTTGCATGCATGTATGCACGTGTATAAATGGTTGGAAGTGTAAAGTCGGTTTTTGAGGCGAAATTCAAGAGATATGATTGAAGAAATATAATTTTAAGTGCTGGAGTGTACTTTATAAACAACTCTGGTACTTGGCTACCAAAGATAGATTCACTAAATATCCTGCGCACTAACCTTGATCTCAGTATCAAAGAGAACCTTTTCTTTCTCCGTAGCATCTCTTTCATCTTGTGCCTTTTTCAAATTCTTATCCTTCTCCGCCAGTGATTTTTTCAGCTCCTCAACTTGCTTTTGGGCTTTTTCTAGTTCAATATTAGCAGTTGATAATTGCTGGAGAGTATCCTTCAGTTCTTGAGACTTGACAGACTTTTGACTCGAAAAGCTCGCCCTAGACGAGCCAGTTTCGGGGAGCGGAGAGGTCGGTTCTGGATATCTCCTACAGATAAAAAAAGGAAAATTTAACATTGAAAAACTAGCTACAGATACCAGTTTCTTGGCATCAATGTTATTACACACGGAATAAGCGGTAATGACTTGACAAGGTATATTCTATACACGAGAGACTGGTAGAAAGCGTAATCAGTGGTAGTTGTTCCCTGAAAGGGATTTGCTTTCAAGAAGGTTGCCTAGTAAGGGATCTAAACGGGCCTAAAGCAGGGTTTGTCAAGAGGCAACTGGTTCCAGTACAAAGTCAAATTACTGTAGTAGATGCTAGAATAAATAATTTTGAAATTAAGACAAGAAATGACAGGTAGAGATGGGCAGAAGCTGGCTAACATGCGTTCAACGACGTAAAGACGATAAAAGAAGCATTATAAATTTTCGTTAACTTAATTCTCCGTCTACGCTATGGCATAGTAAGTATCGGGGAAGTTTTATTAGGGAAGAGTAAGAAAATACAGGAAAGAGTGATACACACCCGTCTGAGAATAAGGCAGCGTTCAGTTGCCTTGTAAAGGAGAAACCAATAAAAGGAAGGTTTTTGCCATTGAAGCCTTCCTTCCCTTTCATGAAATCTTCTATCCTTGGTCCACTAGATTCGGATTCAAATTCATCAAAGTTTGATGTGTCGTCTGTGCTGCTGATGGTGGGGACATAAGGAGGCACCGCTGAAAGTAAAGCAATAACTTTAAAGTAGAAACCTGGGTGGTGTAGAATCTAGTGAAATATTGAATTACCACCTGATCAGATATGAACTACAAAAAGGATCTACTGATTGGTCTAAAAGATTAATAGTATTGCCACTTTGTTTACAAAAAGCTGCATAGCTGTCTTCGAATAAAGTGTGAACTGCAAATATCCTGTGAAATTACAACCACAATACTGGCATTCTAAAGTGAAGAAGCCGGATTTTTCGCTTGATACCAAAATAGCAATACTAAAAAAAGTATCTTTTTACCAAACTGTTCTAAATTCTTTCCAAACACATAAATGTACTTTCACTTATTTCTCGTCCATCACGATTAAAAATTGCGTTACAGACCGTGCCTTACATTTTATTTAGCATTGAAAAACTTAGCAAGGAGACTTAATACAGTCTTTATCCATCTTAACTAAATGCATTGTTAGACAATTCCTAAACCTCTTTTTCTGTGTTCTGTGTTCTGTTGACGGGATTTCAAAGCGGTTTTTAGAAGCAGCAGTGAAATTCCGTGATAAAAACGCGAACAGGAATTAAAGGAACATTGCACGCAATCTCTCTAATCTGATAGGCAATCCTTCGATTGTTCCTTAACCGGTGACAAGTAATCCTATATGCGAATATTCAAATCTCGAAAATCCTATTAAATTCCTGGAAAAGCTTCTGGTGGGAAAATGTCGCCTACTTATGCCGGGAGCAGATTCGTTAACTTATGCCGGTTAGGAATTGTAGCATGAAAATATATAGATAACAACCATGGGCTCTGACAAAGGCTGGAAAGTAGAAGGGAGCAACCGAATATTTAACACCCATAAAAAAGATTTTGAAAAAAACTTCTATTGTTTTTCCAGAAAAATGGGGGGGGCATGCCCCCTTGCCCCCCCCTTCGTCGGAGGCCCTGGCAACGTAGAGAATGTCGTGGCAGCCATTAAATGAGAAGGAGCCAGCTAGCATGACATGAGGATTCAATTGCAGAAGTCACGCGTAGGCTGGATTTGAAGACAGACATTGCCAGCCAACTTTTAATTTTTGCTTCCTAGAGCACCTTACTTTCAACTTTGGTTTACAATAAAAAAATTAGGAATTCGATTACTGGGTCGAAATTTCGTCGTGCGCTTTATGTGTACTTAAGCTCTTGGCTATAAAATTGACTGTATTTTTGGTCGGAAAGGCGGAGCTTCTGACCACTCAAACTAAAACAAAGTCATGAAATTATTTTCCAAACAAATGCCAAATAAATAATTTCAGCAATATATCTTTAATCATCCTTATTGATATAAAATGTTCCAAAATTAAGACTGTCGATTGGAAAGGGGATGCTACTAATCTATCGCAAAAGGTTTGTATTCCTGCAGTGGAACAATGAGTCAACCATACCAAAGCAGAAATATATACTGTGAATGCTAAACGCAAAAAACTATTGCTTTTGATAAGGCAGAATGGCATGAGTGTGTTGAGGAAGGAAGATACCGCTTACGGATTAAGAGCATATGCAAGCTGAATTTTAAACACAACCATTAAAAGCTAATGATCTGAAATCGAACTTGAGATAAATCCATTTATATTCTATTGAGAGATTTAATAGGCTTTAAACAGATGCGAGAAATGCCGGCAAACGGGAAAGATGAAACCAGACACATCTTGGTGGGGTGATGCGGCTTGCGATACAAGAGAAATATTTAAGCTAGAGAAACCTCAAAGCAAGTTATTAGGCTGCAAATGAAGAAAAAGAACGCTTAACGAAAAATGCTGAACAAAATTTTGCTCGTAATCGGAAAAATTTAATTTACAAATAATAACATTATTGGTCGCAAATCTCAAAAAAGAAGATCTGAAACTGCTAACGTCGCTGTTAAGTTGTTTAGAAATAAAGAAAAAGATTTCAATGTTTATATAAACATACTTCAGCTGTATATGTTTGAAATTTCAAATCAACAATCTCCTAGTAACCTCTGTAAGACGCAAAACCAGATTTCCATCAGCATAAAATCGTACAGCAATATCAAGTGATGAAAACGTCATTTCAAACAACTCACCATCCTGCAGTGTCGTCCAATCGATACCTTTAAAAAAGCCATGATTCGCGAGTCCTTCGTAGCCAATGCGTTCTTTTCGATCAGATAGCAACCTCCGAATTAAGTCTTTGGCATCGTCGCTGATCGTCAAGTCGTCCGGAAATTTTAGCGAGTTCTAGAATTGTAACAAAGCATATAAAATAACAAAAGCAATTAAACAAGCATGTCTAAGGTTAAGTCAATAAAAAGGAAAATCAGTACAAGCTCTAGTTTTGATGGTTGAAGATTTTCACTACTTGATCTCTACCTCTTTATAATTGGATAAAACACGAACAAACCCGAGAAAAGACCATTAAACTAAAGATTAAAGGGGCATCCATTAAGTACATATACATACGTTCGAAAATTATTGCACCACCCGCCACAAAATGGCAGCACTGCCGCCAAATTTGATTGGTTTTGAACTTTAAACTGACATCTTATGGCTTCACAAAAGTTTTTTTGAATTTCGAAGGTCATATTTTTTACAACTGCGTCGCCATTACTCGTTCGTCGAAGTGGTGCAATACTTTTCGAATGTAAGTGTACATTCAGAAAAGGAGTCCGTGGAGATGGCTTCAGCAAAAGTGCACGAAGGTGTGCAGGGAAATGGAAGTTCAAGGAATAATATATCTGCACTCTCAGAATAGTAGAAATTCATTATGTCTGAACAAACATCAATTAAACATGCATAAATAACATTATTATGTCTGGAGCCAAAAGGTCATACAGTCATTCTATCATATCCCTTTACCCACACGGGGGCGAGAGATATTGATTACGCTGGTAAAAGGGAAGGGGGGTAGTCAACCAAATAGCGGACAAGCCTCAACAGAGGGCATGTGAACGATTCAGTGGTATGTGATTTATCGATGATCTCTCGATCCGAGTCTTGACTTTAAAAATGACCTATGAGAGAGAGAGATTTGAAAACAGACCAACCTTGAAATCCATGATAAGACTGTAAACGACAACTACAGAGTCTGCTTCGAAAGGCGTGTTGCCAACCAGCATTTCGTACATGCACACGCCAAGACTCCACCAGTCACATTCAATTCCGTACTTGCCACTTGAACCATCCATGCTTGTTAATACTTCAGGCGCAATGTATTCTGGGGTGCCAACAGGCATTTTGCTGTGTACCTATAAACCATGTAAATAGTTTACATACTTGGCAAAAAGTAAAAATACAATTCTTGATCCACAAGGCAAGAAAGAGATTGAAAGATTACAAAAGGAGGAATTTTTTTCCGCTATCGGTATAGTTTCTATCGTTTTTAAAATGCTTTGAAAAAGTATTTGACTGTTAATCTGCATTTAGATATGTCACTTGTGACTTGAACTGCAGTCAAAGTCCAATAACTCAAGTACTTTGTAATTTGAAATTCTTCTTATTAGACATCAAATATTATCCTTCTTAAATATAACTTTAAGCCCTTCAATAATCGAAATATCGATAACTTGAACAGATATTATTTTCCTTAAATCTAATCAGGAAAGTCTCTTAATAAAAAACATCATTGAAAATAATGACTTGAAAAGCCCGGTTGAACCATCTGTAGGTATATACGTACCATCTTTGCAGATGAGAGCTTTGCTGATGAGCCAAAATCAACTAGTTTTATATGTCCAGTTCGGTCTATAAGTACATTCTCTGGTTTAATGTCCCTAAAAGAGGTATTTAAAAACTACAATAGAATATAGAAAATAAAATACAATGAACAAGTCATATGAATTAAAGATAGAACTGCTACTGTGTAAGCAGCTTACTCTAGTGTTTAAAGATTCTATCAGCACTGATGACTTGCTATGAGTTTATACTACTCTGGTATGTTTGACCTGTCTCCAAGTGAAGAACTTACTAGGTTTGATGAAATGCCTGCTAACCAGCTTAGTTACAGTTTAGCATTATCAATGTTCTAAATCCTCAAAAGAGCACTCTCTAAAAGATCAATTAATAACTAACAGCAAAATGAAGGTAAAAAAGAAAAATTATCTCAACCCATCTGTTTATTCTTGACCTAAGCAGTAGAGGCACACAAAGGCAGATTAAGACTGGATAAATATAAATTAGCCATGCCATCCACTGAAATGCAAACAAGCCTTTACAGGAATTCATTGTAATGCATACTGCATACCTGTGTACATATCCTAAAGCGTGGACTGCATGAATAGCCATCACCATTTCTGCTAGATAAAATCTTGCCATATCTTCATCAAGTACATCATCGTATTTACTAAGCAAGCCTAGTAAATCGCCACCTTGATGAAAATCCATAACCAAATACAAATTTTCTATATCTTGAAAAGCATATTGAAGTTTTGTTATCCAAGGGTTATTTGCAAAAGCCATAATGTCTTTCTCCTCTTCAAAAAAAGCAACCTACAATGAAGAATATGCAAATGGTAAACCAGCAGCAATAACTGATTTAGGCTTAATCTTATATCTACCACATACAAAATATTAATAGTAATATGTAACATGTATTTTCATGTGTAAAATACATTTATTCTACCCTTTGCTAGCAAAGCATCTATGACTGCAACAAACATTCCTCTAGAAAATTCCTTATAATGATGAATTTTGAGAAATTGTTATGCTTTGAAAGCATTGAAAATAACTTGTGAAAAAGCTTTATACTATCTGGATGTCAAAGTAGATATAAAAACATTGTTACAAATTTTTCCCAAATTTGCATGGTCCTTGTTTAAAAAAATAGCAGCAGGTTGTAACATTGTATTTTACTCATTTCATCACAAATTTATGAGTTTCATTCAAGGGTGTTTTGGGGTGGGGTAGTGATTCTTTGTTGTGGTGGGGTAATGATTCATACCATAGGATCTCTTACACAATGATAATGTACATAACAAAATAAATTCATAAGTTCAAATGCTAGCCTATTAATAGTAATATATGAAATTATTTATAATGATACTAACATTGTCTTGGGAAAGTGTCTCATTCTTCTTTAAGACTTTCATAGCATAGACATTTCCTGTCACCTTTTCTCGAACAACATGAACCTTTAAGAGAAAAAAATTGTACAAAAGTTATGAACAAAAAAACATTTATGTAATATCATCAGCCTGAGTTGATTCAAATTTCTTCTACCTAAACCAACAGTGAATGTGAAGAGAATTTCAAGTGTTGTGAGAGAAAAATGACATTTTGTATACACAGCCTCTGAAGCAAGAGAGGACACTTAAGAAACATACACACAAGAGCACACTGAAAATGTGCAAACAATCCCCGACAAAGGACAGATGACTGCAATAAAATACAAGCACATTTATCAAGGTAACTACGAAAGTACATTTCTTTGTATACAAAACTTATCAAATACCATAGATTATGTAATTCAAGTTATTTCTTCTACTGTTGATGCTAACAAAATGATAAAACACATTTTATAGAAATTACATCGCATTAACAAATTCAGATAACCTTAAAAAATAGCTTCAGATCAAATTTTTTTCAGTTTATCTCCTTAGATATTCAAGCAAAAGAAAAATATAATAGTTACTACTGTAGTTTGATAATAAACACTGAAGTTTTTGCAGCAAAGGATAAAAATTTGATATATAACAAAATTATAGTACAAAAATGTCATATGCTGAGGTAGGGGAAGGCTCATCATAATTCTAAAGTTTGTGTAGGCTGTATGAATGGCAAAAGCAAATTAAGATTCACATTATTAAAATAAGTAACATTTCATCTTTTTCTTTGCTCTGATTCCACAACAATGAACTGAAACCTATCACATTAAGAAAAATTCTTAGTGAGTTACCAGACAATAACCAGAACAAATGAATATTTATATAGATCTGTCATGGACTATTTTCAGTGAGGAACTTAAGACCTATGAACACCTAAAATTGTCAAGATTGATGAAAAAATTATATGGGTGTAACTGATTTTAACAAAGCTGACATTAAGCTTGTGATACATCAGAGAAGAAAATTATAATGCTTAAAAACAGGCACAGTTCCCCTACTTTTGCCAAAAATGCAAAAAATTACCAATGAATCACCAGTCAAGCCACTTTTATCAAGTTTTAGCCCCTCCCCCCCCCCCACTTTTTTCAGATCCCCACTTTTCTCAACACTGGGCTGTGCCTGAAAAAGAAACTTTTCAAAACCAAGATCTTTTCTGTGCTCTTTTTTAGCTATTTGGGCAAAGGATGGCAAGCCAACTTGGGTAACAACAAGGAAATACTAAAGTTTATGGAGGGTCTAAAGTGCAAAACTTTCTAATCTTGTGGGATGTCTGCAATCCAAATATAATGCCCTCAATGATTAGAGGTATATAGAAAATTGAATCTTTATTGATAATACAAAAAAGGCAAAGACTACAGATAATTATAAAGCCATTCAAATGATGCTTTATGACTTTAAATATTTCTCTTTTCAACCAAATTTTTCAAAACAACATAGCTTCTAGAGAATCAACGTCATTTCAATTTTAGGATTATACCATTTTGACATCTTGATAAAATCACACAATACAGGAAAAACAATGAATGACTACCATTTTAGCTAAGGCATACAATATTGATTAAACAAGACTATGATATGAATATCATAAGAGATTTTTCAAACAATTTTTATTAACATTGTTTTGTATTTAGGTTGGTAGATAATATTAACATACTTTGGTTCTCAGTTGCAACTCTGAGTTGTTTAGCTTTCAAAACCAACTTACAACTGTCCTGTTCTATGGACAAAAGTTTGTATTACTCTGTCTATATGTCATTTATCATTATTTGCCATCGTGCTTAAACAGTAATTCTTTTTGTGCTTGGGTAGTATGGAATATGCAAATATCAAAATACACTGAAACTATTCCATGAGAAGAAAAATAGCTACAAGCCAGCTTTATTGTTAGAATATGAAAGAAATAAGATACAAACCTCTCCAAAATGACCTCGTCCAATTGTTTTCCTTATTTCAAAGTCTGATTTCTTTAACCTTAGTTGCTTTATTTCATCCATGACAGGTTTGACTACAAAAAATTTTATATTTAAGTCATCCAGTAGGGAGTCAGTGCATGTGGTACAGACAAATTTTGCCAATTTGTTTGTTCTTTTCTTTGTTTCTATTGTTTATGGTGACTCTATCTGCCATATCTACATGAGAGATGCCACAGAAAACTTATTATAAACTGAGACCAAGAATGGTTAGGAAACTATAAAACTATGAACAATTGAGAACTATTATATTATGAGAAATATTGCATATAAGCAAAATAAAAGGACGCATATAAGATTTGATAAATTGAACTGTTCTGAGAAAAGCAGCTGCAAATAGAATTTGAAATGGACAGCTGGACAAAGAAGGCATATCCTAGAAACAATAACAAGTTTCTACACCCTGGAGACTACTTAGGCAAAATCCTAAAAGCATAAAAGACTTTAAACAGCACAACATTTTGCATCAGATAAAGTAACCACACAGCATTGAATTTTGTATAAAAAATTATCTCTAAAATGGTCTCTAAAATGGCTTAGACCAATTGAAAGAAATTCATTTTAAGCTTTGAAGCATTAAAGATTGTTGGTTCAATATAAGTAATGAAATTAGAAAATTATTCTTCCTTTTTAATATAAAAACTTTCAGTTTACTGCTCATAATAACATTGGAAGTTAAGACTGCTTTATCTGAAAGCTGTGCTTGACAATGCTTCATGAATCATAACATTATATTTTGAGAAGATTAGTATTACATTAGTAGAAGAGAACTATTTCATGTGAAAAACATGTTCAAGCATCCATCAGTTACTACTCTATCAGTGGAGCTTCTATTTGTTTTCGGTTAAATTTACTGCGTAGCGAGATCAGTCGGGCTGATCTTCCAGAAGTAAACACAGTTAAATAAGCCCTGATCGAGGTTGAGACTGAAACCATGGGCCAACAGTGCTTTAATTAATCACTGTTACTCCTACTGACATTTTTAGGGTAGTTACCAGTGGGAATCTACAAGGACGGGAAGTGAACACCCTCAGTCAAACCCTTGATCTTAGTATCCATGATGAGACATCGTTAATTTTCATGATCCAGGAAAATGCCGAAAGATCGTAGTATTTTAATGTGAAAAAATTTATGACTTTTTGGGCATTTCTACAATGTTTTGCTGTTATGTAGCATTTACTTGACACCGAAGAGTCAGTAATGAAACGTTTTATTCTGCAGGTAGGCAACAAAAACCGCCCTTCGAGGCGAAGACTATTTGGATCAACAGATCTACGCCATTGTGTTATATTTGATCTAATTAGAAAAGTGGGTGTTTGAGAATCGTTTTCTATCCTCAACAGGACTTCGTGATGTGTGAGGAAACGATAACTTTTCCGGCCTGAAAAAGTGATTCCTACTTTTCATAAGAATTAAATGGAATCGACTCAGCCTCAAGTTCACTTCACTGATGCCTTTCAATCAGATGGTTTCTGTTGATTGGTTTAGGGTGAAGCTCAGAATCCTACCAATAAGTTACCTAAGCCGATGTGAACATTTGCATCTCACAAAGCTTGTAAAATTAGAAAATCTTGCTTAGGGTAGGGAGCCGGCCAAAATTTGAACCAAACCCAGGTAAGAAAATGTAAACTGTTTTGAAGAATCATACTGCAGGCTTGGCTTAAGACGGATATTCTTAATAATACTTACACTTTTTTATAAATGTTCCAATGTTTTTGTCCCTCAACATAACATCAGATGAGCATTCTGTGTACAAAACCATCAACGAGTCTAGCAGCGCCTCTTTGTCTAATAATGGAACCTTCCTTCCACTTCTGCCGCTCAGTAATTGCTGAAGCCGGGTGATCCGGCTCGAAACAGATTCCGACATGATTGTACAGTTTGCCTTAGACCTTCATATGATCGAGTACAACAAGAAATCTATCGAGAATATCGCCAATCTTTACTTTCCATTTGTTCGTCCATGATAAACTTTTTCACCGACAATGCAGTAATAATACTGAGATACTTGGATGCTCCTCCGCTTGTTTGTGATGTTTGCTTTCTGTTTCTTGATTGGTTGCTTATGTACATTTCCGTGATCTGATTGGCTGGTAGCGGAACAAGCGCGCTTAATAAGACGGAAAGTGACAGGGAAACAAGCTATCTGACTCTTTATTATGTGTTTCATGCCTCAAGTATGTAAAATTCGCTTGGAGTTTGGGAGTAACACTTTAATGCCTGATGACTTTGTAACTTCATCAGCCTTGAACTCCTAACAGCTCTACACTACGACTTAAAATAGGTTTATCTATATTAATTATTTGTTAACCATAAAGGTTGTGACTATGTTCCCTTTTTTTGTGATTAGAAATTTGATACATTTTGCCACCCCTTCCCAACTCCGGATCTCTAGTCAACTTGCTAATCATATGTTGGGGAAAAACACAATGGTGACAAAACCAATCCCGCTGCATAACTAAAAAGATTATATTGTTGTTTCATATTGCTCTTTTGAATCGAATGTGAAAATGAAAAAATTAGGAACCGTTACCATTTAGAAAACTTCATGCATGCAGTGGCGTCGTGGCCGGGGGGACAGGGGGAGGCCGTGTTCCCTCTGCTTTCAAAAGTATGGGTAGTTCTCAAATGTTTAGCAACATAAATTACTTGGACTGAAGTACTTACCCTAATTTCGCGGGACAATTCACTATTTTAAAGGAGAATACTAATCAAAATCAAAATGATTTCTCAGGATTTACTGATTTCTACCATAGAGTGATTTGCTGCTCGGATTTTGTCAGCTAAATTCCGGATTTTCAAGGGTCAAATTTGGTTATGGAAATTCGCAATTTTTGTCATAAATTAAGTCTTTATTTGATTTTGAAAACCAGGAAAGTGCCAACTTTGTGCCTGTAACCAGATTTTTGAAAATTTTGTCCCAGATTTTAAAATTTATGCAGTTATGTTGCGTAAGGTAAAACAAGGAAGCAGTCGATCAAAGCCATCGCTTTCCCCCAATGGATATTCAATCTAAGAATAAGATTGTATTATTAAAATTTGCTTCAAAAAATGCAATTTCTGGCGATTTTGAAGTTTAGATTATAAAAGATTTCTCCCTTCGGCGGCAACCGGTGCCGCCTCAGGTATAGACCAGGCGTAGAATAGGGGAATGGTCGTCCAAGCGAAATTTATGGGACCAAGTGGTCAATTCGAGGGTGCTGATTTCGATTTTGTTATACCGGGACTTTGGGGGGCCATCAGCTTCTTTTTTGCGTTTGAAGTCTCGTTTTTGTGTATATGAAGGTAATCAATAAGAAAACAGTTTAAATGGAAATAAATTACAATTTTAAAGTTGACTTAGCATCTTTTTTGTGCATAAAGCTTAAAACTGAATGTTAGTCTGTTAAGGGGGACCAGAGCCTCGTTTTCACAAGGAAAATGCGTAATCATAAATTTCTTCCCTTGAATAGACATCTTAAAAGTTTAATACATCTTTTGTTGGGGCTGATTTTTGAAATGTCGTCCATAGGAATCATGCAGCGGTATTCCTTACTAACTGATAAATAACACTAATGGAAGAACTACCGGATCATCTAAAATTAGTTTAACTGTTTCAAAGTTCCTCAAAATCGTCACCTGAGTTGGAAGCTCTTTTATCCTTCAGCTTGGCTTTTTTAAAGTTTACAGGTATGTTTTTGGTAACAAGTATCACTCTAACGATAGAATCCTCATTCATCCCAACCATCTACTAGGAAGCCAAACTTAAGCATCAAACCACATTAAAAATCATAGCGATTTAGATTGCATGCAGAATACGAAGCCTTGGGTTTTCTATGCATTGTAGCAAGAGATTGAGATCTATGATTCCTTTTTCTCTTTCGAACTTCTGCATTAAAAATTTAGATTTACTTGATTTCTATAACACACACGACAAACTTTGTTTAATTATTGACCGGCTTGTCCATTCTCAATCAGTTGTGTACCCTGGCTCATCCGAATGATCTATAAAAGACCCCTTTTCTCTGACTTCTATCCGAACTACTTATATCCTTTTTACTGAAATATAATACTAGACTTTGTACAAAAGGAGAAAGTGAACAGGAGTTCCTGCTCTGCTACACTATGATTCTGTCACACTATTTTGGCTAAAGCTGTACTTATTATACAAGGCTGAAGATCAAGTTATATGATTTATATTTCTATAGCGACAAGTGAAAAAGGAATACATTGTAAAACAAAATTGCCAACAATTCTATCTTAAGTTGCAAATGAACTCTGTACATACAAAAATCTTGTCTTGCAAATGTTGCATCGAATTAAATTGATATGGTGCTCGTTTCTAAAGAATCCTTGAGATCCTGTGAGATTGTCAGCAAAGACCTTGCTGCAGCCAAATCTTGGCCTAGACTGGTTGTAGAAAACACTTTTTTCAGTGATTTTACCAGATTCAAAAAGATAGCTCTTCTTCCAAACCCAGCCCTTTATCAGAGGTCTTCCGAATGAGCTTGGGTACACCTGACGATGCTGTCGGAATTTTCTAAAACCTGAGAGGAGTTAAAACCTGACAGTGCCCTTGAGAAAACTTGCTATCTATTTTAACTGCTACCATTCCACGAAATACTGCTTCCATTCCAAACAAGTACACAAAGTGACTGTCTTTGACAAATACAAGGACAACAGCATATAAAAGATTGTGAAAAAATTGAGAGAGGTGAAGTTAGCTATACGCCTTAACAAGTCCTGACATTAAGGTGCTATATGACTTTTACAGCTTCCATATCAACGAAGAAAGGAAAGAAATATTGTTCAATCAATTTCAGCTTGCAATTGAAAAGGATTGTAGTGAACTCTTTAGACGGACAGTGATCATTTCAAACAAATTTCAAAGTATTAAATTTTTAAAATACTGGGCAGGTGACCACCGACATTCTAAAAATGCTCTTATCCTATGAATTGGGTGGAACCAAGATTATCATAGATAATGGTACTTGAAAACAAAGGAAGATAATTGACATGGTATCATGAGTTCTAGAAAATGTAAGCATTACTTGGCCTGCATGCTTTTTTTGCTATAAGTATGTTTCCAGTTATACTTTGTCGTGTATTTTATAGAAATGGAAGAATGTCCTTAGTTAATCTTCTCCGACACAAGTTGTTTGTGCAAAAGTTCAAAAGACAAAAGGAGATCATTGATCTCAGTCTTCTGCCGCCATGCAAAGAAAACACGAGCTCTGTTGCTATGATTTTAAGACTAGCTTGTGATTTGATGTTTCAGTTAGGCTTCCTAGTAGATATAACATGGTTGGGATTAATGAGGATTTGCTCGTCAGGTTGTTACTTATTACAAAGAACAATTTTGGGAGCTTTCGCAAAAACAAACTGAAGAAAAAAACGTTTTACATTTAGATGTCGTGTGCAGTGAGTCAGAAGAGGATCTTGAGGAGCTTTGAAACGATTAAACTACGTTTAGATGATTCAGTAGTTTTCAATTAGTGTTATTTATCAGTTAGTAATGAATACCGCTGCATAGTTCCTATGGACGACATGTCAAAAATTAGCCCCATCAAAAGATGTATTAAACTTTTTAGATGTCTATACAAGGATGGAAATTTTAAGATAACGCAATTTCCTTGTGAAAACGAGGCTTCTGGCCCTCTTAACAAACCAGTATTCAATTTTAATAAGCATTTATGCGCAAGAAATGTGCTTAAGCAACTTTGAAATTGTAATTCATTTCCACTTAAACTGTTTTGTCATTGATTACCTTCATATACGCAAAAAAGAAACTTCATGCACGAAAAAGAGGCTGATGGCCCCCCCCAAATTCCCCATATAACATTGATTTTCGATATCAGCACCCTCGAATTAAATAAAAGCACTTGGTCCCATAAATTTCGCTCTCGGACGACCATTGTCCTAATCTACGGATGTCCAGGCAATTTTTACAAACAGGAAAGTCCATCCGCAGTTATCAAAATTCACCTAAAAGAATATAAATAATTTAGCAGACCCATAATTATCAAAATACAAAATCTTGTTTAAAAACCCCTAACCATAGTAATTTAGACTGTTTCCTATAATGACCGGCCTAAACAAATCTGCAATTCTATTCCTGTTTTGTTAACATTATGTATTAGTAGAATCCATAAGCATCAAGTACCCAAAAATATCAGATCACAAGGAAAATTCTTACCCATAAATATTGATTGGCATTTGTATTTAGAAAGTTCAAATAACCCCCCCCCCCCCTCTCCTAGGATGATAACCTCCATCATTGATGTGAGCACTCTAATCTGTTTCCTCAAGAGATGATAAAATCTATGATCCAGTATGGCCATAATCTAGTATTTTTATGTATAAGTAACTTTGCACCAGATGAAGACCGTGGAAAATTTGCCTGAGATCGCTCTTGCACGGGCCCTTTTGCTAGTTCGAGGCATTCAAATCATTCGTATTAACATCCAATTATGTTGCTGGATTATCTCGAAAATTTGGAGTTCTCTACTTATTCAAAATTCAATTGTTTTTTAATTTTCAGAATGTAAAGTACTGGCTTCTTAAAACAAGCTTATTATGACAAATTGATATATTTTACGAATCGTTTTGCGTTCAAAATCTTCACAGATTGCATCTCTATTTAAACATATAAATGCTTAATTTTTCAATAAGAGGTCGTTTACCATACCACAGTTTTGCAGTTTTATAGCGACAGAAATCTCTTATTTTGAATAGCATTGAACATACAAGTTTTAAAACACAAGCCTTATTTCTAATATGAGAGTCCTTGATGATAAAGAGGATGGGTTGCTAGGGTAAAAAACTTACTCAGAGCATGTCTTTGCAAAGAATTATCAAAAGAAATGGGAGATTGTAAAAACGTATCTTTAATGCTCTTCATCTTATACCCAAAGAATTTTCTTATACCTAAAAAATTTTCTTACAGATTCCATGGAAAAAGAAAGGCCAAGTGATAAAGATGTGGAAATACATGTTAGATGTATTAATATTGACCATTTAATCTGATATAATATTGTCAAATGATTACTGAGGAGAAAAAACGTTTAAATCTATGCAAATTTGGCTGTGATGTAACTTCAATAAAACAGGCACTTTCCTAATCGAATACTTCTAATCGGTCTTGGCTATTGAAATCATGAACAAGGCCAAATCTATGGACAGAAATAGTTTAAGCATGCCTTTCAGAGGCCGTTATTCAGGAATATTTGTAATAGATTGAATCACTGATTTGTTGTTCTTCAGAGTAGGTATATACTTTGCATCAATTTTTTGGTTCAGTTGTATCTTGATGAAAAGGGTTACGCCAGCTTCATGAGAGAGTAAGGTGTATTGGCAAGTGGAAATGAAATTAACTCAAACAAAAGAGCTGACTAGAGAAAGATAATAGTTAAGGAAATGGAGAGTTACGAAATAGTTAAAAAATGGGAAATACCAGTAACTGAGGTTATCACTAATGGAGGTTATGCAAATGGCAGCAAATTTGTAGAAAATGCTGCTGGCGAATTTTTTTAGAAATTTAAGTCAAATTCTACATTTTCTTGAACTGTATTACGTCATATAATTCCATCAAGCATATATAATCTTCCTTGGAAGAAAGGCAGGGTTTGGGCGTGGTGACAGCTATATCCTCCGTTCTGTTGTAATTTTTAAATTGCCAGTTCACAAAAAGGTAAAGCTTGGTAATGTATGTTCGTTCGTCCGTCCGTATGTCCGTTCGAATAGAATGGTATTTTAGTTTATTTTCTTCAGTTGTGACCCAAGACAAGATGGACAAAATATACTCTAATTTCAATTATGACATTCCCTATAAAATTGCTTTTAGAAGCTTTTTTGTTGGATAATAATGCATTTTATTTACTACGTATTATAAAGTCGCAAAGTGTAGAAAAGCTACTGTGGACAATCAAGAAATTGGTTGGTGATGTGAAATTAACGAAATGAGTACATGCTCGAAACGTCGTGTTTTTAACACCCAAATTTTATATGTTCATTCTGGTACTCAATTTATTTGCCAACTATATTATCGTTATTTAGAAGTTAATGCATTTGTCACTCAAATAGGCTATTTATCATTAAATTCGCCCTTACTTGCTCCAACGTTTGAACAATAGATGGAATCCGAGCCTTTAATGTTTCCTGGATTGGAGTGAAATTTCACCCTTGTCTGTCAAAAAGTCTCTTCAATCAATATTCGATAAAGGACGAGAAGGGCGCACGTCCTCGCCTTCAAATAATTTTCACGAGAGAGAATAACCCTATAAGTTTCTTCAGGTGTTCCTACCACAAGAATTCCAAAAGCCAATTTCACAAAAATTTTCTTTTTGTGATTTTCCTTAACCCGTTGAAGTCCCCATCGGGTTAGAGACCAGCGGTTATCGTTTATAACCCCTCTCCCTAGACAAGCTTTTTACAATGAAAAAAATTCGCCGTGTGACAGTGTGAAACCGATTTATCTGGTGTGTGCGTGGCACATGATAGAACATAGTCACAAGAAGAATGATCCAGTTACCGATTTGCACGTGATTTTATCCCTCACCAGTCATTGCTATTGACGACACAAAATGCTCTGTCGTCCAGACAAAAATTGGTCAATCCAAACCAAAACTGCAAAACTTCGAGCAATTAAAGGAACATCCCCAATGAAATCGTTGCCTTACTTCACAATGATAAACAGAGCCATACCAACAAGGTATATATGCCCTACTGTTTTGTAAAATGTTAAGCGTGCAACTTGCGTCTATTCCATACTGTCTTACAAAAGTTTAGCATAGCAGCGTCAATATAGGTTTTGCACTTAAATTGTCACTAGATATCGGACGACAAAGAAAAGACACCAAGTCAACAGTGAAACTTAATTTCGATATGATGTACTAAGATATAAGCTTTTAAATTCTAGGAAACATAATACCAAGATTAAATGCGTTAATAACGAAAGCTCGCGTTGTTAAAATCTGTTAGTTATATATATGTTATACTATGACTTCGTTTTTTGCAGGCTTCTTTACAAACACCATTTAGAAAAGTAACCCACAAGACTTTGGCCTGTCGTTTAAAAAGTTGGTTTTAAAAATTGAATAAAATTTGGTAACTTGACCGATATACCATATGAAAACGAACAAAAAGGTTACTTGAATCGTTATCATTTACTGATATTGCAACTTAAGCGAAAGTTGCATATATTGAACACAACTTTGATATTGGTGCAGGACGTCACAAAAGGAGGTTTGTTCAAAACGCGGCAGTTGAGCCACTTTAACTGCACCTCTACTCAGCACCAACTTCGTCGACCACTTCAAACTTTTCATCGGCAGGACTCTGTCTTCCTCTTGAGCCCTTTGCTCCTCTTTGTGCCTGTCTTCCTCCACGACCCCTTGGACTACCTCTGATGCCCCTCTGACTACCTCTTCCTCGCTGCCTTGACTGGGCCACAGGTCTTGAAGGCGCTGTCATCGTAGCCGGACTGTTTTTAGGGGTAGGCTTTTTAACCGGGGGTAGCGTCTTTTGCACGACAGCTGGTTCAGTAGCTGGTTCAGTAGCAGGTTCTTGCTCAGTGTCCACAGCAGCATCCCCTTCTGTATCATCGGTAGGCTACGAAAAATATCAAACTTTGAAGGACTCCATTATAATGTCCTTATACACCAAGCCTTACCTCGTTAAAAAGCCACTCCCAAGAGAAGACGATTGTTCATTAGTTTTGTTTGCTATATACTGTTGTAAAAATTATTCAAAACAGTTTACAGAACAGACTTCTATAATGGAGAAGCTACCAAGAGGTCACAGATCAAGTTCACAGTCAAACTCTTGAAAATAACGAAACTGCAGTTTGCATTATAAAGACGTATTTTGGCTGCTGAAAACTGCAAACATAACATTGCAATGAGCGGCATAAAAACATAAAAATATACCTGTGATGGTTCGTACAATTCTTCTCTTGTCTGCGGTAATTCATCGGTTATTTCTCCTTCTTCCGGCGGCTCTACATCGATTGGTTCATCTTGCTGTAACCCTTGATCTGCCACTTCACCATCACTTGCAGACCCATTAACATCCTCCTCATCGAATCCCTGTGCAGGCACTTCTTCATCTAAAGGTTCATCTTCTGGACATTCCTCAGAAGCGCCTTCATTTTGATGAAGCTGCTCACTCTCCTCCCTAGCTTCTTCTTCCCAGTCTTCCTTATTCTCTTCTTCTTCTTCTTCGTTGTCTTTTGGATGCCATTCTGGAACCGATTTTTCTATGCGGACCTGCAAAAAGATGACATCATAAGGATCATAAAGCTGAGGAGGTTTGGGTCTTGCATATCAGAGAACTTCTTCAAATCGAAATACAACGAACAACTTTTATAACAGGTATAACACGATATAATACAGGAAGGATGACATTTTTAATGAACTTTTGTATTATTTGACATATTTTCTCTTTAATTAACACTCTAAGTAAACTGAAGTTGAACTCAGAGACGAATTAATCACTTATGAGAAGTGAAGGGGAATCCAAAGTCTCATCATTGTTCAAAACCATAAGCATAAACTTTTTAGGAAAATGACCAGTTACTCCGGATTAATAATTCACTAAAATGTGCCTGAGATGAATACGCTTGAAGCAAAAAGTACAAATTTCACTTTACTTTGGAACGTATTTGAACTAAGCCGAACTAGAGACAGATGAAATCGTTACCCTCCTTTGCATTGTAGTACTAAGATTTCTAAACAGGGTGTCTCAGTATTTCTAGATAAAAAAATTAGAATAGAAAAAATGTTACAAAACTATTAACTAATATTGCAAACAAGGAGAGTAAATATTTTACCACTTTTTTATATGGTTAAGACGAAATATGGTGGACTGAACTGTGTTACTTACAAATTCCGGATCATCTTTCTGAACATATCTGTTTTTGATAGTTTGTTGGTTCTCCGTTTCTTCCTCATGAGCCTCGTAGAGAACAACCTCGCTTCCATCATGTTGATCCAAAACACCAACGATGTCTTTATTTCTTTTCACAATGTTGTCATGATACCCAGGGTGGTCTTCCATATATTTCTACAAAAACAGAACAAAGTAGTGGGTAAATAAGGTAAAGGTTGAAACGCAACAATGTTACATAAAAAACTACTCTGCACATCGAATAATTGAAGCAGTCCAATCATAGCAAGAAGGGAAGATATTTAAACTTTGCTCATAAGTATGACAGAAAAAATTCATACAAGGATATGTGGCAGGAATGTGAAGTTCACATGCAAAAGGGAAATCAGTCAATAACAGAAAAAGAACTGGAAAACTATTATCTCTGTACTTTGTAAGCACCTATACAACTTGAAGCAAGCAATATAGAGTACAACACAGCTGTTCGAACAGGAGGGAAGTTCTCTGGACGTTTCCTTGGAATTCCTATGCCTGCCAACCATTGAACTCAACCCCTCAGGGACAAATATGATACTACCAGTCATGAGTGCAGCGCACTGGAAAACAAACTTCAAAGCGAGTTTCTTGGAAATAAAAAAATTAACTGTCAGTTGACATCTGTTGCAATTCAAAACAAGAAAAAAAGCAAATAAATATTACCTGATATGCGTCAATATGTTGCGGAGTTCTGATGTGTTCTAATGCATTAGCCCCATTGCTCAGTAACTTATTGCAGAGGCGGCAATCAAAACCAGATGCAGCCTTGATAAACTCACACCCTGCCAATTTAAAAAAAGGGATGCATTTGCAATATCCTGTCTATATAATCGCTACTTGCCTGTCTATTTAAGACAGCAATATGATTAAACGAATTTCACTCAGCAAAGGATTTATCACTTATGGTAAGTGAAGGGGAATCCATAGTCTCATCACTGTGAAATCATTTTAAACAGATATAAATTTTATTTCCCTGATCAACAATGACTGTAAATTAAGAAAAGTTATAATTTTGTGATGGGTGAAAAATAATATAGTTTGCAGTCTCTTTGAATGTCATCATTCTTTTCTTTACTTACACCATTGCAAACAATACCCACACAAATATATACCTTTAAGGTTTAACAAGGAAGGATACCTACTAACCAACTAACAAGAAAAAACAAAAATATGCTGGATCTTGAATAAGACTGCTACAGATGCAACACAATTCTCACAATTTGAGAAACATCTACATCAATATAAACCTTACACTATTGCTTACCAAAAAGCTGCTTTTCGCCAGCAAAATCCTTTATGGAAACAACTGATTCGCACACATGTCTGATGATAACTGAGCCATCTATCTTTGTTGCAGACTTGCGTGTGTCCATTCTGTATGTTACATAATTTTCAGGGTGCTTTATTTTGAACTCTTCCTCTTCCTTCCTTTTTGCTTCCATAAAACCAATCGTTTGTCGCTTTAATATAACTTTTGCAGATGGATTCAGCTCAAGCCAATTCTACAATAATATATTCTACAGGATGAAAAACCAGCAAGGGGTACAACTCAAACTGCAGAGTTTGAAGAAAAGGCTGTTCGTCTTTAAGGAATTTGTAAAACCAGCTACTTTCAAATTTTGAAACAGCACCACAATCACATGAAACAAAACACTGAAATTCTAGGAAAATCTTTCAAACTCCAATGGGTAAGAATAAGGCTTAATACATAAGTTTGAAGATAGCTTTGACCAGCATAAAAATAGCATACTAAAGTAGTGTTTGCCTAAGACTTCTCAGAGTATGAATGTCAGATAATGAATAAAGATAAGGAGAAATGTACTTCCAGATGCAGAATTGACATCTCCTGGGCAGCCATTATCAAAAACAATTTCCAAATCAATGAACAAATATAGTTTTGGAGCTAATAATTAGTGTCCTTTGAGCAAAGGTTCTAATCAGTCAAACTTTTCTTTCTTTTTAAGGAATTATAACAAATTAAATTCTCAGATATACAAATACATTTGTGTGTATTACCTTAAAATGCTTATTTTAGGATTGTTATATTAAATGATGCAGTGCTTGTGGGAGTTAACAAAAGGTTTAATGGATGTTGCTCCTCAATCAAGAGCAGTTGCCCAGGTTGTTCTGGATGGTCTTGGTTTAGAAATGCCAATAAAATTACACACCTCTGGGTGGAGCATAATATCCATAATCTCTCTATCAACATCATTCCCAGCCTGTCTTGCCTCAATAACATTTAATGAATGCTTTTTACCCATGAAGTGTTGCTTGATACTCTGAAAAATAACAAAAATATACTCCTGATAAAAACATACATGTATCAATTAAAGTAGAGAGAGAACTTTTTTTAGATGCTAGTATCAATCCAAATTAAAATACAAAAAATGATCTTTGGCACAGATAATTGCAGGCAAATCAAATTAAATAAGCATTGTGACCTTTATATTTGAATATTTTCTGGAAATGATATTTCTCTTAAAAAAATAAGGAACAGGCAATACTAACTTTATATCTATGGGCAACAATCTTGCACAATTCACACTTGTAGTTTTGTCCATCAAAATGAAAGGCTGAAAGTTTGTCAACATCTTGGTCTGCAATGTTTCTATCAATCTTAGTTCTCTTCCTCAACTCTTCGATTTTATCAATAAGTTCTTGTGGTATTTCGATGCTTTCTAGATCCTCAATCTGCTTTGCCTCTTCATCTTGCATGAATTCATAAACATCATCTAAAATTGTAAATACATTGCTTGCAAATAAGCGTGCTTCACATTGTACATTCAAAGTACAGCATACACAATCGCTTGATATGTTTCTATCATAGACTGGTTCTGTAAACTTACTAATACACATCAGTATTTACAAAAGATCTCTTTCACCCATGTCACATGTAAGGAAGGAATATACCCTATATATACTCAAGCTTTAAGGCAGCAAAGATTTGTTTGAATGATCACAAGTTAAAGAAAAGATTAGCTACAGAGAGGGTAAACTAATTAGAGACCTAGTGGATGGAAATATGTGGGTTCTACTGGTCACTATAGATTCCATGAAATCTTTCAAGCACTTTTTCTAACCATTTTTCCTGCTGATAAGGGCTAAACGTTTATCAATATAACTAGAATAGAAAGTGTTTCAATCATACTAAGCTACCACAACTAGCAAATCTAACTTTAATGAGAAACCAGCAGTGCTACCTACTATTTGTTCACCACTCCACAGCACCACAGAAGTGTAACAGGCCTGGCCGTTTGTATTTTTATAGGTGAGCTGTGAATCGCTCCCCTCATTTGCTGAGGCGAGCTAAATCAGTAACACATAGAATGTACTTTAAAGACAATCGACAGATGACTTAATAAGCCCCTTTAGTATCTGTCGGTTGCCTTAATGTAATTGCCTCAGTCAGGAGTGTTATGTTTTACTTCTTTCAATTTGCATTTGCTTTAACCGTGACTTAGGCACCCCATTTACTCGAAGTATTTGAAAGAACAGACTCTCTCGGTTTTATATAAAGCTGGCACAACACAAAAACAACAATTCTCTTGCAAAACAATCTTTTTGTTGCACAGAATTTGAAAATGGCTTTAAAAACAAATTTTGAAACAAACTTAATTATACGTCTAGCACTCTTCAGAGAGTAAAACGTCAGAACATAGATGGAAAACTCTACGCTAAAATACCCAGTTTAGGATCGAAATAGGCCATCAGAAAACGCGAGGACATGACTGTTGAGGTTTTCAATAAGTGCCCCTTTCCTATTGAAAATGTTACCAACTGCTACATAGATGGAACGATGATCAGGCTTTGCCAATAATGCGAAACATGTCGCCGTTATAGTTTTTCACCCAATCTGGGTTTTTCAGTAAATGCTGCTCGATAGTGGAATTCCATGTTTTGGTTGTCGTTTTTGATCTGCAAGACAGAGTACCCTGTTCTCTTTGAGGGATAGTTTTGTTTCTATTGCTGGAAGGGACCTGCTGTCTTATTATATCCCCAATCTACAATTCCTACCCATTTCTTCGACTTTCCTTCCAAAAATATTCCTGTTTTCTTAAGATTGAAAGTTTCTAATCACTACAAACGTACCTTTCGGTTAACTATCCTTTTCCAAACAGATCGAAGTTTATGCCTATCATGACAAAAACCGCCCAACAAGCAAAAAGTTAATTGCAAAAAATGCAGTGACGGGAGAAATCGCTGTTACAAAAATAAGCCAATTAACCCATTTTCAGGGTTCTCTGAATAGGAAAAGGGCAAATGAATGGAAATTTTAGGGGAGCGATTCTCCCTTCATGTTCTGTTTAGGAGAGCAATTCATAGCTCGCCTCAGGTTGCGAGGGGAGCGTGGAGGCGAGCGCGAGCTATCGCTCGCCTCAAACGGCCAGGCCTGGTGTAAACTTGAAAACAAACATATATACATTTTTGTATTTAAAATTCACATTCTACATCAGGCTCCAATGCCAGTCTATCTACACAAGGAGAATAAAATAAAACATTTGCTCTTGTAGAAGATAATGTATCTTTAAAAATAAATATACACCTAGCTTACCTTCCTCTCCTTCAGCCTTTCTGGGCTTCGTGTCTTTGAGCTGTTTTTGATGTTGCGGCTTGATATATTGTTGCTTTCCTTGCTTCCATGGTGGGATCAATGGACCTCTGTTGCCTAAATTTATCACATTATTGCTCATTAAATGAATAAAGTAAGATTGTTTATATGCAACTATTGTAGATTTTTCACAAACAATTGTGAGGTATGAAAAGCTAAAAATTACAAATAAATTACAAATAACAATAGTTCAACACTTTGTAAATGGTTTAGGTTTAGGAGGTTGACATTTTCAAATTTGTCAGAGATAACCTCTTACCTTGGTCTTCTTTTCTTCTCTTAAAACTTTGACCTTGATCTTGGGGTGGGCCTCTCCTTTTCTGAGGCTGAAATGGTCTTCTGTTTTTGTCAACAAATTGACGTCCTGGTCCCTAAGACATGGTAATATTACCAATTTCAACCAAACTGATTTATCACCAGTTTACAATTATAAAGAATTAACTTCAATTATAAAGAATGAAGTTATAAAACCTTGAAAAAATTATACAAAGATTAAAAAAAGACAAAGTTTAGCAACTTAAGCAGCAATTTTAAAGATAAAATTCAAAAAAAATATTTGAATTCTTGTAAGTTGGAACTTCCATCAATATATCTACATGATGAAAACTGCTGATGAATAATCATTTAACATGATGAAAACCAAAAGTGGGAATTCTCAAGGTCATATTACAGAAATTTGAAAGAAAAAAACAATTTTCTTAAACTTCTGCAGGAAGCAATCAAGATATCATAAATTTACAAGATTCAAACCTTTCCTCTCTGATTCATCCCTGTAGGTGTAGGCAACAGGCTTCCAGAATTCATACCAGAAAATTGCTGCGCTTGGAGGATTGCAAGTAGATTCTGTGTTTGATGTGCTTGCATGGCTGCTGCCAATTGTTGCTGGGTAGTGTTGCCTCCCAACATTCCTGTTGTTGTTAATCAAAGTTTCAAGCAATAAAATTTACATGCAACAGTGCTTTTTTCATTCAAAAAATTATTAAAAAATATGTTAAAAGTAGAAAAGCATAAAGTTTAATGAAAATTTTTCATAAAAAATGCATACCAACACTTTCATACAAGTACTTTCACACTTTTACAATGGTTAGATAATAAAAAACTCTTTGCTGATATAATATTCCAAGGGCAGTTAGTTACACCACTAATGTCTGGTTAATCTGGCCCTCCACAAGATAGCAACAATTGTTTGAAGTTCATCTAGAAAAAATTGTTAGTACCTTGCTTAAGTGTTCTAAACAGCTGAACCTCAATAAGGCTGAAATACATTATCAGTATTATTTCCATCAGTTTTTGCTTATCAGCCAAAATATGTGACATTGTTTAGACTTATGAGGCAAAACTGTGATATAGCTTTGTGTGCTTGACATTTCAGTCAAACTGATCAGAGAAAACCTCATCCAACTGGAGAGGATTGGCTACACATCAATTAATGGACCTGCATTAATGGATCTATGACCTGCATTGTACGAGTGATTGAGGCAAAATTTATAGCAAAATTTTTGAAAGTGAATCAGGGCTAAAGGAAGCTTTTACATGGCTATGAAGGTAAACAAAGTTGATTGTTTTGCGTAAACAGAGTTTTTCATTAGTGCTTCGGAAGCAGAACCCATCTTGTGGAATGTAATGCCAAGCAATGCACAATAAAGGATAGTAATGTAAAGTTGGAGGAAAAGTTTCACGAATTACTCTATCTCCTTTGGTAATACCATTCTGCAGCTAGGCCAACAGTTTATCAAAATTGTTTCCCTTTATCTTAGAAAACTTGTTCTCATCCTTTGGCAAAACCTCCTCAAAAATGTGTTAAACATTATACATAATTATATTTTCATGTAGATGTTTATTTTCAACCTTCTTTGTTTTAAGTGTGGCTATAGTTATTGCAGCAGCATGTTCTGTGTGACTATCATCAACAAATTGTAAAAAACTGAAGGCCTTGACGGAGTGGGTATACTCATGCTCCAAAAGATGAAATGGCCACACAAGCAGACTTCTTGTTTCTAAGTTTAAACATTGCAACCATGGAGAGAGGAAAAGAGAAATTGAGTTTGCACATGGCAACAATATTGTTAAAATGAGAGCCCCATTGACAGGTAAATAAGAAAGTAACCTGAAGAGCCTTGAACTGGGTCATTGGGGCTGGCACCCAAGAGACCTGATGCTCTTTCAGCTAACTGATGAAAAAGACTGATTCAAAAACTGATGAGCAAAAACTGATTGTGTATTCCAGCCTTAAAGCACTACTTTGAACACCTGAATAGCTCCAGTGGTATGATTTGCAATACATCTAGCAACTTCTTCCCACAACAGCTTTTATACTTTGGACAAACCTTGTTTACAGTTTAGAGACACAGTGGCAAAAATTATTGGAGCTTTGATGCGACTTGAGCTTTTGCCCAATTAGCATTTTTTGCCAGGATATGTGGGCTTTCATACCCTTGACTTCAAATATGGACTGTAATCTTGTACAAAATCCTAGACCCTACCCCCTCCAAAATTGGAAACACATTGTGTGATAGGGCATGTGTAGGCCATAATAAGGCTTTGCTTAATAAGGTCAACGAGGAAAGCCCATTGAAAGGAACACTGGTTTCTTGGACATGTCTCTAAGGAATTTGGAAATTTTCAGAGCATGGGTAGAAGTGACAAACCTAACTAGATGGAAAAAATTCTCTCTATCCATATTTACAAAGCAAAGCCTTTGCCTAAGTAAAAGGCTTGAGTGGCAGGCAACTCTTATGAAATTTGATAATCAAGAAAGAAACAGTAGCAGATTAATAGGAAAACAAGTCAAAAATGAATTAGCAGCAGATAGAATGACAGCTATTTGAAGAAAAAATTCGTTTTATGTGAAAATTTTGTCTTCAGAAAAACGTTTAAGTTTAGAAAGCAGCAAAGGGCAGAAACAATATGCAAAACAAAATATATCAAGGAAGAAAGATCAAATAGAAGCACAAGCAGACTTCTGCTTTTGAATTTAAAGGGTGGACTGAGCTATGAGAAAAATGTTGCAACCATGTAGAGAGGGAAAGAAAAATGAATTCCACACATGGTGACAATATTGTCAAAATGAAGAGCCTCACTGAGAGGTAAATAAGAAAGTAACCTGGCGAGCTTTGAACTGGGTCATTGGGGCTGGCACCCAAGAGACCTCCAGCTTCTGGGGCACTGCCACCCCTATAGCCTCCAGGCCTTCTGTCATCTCTTCCTCTATATTGCTGTTGTGGTTCTCGGGATATGTTTCGTTGACCCTGACAAAATAATTATAGTTTAATAAAATGCAAAGCTTGGTAGACCACTAAGAAACCTGGCAATGCTTCAAGTGGCCATGATCACAAGATGCTCAGAAGCAGAAATCTTGTGCTGCAGCAAACACATTGACATAGTCTAATACCAAGGTGATTGACAGAACATAGCAATGTAATGACATGTGCCAGCATTCAAGGGTAACTGCTGCAGAGAATTTAAAGACTTCCATGTTCTCTGGATATGGTCATAAGGGAAATGGGATTGATCCAAAGTTCTAAGGTGTTTCATTCAAGTTCTTGAAGTGACCTTGAAATCAGTTATTGAATTCTGGAACTAATTCTTGGAACTAATTCTTGACCACATTACCAGGGTCAATGGAGAAGAGACACTCTCACATCTTGAAATGCCTGAAGTCAACTAAATGACTTCTAACTCAGTTACTGGTTAACAAAAAGCTCTGCAGAGCATGTCTCATCCCCCTTCATTTATATTTTGACAGGCAGCTTTTGAGTATGGTTTACTGGAAACTGATACAACATTTTAACACTGGCCAGTAAGGAAATAAACAGTATTAAGTGAGGGTTAAGCATGGATGTTTGCATAACGACAAGTTTAGTAGTAGATGTGTAGCTTTAGAAGTGAGATTGTAAAATGAGTCAATTATCAATCCATGCAGAAAAAAATTGAGTGTGGTCAACCAGACATAAAACATTGAAAAAACTTCAATCAACTGACAAAAATTGATGGGAACTGGAAAAAATACAAGCTTATTGCAAATATACTTTGGTAAAGGAGACAATAAACAGGTTTTTATAGTTTCAAATTTTGTTGGAAGGACTGTGTTTACTCAAGCCATCGGTATTTGCATTACTGTGTCCATCAAATCAATTCCAAGGATCCAACAAGACTTCAAAAACAACTTTTGCAAAGACATGGAAACAAAGTTCCTGGACTGACTCATATTGGACTCTGAAAAGCTCGAAAATCTTTGCTGTAAAGGAATGGAACATCCAGATTTTGTTTGTTTTGTATATGTAAAGATGTGTCATGTGCTATTCTCAAGAAGAGAAGTGGCAGCATGCCTTGGTTTCATGGTCACCATAACCAATATGGTAATGCTAGTATTCTTTCAAGAAACCAAACCAATCTTGAATATTTGTTGCACATTGTGAAGATCATTGCCTTTCCCACGGTTCATTATTTGGCACTAACTAGCAGGACCAAGATCTTTGAAACCTTGACATATGAATAGGCATGACACTTTCACACTTGCTGAAAATATTGTTCGGATGATTGCTCAAGCATCTTTCAGATCCAAAGCTTACATTAAAAGATCCAAAGTGTACAAGGGTTACATTAAAACTTGCTGCAACCACTTATAATTACTCATTTAAGAAAATATGTGGTTTCAAACTTTCATCATAATTTTGCATTCAACTTGCAAAAAATAGAGATATGCCAGTTCTTATGTGTATCCTTTCCAACAGCCTCACTTCGGACTTACTGACCACACCAAAAAGAAAAATGGCTCCTTGACTGTGTATTGAAACATAAAAATCTTCGCTGTTAAAGGCAGCACATGAAACATTGCCACAAAATGCCTCAGTTGAAACACCGAGTTGGTAAATTAGCACAATGTACAAAAACTTGGAAAGCAAAAGGCAATTAGTCCAAACTTTTCAAGCAACTGACACCAACCTATTTCATCTGAGTTTAGCAATTACAAAATTAACAAAGTTATAACAGCAAGAATATTTTGTGAAAAACATATTTTGCTAAGTAATTTCTGAAAGTTAACACCATTGTGCTTCAAAAGGATTTCTGTTAGAGAAACTCTTCATTTCCAAGAACAAACAAGGCAGCAAAACAAAACTTATATCCAAAGGTAACAAGCCACAAGCTTTTACTGGAACATCCAGAGTTTGATTCTCATGTAGTCTTTCTTTTGGATTGAATCCTTTTAGTTGGGCTAGATTGTGGCCATCGTACTCACTTTCATGGTCCTGGCATGATGTGCTTAGTTGCGTCAACAATAAAGAATGGAGCAGCTGTTTTATTTGTGTTATAGATATCCACGATGAAGGCAAAATTGTACAACTAGCAAAAGTGATGGCCCATTATTAAAAGACATGAATTTGGCCAGACAAGAGAGACAATGGACCAAAAGTCAACTATACATGTGATCTAACTTTCTTTAAATATGTATGCATCAAGTTGACAGCTAGCTTTCTTTCTGTTGAAGCTTGTGTAAAAATATATACATCCATTGTGTCAGTAGGGGCATACTTCAAATTCATGTGAGCTTCTGCTTTAAAACATTTCCATAGGCTGGTGTCTGAACTATTGATGATTTAGCCTACGTGTATAAATTTGTACCAAAGGTCTTTCAACTTAACTGGACTGTTACGTTGCAGGTAATTTTCGTTTCTAATGGCACCAGTATGGTTCTAATGCAGACAATATTATTTCCTAATGGTCTCGAGTGCTCACATTTTCTTGCTTTATATTTTCAAGTGCTCATCCATGCCATTAGGTTTAATCCGCAAGACTTGGATAACATCTTCAGGTGGAAAACACCTGCTCACATTCTGTCCGCCAGTTCTCAAAGACTTTCGAAAGAAAACAATGCAAAGACTAACAAAATCTGTTTGTAGTTTTCTGCCAGAGCGAATCCAGGATAATTAGCGCAGGTCAAGATGATGGAAAACGTGGAAAACAGTTCTTTTAAGGCGTAAGTGTAGGAAAATTTTGCTAAGCATTTTGTTGGCAAAACAAGACCAGTCAAAACACGGGAAAAATTATCGGTCACAAGTTCGTCGACCTTTAATTTTGAAGAAAACCGAGAGGCAGGATAAACTGAAGCAGCTAAAAGAACAACAGAAGTTTAACTGTATTATAAAACATAAAGATGCTCGAAACAGTGGAATAAAAGCAATTTTATAATGCCGAATGAGGGGGACTTTTAGAGGCCAAATGGCGAGTGATTTTTTGGCTGAGTATGAGAGAGCACTCGTGAGTTTGAAGATCTCCAAGCAAGGAGCTTTTTCGCAAATTCTATCGTTGAACCTGGGAAATACAGAATAAGATAAGTCACATATCACCGTTTCTTTTGCCTACTTACCCCACCACCTCCCATCCTTCGTCGGTCATTTGGACGTTCCTGAGTTGCACCCCGCTTGCCATAATGTTCGTCGTAAAGGCTGTCGCTAGGACGATAAGCTGATGACTGAGACCGGGCATTGTTGTAGTTCGTCAGTCGATCGTACCTATCTCCTCGACCAAATTCTTGATTTTGTTGATACGGATATCGTGACATCGTCTTCTCCAGCAGCAAGCGATAAACAATGTTAGGATTTAGTTCGCTCTTCACGCCTTCTTGCCAGAGTGGAAAAGACCGTCGACACTTCTCCACGCTTTTTGTGGGTAGTTACCAGACTCCCAATAGAATCTCCTGCGCATGGACAGAATCCTAGGGCAGCTAGAAGCCTAGAACTTTATCACAGTACCTGCAATGCTTTATAAAAAGTGCTTAACAAAGAATGTAGCACTCGGGTTGGCTTTAACTTGAACAATTTCTAGTACTAGAACATATATCAAGGGGACCATTATGAAAAAAGGCAGTTTGACATTTTAATTGATATTTTAATCTTTTTAGCTTTCATAAACTGTATATAAAATTGTTGTGGCGAATTATACGGATTATACATACAAATGCAAGATTCCTAAGGAATGGGAGTGCACGCATTTGGTATTTTTTCAACAACTGCTAGAGTCGAAACTACTTTTATGAACTCTGAGTCGTTTCGGGCACTTATTATTCTCGTCAAAATGATGAAGTTTAGTTGAGTTAATTCTTTACATGTGTAGACTGTGTCTATTGTTTCCAATATTTTACTTTTCCTTGTTTTCTGACATTTTCTGTTGATGATTTGCTTATTTGTTCCTCGTTGTATTTCCAAGGGACATGAAGAAAAAAGCTATAGAATTGCTAAGGAATTGTTATGTGTAAATTTTCATTATTTAGCCTAATGAAAATCTCAAAATCCTTTATAAAAAATGCGTGTATTTTAAATTGATATCAACTTTTGGTTATCATAACCAAAAAAATAAATTTCCCTCAAAACCATAAACAGAAAAATTACCATCCTTTCGGGATTATCTAATTGTTTAAATGCTGTAATGTCCAAGCCCTACATTGACAACGAATTGAAATTCTTCAAATGAGCTTCAAACGTGCTCATAACTTGGCATCTCTCCTGGATTGTCCATTTTCATTCAGTGGCACACCCAAGCTCATCCGAGAGATCTAAAAAGACCCCTTTCCTCTGACTTCTATATAAACTTTTTAAACCCTTTTCATCGAGATATAGTACTAAAAAATAATCAATTTTCTATAAAAAAGAAAGTGACCAGGAGTTCCTGTTCTGCTACACAATGATTCTGTCAAACTATTTTGGCTAAATCTGTACTTAATAGAGAATGCTGAAGTTCTAGCTTCAAGTTTCTTGTTTTAAAGGGTTTATAGGTTTATCCAGAAGGGTGATCAGTGAAAAAAGAATACATTGTGAAGCAAAACAGTCAACTTTCTAATATGAGTTGCAAATGACCTTACATACTAAGGTCTCAGCTTTTTCTCAATGCTCCATTGAATCATATTACGGTGTTGCTCTTTCTAAAGAATCTTTCGATATCATTTTTATGTTGATGGACATCTTGGCCTAGATTGATTTAGAAAACATCCTATTTCAGTGACTTTTTCCAGATTCCAAAAAGTACCCCTTTTACAAAATCTCCCTGCATCAGAGAAAACAATTTTTTCTCAGAGGTTTTCCAGATGGGCTTGGGTACACCTTTGAATGTGAGTGGACACGTCGGGGGCACTGTTCACCACAGTAACTGTTGACTGCACGTGCCCGACGTATATGATATAATCAAAGTTTTATAGTCTAATCTCATGCAAGGAATAACTGGAAAACCGAAACAATGTTCTGCATTGAGTTCTGCACTGCGTTCGCACAACATGAATGTAACTGTTATTACGGTAAACAGTTCGTAAGCATGAGATCTGACTGAATACAATTGCTGTGTATTAGCGTTTTACTTTTTATCAGAACTCAATTCTCCCATGTTCAAGAAATAAGTGTGAATTGAAAACAAATGACTAAGTTGTGAAGTTGGTTAGCATATCTTATAAATAGCTTATTTTTTCTAATACGTATCCTAAATATTTGATAAGATGCCAATACATATCCTAATATTGAGTCTGATTTGAACCTCAAATTTTGTACCGCGAATAATACAGAATTACCTTCATTCGTATTATTGCGATCATAGCCAATCTCAGAGTTTGAATGATAATTCCACTTTCTTATTTACGAGCATCGCTATTTTTGAGTATATCATTCAAAAGACATTCTCTGGAAATAACTGAAAAAGAGCACGAATACAAGAACGAAATTTCGATACTTGAAGAAAAGCAAATAATTTTTTCAAAGCACATGTATCGATGCAGATTTTAAAGTTCACCGCGTACAACAATCATTTCATAAAATGACTTCTAAGTTTCGTGTAACAAAATGATGAATTGATATATCTCTTAACCAATTAAATTCTCTATCTATTTCAAGACTCATATTGATTGAAAACGTTACTCTCGGGAAACTTGTGTCCGCCATGAATCCATCCGCCATGGGCCTAAGACAAACAATCGCTTCTGCTTTCGTAAGAGCATAAAATACATCTGTCTACTGACTCACTCGTTCATAACAAAGTACAACAATTACGTGCTCTCTTTTAAGTACTAATACAAAATATTTTCCAATCAAAATATCCAGGCAATAATTCCACTGTAATTTTAAACTGATAAGATGTTTTCACCCTGTAAAAATACTGCTAACTATGCTCCCGGCCTAGGTTTCTCATATAATGGGACTGTATGGCAAAATGCAAGCATTAAAAATTTTCACAGTAAATACGGGACACCGTTGCAAGCAAAACGGACATTTTTGCTGAACTTGAAGGAGAATCGAACCCCTAGTTTCTCAAACCGAAGCACCATCATTGCTCGACATTTGGACATTTCATTCATACCCAAGGGTCTGAGTTATACCCGACCTGCGGGAATGACAGTTTCTACTGAAACGTCCTGTACGAAAGCAATTACACAGAGTATGATGCTTGTGTGAGGTTACACTTTTACTTCCATGACCATTCAAAAAACCGCGCTAGGGTTAACTTTCAATACTATAATAACTTCAAATAAGGGAAAAATTTGGGGGTACATAAGAAACTCCAACAACAATCTGATTTCAAAACTGTGTCAAGCTCAATGCAACCAAATATAAGGCGACTAAGCGAGCTTTAAAAATAATATATATATTCATTGGCTACTATTATTTGTCTTCATATGCATCTAACATGTCGACAGTTAAAAGCAAATTCTCATTGAATGACGCAATATTTTTTAACTTCTGAGTCAAAATCGTCGTCATCTAAAGACACCTCCAAATCTGATCCTTTGATGTCAGGGAGGTAATCAGAAATGTGGATGTTCTCTTTTTCAAAGAAAAGTAAATAGGGGGATTCGTTTTCCAGCTCACTTGGGTCTATTTCCTAGAAAAGAAAACAAGCGTTGTCAATAATAATAACATAGCGTTTGAATTCAAAGGAACAAAATTTCACAAAACGTGTGCTGTGGCGAATGTAAACATCCTGTCAAAGTTTTGGGGAGGTAAAGGGTACAGACTTTTGATAAATCTAGATGAAGTATTCTCACTTTCAATTTGATTCGATTTGTAATCTAAATCTGTGATTTATATATATTATTCACCAGTGCTCGTCTATATTAGATGTCTAATCGAAGATCCTCGGCACTTCGGTAGAAAACCATGAAAAAATCTTCGTAGTTAATCAACAAAAGCACGAATCCCGAGCTTAGTTTCATATAAACAACACGTGTTATTTCCCGCCACAGTGGGAAGTGACGCAATGGAGCGCAAAAAGGGAATTTACCTTGCAGCTGCTATCGTTGTATTTGTACCATTTATCGTTTGGGTTCCTTGCGTACGAGATATAGTGTCCGCCATTGAGCATTCCAGAGTGACACTGAAAGGAAACACTCTCATGTGAGTTGCTCCTTACATTTTGTTGCATGTCTTGTTATGGACATATATTGCATTCATTATACCTCGTTTATTATGAATGAATGGTCAATAGAATTGAAAAAAGAACAATGTGGATGTCAGGTTTCAGAGTTAGTCTCTCAAAAGAACTTCTTCTAATTTGAAAAAGCAGTTCCACAACCCTTTGTAACAAGCCCGATGAAAACCTTCTCAATGAGAAATTTCCTGACAGGGGAGTCTCTTTTATAAAAATCGTAAAGTAACGAAAAGAGGTAAACTTACAGAAATGGCGAATAATCGATAGTTGTAGTCGTTATCAGTATCCCCATCGTCAGATTCATTCAAACAGTCTTCGATTTCGTCGATTTCCAGGGCCAGTATGTCTTCACTGATTGTGAATTGATTTTGTGCTTTGCCAATATCGGATGTTGAAGTAGAACCATTGACTGGGTTTTCCTAAAGAATAATAGCTCTTATAAACCAATTTCGTCTACAAATACAGGAACTGCAAATCTATGTTGAAACTAACTTGGGTGCCAGAGTCTCCATTATTCAGTCTCAGAAATATAGTTCTAGTCACTAAAATAATTTCGAAATATATTTTTTGAGCGAGGGTTGGAAAGAGAGCCTTTCCTTCCCCTCCTCCATACCCACTCATTCTTTGCCACCGCAGCCGTCTACATACTTTATCCCCAGATTCATAAGGCCCTGGTACCCAGGGTATATTGAAACTAACGGGGGTTAGGGGATTGTGACCAGTGGTGGTGCCAGGAATTCTCAGGGACGCTATAAACGCCAGATCAACTGTCGATTGTTGGAAAATATTTGAAGACATGCCTTAGTGGGTTAAATACCAAAATATCCTCCTCAAAAAGGTGTCCTGGCGGCTTCAAATATAGCTTGAGCCTTTATCAACCACATTGCTAGAAAGGTGTTCAAGGTTTATGCTCAACGTGAGTGTGGACACCTAAAACCACTAAAGCAAAGAGGGAATGACTTGTATATGACTTAAGTACAAACCGCTGTTTTATCGGACGCCCGGACATTAAGAATTTTGCCCGCCCGTCGCTCAGATGGATTTCTTTTCCGCCTGTCCCGTTCTTCCAAGTACGAAGAAGGATCGAACTTTTTCATCGGGAATTTCACGATCTTATTTGACTTAATCCACCGGTTATTCAGCAGTTGAAATCTTTTAATATGAATTATCTGCAAGTGCAAGGACAAACATCAGTAAGAACTGGACCATTACATCATTTGTTAAAAACTATGCAACCAACTGCATATACGCCAACGGCTAGTGTTGCGCTGCAAATTCTTTAAGGAAGATCATAAAATAAGTATACAATCAAGATTATAATGTATCGTATTCCATTAACAATATCTCAATTATTTCATGATATTACGCTATATCATGTTAATATTGAATAAGGATTGTGCATTGATTTTTAAATACATGTGGTCGGCTTCTTTACAAGAACTGATGAAGCTGAGGCAGAACTGTAGACAAGAGACTCACTGCACGAACTGGTAACATATCAAGGTAGTTACCATGTCCAATGGCAACCGGATACTTAAATAAGCAAAAATTAATAGAATATCACGTTGGATTTTGCAAGAACAATTAGCTGTTGCACTGCCCTCATGGATTGGCGGTGTTGATGTTTTGGACCCCCCTCCCCCAGCTGGATTCTATTGCATTTGCTATCAAATCCGTACACTTAATAATTGAATAATAGGGGGGTAGATGTTTGACTCTATGCATGCTACCAGGGATGTCCTCAAAATTCTCTCCAGGATGGTAGCTATGTAATAAAAAGCTTCGTAGGACCATTTGTACTCAAAACATACCAAAATTGGAGGCAAAGTCCATAAACTGAACTTCTTGGCTATTTTTTGATGTTTCTTGCATTCAGGGCAATACCTAAAACACAAAATGATCTTAATTTAGAAACATATATCTTGAAATAGCTTTAGCAATCTGCTTGTAGACAAACAGAAGCAAGCTTGTACTTCATAGCAGCTACGATATAATCATCGTTGCAACATAAACAAAATAATTCTCACAACAAAATTCTACATACAGAAACGTAAAGCAGATTTAAAGATGGCATACAAAGCAATGGAAGAAAGCATAAAATGCTCCCGAAACTCCACAAAGTATCGAAATTCGGTAAATGGAGTATCATATCAACTGTGCATCAACATCTAGTCACTATTTGTGGCCTCGTACTCTGAGAAGATTTGGAAAAAATTGATGTTAGCACGTTCTCTATCTTATATAATACTGCGGTCTTCATTATGAAAATAGACAATTCAAGATCCGCAATCACTTTAACATACACGCTAAAAGTCCTGTAAACGCCCTTTTGCTTAAGAATTGCTTAAGAAATCGACTGCTTTCATAGAAAAGGCCGTACTCCCTTTTTTATAAAACCAAGTTAGCTGTGGAACTAAAAATCATAACCTGCTGAAAGGATTCAATGGACGATACAGAATGTTTGGACGGAAAGAGGAAGGATGCGATAGAAAATGTTCAAAAATGGAACCAAAACTTTTGGCAGGGATTGTAGAAGGACATACATCTTGGGGAAAAGGAAATACAAAATTTGTTTGACGATTTTGTTGTGATTTAAAAATGTTATTTGCCTTGTAGGATTATGGGTATAGTTTTCAACATGTTTGCGGAATTAGGGGTCACATTCTTTCAGACATGTATGGCTTAGTTATCCCCCCCCCCCCAGTTTCAATAGCAACAACAAGACACATAAACAGGGGACCGATATGATGACGTAGCCATACTCTCACAATAGTCATCAATAAACACAGCGCTAACGTTGACCGTTCCAAGCATACTATCTGGAATAATCAATGAATACTGTAATCACCAATAGGAATCATTCTTAACATACCATGTTTCATCGTCACCCAGTTCCTCTTCTTTCGTGAAATCTCTCAAACACTGATCGATATTGATCGGCTCTCTCAGTAATCGCATGCTTTCTTCCAGACTGGGGTGTTGGATAAACGCTCGTTCCTGTCCTTGCTGGTAATTCAAATGCAAGGTTGTCGGGTCCCAGTCAATTGCTAATTGTCCTGCTACGTCACCGAGAGGTTCTCCGTCGCACAACAGCTTACAGCCTCGACAAAATCTAGAGATAAAAATATGCCTTGTAAATTTGCTCAATATTTGCTAATGTTTTAGAAGTTGCAATCATGGTTGCACAGGAGAGACCAGTGGTGGTGCTAGCTAGCCTTTAGTGATTGAAAAAGGGAAGTTCAAAGAAAGATTATACGTTGAAAAAACCGCTCCTTAGACATGTTTTTTAACAGTGTGAGAAACTGCAAATCCACCGGGACAAAAGTGGGAAAATTTCCTAACCTCTAGTGCCTACTTGGTTTCCTATTATGAGATTGTGTTCCCATCAGTTTATTTGAACGAAACGATGTATAATTAACGCAAGTTTTGGTCGTCTTTTATGCTAGTTATGTTGGAGGTTAAAATGTCAATCAAGCTTTCCATTGTTCAAAGAAATAAAAAATAAGCTATAAAAACTGCTTGGTTTTTGGCAAAATCTTAGAGTAGGATTATGTTTGGGATCCAGACAAGTTTCAAAATGCCCGAGGATAAAACAATTTTACAGTGTTTATGTAACCTGATAAAATTGCTTCATTTTGAAAGAAATACAATCAATACTCACTTATACCATGGACAAAAGGAACAGAACTGTCCATCTCGCTGAACAAACTTGAGTTCGAATGGGTATCTTTTACTGCGATAAAACAAAGCTCGATTAAAACGAATTCCTCTGCAAAAAGAAAATTTTAAAGATAAAAAACGAAAAATACAAAATATTCTTGGAAAGGCCAACCTACAAAAAAGCACAGTAAGAAATACAGCAATACTATGTCTACAAATACTGCAAGAATGGATTTAACATTAGATACGCTTGACCAATATTTAGGACTATTTACAATTCAAAGTAAAATTTTGCATAATTGAAATAAAACACCGTCACAGAAGCCGTTGATGGGATTAAACTCAGTTTGATAGGGTTACAACGGACACACCAAAAACAATTCAATGCGTTGTTCAACTTTATTGTAGAAGACAGGATAGTTCATTTGGAAATCTGTAAGACTTTCCTAAACTCAATCACACAATAGTCATATACATTGAAAAATGATACAGTAAAAACAAAACCACAAGTAAGTTAAGGTTGCTTGGTGAACAAGGTTGGGATTTCATTAAACGTTTAAAGGTGCGGAAATTGATAATACAGATTAACTCAAGATCAGACAACTGACTTACTTTTCAGAATTGTTTCTCCTCTCTGAAGCTTGTGTTGAGACGAACCTTTTGATCTCCCGCCAAACGTCCTCATAAATGTCTCTTCGTTTGGTGGTCTTGCTACAGCTTATCAACAAAGGAACCCCGAATAAGGTAGGACGAAACTTTTGCCAAGACAAAAAATATGCATCCATTTGCACCTGCCAAAGCAAGGGAATGTGCAAGCTCGTGATAGTGTAGCTACGATTTCTGACTTAAAACAATTGGCTCGGATTCTCTTAGTTCAATAAAAAACCCAGATTATAGAAAAGCATTTTCTTCTCTTAGAAAGTTACCGTTCAAAGCAGTGGTGGACACCTGGAGGGGGGGAGGGGGGGGGGGGGGGGGGTTTGGGCGATTACCAATATTCTTGAGGACAATGGTCTTTTGTTCTGAAACAATGGAAAAATGTGACATCATCTTATCAAAACAATAGGCTTTCCCTCAACTATTCGACCAAGGGTCCGCCCCTGGTTCAAAGTATGCAGTATCATTTTAGACAGAATAATTACATTTAAACTTGCCATAAAAAACGACAGCATGGAAAAAGAACAAAGATTCCTCAGCGCTGAGCCTTCCACTTAATCACTTCGTTGATCAATTTGCTCAATCATTGAAACCAATACATGTAAAAGATAATCTTTCTTAGTTCCTGAATTTGCTGTTTAGTGCAAGTTCAAATGTGTTTTTCACAACATAGAACAGCTTTTAAGAAAATAAAAAGAGCTAACCATTTTTCTGTGCATCACGATAACGATTTTTTGAGCCAATGGATCGCTTGAGTCAAACGAGCAATTCCCGTCCAGGAGATTATCAGATGAGCTACTTTGCAAGTTGGGTCGGAGATACCCATTCGAAACAGTAGCTTCTTTATGTTCACTTTGCGTTGGTGTTATTCCGTTGGACTTCTTTTCGAACCTCCAAGGCATAATCCTTGATTTTCTTGGGGATTTTAATGAGTTTTTAGGCGATCTTTGGGCTTTGAGTTGCAATACGTTTCCATTACTTGGCGATCCTCCTAGCACAGATGTCTCTGATAATTGTGTAGTTGCAGACAAAGCCTCTGCCGATGTTTCCAAAATTGCAGGTGAACTTGCTCGTTGCCTGACAGGCAGTTTTGAAGGTATCTCTAAAATCGAAGCCTGGGCTTTCACTTCATAAGCATACAATATTCCAGTGACATTTTCTCGCAATTTCTTTGAATCTGGCAATAAGGCCTAAAAACAATGATAGATTAAGTTAATAAATATTACAGTAATACAATGATCCAAATATCTATTTACCCAACACTTTTCACTACCTATAAGACCACCTTTTCCTGAAATATCAACTAAATACTGTTCTTTAAGATATCAACTTAATATTGTTCTTTTCAATATTTAGATGCTTGAAAATGAATCTGTAACTGATTAACGATCAGCAATGAAGCTCGTTAGGCTTTGCCAGAAACTAGCCTCGTCTTCCTATCGAGGCTAATGATAAATGGAGGTAGCTTTGCATTCAAAATGACTATGCATAAACTGAAAGGCATCAGAGTAAAAATGGATGAAGAGATGAGAAAGATGATAATGCTCAGAAAAATGCAATAAACAGATGCCCGAGACAGAGGAGGCAGAAATTCACCGTTATAACTGCTCCGAATGTTTCAGCAATGACAAGCTGGTCGCATGGGATTCCGCTTAATTCACCAAGCCGTAGTTTCAGAGTCTTGACCGTCGCTTCATTGCATAAAAGCAATCCATAGCGAACGGGAGAAGTTCCATTCAGGGTAAATACTATAAAAAAACAGAAGTAAAAACTCTTCTAAACTAAATCTAAAGAAAAAACAAAACATATTGTGAATTAATTGTCACGAAAACTTCAATGCTTAATCGAAAATAATAATGCTTTCAAAACAGTTAAAAAATTAAAGGCATTGATTCATGGTAATTAGGCCCTTCTTATAGGGGTTAAATTGGTTTCAGCATGACTGCTGCAGTGTCATGTGATATCGGCAACCGTTGTTGACAACTTGCTATTTATGGAAGCTGTTTTGTTAATCCGTAATTTTTCAAGCGGATTGACTACAGGAAAGACAAACTAAACTTTTCAGAACATAGAGCATAATTCTGATTAATTTGCTGAAATACTTATTAGAATAACCAACCAGTTATTTCGAGATGAAGCGAATTTTCCATTGGAATTGGCAATGAAAGGAAAGTATACGGATCGAATCGAACACTGCTGTTGCCACAAGCCAGGCATCTTACTTGCGACTTCAACTAAATGGAAAACACAGTCAGTTGACATTTCATTTGACAGCTTTGGTGAAAATTCAAGGAAAAAACTGGGGATAAAATTGCGAATTTATCAAATGAAAATAGAAGCTTATTTACTAGTATTGTTAACTTTCTGACTTTCAAGAATTAAAATTGGACAAAAACTATTAGTGAAAATTACCAACTAAAATACGACACTGTGGTATCCATTATATAAAAAAGACTTAATCTCTGATTCCGGTTCTGACTTTGTCTTTTTCCGGCAATGTTACAATAGTTAAAATTTGAATCTAAAGGACTTAGTAAGAGTTGAACAATTTCTATGAATAATAAAGTTAAATGATTTTTCTATTCTCTACCGTGGTAATACTAAGTGGCAAAAAACTGCTTCTCACCTGGCCCTGAAACAAGTCCACTATGATCGACTGGTTCCTTTTTCTGTGGTTTTCCCAGGCCTCTTGCGCAACTTCTTTATCTGGCCTACCAGCACTGTCTTTGAGTTCGATGTATGGTTTGTCGTGAACGCTGAGTGAAAATCAATACAATAATTTAGTTGGCTAGTCTATTGCAGAGGTCTCGATGTTGCGTTGACAGAGCCGAACTTGCTTGGATTTGTCGAATAGGACGGTGCAAAGTTGCAGCACCGAGCCTGAAGCTATACACAATCACCAAGTAGTTGTTACATGATGTTATGTTACTCTTTTTCTCCTTGTCTGTTATATTTCTCCTTGTTTGTTTTATCTTCATATATTGATGGCTCAATGGTTAGCGTCGAGGACAAAAGGTCCAGTGTCTAGTCAATATTCGAGTCAATGACATTATCAGACTTTCATTAAGAGTTAGTAGCGTTGCTAGGTCTCTGTTATTCTAGGCGTAGGAATCACGAGGTGTGGTCAAATCGAGAAGAAGGGCCAGCTAAAAAGTGCTAAAAAACTGCTAAAAAAGCATAGCTTTTTAGTGTTCTAAAACTACGTTCGACAGGTAGGTTGTTACAAAAACAAAAACACTTCATATATGTTAATTGCCTGACGAATACACTAATCCTGAAATTCGGAAGAGCACCTCAGAACCGTCCTGTTCTAAAACGATAGCGTAGAATCTAGGATAAAAAATGTTTACATCCATATCAACACTTGCTTGAATAACAAGATGGGCAAAATATGTAGAATTGACATGATGATGGTAATTATGATAAATATGATAATTATGAAAATGCACTAACCGGTTTAAATCTTCATGTAAACCATCCAGTAAAAATGAAAGCAACTCCTAAAACAGAATTCGAATGAACTTTATTTTTTCTTCTTTCCGAAGAGAAGAAAAGCATAATGCGGTCAGGCCATTGCTACTTCACAAGAAAAACCGTAAAACAAAACGAATTCTTTACGGCAAAGCTAAAGAAACAGAAATTTTTTGTCTCTATGTGTCTACCCATCTAGCCAGCGTAGGTCATCTTTGAAATAAAAAAGTACAAGCATCCTTTGCACAATTCAAAATGTGCTCGACTATTCCCATTTCATGCAAAGCATCAAATAAAAGACATATGCAAAATCTATTTACCTGAGCATCATGCTGTTGGAATCCATTGAATTGTGGTGCATATTTACCAATTGTCCACTAAAAAGCAAGAAACGATATTTCATTTCAGTCACGACCTTAGTGCAAACAGCGCAATATTTCTACGTATTTATGGGGACGGAATTGCTACTAAGACGTTTAATACCAGTCTATTCAAAAGAAGAAACAGTTCATTTCCAAAAATGCTGTGCTCAAACGCTCCAAAGTGGGAAGCAAAGCTTTGAGTGGCTTATCAGAAGGCAGAGGGAAGGCCCTTTAGATTAAGCTATTTATAGAACGAGAACAATAGATTTGCATTATAAATCACGCGTTAGTAACTTAAGCATTGAGTTTATACCACGTGATGTCATATCACCATATGTGATACCACAATACATGACACAAATCAAGTTACTTGTACGTACCCTTAGCTTGACTGGTGCGATGCTCCGATATAGTCCATTCCACAAGTCGTAAACAAGGTCACCGTATCGTTTTGCGAGAATTCCCTTCAATCCAAGAGGATTCGTTCTAGAACAAAATAAGAACACATTTTCTTTAATCAAAAATCGCACTTTCAGCTACTTTTCTTCAAACTGTTCTTCAAACTTCAAACTAAACTATTACTATGCTTTTTAGATCACAACAAGAACCGCATTGCTTTGGTCTTACAGATATAATCAGTGATTCAGAACCATGCTGTGATCCCCTCACGTCCTGCCAATATTCCAAGCTGACTATGCAAAACATTTTTCAATACAAAAAAGCACAGTTCTACCCTATACATGGGCTACAAAATGAAAGTTACAAAATTCGATCGATAAGCTCCCAAAAGCTGGAAACAAATTTGCTTTGGACCTATTATGATAGTAGGTGAATAGCAAATGAGACTATCCTCTAGAACTCTAGGCATAAACTACTAAACTCAACTTCTCTTCTTATCAATTCATTAAAGTCTGTCATTAAGTTTTTTTTAAGAAACAGAATACTCTCTGTGTTGATTAATGACTGTAAATTGATATGAAAAACATTTTACGTAAAGTATTTTTTAGACAGAAAGAGTGAAATCCATGCTATGATAATTCGTTAATGTTATGATAATTAGGTAATGTTGTATCATAAAGTCTCTGATTTGTATCATAAAGTTCGTTATCGTAGATATGATAGAAATGATTTTAAGCTCAACACTTACCGGTTTAGTTCGAAGAGATGCAGTTTGCCAAGAAAATACATGGTCAATGGGTAAGTGTTACTAATGCACTGAATCGCCGAGTTCATAAAGCACGTGTTTCCAAGATTATGCAATCCAGTTGCTCCCTTCACAAGTGGGCCTAGGCAAACAAATACAGAAGCTATCTTAATCTTAACGTCAAACTAAGACGTAATATGAAATGTGTAATAGCCAATGCTTTCTCAATACAATTACTGACTAATTCTTTAAGAACTCTTTAAGAAATAATAATAAAAAAGACAGAAGTTATAGCCTGCTTTTTCATAGAAGCCTCCGTTGGCTAATTCAGCAATTCTTGAAATGACTCTTTGCAATTCATTTATTAATCAAACTTTGTGATATAAAAAACAGAAGCCTTGTGTTTTATGTTCTGATCCGAGACACAGCAACTGAGGATAACTTCATTCATGTAATTTACATAACACTCTAATAGGCTTGGCAATAACTAATATCTTTTTTAGGAAAGTCCTATTCTTTCTGCAGGAAAGTTATTGTAGCTGCTTTGAAATATTAGCCCGTGGTCTTTAAGAAAAGGAAAACGGGTATTTTAAAATGATGAACGAATCAATAAAGAAGAAATGAAAGTTTAACGAGGATGCAAATGTTAGGAGTTAGCTAACTTAACAAAAAAATGCAACAGAGAAAATGCAACAAAAGCATAGGGATTGAAAATATACCTCAGAAAAATAATTGTGATGACACATTGTTGGATAAAAATGAAACATCGAAATACAAAGATTGAATAGAAATGTTATCAAGGTTATTCATTTATACAAATTTGAAGGGATGGAAAAGGACTGAAAAATGCCATAAGACGTGTTATAATTAATATTAAAACTGTATAGCTAATAATAATTAAAAATAATTAATACCGGTGTTTGATCTTTCTCGAAAGTTTTTTGTTGCTACTAACGAATTCATCTCTTCTGGCCAACTCATGTCCCTGTTCCTGACTGCAAAAATTGATATAAAGCAATATAACTAAAATAGTCTTGGCTGCAATTAGTTTTGTAGGCTCCACTTCGCTGTTAAGATTGATAGTTTGGCTTCAGGATGCAAATATTTATAGCCTTGATCCGTAGAATCTTCATGGGTTTATCAATTTATTCAAGAGGTATTAACTACAGTTTTATTCATATCAAACCACACAATTTAAACCGGCAATAAGTCTTAACATGAAACACTCAAATATAAACGTTTTGCAGAATAAATCTTACGTATTCTTTAAAACATTTAACAAGGAACAAAGATTACTTGGAATCACAAGAAATCAATAAATCACTTCGAATGAACAAGTATATAAACAATCTTTATTATGATGAGGAAAGCAGGTTCGCAGGAAACTCACTTTCGATAAGTACACGGTGGCCATCTTTGATTTTATAATCTTCTAGAGTTCTTGATTCCTCCTCAAGCAACACGGGTAGATTATGCTGCAAAAGTTCATTTACATTTACAAAACAATAATTAATGATCAAAACACTAACTTTCTCAACTATGATTTGTTTCAATTAACTCTCATAGGATTGCACGGAACAGTGACATTGCATATCATAATTTTTTCATTCACAATCTTAAGAATATCAAACTACAGGTTGATGGGCAATGTATGAGGAATGAGGAAAAATAAATCTTTAAATCAAGTACAAAATGTTTTTCCATGCGGCAATCCTGAAATTTTGTGTCACCAGAAAAAACTCCAACGACTCGTGCTTTGAATTTTAATCACCGTTTAGATTTTTTTAACAAAAAGTAGGTTACTAAATTAAGGACATAAAAATGTTCTTACGTCAGTAAAATCCCAAAGCCGAAGGTCATCTGGCCGGATTTTAAGCCTCATGCCAATATAATCTTGAACCTACAAGGCAAATAATGAAATGGATAAAAAGAAAAGAGGAAAAAATACAAGAAACAGTTTCAGAAAAAGAAAATGTGACTAAGAAATTATCGTTAGTCACAATACAGTAAATACCGTAATTGTTGCAATACCGTAAGTCGAATAAATTTAATGCAAATTGATATCCCCAAATTCGAAAAAATTAAAGCTTAACTTACCTTTGGTAGAATGAATTGTCTATATTAGGGTTTTGTTTCTTGTCATTACCAAGTTCCAAAATGATAATACGGTAATGATACAACGATAGGTAAGATCTCAAAACTGTGAAATACCTGTTTGAGTGTGTTTTTTCTGCTGAACGACCCATAGTACATCAGGCACCTCTTGGGCTGTACTGGTATTGGTGGTTGTGCTTGGCTTTGCGATTGTGAATGAAAAGAAAAATTTGACAGTCCTAGTGAATGGAATGATAGAGGAGTGTGTTTTGGAGGAGTGACGTGTCGATATAAATGGAGCTGAATGGGGTACAGCTCCACTGTCAAGCTCAGTTCTGAATCGTTGACGATGATGACCTAAAAACAGGGCAAAAAGGTTAAACAGAGTCATAAGATACAGACGTTCTTTATTTACAGTAGCATCTTTTTGTGCGATTCAATTTTGTAAATGCTAATGTTAAAGTGAGCAAAAAAAGTAAGCACGATAGTCCCACACAGTGGCAAAGCTTGACCTTCCAAACTAGAGAATGGAGGGTCATCTATAGATAATTTACCGACGAAAATATAGATGAAGAAGATTTAAGTGCTTGTTCACCTACCGATAAGCAATTCTACCGAGAAACTAACTAAGGACTTTGTGGACCAGCTGAAGATTTACCGACCAAGTCAGGAAGAACTGGGGGTGTCACCACCGGTTAACCCCTACAGCCTCCACTGGTTAACCCCTGATCTCATAGGAAAAAGCACTGGATAGTGCTTTGAGATTAAGAAAAACTCAAACATAAAAAATAATTAGTTTTGAGGCTGCTAAAATAACCATCAAAAAAATTCTTGGACTAAAATCTTGGATCTTGGACTCTTGGAATCTTGGATCAACATCTTGGACTAAAATTTGCCCTGAGAAAAAAGCTGGAAAATATCAACATATTACGGTAACAAAAATTTGACTTAAACAAAAAACGAGGAATTACATATAAAAAAGTTCATATCACTTAAACTAAACCCCTACAGAGGACCAAAGAAAACAACCAGTGTATAGGTTATACATAAATGAATTGTAACATAGGATTACTTACCGATCTAGGCAGGGCAACGTTGCCACCATACCATGCGGAAATTGCTCGCCAGACAGGTTCTGGTAACACTTCGTAGTCTCTACCTTGAGTCAAATGGGGCTTAAGTTTCCCGCCTTCACCAGTTAGATTTGGAGGTTGCTGAAACACAATCGCATTTATTATAATTTATACGTCACAAAATTAAGTTTCTAGAGTAAATTGAAAGTTATCGAAAATTTAGCGGGAACCTGATATAAAATCTTGAAATAAAATATGTTCACTCTTAATGATTTATAGCAAGGCATACAATAACAACAGTTCATCTTTGCAGAAGCGTACAAAAGACAGCGAAAAATTTGAAGATTCAAAATATTTGAAAACAAAACTTTGGTGTAGATAAAACGAAGGGTTTGAAGTGAAGAGAAGAGTACTATCTATTTTGAATTCTGCAACGATTTTGATACGAGAAGCCAACTTAGCGTATAACAATTTCTTTTAAGGTCAATAGGAGCGTATTGAAATCATAAAAAATATATTATAAGGGTGTAAATAAGAAAATTCTACCTTGTATTGGTCGTTCGGTTGAAGAAGAATAGCATTGTCGATTTGACCCGGATAAACAAAAGTGTTTGAAGTTAAATGTAGCATCTTTCCGTTGCTAAAATCATGTTGTTCTCCAGACGGCTCTACTTGCACTTGGGTGGTGGTTGATGTGGACCTTTTCGAAGCTGTCCCAACAGGTTTTACGGGCATACGAGAACTGCCGCTGTCTGCTGAGTCGTATCCTTTCGTGTCAATGTCAACCCAAGTGCTTTGAGTTGAACTTGTTGATGATGATGATGATCTTGGCGATATTGTCGTTGAACTCGTTCTCCGGCTCTACGTCGACAACAAAACAGTCAATAGAAAATCAGTCTTTCTGAATTACAAGGCTGTCTATATTTCTAATTTACCTATTCTTTGGAAATGCAAGACAAACTCAAGAATATTAAATTATGAAGGGGATATCTTCAGCCACTCCCTTATATAGTCGAAGGTGTTGCTAATCATTTTTGTCTTGGTAGAAATGAAATAAAAAGCTAATTTGTCTAATTTTCCAATCAAATCTAATGATAGAATGTACGGTTTGGGCAAACAACCCACTGTAAGACTTAACGCTTCATTTTTAAGGAACAGGCCCTTAAAGGCAATCTGTCTCGTTGTGGATTGGTTAACGGGAACAATAGCTGGAACAATAGCCTAAACACGATTCCAGCGCTCCGCCATATTTTTTACAATGCGATAAATTAAAGGGGGACTGGAAACAATAAAAAATTCCTTTGTTCTTATAATCAATCAACGTCCTGACAGATTGCCTTTAAGCTTCTTAATTGAGAGGCCAAGCTGCTTGGCCTTCGACTTCCTGACCCACTGGTCTCATTAATTTTATACCTTTGTTCCTTTTGGCCAGGTTTTTTCTGTCTTGGAAAACTGAAGCAAGACTTTTCAATTTAAGAGATCATGTTTAGAAATCTTTTCAAGATAAGGGTCAGCTGAGTTCTGGTAAACATATAAAATCAGTTAATCTTATATCGTTAGTTAAGCATATATAATTCAAAAAAGAACTCACCTTCTGGTTTACGTAATCAAGCCATGTGCACCACCATGATGATGCAATTAGGTAGTACAGGGCACCCAACGTGAGGCCCTTTCTTTGCTCTCGCTCTATCCATCTCCTACAGAAAGCAATTACATAGCCCTGCTTTTATATTCATAAACAATTAAGCTTGTATATAGAAAAGAGAAAGTAATGAAAAAGTTTAATAAGAATGCGAATTATTAGAACATTTAAGTTTGGATTCAGTAGGGGTTATAATGTGTAAAAGTTTGTAAAACAGGTATTATCAAATAATTCTTGTCAACCATTAAATGATACAAAAAGACGCCTTTGATCGGAATCTTTGAACAGTACCTTATGATGAAACCCTCCTCTTCTCTTGTGCTCGGTCTTAGTCCAAAAATTATGTGGCAGATCTAGACAAAAACATTTGAGATGCCGTGTTCATATGGAAACTTGATGAAATATGGGGATTCATATTCCTCGGAGCTGAATTGTTCATCCCCCCCGTTACCGTTAGGCTGCAGCTTCTAAGTGTGGTCTTGAGTTAAATGTTTAAAGAGCTTTTTCTTTCTAATAAGAGCTATAACTAATTCTTCAAAAGATAGGTAAAATATAGCTTTTAACCGCATGATTGTTTATGCTCCTTGGTATTTCTGAAACAACCACCTTCTAAAATACGCCACTAAACTAAGAGCACCAAAGAACAATAGAGGGTAGGCATTGCATGATAGTATGGCTAATACTAATTGAAAATAGTAATTAATGATATTTAATGAAAATTTCTTGCTAAAAGGTCCATTAATTGTCACTAAAACATATCCACTAAGTTCAAAATCATGTATATAAATGGTATATAAAAGCGTATTACAGATAAATATAATGCGTAATGGTATATAAAATGCGTTTATCTATAATTATGTATTCACCTATCTGCGAGAAAGACCTAAAGCATAACGAGAGTTCTAAATACCTGAGATAACAGCAGCAACAACTCATGAAGATATTTGTTGCTCGACGCCCAAGGAAAAAAATCGTTTAGAGTCATCTGAGGAGAAGTCTGCAAAAGAAAGAGGTGAAAATCAAAAAGTAGTTGTAGTAACAAAGTACCATGTCTGTGAAGCGGGTCATGCCTTTCAGAGTATAAGTATTCCTTAATAATGACCTTTTGATAAGGTGAAACGAAATCTACAATCTTGCTCATTGGTTCAAAAGGAATTTCCTGACATTCAAATAAAGAAGAAACGGATACATAGACTTTAATGTATCGAATGTTTAACTAAAGATATAACAATATCTAAATTTAAAGCAGCTCATTATAAAATAAAATCAATTGAAAAGAACTGATTAAATGGAATGCTTTTGATAAATGTAGAGTACAAAAAGTTTTCCCTTGATTTGATCTATAATACCAAGAAAAAACTTGTACTTACCTTGTCCTTTATTATAGCGTTGAGTAAGTCGTTTGGATCTGTTGACAAACCCTGCATGCGAAACGGTACATAACAAAAACCTTCTTCAAAGTGAGCACAGGAAAAAACGGGTAAGTCGTGTGATATTCTGTAGCTATTTCAAGCCAAAGCAGGGTGTTCAATTGATATTTTAGGAAAAAGTCATCTTTGCAACGTGAATTGATTTGGTATTAACTCTTTATACTGTCAAGTTTTAAAGTCATTCAAAAAGAACAAATTAGATATCACCACAGTAATTGCAAAGGCATAACTGTAAGACAAGTATCTTTAACTGAATGCACAGCAAATAACATAGAAACCTGTTCAACAGGTTTATCAGTTGCTACTTTCACCAGAGTCTTGATATTTGAATACAACTTTTAATTAGCTTCAAACAAATCTTGAAAATCAAAAGTATCAAACCTGATTTGGCACCAGCTCACACGTTTCTATTAAGCCATGCACCATTTCATTTAATTCCTCTTGTGACAAAATTCCATCACCATCGTGATCAAACATTTTGAAGCAAACTGTTAACAACATATTTTGATGTTAAAGAGACCTTAATTGAACAAAACATTAGGTGCTAGAACTTTTGCCTATGCTGCAGCTAGTCTTTGGAACAGTCTTCCGTTTGAAATTCGTTCTGTTGACAATATTGATAATTTTAAATCATCATTATATATTCATTTATTTAAATTAGCTTATGATGTTATATGTTATATAATAGGTTTTAAATTGTAAAGTGTAAAGAATATTGTATTATAGTTATGCACTTTTATCATAATTATTATTATTATATTTATTATTATTATAATTATTATTATTATTATAATTATTAATGTTAATTTTGATTTTAAAGTTAATGTAAAAGGAAAAACCGATTCTGTTCTTCCATTCACCCTTTTTATGAATATAAGGCTGCATCATAATTACACAAACTGAATATGCCTTTCTCAGTAACACCTCTGAGACCATCAATCAACATCAACAGACATAACTATAATGACGTAAAAATCACAGAACACCATTTGTAGTCACCCATCACCCCTCTTTGCCACAGCTATCTACCATCCTCAAACAAAACATCAACATATTACAGAACTCCAAAACATGCAAAGAAGTCTTCCCCGACATACCAATACTCAGCTATCGTAGACCTAAAAACCTCCGGGATCTATTGGTTCGTGCAAGAATAAAAAGTGACACACCCAGTTATCCTAGAGGCACTTACAAATGCAACTCGTGACGTAACTGCATAACATGCCAACACATCACAGACAGTACTACTTCTTTTAACTTTACTAACACTGACAAAAACTACGACATAAAACAAAGACTTGACGGCAACTCTACTAACGTTCTTTACGCATTACAGTGCAAACGCTCTTTAACTAACGGACACAAGAACTGCCAATACATCGGACAAACAAGCAGACGACTGAAAGACAGATTTAACGAACACAGACGAGTAGACAAATCTGGTGTTGCAGAACACTTCTGTAGCCCAGAACATACCATCAATGACCTTACTGTAACACCATTACTGAAACTCAACGACAAACGAGAGAGTGTCCGACGAGCCAAAGAGCAATACCTCATTGGCCTGGCAAACACTCTCACACCGAACGGCATGAACAGAACTACTGACCGTTAACCTTATAGCAACAATATCATTATTTCATATTATAGTACTTCATCCCCATTACGTCTTCATTCCACTACCACCACCCACCCTCTCTCATTCGCCACCCTCCCCTCCTCTACCACTGCGCTGCATTCACACCATTCCACATCAGCCAATCCGACACCACCATCGTCTATTTTAAATATGTAAATTTTTAGCCCGTTAACTTTTGCTCTGATGAAGCCCCGTATGCCGGGGCAAAATATTAGCCTTTACTGATTTACGTGTTTTTATTGTTGTTTATTCTCGGCGTATTGCGGTGTTTCATATTTGCTACATAACTATAATAAACTGGATAAAAGACAAACTGCTTAAAAATTATCAACAACCAAATTATTCGATAAAAATCTATATTAGTGAGACACGCAACAATCTTTCCCAGAATTGCCAAGAATGCAGTTGTAGATAAAAGGGGTTAAAATGAAAACCAGAAAATATTAAAAAAGGTAAAACATTATAAACTTACATGTGAGTCTTTCACAAGTTGTTCCCCTGCAACAGGCAAATATTCCAAGGACAAGTTCCTTAAAATCAACATGACCATCCCTGTTTTCATCCATTGCCCGAAGGAAACCTAGACAAGAAATATAAATATTTTCTTCAAACATGAGAGAGACCTTTCTTAAAATAGGTAATAAAATATATACAATGACTATAGGCAATATCTACTTAGGAAAAATTACTTCATGCTTAAGACAGAAATGAATGAAAGGAAAAATAAAGCAACAAAAAACTTAATATAAAAAAAGGTTGGTTTTTATTCTAACAATACCAATTTTTTTGCAAGTTAACAATTTTTCTAGGTGAATGTCAGCATGGTGTAGAAAACATCTCAATTTGAATAAAAAGTAATTTAAAGAAATAGCATACTCTTGATTTGCTCTTACTTACCACTACAAAGAGATTGTGGTAGTGGTGGAGAAATGTGCTTTGTAAGTGTAGTCAAGTCAAATCTACCATTCATTGAAAAATTTTTCAATGACCAATAACGCTTTTCCAATTCTATCAGATCATTTTGACAAACTGAAAATATTGAATATTTAATAAATCAGAGGTCTAATTGAAAGATTCAAATAAGTTATGTATCACTGGATAGAGAGCATTTTCTTTATGATAGTTTTTGTAATAGTTTATCAGATTTTTTTACATCCAGAAAAGCAACAAATAATAGAAAATAAGTTATAGTAAGTAAGAAGTTTCATATTATAACCCCTTGACCACCCCTGTTGCCTAGCCTGCCCACCCTTGCCTCTTGGTCATTCCTGCATCCCTGTATAGGACCACAACAATCAGACAGTGAGCAATGCTTTATTACAATGTTAACCAATGCTTTATTGAAACTTTTTAAACCACTGCTTTGACAAGAGGACAATGCAAGTCAGATAGTAGCTTGTAACCATGGTTAAGAAGGTGACTTGCCTGCCTTAAAGAATAGAAAGGAAGTATTACAAAGATTGGATTAAGGAATGAAAATTCACAGATGAAAATTGAAACCACAGTGTTTGTTTCACTTACAATTTGTATTCATTTCCAAGCATTGATAAAATGAGGGAGTATCATCAATACTGGACAGTTTAACTCCACGATTTCCCCTTTGCTCAGACAAGAGCCATTTTGATACATCACAGAAGTTTTCATTTTGAAGGATCCAGTCATAAAAGTCCTCATAAGTGAATTTTTCTCCCTTCAAGATATAATAAACAAAGAAAGTATTAGGCAGGAAACAATTTCAAAAGAGTCATTCATATGAGGGCAAACAAGAATGCAAAAAGGAGCGACTAATATATCCAAAATCCAAATTTTCAAATTAAACAATCATAAACAAAACAATAATGGCTCAAAATAACAGGTTGAAATACTTCCAAAATAATTTCTTCAACTTATAAATGTAAATTGTTGATGACAAAGTTGCTACAGATGGGAATTAATTAAAGGCTTACCCTGACCATGAGATGCTGCAAACATTTTGGAAGTGTTTGACATTCACAGACATTAAGGAAATTTTCCAGGTCTTCTATAGTTACATAATTGCCATCAACTGATACCATTCCAAATATAACTACAAAAATAAAAGAACATAGCAAATAAAAAGATTTCATGTTCAATTTCACACAAAGTCAAAACAACATGATCCAAAAATGTATTTCAAAACATTTAAACATTAAAGAAAATATTAAAATACATATTGGCATCACAATTTAAACTGATGACATCAATATGGGCTCTCAAACCATGCCTCGTCAAACAAAAAAGTTTTTCCCAACAAAAATTTCTGATTAAAAGGTCTAAGGGATCAATATGAAACAGAAATTCTTCACATGCCTTGTTTAAAATTTACACACCTTGGCTGATACCTAAGATTATTTTGCAAAGAATTTTCAAGTGCTTAGAATTCAGCTGTTGAGAAAGGTTTCTGTTGTGGAAAGACAATAAAGCTGTTTGAGTTTGCTCTCCAGGTTTAAGTTTTCTCACAATTGTTACAATATCATGCACTCTTTATTTACCAATGGAAAACATACCCGCAATACAAAGAAAAGCAAAAAAATGAATGAGGGTCAAAAACATTTGGAGATATTTGCAACAAGCTGTAGAGACAAATTAACAAATAAACTGTTTGAAATGCCTTTCCAAACTAAGTGCATTAAAATTTGCTATCAAAATTACACAGCACTGTGCACAAGGTGGTCTTCATACTTTTAAGCATAATCTTGGACAAAAATTAACTAGAAATAGCAAACATTTATCAACTGTGTGTGCTAACGCACATGCAGTGCATGGTATCATTTAGCATGTTTTTTATGTGACAAGCTAAATTAAAGCACAGAATATTATGCTTGTTCCTGTCATGCAAAATTATAAGTATGAAGCTTATTGCATCCAACATGTTAAATATTGGTAAACGGCAGAGCACTGGTGCTTCAATAATAAAAAGTTAATGATTTCATAACAATAACTCAAAAGCAACTTAAAATTGACATACATTTTACTTTTTCCTCAACAAAGCCTGATGTTATCATAACAAGAGTGCAAAGCACATCTTTGAATCCGATTCCCTTGTTTGTGCCTCCACATGACATGTACAGATGCTACACAAAAAAAGAGCAGAAAGAATATGATTAAAAAAACCTAAATCTCTAAAGCCTATAGCTACAAAAATGATCATAGGCTGAATAAATTTTTAATTTCATCTTCTGGTTCTGCTATCAAGACTTCATTTGCTGATCATAATTCAATGCCAAAATGAAAAACTGCTAAAGGCCACCTACTTGATTCTGTGAATCTTGAAATGGTTATTTGGTCAATAAATAATAGGAAGGAAAATGCAAAATGACAAGGAGAAATTTTATATAATTGAAATCTTATTCTTAAATTAAAAAATTTCAAAAGAAGTTTAACAGTAGGACTTTAAATTTGAATAAAGTATAACTACAAATTTAATATTTTCTTGCTATAACATGTCGTGCCACAGTGCTGTAGGAAAATTAGAAACATTTGGGGGCATCATTGTCTGAGAGCAACAGGAACAAAAAGGATTGTTCATTGAAAGAAATATTCTAAAAAAAATTTGGGGCACAACCCCTCCCCCCAAGACAGCACTGACATGGCTGCAGCTCCAAAAACACACAGTAATAAACTTACTTTACATTTGATAACAGATGATTTAGATCAGTGTAAATCAAACACTAGTATGCCATGAGAAACTGCAGGGTGTGCAACAGGAAATAATCCCCACATAACTTAATTTTTTTCAAAATATTATTTTCAAATTGAGCAATTGTGCATTGGTTACACTTTGTTGGTATAATTAAATTCATTCAAGGCATGCCACTTTCTAGCATTTTCACTGGGTGTGCCAATGTAAAAATGTGTTTTTTCTGCACTTACATTACTTATTCACATACACTCTGTGAAACAGAAAGGGACAATGGGGCACATTTTTCCAGGTCTATAGCTGAATAACTCTTTTCACAGATGTGGTACCCTGTAAACAGCCATATAAATGGAAAGAAGAGGCAACAGCATGAATTTACTTGCTGCTAGGATGGTCAGATGCAAGATATTGCAGAAGAACTTGCATGTGGCAAACTTTGGGCCTAGGCACACCTACATTATAAATACTCTGGGTTTTCAAAAAGAGAAATGTATCTTATTTCACAAAATTGATACCATCACAGGAATTACCTCTGCAAGTCTTTTTCCAATAACATCTCCAAGTATGTCGTTGATAAATGTGTTTTTAGGCATCAAACTGGAATTTCCTGAAAATCTTTTAAATGCCAGTTTGATGCGATCAAGCTCATCACTTCTCACTACAAAAGATACAGACTAGCTACAAAGAAATAATTACAATAGGCATCTGAGTTCTGACCCTTGCGTTTAGCAACACAACATTTTCCGTACCTGCCTGAATTTAAAATGTTTGATGTTGTGCTAGCTACTCATTCAATTATTTCAAATAACAGGCTACAAAACTTAAACTACAACCATAAAATGGCCACTATAAATGAAAAACTTTAATTTACGAGCCATCCCGAGATAATTGAATTGATTTAGCCATGATAACAGCAGAACACAAACCGGTGTAATTAACCTGAATGAAACAAACTTACACTAGCATGCCTTCGACTTTTAACAAAAAATATAATTAAGCTATTTTACTAACGTCCTTCAGCGTATAATCATTAAAGTCCATTAATTTGTGGAATTTCAAATATAACAAAAAATCATTAAATACCAAATGATAAGATAAATTTTGCTAATAATCATTTCCTAGTCAACTCATCGTTTGAAACACAAATCATAACATTACCTCTTTTCACAGCTTCTTCATATGGCAGAAACCCAAACTTCGAATATTTCAATCCCATTCTTTAATGAGCATGTATAACGAAACTAAATCTTTTCTAGCACATAATTAATTGTCAACCTTTCATGATTTTAAACTGCATGCGTCAAGCACGTATTTATACATCGTCTTCGTCACAATTCTGTCGCCATGTTTTGATTCCTTCTACACCGGGTCACGTGTCAATTTGATATTGCTTCGCAGTGGTTCATGCAGAACAAAACGAAACAAATTTTTCCAAACGTCATCATTTTTCGGTGTCCCTTATTTTATCTGTGGAGAAATAAAGGAATCCCCGATCATTTCGCTAGATTGAATACAAATGTCTAAAAGTAGAGAAGCATTTTTCTAATAATTCATTTTCATTGCGGAAATTTAGGGGCAAAAGCTCAATCAGTCTACAAAGCTGTCTATAAAATAAACTGATTTGACAAGGGTTTTGCATACGAATAGATTAAATGTTGATTATCAAATAAATATTTCATTCATTTGATGCAGCCTGGCAATAGCTTTTCATTTTCTGTAGGACGTGCTTAACATCACATAAATGCCAAAAATTAGCTCTTGAGTCAGGAACAGTTCTATTCAAATATAAAATACAAAAATGGTTTCGAAACCTTCTCTAATGGTCAAGACTCATGGGGTCTGGGACCAAGGCTATCAAGAAGTTGCTGGGAATTAACGTAAAAAATATTTTGAGAATTTTTTTCAAAAGAAAAGGAATGAATACCAGAAAATTGCCCGAAATCTGCGTGACGAATTAAAGCTGCTGTCAAAGTTTGCCCAAAGAAACATAGAATTGAACTAAAGAATGTTATAGAATGAGAAAGTTATGACGTCATAAAATCTATTTTTAATTTTGAAACACATTCAAAGGAACATCATGAAATAAGTCTAAATTTCAAAAGTCAGTTAGTCTCTTACGTTTTGCCTGGAATATAGTCAAACCTACTCATTCGTTTTCCCAATCAAATTTTGTCTTGGTTCTAAATTTCGTGAACCAGAAATATCCATGTCTTTCCCTGACTTAGCTCAGTATATTAAGATTAAGAATTTGGTAGCATATTTGCCACTCTGCTACGGCTGGATTGGCTTGTTTCCTTCATATGTTTCATTTCAAGATTAAGACCAAATTACAGTGATTTGAAACGTGTGTGCTCACCTGGCTAAGGTATAGATTTAACTTTTCATATGTAGGATTTTCTGACAGTGTTGTTTAGGATTGTATGGTCCAAATTAAACATTTCTAAAAAGATCGTAACTATTTAGCAAACATATCATTTTTGATTGCATTTTTGGTTCTTACATAAGACCACGCTGAACACACATTCCACCTGTTGACTACAACCCCAGTACTTAATATAGTGACTATAGGGGATGTACATGTTAATAGAATATTATTTTAGGCTGAAAACTTTGGGATAGGATTATACTTTTTTCAATTTTTCTAAACAGGCATGCCCATTGAAGACTATTTTTTTTATCAAAATTCATCATCATTGCTAATCTTAATGTGGAAAAATCTTAAATGTGGAATTCAAGGGGAGATGAGTTTCCAAATAAACTTAAAAACATATTCTTGGTTGTGATAAAAAGGTTTAATCTACATGTCAAACATTTGAAGACGTGCAATTTTGCTGATGATAGTACAACTTCTTCTTGTGATGACACTTTTGAAAGTGTGGCTTCGAACCTTGAAGAAGTGGTGTTCCAAGCGTTTTCTTGGTTAAAAAAGTCAAATTGTCGAATTTCATCGAATATTAAGTCACGTTATTCATTTTAAAGATAGATAATAATATAAATATAATAGCAATGTTCTCAATATTGGAAATGTAACAGCAACATTGATACAGCAATAGTGTTAAGCTATTGGGTATTACAAGTTACTCGAGACTGGAATTTGACCAAAATGTGGTACAATTTTGTCAAAAAGCAAAGAACAAAGTCAGCCTTCAATTATCTAAATAAACAATCCCTCTTACTTTACAAATAATTCGTAATCTCCCAGTGCAATCACTTTCCGCTGCTATGTTTTGTTAAAAATTTGCGATTTGAATCGCACCATAAATTCTTTCTAGCGATTTTTCATCTTCGTTTAACGAGTTGCTTCAGAGAGGAAGTGAGTTTACAATACATGTAAACAAAATTTACGAATAAAATTTTAAGAGGTTGCTTTATTAAATAGGGTATTTACGTTGATTGTTTATCAACAATGATCAATTTTTATTGTTGTAAATAGCTATTATTTTTAAAATTTTTAAAAAATTTAGGAATAATAAAAATATGATTTTGTGTTACAGAATGAAAAGATTTCCTTTGGTTGTGACATCGCCATCTGTGAAAACTGAACAGGGGTTTAGTGTTACGAGAATATCGAGGGGGCTCTTGTAGAAATTGTTTTCAAAAACATAAGCAAAAAGTGAAGAAAGCGGTTACTTGGCATTCAAATGGCTGTGTTATAAGCTATATTTTTCCTTTTGTACGGTGTAAATTCTTAAATGAGTCTCTCGTCCTGCGTTATACGGTTGCACACTAGTAAAATAAAATAGTTGTTGTGCAAGTCGTTTCTTTAGTATTTGCTTGTTGACGTCCCATCTTGGCTTTATATCATTTGCAAAGTTGCTCACTCAACTCAAACTCAACTCAAAATCTTTTTTAGCAAAAACAAATGTTAATTACAGTATACCAAGAATTAAAAGTTAGAATACAAAAGTTAGCAATTTCAAAAATTTAGTTAATCAAGTACATCAGATAAATTGGTTTTGTTATGCTGAAGGACATACGAGAAAAACTCGCAAGGAGCTATCGAGTCATATGTCCTAGTGACGTATTTAAACTCAAAATTATAATTTCCATTTCAGTTTGAAGTAGTGTATAACGGTAAGAGTAAAAAATTGAGAATGTAAGAGTATAGAGAAAAATATATATACATATATGGGGTAAGCATATATATATATATATATATATATATATAAAGGCGGTAGGCTGGTAAATTTCACTTGTAAGGGATATATTAAAAAAAAGTAGAACGAATTTTTATGGCTTAGGAGTTCTATAAAAGGTATAGTTTCATCATTTTTTCAAAGGGATTTTTGTTGCGGATATTCTTTAGCTCAATTGCCAAGGAGTTCCAATGCTTAACCCCATCAAATGTCAGAAAGTTTTTTTGAAGTTTGTAGAGATAGAGGGAAGAGAAAAACCAAGATCAGACAATTGTCTCGTATTATAGCAATATAATTTACTAGTTTTGATGAATTCCTTTTGAAGAAAGTTACTATGATTTTCCTGGTTGATTTGAAACATAAATTTCGCTGTTTTGAGCTTATACAGATTTTCTAAGTTTAATAACTTAAAACGTTTAAAGATTGGTTCTGTGCGAGCTGTGTAAGAAGCAAAATCTATTACTTTGACAGCTTTACGTAGGCTTACTTTCAATGGTTCAAGAGTAGTTTTATTAGCACAACCCCAGTTAAGAAATCCATAAAGAACACGAGATTGAGGCCCCGTTCACACGGGAACGCAATCGTTCCGTTCCGTTCTTCACCGTTCCGAAAAGCGTAACGCTCAGGGGTTGTGTTCACACGGGAACGCTTCAAACGACATCGTTCCGTTCCAAAAAGTGGAACGATAAAATAAGTGATACGAAAAGTGGAACGGTACGCAATCGTTCCGTTCCGTTCCCGTGTGAACGCGCAGAACTGGGCCAGAAAATGGAACGATAAGAGTTTTGCCCTTGGCGCATGCGTCTGTGTTGTTGTTGAGGGAAGGAAAAGGTGACAATAATAAACTCAGCGAAGAAAATGGAGGATTTCAAAAACACCATTGGGCTGAATCTCGCCGTCAGTCCATTTAAAAGATTCAACACCATTCTGCAAACATTGAAATTCCTTCCTTTTAGGGCTGGCTTCAATTTTCCCACGAGCTTGCTTATTTTGGGGCGCTTTTGTATTCTCCATTTATTCAAATTGTTTAAAAAATTCAGACATAGCTAAGAGATAAATCGAAATGATGAAATCTATCTCCATTATGGACATGCGCATTAAAAATCATTTGCTTGTTTTGGCGCGCAAATTGCAGAACGGGACGATTGCGTTCCCGTCTGAACATAAACAAAAATCGATCCGTTACCGTGTGAACAGTATACTTTTCCGTTCCAGAAACTGGAACAAAAATGGAACGAAACGATTGCGTTCCCGTGTGAACGGGGCCTGAATAAAAGAGTTGTATAGTGTAACAAGAGTGCTTTTTGGTACAAGATGTCTTAATTTATAAAGGATACCAATACTTTTAGATATTTTGGTATTTAACTGGTTTATGTGGTGTTTTCAGTTAAGTTTGTTATCAATATGTAGTCAAGTACTCAAGATGTAGTCAAAAGAGAATTTATTCGGTGGCACAATCGTGAGAATTTAGACGTCTAGCAAAATGGGCATTTCGAGGGAGATTCTACAGCACTTTTTACATAGTTAGAGCACACACTTGATTTCTTATTAGAAACAAAACAAAGGTCGACGTTGAGTGCTCCAGCTCACTAAGGCTCTGGAAAGTTCCAATACGCATTGTTTCTAACAATGACACCATTTATTTTGATATTGGGTTCCCATACCTCATATTTTTTATGGTACAAAGTTGCAAACAGTGAGACCTGTCAATGCTTCTATTGTTTTCAAATATTTCTGTCAAGAGATTCCCTTCCGTGTTAATGCCGTACCCAGATGAAAAAGTGTATAAATGAGTGTATTCTTTCTAGCTTATTGAATTTTCTTTAATGCAGGTAATTATTTGGAAATTGATCCGATGATACAGACAGTCGTTGTCTATCTTTTTCGTTGTTGGAAGTTAAAGATGAAATAGGTTTGTTTTTTCCTGATTGGAAACACAGATCAGCTGATTCGTTATAACGGATATATAACATAGAGGGGGCGGGGCGTCCTCATTTTGAAGCGAGGCCACTACATAATGTCACATAAACGTGTTGTTTCCAAACTTTCAAGGTTAGCAAGGTTTCCAAACTTGCAAATATTGCAAGATAAATTTCAATAAAAAATAATGGAGTCTGTATTCAGAGTAATACATTCTTGCACGAAGCACGCCGGGAAAGGCCTCATCAATGCAGCAAGAGGGGTAAACATTTTGAACAGTATTCAGCGCCGAGCGACCTTCAGCAGTTTGGAGAAAGAAATAGCAACGTTTAGACCGCGAAGATCACTGCTTTTTGTTCCTGCTGATGACAGAAAGAAAATAAACAAGGCATCAAATTTACAAGCAGACTGCATTGTACTTGAATGTGAAGATGGTGTCGCAATGAGTCAGAAGGTTTGCTGGAAGATTTCACTTGTTAAATGTTGTTATGCTAATTTTGTTTTAGGGCATATGGCCACCAAGTCTCGTGGCTGTTTGTAAAAAATCAGTTTTGACATTTTAAATCGAGAAAATTTCTCTAATAAAATATTATAAAATAATCGTTTTCTTCAAATAAATTGTTTGCAACCTGTATTCAGCTGCTTTTTTATAACATAATTATAAATGATTATTTTAGAATCATTCAGTGGTGATTCTTTCGATAGTTGTAAGAAAACCTCCACTAAAACCATATGCAAGTGAGTGTAATGTTTACACTTTCCTGATAAAAACCTTTTTCAGGATGTAGCAAGGAAGAATATCAATGAGTTGTTGGGCAACATCGAACTTAAATATGGAGAATGTGCTGTAAGGGTGAATTCTGTTGACAGTGGACTTGTTCTCGAAGACATTGAGGCTGCACTCACTGGAAAAACTTTACCAGAGTCTATATTGCTGCCAAAAGTGGAAAGTTCTGATCAAATTAAATGGGTGAATACGTTTAATGCTTTAATGTTATACTTTTTCTCAAATGGTTACTCAGATTTTAAGTTAGCACTGATTTCTGTGAATCTTGCAATGAGCGTAGATGAAAGGTAACAGAGAGGAACAAAGAAAAATGGCAGTGAATATGTTTAAAATATGTTGCAAAATGTAAAAAAAATTTAAAAAATCAAATGTAAAACCAATATTTTGCCCTGACATACAGGGCTTCGTCACATTTTATGAAGCCCTGCAAGTCTTATTACTTGTCTGTTCTCCTTCCTCTCCCATTTTCTCTGACTTAAAAATCTTGAAATTACAAGACTTGTTTTAAATAAAACATCTATCCTTTGTCTATGAATGTATCAATAAGATTGCGCCTGTCTGCTTTTACTTGTGCTCTGAATCAATCAAGTCTATTCATCAACATGATACTTGAAAGGCTTGTAAGAACAATATTTTTTAACTAAAAAAACACCCTTCAATGCAGCTTAAGATCTGTCTGTTTTTCTGTCAGTTTCTCAATTTGACATGCAAACTTTGGTGTTTTAGTGCTGAAGTTTCTTAGTTCGTTTTTTTAATTTTGGGACTTAAAAATGCCTTATTATTTTTAAGTTGAGCATTTTTAGAAGAATATGTGGTGAACCATTCTCATTAGAATTTTGTTTATATGCATTTTCACATCCTTTTATTGTTCACACATATTTACCATTGTTTAACGCATTTTAAATACTCTTTGTTGTTTCTAATTGCACTGTTCATTAACTCATATCCATGGGAACAATTTAGTTTATGTTATGGGGTGTGATAGTTCAGTTAGTAAGGATCGAGGAATAAAATTGAGATGGAGAATCGAAAGATTTGTTTATTTATTTGAATTCTCAAGCGGTGAGTTCATTCCATTTATTTTAAGTATAGAGATCTTTTAATGAACCTCTATAAATATAAACACAGATCATCCTGAAAAAACCCAAAGTAAGCTATCTTTTCCAATAAAAAATCAACAAGTTAAAAACCTTTGGACCCCACTTTAAAAAAGGGAAGTTTTACAATTTCTTAATTTTTCTCAAGCCTTGCACTAAAGTTTCTTTATTTTTTGATCATCCTGGCACTAGTATAAATAAAGAATTTGTAATCTAAATCTACACAACCCCGAATGGCTATAAAATCTCAAATTATTGTACAATAAGGGCAACAAGGAATGCTTTTAGTTACCATCTTGCATGGCCTCTAGATTCTAACTTGCACATTTGTCAGGAGTATCTCCTAAACTTATTATCCTTCGCACAATAGCCTACATCAGGCAAAAAAGTTGATGAACTTTTAAAAAAAGTGCACCAAACAATGGCTAATCAACATAGGGTGTTGTTAAGTATATAAAATATTGCTATTAAATATTTTACAATCATAGTTTGCAGATCAAGTGAATAGAGTACTGATGAAAAGATCAACAAATCCTGAAAAGAAAATGGCATTTATTTTCTTTATCGAAACACCAATTGCCATTCTGAACATGAGATACATAATGGAAGCAGCAGTAGATGCAACTTTACCGTTCAAGACAGAGGCTGGTGTTTTTGGATCAGATGACTTTTTGGCCAGTTTGGGTAAGGAGCTACATGTGTTACATCATCCTATAACTATGTGAATGTCTTTCATATTTATTTATATGACATTAATTTGCTTTAAAAAAATTCAGCAGTTTCATAAATATTTGTTTGCAGGAGGAACAAGGACAGAGGATGCCAGGGAATTGATATTTGCAAGGCAAAGTTTTGTTACTCATTGTAAAGCATTTGGTTTGCAAGCAATAGACATGGTCCATATAAATTTCAAAGGTATTTATGAATCAAGCTATTCATACTCAATCTTCTTAATTTTAGCAAAAAAATGAAATTATATCTAACTTATTTAATATGTTTCTTTTCACTGATATGTTAGTTGAGTTTCTTAACCTCTTTTAAAAATAAATGTTGATGTGTTGTAAAATATATACTTTTTTGTCTTGCCAAGATTTAGAAAGCCTGAAGCGACATGCCGAGGAAGGAGCAAAAATGGGGTTCACTGGTAAATAAATTTTTGGCCTTTGACAGACCTTATTTTAGACAATCATTAAACAGTTTATTTAACAATAACAAAGTCTGCATTAGTTCAAGAAAGATGGAGGAAGGAACATCTACAGGATAAAAATCTGTCATTTGAAGACCTTAGATATTGATCCACGAGATTATGATATTCAAGCATTTGAGACCAAATTTTGCAAAGTGAGTTTTTTAAAAGAAATTTCCATCCTTTAAAAATATTCTTCAAGCTGGGTCAAATTTAACACATTCAAACACTTTTCCTGTTACAACACATTAGTTTCAATACACATTTTTAATATTTTTACATATTTATATTCCAGGGAAACAGTTGATACACCCAGGGCAGATTGAAGTGGTGAATAGTGCATTTATGCCCAGTGCAAACAAGATTCAGTGGGCTCAAGAGCTAATAAAATCGTTTGGAGAACATGAAAGTTCAGGAAAGGTAAGTGATACAATAATAAAATTTTTTAACAGAAATTTGCAAAAAAAAGAAATTAGATTTTTCTGACAAAGTCAAATCAGTCAATGTTCCTTACACACACTTTCACAGACAATTTTCTTCATCATCCTTTTTGAACAAAATAAAATCTAGTCACATTAGAAATTTAATATTCTTATGGATTTATTTCTTTACAGGGTGCCTTCACATTCCGTGGCAGCATGATTGACCTTCCTCTTTTGAAGCAAGCACAAAACATTTTAAGAATTGTTGAATCAGTAAAAAATAAATAACAATTATTGCATTTACAAGAGACATCATTTGCTTAATTAAAATTCAAATTTTCAAACCTCAAAACAACTTAGTCATTTAAAAAAATCTTCAGAACATGGTTCTATCCTTAATTTCATATTTTCTTAATTAACAAACTTTGGGAATACAAATGTGAATTTGATAAAACCTTAGCTGGTATCAATGGTATATAGGTTTTGAAGATTTGAATTTATCGAGAAACCACACTGATTGAAGAAAATATTTTTGACAGTGTAGCTAAAACTTTGTTGTTTTTTTTTGAAATTTCAATTTTAAATTTTGCAACTTCTTTGAAACAACATTACACATCCACATTGGCATTGACATTTTGCTATAAATCTTATTGAGTTATCTTTTTTAAGTCTTTTCTTCTGTTTCAAATAGTTGATTTGGTGTTATCATAATGATTTAATAGTGTTTAATTTCATGTTATCAGTTTTGTATTCATTCAAATTTGTTTAAAATCCCTATTTTTAAAAGATATCCGCCTGACTTTGAGTGGAAATTATGACATCATATACAACTTGAAAGGGCATCAGTAAGTGTTAACAGCCAGGATAACAGAGAGAATTACAGTATTTGTTCAATTTATAACTTACCAACCAGGCTGTTACTAATAATTGAATTGAAGTTGATTAATGGTCTCAATCAATTAGTAATTCAGTAGTTGACTATTAATTTGTTGTTGATCACAAACAACAGTTGACAAAAACTAAAAGTGCATGATTAAAATTATTAATTGAAGCCCTGATTATTCACTAACCCTTACAGCTTAAGAAAAAAATTCTGCACAGAAACACTTTTGGCACCTAGTTCAGAAATACATGATTTTTTACATCACATAAGAACAAAGAATAGCAGAAGCAGAGCATACCAAAATACTTTCTGTTTAAGTTGAACAAAATTTTCTATACTGGTGCCAATTTAGAGTACTATGAGAGAGAAATCGGTGCATTAATTGTTTTTGACAAGTCAACAGCTGCTGACAAACTGCTCTTCTTAGGAGTCCAAGAGAGAAAATGGACTTTTCTGTTTATTGAGATACTTTGTGCTATTGCAGATGGTTTTCGAAACACTTTAATGAAATCAAAGCCTTAAAAAGGATTCCTTAATTTTTACACCCAAGTGTAGTGTTGTTGAAATCAAAATAAAACAATTTGATTTTGCTAACGAAAGTCAAAGTCTGAGATTCATTGATATTGCCCAAAGAAATAAGACCTGTTCTAAAACCTATCGATTTCCTAAGGAGTCTGTTTTTACAAGATATATTACAAGAAGAAAGCAATATAGATAACATTATTTGATTTGTAAGAATGATTTTGAAAATTTTGCAACATTGCTACATCATTCTACTTAAAAATCTAACCAATATCCATTTTTTCATAAAATGTCAAAATGACAACCTTATGTCATAAAGGTACTTCATGGTATGGCAAGCTTGACTTCAATTCATGATGTTCTTTACTAAAATCACAAGGTATATGTCATGCATTCTAGATGGGGACTGGGCACAGTCTCGTACATGTGTTAGATTTCTTCATGCATCTCAAGGGCAGCAAAATACTACAAATGATGAGTTTGGTTAGCTTTTTAAAGACTTGAGGAACTTAACTTTAAGTTCAATGATTTGGCTGACTTCCTGAATTGATTGCTTGTAGCTTCCTTGAACGTTTTGCCAAATTGTCATTACCAAATCTGACTGTGTCTGAAATTTAACAAAAAATGTGTAAAACAAACAATTCAAAATAACACACATAATTAATATGCTAGCAATTAAATAATAAATAAAGACCCAAATGGTTTTCTAATACTTATTCAGATATCTACTGCAAATTAAACTTGATTATGTTCCTGTATAAGCAAACTAGATTATGTTCCTGTATAAGCACACTTAAATTGATGAATAAATTAGTTCTTAAATATATTTCAAAATAAAGTAGATTTGTTTTAGAGCAAACCACAAAAGCAAAAAAAAACTTTTTGTCAGTCAATGGAGGTTTCCACTGAAGAAAAAATTTTACACTGATGAAAAATCCTAAGAAGTTCTATTTTTTAAACCAGTTTTTCTAACATCCAGGCATTCTTCCCATAAGACTATAAAAAACACTTCTTGAAATGAAACAATTCTTTGTTAAGTGACAAGCAAAGTCTTTATACTCAAAGCCTTTAAGAAAATATAGCATCGAAAGAAGATATATGTATGAATTCTTCAACCTGAAGAAAAAATCTTCATACCCAAATGCATTCAAGAGATGCTGATAAAAACAAAGGTTGAAGAAACAGTGTACTTCAACTCATGATGATTAAAGATAGCGATTGAATAAAAAAGAACAGCCTTGAAGGACTGACAAAACACTTTGTTTTGTGACATTTTTAATTGAGTCATAAGCCTCTTTAAGCTGGATTAGTATCCCATATATCAAGGCATGCTGGGTTGAACCAAACCTGACCATGCCAGTAAATTAACCTCGACCTTGTGAACACGAACAAAACATGATTTACAAACCACACCAAAGTATTCTATTTCTAGATCTACGGATAATGAACGCTTTTTGAATCACGTTGGTCGACTTCTCCTGTCCTCTGGGTGTGAAAGAGGTGACGTAAAGGAGAAGATGTGTAGCCTCGAACTTGACAAACTACATAATTGGCTTCCAATTGGCTAAAAATGAGTGCGGCAAGCTGCTGTACAAAAACCATAGGACTGCTTATCGACGGTCGAACGCGTTTCTATGTAAACTCGGGTCAAACATGCATTGCATATTAGTGAAGAATTAAGCGATATGCTTCCTTTATATCTGTTATATAGCGAAATTCACGACCATCGTTTCTAAAATATCCTACTGAGCTTTACATCTTCTGTGACATGGCTTTATTTACTACAAACATTGTCCATTATAGCAATTTTGTGTATCTGAGGAAACATTTCGACGCCAATTCGATTAAGAAAGGCCACATAGCAGGTTGCAAGTCGTGACACAGATATATCTTCCAAAGCCGGTTGGAAAAAGAGAGGGTTGGGTACTAATGTCGGTAGCTGTTACGTCATTTGCTGAAGTAAACATTGAGCATAAGATACGAAAGGCGCTGATGTGGATAAATATATAACGAGCATAAAAAAGAATGGGGATTTAAAGATGTCTGACAACATTGTTTACCTTTGAAGCGGTTATCTTGCCCTGGGTTCCAATTGTCAAAAAGCTTGGCAATTTCAGCAAGAGAAGGCAACTTCCAAAATGCCTCAAAACATAACAAACGCAAGATACACGAATTTTAGATGGCAGATCACAAGTTTTCATTTAGCAGAGTTTGATGGTTTTGTGTCAATTGCTTGTTGAACCCAAGTAGAGACTGTACCGTGATATGAGGAAATGGTTGTCCGAGCAACCCAGGGTTTTGAAGATACTATATCAAGAAAGCGTTAATGTGTCATTGCGTTCTTAAACGGCCTGGGAAGCGAGATCATGCGAAAACCAACCTGTTTTTGAAGTGACTTTGGCGATCAATCATTGAGGTACATTCACGCTTTAAGGTCTTTTCGTTTGCCTAATTATGTGCAGATTTACTACGCGACAACCACGCAAACCACAGTTCCATACAACACGCTGTGCGTCTGCCTGCAGATTATGGATGAATCTTCAAATTTATGCAACACTTTGCGACAGAAAGGCCCAAAGCCTCAAGGGTAATCGTATCCTCACACCCTGGTTCTGTTACCCACAATTATTTCTATGTTTAAATGGGGGACAAATTGTGGGAAAGCCATTTTGTCCTACAGATGTTTCACAATGTAACAAAAGAAATGCATTCTAAAAAACTCTACACAGTTAAAAGGACAGCATTGCACCATTCCTCCTTATTTCAGCAAAGGAGTTTTGGTATTCAACTTTCTTGATATTTAACCATAAAATCTTAACCTTGAATGATTTTGAAGGCTTTATTTCAATAAACGATTCAAATATTTGGCCGCTTTTGATGGGTTGAAAACTACCTTCTTAAAATTAAGGCAGCTATATTAGTTCTGATTTATTCAGTTTTAATCCTGGGTAAGAAATGTTAATGGAAAATGGTTTAAAGAATTCAAACCTTTTCGAAAAGGTTAGTGAGTGCTCCAGCTTCGAGTTCTTTTGAGACGTTGCCTTCCTCCATTTCCAGCAATTTGGTCTTGAAATCCTCAAGGTTTGTGATTAGTCCTGATATCAGCTTTTCCAAAGCATCTTGTACAACATTGCTTGGCTAGTAACAAAATAAACCACTTGATCAGGAATACAGCTGTTAAAAACTGTATTAAACATAACTGTAATGTATATTTCTAAAGTGTTCTGAAATAATACATATGAACTATACGCTTCATGAACAAAAAGGGTGACCATTTCAGACGTTTTTAAAGTAACTGGGTTCCTGAGAAGCGATTAGCTGCAATATTTAAAGTTAGATTACATTTCGCAATAGAATTAAAATTCAGGTCATCATTTCAAAACACTTCCCACCATATCTATTGGCGATTGGGGCATACCAGCCTATTTCATCGTATCTTGTAAGACTTGGAGAGAAAATTTTTAGCGCAAAATTCCTTAAGAAGTAGTTTTCAAAACACTATAATAGAAATGTTAGTAGTTTCTTTAGCAAAATTAAGGAACTTAAAAGTTTTCTAGCCATAGAACGTATGAAATGTAACTTGTGACTTTTACCCCTAGCTTGACTTTTACAAATAAACATCACTGCATTGGAGTGATAAAAGCATTTTTCGTCATCTGGTTTTTTGGAGTTTTCACAGGAAAACGGCAGAAACATTTATCTAAATTATGCTTAAGAGCTTTCTGAAATGTGATAGCGCAGTTACCTCGTCTTCTAGCCAGTGAGCTCAAAAGCTGTGTTTTGTGACTATTAGCGTTGTTGGAGGAAAACCAAAGTATAAAAAAATCCAAAACTTTATCTAGGTATGTGAACCATACTAAGTCACATTTTGATCATAATTCGTGGGAGTGTTCACCTAATTTTGGTCACCCAACGCCTGCAGAATAATTGGGTGATTTCATTCATTAGAAAAAAGGTATATGGCTAGTCCCTTTTTGTTGATAACCAATATTGCATGATACTGCACTGCAGATGCCAATACCAGTCAAAATATTTATTCCATACGCAGTTATATTTATTCCATATTTATCTCATACGATTAGCATTATTTCTACCAACCAAGATAAATTGGTTTAAACCTCAACTTGTAGATAAATTGTGGACTCAACTTGAAATTTATGGTTGACTCTTGCAAACTCGTTTTCGACAGAAACGAATTCCAGCCTCAAACCCAGGTGAATTTCCAACTTATTATGCCTCCTTCACATTTTTCTTGTGAAACTGCAACATGCGCGACGTCTAAAAACCCCAAGTTCGACTTAGTAAATATGATACCCGTGTGTCCATGGCATTGTGACAAAGTTTCGTCTGATGACACTATCTTTAAGTGGAAGTAAGGTAGAGCTAGTTCAGATTTCGTAATCCTCAACGTCGCCGAATTTTTAGGTGGAATTCTGCATAAATAGATGTGGTCTATTGAAAGCAGTGCAAGGGCGTTTGATAATACAGATTTTCCCCATCATTCAACGGCGATTCTATTGCTTCAAGTAAGAAGTAAGTCAAATTGAAAGAGCTGGAGGTAATTAGCAAATTCAGAGTATCCAAACACAATGGATACGACACAACTGATTGTTGTTTCCTTTAGGTTTCAAGAATATCCTATCGAATTCTGCTGAGATTTAGCGAATTTAACGGGTCTGTGGTCTTGTAATAGTTTAAGAGGATTCCACAAATCTTGCAACTTCAAGCATCCGTCTGAAAGATGACGTCCATTCTGAATACCTTCAATTTATCTAGTTCCAGTATTCTTATTGCTTGCAGACATTTATTTAATATACAGCATAACTGTATGCGGTACCTCAATCCTGCGTCATCCAGTATCAGCCTAAAGAGGGTAAAACAACTACTTTCGATGCACCAGAGGCTCAAGAAGCTCTCCTGCAAGACGAGGCAGTCGATGGAAATCAAGAAGTCTAGACCATGATTCTCAAACCTTAAAAAGTCTCTTCCAATGATAACATACAGAGTTGATGAAATCGCTGGATTTTGTGTAGATTTGCAGGGGAAAATATTCCCTGCAAATAGAGGTACACTTACACCCTAATAATTTAAGAACAGATTAAGAACAATCCAGCCTCACATTATCGAAAAAATTAAGAACAGTCAGCCTGAGCTAAAATTTACTGGTTCTTAAAAAAGAGAGTCGAGGAGGTGACAGAACTTTGAGAGAAAGCCTTAAAGATGACCAATGAAGATGACCAATGAAGATGACCAATGAAAACGGCCAATGAAGACGGCCAATGAAGACGGCCAATGAAGACGGCCAATGAAGACGGCCAATGAAGACGGCCTGGAAATCTTACAAAGCTATTGGCTCAAATGCGCCAACAGAGAAAAGATAGGTATAAGCTTATCTTTTCCAATGCTCTCTTTCAAGGTACAAAAGAAGCACCAATGATGACTGGTGCACTATCATCTACATGAAATACATCACATGAACACACTCTGGCCCATCAGCCTCAACTTTTGTTTTACAAACTACTTGGCTGGTTGGTATATGTAATTGGAAGCAAAATAAACGGTTCAACAAGGGAGGGAGCAACAACAGCAAACATACTTCTAGTTACATCATATATACATCTGTTTTGAAATGAGGGAGTAGGTTTTATGACTTTCTGGGTCATAAACAAAATTGTTCAGGAAGAATCGAGGAAGATAAATCGCGATATATCGCAACTGGTTGAATAAACTCAGACAGAAAAACAAATTTCAACAATCATCTTGATAAATTCTGTACAGGATCAAATGAACAGACTGATTTACAAAATATGAATACCACTGCATAATATTTTACATGATTCCTAAATAATTATTTATAATTGCATAATCGATCTAATTTGATATTATTTCCAAAGAAAAACTTCCCCAATTTCAAAGTGCCGAGGCATCATGAAGTGCCTCAACGAGTCGATGGAAAACCAGCTGGAGAGCTGTGGTACCAGGATACGAGGCTGACACGAAATTGAGGTTGATTACAAGATATTTTCTGCAGATATCTTCGACAGAACTCCTTAATGAACTCCTTCATGAACTAAAACTCTGGCAGATTCCATGTTCTTGAAAGTCTTTTGATTTGGAGCTTCAGCAATTGAAAACAGATGGAATTTTGGCCGCCCAGCATAGCCAGAGAAATGAAGAAACGACAGTTTAATGATAGGGGTACGCCCCATCGCCCTGCCATGAGTTATGCATGGCTGGGTATGCAGCGCGCATGTAATGTTCAGTTCTTGGGTAAAGGCTTTCCGTTGGTGAATAGCTGCCACAATGTGACTGTGTATAACCGTGGATTGCTGGGACGCCGGTGCCAAGATATGTGGCCGGCATCGTATACGAAGTAGCTGTATTATGCATAGGCGGATGTGAAAGCGGCGGAGCTGGTGCGTTTGAACAGCTTGTAGTTGCGCAGAGTCCCTGTGCCTGAGGTGACGTACTTCTGGACCGATTGTCTTCTTCGGCTTGCCATGGTGATTGCGGTGGAGCACATAACTTGCCAGCGTATGGATTGCTTATAGAGTAGGGATAATCAGGTGGACTGTACCTCGAAGGGCCTAGAATATCAAGAATATCAAAATGAAAAATATCAGGAATATCAATATCAAAAATATCAACAATATCAAAAAAGCGTTTTATCAGGATAGTAGACACGTCAGTCCATCAGGGGAGCCTTAAAACGTTCCAATACATCCAGGTTTTTTAAACAAAATCAGGTGCGAAGCTAAAGACAATTGTTAGAGGGAGGGGGTTGAAGATCCCTAGACTTGCCGACAAAACAGCGTTTCTGAAGTGTTGGGATTAATACAACATGGCCAAACCACTTTCAGTGAAATCTTGAGTCTTTTGAGAATGCACATACAATTGTTTAGGCAGGAACGGAGTACATAATATGCATTATATTGTCACTGCTATCAATGTTTCTACAAAGTTTGATTCTTTTGAGCAATATATAATAATCTTAGAATCTAGAAATTTGCTGAAATGCTTTAAGTTGGAGAGGTGTGGCACCCTTCCTACGCAAGAGACACCCCATTTGCTACTTGCTACGCATGAGACAAAGGCGTCTTTTGGCTCATCTTCTTTGCAAAAAAATTTTTAATTTAAAATTAAAGAGCATAAATAGCAAAGATTACAAGGAAATAACACAAATAAAAAGTGATACTCTAAAGTAATTAACATCTACTCTTGGGTTTCCACGGGACGAATTTCGCAAAGCAAGAGAAATCTGTGCATGCGTAGCAGAGGCGTGGTGGGAATCTTTATGGGCCGTGAAAATCAAGTTTTTAGGGGCACACCATTTTAATGCTGATTTCTTCTTGTTTTCTTCATGCATAATATATTGGAAATGAGTGTCACAGAGGCAGCGTGGGGCTTCACTTTATTTCTCACATATCTGACGTTACAAATGATGAAGGCTTAAAAGGAAGAAATATCCAACGAGTACACATGAAAAGTTTTGAGGTGCCTACCGGGAAATTTTTCCGAGTCCCGAGTCCCATTTTAATCTTTTGCAGCGAATGACTTTTTTAATTTACGTAATTTTCAAGCCAATCTGATCACAGCAAATTTTTTTAAATTTTAGTTTTATTAACTAACTAAAATTATACTTTATTAATTTCAATTTCTTCCTATGCAATATTACTTATTTTACAAACGCGATTCTCGCACTTCTCCAATTGGGTGCGACGAATTTCAAACGGCGGAGGATGTATTGACAGAGACACAAGAAGAGCTGCAGGGCAGGGAGGAAAGCACCAAGAGAAATGGTAAAACAATAGCAAAATATAGAAAATATTAATTTGACGAGGGCAAGGGGCGCCCCTCCCCCTTCCCGTGCTCCGGCGTTACTGGATATCCATTCTCTGGATTCTGAATTAAGACTACAAAAGGTAAACCATAACGATTTTGGATGAATATGAAAAGTTTTTGGCTCACCATATGGATCGGCGAGGTACGACTGCCTTTGAGTTGGATAAATTGATGTTTGGCAGGGGCGACCAGACGCCATAGAGGCTAGTGACGGGGAATACGGTCTCTTTGATGCGTAGTAAAGTTCCTGTTCATGATACCTAAAATAAAAAATATTATTATTCTGTTATTCGAGTTATAAACACTTGTCATCATAGTTCTCGATCTTGCAAAATCAAAGCAAATTATCAGGCTATATCAATTTCCTTAAAAACCTGATTAAGTTTCGATTTACATCAAGGCAATGCACAGATATCTTAGAACAGGGTTAGCAAATTTGACTTCATAAAAAATAAAATGTTTTGTCACTTTACTTATAGAGTGGGATACCTATATATTATTTAAATTTCTTTCAATATTCACTTTCGTATGCGTTACTTCTACACAATATCCTCTGCATTTTTTAATGGCTTTGCTGTCTTTTGAAAATAAATTCTACGAGTAACCTGGTTGAACAAGACGGGACAAGGCCTACGGACAGAAGCGCGATAATTTCTTTTTTGGTTGTGTACAGCTTATTGAACACTCTCTTTGAAAGTCTTTGACACAACAGTCTTTCAAAGTATTAAAGCAATATTCAACACACTACAATGTAATATTTTCGTGCAGATTTTGGTTCAGCGGGGCCCGTGTTCCGATTAGGCCCGTAATAATCTTATACCATGTTCCTATCAACTTGTTACAAGATATAATTACAATGCATAAAACTTATTTTTTTGGCTACTTTTCTAGAATCAATTCCTGTTAGTCTATCACAGAAAAACGATGCCCACATCTCATTGTTTCAAGAATATAATGTTCTGCACGTTCATCAATCCGGCATCACCATGTCACATTTCAAATTCATTTACTCGTTCGTTTCATTTACTCTAATGAAGCCCTGTATGCCAATTGCCAGGGCGAAATATTAGTATTCGTTTAATTCAATTAATTTGAATTTTTTTTTAACATTGGATTCTTGTCGCCGTTTTGCTTTGTTCCTGAATTTTACCCTTGTTAAGATTCCTTCAAAAACCTTTTCAACAATTGAAACTAAAGAGGTCGTTTCCCTAGTCCTCCAAGAGACTGAAGGGCGTGACCACAGTCAATTTTCTAAAGGGCGTTGCCAAAGGCTTAGGGGGCCCAGTTTTTCAATCACTCCTGGCCCCCCGAGCTGGATCTCGATGTCCCTGGTTCGGCCGTGGATTTTCCCCGTAGTTTATACTAAAAGCTGAGCCCTTCAGTAACCAGTGTGGGTTTCTTTCATTTAGCTACCATACAAGGTTCAATGCTGTTTAGATAGCGTGATGGACCCGCGTTAATAGCCAAATACCACATGATAATGCTTTCAAGCAGCATTTATGAGCAGTAATTTATTAAAGATGACCTGATTCACATTGAATTGACACAGATGTCAAGAATTTCCTAAATATGCCTACAGAAATTGCCGAAAAGGCGAGTGACCCGGTGACCTACATGTAAGCAAACATTAGCATTGAGGTGGGTGGAGCGTGGCCATCAACACTGCGCATCGGCATTGCTTTGAACGAGCAACGCAATTAAGGCAGCCTTTCCACTAGCCTGGGTTAAAACATATCCGGGTTAAACGTTATCCGTTTCTGCGTCGCGTTCCCACTAACCCACTTGAAAAACGGATAAGTTTGAAAACGGGTCTCAAAGTGGGTCAGTTTTTACCCGGGTATCTTTTGACCCACCTGCAAGTTAATGGAAACGCCGAAACCCGGATAACTTCTGACCCACTTGCAACAACAGCAACGTTTAAAAATTGAGATGGCGCCAAAAATAAAAAAACAAAATCCTGGATGTCAATGTTGCTTCCATTGGCCTACAACGGTAGAAATTGAAGGATTATTGATGCAAATACTGGTTTCTCTTACAACTTTTCACCCTGGATACATTTTAACCCGGCTTAGTGGGAACGATCAAAAGCGGATTAAAAACGGGTCGAAGAAAAATGCCGTTTCCATTGACTCACTTGAAAAACGGATAACTTTTAACCCGGATATGTTTTAACCCAGGCTAGTGGAAAGGCTGCCTAACAAACTATGGAAATTCCCTAGCTTTTGCTGTTCAACTACGAAACCCATTGGCCCTTAAGAATATTGAAAATGAAAAGTGGGCGAAATTTTAGAATAAATCCAAAATAATTGTCAGGCTAGAATATTTTATATCTAATCGACGGCTTGATATTTTATTCATCTGAGCTTTTGATGAAAAAAATTGGTGTTTACTATTCAGACTTGCTATACGTCCTTGTTAATACAAGAGCATCTGTTATAAAGAACTATCAGGTTGTGATTTGCGAGGGGCAAATCACTTCATAAAAATCTCGTACACCTTTGGTGGAAATCCTATTGTTTTATGAGAAAGTACTTGAAAATCCTTTTGTTTTTGTGGAAATCCCGTACACTATTTGCAAGAGTGAATTACCCCTCGGTGATTTGGCCAGATTTGGAAAACGTATCAAGTAAATAGTTACTTAATATAAAATCTTCTTATAAGAGGAGTGTACATATTGCAATTCACAGTAAAATTAGCATCTGTATCATTTATTTGGTAAATATTGGAGTTTTTGTTAGGTAAGGGACAAGGTAATTAAATACTGGAAAATAGTTGATTCTCTTTTTTAAACATGAAATAGAACAAAGTTTTTTAAAATTCTAAAAGCAAACAATTTTTCACGCGCGCATTTGAGCCGCTTGTGCTCCCATGAAAGTGGTTGGCACATCAAAGGACCGCAAATTTTATAAAGAGCGGTCACTTGCTGGCTCGTGTCCAATTGCAAATGAAGAGGAGCGTTGAAATCTGGCTCAGTGTTTCTTCAAAGTACATGTATACTGTCTGTCAATAAAGTCTGGGCAAATGAGTAATAAAAATGTACTACGTGTAATCTAATAAATGTAAGGATGTTTTACTCGCATTTTTTTGCATATCTACTTGACAAACACCAGACCAGTAATTGACGTTAAAAGAGAAACCAGAAAACCACTTGATTACACTATCTTTGTTTTAGAAAAATGTTTATCAGAAATTCTAGAAGGCTTTTTTGAAAATTTAGGGACTCTCCTGGTAAAGCGAGAAGGTCAACTGAAAATTTAGCAGTTGCATCCGTTTTTTAACTTCAGCGTTCTAACTTTTTAATGTAGTTTTATAATAACTATCAATTTGACTAATTCATAACAATTATAATACTTAAGCTATTTAATCGAACTTTGCTGACTTCACTTTTTATGAGGGTTGACGTATTTGAATATCGTCTTTGAACATCACTTTCATAAAATGGAACATTGCTACATTTCTTCTATAGCCAATCATATCATGAAACCTTCAACTGAAAGACAATTTCTTCGATGACGAGGGCTTGTGTGCAGCTGACAACGACCCCGGGTATTGGGAACATCGGGGTGTTTGTTCGCAATCACTGATATGAAAGTTACAATCATTACTTCATTATCGCAGTCTTAATCCAACGCACACCTTTTGACACCTCCTTCTCTTGAGATTCTGGGAAACTATAATCGTTTCATCACTGGCGAAACTACACGATTGATGTCACAATGGCAAGGGTAGGCCCCGATGAATATGATACTTCTCATGAATGTCCAGCTATTTCAAATACCAGGAATGTATAGATTTTTCAAAATATCCTACCAATTTCAAGATCTCTAATATGAAATTCAAAAAAACCGAAATTCAAGACACTGTAAACGAACCTTATTCAATAAATATAACTAAATAGAAGTATAAGAGTTACATGAAAGAAAAAATTCACAACTAAAACTTAACAAAGAAACAATTAATAATGTTGTCCCGGTGTTTTTGAACAAGCATCGGGTCAATGAGAGGCCAATTCAAATCGAGGCCTCTAAAAATGGAAGCAGGCGCAATCGTAGTTTTATTCTTCAAATAAATTGTCTTGCTGTCAATTCACGGACAACTGAACTTTCCACTAGAGACAAAGCGGGAGGAAATTCGGCCTGCCTTACGAGACGGGCGAATTCATTTCAAATGACTTCTAGCCACAAATGGTCTGACTTCGGTTTTTTTTAGGTGAGCGGATCAAGAATAAAAATGAGGCGTTGAAATCACCAGTTGTACGCTGGAAATATGAACTTGAAATTTTCCTTGAATGTCACTGTTTCACGCAGGGGTAGGCGCCAACCAGAAATCTTCCTTGATAAGCGAGTGTCAAATTATTTTTTAAGTGCGTATTAAGGTTCTTTCAACCGTTCTTGCGGCAAATATCGAATACCATTTAGGCACAGGTCATCGTCAAATTAAGTGAAAACTTCTTTCAGATCATTTTAAAAGTAACGGCAAAAAGGACTTTGATTTATTTCAATTGACCCTATAGAACTTTGTTCCGTCAATGGCGAAGTGACCAAAGGACAAATCCTTATATCGAAAGAACAAGTAATATAGAGATATCGGAAATGGGGCGTAAACATTAAGGGCTGGGGGGTTATTGTACATTTTGAAAACGAATGAGACAGACTGCAAACGACGAGAGTTCAAAAGCGTGATGTAAGACAAAACAGAATCGTAACTCACTCTTGTAAACAATGTACAGGATTTTCAAGAAAACAAAAGGATTTCCAGGGATTTTCAAATAAAACAAAAGGATTTCCAGAGATTTTCAAATAAAACAATAGGACGAGATTTTCATGGAGTTATTCCTCCCCTCGGACAGAACAATCTTGGTTCGGTAAAAGAAAATTAAAAAGGCTCCCATTTCAAAAAGATAAAAAAACAGATTTAGATACAGGAAAAAATATGATAAATAACATGCCAATCTGAATACGAATTCTCAAATGAAATGTGACACTAACCTTTTCATGTTTGCGTAATGATCAGTATTGCATGCACCTCGAAAACCTTTTGCAAATGGGTTGTTCTCGATCTTCAGTTGAGTTATCTAGAACATAAAAAAATTGATTCGTTTGGCAATCGTAATCATTTCACATTCTAAGCATTCTAAGCATCTAAGCACCACATTCTAGCCCTAGTCTTAAAGGGAAATCAGCTAAGGGGTCAAACCACTGCTACTTTAAAAGAAGATATAAAAATCTATCGTTTTAGAAGGTCACTGAGGCTGGACGCCATTCCCTCTCTTCCCTTATAGGCATGTGAAAAAGGCTCACGATCTTATCTTCGAATCCTAATAAATTATTAATTTTTTAAAGAGTTTAGTGACAAGTAAATATAATCCATTTGCTGATCAGGCTTAGTGCAGCCGTTCAATACTTACCTCTCTAAAGATTACAAAATTTACTTTTTGCAGGAGCAAGATTTTTTCAGAAATGAAATCAAGAGACAAAAATTGAAAGCTTTCTGTAAAGTAGGAGATATTTAAAAAAATCTTCTGAAACATGCCTTTAAATTGCATGGGACTGGATGTCTATGATTCTAAAACTATCAAATTTATTTATTTCGATTGGGCAGCAAGAAAAAACTGCATGAAAAAATTAAGAAAAAAACAACTGCTTATGCAACAGTTTTAAATCACAACATTTCATTAATTGTACTGCAATCACATTCAAATGAACATGATATCAAGATGGCCTAAGCATGTACAGTAAATCCCTAACCTTTCTACGCCATCAATCTTACCAGCCTTAAAATGCTCATGTTCAGGGTTTTTCAATCAATGCACTAAACCTTTCAGGAACTGGTAGTCGCAACAAGTTTACATCTTGCTTTAATTAGGGGTTTTATTAGGAAAAGATAAAAATTTGCAACAAGGCAAGGCTGCTAAGTGAGTTTGTGAATAGTTTTTATACAAAGGAGTTTAAAAGATGTCTAAAACGTAATGTGTAATCAGTGGCCATTACTCACTCGTGGGTTTTGATAGGCAGTGACTCCCATCAATTCAGTTTCAGGAAATATGTGGGTTGAAAAGGTGCTCCTTCTTAAGGCAACAGGAGAACTGTCATCGGCTTGTACGATGTGAATTCGAGGCTGATACTTGTGCATTGAGTTCAGAATGACCTAGAAGGAAGACCAAACATGACGGAATAAAGCAACATTTGTCAGAATTCCCGAAATAATAAATGTCAAAACTGTATTAAACTCTCTTTTATCCCTTTGATAGTTGCCTTTTTCTTCCTTTACATTTCATTTATCACTAGCCTTTTTGCTGTTATTCGTGCTAGTCATTCAATACAACTATTACTGAATTCTTTTCACATTTTAAATGAAAGAGTTTAGAAAGAAAATGGTAAATAAATATGATATGGGCATCATTCATGTGCTTTGCCAGGTCCCTATCAGCATCGTACACGCAACTGTATTTACTTTGTGTTTTCCCGTTTCATTTGTTTGAATTTTTTAGCTAATCGCATGAATTTTAATTTACTTTGCTGGCAAATAAAAATTTGTTCAAAGGAAATTCACATGATCTTTGGCCTGATATGAGTCATCGTATCAAATCATAGTTTTGACCAAAGACGAGCTTCAGGCAAAAATCTCTTGTTTATTTATTCCTTCTAGACGTCGAAACTCTCAGCAGCCAGTTTAAAATTGCAAGGCATATACAGGAAATCCTATTCCGCTATCTTTAAAACGAATTATAAATGCTTCTCACAACCTATATATCCGGGGAAATGGAATACATATCGGTTCATAATGACGTCATGTGCTAAATTAGCGGTTGGGTCTGGAGGGAGAGCAAATACAAGCTAATTTACGCGGACTTAGGTCATAATGATAATGTTATGGAAAGATTTTTTCTATTTATTGAAAAATTGACCTAAATTTGTTGAATATAGTTGGTGAAAAGCTCTCCTTGCTCATTGCGGAGGTTTTTTTAGAACTGTATAACTCTCTAGATTAAAAAGTTATACAGTTCTAAAATATCAAAAAATAAAAAATGATTAAAAACTTTAGGAAGAACACGACGATTTACCCCGCATTGCACCAAGGGAACTAGCGTTTCTAAGCAACAATAAATAGGCACCAGTGTCACACGTAACCTAATGAATCTGCTAGTGATGCTGGCAAAAAGTTTTAATTCTCGAAACACAGTCGTTTTTCTTAAGGGAATGGAATTGGCCATTTATTCAGCTTTTCAGCAAGACTTTCAAAGATCAGCTCGTTATTTCAGTATCTGGAAAACTCTCTTTAATGAACTTGACGTCATAAAATGAACAGTTGTGATGAATTCAGAAACGTTGTGGACAATTAAAATAGTCCAAGTCAAGAAGGTAGTCGTTTGGAAACATGTTGCCTAAAGTGTGAACAAATACAAAAGCGGACTCACGTGACCAAACTGATCAAGGTGGTTATTGGTAAGTTTGATTTTCTGGAAGCTGACGACCTGTCTCATCCATTGTGCTCCTGTGGACGGTGAATCGGGATGAACATACAGCCTGCCTGGCAAATGTGGTTCTGCTTTTCCTGCAATTGTCCATTCGGAATTGTGGTATTTGTAGCGATTGTCGTCAACTGGGACTAAGTCCATCACCAGAATGTACTTCAGCTTCGGATTTAGGCCCGATATGTTGATTTTTATCACTGGAAACATTCGTCTAGAATTAAAAAAAGTAATGGATTCAAATTTTGATAATACTAACGAAAGCTTTTAAAACCAACAGCACAGATGTTGGGACAAATTATTACAATATTTGATATTTAATTTGCGGCTCGAGTGCTCTTTATGATGTTTTTATTTCAACATCTAAATTCATTGGATTGTTTCTAATGCTTCTAAATGACAGTTTCGTGTGGCATTTTCTAGTAGCATTGAAAAAAGCGAGAACAAAGTTAGATCTTCGTTATTGGGCGGTGTCTGTTAAGGAGTATTCGCTCATGTTTGCACATTTTGCCTCATATTAGCTACTCTGAGAAGAAAATTACAGCCATCCTGGGTTTATCGCGAATTAGAGGTTACTCCAAAGCGAGGTTATGTTGTTTCCATTGTCGCATTTTCGCACGATTGGACTTGATTTTTTCATGTCCTATTCTCGTATAATACCATGTTAGTAGCATCAGTAAGTAGCATCAATGGCTCCCGATGTCTAGGCCTTCGTCCTGCTATCCGACGAAGACTGGGTCAAGAAAGGCATCCGATTGACGAGAAATCCTTGTTTACCGACTGACGCGTACGTAAACGCATAAACAGGCATCTGTGAATACCGCTTAAGCCTTTTAGAAGACAGAGATGTCTCCAGAAATGCCAGGTCAATGGGCGTGGCTGTTTCTTACAAAATAGGTGCTTATACGCTTTCATTGACTTTGCTTTTCTGCTGAAAGTTTGTTAACTTAACGTATAACGAAAAATTATGACTAGAAATACACCTCTTCAACTTTTAAAACATATAGAGAATTATTTACATGGGTTTAATCCCACACTTATAGCAAAAAAGATTATTGAAACTTCCTCAAAATCAATTATACATAAGGTTACTTAATTTTTCGGCGATGATCAAACTTTTCAGTGAAAGACAAACTTCAAATAAAACTTATAGAGATCAATCTGCCTTAGGGGTTGGAGAGGGTTCTGAGAGCTTTTGTTCGCGTGTCCGCGGTCTGGGCAAACTTAAACTCTTTTAAAATCCTTAACTTGACATTTACAACTATGATTGAAGTAGGATAATACGAGCAGTAGACTTTGAGTGGCAAAAACACCTGAGTTTGTTTGCGAAATCCATTTGGCAAAAAGCCACTTTGAACTGGAGACAGTAAACTATCAAACAAAATTTTCCATGCATTACTTATGCAAAGAATGAAACTTAGTTTACTCAAGGAAAACTCGAGCAATGTCATGCCTGTATTTGTTTGTCTTTCAGACATGATTGAGGTCAATATTTACTAAGACGTATTACAAGATAAACAAAGCATCATCTCCAGACACTTGCTTAAAGAATAGTAACACATTGGTGAGAAATGACCCAGCTCTAAGTTCACTAGTATGAAATCGTTTTCATTTCAGAAAGAGGCAAAAGCTTCATGGCAGCTGCTACTGGCACTAGATCAGGGAGCGAAAGCCTTCTAATTTATGAGGCAACCCTTTGTCCTGGCCTGGTGTCAAATAGTATGCCTTAAAATGATTTAGTGCCACGCACATGCCCAATAAATTTTGATTGCAACTTTACACGTCTTTCAGAAGAATATCATGATTCTTCTCAGATACAATATTCTTAAAATTTTCCGAAATTCAGCCAAAGTATTTCTTGCATTATTCTTCAACTAATCATACACTTATGAAAAATATTTTTCTTTGTATAAATTTGAAATTTCGGGGAGATCTCACAAAATGTCAGGCATTGTGAAATCAGGCTTGTTTTCAATTAATAGTTTAGCACCTGCGTGAAAAGCTCAGAAGAATAAATAATCAAGCATTTCACAAACTCTCAGCCTGGCATTTATTCTTAATTCTTCTTATATTCAAGCAATTTGGAGCAACAATATATCTAAATTATAACAGAAATAGTGTCATGGCAAATTCTGATGCTTAGCAGAGTTGTCGATGCATCGCAGGCACAAGGAAATGCATTTACCAATAAATCAAAGAACGCAAATCACATTAGGGATGTAAAACCTTCTGCTCAAAATCAAAATTAATTTCACTCCATTTTGTTTTTCAATGTATGAGGACCAGCAAAAACTTCTCAAGCTTTTATACAGACGCCAAAACAATACATCCTGGTTAACTACAAATAGCTAGTTTGCGATGTTTAGCGAGATGTTTAGGACGCTGAATTTGACTGGAAATTGAAGAGGTGATAAATTTACCCAACTTGTCAAAAGTCTTTTTGCCTGAGGCTTCTACAGGTATTGATGACTGGTATCTAATTTAACTAAAACTCAGGGCAAGCAAGTAGCTTTGGTTGTAAATTGGTTAAAAAGAAAAATCGTGCGAAGAAACATTTCTATTATTGGGATTTTTCGAATTTCTAAGAAATTGGAATATGCATGGGAGCATATTAGAAGGGGGGCAAGGACCAGATACGATCCACGCTTTATGGGCAATGCCCATCTGGTTTTATAGCTTCTGTCTATAAAGATCTCTTTCACGTTCTTATGAATAAACAACTTATCATCGAGACCAACTCATTCCATTAAAATCCCGTACACCTTTGCTGGAAATCCTTTTGTTTTACCTGAAATCCCTGGAAATCTATTTGTTCTCTTGGAAGTATCGTACTCTGCTTACAAAAGTGAATTTCTCCTCGCTGATCATTGCTTTTAACTCCATGCTTATTTAGAAAAACCCTAGCTGGCTTAAAAGTGACTGCTTCCCACATGTCAGTGAATAATGCGGATATACTGACTATGAGGGCAGTAAAACATTTTCTGATGGTGACTCCAATCTTGGGCGGAAACCAAAAGTGATGTTCGGATTTACAGAAGTCCATTCAGATTGATTCTATATTTATCTGTCAGCTGAAAGCATGTTTTTACCGTTAAGAAAAGTACACTATATTAGAACTTTATTCAAGATCAATCAAACCCATCTCAATGACAAACCGTATTGGGACCAATTGCGAATTATCTGTACAAACTAAACTAGATTAATCATATAATATTTTAACATGTTTTAAGTGAAGCACTGTTTCTAAAAGATAAAATGTAGCGTTAAAAGCGGAGCTTTTTTCAATACTGGAGTTTTGTTTTGGATGTGACTGACAGAGGTACTCTCGTTATTGCCATGGACGACAGATTTGTTGTGAATTCATTTTGTAGAAAAAAATTATTGAATTATTAGGGAATGAGTCCAAAACCACCATCAGTTTAATTCTTCAGTCTTAATGTAAATTTGCAAGGCGTTTATGAACATTTTTTGCTAGGGTCAGAAGGTGCTCTCCACTCAATGCGTTGTGTTACAAATAAATATTGGAAATAGGAGTAAGGATACCAATGGAAGTTTCAAATAAAGGGCATTTGATATACGGAAACAGGGGTGAGTTATTCAAAACGTTGTGCAAAAAATCTTGCCAAACTTAAACAAATGGAGTAACCAACGTGGTTGAATTGGTATATAGGGAAGGAGTGTTAGAGTATCAAATGATGAATAGGTTAAGGAAATTTCGCGAGAGGATTGTGCCTTAGCAAACGATAGAGTACTTTTGTTAGGAATTTCGAGTGATATGTCAAGCCATTGCTTTATCATTAACAGATTATGGGCTTTAAGGTTGGGGGCTTAAAAAATCAATTAAGATACTAAATATTGTCAACACGAATGAGCAAAATAGAAAACAGCTCTCACAACACTTTTATTTACACAGGCCAAAAAGTCCTCTTGAGAAAAAGGCGGTTCCCATTCACTCTAAAAGCAAATACACATGAAGCACAATACAAGGAGCATTTTCTGACATTGTACATTAAAAAATCTCGGAGCGGGGTGGTTTAGGTTACACTGGTCTCTAGGTACAAAAATGGTGAAAACTCATTCGAGGAATCTCAAGATTTGTTTAAGTTGAAAATGTATAATCATCCCCAAAAAGCGTTAAAAATGGTGGTGATAATTCATGACTGGAAATTGTGAAATGAATTTGTGAAAGTTTCGACAGGTGAAGGGTAGTCGGGTAAAAGCCATGTGCTGAAACCACAAGCTCGAGCATGGCATGTATCATGGCCTAATAACCTCCACGCGTTGTTGAAGAATTTCACAGCATGTAATCTGTGTATCAGGTTCAGGTTTCAGTTTTTAGTATACAAAATGACCTAGACATGGTGCAGTTTGTTACCAAGCAGAACATCGAAAGTAAACCGTAGCATGGTCGATAATAACGTCTTGACAGCACATCTCGTGTCCACTTGTTTCTAGGGCCTAAGATTAATGCACTAAATCCTTCTTTGATTAACTTTGATCACAAATGTATCCAATTGACGGAAACTCTAGAAATCCAGACCCGTTGGCCCTCGTTCCAAGAAGGTTTCGATCAATAAAAGCTTTTCAAGGTTATGTGTTCAAGGTTGGAAACTGGAGAGTTGCACATTAAAAACTGATAAACAACAGATAAACTCGAGAGTTTGATTTTGAAAGGAAAGCAATTTATTTTTATCAGTTTTCGTTCTAATAGGTTTCACAGCTTTTAATAAACAAACAAACATCGGCGTTTTAAGAAACTATGCTTTTACAACGTTTGTTGTCGTTAGCATGAACCAAAGCATCTTTGAGTATATATTAACAAATCACACAGCCCTTGAGGCCACAAGAGCTTAACTTTTTTCATGTATACACTCATCTTTTTAATAAGAAACTGGTTATAAGAAACGAGTACTGGACAGTCAGAAAAAATTAAGAAACTTCAGTACTCGAAGCAAAAAAATTAAGAAACTATTAAATCGTGATAAAACTGAGAACAACGAAATTTTGTAAAATCCAAGAACATGATTGCCCTGATGGCCTAGAAATTAAGACACAAGGGATGAAAATATACTTCCCACGTCTAAATACAGTGTCAGAACGGAAGCGAATCTCTTGACGTGAAAAAAGGTCACGAACATTCATAACATCATTCATGAATCATAATAAAGAAACTCCTTAGAAACAGTGAGTATTGAAATTTCCAGAACATTAAGAAACTAGAGTACTCAACATCGATCTTTGTTTCTTATAAAAAAGTGAGTGTAGTTGGTTATTCCCTAATTTCAACCAACCTCTTGGAAACATCCCAAAAACAACAGAAAACAACGGGCTTCTACTTCCTACAAAGAACTATTAAGACAGCACAACTCAGTTCAGTTAATCCAACTCAGAAGAATTGTATAAGACAGTTAAAATATCATAAGGTATAAGAAGATATTTTTTCCCCTTGGAAAATCACTTGATTGGAAAATGCCATACGCAATGTATGCACAGACAGACAAGTTTATATTAAAGTTTTCATACGAGTAAAAAAATGGACAGGAGATCAAGATAAGATTTGCATTCTTATTTATAGACAGATGTTTCGAAAGGGAAATCCAGAACAATATTAATTTTCAGAACAACGAATTATATTCCCTAATTCAGATAACATCGTCCAAGATAATAAATATACTAAAATTGACCATAACGGTTGAGGAAGAAGGAATATGTACTCTTTGTTTAGGCTATTTTTGCAGTAAAAGAAAATGATGCTTTTAATAGAAGATTATATATCTTCGCTCCAAAAATAAGCTATCAAGACTGAGAATTTAAGCAATCATACTGATGTTAAAATTATGAAATGCTTGTTGAAAAAATAACTGCCTTGAAGTAAAAATAAACCATAGAAAATAAAGTGAAAGAACACTACATGCAGATTTTCACTACGCCCATAAAAGTCACCAGTGCTGCAGGTTTAATGGCAAGAAAATATGAAAAAGTATTAGTGTTAAAATGTCGTGGCTTATATCGTTGTAAAAACCACAACAAAAGTGAAGTGACAAAACTAAAGAAATTTCTTGAAAGGCCTTATCTCTCTTCTAGTAGTGTTTCGTAGTTTTCAGAAGAGGCTTCTAAAGATTTTTAGATGTAGCTTTTGATGCAAAACGTTTGCTGTAAAAGCTGGACAAAAAAGCTGCTTGGTCCTGATATTTATTGGATCTGAACTACCAAATTCATGCTAACTTTACATAAGAATATTGCCAACAACTTTGCAAAACTTTGTGTTCATGAAAAGATACATTTCTGAATGGAAATTAAAACGATTGAAGGAATGACTGAAAAACCAATAAAAAAACTGGTAAAAGCTAGTATAAAATAGAACATTACTTGCAGCAATGAGCCATAGTATGCTTCCTGTTGAATAAATTTTTAATCAGCAACGGAAGACCGTATACTTCAGGAAACCTTCTTGCATATATGGCTTAATACATTTAAACTATCAATTAACGAATAACATTACAATTCCTTCCATTATTGATTAAATGAGAGGGGGACGATTTATGATGCAATAATGCTTTAAACTTTAACTCGAAATACTTAAAACATCGATCAGCATTAATAAATACAAAATTTTGTAACCGAGGAGCTAAATGACGAATGAAGCTCATAATAAAAGTGGAAATTACCTGCCAGCCTTTGTTATGATCATCTCAGTGCCAACGGCATGGAACTTGTCCCACATCTCCTTGTTATGCAGTGCCACTCTCACATTGGAATCTTGTTCCTTTTTCATTTGCTGTCCCGAACACGACGTCATTTTGGACTCGTCCATAAGCCGGCTGTTACCATGGCTTATGAATGTTGCCATGTTGTCGGAAAGGTGCGTAGCCAAACTCTGCGCCATTTTGTCTTTGGATGGGGAACTAGGCCTCGCATCGCTTTCACTGGCACCGTCTGTACAAACGAAATGAATCGGTTACATAGACTAAGCAATTTATATTCATATGTAGGCGAGACGGCAGGCCGCAGGTCCCTGCTCCTTTGTTTACTATGTGGAATCCAATGCATGCTGGCGCGAGTGCGCTTTCTGCCCGCGAATATTCAGATAAATAAGGACACCAACTGCATATATACATAGCTGAACGGTAATGGCTTTCGTTGCTCACAGTGATGATGATTCGCGTGATATTTGCGCAAACTAAATCAAATTCACTGCTTACAGCTATAATTATAGATCATCTGCAATTTCGGGATGAAGTCTCACCTGTGTTTATATCAATGAACATGTTAATAAGCAGAGAAGAAGGAAGGAATTATCTATTATTTTGCAAAGACGATAGGACTTTATGCTTTGAAGAATCATATAGTTGGGAAAATAAATGGTGGTCATATACATGAAAATCTTTAATTGACAAATAATTTTATGTCATCCTAATCTTTTACTGTTGGTCATCTATCTTAATGTGGTCATGATGGTGTTAACCCAATCGCGTCCAAGAGAATATTCATGAAATTTCGCCTGAAAAACAGGTTATTGTTTACCATTATCGATTTGACAGAAATAGAGCGAGACAAAAGAGAATATTGTTCAAGACTTAAAACTTTCTAAAACGATTCTCAAGAAGGAGAGAACGTTTTTCTAAATTTGAAAGATTTATCAACCAGTCTTTCATGAGACAAATTTATAAAATCAGTCACGAGAAGGTCTCATAAAGCATATCTCTAGAGTCCACAGAATGAAATATGAAAAAGGGTTTAAATAGAAGGAAGAAAGATTACCAACTTTTTTTGAAAATTTGTTCGGCATCTAAATGCTAGGCTAAAACGACCAGAAAGAGCGGTGTGGAATTCTTGAAACTGTAATCATTTGAACAAGAAAGAAATGAAGTATTGAATGAAGTAATTAACTGATTATTGAAGTTTTGAAGTAAAGAAATTTGGGAAAGAAAGGAGATTATATTGATAAGAAGAAATGAACAAGAAATAGCTTCGAACAAATGGTGAACAAGGAAGGTGTGTTGTGATGCGGATGAATGGCGCAAATGAAAAAACCAATTTCAGGAAAAAAGAAAAAGAAGGAGAAATTGAAGTGAAGGTCAGGAAAAAAGGTCTAAGAAAACATGAATATACTTCAATATGGCTGGTAGAACATGGAAAACCAGAGTGAACAACTATAGATGTAAGTTGTAGCGTTGAAGTATCAGACGCATTGAAGAAGAGATGTGTGCACGCCAAAAGGCTTGTTTTAGTTATTAAATAGTGACGATACAGAGAGCTTTGCATTGCAGCAGATGTGCAGTTATATAGTCTTGTTTTTGCTACTGAATATATACAGGAAACTGTTGATAAGTCGAATAAGTTCGTTCTCACAAATATGTCATTGATTTTTGAGATATTCGACTTAAGTAAAAACAAATAAGTCAAACATGTAAAAATGAACAAATCGGGAATTAATTTTTTCTCGACACCATTTATTATAAGGTTATCTATCGAAAGACTTTATGCATGTTAATATAGCTCTGAGTGGGGGAAAACACGTGGGATGTGACGTTAAAAGCGACAGGTAGAACATATAGAAGATAAACAAGTCATGTGTCATAACATAAAAAAAAACATAGATTTCCATAAGAGGCTGGTAAGAGCACAAAGAATTACTTAATAAGTTGTTTAGGAAAGAAAAATTGTCAGGAACATAAACAAGTGAGAATAAATGGATTTACTGGAACACTAAGAATGAATGGATTCGCAAAGGAAAAAGGGTGGCTTATAACTAAAATGTTAATGTTAATGAGACACAAACAGTTTCAGTACCCCAAACTAATTCATTGTTTATCAAGAAGAGAAATGGAGTTGATGCATACGTTGCATCGATCAATCAGCATATGGCCTAGCTAGCCATTCTCATCTGCCAACAAAAGAAATTCCTTAAAAACATGACCTGCCTTAGACAGATTTTTCTTGGTCAATTTTCTGTTTAAGCTTGATTTAAAGTATTCTGAAAGGGAGTGGGAGTCTTCCATATAACCTTCCAGAGAACAGTTTCCTTAGGCTGCCAGGGAAATGCAAGTTTATTTGATGTGGTTGCGATTCCCTGGTTGCAAGAGGTAGGCTGGTACCACGATCCTATTATTACCTTCCTTAACCACTATTTAAACAATATTCAGTCTCGTGCGGCTGTTGGCACTTTATTTTAAAAAGCCAGAAAGAGACTGCACCTGGCTGCTGGAGACATTTTAATTGCTAGTTACAAGAGTCTTATTTCGTTCGTATTCTAAGCCTAGTTTCGAATTGGGCTGTGCGGTACAAGGTGACAAAAAGTCACATGGACGCAAAAAATGGGCGCCAGCTTTTGTTATTTTCTCAGAAAGTAATGCTAAAATCTTCTTTAAAATGTCCTGTGCATCATGACGTCAGAAAATTATGGTGAAATAGGCTATGAGAGCTGTTAGGGGGGATCGTTAAGATGACTACCAAACAGTGCATCTTATTTGTATTTGCCACTACTTAGCTTTAAAGGTAGATTTTAGGACATTAACAAACTATGCTTATCGAGCAGTGTCCTGGTTCTTCCACTCGATGCGACCACACCTCATGATTCCTACGTCTGGAATAACAGAAAACTGTATCGCACAAACATTAAGCTGCATTGCACCATGAATAATCTGCGAAATGGTCCCTAGGCAAAAATGTGTTAAAAAGTGTTAATCGGAGGAAACTCACTACAACTTTCTAAATTCACTCTGTCTAACGGGAAATTCAATTAGAGATTTATTTCATCGGATATTATTGGTGGTTGGCCACAATTTCTTGTAATTAAATTCATATTTTAAAAAAGCCTTCTGTACCTCTTGGCAGGGACGTGCCTAAACTCGGCCTGGTTGTTGCCAATCTGTCTCCACCACTCCACTGAAACCAAAGACTCCAAACCTCGGGGTCTGTTATCTTGTATGAAACAGATTCTTACACTAATTCTTTTTGTGCTTTGTTTTCAAGTTTTCGAAGCATGTTTGAAAGTGTGCGGCTATAAAATATTAAAATCTACACTTTTTAACGTCACAGTACCAGAACCTACAAAGTTCAATGCTGGTGAGGCGCGTTCCATTCTATAGCATGTTATCAAACAGCTCACTCGAAGGAATTTTAAAAACTACTAGCAAAATGCCTAATTGAACAGTGAGATCAGAATTCCAAAATTCCTTAAAAATATCACCAGTTTTTCACAAGATAGCTCTTATAAACATTCACCGATATTTTTGGAAGCAAAAATTTAACGAACTCAAGCAGACTTGATAATGAATGGTTTATATTCCAATCACAAAAACATCAAAAACTTTTAATCTATTTTCATAAAGACATCTTACTCGGATAAAACTTGTGTTGCAAAGAGTGAAATTTTTAGCAAAGCGTTTTATTTAGCATCAATGGTGAACTACTTTGAAGAAATTCAGCTTTGCATTATGCCTTTGTAGAAGATCAAAAAGAAAGAGATAAATAAAACTTCACAATGGACATCCAAGAAATTATGGTCTGGATGTAAAAATGCAAACATCCAAAAAGCAAACAAGTCTCCCGAAAGATTGCTAGAGAGTTTCATTGGTGCCAGAATTTAATACCGTACTAAGCTCGACTAAGATGTGAGAAGAAGGGGCAAGTTAATTGGCTCCCATTGTTTAAACGATTTCCATATGAAAGCACTGGGGCAATCGTCATGACCGTGCTTAGCTGGAAGCTGGGTGTTTGTGCTGCTTCAAAGTAAAGCAAGAAAGGTTGGTATATACTACGCCTATTTCTTGAAACAAAGAAATATTCTATCAGTATAGAGGTAACGCTGCCAAAAGCTTTCACGATTTTTGCACACTAAAATTTCTTGGGAAAAATTGATTTCATGATTTTTATCAAATTACTCAAAACTCGTGCGACTTCGGCTTAAATGTAACAACTGGATATCGTATTTAAAACTGCAGGAATAATTTATTCCAAACGGTAAATCACCAAACGAAAATATCTCATTAGCGAGGTACGTAGTAAAAATACAAGCCTGTCGACTTCCTGAAAGGTGAAGCGGCGTTGGAAAAAGGCAGATAAAGTGCAAGAAATGAGGAAGCGCGCTGCCTCATACAGAAATGCCTACTGCTGGCCCAACTCACCAGGTCGAATCCGCAAGCAAATATCACGTGAGTCAAAGAAGGCATGGTGCAAAGCTAACGTGCCTGGATAGTGTGATAAACTGTTTTGTGTTGTTCATAACTTTCAGTTCAATTAAGGGTCTACTGCCATGTATAGATACGAAAGCGGCCTTTTGATTAGCCACAATTCTTAGAATCTTGTTGGAGAGGTGTTTAAATGTTTGGGTTTCGCGCATTGTTTACAACTTGACAAGGTGAAGCGCACACACAGATTCCACTCCAGTTGATGGCTGCCAGCAGAATATTTATAACATTTCTCAATTTTCCAAACACTGAGCATTGTTACTAATTAAACTGGCTATTCAGTTACCGAATGAAAACAAGCTAGTCATAACAGACGATTCGTTGATTGTCCACTGAAAGTTGCTTTTACCCCAATGGAACCAAGAAGACCGCTGAGCGTGCCCCTACTATAAATTTAGTGAAGTTTGTTTATATATTCATTGATTTAAGAACACCCAAGGATCTATTAGAATTTGAACTACAGACAACCTAAGTAAAGCAGGAAAGTTTTCTGACATGGGTCAAGGCCTTATACAAATTTTACTACTGTGTTACGTGCACATTTCAGCACTGTCACAAACTAAAAAGTCCCCTTAAAGGCATGCAAATTATTGCATTTCTTGCAAAAGAAATATATTTATACAAAAGTAGTTAAAAAGCACTAGGACTTCACCAAAACAAAACACTGGTGCTTGATCTAAAGGAAAATTGACAGTGCTAGAGATTGGAAATATCAACTCGTTCGTCAAAAGGCTGGAAAGTAAGACACTGGTGTTATTGTATCTTCACTCTTCTTTTTATAAGAACCAGTAAATCTAAGTTCAGACTGACTGTTCTTAAATTTTTGGAAAATCTGAGGCTGGATTGTTCTTAGTTTGTTCTTAATTTGATAGGGTGTAAGCAGTGCGAGTGCTAGCTTTTTCGCTCTAGGGAGGTAGTCAGGCCTCATTTGCCAACAAAGTGAGTGAGACAACCTTCATTTGCCGACAAATTTGAACATTCACCGAGAAAGCATCCACACATAGCTAAAATCCTAGATTTTGAGAATAAAAGTTGTTCAAAATTGCAATTTGCAGAAGCTCAGCCTCAGCTTGTTCTTGAATTTTAACCAATTTTGAGGCTCGTGTTCTCATAAAAAGGAAAAAGTGTAATATAGTTTGTCAGTATGACTGACTGCAAAGAAATAAAGCCCATTAAACATACCCTATACGGCGTTATTACTATGAGGGAATTTGTACAGGAAGAGTGGCTTAAAGAAAAGGTTTTGGGACGTATAACATATGGAATGGGAACCACAAAACTGCGTGGAAACAAAAATACTAAAGTCCAACAGTAGTTTGTATGGTGAATGGAAGCGAATGGGAGATGGAGACTATATAAAAGCGAGTGGGAGAAGGTGAACGAAGAATTTCAGATACTATACCAAGACTGATCAAAGAGAAATAGCGAAAAACCTACAATTATAAGATTGCAGTGCAATTATAAGATTGAACTTCAATAAAGCAAAAGGTTAGTCACCAAAAATAAACACAAAAAGACGGCATCTGACGGCGTCATATTCACTGCATCAGAACTCTAGTGAACTTGCATACAGACAAAACATTCTAGGTTTCCAAACAGATTGAGCATTAAAGATCAGAGATTTGCTGATACTAAGTGCAACTCATACTATCCGCATTTGCAGATATGTTTATATCAACTTGATGTAGATAAACGTTAGGAATGAATTAGAAGGCAAAAATAAGAAGAGCAGCAATCAATATATTGCTTAAAAAAGAGGTGATATTCAAATAAAGTTGCGATGGTTGACATGTGTGAAATGGGAAGTGAAATCACAGTGAAAAATAGCAACAGACGGCCGAAGTGCGCCATGTTATAAGCTAGCAGTCGAAGTCTCAGCATGAAACGCTGTCAAAATGGTTTGTGCACAGTAAAGACGAAAATTCAATTAGACAGAGAAATTATGTATTTAAATAGCTTGAAAGTGGTAATACCATAGAGACTGGATAATACTCACAAATAAATAAATATATTTACCACAGAATTTGATACTGGATCTGTTAAACGCGCGCATAATGTTAAAAATATACGAGGTATTAATATAGACGGTGAAAACTAAGCGTATTTACTGAAAAAAGTAAGAAAACAGCTTTTTGAGAAAACACTTTATAAAAGAAAAAATACCTTGTTTATAGTTGATTTGGTCGGTCACACTTTCAGCAGGTGTGGGTTGCAATGTCACTTCGCTTGCACATTTAGCACGTGTGAAAATCTCACTTGCAGAATTATCCATCTTCTTAACTTCCCGACGTCTGCTTTCTTAAAATCCCTCGACTTTCTTTTAACGAAACTGCTAAAATCGCAACCGAAGAGCTCGATGTCCCTTTTGGCCAGTGCTGCTCAACTCAGGCTGGTGAATGGGCAGGTCTGTTTGCTACCAAGACTCGGGATAGTGTGAACTATTCTGCGGATCTGTCCAATTCACCTACAAATCGCCGGCTTCCTTTGATCAACTTTGATTGACAAGCAATTCTCTATCATCGTTTATTAGGCCAGACTTGGAGCCGAAACCCTCATGTCGTCAGACTGTCGATCATTAAGCGCAACAACTTAAAAACTCCGATTCATGAATAGACCCTTGAAACGCATGCGCAGGCTATCTAATATCGACATGCAGGTTGCACCGTTCCTGAAAAATGCGTAATGCTTGTGATTCAGACAAAGAGATTCGCGCAGTTGACTTGTTTTTACTGCACTGATATTCGAATTCATCAGAATACGAGCCATTTCAGTAACAGGCTGGGGGTGGTCATGACTCGTGGGTATGTAGAAGGGAGGATGGGGGAAAGAACTCAGAACTGCATTTTGTACCACTTTCACACTTCTGTCGCTGTCGTGTTTACATAGAAATGCACAACTTGCTTTTGTAAAAACATCCTCTTTGTTTCAAACATCCCTTCATTTTGAAATCAGGGTACAAGATCTCGCAGCTTCTTCCTTATCACTGCAAGGTACGTTTCTTAATTCTGATTTAACAACAACCTTTGACAGAGACCGCAAAGCATTTTAGGAATTGGCAGGATGGGGACTGGTTATCAGTAACAGTGCCGTCGGAACGAAACTCGTATTGGAGGGGGCTTCCCATTGTATCACTTCCCTTTCAGTACACTGTAATAGAGGAAATATACTACAGTTTGACAACTATTCGGGGGGGGGGCTCCCCGGTCCCCCTCTTCCAATGGCCTTGAGTAACGGCGATATTGGTCATGGTTACTTGACAAATTCGCGAGACTTAGGTGCGAATACCATCTATTTGCACACTAGAACACTTTTCACTTTTAGAAAATTTCGACATCCATAGTCTTCAGTAAGTCTTTTGTAAACTACGAAACTGAAAGCGAGCAGAAAAATTCTGCAAATTTCAATCTGTGGCAACGATGACGTCATCTGTTTACTTTGCCTTTCACGTGTTAAGCCAGGCACATTACACGATCCTCCAGGCATTCAAACAACAGCCTTTAGCAGCACTGTGTGATGCAAGGATTCAAAAAACAGAATTCTGGGCTACAGCAACGAATAATAAAAGCTCTTAGGTAAAATTTGTGAGGTATACAAAAATGAGAAAACAGTAAAATATAATATGCAAGAAAATTAGAAGCTTTCTTTAATTCTAAAAAGATCTAGCGTTCATCGACGAGTCACAGAATAGTCAAACTGGTCTGAAATAAGTGTTTTCAACCAGTTACTCAGATTCGGGAAAAACACACACGAAGCTGCAAATTGTTTTCAGCCACAATCAGCCTCAACTGATGTTGAGATTTTCTGAAAGTCAAAGCTTTCCTCGGGTGCAAATAGACGGTATTCGCGCCTCAGTCTCGCGAATTTATCAAGTAGCAAACAGCCGCAAACATTCACACATTGAACACGAGAACCAGAAATGGAAGGCGTAGTAGAAATAGGCCATGACCAGATTAACCTCGCAGTCACCAAGCGATGGAGCAGTATCAGATCGAGGGAGGAAAGATATTTGAAGGGGAGGCTCCTGGAAGGACGCAGGATGGAATCATAATACGCCTTCATAACTTTGACAAATTGGGCAGACAAAACCTTGGTTTTTAAATCGATTATCGATAGAAATTGTAATTTGAATACCTGGTTTCAAATCACATGGTAGATATGTCATTTAGAAGATAACATAGGGAGATGAATCGGAATTAAAAGGCACAAAAAGGCAAAATGGTAGCCTCAAATAGCAAGCGCAGGACAAGGATGTGCTCGATCTATTCCAACCGTGCACCTTTGCATGATTATAGAGTTTTCTACTGCTCAACTGTTTCACGCATTTTACTAAGCTTTGCTAACTAAAGAAATGAATAAACGATTCACACTAAACTTTGTGATATGTTATGAAACGACGAAACAAACGATAATTATTTTCGACTGAAGGCTTATTCCTAATAACAGCTTTTTCATCTACTAGTATTTTCGCTTCTCAAGGCGTTTTTTGTCATACTTGGGTTTTCTTTTAAGAAGCGTTCTTGGAGACTGGCACATGGATCTAATCTCATTTTCAGCTTCATAAGCCTTAGTATTTTAAACTTGCCTCCCACCCAGTCCCAAGGTTCGGGTTGCCTGTACCACGTGAGTAAAATGTGTACCAGTTTTTAGCGTCTTGCGCCGCGAGTGCCACTATTATTATCCATTAGGTCACGAGTGTAGTGATTTGTAATGAACAAGGCGGACAATCAGACAGTCACAAGCAGTAAGTTGTTCCATTAACATAAGGGTTAGGGGGTGGGAAGGTCTAAACCGGGGGTCTTGAGAAGCCGGAAAGTGAATAGGACCGTTGAGCCCTAATTGCATCTTCTTTTTATTCCTACTTTGTCCGGAATTGGTTGGTGATGTATAAAGTTAAAGCACAAAACTACTAAACGACAGTCAAAGGAAAAAGTGAAGTTAAGGATATGGGGCTTGGCAGTCTGCGGCAGAGTATTGCAAAGAGGAAGGTCGTTAAAATGAACGTCTAATTTTTAATTTTCATTTGGTATGCATGACTTTGACTCATTTCTAGAAAATTCCATAAGCTCTAGAAAAGACAGCGAACCCGACAGCTACTCGGGAAGTCTTTCTACCAGACGTGAAATACGCTAGAATCCGTCACTAAGATTAAACAGGATCAAAAGGGTGCAAAGTCGAGATATTCGCGCCTTTATATGGCTGGTAGGTGTTTGACTTGGCCCATAAAAGCCAGAGATACCCCACCTTTTGATAACACTGCTCGGGCAATTGAAAATCGTCTAAGCTGGTTTTAGTGTGCGGTCTGCCAAGTCTGCATACGCGTTTATCGTAACAGAAGTTCCTTCAAAGAAACAACACTGTTGGACGTATAGATAAATGGTTTCAGCACTGGCGTTTTGAACTCCACTAAAACTTGTAGCTGGGCTACGAATAAGAGATTTCAATCGTCATCTTCATCCCCAAGAAGCGTTTAAACGTAGATTCGAGAGAGCAATAACAAGGCCAAGAATAGTCTTATAAAATATAGACAATACGGTTACTGTTGCTAGTTGTAGCGAAGTAAACAAAAAAATGCACAAGTAGCAGTAACGGCTCAAGGAACGGCTCTTGGTTCAGGGACCAATTTCAATCCGATAGTTAACTAAAACGGCTTTATTGATTAGACAAGGGGTAACACCTCCCATTAATCCATCATAAGACCCTTGACAAGAGCAAAGTGATAAGATTCACACAACAACAAATGGAAGGCCATAATAAAATTCAAAATGAAATGGATACTATAGGCTCCTTTTGTTTGTTGTTGGGAAAGTTTAACAGTTGATAAGAATGGGGCAAACGCGAACAGAAACATTCGTGACAAATCTTTATAATTCGAGAGAAAGTCCAGATAATCGGATGAAAACGACACACTAATCGCATGTGATCAAGAATCACAACAAGGTACCAACAAGACACTTTATAGGATTAAATTTCACTCGAACGAACATTGCCGATAGGGTGCAGTGGCGTGGGGTCAGAGAATGACGTCATATTTGACTCGGCGCAGTGCCCATGCAACATGCAACATGCACCTCAAAATATGAAAATATGAACATAGAACCTGTCTCGTGCAATACACCTCGAGGAAAAATTTTTTATGGGAACATTTCTAGCAATCATTTCTCTGATTTTCAAGGATTAAATATGATTTGTTGAGGCTACCCAAATCGAAAGAATGATACGAAAGGATAGCATTGGCAGATAGCGACTCGCAATGTTGAGACCAAAAACACAAATATCTTCGCAGGGGAACCGAAAAATCTCCCTCCTGGTTCTTAACACTAGACAGCCAAAAAAACGTGTCGACGGCCTTCACAGCAAGAACACATGGATAGAGGGGTTGTAGCAAGAGCCCCTTTTTGATTTCACCAATTTTGGTACTTTTTGTGACTGTACCTTTATAGCGGATGTACAAAATATATAGTTGAATCGACAGACCAACATTAAATGTTTGTCACACTCAATAAAAAGGCAATGTTGATTAGGCAAGTCACGCCTACTGTACTCTTGTATTTACAATTCAATTCAAGTTCGCCTTTACATTTACATGTAAATTCAACATATCAATCTCGAACACATCTCGACTTCCTTTAATAAATAACTAATTTCCCTTTCAACAAACAAAATTCGATTGTACAAAGGAATACACAGTGATTCATGAGCAAACATACTCAGATCTCGAGTCTTTGCAAGTCCATCAAAACAATAGACCAACGGATTTTGCAAGCTGTACTGAAAATTTACAGCAAACAAACAGAAGCTGAAAACAACACTGGTAAAATGACTAATAGGCCTTGACATTAAATACGAAGAAACTGGCTGGCACAATCTCAAGGAACATGGAACAAGAGACGGCAACACTAAATGAGCAAAATATCCCATTTTCAGAGGCTCCGACGCAAGTTGTTTTTAATGGCAAATTTAAACTCATAATAAAAGGTTTAATAAAAGTGAAGGCCTCAAAGTCGCTAGTGACATTGTCTTCCCATCGCTTAACTTTTGCAGGCACTAAGTCCATTCCGAGGAAGAAAATTACGAAATGCAGTCCCAGCTTTACAACAGCGTTTCTAAAGGGAATAACAAATCATCTCTATGGTTCGCATTTACAACCGTAATCGGAGAAGCCAGAAAATTGACTAATTTATGAACAAAGTTGTCCAGAAAGGATCAGCTACATGCTCCGATAAAAACTCTGACTCTACCATAGAGATGGACTCTACATATATCGCCTCACTCTGAAAGTTCATTTTCGAGTAAACCACACAGAGTGCAGTTAGCAGCAAGCAGTAGGGCGGGATCTTGGTAGGGGAGGTATTTGGAAAACGCACGATACCGCAGCTGAAGGTTTTCTATTTGGCCGATACAACTACCTGAATACAATTCCTTCCAATTTTAGGAATCTCTTTGTCAATGTCAGTAGATATTGCCTATCGCGAGCCCAAGCCGGTGAGGCGGGTAAGCCACTACACAGTCGAGCATAACAATTCAGGTTTTTCGTATCGTTTATGCACTATACATTCACCTGGCCGATCTTCAAAGATGAAAATTCAGATCAAACCGAGGGGGGGTTGGGGGGCTTTAGCCTTTGTCTTGCGTATTTATCAAGCTTTCTACCAAGTCGATACTAGGTATGAACCCTTTTCATGGCTTCGTTCTCTTTGGGAGCCTCTTGCAAAAACCAATTTGTTGCGCGCATTATAAACCGATAGAAGACCCAAAGTGTTTTGACAAGCGAATTAATAATTAAACACGAAGACTAAAAAGTATGCCCTGGCCAGCTGAGCTCATTTAGGCCGGAAAAGGGAGGCGAAAGTGGTCAGGAAGGGCCATAGCATAGACACTAAGGTCGATGGCCAAGAAGTTTTGGTGATCTGTGGAAACAAATCTAGTCTAAGATCTTGCAGCGATTAATAGCCAATAATTACACTATTAACCTTCGTTTTTTGTTTATATCTGTCTGTTTTTACAGCCTTTACCAAATAGCTGATAAGAGAAAACGAGGAAACTGTTAAATATTCGTGGCCATGTGGGAGGACATGTGCTGCCGTTTCCATACTGTTTTCAGCATTCTCAGCAAATATTTTATGAACACCATTACAGGTAGTTAACCAAAGAAGAGTTCAACAAAATGAACAATTCTTTTTATCAGCAGCCGTTATCGGCATTTTGCCTACGAAAACACATGCTCCTAGAAAATTGCTTTCTAACTTCATCAAAATTCAACGAATCCGAAAAGACATAGCGAGAATGATGCAAGATAAGCATATTATTGAAAAACTAGACAGATCTCCTTGGGTGCATGCTGGGATCTCTAGACCACTAAGAGGGAGGTTTATTACGCCTTTTACGAAAAAGAGCCAGTAGTGAAAAAGTCTTTGAAAAAATTGAAAGCTTCCAAGGCTCGATTGAATGATTTAGAAAATGGTTTCCTATTTTCATAGCCCTTTGCAGCTTTACTGGTTGCCCCGTTTTGTAAATGAAAGATATTGCTGTTGGCAGGGAAAAAAAGCATACAGCTCAACATTCAAGGAGAAACATTTGGGAGAAAACTATCACAAACAAATCAAGCCTTGTCAATATCTAATGTTAGAAAAAAATATCTAAATAAACAACGTGATGAGACTTGGAGAAAAAGAAGAAAAAAGGTCTTCATGAGCTCAACTGGCTGTTTGTCATGCGAGCGCCTATAGCTTAAAACTTTAGTCGTTTTAATCGCAACTCCAGTTGTATATTCGTTTTTTAAATTTGAGAATGAAACTTAGATTACAATCACAGGATTCTCCAGGCGTGTTTTCTTTCTAGGGAATGTGGGGAGTGGCATTCTTATGTCACAAAGCAACAAATCAAATCAAATAGTAAACAATTTATCAATAGTTAAAAAACAAAAATAGAAAATCCTCTAAATACTAGAAGTTGATTAAATGAGGAGATTCAAAAGCAAACAAATACCTGGGAGCCTTTCTTTTTTCTTGTCTTTTTGTATTTCTTTTTAGCTATTTCCAAAACTAATGAAATCATAATTGTCACGTAGTTGGCTACCTAGAAATAAAACAAAGTCGACTGGAAATTGCATTTTAACAGAAGCAGGGGACTTAAACAGAGTTCAAAATCGAAAAACGCACATAAAGCTTTATGCAAACATCGCAAAATATTCTCAGTTGTGAAAATTGAATTATTTCGTCTATCGACATTATTTCATCTGTTTCAGTCGTTATATTGTGAATGATTCAGACCCTGTTAAAATATCTACTACAACTACTGTCAAAATATTTTACACAAGGAACCACACATTTAAACATACTTTGTAATCCGATTTAGTTCAGTTCTTTCCAGTAAGTCAATTTGTACTAGTTTTAAACATCATATTACTCCCGTTTATGGTGGTGAAAACAACAAATTGAAGTTCATTCTAGCTACAAGTAGTGCAGTATTGCAATAATGCTAGCACCCAGCACACTTTTTGTCTTAGAAAAACACTTTTGGTTTTATGGAAGCCTGAAGTTGAAATTTCCATGAACTCAAATACCTCGATCAGCAAACTGACATCTTCCAAACTTGACCCGTTGAATATATCCTTCTCGAGCATTCGCAAAACTAGACTTTCTTTGCACCTTTTGAACGTTTCTACAAAGCGAAATGATAAGCAGCTTTATCGTTGAAATAGTCTGATTGCAAGAAGCCATTTCTCTTCTTTTACGGTCTATAAAACTACCAAATACTTTTCCATGATGATTTTACTGATAGTGAAACTTGAAGTAGCAATTTAGAACCACCCTGTTTTATTTACATATCAAAGATGTACGGCTCTTCCTATACAGCACTCTGCAATAGATCAGTTGAAAACGATATTAGTTAGAATTTGACAGATACGGTCAAATCATGCTATATTTAGACGTGGCATCAAAACTGAAAAGGTTTACTCCTATGCTGCAAGACTTCAATGGAATATCCCCAGCAATGGGAGTTCACGGGGGCGACTAAAAACGTAGTCGTCTGTATCTCAATGCCCCTTTGCTGGGAGATATGGTTTAGCTCCAACCGTCAAACAAATGACTATCGTAGCACAAAATTTTAAACCAAACAAAGTGTCGACTTACCTTGGAACCATGTGATTAAGGTATTCACATGTCCATTTACATCATCTTCCATGGAAGAAGCCTCTACAAAAATACAGAACGGATACTAGTCTATGGCAATGCACCTCGCCATGGTCAACTAGCAACCTGCCACTACAACATATTGGATTAAAGGCATTTTAGGCATGACGTATTCTGAAGCCAATATGGCTTGATCCTACGAGCTGTAAATGCATGTTAGTTGTTTGCTTATAAACGTTGATACATAATTTCGCTGCTGCATTACAACTTTCCATTCAAAAAGTTCCTTGTAACAAGACAAAGACACTGCCAGCTATATCCTATGTCTTCCAAAGGAGCCACAGTTTTTTCACAAAATCTGAATTCAGTTTACAGTAATATGTATAGATCATGATTTTATAACCTGTTTTGAAAATGCCTGTTTCAGAATTTTGCTGTTTGATCTACGGACATTTTCATCAGATTCAAGTGTTATGATAATAAAAAATTACACATTAAATAAAAGAGAATTTTCCATCACAGACGTGAAAGATTTCTACCAGCTTCAACAAAAATGCATTTCATGTAACTGCACTGTCTGATTCGAATGTTTCCAAACGATGCATTGAGTGCAGACATTTTGTGAGCTTGAAATTTATATCAGGTGAAAGTGCATTAACGAAACGTATTGAAGAAAAAAGCTTGAAGTTAAATTCATAAAAGATAGATGTTTCTAAATGTCAAACAACAGGTCACGCTGAAGATAGCGTTTGCACCAGTCATCTCGAGTAAAAATCCTTCGAAACAACCAATTCGACGAAACAGGGAAACATTTTATTAAAGAGTAGTGCAGATAAGCGACAGTAAAATGTATGATAAAGGTCGTATGATAAGAAACACGCAAGCTCAGGAAAAATAAAACCATGCATTTCTGGATAGCAAGAACATATGCGGACGAGCAGGAGTAAATATTTAAACATGATTACCATCATTGGCGGATTTTTAGGTCAGAAAAAGCACTATAGTCATTTTTATCTGATCATAATGAAGTTTATCTGGATCGAACTGTTGAAAAACCCGTTCTTTAATATGTAAATATTTCATCAAAACAAACACAGTAACTGAATCGTAGAGACTGAGATTATTCATGCTGGCGAATGGAAGCAAAGGATGAAACTCAAAGGCAAAACAAAGAAAAAACAACGCACGCATACAGCAGGGTTCCGAAACGCTTCAACTATGGTGCCACAAAACAGGATTAAATAATGATCATTGAGGAAATATTTCACTTGGACTTAAATCAAACACAAATAAATTGCAATCATTTTTATCAAATTTAGTCGTAAAAGTAAATACGACGGCTTTCATCTTTGTTTATAATGAGCAAATGGTGGTAGGATACCAAAACTGTTGATTGGATTATACTAGAGATTTTTTAAAACTTTTGGGAAATGAAAATTTAGCGTTTAGATTGTAAGAAAGATGCATTGACTTTTCAGAGTGACACAGAAGAAACTGACAGTCTGGCTTTGCTGAAGTCTGCCACAAATTATAAGGTATCGCCTTGTTCATACATTTATGAACCCAAGGGTTTCCAGCCGATGAGAAATTTCGTTTGGGGATACAAAGATTTGAAGGAGAAAATGGTTTGAAGACAATAAGGTCAAAGGGGCCAAATGGAATTATCAGTCGAGAGCTCTGAGTTCAATAATCGATGTAGGTAATCCTTGTTCGACCCCATTTTGGCCTGTTTTGACCCACACCTGCAGATGATTTTGCTTTAATCTTTAAGAGACTGTACGGTTATTTATACAAATAATCAAGCAAATTTTATAATGAAATTAAAAAATTTTGAAATTTTTTTTCGAAGGATTGGAACGAATTCAAACACACTCAGTTAAGACTCAAATCCATTTGCCTTTAGCACCATGCGATATGGAGCCACCCTTTGAAGAGACAGCTTGAGAAAAACGGGCAGTATCCTCCTGATATTTGATGATGGGGATTCCAGTTTTAAAAAAAACATGTTTTAACAGCTCTTTGAAAAAGAAATGTTCGGAACAGAAGCTAGTCAACTGAAGGCAATTCTGCGCAAAAATACTCCAAAGGCTTATAGGCGGAGGGCTGTACAGAAGCTGCGTTATTGAAAATATCTTGACGTCAGGGCTCAGTTGGAAACCTTGGGTGTTTTCTTTGCTTAATGTTTAAAATAAACCGGGTTTTTCTACGGCCATTTACATATAAGGGTTAAAATTTTGCGTTAAGTATTAGCATGATTGGATTAAAATCCTATAAATTTAGTAAGTGCTAGTCTAAAAAGCCGGGTGAAAAAGGCTCGTCTTAAAGAAAGATTTTGATGTTTGTTTGATCTGAATATGTAATCGCGTGATTAAAATGTGTTATTAAGAACAGTGTTCTCTTACTCAACCAAAAAAAGCATTGACAGGGCCCACGCCACGAAAGTGGGGGGGGGGGAGCAGGGCTAGCAAAAGTATGGGGCAATGCTTCTTTCCCCTTTTACTGCAGCTTTAAAACCACTTGCTTCGCGCCGAACCGGCCCCCCAGTGGCGTGAGCCCTAAATTTCGGCACAGCAAACGGTCAGTTGGCAGTTACCGGTCAGTTGGCAGTTACCGGTCAGTTGGCAGTTACCGGTCAGTTGACAGTTACCGGTCAGTTGGCAATTACTGTTCAGTTGGCAATTACCAGTCGGTTGACAATTACCGGTCAGTTGGCAGTTACTGGTCAGTTGGCAGTTACCGGTCAGTTGGCAGTTACCGGTCAGTTGACAGTTACCGGTCAGTTGGCAATTACTGTTCAGTTGGCAATTACCAGTCGGTTGACAATTACCAGTCGGTTGACAATTACCGGTCAGTTGGCAATTACTGTTCAGTTGGCAATTACCAGTCGGTTGACAATTACCAGTCGGTTGACAATTACCAGTCGGTTGACAATTACCGGTCAGTTGGCAGTTACCGGTCAGTTGGCAATTACTGTTCAGTTGGCAATTACCAGTCGGTTGACAATTACCAGTCGGTTGACAATTACCGGTCAGTTGGCAGTTACTGGTCAGTTGGCAATTACCGGTCAGTTGGCAATTACTGGTCAGTTGGCAATTACCAGTCGGTTGACAATTACCGGTCATTTGGCAGTTACAGTTTAAAGGTGCATATTTGATAGAAAATCAAAACTGGATTTTATTTGTCCCGAAATCAAACAAAAGGTGATAAAATCACATAACGATAATCTCACCAGAAGTCATCTTTAACATGTGCAAAATTTTTGTGATCTCCAGCAATGGCTCAAAGTAACTTCCTTCTATCATTTTCTTCCATCTTGAACTTGGAGGGCCATGACACGCATAAGCACAACTCAACTAAGAATTAAAAGGGAAGAAATTATGCAATTTAGCACTTAAGTTCTGACTTAAATAAACAAAAGGATGCGCAACGGCGGAGTTTAGCAAAAGGCACCTTTAGCTTCCATAGAGTTCATTTTGGGAGTACCATAGAGATGATCTATTTTGTTACAAGAAGAACGCTTTTAGTAAAATAATGGATGCAGATTACAGTCACTGCCTACTGCTATTTTCATTTGGATTTAAAATAACCACACAATAAACCCAAGCGATTACACTCTAATTACTTGGTAGAATGGTAACTAAAAAAAGCAAACAAAATCGAGATTGGTTCAAGGACAGCGTTTGGAAATCAAAATTCTATGGCGAAGTTGTCACAAATAATTATGACGCTTGAAATAAATGCAAATCATTTAGATCGAATTGCTTCGCAAACACAACAACAAAATTAACCTTAGTTTAATTGATACAACGTCACGTCTGATCATATCTAAAAAATTTCAACGATATAGCCACCAAAATCTCCTTTAGAACTGCAAGTTTTCACAGATGTTGCTTATTCGCTTTTATCCATTCTGATGTTTTTCAATTAGGTATTTTAACATTAAACATTTTGTATTCCATAATTTGTTACAGCATATGAATTTTTTTCATACAATTTTCTATTCGTTGAATTCTAAAATCTTTTGGTTTATAGAAAAGAACGGTTCTACTCCGAGCTCATCAGCCAACTGTCTCATGATCGCAAAAAGCGTAAAACTCAGTGTAGCATCCTACAATCTGGGACACAAATAGTTGGGACTTTTCAAGTAAAGTTGATATTTTTCTCTTTCCTTTGAATAATAACTTTTCCCTCCCCCAAGTCAATGTTAAATGCATGCTTTTGAAGAAGAAATGACAGAACTACAAATCCGACATTGATTCTGAGGGAAAGGGGGTATTCGAACTTACAGGAGCAACGTAAAGTATATAGTTGCAAAAATGAATGACAAACCCAGATGACGTCACATGCTTATATCACTTTTGCCGATCCTAAAACGAGCTCACGGTCCTTAACCTCGTATACCGCATCTTGACCTCGTAGACGGAAATGAAATATTTTTTTTAAAACCCTACAAATAAATGAAAACCGATTTTACCTTTTCTGCATTTTCTTCTAATTCTTTTGCCTTTTCAACTATACCATTAATTTGTTGTATAACAGCTTCGAGATCCTCTGGTACATCATCTTTCGCTTCATTTCCATTTGCCAGATGCTCAGTCTTCGAGGTATCAGATTCGTCGTGGGCGATGCCCAAAACGCGGAGAGAAAGACAACGAAATCGAATCCATAATACCTACAAGGAGAACGAATCACTAAAACACGTATAGAAGTGTATTAGAAGCGCTGTTCCTTATCTAATTGAAACACGCCAGAAGCTGCTTTCGTGTATTTTTTTCTATAACACTCAAAACAAATACAAAACTCAAATTAATTATTGTGGAGGTGGAGGCAAAAACATAACGTTATCGAGTTGCCTCCACACCAAACATTACAAATATTCCTATACTTGAAAAAATTCACCATAAATACACTTTAAATACACAATACAACACAGCACAAAATAGCACAATACAGTACAATACAACACAATACACCACAATACATCACAGTACTGCACAATACAGCACAATACAGTACAATACAGCACAATACTACACAATACTGCACAATACATCACAGTACTGCACAATACAGCACAATACATCACAGTACTGCACAATACAGCACAATACAGTACAATACAGCACAATACTACACAATACACCACAATACATCACAGTACTGCACAATACAGCACAATACAGTACAATACAGCACAATACTACACAATACTGCACAATACATCACAGTACTGCACAATACAGCACAATACATCACAGTACTGCACAATACAGCACAATACAGTACAATACAGCACAATACTACACAATACACCACAATACATCACAGTACTGCACAATACAGCACAATACAGTACAATACAGCACAATACTACACAATACTGCACAATACATCACAGTACTGCACAATACAGCACAATACATCACAGTACTGCACAATACAGCACAATACAGTACAATACAGCACAATACTACACAATACACCACAATACATCACAGTACTGCACAATACAGCACAATACAGTACAATACAGCACAATACTACACAATACTGCACAATACATCACAGTACTGCACAATACAGCACAATACATCACAGTACTGCACAATACAGCACAATACAGTACAATACAGCACAATACTACACAATACACCACAATACATCACAGTACTGCACAATACAGCACAATACAGTACAATACAGCACAATACTACACAATACTGCACAATACATCACAGTACTGCAGAATACAGCACAACACAGCACAATACAGCATAATACTACACAATACAGCACAATACTGCACAATACAGTACAATGCAACATAATACAGCACAATACTGCACAATACAGAACATTACAGCATTATACTGCACAATACTGCAAAATACAGTACAATACTGCACAATACAGTACAATGCAACATAATACAGCACAATACGGCACAATACAGAACAATACAGCATGAACTGCACAATACAGGACAATACAGCACAATGTATACATCATCGTGACAGTTCTGGACCATAGAATTCAATCTACCAGATATAGCAGCCAACGGCCATAAAGAATTTATTGAAATCGTTTAGTTTGCCTGACGAATTCAACGGTGCATTTCAGTATAAATTCGTTTGCATTCTCAATGTAAGCATCACGTGTTTGCTAACAGTGAAGAGGAACAAGCACAAATCATTAAAAATAACTTGCTTAATACGGTTATCAAGTTTCTCGTTTCTGCTTAAACTTTGGATTTTCTCTAGTCATAGAAATCTCTTTCTTTGACTTGAAGATCGCTAGCGTACTTCTCCTTATCATCAGACCTTGAAACGTAGGCAACAATCGCATGCAATTAGTCTGTATTAAAAACTACATCCAGGCATATATCAAAAACAATAAAATATCTAACGAGCAACTTAGATTGAAATTTTGATAAGCTTTGCACAAAACGTTCAGGAATTATTGTGCGGAAAATTTTCAAAGTTCGTTAATATTCCTTTACGGGTTCAAAAATTTCATTTCCACATGTAGCATATTCAAATTGAATTTGCCATTCATTCGCGTTTGAATTCACTTCTCTGTGAATACTGTCTTCAGAGCTTGCGCCATCAAGCAGAAGAGCCAGTATTATGTCATAAAATAAACAAATATCCGGATTCGTGGATCTTCACGATATTCAGCTTTGGCGCAAATTAAAAAAATTCAAAACTAGAATGCAAACTCCTTAGGTAACGTTTTCGATGACGTATTTGTCGAACATGTGTGGGAGGAAGCCGAATCCGTTAGAAAAATTTGCTACCGATGGGTATGTATGTGTACTTGTTACAAATCATGATAATGTAGAATAATTCTATAAGGTATCTTCAAAGATAGTCTGGTTGTGGAGCCGGTAGCTGCGGGTCACTCATAAACTGTTTAGATATCCTAAGAACAAAATCATTAAAAAGAGCGAGCTCAGTATCAAAATGGTGAATGAGAAAGCAAAAAAGATGGTTGTTTTGAGCTCTAGAATTTTTGTGCTTAATTAAAAAAAAACTAAGGCGACATAAATAGTGAAAAACCACACGCTATCATTTTCGGTGATATACTTATTTTTCAGCCTTTTTCAATAAAAATATATAGGTTGGAATGGCCATTATCCTAGCGAATATAATACCTACCTACGTTTAAATGATAGAACAAAACAAAACATTTATAACAAGTAAAACATTCCCAGGAAAGCATAGGAGCTTCTTTTTCATGGAATACAGTAAAAACCCGCATAAAAGAAATTCATTTTCTCGGATCAGGCTACCAGTTCTCATACATGGGAAATTTTTTTAAAAAGGATAGTAAAAATGGCAAGAAAACAAAAAAATCAGGAGCCTTAAAAAGATATTAGTTGGTAGGGTGTGTTCCAACCTACACTCCGTTCTGATTTTTCATACCCTTGAATTAGATAGTGTAGGCATGAATTCAAATCACTATGACACAGATAATGAAAAGTGCGCTTCAAAAAAAACTAGTTGAAACATCTCTCACGCAGAGATTCTCGACGTGATGTAAGTTATTCTTCAAATCTATTGACATTAAATAATTTAATTGAATAGACAACTCTGATTTGTGCAGATCTAACTTTCTGCTTTTGAAAATTTTATATATTTTTTCTAACTATAAAATATAAATAGTTGTTCAATATAAATATAAAAGAGTTGTTTATAGAGAATCATCATGAAAATCACCCTCGAGTGACTGAGGCCATCCTCTGTAAATATTTGTATTATTATTATTTTTATTATTAATATAAATGCTTCAGTGCATCAAATCATATGTTGATGAAAGTTTACTTGCCTCTAAAGCAAATGATTGTTGAATATGTTCTTTAGTCGGTTTCCTAGAGAAAATGAAAAATATATATCAGTCTCTAAACGGTGCTAAAATCTTTTACAGAGCATCCTGTCCAAAAAACCCGTCCTGTGAAGTTCAAACTAAACTTAATTAAAAGATCCCTTAAAAGAACAGCTTTTGATAAACACTGGCTTGCTTGCACCCCTATCACCGTATTGTTTTTCTTTCCTTGGAAACATTTATCAGTGAAAGTTTACTTTCTATATAGAATGTCTGAATGCAGGTTAAAACAGAAGATAATCTAATTGTAATGATTTAGAAACAAAAAAATTTTCGAGGAGAGGCAGGTAGTTTTTGCTGAACTCCTACAATAAGGTGTATGTGTGTATATATAATTCGCCACACAAAAAGTATTTACAAGTTATAAAAGTTAAAAAGAATATAATACAATAATTTACATTAAAAACAAAAAGATAGACAACCCTAATTTCAGGGGCATTAACAGGTCTAGCTGACCTTACTTCCATGATGCTCCCCTTAAAGGTATTGGTTTATCAGGAAAAAGAAACGATGAGAAATAGGATGACACAGGATTTTTTTACTGCTGTTAATTACAAGAAATTTGTTAATTTAAGGTAATGAATACTAATTCCTAAAATTTTCATCAAATTAAAAGTGGTTGACAGAGCAAAAAATGATAAAAGGGGGCAAAACATTCCACGTTTCAAGCCTATTATAAAATGAATTCATTTTTCAAATAAAAATTTGAACAATTAAACGCTTTAACGCTTTAAAATAAAAATGAGTAAGGGCAGGGTCACTATCCCAAAAGCAAAAAGAAGGAGGTTTTGCTGTCTGGAGGTTTTGTAATTTGACTTGGCGATGACATTGTCCGAAGGTAACCTAAACTCAATTAAATACATTGTCTGAACACTAAAGATGAAACATTCCTAACCATTCTGGGTAACAGAAAAAATAGCATACAGAGTCTGGTTCTCTTTAGTTGATAATTTGGTTATTCAGAAGTCAATAATTAACGTGAATATCATTTACAAAAATGAATGTGAACATCCAGGATCCATTCCTAGTGGTCTCTAAATGATTGCTGAACTGCCAGTGTTTACAGGCAAAAAAGTCCCAGAAAACAGTAGATAGCTCATACTAAGTAAATCGAATCAAATTTATCGATAATTTATCAAAACCATGTTTGATAAAATTCGATTATTTTCAACATCCCTTGGTCGGTTCCGAGTATGAAATTTCACGCTCGTTTGATGTGATCTCAGAGAGTATTACTGGATTCTATGATAAACAGCGTTGCTTTTGTGGGTGTGTAACAGATAAAATCATAGATTAGTAAGAAACAAGCGTAAATACCTGCAAGGAGTTCCATAGTAGTTAAGTACGTTGAAGTCTCTGTTGTCCAGGAGACCATCGAAATGATTTGCTATTGAAGGATATGTGAGTCGTTACAAAGATCCTGCTCGCAGCACAGGACTAAAGTTATTTGTGAAGGAGAGGATTTGATACGAGTTCGAGGTACGCAATGAGATCGTAAGGATGACAGGTAAAGCATTTATTTTTAGGTCATAAGGAAACAAGAGAGGCGGCAAACAAGCTCGCCTTCAGACGTAAGAGGTAAAATCTAACATTAATTTATGAATCAATTTTTGAGACGGGAAAACGGCATGTTGTTGTTATAATTTAGTCTAGACTGAATGAAATAATTGCATTTTGTGGTACCCTTGTGGAGAATGAAAACAGGTTACATAAGGCCATTGCCGGATGTGATCTATCGATATCATCAAAGTTAATTTGATTTGTGCTACCAGGGCCTTTGAAAAGATGTACAGAAAGCAAATTGGGGGTAACAGATTAAATAACATTACAGATCCAGAAAGGAAGGGAAGATCAAGAATCGGAAATAGGTGCATAACACAAAATGGATCAACAAAGATTTAAGTAGAAGAGAGGTGTTTGCAAGGTAAAGATGTAAGAGGATATAAATCACAATTTCCAAACTTCAAAAAATTAAAGTAAGAAATAGCGAAATAAGTAGAGATTGGTGGTTTTAAGTTTTTTAGATGGTAAATGTTTATAGTAGGATAAAGTTTATCTGAGTGTTTATAAACCAACAAAGAGGACTTCACATGAAATAAAGTTATTGAGATTTCAACATTCAATATGAGAGGTACAAACAAATGAAGAAAAGTCACTGCATGTCTGTGTTGAAAATATCTGAAGATCAGTGAACGGATTCCTATATTCTTTAACCCGAGCACATGCATAATGATTCAAGTCACCCGGGTCAAAGCATAAAAAAATTATTTCATGAAGACTGGCAAAATTAAAATTTTCATTGTGTCTGTGGACATGAGCTTGAAATATTAATGACCCTAGGAAGGATAAAGATTATGACTTGAAAACGTACTGAAGATAACGAAAATCAGACACTATGATAAGATAGTAAACTTTACACTTCAAATCTGCCTTTTGAGCACTTAAAACTGTAAAACCAACAAAATTGGTAAAGCAAAAAGATGAAAATAGCAATCAAGATTGATTTTACATACGAGAGGCTGGACATGAAAACAGAAGACTCCCGTCTTTAATCATCTGTTTAGCTTCCTCAAAACTAAAAAACAAATTGAGAAGGACTGGAAAAAAGTTTTCAAAATAAAAAACAAGTTTCGAAAAACCTAAGAATGCTTAAGCAGTGTATAAAAGACAATATTTAAGTCTGTTTGATATAAAATATATAATATACTTCAATTGTCGGTTAAATAAATGTGTGCATAATCGTAAATTCTATACAACTTCTTTAAATGGCCAATAAGAATTCTCTGAATTGAGTAAATCTTATAAAGGAGCAAACTTATTCTATGATTAATTTCAAAAAGCAAACCAAATGCTGTAACTTTAGGTAGTTATGGTCGTCATAAGAATTTGGGATAAAAAATGCCAAGCAACAAAGGTTTGTAACAACAAAGGACATTTCTTGGTCAAAAGCAGAGTAAATTATTACCTGTTTGCCTGCTGAAGCAAATCAAGATGGCGTTTTTCAGACAGAACCAGAGTTAACTGGACAGAAGTATTCAGACGATCTCTAAAAGCAATCATCTCAGGAATCTAAGGAAAATAAAAGAGCTCAATTATTTATGGTGTAAATGCTTGATGTTAATAAACCATTCAAACTAAAGCATTAGATAAGAAAGCGAAAGAAAACAGACGCACAGAAATTACGAATTACTTGAAAATAAAGGAGAAATTTGAAAGCCAAAGGCAGTATATGCATTATTGGTAGTAGGCAAGAGCTTAAACTTTATAAACGCTGCTCTAACTTGTAATCACTACCACATGTAATAACCGAAAACAGAAGATAGCGATGGTATGGGAGAATATGGCTCAGATCTTGATCGGCTGAGAATTCGCGCTAAATCACGTGGCCTCTCTCGCCGCTTAGCCAATCACAACAACGGAAAGTGTAAACAAGCTTAGGCCAAAGCCGAAAAATGGGCATTTTTACCAACCTCCGTTAACAAAATAACGCGTAAAATTTGCTTGCGGGCGCATTTGCGTTCTTAAGAAATGGGCAGGCCGTAGAAATCCCAAAGATCTGGCTACGGCAAATTGCTTAAAATGAATTCATCAAATTTTGTATGACATGTATATAGAATTATTGGAGTGCACCTATTGAGAAAAGCAACCTCTGGGGCAGAGTAAAATAGAGCAAAGAGTTGTCATCAATCTATCTGCATATCTGGAAAGACATTTAATTTATCTGGTCTCGGCTTTATTATTAAACAAGATTGAAAACAAAGTTGTTGCAAATAGCAATTCACGCAGATAACTACTTCCTATTTTTCGATGAACTATTTATCAAATAAATGGACAAAGCCAATTGAATTTTCGGTATCATGATTTTTTCTGGATTACTGCTTGAATGCATAAGTTGTTTCATAACAATCCTTAAAGTTCTTCTTGTACTCAAGGAGAGACTCGTACTTAAACAAACGTACTAAAACAGAAAATTCCAGCGATATTCAATTACCTTAAAAAAGTATTGAAAAGTCCTCGAAACTTCGAAGTGGAAGATTTTGAAACATATATTTCTTTATTTCTCATTCAATACGGACGACTAATATTTCCACAAAATTTCACAAGATATTGTTTATGTTATGAACATTTTTGGGTACGCCAAAAAATTCGGAAAGATTAGCCGTAAAAGTTCTCTGTAGGCCTTGAAATATTTGGTTATTAAAAATGAACAGATAACTTACAAGAATCTGTTAGAGATCGTTTTCTACTAGAATAGCAAGAAAAGTTATCGAAAAACGGAGCTTTTGCTGTGTATAAAAATTATTCCGCATAAGAACTGTGAAAAATCCACAAAAGGTTATTAGACCAAAGACGTTTGTAATGACATGAATGTCTTATCTGCGAAAACTGAAAGTCGTTTAAAAGAGCTTGAGTTGAACAATTACTTAAAAAGATAAGTTTCAAGTTGCCTAAGCAAAATATGCCAGTTATAACACAAAAAATTAACCATAGCATCGAAAGTGTTATTCCAACTAGTAAAAAATTTTTGAGGATATTAAGGCCAAGATTTCATACAGAAAACATTGCATGTATCTGGAAAACGTTCCGATGCAAAACCTAAGCAATCACAACGCCATAATTCTTTTATCAACATAAGTGACATTATCACATAAATGGGTCCTGCTGGGTAAAATTATAGCAAAATATAATGGTGGCAAAAGAAAGCAAGCAATCTATCGCTTCAGAAATTTTAACGAAAGAACAGCCAAACGCTTCATTAAATCAATCGTATAAGGAGGGAACGAATTTGAAAGCTCAATATTATGAAGTTGCGATTGGGGAAGGACGTAAACACGTGCTCAGTGAAGGCCTTGGAAGGGATGTTTTAAGGCAGACCTTGGAAGAGAGGTTTAAAGGCGGACCTTGGAAAGGAGGTTTAAAGGCGGACCTTGGAATGGAAAGGTAAAGGCAGACTTTGGAAGGTAGCCTAATGCATACCTTGCGAAACGCCCCATATCTGTAGGCGGCCACTATCTGCTCTGGTGTCTACAATTACAAAGTAAAATGAAAACATTATATAATCGAAAAACATTCACATCAATTATAACAACATTCGTCCTTCGTGCAAAAATCAAACCGAGACACCATAAAAGTTAAAATAGTATTATCTAGTTTATGAGATTTAGCATTGGATATTTTTAGCAAGACTGGATTTTCGCATTTAAGATCTGCAACAAACGAAATCTCTAACCCAATCATCGAAAACAAAAATGGAAACACATTTGGCATACTCACATCCTTCTGATTTGCGTGGAAAAACTTCAAAGTGGCAGAATAAAACGTCGATGCAGACTGAAAATGGCACAATGGTTGCTCAAATCGTGTTATTTTATATCTGAAAAAAGAAATTTCTGAAATAACAACTTTTTTGGCGTCACTGTAATGCTGAAAGTTGAACTCACTTAAATTTAAGCGAACGACAGGTGTAAAAACCTTCGAAAACGGAAGATAATCAATACCTTAAGGCTCATTAAGAGCCGTTTTGAATGCTGAGTTGTGGTATATGATGCATCATTTTTGGTATAAAGTAAATAAGATAGGAAGATTTCATCTTTTTGGTCCCAGGATTTGATTACGATTCGATGCGGTTAAAGGTTCACTGTTCGCAACTTGTGAAAATGACAGCTTGCGTATTGCCATGTAACAAAAAATTAGATTTTGCACAAAAAAATAACAGACATGAAACTTCCTTTCTTTGCCCTTCTGTTAGCCTATGGCCTACCACATATTTTTGTCATTTAGGAGGAATTTATCGTTTGAAAATAAAATATTGCATCTTTATTGTTAAATTTTCAAACTCCCCCCTCCCCCCTCTAACTAATTGCGCATCTACAAAAAGCATAAGTCCGGGTTTAGACGCGAGTGGAAATAATGAGAAAAAAAGGTTGGTTGCAGAGGAAATTTACAGCATAAAAACAAAACAGGTTTTGAGTGGAACTAACCCTAATGTATCTAACATAATATACTTGATCTCAAGCTCTTCGCCTATCTTTAAGCACGGCCCAAAAGCACCTAAAACGAGTAAAGGTTAAACAACTTGAAATTAACAAATGAATCGATCAACAAAAATCTTTGTTTTGCGAATCTTAAGGAAAGATAATATTTTAGAACTTTTATACGAAACAAATCCATAAACAAACTTTATCTGAAAATTTAGATAGGGTTATGCGCCAGTACAGGAATAAATGGAGCAAATATTCGAAGTAAAATGTCACAAGTGAACGTCAAGGACCTTATTAAAAGACCTGTTCTCATCAGAGAATAGCAATTTCAACATGTCTGACATTTCTGCCAGCTTTGAGACACCTTGTCACTAAAAATTAAGCACCTTCCCCTTATCACTCTCACCAATCAAATTTAATAAAAGGCTGATAAATACTATGATTTCTCAAGTAACTCAGCAGTGACATTTGAGATCAGTATTAGATTAGATTTAAAGATACAGAAATTCTACGGCCTTTAACAACCCTCGATCATCTCACCTAGACTACAGTAAATTGCCATCTTTAAGACTTTGAACTCGTGGTTTGACGGGCTAGTTCGAGAGGCTTCTTCAAGAATCAAGAGTATATGCCATACCATTGCTTGCGCTTCTGATAAGCCAAAAGAAATATAAACCGTTAATTGTTGGACTATACTTCCTTCTTCAGTTAAGTATAAGAAAGAAAATATATCTTCTCATACTATTATTTATTCGAGAAGCAAAGTCTCTGGTTTGATCACTGCCTGTATAAGGACTGAATAAAAAAGCCAAATAATTTAATGAAAAGGATCAAAGGTTTAGGGTTATCGAGGTGCTTTGATGGTTGTCTGTAGTAGAAAAAATATGTTATCCTTAAGCTAAAAACCAACTAACTACAACGTGTTCCGTACCAGGTACATTGATTGGGTCACCTACCAACCCGGATGTAGGTGTTTCAATGTACAGGCGATGGCGATGGGCGCGACCCTCATCGTCGGTGAACATTTGTTTGCCCTAGCGTTTCCACTGGTACTCATTTACCGACCTCGAAAAGATGCAGAGCTGAGTTGGCTCTGCTGTGCTAGTGCTTTAGATCGATGGTATAACCTGACTGGGAATCGAACACAAGTCGCTTGCCTGGTAGCTCAACGGGCTATTTATTGAGCCACATCCTTAAGCGGAAAGTATAAAAAATCGCCTTAATGAAAACACAAGGTTTTTGATCAATTAACAGAAAATTAAGGCAGCTCGAATTTGAGCATTTAGCAAACGAATCAATTGAAGTTGCTGCTCTTTTGACAAAATACTTCCTGAAAACCCGCTCGTCTTCAGGCTTTCCATATCCATCTCTACCAAACTACAAAGCATAACTCAAAGCAGACTTCCATTGAAATGCAACACAAGCAACACACATCAAAATGCACTACCAAAAGTGGTAAATGCCACATAAAAATAAAGAATAGCACCTTGCTTGTTAGGTATGTCGATGAGAAGATACGCAGCCAACAGAGCAAGTGTATCCACGGGTTGAGTATCTGTAGGCAGGTAATCTCTCCCTGAAAAACGAATTTTATTAACAACATTTAGCAATATCGTTTAGAAATCAGTTTTTCTTTCAAAATGAAAAGCAAATAGCTACAAAATTTAGCATAAGCTCCACCTCTCACATAACACATGCCTCTTATTTACATATTTGTTATATTTATTTTCATTTTAACTATCATTTTAACCCAGCTCTCCAGAAAACTAAAGCAAAGAGCAGATCTAGCAATACTGCTCTATAGTATCATATAAAATGTCTACCAAAATTACTTGAAAGACGAAGCAATTTGCGTTGAGTTTTTACATTTTTCATTTCTTTCCCGAATATTACTACTTTCGTGCACACCCCCCTCGTGCACACCCCCCCCCCAACAATGTTGACAGTTCAAGTAAATATCATACAAGTCGCACTAAACAAAGTATTTCCTCATCTCTTATATAGTTTTATAGGAAAAAACATTGTTCCCAGGGGGAGAGGGGGTGGCTGAATTTGGTTTTGAGAAGTGAAGTTAGGGTTCCAAGACTTTAGGCGGGGACAGGTACAACAGCCTCTGTCCTTTCTTCTATTGTTTTGGGAACCGCTCCAAAAAGTCCTTTGACTTCCAGTTTTCGATATTTGAGAACATAGCAACAGTGATCGTCAATCTGATTAAGGTCACCTTTTACGTATGCTACTTCAGAGGCTAAATCTCTATTTAAAGATAGTAAGAACCTTGTTTCTTTGCACGTTTTACATTAGAATCATTTAAACGGAATTTCTGACCTTGAGAAAATCCCCAAAAGATTACAGAAAACCGGATATAGTAATTGGCTACAAATTTTTCCTGGAAACCGAAACACTAATAGCTACCCATGCTGTTTAAATCCCGTTAGAAATTCTCACATTAGTTATAAATAGAGAAAACAGAGAAATGATTGTTCTTAAAAAGTCTACCAGGGGATTAACCGTATTTCCGACGATTAAAACTCTAGCTTTTAATAACCTTCGTGGCTTATTTTGAATAGGAAACAATTGTGAGAATACGTAGAAAAGAAAGGGACGATTCTTTAAACGCGCTAAAAGTAGCAGAAAATAGATTGACATCTCAAGCCAGCCGAATCAAGAGCAGACTGTTAATGCCGATTTGAAAATAAATCTCTTAGGCATCATAGAGGTAGATTTAGGGTCAGTAGCTTACGCACTCTATCTATTTTTCTATCATACTTATACAGAAATTTGAAATCTCTTTTTCTTGCTTTTTGTTAATGTAAAATTTGTCAAACCTTGAGCAAGAAATAAAAGCATATTTGCACGCTAACAAGAATCGAGAATGCAGTAAGATTTGTTTTTGAAAAAAGCAAACATTTGAGTAAACTAAAGCTATTCGTCTAACACGTTCTGACGTTTTAAACTCTGAAGATTTTCAGACGAAAAGCTTTAGTTTACTCAAATATTTGCTTTTTCAAAGCCATTTTAAGGTTTTGTACCACCAAAAGATTATTAAGATTTGTTTATTAATTAGGTTTTTAAAATTAAATTCTAAAGAGGGAGGTATGAAATATCTGCATTTTTACACTGGACAATACCACTTAAGACTATACTTTTACACTATACTATTACCTCAAAACTACTTCTAGGCCCTAAAGACTATATTCAGTCTATTACGGCCACGCCTCAATTCAAAAAGTTCAGCAAATGCTTAAAAATATTCCTTGCGATAGTATAGAGCCCAGAAATCCTGTCAAATCTTCATTTCATTACTTCCGTTAATGCTTAGAAGTAACATAAAGTTTTTTTAAAAGAATCCCGTGACGTGATTCGCTGGACATTACCTTTGCCTTGAATAACCTTTTTAAAAAGCCATTTTTAAGAACTTAACAAATTTTGAATTGGTGTTGATAATAATTTAAAAAAATTTGCAATGGAGCATTAATTTGGCTTAATTTATCGAAAATTAACAGACGTTCAAATGAAGTAAAAACCTGAATTCAAATTTAGTGTTCAAGGTGACTATGAAGGACCAGAAACAAACAAATTTTGTGAAAAAGTCTAAAAAGACAGCAAAGTGAGATACCGGACAGAGATGACATACAGTTAAAAAATGATACCACAGCTGAGAGAGATACCGGACAGAAATGACATACAACTGTAAAACAATACCACAGCCGAGAGAGGTACCGGGCAGAGATGACATACAACTGAAAAAAAGATCCAAAGCTGAGAGAGATACCGGGCAGAGATGACATACAGTTGAAAAACGCTACCATAGTGAATGCATTCCTTGTGTTTCTTCATTAGCTCCTTTGCTTTTTCCAGCCGTTCTTTCGAGGAAAGATGGTCATGTAAACCCATCCTTCTTTCGACACATTCCTTACAAATGAATCTCTGTAACGTCTTGATCTTGTAAAAAAAGAAATTGGTAGAGTAAGCCAGTTACAAGAAAAAGAGATTATAATGGACGAACTGCAGCAGTCTCAGGCGAAAACATGGTATCTGAAAAGCTTAACGACAACGAAATCTAAATTATCAATTATTCTTCTAGAAAATAATTGTAGAAAACACGGGAAAGCAGAAACAGAGCATACTTAAATACTACGGTACCAAAATAATACTGAAAAACAAACTGTATTCATCACCTATATACACATACAGCATTTCAAACATACAATCCTAATTAAAAATGCAGAAAGGTCTAAGAACCAATAGAAATAAATTAATAGAAGCAATAGAAGACTTTCAGAGATTAGCTTCTTAAAATCTATGCTTCATTTTTTTTCCAGAAAAACAAATCTCACAAAAAGGGTGGAATTTTTATGGCAAGAAATCGTGGATTACCTTCTCAGAATTTGAAGACTCCTCCGGAACATCACAAGTTCGTTCAGCCATCAATTTTGCTAGCTATTAAAAGTAGTAAAATGATAATAGTTTAGAATATGAATATAAATAAAAAACTTTCCTTGCTCTATCGCAACTTGACAAAGGCATAATCTAAAAATTCTTTCAGCAATTTTAAAATCATAACAGAAGCATTACAGCAAATTGATATACTTTGCTGCAATGAAGATGCAAGGCAAATATAAACTACATATTGGCAGGACATAGCATTTTATGCCTCGTCTTTGAGGAACAGATAAACCTGGTGTGGTTAGGCCATGTTCTGCAACAAACGTAAACCAGAGAGATACTTGCTTCTGGTCGCTTGTCCCCAGTAAGAAGGTCTATGTAGGGTGAGACATCACCAAAAAAGCAGTTGTGTGATCCAAATTTGTCAAAATATACCACAATTTGTTTAAGCAGTTCGTCTTGACAATCTAAAACAGTAAATCAAAACTGATTCTGAGGATACAGACGTCAAGTTGTATAAGAAAAAGACAATCATATCCGTTGATTACTAGAATCTTTTTAACAAAAGAGGAATAAAGTTTTGGATTTTCACCAAAAAGAAGAAATGGCAAACGTTGTTCGGCCCTGATCAAACTCTGGATTATATTGAAAACAATAATTTGGATAACTTAAATCTGAAGATAAATTTATATTGTCATTTGCTAACTCAAAAGTCATAATGAACACAAACGCATATATGTCGAACGACTTTTCCCTTCAAACAAGTTAAACATCCTAGATTAGATGCCTTATTAGCCCTAATTACTGCAGTAACTTCATCATGTAAGAATGCTATCTAGTTTCGTGTACTCATGTTTCCCCTCATATTATTGATATCAATTTAGACTTGAAATAAAACGTAATAGGGCTAATTGTTCACTTTCCAATAGTTTACAACATAGCACAGAAAAAGTTTTTCACATACTTATATCGTTTGTATGACAAGCAAATCTAAAGAAAACAGAGTTGAAATGGAGCCATGTATCTAGGTGACTGAAAGATGACTTGATTGACAGATGACTTGACTGACAGATGACTTGATTGACAGATGACTTGACTGACAGATGACTTGACTGACAGATGACTTAATTGACAGATAAGTTAAGTGAATTTAGTGTTTGTTTGTTGCCTTTTATATTCGAAAACCTTTTGTTTATCACATATTTTTAGAGCTTCCAGATACAAAGTGACAATTAGGCTAGAAGCACAACTCACAAAAATATTTACCCTTTTTGCTTCGATCCATCCTTTTCAGTAGCTCCAGCCTGGCTAGGTATGGTCCTCGTAAGCTGGGATTAGCAGCCAATTTCTCGTTTAGAAATGACTGCACTTGTTCTAAATTATAATCAGCAGACGACCTGCAATGGACAGCGTTTGAAGAAGCAATATACACAATTTCAATAAAGTAGCACAATAAAATACAAACGATGCCACAGCTTATAATAAGGTGTGAGCTCTAAATAACACGGGTGGTGTAAATTCGATAAAATAGGCTGCTTGTATTAGCTCATGTCTACATCTATAGTGGCCTCCTGAAAACTAAACCTGAGCCATGACTGTGCAAAGAAAGGCGAAAATGTCTTATCCTTCATGTCTTATATATGTAAAAGCACGAATCCACTGCATATTTTAAAAAATGACCTTCTCAAGTACAAATAGTGAGGCGAAGGTCTATTAAGGTCCATAAAAGTAACACCAAACATTCACTTACAAGGAAAAAAATATGTCTGTCTGCTAGAGGGTGTTTCAAAAATAAGAATGTTATTCCCAAACCTGTTGTCGCATTGCTCATCTGCCGGGTTCGTTTTTATCAATTCAAATGCTGAGTCAAGATACCCGACGTAGTACCACCATTGGTCCGGCCTGCAATAAACCGAAAGTTTTATTATTCCGAGTAACTGTTAAAGATTACTTACTGTTAAGTATTACTAATGAAATATATACCTTACAACTCGATTATGTTTATAGGACAAGTATCCAACAGTAATAAATATAAAATAGCGAATTCTAGGTCAGAAGAAAAACATGTTCTGCATACTTAAGGAAATTTAAGATCGCGAAAAAATACTTTCCGCTTAACAAAGGAAAAATATTCAGTTACATTTGAATCTAGAAGTAATGCACCCTTAGTAAAGATAAGTCAGAAAATTCGTGGTCAGTGGCCACAAAACTGACGAAAAGCCAACATCACTAAGAGCAAGCTCCCTCTTTCTACCCGCGTAAAAATAGAGAGAATGAAGATATGGAGAAGGAAAGCAAGGGGCACAAAACGAATGAATTGGCTGTGGGATAGATGAGGCAAGACTTAAAATAGTCTATGACTGAGAGACGTAGAGAAGAGTGACTTGCGACCAAATGTAACAGAAGGAGATCAATCACAAGAAGAATGGAAGAAGATTCAAAGTACATATGCAGCTAGGGGGATTGGTGGGCTGTAATGCTGAGCTCGTTGGAGTAGCAATGAACACCTATATTTCCATTTTTTTGTTTACCATAGAGGCAGAGAAGTAGATAATGCAGATACATTACGATCCAAGACAAGAAATACTACGGAAATACATCAAAATGCAATATGAATTAGACAAACACCTTTCCGTGTCTAGCGAAAATCATTTTCTTACCTTTCCTCTAATAACTTCTTGTACATCGAGTTTACTTCAGGCCACTTTCCCATCTTCTCGAGATACTTGACCATTATGACATCTTTTTCATTTATCAACAATCCTATGCTCCCTGCAATGAAAACAAACGATCGAAATCAATGTCATTGCCGGTCAGTAAAACTAGAAATAAGCAAGCTGCCAAAAACCCCATACTCTCGTGCCGTGTGCTTGTGCTCTGAATGGAGAACCATCCGTAGATACATAAAACAGACAATTTGTTTTCTCCGGTTCCCTGATCCTTTTCTAAAGATGCACCAAGTAGACGCACTCGAACCTCTATCTGACCCATTGCCAAGCAGAGATTCAAAGAGCAAGTTCTCATGTCAGTTAGCATTCGCTAAAATATCTTATCTAACTTAGCAATATTATTCTTTATTGCTGTTGCAGTGGTCAATGAAAAATGTCTCATATTATCTAAAAGTAAATTTAGGCCCACATGCATACACACTGGACAAGGCACTGACATAAAGCACAGTAGCGAGGATCTGGCGAAAAACCAATGCAATGGTGCACACCATGCGCAAAAGGCACTAGACAAGGCACTACACAGCACATTGGTACACAGATCTGGAAAAAAACTCTTGGTATAATACACTGGCGCACAGCATTGAATGTTCCAAGATTCCTTCAAAAAGGATGGCGAAATGCAATCTCTGTTTTATAATATATTATTTTTCGAGGGGATAAAGATTTTGAAAATATAATTCACATAGAGCTTTAAGTCACTATCGCTTAAAAATAAAGACTTCTGTTTTCGGCTAGGAATTATAAAAGGTTTGTTTATAACGGAAGTCTTCATGAAATTTTGTATATTGGCGAATGATAATTTGTAACTGCAGTCTGGGTGTTGGATATATTGAGCTGCGACCACAACCCACCAACATCCCCCCCCCCCCAAAAAAAGCCACATTGTCCATCTTCAAACAGCTTTGCGTCTCGGAGATAAAATTATTAAATTTTAGGAATATACTCCTTGGAAAAAGATCCTTTGGTCCTGAAATGACTATATGCACTTCACAACAAGCAGAGAAAACCAAGAACAGCCTGACTCTTAAATCAGTCAGCATTTCAATGCGGGGTTTTCTGCATTCTTGGACAGAGCTATATTCTAGTAAACGCAGAAGACATATTCAACTTTGATTAAGGGAATCATCCACAAGATCAGTTGCTTTCCAAACTATTTGGAACTAGGTTACTTTCTCAGCTGGCGTGTTATTTTGTTTAATTTAATCATTTCATAGAGAAAACCTTCGCGAGAAATCATTGACAGTATCAGGCATATTAATAAAGGATTGTGATAGCATAGGAAAATCAGAATGACACTTGCAGCATCGAATTGAATGAAATACCATCTGACTGTTCTACGACGTACATATCCAATTCCACAAAATTATCATTGCAGCTGTGTTCTGTTAAAGGGCCGCCTTCATTCACAACTTACTTGGTAGTTGACTTAGACTCGGACTTAATTTTAGACTGATTTGGCTGTTGTTCTCTACGACTAAGACACATATTAAAAATGGATGAAACAAAATCCCATTCCAGGAAATCATGATAAGACCCGGCCGGACGAGGAAAAAATGAAAATACAACCAAACCCAAAAAAAGACAATCAGTGATAGATTATCGAAGATCAAGGTACAACAGCTTGGCAAACAGAAGGTCGTTTGGTCGGATCAAAGACCAACATATGATGCACAGTTGGGCTTTAGTGAATATTTATGATATATTAAATTACTAAGTATAATAGGAGCTTAGTAATACGACACGGAAGGTTTTGGTCTCAGGAATTATCTATGGCGTAAATTGAAACGGGCTATCAAAAGCTCTTCTTGCACGGCGAGAGATATAACAACAAAGTGAAAGTTATAGCCGAAAAGAGTCGGTAATGAAAATATAAGAGTTTACTTTCTGTCAACAATATAATTTTAATAGAAAGCTTGGACTGCAAACTTTGACGTGGGATCAAAGCAGCAGGTCACGCAACCAGACGATGATTCAAATTGTTATCTGAATTTCAAAGATCGTTACTTGGTCATTGGACAGTTGTCATATGCTGACATCGAATGAAAGCTGTTGTCTTTGAAAGGTGGCCAAAGCAAAAGCTCCAAAGACAGCAAGAAGGCAACTTTGAAAGATCACGAAGTGTTCTATTACAACTTATGCAACTGATAAGGCAGTGTGAAATCTTAAGAACTGATAAATCACTATTACTGTATCTGCAAGGATAGGACAGAGGAAAGCTAGCTACCAGAATGGCATCAGCGAACTCGACAATTGCTATAAAACCGGAATTATTCCCCGAACCAACTTCGACGATCATAAAGGTTCTTTTCGTGCTTGTGAGCATGTTTGGGATTTTGGCAAACCTCAAAGTCATATACATTATATCAAGGTTTAAAGACATACGAACACCATTAACGATTCTGCTCATGAATTTATCAATAGCAGATTTGGTGGCAGGCTTGAGTACATATTTTATGGTGTTTGTGGACGTAAGCAGAACAAGTATTCGCGGCAAATGGGCTAACGTTCTTTGTACCTTTACAACAGCAATGATTCTATTCTTCATCGCTTCCTGCGTTTCTGTACTTACACTCAGCGCAATCTCCTTCAGTCGCCTCATAGTCATAAAGTATCCCATGAAGCCCAACTTAAAGCTTACTACACGACGTAGTATCGCATTTGCAGTGACGTCATGGTTCGTGTCTCTTTTATTACTAGCACCGAATGCAACTACAGTGCGCTATGAAGAGGACACTGGGTTCTGTTATCGCTACTACCCGCCGTGGATGAACACGACATTGTACAGCGCTATCACAATATTCGTTGGCACCGTTCTCCCTGTCAGCTTGATGACCATGACATATATTGTTGCTTGGCGTCATTTATGGAAGCGACGTGCTCCCGACGCTACTCCGCAGCTTAGCCTTAGACCTCGGAAAAAAATTATGCTTATGTTAGGCCTTCTAATTCTAACATACATTCTTTGCTGGACACCATTTTACGTCTATTGGACAATGGTTTCCGCATTGCAGTTCTACGACGACACAACTCGAGACAAAATAAACCTCTTCCGATTTTACAGAATCGCCGCACTATTCGCACTATGCAATTCAGCTTTAGACCCAATAATATACACATTGAGCGGAGAGCAGTTTAAGAATGCTCTTTGCCGTTTGAAAAGAAGCAACAGAGTAAAGACATTACGAATTGCTCCTGGGGTGAAATATACTGGTAAAAATAACAAAAATGTATTGTTTGACAAGAGATTTGCACTTCAAAGAGAAGCAGAAACAAAAGAGTTATAAACAGTTTCTATAGGATACTGCCAAGAGCAATGCATAAGCAATGCACTGATATAGACACTAAGAATATAACGTCGTGTAGAAATGTGTTATAGCTGTATCAAGAAGGCTTTCAATGCAGAAATAATTGTAAAGTGGTTATGTTAAAGTATATTTAAAGGGCTGATATTTAAAAAAACGGCTAAGTAATGATGCATTCTGTCATAGCATAGTTTCAGAGTGAATGACTCCCATTTTTAAAAGTATGAAAGATCATAGTGAAACGATACAATAAGAGGTATAAAAAACCTGTTGTAGTGACGTCAAGTGATCATAGTGTAATGACTTCACGTATCTAACTGCAACACTGATTAAACTTACCACACCTATTCTGCTTATTCCACCCAACAACACCATTATATCATTGTTCCCTTTCAGACATTATTTTTCTTAAAACATTCATACAACTTGCGATAAACCTTGGGTGCTGACCGATTCAAGTTTGAAAATGAAATTCATATCACAAAAGAAATTTCACCATAGTCAATAGAAAAGGTTTTTCTACTTACTATGGTTTCACGAATGCTTTAATAAAGACCCAAAAGAATTTCACGATTGCCTTCAAAGTCTCAAAGGAATTTCACGAAGGTCAGTAAAATAGAACTTTCTCAAAACCTTTGCCTCGCCAACTTCATATTTAAAATGAAGAAGTAATATTCAGGTTACTTGGTTTTTTTAGAACCCATAATTAAAAACACATGTACACGATTATAATTTGTTCTTAGAATTTTCGCTGCCCTCCCGCAGCCTTCTCAGTAAAAGCTAATAAAATGAAGAAGGATCTATTAAATATAGCTTGTTATTAGAGAAAACCTGATTGTATTATTAACTCTGAGACCGACAGTTTTTGGGTTAGCCAGTCAACGACAACAATTTCCTTTCTAGAGTCGTCGAATACTTGAAACTTTGGCTTAATAATGTCTTATCTGATGGTTTTAATAGAGCTATCAGCTTTGGTTCTATTGGACAAGAACCTAGGACACGAAAATTTTCCGCTTTCAACACTAACACTAAACCAGAATGAATGAACTTAAACAAGGCTACGATGGTAGTACAAATCAGTACTGGAAAAAATATTTAAGTAAACAGAAGACATATTTGTTGATTAACTTTGTGAATGTATGCAAATTAGCCAGCTCAAACAAAAAATTATTTCTAGCCTTACATAACTTGTTTTTGCTTACATAACTTGGGGAAAATGCCAGATGCTAGACGAATTCAAACAGGAAATCATTCAAATAAAGTAATACAGCCTTTCGTAAGTTTTTACAAAGGGAATCAGCAACATACCTGTTAAAAATTTAATTATAAAAGGAAGCAAACTGAAACCGCAGAAAATGTGGATTTTGTACATTTTTCTGTTGGCAATACAAGGAAGCATTGTGTAAGAATAAAGTTCAGGTGTGCTGAGGCCCCGAAATAACGTCATAGCTACGATTCCAAAACAACAGAAGGTTGATACTGGAGTTCACATCAATTCGGGTATTGGGTGGCCTTAACTGTGACGTCTGATCTAGTGCTTCATGACTGCTAAAGCGAGTTAAAAGTTATTTTCAACATTGAATAACTATCGACTATACCCTTCAGGACTATTTCATGGCATTAATCCGCCTTATTTATTTTTTTTATTCGAATAGCTCTTCAAGGACGAGCATACAACGCGTTTTTCTCAACAAAACTTCAAATTTGCTGCGTTGAAAAGACATATTCATGCTAATATGCAGCGTTTTTATGACTTAATGCTATGAAAAAATATCATAAAAAATCAACATTTTTACAAATTCGAAGCTCCCCTTGTTACTTAGAGTATGATCCCATGTGATGCATAAATAATCATTCCTTTTTAATTACATAAATGTTCCTTGCATGAACGTATTGCACTTTTGTTCTTAGCAAAATTTAATAACATGAGTTATCTGCTTTGAAAACCTTGAAAAAAAATAAATTGTGCAGATGCAAATACCAGTTTAAGGTATTATACTGGCAATACCAGCAAATACCTATTCAGTTCCAGCCCCCTTAACATGGCCTCTTTCTCCGATTTAAATTGAAGCCATTGTTTCCTTTATTTAAAAAAAATGCGTGCCAAATCCCCTCTAACAAAATCATTCTTCAGCAATGTCACCTTTGTATCATGTCACCTTCTCCCCAAATAAGTCATTCTCTTCCTAATAAAGTCATACTCCCAAATGAATTCCCATTAGATAAGGATGTGTCTCTCTCTTTTTTTTATTCTGTTTACATACCTTTCGAGTCAAATGATCGTTTGAAACCTTCGATCGGTTATGAAATTTCAGCTTTTCTTGTACTATACCGATATTCCTTTTGCCGATCAGAAGCCTTAACACGATACATACATGCTCAGTTCTATTAGCACATACACGTCCGAGCTAACTAAGCTGGCTTAACCTCTCAGCCCGATCAGGAACAAAAACTAATACATGCAAATGCCAAAAAGTAGCTCTACTTTTTGCTACTGTTGTACAAATTTTTGCGAGGCCCATGTGTGTACTTTTCATAGCAACGCATTCCTGTTAAAACTAACTAAGCTAGCTTAACCTCCCAGCCTGAATGCTTACCTTCAGATTCGTCACTTAAGATTGTAAACGCCCGCTCGTACTTCTCTGCCTTTTCCAGTATCATCAGATACAGCTGTACCTCTGGAATAAAACAGGCCTTGTCAACAGTTTCTAGTACAAATATCTAGAAGACATTACAGTTCACAACGAACTACAAGGTCTAGAAATGAATCTCCTTAAATCAGTAGAATTTCATTGGATAACTCACGGGGATCATAAATAGCAACATTCCGATTAAGTATGATAAAACATTCAAGGCTCGTTAAATTCGATTTGGAAACCCAAAGTTCCTCAAACAATTTTTAACTTCTTAATCATCTATGTTTGATAAACCTAAAGATTATAAAAACTTTAAATTCGCAAGACCTCAATGAAATTTGCATACTTTCTTATTGTGGAAAATCGATTGTTCCTATAAGTAGTCGAGTCAACAGTTTACGTCAAAAGCATTTTCATTTGTGCACACTGAAATGAATATTTAGTATGACAATAAAGAGTTATGCTCGAAGCGTCGTACTAAATATTCATTTCTTGTACAAAGTCGTTTTTATTGTATCAAATATTGTCCATTATCGACGTACAACACGCACAACTTCATTGATTACACTGAATATCAGTTCTAGAAACCCTAAAACCCAATTTGTTTGACGTGGCAAAGACTGAAATAAGTGGGAAAATCATTTTAGGGAACCCCCTTCCAAAAGTAAATTTTCCCCGCGATTGAATATAGTGATGATAATGAATGCGTTGTTGACTTCAGCTCGAAGTTAAAGATTGATTTATAATACACATTGCAGAATTCCAATAGCCAAAAGATGATTGAAATTTACCAGCTTCTGCTTCAATTTTATTATCCTTCACATATTTAGCAACCATTCTTTCTGCCAATGGAAGTAGCATGGCCTTTACGGCTTTTTCATCTTCAGATGTCAATGCCTGTTGAAGAATACAGAGAAGTATTCAGAATGATAGAAGAAGATTTTTTAGCTGATGACATTGGACACTGAATATCGGGCTGTTCAAGACTAAAAATTCGCTTCTTCAGGTTGCATCACACAGTATCCTACAATTCAGGGAAAGTCTCAAAATATCAAGGAAACCTGCTCAAAAATGCAATAGAATGCTCTTGCTTCTGGATCCAATACAGACACAAAATACAGGAGCCAGCAAACGATTGAGCACTAAGGAGCATAGACATTTAAGATAATTTAGTTGGGTTCTTCTGCATTTCGATATCTTAAACTTTCAATAACCATTTTTCCATCTACAATATAAACACAGGTCTTAAAGCTGTTTTTAAAAAGGTTAATAAAGCAGTTTGTAAACAGTTTTTAGCGGTACAGAACTTCAAATGTGGCTTTGAAAAAAACAAACATTTTATAACATATTGGTCTTTTATAAAATAACAGCTTTTTCGTCTGACACTCCTCAAAGCAAAAAACGTCAGAATAAGGGTCTGAAAGAACACGATAAAAGTATATACCCAGTTGTTGATCGAAATAGGCCAATCAGAAAAACGCAAGCACAAGACCGGTATAGTTGACCAATCAGTGCTGCGTGCCTATAGAAAAATTATCACTGGAGTCCAAGAGAGAAAACAAACTCCTTCTGTCTACACAATGGCGGCTTTTTCGTTTTTATGTAGATCGACTCCAAAACTGCTAGATGGAAGGACGACAAGGCTCTGCCAATTACCCGAAACATGTCGTCATTACAGAGTTTTGCAAAATCTGGGTTATCTAAAAAAGGCTGTTTTTGATCCCAGCTATTTCCAGGAGATTAGCGCAGCAATATCATTCAACACAAGGGTTTATGGCGTTCTTCAATAATTGAAGTTTCTTCCAAAGAAGCCCAAAACACTAACTAATCTCTGCTTGCAAACATTATTACAAAACCATAGTTGAAGCAATGGCGTAACGAAGATATCTGGGGCCCTAAGGAAAAAGGCTGGGCCCTACTTATTGGCTGCGAGAAAGTCCCATCCAAGAGGTAAAACATGTCAAACACAATAGCTGGACGCAGGATATCAAAATGATAATATTGTCGTTAACTAGGGAAGCTGAGTGATGTTAAAGAGCTTTTACTCAAACTTTTTGAATATAAAGTGAGCTTAAGCGAAGTCTTGAATATACAAATAGATATCTGGATAAAAACAAAATAATCGGGGGCCTTTAGTTAACCAATAAAAGTGCCCTAAACTGCATTACGCAACCTGGTTGAACTCTAAACGATATGTTTGAGAAAAGAATCTTTTTTCCATAAATATGAGTAATAGTCATTGATAGGTAAATGGGACATACCTGCATATAGATGCTCATCACAGCCCAAAAATAATAGGGATTCTTCAAAGGGAACGATTTGTGAAGACTCATTGCCGTCTAAAAATGAAAGAGTACAGCACTTGGGCATACCTTCTTCTTGATGGAACAAATGTGTGATTATTACATCAACAAGTTTTTATGTCATCAAAGAAATCATCCTGCTAGTGAAATAATAATAATATATCTAAATAGGTGGTGAAGCTTGACTTTTAGGTTGAAGGCATTCGTTATTTTTTAAATTTATGCTAAGAGATTATGTGTGTTAACAAAGATACCAGGAAGTCGGGTCGAATAAGGAGAATCCCTCAGAGGTATAGCCCTAGCGACCATTAGTGGGTTTATGGACCTGGTTTCCCTGTGTGTTGGTGGTGAACGCCTGCACCCAGTTCCCTAAGGAGCTTTCCATGATACAAAGACAGGGGAAAAAGAATTCTTGTTGAGAGGAAAAGGTGAATAGTGAAAAATGGACAAGTAAAAGGGAAGACGAAAGCTAAGGCTAGCCATGAGCACCGGGGCCCAATCCCAACATGTTGTCAAGAAAGAGTATTTTATTTACTCATTAAAGGAGAACATAAAGACAAACTTTGAAAATATGAACAGTTTTAACTACGTTGTGTTATGAATTTGAGTTGACAATTTTGTATTATCTATGAAATAAACCTTGGTATTTTGAAGTGTTATGGGCCGCACGTTATTTCCATTACAATGTGCGGCAATAAGTAAAAAACAAGCTTGTACCAGAAGTAGCTAAATCGTGTTTTTTCTCATTGTAGCCCTTCAACAAAAAATCTACCCAAAGCAAGTAACAGGTTAATTAAGAACGATTTTGTTAACTACTGTTTTAAGTATTTGTTCCTTTGCTTCTATCAAGCAAATGTAGATGTTAGCATTGTTAGGAGACATAATTCTCGGAGATTAAAGATAGCCTTAGGCTACGTTCACACTACTCCGTATTCGTTTCGCTCCATTTTCGTTAATGAAAACGCTGTCCGTTCATACTTATCCGTTCTCAAATGAATACGATTTGAATATGGTAAGTGTTCACACTGCTCCAACAAAAACGCTGTTGGTGGCCTCATTTTTTAAAAGAGGCGTTCACGAATCCGCAACAAATTGGCGTCAATAAGTGAAATTAGATAAAAGCAACTCGTAAAAAACTTTGTTATAACAGCTACCAGCCCATTTTTAATTCTCAATTTCAAAATTTTTCAGATTTGGTATGCTAGAAAGCACATATTTTGTTGCCATTGTTAGCACATTTAAATATCTCCTTTTTCGGTGTTCACACTGGAAACGGAGCGTACTCGATACGCACCATGTTCATAATTATCCATTTTCATGTGCGTGTTCATATGACTCCCTTTTTAACGCAGAACAGTGTGAGCGCAAGGCAAAAACGGATTAGTTTGACTCCGTTTTCATTTGAAAAGGAAGTAGTGTGAAAGGGCCCTTAAAGTGCGTGCTTATTAATTGATGCTCTTCAAGGCAACAAGATAGCATGTCATGGCAACGAGAGTAACACAATAATGCAAATTTAGGGCTCCAAGCCACTCTCCAGTCCTACATCTTGGGATTCCTTCCCTGGAATTCTAAATAGCTGGTAACCCATCTTACAAAAGTATTTGCTCACTGAGAGCAAGGGTTTGAACTGCAGTCACTGGCCTCTGTGGCATCCTCTTGCAGGCAGTTCAGCTCAGTACTAGGAGCTAAGAATAGATTTATGAAGAACCATAATTGTGATTGATTAAAAGCGACGTGCATAAAAAGTATCGTGCATACCTTTTGCTGTTTAAGATTGTTGCCAATCCGTACATATGCCATGAACAAATGACTCAAGAATTCTTCATTATTTTTATGTTGGGCTACAGCTAATTCATAGATCGTTGCAATTTCCTCAGCTGCAATATAATCAAAAGTAATATCACAGAATGAAGCCTTCAGTTGAGAACCTGACATTGAAGATCTATATTTCCGTACAATTTATAGTGCTGGTAATTGACACAGGGTCCGGTCCTGTTATTGAGAAAACAATCACTATAACATCCATTAGCTTGTTGTTTAAGCGCAAGATTCAGACTTTTAGGGAAAAGACTTGTGACTTGCTACACATATATCTGACAAAATGAGGCTCAACTGTGTATGTTTCTATAACGAAAAGGGCTGTAATAAAAAACATGCTTTTTCCATGTTCATAAATAGCAATGTCAAAGGGAAAAAAACTTCAAGTGCATCATGAAAATATCTGGCAACATTCATCAGGAATATTATTATTATTAATATTATCATTATTATTATTTATTTATTTATAGTAGGTATATAAAAATAGCTACCACAGAATAAAAGCTTATCTAAGCCTACTACAAAGCAAAATTGTTTAAAAAAAATAAAAAATACATATATCTAACATGAGAAATAATTAGGTATAAATATATATATAGAGGTTTTACAATGTTTTTGCAGCATTCTTTTGGCATTATAATACAACGCATTTATCCGTTCAAGAACCCAACCTGAGCCACGAAAGGTCTACACAGTCTACAGTTGCATTCCTCTCCTTTCCAAGATTTTATTCTCCTTTCCAAGATTTTATTCTCCTTTTAAAGCTGGAGAGGGTATCTGATTGTTTCATGTCATTGGGAAATGCCTGCCACAATCTATTCCTTAGAAACGATATCGTCTCTATGCCATAGCACGTAGTACGCGGTTATGACAGGAGTAGATTGTGGCAGCTTCATAATCCATAAGTACTTTGTTTTTCAAGAAAGATATCCTTCATGAAAGTAGGGTCTAGCTCCCATTTTGTTTTATAAATTTCAGTCATCAACAGTTGTAAATTCCTGATGTGGATTGGGACCGCATTGTCTCTGAGCAACATTGTGTCAAAATCTGATTTCATATCTTTTGTAAGTTGTCCGCAATGCCCTTTCCTGAATTTGATTAACTTTACTATTAAGTATTCTATCGCAAAACATCCAAACAAGAGGTGAGTAGTTGATCTGGGACAAAATAAATGCCTTCATTATTCTCTTTTGTTCAGTATCAAAAAAGTGAGAGATTCATGAGAGGACCTCAATTGCTTTTGCAAATGGACTTCAATTGCTTTTTAAGGCATAATGTTTCATCCAGAATCACTCCAAGCAGCTTTTCTTCTAGGCTCTCTTTAATCCTGACACTTTAGATATTCAAAGAAATATCATTACTTTTGTTCCCAAAGACCATTAGATGGCATAAGCGTAGGAGAAACTTTTCAATTAAAAAGCAGGACAAGCACATACATTATTTAAACACTATTTTTACAGGGTAATTCAATCAGCTAAAACACATGCTGCTACCAAGAGAAGCCCTGTCTAAAATTAAAAAAACATTGGTAAATAGTTAAAGGGGAAGTTACAACTAATTTATAAAAAGGCATTAAAAATAGACAATATCCTATCTAAGTTATACAATTATTATACAAGTTTAATCCTTAAATGTTCCTTCAAAGCATTCTTCAATTTAACATAATAGTTTTCTGTTTTGATACAAAGTGGCAGAGCGTTGAATATTTCTACCCCACTGTAGGAGATCCCCCTTTTTGAACTTTCCGTTTTGATTTTTTACGTTCATACTTTTCTAGAGTCGTGTATAATACAGTATTATTAAAGTATTTTGCTTCTGTAGTATACAAATAAAATTAGACTGAAAATGAATTGAATTTGCATTAATTATTGTGCTGAGGGTAAAGGTAGGATCCATAAATGCAGTGTTGTTTTGTATACTCACGCTTTTGCATTTCTTTGTATGTCATGGTCATACACTGCAGAATTGAATCATCCCATACATTTATCCTTTTTAACTCCTCTTGTAGCTCAAGACATTCTGGTAACCTATTAGAGCGTAATAAAGCCAGAGCTTTCAAAGCCTTAGCACAATGCAAATCTTTTTGCTTTTTCAGGATCTTGTCAGCAAGCTGGATTGCCAATTTGTTGTTGAGGTTGTCAAGAGCATCTGAGATGGTATAAAAAAATATAAGATTATAACCAGAAGGAAGAGATGCTGGAAGCATCTTATGATTACAATAACAACAATAAATAATTGGCAGAGAGAAAGCAAAACAATGAGAAATGATTGAATACAAATGAAATGCAGATTGAAAACTAATTTTTATAATTTGCCTGGCAGACAGGATTTTATCAGAGTAGAAGAGTAAATGATTTGTACCTTTAACTTACAATTCATTTTTTCCAGCAAGGGAGTTAGCATAGTAGCATTATGCTGTCCTAATATATTTCAAAGATATTGAGAATAACTTTTTGCATCAATTTGGCTAGAGTCATTTTGGCATATAATTTTTGAACAAATTTATTATTATTTAAAGCAGTGACTACACTTTGTTGTTACACTGGCCTCATTAAGGTCTATGTCAAAAAATACATTTATTTTCAAAATATTAGGGATTTCCCCTACAAACCATTTCATAAACTGGGATTGATACCACAAGCCACAATCCAGCTAAAAAACTTAAGCTCTAGAAATATTTTTTATTGACAATTCACTCAATTCTCTTTTGATTCCAACCTATACAAAAAGTTTGAAAAAACAATCCCACCACTCTTAACCTTATCGCTGAATGTGAGACTATAATAGTTTGTATATTGAGATGATTTCGTGTTTTTTTTGGGATTGTAGGAGTGAATTTTACAGCCCCTTAATATTTGCGTCCTTTAGAGTTGGGCACTTGAATAGGACTTCTTTGTAGCAAAAATTTATAATAAAGCCTATAAATTATTTTGAATTTTCAAATCGAATTTGTGATGTTTTCAATAAAAAATCTCTTCTCTATGATATTGTTAAATTTCCTTAACTCAGACCTTGAGATGATTTTTGCACTGTTTCCAAATAAAATTTTTTCAGGAGACTTCTTGTTTTCATGTCATGTTAACTTGAAATCAAACAAAGTACCACTGCTAAAATGTTTACGTGGAATAATAAATCTTACATACATTTTAACATTTTCAGACTGAAGTTTAATGGACAAAAATCACCCTATAGCCAAAATCTATAGCCAAAAAAGGTTTTTGTTTACAGATTGCACACAATTCCAGCACACTTCCTAATACTTCGTTTTTCTGTTGCACATATGAGATCCTGTCAAGCACCATATCATGCTTTTCAAGATAGCTATGCACCAGATCTGGATATTCTATGATAAAAATGTTAATTCTTCTTACTATCTTCTTGCAAATTCACTGTTTATAGTTACATCCAGGACGCAAGACTTTCAATTTCATTGAATTTGCGATTTGAGGTTTTACGTTCTACCCTTATGCTTGGTGGCAGGAATTGGAATCTTTGGATATTTTAAATGAGGTACTTAATAAATGGAAATGCAGTTTGCAACAAAAATTCAAACGAAAAGCTTTATAACAGAGATTTCGAATCTATTCTACGATATTCACGAACTAGATAAACATTCGGGTTTGCAATGTTATTTCGGAAATTTGCGGTAGTAGCTGAGGTAGGGATGTATGTAGTGGACAAGGCACAAACGTTAAGACTGTACCTATCAATGCTACAGGTGGTGGACCACAAACTTTTATAGCTTAACAATAAAAATGATTTGCATATTATAATTTTTTTGATTTTTTTAAAATTTGCATACATACCGTAAATTGGTCTCAACCGTCGTTCGTTAACGTCAACGCGACCCCTTCCCGCCATGTCTGCATGCTTCGACGACCTCACTTCCAAAAACTGCTTTGGCCTAGCCTTTTCAAGTGGCCTCTCCTTGGAGACTCAAATTTCACAAAGAGTCAAATTAATAAGAGCAGATTTTTAAAACACTTGATGGTGTGCTATTGCATACCTTTATAATAATAGAATTAAAACCTTCTCAATAGAACATCTAATGGAAGAGGCACACGAAGAGGAAAGAGAAGTATTGAGATCGATTTATGATGGCGATGAAAACTTTAAAGAAATCTCTCCCACTTGTTTTCAGTATAAATATGGACTTGAAGATAAATCATTTTTGCTCGAGATCTCGTGGCCTTGCGAGTATCCTTCAGACCTACCAATAATTAATCTAAATACATTTTTCAATAATAGTCTGCCATCTGAATTGAAAGACGAAATAAAGGCTCAGCTATTAGAACAAGCCGAAGAATTGCGAGATTCTGCCATGACTTACTCATTGTTTGATTGGATGAATGAGAATTCGCAGCAATTCATCGAAAAAATCCCGGAATTTACCCAAAAGGTATAATATTCTGTTATTAAGATCGATTATATGCCTGTTTTTAAAATTATTTTTTTTGAGAAATAAATTCATTTTTCAAAGATTGACACTGGACTGGTTTGTCCAGCCCGAAACTACCCATTCAGCCGATGAAGAATAACTGATAAAGCCCCATTGCTGGGGTGAAATATTAGCCTTAACTGATTTATGTGTTTTTGTTGCTGTTCATTCTCGTCCCGTTGCGGTGTTACGTATTTATTACATTTTAATAATTTGTTCCTCCGGGTATTATTTTGAATTGAAGAAAAGGTTATACAATCTGATATTTTGCAATGTGGTTTGTTTCTGATATCTCATCTCATTTCCCCCACAAAAATATTTTGCAAATTTCAATCTGCCCCACATTAAGTATGTTTGGCACGTTCTACTGAAAGACTTCTTGTAAATTTTTGTAAGGTTGATGAAGGTTTTGGGGTTTTGTGTTACTTTTCTTTCTAGGCTTTATTTTTTGCTCTGCACACATATTATATTGATATATACATAAACGGTACCACATGCATGTAAAATTTTTCATTTTTTGTTTTACAATTTTTTTTTCAATTTTGGTCACAAAATTTTTGTAATGATCATGTACATAATCATGTACACCTATGAAAGCATACTGTTGACACTGTGTTTGTGTTCTGCATGTTCTGCTTGTATTTTCTGCCTATAACAATACTAAGTAAAACTAATGTCCATGACAACATACTCCTTTAACTCATCAAAACATATTTGCCTTTCTAGGAAAATGCAAAAGAAGAAAAAGAAGAGAAAGTTGATGAAAACCAGTCATCATCAAAATCAAAAGATAAAAAAGAAATTCTTACAAAAGCACAAAAGAGAAGAATAACAGATAGAACAAATTATAAAGGAGAACGGGAAAGGGGCTGGGACTGGGTTGATGTAGTGAAACATCTGTGTCAAACAGGGGTAGCAAAAGACTAGCCGTGTAATATTTCATTAAGATAGGCTTATATTCAAGATAAACAAAAATGAAATCCAAGAATTATTAAAAGACTAGCTGCTGAAATGTTTCATAAAACAGTTTAAGAGGAATTGCATACATCTGCCAAATAACTTGCCCTTTGCGACAGAACTTGGAAGGCAGAAGAGGCAGTGGTACCAATTTAGCCAAATTGGCAGCAAATAACTGAAATAAAAACATACTTTGTTATCTATAGATTTAAAACTTCAATAATCTATCAAATTGATTAGAAGAATGAAGGATTGTATTTTCTACATAAAACTTTAGCCATCCTATTTGAAAACTAATCTTTGCTTTTTTCCCTTTCTTTAGGTTAAAACCTGAATTAAGATTCTGTAATGATGGCTTGACTTTGTTCAAACCTATTTCAAAACCATTCCAAGCTGAAAGAATATCTAAGTCTCAGGAAAATAGTCTCATTTTAAATCATTTTTGTAGAACATGAATTAAGTTTTTCTTGTATTTAGATGTTGAATTTATTTTCAGTAAGAAATGAGGTTGTTGAAGTATGCAGCTAAATATTTTTCTTATTGTTTCCTTTCTGCTATTTTTCAATATTCCTTTTCAAAATTGTTTTATACCTATAAATTGTTGACTAACTAGACTTTCCTAAACAGACATATTTTCAACTGTTCTGATACCATTGCTGTAATTCAATATGTACATAATTTTGGCAAAGAAGGATAAAGTCATGTATACATCAAAAGAAATTTGATATAAGCTTTTTCCTTGAATTACGTAATTGGTAAATGTACCTCTAGCTATGGGAGTTCGGATTTTAGGACAGGTTCCCAAGATTAACAAATATATTTGTGCTTAAAAGTGAGCTTTTCCTGTTTTTCTTATAAATCATACACAACATACAGTGTAAACTGCACTTTAGTGTGCAGAACAGGACGGTTCTAAGTATTGCCTTCATCTTCTGTCATTCTGATCATCGCCGTCTTAGACATTGTAATCTTCATCAACTTCGATACTACCAAATCCATTCATATCGTTATTAAAAAGTTAAATACTGGCATTGGCAATCCAGCATTCTATGTTAGTTTCTGAGAAACCTTAGTTCTGAGAAACAATGTCCTTAAATTGATGAAGGTACCTCCCCTATGCTTCTGATATCTTGAAAACTGTACCCAAAACAATTTCAAGTCCTCCACTTGAAATTGGTGATGGGTGACATTTCTGATCAAGAACGTAACCCGCTACTACTTCACCTTTATCAAGAAAGAAAGATTTGTGCGAATAAATGAGAGGCCACGATAGCAGGCTGCTCGCCGGACTCCGGAGGAAATCTTGCGGCGAAAAGACGATAAAATAGTAGTGTATAAGGAACACCGCAACGCGACGAGAATGAACGACAACAAACACAAATCAGTGATGTAAGAAAGATGTGTCTCTTTAAATTTCGCGTCCAAAATGTTCAATGATTTCTTCTGTTAAATCCCTTGTCACCTTAAATTTCCGAGCATCTGTCCTACTTCCTAGAGAAATAATTTAAGTAAAGATCAAGGAGCTGTTGTTTTTAGGTAGTTGCCTAGAGTCGCCATTGTTACATTTCTAGCTAATAATTCCATACATGATCGAACGTTCCCTAGAGTCAGTTGCACAGGAATAAAGCTTCTCAAATGGGGAAGTATTTGGAATCAACTTTGCGAAAGATCGAAATAGGACTTTTGCAAAAAAAACGTTCGCGTTTTAGTAAAAATCATGAACTTTGCGTAAAAAACAATTCCATTCAATTAAGGTCTCTTTCTATTTCCATTCCACCAACAAAACAACAAAAAAGATGTCAAATTTGTCCAACACAATAGTTCTTTGTCAAAGTTTTCAAGAGGATCAACAGCAAAAATAAATTTATGCAAATTTAGCATTTGAGAAAATTTCGCGTATCAATCATCCATGATTTTAGGCCATAAACGCTAAAAACACAAAAATTTCTTTCCGCGAAAGTTTCTTCCTTGAAAGTACAATGCCTGCCAAAAGTACTTGGAACACCCACCAATTTACGCTGCATTTGATATCTTTCATTCCTTTCATGAAAAAAATTTGCTACTTCCGCCCCCTTCCCCCTCAAACAATGTTGATGATTTAGAGAAATATCATAAAGAAGCGCAAAAGAAAGTGCTTCCTAAAATCCTAATCCGTTTGATAGTAAACCAACATTGTTCCGTGGGGGAGAGGGGGATGATTGGTTTTGACCTTGGAAATTGATGTCAGTGTTCCAAGACTTTTGGCAGGCATTGTAGCAAGGAACAGACAAAGGCCTTCCCCAGCTACCCTTTAAGTCCTTTTTTCTCTGAAACTTTCTGAAAGGTGCATGCTTAAAAGTTATATTGACGTTTTTCTGCTTGCCAATTGTTAAATGAACAAAGTGTTTAGAATACTAAAGTTTGGTACAGATTAAGGAATCTGTATCATTTTAAGTTCTCTCAATGATATTTTAGTAAGTTTGTAGGTCACTAGATTTTAAATTGTAGCCAAGATACTAACCTAGACAAATGAAAAGATGACACATAAAAGAAAAGAACATACAGGTCAAATTTTTGATTATTTTCTTGGCTCAATTTCAGAATATTATATATATTATGTTCGCTTGAAAATATTGCAAAAAATGTTAGACTAGGATTATTATTTTGAATTGTTTTTAGAGTTTCTTGGAGTTACAAATAGAACCATTGTTTTGCTGTTATAATGCAGAGTTTAACTGCATACATAGAATCCTTGATTTAAATAGAGAACCACAACCGCCAATAATTGATTTGAACTGAGCATATTTTAGCCTTTACTCGCATTAGTTGATGTGGCTCAAAAAGGTAATCTGCCACACCCTGAACCGGGACCTTTTGGTTTGCTAGCTACCCTGAAATTATGACGCTGGGCAAAACTGAAAAATAGCAGAATTAAATGCTGAACAGTAAACAATAAAAACTATACATTTTGACAGTTAGATAAATATTTTCTTTCACTTTGCAATTATCTGCAATCTTTAAATTCCTGAGAATAAATAGTCGCGAGTTTTATCAATGGTAATTATAACCGTTTGAGAACCACGCCTGTATCTGTTGCCACACCCATTTTGTCATCAAACCACTGGTTCTGCACCCCCCCCCCCTCCCGCTCCCTATGAACATTTTCTAGCGACGGCCCTGTTTTCTTTCATTGTTCGGATTGCCTTAAACACCCCCAATTTCCCTCAAAATTGAATCATAAATTATCATTATTTGTCTGAGATTTGCTTTTTTATATGGAGTTTGTCTAATCCCACTTTTCTGCGTCTGCGTGCACCTAGAAGTAAGAAAAATTCTTTGAAACTTGTTTCCATCGTACTGAACTACCTTGCCCTTAATCGGCCGTAACTACCCTTATTCATCAAATAGAGACATCACCGCCATTTCACATGAATGATCTTATCTCACAATAGTTACCATAGTATTGTTAGGAAAAATGGTGATGTATTGTCAGTATATGTAATCCGCATTGTCAAAAATCGTATAGTTATTTGAAAAATTCCATGTAGTCATCCAAGGGTGAAAAATTCTTTTTAACATTTTCGCACGACTGGGCGAGTTTCACGAAAGCCGTTTTGTGGGTAGACGGAAGAACAGTAACTTTAAAACGTAATTTTGGAACTTTTTAACGCTTCAAAATGACTCGAATGTTGGTTTCCAGAAGTTTTGCACAAGCAACGTGCTGGATTGGCGTCTTGCAAGTGCTGTTTGGGACTTGCCTTGCGCTCTGTGGTTTCATAGAGTTGGGGATGTTTCACAATCTTTCTGCGGATGGATTTTGGACTGGCTTCCCGGTAAATATATTTTGGATTTACATGACCATCTTAATAGAAATTCGTAATATATATCGGTTTCTCTAATCTACCTATCTAGCCATTAGAAATAACTGGGGAATGTAGATAGCGTGAGTTACCCAATTGGTTTTTCTCTGTTTTTGCGAACAGCACAACTAGATGCTCCCACCCAAACAAACTGGCTTCTATACGGCGTGCCCACCTTACTTTGTGCTGTAAGTTGGAAATTAGGCATCAGAGTGCTTGAATTGGCAAAGTCTTTTTTCGTAGGTACCTTTGATAGGCGCGTAAACTTGAATTTTAGAGAATTGAAATATTTTTAGGGCCCGTTCGTTAAGGCAGAGCCATGATTTTTCTGTGAACAAAATAATGAACCAGGGTAAAAGCATAACGCGAAGATAAAGAGATCAATTCTGCCTTTTATACGCCGTGTTAAGTATCAAAGAAATGTTATTAAAGAATATTATGAGGGTCACGCGTGCAGGCAGAGCCATGATTGACTTAGAACTAAATATATATCCAGTTAACCATAACACAGGCTAAACACAAGGTAACTAAAGAGAAAAGAACGCTTGATCATGGTGTTAGTTAGAGATATAGGGCGGGAAGGTTTCTAGGCTTCAAAAACCAATCTAGGGACTCATTACATCTCCTTGAAGATCGCAACAATAGATTTTAGATTACAGTCTTGAAGTAGGTAAATTCTTTTCTCGAAAAACTGACCTGTCATAACTTTTTGAAAATCGGATAATGCATTTAGTAAAAGGCAGCATTAGAACACGTGAACTAGAAATTCCAGAACCTAAATTTGTCTGTTAGTTCCTTCCATTAACCTTTGAGGTATTTCTGTCATGTTATACTTAATGTTATTCAACTTTGTTTCCAATCACAGGATTGTTTGCACTGCACATGTAGTTGTATCTTTAAGTTACGGTGCTGTTTAAGGCTATTTGGTCTTAGATGCCCTGGCGCAGATAATAAGAAACATAGAAGGCGCTCACACAAATATGACCCTTGTTGCCTGTTAATCTGATCACACATAGCCTTCGTGCTTTATAAAATGTATAAATAGCATTTGATACGATATCGCATGCTGTAGAACAATAAGTTTCTAAACTAAATTAAAACTAGATTAACAGCACATTTTATGCGTAATTTTCAATGTCAGTCTTTTTCTTGCCCCGTTTTGAATAAAAACATATCTTCTTTTTTTCAGTTGCTTGTCCCTGGTTTTCTTGCAATAATCATTTTAGCTACACGTCGCAAGGAAGCGGTGAGTTTACAAATTTGTACCCAGCTCAATGCTTTACATTTTCTATTAGAGGGAGGGGAAAATGGCCTTTGATACACGGTTGAGATGATATAGGACCAAATTTGCGGCAAGAAAAGTATTGGAGGGTATGCCCTAACCCCCTCATCTGTGGATCCAGTCACTATCATGTCACTTTTCATAAATACTGTTGAATTGCTTTTGTCTCTTGCAACCTTATGACATGACTGCCTTGTTGATTCAAAAAATAGATGAATTAGTTAGGAATTCTAAGGCTGGCTTCCAGTGGCGTAACGAGGCAGCCGGGGCCCCTAGGAATATTTCAGCTTGGGGCCCCCCAGTTATAACCATTAATAAAACAATATTGACAAAACATAACATGGTGATCAATAGATAGCAGTCTAAATGAATAGAAAGACTGTTACATCACACAGGCCTGAGTCCCCTTGAACTTGTTTATCATATTTAAAATGTCTGCTTCAAAATAGAATGACATACAAAAACATATTTAGTTAAGGGCCCCTTAGTTTGAAAGCTCAAGGTAATTTTAATCTGTTAGGCCACTGCAGGCTTCCAAAAAGTTGCATTACAACGACTGAAGTCGACCGCCAGATATAAATGAATATCAACTTTCAATCAGCAGAACCCAGCGTCTTCTTGAATTTGATAAAGCAAGGAAAGCGCTGATGTGTGATAAGGAAAATGAATAAATTCTGAGCCTTATGTAGATCCCCTAATTTTGTCAGGAACATGAACGGGCATGCAGGGGCGCCTGCACAAGATAAAGGCAGGGGGGCATTGTTGGTGCTGAGGGCAAATAGTAGAATTTTTTCAACTACTAAAATCAATTCTTTGTGAGGGGTTAGGGGGATGGGTGCAAAATAAAATATTGGGACGGATCTGTTGTACCCATACAGCTGGGATTTCTGCAGACAAAGACTCTAAACATAGGCATCATGTTGACAAAATTCTCCATGCAAGTGGGTATTAAATGGTCCTGTCACTATTCGAGATTTTTGTTTTTACAAAAATCATGGTAATTATAAGCGGGCTGGCTGTAAGACTTTGATTGTCCATCTTTTATGTGTCATCCTTTCATTTGTCTAGGTTAGTATCTAGGTTAGTATCTAGGTTAGTAGTTCCCATGGTTGCAGAATCATTGAGATTTTTAAATGGAAAATAATAATCACAAGAATCAAAGGTAAAACAAATAATTGTACAAATCAGAAAATTGTTAGGACTAAGGTTCAAAAGGGCTGTAACTCTATGGCAATCATTTGAAACCAATTCTGTTTTAGGTTGTTCCATTTTTCTTTGCAAATGTGATCGTTTTGGTATTGTGCATTGTCCACGCTGCTTTGACCAAGGATGAGATTGACCACTGGAAGAAGTACAAAGACTACGTCATCAATGGCAAATGCTATGAGCGTGGGGATATTTGCAGTTGCCCTGGAGACGCCCAGACGAAATACTATGGTGGGTCAAAACATTCCATTCCATTGATGACTGGATACATTGAATGCCATGGCAACTTATAGTAACGGTCCTTCCCGGGGTGAATAGATTTTGTGATCGAATCACACAATGGAGATAGAGTTATCGGCGTACAACCGAAAAAAACCTGGTTGTACCCCGAAGATCTTTGGGCCTAAGTACATGGAATGCACCCTGGTCTCCAATCCATGCCAAAAACTCTGGAATGCTACCGTCAGTTTTCAAGAGCAAATTCGGCCCTCCCCCTCTCCCCATCTCCCCCTGAGAACAGTGTAGGTAATATAATAATATTTTTTTGGGGGGGGAAGGGACAAGTAGTTATATTCCGGTAGAGAATTTGAAAATATAAAAATTCAAGTAATTTTGACGGGTGTTGTGTTTCCTGTTATGCATGAAAGGGAAGGATAGATCGATTATAATGGTCAAGTTCGTTTTTAGATTTTCCTTTTCTCATATAGATTGGACATATTGTTAATTGGAAGCAAAAGCTACAAGAATGTTTCTCCCCACAATGCAGTTACAGTCTTCAATACTAACTTTCTCGGTTGACAATCCGTCATTCCATATATTCATTGGGAACTACACGTCTTTTGATATAATGCTTTCAGTCTTTTACTTCCAAATATAAGTTAATATTTCGTCACCTTTTTTCAAAAAATTTAAAGAGTCTGAAATTTCAGAAAAACAGTGTTTCTTAGGTTACATTACATGATAAATCTGAAGCGTCTAAACACTCTCTGATCATCGCCATTTGAATAGAATTGCTAAACGTTTCTTTTTGGTAAAAGTTTATTGTTGACGACCGTTTCTCTCTCGCAGGGTTCAATAGAAAGTACTTCTAGATTTTTTGAGTTTTTAATAGAACAGTTTTTAATCAAACCCACATTTATACATTTTACCTGGAGATTTTTGTAACTACTCTGAGCAGAGCCCTCTTTTCTCCACGATTCTCCCGCAACCCCTTAAAGCTCACAATCGCACGTTTACTCTCATTCACAGGACAGGATCTGGGGCGAGTTCTCGTGCATTAAATATTCTTTTTAAAGATAGGGAATTAAACAAGGCATATTAAACAGGAGAGCCATCAGCTTAAGGTCTCCGAAGACGAAGGAGCCTTAAAGGGCCGTGCCTCCCTGTTCTAACACAAAACAAGAGCTTCGTTGTAAATATTTTGGTCGCTGTACTGTAACCCATTACATTTTACATTGGCTGTGGCCCATTGAATTTTTTATTGGCGGTGGCCGATTGCATTTTATATTTCCATTTCTAGTGCAAAGATGTGACCTCTTTTCCTTTGGATACGATTTGTACTGGGCATTTGTCGCATTCGACATTGTTGGCGTGATTCTCTCGGCAGTTGGTGCCTTTGCTGGTCTTTATGGATCTTGTAAAGAAACTGAAAAGGAAGAAGATGAAGACGTAAGTGCTATTGTTGTATCTGCACATTGTTTATATCAGCACGTCTTTTGATTGGGAATAGCCTTTTCAGTTCTTTTTCATGTGAATTTGTTGGAAGTAAAGCTAGCGTGTTTGTCAGACTCAGAAGAAATCATAACACATCGCTATTCATCAGAGTACAGGGAACAGAAGAGTATTTCTAAAGTGAATAGGTCAACAAAGGCAGCAAATAAGTACTCTGGGTATCAGAGCCACAAGAAACCAGGGATTATGTGAGTGTAAACGGGTATTTTTGGCCATTGCTAATTGAGTGGATCGCTCAATAGAGACTCTGACATCAAGGGTGCAAAAAATATTTTTGTGGCCTTTGATATCCTATTTTGAAACATAAGCTTTAAAGTGCAATATTTTTGTAAGGTTCTTTCTAAATGTTCTCTCTTAATTTCCGTTTTGTACACTTCGGGCCTGAAAACATGACATTGAATTATATCGCCGTGAATCGTAAAGACCAAAAGTATTTTAGTTTCGTGTTCTATGGTTCGGCTTTTTTGAAATTTTAGAGAACGAGAAACTTACTTGGAAATAAAAATATCCTCTTTGCATGTTTTAATTCCGATAGACAGGCGCAGTAAGAGAGAAGCATTCCGAAATCTTGTCAAAATGTATGGGCTTTGAACAACCCAACCCAATCTGCTCCCGTGTGGCGAACGCCAAGGGTCAATTTTCTATCGACCTTCTCTTAATTTCAATCTCATCTTAAAATCTAATAATGGTACTAGAAATGTTTGAAAATCACTTTTTTCATATCAAATAGAGTTTTAAATATTCTGTCATTTATTGAAATATTTATGTCAAAAATGAAAATATCTCTCCACCATCACATATGCTTTGTTTGAAATGAATGTTGCGTCATTGCTAACTGATTTATATTTTATCTGTGAAATAAAATAAATTCTATTTTGCTTTCTTTCATCGTATTTGTTTCTCCTTATTTGCAAATAAATTTATCAGGAGAGCAAAATACAGATTGTGCATTTATGACTGAAATACTTGCCCATTCCCCAATACTTTTTAACCTAATTGGGTCCACCGAAAAAGGGGGCAAAAGGACTGCGATTCGGGAATATTTGAAGAAATTGATGAATCCGGGGATCACCAGTGACTTGAGGTTGTATCTCCCGTTAATAACGTTTTAATCGGTAAAGAAATGGCCTACCAGTTTTAAATCTCCCCCAAATTTCTTTCTTCGGTGGGCCCGAATGGAAATGACTGAATTCAGTTAAATGTTTTCGACCCAAGCGTCTCTTTCTCCCCTTTCTCATGGAAGAACAATAATTCTTATTCGTTTCAGCCAAGTATTTAAAAGGATTTGGCTGGATTAACAGGTAATGATATATCAGCATTTACTTTTCTAATGACGTTTTTGTTAACTCGGGTGGCCAGGGCCCTGTAGTGTCCGCCATTCTTCAAACTTCAAAATAGAATTTGTAAACGAAATAGAATTCTAGAATGGCACGTCATAAAATGTTCGACTTTTGGCCATATAACCTGAAAGAACACCATGAAATTGGAAATGTCTTTAAATATGGAAAATTAGCTACGTATGCTAAAAAATAGGGGGAGATAGAGCCAAAGAAGATACGAAGCTTGTTAGGTCATGAAGTTATGAAACAGAGACCAAACTACAATGATTTGATTGGAAAGAGCCAGTTTTCACGTGGTCATATCTTAAATAATTTCAAAAACTTTTAGCTGATTTCGCATACTTTGAGGCATTCCATGATGCTCTTTTAGGCTTTGTGATCCAAGTTAAACAATTCTGGAAAAAATATGCTTGTGACGTCATCACTTTAGCATTCTATATCGAATTTTTCCAGGCATTCCCCATAAGTGAGATCGTTTTACAATGAGGCTTGCAAGTTGCTCAGAGGTAACTTTAGCAGCTGGAAGGGCATTGGTTAGAGAAATGTCATCAATTTGCCATTCATTTGATATTTAAAAGTCCCAAGATGCCCTAACCATCCCCCCCCCCCCACCACATCTTCCACGACATGCACCAGATAGCAACTATGTCAAGTGCTTTCTTTTTTAGGACGGTAGAGATGCTCAATTCTACACTAATTTGGGGAGTTATCGTAACATTATGAAGCGTTGACCTTGCTATTTTGGAACTATTCAAATGACACAATTATCGTACTTATTATACTGGTACTTCCAGCTTTGTTTTTATAGCCATAAATAGTATTTTTTATGCTAAGTATATCTTTAAATTCTATCTTTGATTGTTTGTTCTTTCATCGTGTAATTGGAACGTCAATGATGGGCGATACCATAAGTTCATTAGTTCAAAGCAACCGAAGCTCGAAAGAAAAAATAATTATGAAGAAATCTAAGAATAATGTAAGTGTAAAACGACAGTCCGTTTAGATGCAGTTCCTTTGAAATCCAAGTCATGTCTTTGTTGACAAACTGTTCTTGCAGCCCTTCTATCTTATATCCTATTGAATAGATTGCGTTAATTAATTTTCTCGCTGTATTTCAAGTTATTTAATAATGCATTTTTTCATATGTAAGCTAATAAGTAAATGAAAGTATTTTGTTAAACATTAAGCATTAATGTTGTTTTTAGTTAGTATACAGGCAACAGTTAATAAGAAACCAAACTGTATATTTTGTTAGCCCCCTTTCCAGTGACCGCCCCTCTCCAATGAGAGCCCCTTTTTGAGCAACAATTTAAATGACCGCTCCCTCTCCAATAAGCACTCCTCAAATATCATAAAAACAGATCGATGAGTCATCATAAGTCATCAGTTACAACGTGTTTAATAAAAGATCTTCTTTCAATTCGAGAAGTTCTCTTTTTGTAAAAGTTGCTTTGTTAAAAGTTTCAATTTGGTTATGTACTCTCATACTGTCATCTAAAAATAGGAATAATTATTGATTTCTTTCAGTTTGTTCATTTTGTTTGCATTTCAAACTTTGTCTCTCGTCTGTGGATTTCAATTTGTTTTTATAAGCGCCTCTCTCTAATGAGCGCCCCCTCTCTTTGGTCAAAAATTAAATGAGCGCCAGGAGCATGTATTAACACCAAAATAGAGAGAATAGGGTATTTTTAACACCACCGAGAAATCAGTTGCCCAATAAGATGGATTGGCTATCCTCTGAATCAGGGCTGCGTAATTTGTTACATGTAGATGGTAATAGTCGGGGAAAAACTTTGTTTCTGTGATATAAGCCCCCAATCGCAGGTCAGTGCTCCCTAACGTACCTTGCCCCGTGGTCTATGGACGAGGATTATGGACGTATTAGACCTAGCCCTTTTGACCATGTGGTGATGTAAAGTTAGGAACACATTTCGTGCAACACTAACGAAGGGATGCAAAGTTTTGTAATGAATTTTGTCGTCAGCTCCCGGATGCGTGAAGCCACAAAAAATATTCTATATTAAGCATCTCATTTTCTATGATCAGCAGCGTTAATTCAGGCGGGTTGAGCACATCTGTATTTCAATTCGTCAAAAGCGGCAGCTCCTAGCATTTTCTATACCCGAAGGAAGGAAGCGTTCTCTAATTTACGTCACCGTAGATTCGTCTCCAGACTCCTTCCAAACGATTGAACAGTGATCAAGGTATTCAGTGTTACCCTGATCGTATTTTAATGTGGTTATACGCTTTTGGTGTATTCAATGGGGGGGTTCTGAGTTGCTACTCCGAGCTCAACCCTTAATGATATCATAAAGCAACTTTATACTGTATACATTTTTGACTACATTTTTCATTTGAAAATATAAGATAATGGGTGGCAATTTTTCATGGATATTTCCGATAACTTCATAACATGTGTAATTTACATGTAAAATCACCCACATAGTTGTTTGGAAAGAAGTTTCAAGCAAACTGGAGAATTTTCACTCACCAAAAACACCAATATATTTTAGATTTGGTCAGTCATAGGTAAATCATTTTAAATTGCAAAGACTCTTTTCATATATAAGAATCCAAGAAAGTCTTTGGGCTCTTGGGCCATAAAAAGGAAAATAGGAATGTGAGAAAAGATTGTTTTTTTTTCAAAGAAATTCCTTGGGAGTCACCTTTTACTGAAATTTTCAAAAAGTAGTATCTATAAATATATGAAATTGTAAACATACATTTTCTGATGAAATGATAAAAATCGAGATACCACACAATATTCCCACACAACTGCTCAAACATATTGACACCTTGATATTCACTAGATAATACAAACATAAATTCAGGTACTTCTAAGAGGCACTACTCAGGCCATTTTTTAGATTAAAAAACTGTCATTGCACATACTAAACCAATTATTCTCTTTGTTTGGGTAACTTGATAATACATGACTTTCAAAGTACGAGCTCTTCTTCTGGTGGTAGATGCAAGAAATATTTGGATACATCATCTGGATTAACATCATCAACAGATGCTGGTGACCACATGGGCTTGTTATCTTTATCAACAAGAACTGCTCTTATGCCTTCATAGAAATCAACACCTTCCATGAATTTCTGGCTCATCCTATACTCCATTGCCAACAAATTCCCTAGTGACAACTCTTTACCCCTTTTCAGTTGTTCCAAAGTGACACACATTGAAGTTGGTGACATTGCTTTCATAATCTTGAGCTGTTTTTTTGCCCAGTCAGATTGGTTTTTCTCTAATTTTTCAAAGATATCATGGACAGATGAAGCTGAGAAGATATCATTTATTGTTTCCAAAGAAGGTGTAAGTGAGAATGTTTGATTAGCCTCTATACTCTTTGAGTGAAATTCTGATAAAATCTCTTTTACGTTTCCAGTGTCGCATTTTAGGAGCTGGTTTTCTAATTCAGGAATTAATTCTGTGTGAACAAAATGGGTCGCAACGCCAGCAAAATAGACATCTACTCCTCTTAACCTATGTCCAGTAAGTGCCAAATAGCAGCCAAGACTTCCTTCCAACCGTGGCAGAAAGTATCCACCACCAACATCTGGAAAGAAGCCAATTGCTGTTTCTGGCATTGCAAATATTGTTTTTTCTGTGGCCACTCTATATTTTCCATGAACAGAAAGGCCAACACCACCTCCCATTGTAATTCCATCAATAATTGCAACAAAGGGTGTTTTTAAAGTGCCTATTTGGTAATTTAGCATGTACTCTTCCTTGAAAAATGTCTTTGTTAGGTCTTCCCCTCTCTTCCCTGCTTCAGCAATAGCCCTGACATCTCCACCAGCACAAAAGGCTTTACTCCCAGCTCCTTTCATTATAATCAGCTGGACATTGCTGTCTTCATCCCATTTCTTAAATTTAGGGTAGATTTCTCTTATCATTGGCAAGTTTAAGGCATTTAAAGCCTTTGGTCTATTTAGCAAGACTGTCCCAACATTGTTTACTGTTTCCAAAACAACTTCGTCATTCGTCCCTCCGTCAGTATACATTCTCTGCTGTGCAAAAACTACAGATGGCTTGTTAGTAGAACTTATAAGATTCCTTAGCTTTGAGCAAAAAGATGCATTTAATCGGGCTGTACGCAACATTTCTTTTCTCTTTGTCTCGGCAAGTGTAGTCACCTAACCCTCCAGTTCTGAAACTGTTCTTTCTGCACTCGTGGATTGCAAACTTATAGCATCCTTGTGGTTTTACCTCGTTTTCACTTCAATTTCAAGATGGCTGTGCAGCAACGTGATAAAGAATGGATTTCATTCGATCCAGAGTTGTCTGAAGTCATCCTCGATGCCTTAAGGATCAGTAATTTCTTGCATCCAACACCTGTTCAGGTTTTCAGATCTTTTTAACATTTTTGTTTGTGATCGACAAATAAATTTTGCGTATATAGGACAAGAATTATGTAAGGTATCTTTCTGTCTTTTCCCCCACCCCAACCACCTTTGTTTCTTTAAATCCATAAGGCCCTAACGACGATAAAAAGTAAATCGGGTTGAGGTAACCAAAGGTTGGGGATTGTTTGCTATTGAAAATCTGGCTTTCAATCGCATGAAATTTTCTACATTATTGTGAGTTGATCTGCCATCTTTGCGTCTCTCTTTGTTGCAGATTAAGATTTTCCTATGTCTGTATGTTTATGATTAGACCAAAGACAAAGGATTTCCTAGCAATCAGGGTGAAAATCAGAGTAAAGGGCTTTTGTAGCAATGCTGTCACCTTGTGAATTAATTTTAATAACACAATATTTTATCTTTCACAAATAGGAAACTTGTATTCCATTGTTTATGTCCAACAAAGATGTAGTGGCTGAAGCTGTGAGTTGTTTTTAGACAATACTACTTTTGTCTTAAATTTAAATTCATTTATATGTGGAAGCTCAAGTGTTCAAAATTAAAGCCTTCAGCCAAATATGTTGGAGGTTGCAATAATTTTGAGTAGTTTGTATTGCGAGTTTTCTTGCAAGTTTTGACTTATTTACTAAACTATGGCATTATGATACATGATTGTCACCAGAGTCAATCTAGTCAAAACTCTAATAAGTACCCCTTTGGGTGAGCACCATCTCTCAAATGTGAATATGTACTTAGTTTATGAAGAGGATTTCAAGGAGGTGAATTTGAAGACCTGAGGTGCTATTCAAAGGATTTATCATATTCAGTTAAGCTTACTACAGAGCTTTATGAAAGCAAAAGACTGAATCATTTTATGGTCCTAAACTACATTTTAAAGTTATTCACATCATCAACTATTGTTTCTTTTTTATTTTGTATACTTTTTAGGTATTAAATGTACCTACTACTTGTTTTTATGTTATTCATAATAGTATAAGAGATTCAAAAGCAGCAAATATTTGAAAAAATATCTTTATTAAGATGAGCAGAACAACTTGATGTGCTGAACAGCATGATTCTAAAATCACTTTGAGTTTTACACTTAACATGGTCATCTGTCAGAGCATAGATCTATCTATAGAGAATAAAGCACTTTACAACAGACTGGAAAATAATATTCTTTATCAGTGATCAAGAGAACATCTGAGGCAACAGACAGAAAATATTCAGCTTTTTTCTTGCAATTATGTTCTCTGTAAACTACTCTCTGTAAATAGAGAATTTGCAACCGCAATGTCATGTTTTTACACCTGTTTATAACATGAATGGACTCCTTAGTATTGCCTCAATGCTTTTTTTGAAAAGTTGATAATTTTCATTGCATATGTATTTAATAAATATTTTAAAACAAGAATACTTTTTGTGGTACAAAACTTGAAAATGGCTTTGAAAAAAACAAACATTTGAAGACATCCTTATACTTTTGATCTGATACTCTTCAGAGTATAAAGAGTCAGAACATAGATCAAAACTTATACGCAAGGAAATATATATATACCAAGTCGTCAAATATGTTTCAAAAAGTTTGCTTTTTTCAAATAATATTTTAAATCATTTATCCTAGGTTACTGGATCAGGAAAGACACTAGCATTTGTAATTCCAATTATAGAGATTCTAATGAAAAGGTCTTGTATTTGCTTACTTTGTTACCTTGAGTGTTATAAATGTATTTGATGATTGTGGGACAGGATCACTGAACATTACAAAGAGACATGAAAAGAACTTGCATGATCCTTAAGACTGTTTTAGAAACATTATTGAAAATTGCTTTGTTGTTCACCCACTGATATCACTTTGTTATAATTATGCATCAAATTATTGATTTGTCAAAAATTGCTGGAAAGCTTGATAGTTATAACATCAGTATGATGTAACCACTGTAGATATTTTTGTAATTATAATGATGTAATCATTACTAGTATATATATAGATGTTGTGTGGCAGAGGCAGGGAGAGTTGTGATGGTTTTAGATATAACGTTGGCTTGGTAAAATTACTTTTTTCTTGGATGTTCTGTTTGTTGTTTGAACTAACTGTTTTTGCAGTAGCTGAACAGTGTTCACAACAGATTGACATTTTTAAAAGTGTTATTGGTATTATCAACAATATCAAACACTTAACATTTTGCCATGAAGCACTCCACTAGGGAAACTAAAAACATTTAAATGAGAGAATTTTCTTCCAGTAAATTTGCAAATAATTTGCTTATACCTAATGACAGACCTGTAAAAAATGATATTCATTATTCATGTGTAGAATAATTGTTTTTGCAGGGAAGAGATGCTCAAGAAACATCAGGCAAGTTTTTCTTTAATCCTTTTTTTTAGTTATTCTCAAGTGAATGATATGTTCTCTAATTTTTTTTCCTTTATAGTTTGTAACAAAAATGCTCCTGTGAAAACCAATTTCAAATATATTGCTTAAGCCGGGATAGTCCCATTAAAAGCTCATAGACAATTGTGCTTTGGTTTGAAATTTACAAAAATGTAGTGTTGGACTTATTGTGCTGTATGAAAATTACATTTAATTTGCTTGTCAGAGAGGGACACAGTATCCTCCGACCCTATGACTTTAGAGAAAATACTTTTATGAATTAATATAAAATCATTAATTGATCTTCTTTTAATGCTGAGGGCATTATATTTGATTTTTTTTTCAACAATTTTTCTCACAATATGAAAAGGTTTTGAACTGATTAATGACAAGAAATGGAAATATTTTTTAAAAGTTCACTTTATTGGCAACATTAAAATCATTAGACTAAAAAATTGTTAATGGCTTTGAAAAAAGCAAACATTTTACAACATACTTAAAGCTTTTTCGTCTGACACTCCTCAGAGCATAAAACGTCAGAATAGGTTCCGAAAAAACACGATGGAAAAATATATACCCAGTTGTGGATCGAAATAGGCCAATCAGAAAAACGCAAGCACAAGACCGGTATAGTTGACCAACCAGTGCCGCGAGCCTAAAGAAAAATTACCAATGGAGTCCAAGAGAGAAAACGAACTCCTTTTGTCTACACAATGGCGGCTTTTTCGTTTTTATGTAGATTGACTCCAAAACTGCTAGATGGAAGGACGACCGGGCTCTGCCAGTTTCAAGCGTAGCCAGCTACGTTTGAAACTACCATGGATTGGAAACACTTCCTTGCGATTCGAGAGTCAGATTAGGCAAGCCATAACCAATTGTTTCTTTGCTGTCAATCCTCGGATTGTTTACAGCACTAGGAGAGCCCTTCCATCCATTCAAAAGGATTGCGTCCCTACCAAACAAAAAAGTTCCGTCATTTATGAATTTACGTGCCAGTGTGATTCTGGCTACGTAGGGCGCACAACCCAAAGATTGGGGGATAGGATAAAACAGCATGTTCCTTCCAACATACGAAACAAAACTGCCCCTCAAAGAGAACAGCCTCCTCGATCTAGTAGGTCTAGAAACACTGTTAAAACAAGTGATTCTGCCATTGGTCAACATCTTTTAGACAACCCAGATTGTGCAAAACTCTATAATGACGACATGTTTCGGATAATTGGCAGAGCCCGGTCGTCCTTCCATCTAGCAGTTTTGGATTCAATCTACATAAAAACGAAAAAGCCGCCATTGTGTAGACAAAAGGAGTTCGTTTTCTCTCTTGGACTCCATTGGTAATTTTTCTTTAGGCTCGCGGCACTGATTGGTCAACTATACCGGTCTTGTGCTTGCGTTTTTCTGATTGGCCTATTTCGATCCACAACTGGGTATATATTTTTCAAACATGTTTTTTCGGAACCTATTCTGACGTTTTATGCTCTGAGGAGTGTCAGACGAAAAAGCTTTAAGTATGTTGTAAAATGTTTGCTTTTTTCAAAGCCATTTTCAAATTCTGTACCGCAAAAAAATTGTTAAAAAATTGTTGGTAACATTTAAATTTTTTTTAGACAAAGTGGGTTTGTTGAACTAAGATGATTTTCGTAGAACTTGTTTAGCAGGTTTGGGTGTTTAGAAAATCTGGATATCATTGTATTTGTTTGTATTTCACAGATAGGTGCTGTCATCATCACCCCAACACGTGAACTTGCAATTCAGATTGATAAAGTTTTGCAGCTTTTGCTCAAAAACATATCTTTGAGGTAAATCTATAAGCATCTTTTTCAAATTTATACTCCATCTATACCTGAATATTTCGTTTAGATATGATTATTTTTTACAGTTTTAAAGATAGTTAGATGTCAACCTAATGTAATTCAAAGAAAGTAAGATACATCACTTTCTGGTCTATCTTGAAAATTCTACTTGCTTACCCATCTACAATTATTTTTTTATCTTTTGAAACTACCAAACCTACTTTATGGCACCCCTTTTAAACCTTGTTATCAACCATTTGACTATTTCTTCGAAGCATAGTGTGTTGATTCTTTTCTGATACACACCGTATCTTGATATTCTTTTTCTGAATTTTGATAAGCTTTAAAATTGGTCTTTTTGAAGCTCTGCATTGAATATTATGGTGTTTATTGTTTGTTTGTCTGAGTTTTTGACAGCAATGCTGATCTAATGAAAACGTTTTATGGATGACAAGGCTCCACACGTGAGGCAAGAGATGCAAGGGCCGAATGTTCTGTTTAGGGATGCAAGGACCGAGATACAACTTTTTGTTAGGGGGGGGGGGCCAGCATGGCCGACATGAAAGGGGACGTGAAGGGTGTGAGACAACCTTAAAAAAATCATATTTCAAGAGCGTAGAGATTTTGCCATCAAGAGATGCCTGGTTGGCAAATTTTCAAACCTGTCAGCAAATAAACGATTATTTTTCGGCAAATTTGACGGTCCTAGGGGATCCCTGCTGAATATATATAACAATAGCTGTCACCGACAGTGCCAAACCAAATTAATTTTGGTTGTGAGAAAAGTTTTATTACTGAAAATTTTTTTTTTCTAAAGAGGTTAAATGACCACACATTTTAAGATCAATATTTTAAGTGTGACGAACTAAGGCAGCAAAAACTGGACTCCTTATCTGCAAACCAAAAAATCTAAAACATTAATATCATTAATATCTGCTTAACTATGTGGTAATATTTTCAACAAAACAACAAAAAGATTGATGATTAATAAGTAACCTCACCGACTTCCAACAAAACAAAATTAAACAAAAAAATTTTTTTTTAAAAATATGTGGCAAAACAGCTATTTCCTATAGGGAGGTACATAATTGTACCTGTACTGAGAGTTTCTAAGAAATATCAGATCTTAAATAAAGATATACCATTAGATTTCTTAGACTAAAAGATCTACGACAAAAAGTCTCTAAAATGATTTGTTCTTAGAATTGGAGTTTATAAGTGCTTTCTTATAAAAATGTAAGTATCCAAACGACGTTGGAAAGAGTGGGACCTCGATAAGTGAAACTTTTGCAGTATTCATGGGAATTAATTCCTTTGAAATGTGCAAATGATATTTCCGCCAATATTAACTCAATAGTGGTTTTTAATAGCAAATGCTCGTCCTTGCCCCCATTTACCCGAAGTTTTGGTTAACTGGGGCATTCGCTAAGTGAAACAGATTTTGTGGAACCATATCCCCTTGAAGTCCTAAAGAATAAGATTTTAATTTACCATAGTTATACTATACATAAAGATCAATCTTTCAACAAATGTGACAAATCGCTGGGTGAAAATTTACCCAGATGATTATCTCTTTTGTCATTTAAAGAAACAAAATCATTTGCCACCGATATCAATTGTTCTGTTATTTCCTTGTGCACATGTAATGTCATCAAATGACTCAATTTTGACTGCTTCATATTTGTACGTAAATATGTCTTTATTCTCCGTAGTCCGGAAAAACTTCTTTTAGAAACAGCATTGGTCGCAGGCATTACAAGTAACAGCTTCAGAACTATTATAACTTGTGCAGCGATTTTTAACCCTTTTGATCGTATTTCTCAAAGTACTAAATAGTAATACGAAAGTGTTTTACTTATGGAACTAAAATTTTTGGGGTGTACAGTGCCCCCCCCCCCTATATCTCGGTCCTTGTAGGGATGTACAGTGCCTGCCAAAAGTCTTGAAACACCAACAGCAATTTGTCTTTCACATTAGCGGTGTCTTTCACATTTTTGTAATATTCTCCGTAGAAACACATTTTTTTAAAGGTAACCTGTAGTTTTGTAACTGAGATGGCTTAAGTCTAACCCTAAAACTTCTTTTTGGAAAATGGGGCAGCGTAGCTATTTCTAAAGGCGTAAATTGAACCAGATGGAGAACTGACTGAAACTGTTTAGGCGTTCAAACTACTTTTTTGCAAGCATTGCATTAGACTTCGTGATAAAGACGATGGTTGTCTCCTTCCAACGCTGGTGTCGTATAAAATTCAAAAAACTTCACATTAACTATCTCCGCCAATCAATCTTATAAGATAAGATTTTGTTTTACATTCAATGATCGTTTTGCAGTTCACCGTTGTCAATGCCGGCTTTTTTTATCTGTTTTTTTGTTTTCCTGTGAATTTCATCTGAATGTCATTTTCATCGACCGACTGATGCGAATCACCGTTACACCTACATTCCTGGTTTGCTTCAAAACTCTCGTTGGCAACAGCTCCTTTGACATTTCTCTTTCGCGAGTTCCTGCGCTTTTTTCGAATACTTAGAGTTTGAATGGTAGATGATGCTCCCGAAAGTAGCGAGGCAATTAGGCCCATGGCAAATGAACCAAATATGAAGATGAACAAAATCCACTGTATTGTACGCTCTTGCTGCCACTTTATATCACCATAACCAATAGTTGTGACAGTTTGGAATGTAAAGTACAGGGAATCAATGAAAGATAAATTTTTGTTTTTCTTCGACATTAACAAGGAAGCTGTCAGAATACAGAGTATGAGCGCAGTGACTGTTAATGCGGTTCTTTTCTTTTTCGTATTCTGAACATTCAATCTCTTCAGCAGTTTTGATTCAATAAAGTTTATGACAAAACTGTTGAACTTGATCACAAGCTCTCCTGCCACTGCATACAATGCCATTGCCAAAGGGATTCCCATCACAGCGTAAAGCATCATTGCTACTTTTCCCAAAGACGTTTTTGGAGTGGTGTTTCCAAACCCTGTTAACAAATCCAATGTTACTTAATTCCGCTCCCCTATTATTTTACACTTTACACATGAAATATGTTTTACGAGTTTCCATATTAGAGAAATAAACTTGTGAATAGGGACTTTTTTATGAGAGAGAGTTATATGATCAGATTCCAATACTTTATTATGTTTCACGGTTATTAAGTTTTAATCAGAAGCCTATCGGAACACAGTTTTCATTATTCAGAGAACTTAAAGGCTTATAACAGAAAAATAAACCTTGTCACCAAAGGATCTCCATACTCACCTACTGTCGAGCTCGATACAATTGTAAACTCCCACCATTTCACTATCATCTTTTGCCCGAACGAGCATGTGCGTCTGCTTGCATGCCTGAAAAAGCTTGTTGAAACATTGATAATGCTTTCATGTTCCTCTGCAGTCATGTTTTCAATACCCTTCAAGTACCTCATGAAATTAACTTCCTCTTGGCCTATCGTCACACCTCGAGGAAGGCATTCTTCTAGCTCAATGAAAAGTATTGCCCCAGCAAAAGTATAAACCAAGTTCAACGCTGTTAACGCTATCAAATTTGTGCTGTTTTTTAGTAGTGTCTTTATCATTTTCATCTTCGTAGTTGGATCGCATTAAAAGTTTTACCTTCTGCTCAAAAGCATGTTGTTTTGGCATGTCCATGGAAAATTTTTCTTTCTTGCCTCTTTAACACACTTTAATCGGCATTTTATGCGTTCGTTACCCTGAAGGGTCTTCTCAGTAATGTCGAATACAAAAATGTGAATATTCATGAGGCAAGAGGTCTTATAAATTATGAAATTTTAATCCTCGTCTCATTCATCTTCAATTATTAAACAAAGCGGTTTTTGTTGAATGGTTTTAGCAAGTAGATTGCCACCTGTCGAGTGTTTTGTCGTTTTTTTCCTCATACTTTACCCTTGCTGCTGAAAAATTCAGCTTCAATTTGCAAATTTTGCGGCTTAATAACTGTCAGTCGTATTGACTTGAACTTAACAGCAGGCTGTTATGTTTTGACATAATTGAAATACGTAAAGTTTAATAACATGCAATGATGCCTTTATTTGCCATATTTTGCTTGTTATTCTGCGATTGCACTCTTTTAGCAGCTGCTTATTAGTCCCAGCTTTGATTAATTTTAAAATAATTTTTGTTATTGAAAAAAACCAAGCGGAGAAAAGGGGAATGGTCGCTCGAGAGCGAAATTTATGGGACCAAGTTCATTTGGTTAATTCAAGCGTGATGATTTCGAAAATCAATGTTATACGGGGATTTTGGGGGCCATCAGCCTCTTTTTCGTGTTTGAAGTCTCGTTTTTACGTATATGAAAGTAATCAATGAAAAAACAGCTGAAATGGAAATAAGTTAAAGTCTTACAGTTAATTAAGCATATTTTTTGCGCATAAATGCTTAAAATTGAATTATGGTCTGTTAAGGGGGGCCAAAAGCCTCGTTTTCACGAGAAAATTGCGTAATCTTAAAATTTTTATCCTTAAATAGACATCTAAAAAACGTAATACTAAATTTTGAGACTAATTTTTGAATTGTCGTCCGAAGAAACTATGCAGCGCTATTAATTACTAACTGATAAACGACACTATAAAAAATACAACCGGATCATCTTAACGTAATTTAATTGTTTCAAAGTTCCTCAAGATCGTCTTCTGAGACACTGCACACGACACTCTAAGCCTTAAACTCTTTTTCACTCTGACAATGGAATCCTCATTCACCTCAATCATGATCTATTTACTAGAAGCCCAGCTGATGCATCAAACCACCTTGAAAATCAAAGAGATTTAGTTTGCATGCAGAATATAAAGCCTTGTGTTTTCTTCTTGCTATAACAATGTTTCTAGTTATACTTGGTCTTGTATTTCATATAAATCAAAGCACATATTGAGTGAATCTTCTCTGACACATATTGCTTGTGCAGAAGTTCGGAAGACATTCAGAGATAAAAAATCTCAGTCTTCTGCCGCCATGTGAAGAAAACACAAGGCTTTATATTCTGCATGCAAACTAAATCTCTTTGATTTTCAAGGTGGTTTGATGCATCAGCTGGGCTTCTAGTAAATAGATCATGATTGAGGTGAATGAGGATTCCATTGTCAGAGTGAAAAAGAGCTTAAGGCTTAGAGTGTCGTGTGCAGTGTCTCAGAAGACGATCTTGAGGAACTTTGAAACCATTAAATTACGTTAAGATGATCCGGTTGTTTTTTTACATTTTTATTTATCAGTTAGTAATTATTAGCGCTGCATAGTTTCTTCGGACGACAATTCAAAAATAAGCCTCGACATTTAGTATTAAGTTTTTTAGATGTCTATTTAAGGATAAAAATTTTAAGATTAAGCAATTTTCTCGTGAAAACGAGGCTTTTGGCCCCCCTTAACAGACCATAATTCAATTTTTAGCATTTGTGCGCAAGAAATATGCTTAATTAATTTTTAGACTTTAACTTATTTCCATTTTAGCTGTTTTTTTATTGATTACTTTCATATACGCAAAAACGAGACTTCAAACACGAAAAAGAGGCTGATGGCCCCCAAAATCCCCGTATAACATAGATTTTAGAAATCAGCCCGCTCGAAATGATCAAAAGCACTTGGTCCCATAGATTTCGCTCTCGAGTGACCATTCCCCTATTCTCCGCCTGGTCGAAAAGAAGAGTTTGATGAATCCTTGTTGCGACAATGCTACTGTCGTATTGGCCGTGAATTCTAGGCAACTCAAAAAATTATTTGCTATATACAACGCTACGGTTATTATTTTTGAAAGTCTTCTGGTTTGCCTCGCAGAAACTGTTTTTAATCTAATCCAGCCGCCTTTATTGCTTACAACTTGATAAAAGCGTTCTGTAAATCGAATTTTTCATCGAAATCCGTGCATTATTCGTTTTCGATCGAAGTTAGAATACCACTTAGCAAATTGGTCTCTGCTGTGTGCGTATGACCGGTTACTTAGCCAACAGAAGTACCAATTGTCTCTTCTTGTCGTCAGAAGCACAAACAGATTGCTCTTACTCAGCACAAAAGATATCCAACTGGCCAAACTCTTTTCAACCATTCTTTTCACAGTGTTTGTTCTTGTTGGAAACCGTACTGTGTGAATTTACATTTGTGACTGTCTTCTTCGACACTGCTCTTTTTTGGTATCTTCCATTTGCTTCTCGAGATAGAGATTCTTCTTAAACTTTTTCCTGCTTTAGCTGTCTGAATAAGCGTGGTTATTGAAGTGATGAGCGAAGCCGTGACACCCATCCCAAACGACGCCGTCATAAGCACAAAGATAAATGTGGCAGTACCCAAGTCTGATTCCTTTAGATACATGTCCCCATACCCGATTGTTGTAAGTACCTGAAACGTATAGTAGAAACTGTCGATGTACGACCAGGCGTCTTTTGTTAAGTGCCTTACAAAAAATCCACCGATTATAAGAGCAAGTAACGATAATAACAGAGTAAGTCCGAACCTCTTCTGCGGCATTTTAGTCACTTCCACTTTCTGTAGATAACCGACTTCGACTTTCTCTAGCATGATATCGATGATATTTGTTATAATCTCTCCAGCTATTGCAAATAACGCCATCGTCAATGGTATTCCCAGTGCACAACAAAACACTGTACATAGCCTTCCATATTGTGTCTTTGGGGTAACGTGTCCAAATCCTGTGACCATGAAAGAGATAGGTTCATCAATATGATTTTTTCTATCTGAATGGGAATTTTACGATAATTGAAACTTTAATTTTTGCTAGATAATGCTAATTTCTCTGTAAAGCCAATTCTTTTTTTCTACTTCTAAGCTAATTGACTATTTCTTGTCTTATTGGTCTTGCTAAAAGGGTCCTTAAAAGTGTCTTTAAGGTTACAGGCTTTTTAATTACTTTTTTGGAAGTAGCAAAGAATGATACACATAAACTCTTCTTTTCACTTTATGAATTTTAGCTTTGGATGTTATGTTAATTGTTATGAATCCGCCATTTTATCCCAGCGTATGCATATATCCATTTCACAAATTCGCTCAACCTGCAGTTTTTTTATTTTCACTAGAAGCTCGCTGTGTACATGCTATGTAATCAAGTCTATAAAGTTAACACCGAAGAAAGTTTTCAATTGAAGGATTCGTACCTACTGTCGAGCATGAGACTAAAACGAATTCCCACCATTTGAAAATATTCTTTTGTCCATATGAACATTGAAGCGATTTCTTTTTAGTAAAAAATTCAGCTGTAATGTTCAGTATTTTCTGTTTCTGCCTGCTTGTTATATCTTCCATTCCTTTGACAAAATCTGTAAATTTTTCTCTAGTTTCACTTATGGCAGTTTTTTCTCTTTGTGGAAGGCACTCTTCCAAATATATGAAAAAAATTGCCCAAGCCATTGCATATATCTCTTGGGTCAAAAGCAATCCAAAGAGCCGGAAAGAAAGAAGTCTCAATTTTCTCGTCATCTTCCAATGCTGTAATTACTTTCTTTGCACTATTTCATCTATATTAAGTCTCGCTGAAAGAGGAATGTTATTGAAGCTATAATTACTTTATCTCCTTTTCCACTTTCCCTTCAGATGCGTGAACAGTAAACAAATCCGTTTTGCTGCACACGAAGTCTCCCTAAGACATGGCAACCGCTTTTTAAGTTGCAATGTTTGCTTTTAAATTGTCTTGCTTTTGAAGAATTACCTACAATTTGCCGTTGTTTATCCTAACAAGCATTTGACTGCTGGTCCTACGGCAGGTGAAATGGACCTTTCAGAAGCAATTATGCCAAACATGTTCTCGGTCGTTTTCGTCTGGTCCTTTGTGAATTTCACAAACAAGTACCTGTGAGTTAAGAGTGTTTTCAATATCATCCCTTCACCTTGTCGAAGAATTCCCACGATTTAAATCGCATATCATTTCAGCCTTTCAAAATTTTTGAGCTGATTGAATATTAATTTTTGGCTCTTAGCTGTTTTTTTTAATTTCATTTAAGTTTACTTCAGGTTTACGCTTGTAAGTTTTTTACAGTTGTTCACAGCTGTATTTCCTATTTTTTTCTAATGTTAAAACAGCTGCTGGTACTTGCTAGCTTCAATGGCTTCCTCTTTCGAGAATGTTTCTATGGAAAACTAAAGTATTTGTGTATGTCTGTTTTATTGATTGCCGAGCCTCTATTCGATCTAAAGAAGGGTTATGGATAACGAGGTTCATCAATTGATCTGGTAGTAGGAAAAACCTTTACTAGAGTTAGAGCTCTTGCCCCTTTCTGCTCGTCCCTATCCGGAATCTCCTTCCTTTCTCCTTACATGGCGTGCTGCATCTTATGCCGTGAGTAGTTAAAGTCTAGAAAATCTGAAGAATATTTAGAAACAGACTCTTTTGCTCCCCTGACGAAAATTTCACAAATATGACTCCGAGATGTATGTGATAAAAGTACGGAGAAGTGAAAACCTAAAATGTTATTTCGTGTAGCACCAATGGTAGAATAATAACTGCTTGATGGACAAGTGCTTCATGTCTTTGTATCTAGATTGAGCAGAAAATAGAAAAGCGCACCTCATAAGGATGAAAGTAGAATACAAGGTCACTACTGACCTTTGTATATTTGGGCATAGAAAGCTCTATAGTTTTTTTCTCAAATACCATTCCAGTCTTGCCACCCTGGTTTGATTTGGCAATTGACGCAAGCGTTTATTTTCTTCCTAAGGAAACTAGGCATGATATAGTTTCATTGACAACATCATATGAACATCTAACATCGAATTTGCATTCGTAAGCAATGATCTCTCTACTAGCAATGGTATCTGCTTCTGAAGACCACTCTGGAAACCATTGTTGATGGGTACGATACAATGCTTCTGTTAATAGTTAGTGATGTTGAATTCCTTGGCCTAGCCTTCGGGCTATTTACACTATGTATGGTCTCTTTTAGTGAAGAGTGTTTCGGAAGTATCGGGGGGTTCGTGAGCTTTATGAGTCCTGGAATTATTACAATGCGCTACTTTCAATTAATCAAAGCCTTTGCTCTTTGTACAACAATATAACTCATTTTCAAGTAGCAGCTTCCTACATGTCAGTTCATACATCACAATTTTATGAGATAAACACACGGAAAGAGCTTTATTTCTGCATTTTGAATTTTCACCGTGTAAAAGCATTGTTTCAAGCGGTAAAACTATCTCAACTCATTTGAACGACTTTGTCATCAAAATTTTTTCCGTTGCAAGCGAAGCCACACATTCTTTGTCGGAGTATTAATTCTCCATTTTATATCAAAACGAACAAGTTGTTTAGATCTACACAACGCCGAGACTAGACCACCCAAACGAAATTAGCTGCTCCAAGCAATTTTCCTACATCATAAGTTATTTTATCAAGAAGAAAACACACACTTTTCATAAAAAGTTTTAAGCATGTTTAACACCTTTGAGGTGGATTGACATACAAGTATTTGTCTGTTGGTAAGTTTCGTTTATTTGTTCGCAAAGTATCCAGCTGGAGTTAATAGGTGTACTTTTATGGGGTGCTGAATTTGGTGTTAATTTCCAAGAAATAGGTATGTAATGTATCTGAAACTTTATTTAACACTTCCCTGTGAGAACTTAGTGTTTTAAATAATCAACAGGCTAATATTTTGGAATAAAAACTCTTTCCATAAAGATCCCAGTCAGCCTGGAAATACACAGGGTTTTTATCAAGATCAATAAAAACAAAACATTCTCATTTACAGCATCAAATACCAGATACGTCATCAATTGCATGCAATTTTTTAATATTCATTTACATTCTGCAAAGTTCTTGAGGAAAACTATGATTTAAACTCCATGAATTGAATAGAAACATGTTTCATAACCTAAAGATTCTCATATCCAATTATTGTCAATCGTATATAAAACAGACTGACAAGTCAAATTTTAGGGTCTTTGACTTCTGAATGAGATAGGTTTCTAAAAGGTCATGATTTCAGCCCTTTGGCTGTTGTGCAGTAAAGAATCGCTCGCTAGTTGTGAAATTTTTGAATATGTATAATTTTATTGGCAACTGTGTCTCGACTTTGAATGGCACTCGCTTGGGGATGATATTGATGTTACGGACCTATATGGAACGTATATGCGACCAAAAATCTTTGTAGAACATGCAAGTCTCTTTTTGGCTCTAGTCTTTATCTTACCCCAACTGACTCTTCTCTGGACCCTATATCTGGACTTTCGCCAAAGCCCGTGTAAACAAGTTTGAGCGTCTGGTTCCATTCCCCCTGTAAATTCCATCTTACTTTAACCTGTTTCTATAAATTGATATTCAAAATATAGTTTCTGAAGCTGCGTTTCCTATATTCCAGGTTTTTTTCTTCCTTTTCAAGCGCCTAGAAATTTTACCAAGGCCCAAGCTTTTAGTTAATGTTGCGATTGAAGATATGAGAGAGGCAGTTATTCCTAGCCCAAATATCTGCATTACACGGAGTATTATTTCAATCCAATCATTGTGGGCTGCTTCAGGATACACATCTCCATATCCAATCGTAGTCAGGGTCTGGAACCAGAAATAGCAGCTATCGAGTGCTGATAATCCGCCTTGCGATTCTAAGGTATTGAAAAAGGCAACTGTAGTGAAATAAACAATAAAGAGTATTGCAAGCACCAAAAAGGTCTTATTGTCCAGCCGTTTGATGTTTGATCTTTTTAGACATTTTGTTTCGATCAGTTTTACACCGTTTCGGATACTCCTTGTCACTAGATCTGAGGCACAAGTATACATGGATACTGAGCATGGAATTCCGATTGATGCAAACAGGATCGTCACAAGTTTGCCAAGGTCTGACTTCGGTGTTGTGTGTCCATAACCTATAAAGAAATGGTGCCTCTTTATCACTGGGGCAAATGTATACGAAATTCGTTTCTTAAGCATTTCAAGAAGGATTTCAAGAACGCCTTGGCAGCATTGTTGTCTCTTAACAGCGAAACTCTTAATCTTGCTTGGGCTTCAGAATCTTCTTGAAGTTTATAGAGTTTGCTAAAGACCCAGCGCAGGAAAATACCAATACCATCTCAGTATACCTTGGCAATCTACTATTGCATATCGAAATTTTATGATTTGAAATTCTGTGTAAGAGAATGATTTGCCTGATCTCATGGAGGTTGGATATAAGACATAACTACTATGGGACAATTTTACCAATCAAATTTGCAAAGCTATTAGCCTTTTATTTTTAGAAGTATAGTTCTTCTGTTGAAATTCTAATGTTCATGATGCATTATTGTTAAACAGATAAAGCTCAGTGTAGTAACAGACCAAAGTTACCTTTAGTTAAATAACACAGAGTCTCGAACCTTTTAGGGCCCCCAGCAACATTTTTTCTTTTCTATTTTTCCTAAGGGACGCAGCTGCTCGTTACACCATTAATAAAAATATTTGAAATAATGACAACAGCCTTGATAGAGCTGTAATCGGTGTCTTGTAGCTAATTTTGGGCCACCACGCAACTGCTTTGCATTCTACTGCATTCATTTTTTTGATAAGAAACAAAGGTCGATGTTGAATACTCCAGTTTCTTAATGTTCTGAAAATTTCAATACTTACTGCTTCTTAAGAGGTTTTTAATTAAGATGTCATGAATGATGTTATGAATGTTCGTGACCTTTTTTCACGTCAAGAGATTCGCTTCCGTTCAGATGCTGTATTTAGATGTGGGAAGTATACTTTTATCCCTTGTGTCTCAAGTTCTAGGCCAACAGGGCAACCATGTAGATTCGCCAGTGCTTACATGCATGCTGGTTAGAAGAAAAATCAATAAAGTAGCTTTTAGCAGGGTATCTGTAAAAATTTAATGAAACCCAAACTGCCTACCTATAGTGTAGCAAGTTACTGTTGTAAATTTCCACCATTTTGCAAGGTTGTCGTGACTAAATGAACATTCTTTTTTTTCCATATTTTCATAATATTGAGTTGTAATATTTAGATATATCCCCTTTTCTTTCTGGCTCATCGTGGTGTCTTTCTCAGCGTAGTCCACCATGGCTTTGTAAGTGCTGCTTGAGATGACGTCAGTACCGTAGCACTCCTCCATTAATATATACAAGATGGCGCCAACAAATGTGTAAGTGAACTGCAGAACTGTCCAACCAAACAGTCGCTTCAGCGGCAGCTTTTCGTAGTTTATTGAGCCAATCTCTTTGCTTACCTCGTTGTCTTCCATCGTAAGAGTGTTTCGATCTCGTTACGACCATCAAAGAATCTTGTCACGACCACTTTCGGTATGTTTCGCTACATCTTAGTGTCTGTGAAGTAGAGGCAGTAGACAATTAGAAACGTTTCTTGTTTTCGATTTTTATTGTAAGAAGAGGGAGATTCTGTAAAGGCCAAGAAATGTAATTCGTATTACTTATTTGGATTCGATACGAGAACTGCACATCTTTTTGAAGGGACCTGTGACATGTTTTCTGGTTTCATCAGACATGTAGTGCTGTGTGACGTCAAGGCTGGAAGTGGATAGACTAACTTATTCAATGCGGCTTTAGATATCTCACATTTACGTTATCATTGTAAACGAAATGTTTGTCAGTGTACCCTGACATTAACAAGACGATAGTAGTTGTGACATTGATTTAGTAGTCCATGCATACCCGTTCAAGCAACTGCATGTTCTGCATTACACACTTTCTGTCCTTCTTATTTCAGTCGTTTTAGGAATTTTGTAATTGTTGTTTTTCATTAAAAAATGCGAATACAATATTGCAATGACCAGATACCATTATTAGTTACATGTAAATTAACAGAACATTCGTTAAAATGAGACTTTCAGGAGAAATTTCAGACATTTACGTACCATTTCTCGTTCAAATACTCGAATAAACTGTTTCAATGACCAAATACCTTGATGTTCACTCTTAGTCGAATGTAAATTAACTCTGTCTTTAAACCGATTTGTAATTATTTGTATTCCTATTTGTTAGCCATCATGTATTCGTTGGAGGAACAGATCCTAGTGCAGATGTTGAAAGATTCAAAACTGAAGGGTATGTTTGATTTCTTCGTAGTCCTTTATATGTATCAACTAACAAATCAGCCTAAAGAGATGTGTCATCTGGAATGAAGACAGTGTTTGCAATCAAACTCATTTTCTTGATTTGCATGTAGCATAGAATTCAACATAGAAATATGAAGTTCTTGTTCTTCGCAAATGCCCACGGACATGTGTTCACAGTATCGTCATAAATCAAGTGGAAAGTATTTTACTCTCAAGTATTAAGACGTTGACCCCTTAAGGATGATTTTCGTAATATGTCTATCCTCATAAACTGTACACTTTTAAATTCAATTATGATGATCAAGTGCTATTCCTTGGTAGCATGTTGTACCCTAATTGTCTGCCATAGAGCTGAATTTTGTGGCGTTTTAGAAATGGAATGGCATTTGCATATTATAGAGTGGAAGTTTTACACCTATAATATCCATATAAATAAAAGCCCGACTTTGTTTTGAATTTTCCTCAAAATAACTAAGCACACAATCCTGTTCGGAGCTTTTCTTTCCAAGTAAAATACCACGTAGTAAGTGTTATCCTCCAGAGCGTCATTTCAAGCACAAATTTCAGGCATCTGAATATTCTGAATCTCTATTTAATTTATTAAGAGTTTTCGTAATGTAATTTTATTTGTGAATAATAGTTTTATTAAAAACTATATTATTGAAGCGTATCATTTGAAAACAATGAGCTAAACAAAGTTTCACAAAATAATTTGAATTTGCTCACAATTGCATTAATTGCCCTCGAATGTTCATAACTGCAACTCTAGAATGTTCATAATTTATTGTTCCAGAGAATTTACAGGTTACCATTTCTTCATAACCTACCACAACTCCTCGACCATTTGTTGCATCCAGTTGTTGCTTCAACTCAGGATCGAAACTGTACTTGAGATTTGCTAACTCCTTCAACACTGTGTTTGTGTAAACATGTGTTTTTATCATTTCATGGACTGTATTTATCGCAGGTTCGCTTTAAGCAAAGATAGGGATTGATGGTGGCTGCATTCATTGCTATCTCTCTCTTTGATATAAAAAGAAACATTTTTCTGCTTTTATGTAAACAATGTATTAAAAATTCATACAGAAGCGCAGCATGAGTAAGATTGGTGAAAACGTCGGGATGTTTTTAATGACACTTTTGTAGCCTCCATGTATCGGTTGGCGTATACCTTTGCTAGCAAGAACCTTGCCTTCCTCATTGTTTTCCAACATTACAGCTTTAGTTGCTTCCTGTCTTTCACAATTTGCAAACACGTCGAGCAAATTCTTATCCGTTTTAGATAGCTACCTACCATCACAGTGTAAGACAGCTTTTCATTTTGTAATGTTGCAAAAAGTCCTCGACATCCATGGCAGTAAATGTACCTTTTGAATGTATCTAAATTATGCCTAACCAAACCATCTTTTTATCTTCGGGGCAAACTGGGGGCACCTTCGGTCCTTAGTTATTGAAGTAAAGGGCCTGTATTATGTATAAATGTTATTTAGTGTAAATGTTATATATTATGTATAAATGTTATATATGACTGGGTGTGCCAGTTTGGTCCTCCATTCTTATTTTGCTCTACTTTGGTGGTTTATTGGTAATACCTGATGTCATATTACCTTATACAGTATTTCCTTTTGAATGCTTAGTTGGGCATACCACTCCCACCTTATTCTAATCTGCATCCTCCTTATACATCAGGCCCTTGATTGTGGCACTTCAAGGCTCTTGCTTAGGCTCTTCCCTTGTAAAAAGACTTCGCGTCTTTACATGCAAAAGTCCCAGTTTAGCTGTTTCTATGTCAACCTTTAACGCCATCAGGAATTATTTTGGGCTTGAAACATGCAAAATATCCATCTTTGTTGTTTCAGAAAATGTGAAATCTGAAATCTTAGACAAAGCCAAATTCATTTCTGCTTTTTTACCCAAATACAAAATCATAACAGAGATAATGATGACAGATTGAGGTAGGAGGCCGGTAGGAATTAATGGGAACAGGTGCAAACCGGTTTAAAAATGCAAATAAATCCAGCTTTGTATTGAGGAGTGACACTTCCCTTCCATGAAGGTGATTAGTTCCTGCGAATCAACTGTGTTTCATCAAGTTTTTCTTTGCATATTTTATTGTGTCTTAAATTTGTTTTGTAGAGCACACATTGTTGTTGCCACCCCTGGTAGACTTGTGGACTTGCTGCAGCGGAGGCAAGATACGATTGATTTTCGGTCATGTCTCAAATTCGTTGTAGGTTGTTTTCCTTTTCGGTATATTTACTTAGCGTTACTCGTTGACCTGATTGTTTCAATGGAGTTTTAAAGTGATGACGTCACAAAATATTTCTTTTTTATTTTGGACCAGGTAACAGAAAGATCATTATGATTATCTCTCAATGTGCGGAATTTGCTGGGTTAGCAATTGGCTGAGATATGGCAAGAATTAAGACTCTTTCCCCATATCAAATCATTGTAATTTGGTTAATTTGGTCATTGTTTATAATTTTTAAAAGGGCGAACACAAAAGGCCGTTTGCAAACTTAAATCTTTTGTTGGCCATTCCTCAACCAAATATCAGCATTTCAAGCTGATTTTCCATATTTAGGGATGTTTTTGTTTGTTTAGGAATTGGTTTTTTTGCCGTCACACTTTAGAACTCTGTTTCAGAGCCCAGAGTAATTAGGGGTTTTACGGTTGGCAACCACGAAAGAGGTTGTTGATAAGAAATTGCCGCTGCTTTTTGTTAGTATTTTTCTAAGGAAGGTTCAAAAGTCTAGGGTAATTGACCAGAGGAAAAAGTCACTACCCTGAACTCTGCTTACATTGCGTTATAATAATTTCTAACGCCAGATATTCGACAGAGAATCAGCTAATGTAGAAGCAAAACTATACGCCAGTCATTCTTAAACTCCGGCTTGGGGCCAGCTGCGGCCCGCCGAGCGCTTTATCTCAAGCTAATGCTTTATTTCCAAACAGTGATTTATTTATTTTTTCTCTCCATCTTATTTTGGTTTTATTCATTTGTAAAAAGTTGATTATTCGCTGTTATGCTAAGATAATTCCAAAACTTTGGAAGAGCCTTTCTTTTCATCTCAACATTAAAATAGATAAAACTATGGAACCGTTAGCTTTTCTCCCGCCAAATTCTATCTTAGATGCAGTTTCTGGCCATCCCTAGATTATTTAAATCTAAACTTTTTCTTGCCGCCAACCCGTGGCGGCCTTTTTTTAATACAAACACAATCATTAAATTTTGGACCCACTTTATAATACGTTTCGCCGTCCCTGGATCCGACTTCAAGTGCATTAAGTCGACCTAACGAATATTAACGTCGTAACCTAAAAATAGCACAACTGTCTTCTGATTCAATCTGGTAAAAGAAAAGCATGCTGCAAACTTTTGTGTAAATCATTTTTTGGCTTTATATACAGTTTGAAGCTTTAAGTCCCCCTCCTCCAGAAAGTTATCCCTGTCCTAGGGCGTGTAAATCCGTCGGTTATTGCACATTGAGCCAATCCCTCTAACATCAAGCATGCCAGGATGCTCCTAAATGTTATCATCGCCCTCCCTTTTTTTCTTTTCTCATCCATCATTCCAAAACTTATTTCATTAAAATAAGTGTACTACATAGATTTTATGAATATAGAATCTAACAGGAAATAATAAGCCTGCCTATTTTATCTCTAAATTAGCCTGGTAAGTATGATACTCGAATTTCATTTTGCGCAATTTTTTTGACACAAGCTAGTAAAAATCGAAAGCTCAGTGGCCCCCGGAGAAAATAGGCTTTCATCTTTTTCTGGCCCGGTACTCAAAACAATTAAGAACCCCTGCGATACGCCATGGAATCGTATAAAAAAGGCTTTACGTCCTTTTCCTTGTTTATTGATAGCATAACCAATGCAGTGTGCCGTGAATCAACCAACATGCACTTTGTGTTTCAGGCCCAGTGATAGCTTTTCAAAACACCAGAATTTGCATACCTAATTAAATTCGCCTTTAATTCGTTATTAACTTCGTGTTATTTCTATGCTTCTGCTACGCCTAATATGGGAAGAAAGTATAGGAAGAAAAATTACCGGGCTATTAGTATAGGACAACAATATGTTGACATGGTTTAAGCAAATGCTTATATCGAGCTATGACATACATATGACTTGAGATTTGACATACTTTATGATATATTTTGAGATATGACTGTTTATGATGATTTTAATTATTACCATGACCAACCATTAACTCCACTAACGCACACTAATGTACAATGTGCTGTATTTGTCAACATTTTAATTTATGATGCTTCAGAGACGTGGAAAAAATGTTAAATTTAGGCATTTTTAAATTCAAACATATATTGCTGACGTCAAATTAAATTGTACATACCTGATCATCCTGACAAGCCTGTGATTATTGTTAAAATCCATGTCAAAGCAATCTGCGAATTAACGTGCCAGGCATCCTGCATAAAACACACAAAATTAGTCATTGCAAACCAACGTTCTAAAACGACTGTGTTGTGCGATTTTTGTTGGTGTTTTCGAGGAAATATGTAAACATAGCTCAGCAAGGCGGGTATATTCAGTTTTTTAATTTAATTTTAAATTAGCAATAGCCTTAAACAGATTGTGCCTTGACTACCATTTATTTCTTAGCATTTTCTCCGCTCAGCCGCTTTGTTTTTTTATGAAATCTTTTGTCATCGATTATAGACTTCGAATGTCTTTGTCTTCCAATTGTTCAGGGAAATAATTTTTTTCCTTCAATAATCGTAGAGATTTTCCCACTTTAGATCAACACAACTAATATTTGGTGCCCAGTGTGTGAAAGCTCTGATTTGTGGTATTTGAAAGCCTAGTAAACTACAAAACAGATACATGATCTTCTCTGTTCGGTCTTCGTTCAGTACTGTTTCTTTTCAACCTTCTAACAATCTCAGTGTTCTCACAGAAAGGTTGTGTAAACTGGAAAATAGGAGACATTGCTATGGGCTTTTTTCCAAAAAGAGGCTTGGGTTTAAAAATGTGTGTAACATTTCTCTATATCATAGACAGGTGTTGGAGCAGATTTCCGAAATTCTTTTCAAAAGATGTTTGTCTTAGATCTGTTTTCTTGATTGCTACAGTTCTGCTTTTATTTTTAGCAAAAGTACTGCTTTTGTTTTCAGGATATTCTTGTCCTTGATGAAGCTGATAGGCTGCTTGATATGGGTTTTAAAACCAGGTACTTGTTTACTTTTACTTTATCTTATAGCTTTAATTATTGATAGCTTTAAACTATTGGAGGAGTTGATATATGGGTATATTCTTCTAATCAAGCGTTTTAATTTCTCCTTGATGATAGCATATCTTAATGTGAATCAGCTAAAATCTGTAATAAATTAATTCAGACAAAAGGTATTTGATTTAAAGAATGTTCCCGTAACCCAACGTGCTGTAATGAAATTATTTCTAAACAGCAATGGGAAATTTAATTTCTGTTGTTTTCTTTGATATCTCGTTTTTCAAAGCTCACTTTTCACTAGCAGGCCTAAAATCATCACCTCTCTGTTTCCTGCTTTTTTGTTGTGGCTACTCTGCTCTTTAGTGACTTTTCTGTATGTACCAAACTGTATGGATAATGTCCTTTTATTAACCAAATGTTTCTCTTATTGCCAGCATCAACACAATACTGAGTTACCTTCCAAAACAAAGAAGAACGGTAAATCTAGCTTTGATGAATCGTGTTTTTGTTGATAGCATTTGTACTGGATAGCAACAAATCACTCTTGACAAAGTTCTCGTATCAAATGTTATGTTTGTAATGATGATTAAAGTTGTATTTACCTACGGATGGGAAAAATGTTATTTTTGCGAGAAATGTATGTTGATAGCTTAGGATTTTGGCATAGAACATAGGCTAACGACTTCGTATGGCTTTGGGGGCTCGAGCCGCTTTAAATTTTTAAAAGAGAGCTTAAGGACTAGCAAAATAACAGTAGATTATCTCTACTGAAGAAACTCAAAATTAAAATCGTGTTTTTTGCATTCGAGGTCAAATGCACCTTTCTTACACGGTCATGCTAGGATGGAAATGGGTCTTTAATATCTTGCTAAGGATAAAAACCCATTTTTACAATAGTATTTATTGAGTAGAATTTTGTGTCATCCCTGTGGAAATTGAAAGTCAATACCAATGTTTAGATACTTCACGATGTATTTTATAGTGTGATGGAGTATAGTTAATTTGAATATTTTGGCATGCATGAGTTTGCGGGTTTTTGGATTAGGCCCATTTACGTGGTATGAAAAAGAATACCCTATTCTTATAATTAGAATGCCCCTGGTTTTAAGAAGCCAACTATAAATGGTTCAACTGATACTTTTCTGCTTTTATTCTTTCTTTTATTGCAATGCATTAAGTATGGTAACACTCTTTTCTTCTTTCAATGTACAGTAAAGTTGGATATGAATATACATGTGCAATTGAATCGGACAATAACGGAATTACTATATTTATCGTCTATTAAAGGGCTTGTTTTCTGCAACACAAACAAGGGAAACCGAAGATCTTGTAAGGGCTGGATTGAGAAACCCAGTCAAAGTGGTTGTCAAGGATCAAGATTTAACTTCGGTATGAGGCTGAACCAGCTGTTTCTGTAGTTCAGTTAAGTTCAGATATTACAACAAGGATTGATCATTTAATGAAAAGCAACAAAACGAGTCGAATTGGGGGAAATGAATGGAGAGCTCTTCTGCATGGATATTACCCCCTGACATCTTACAAGCCTTATCTTGCATTTTTTAATTCTGCAAATTATACGAAGGCTCAATATATTTATCTATTGCACAAACGGGCCAGTGACGTATCATTATTCCCAAGTGGCTCCTTGTCACTTATGAAAGAACTAAAATGCAGGAACACCGCAATGTGCTGCCCCAAGTTGCGTTCCATTTTGTTCAACTTCTTTCAGCCTCGTTTAATACGATATGCAGCACTTTTAACACATAAATACTACAATCCTAGATAATTTCAAGGGGAAACTCATCCTGTGTTTCTTTCCATGTAAGCCTATGAATAAAGAATTTATTCGAGTTACTAAGCACATTTTATGTTTTCTGATTTCGCATAGTGACTTCTCTGTATTGATGTTATTCAGTCCAGTCCAGTTTAGTAAGATGTGTTGATAAATAAACATCACATAAGATCATTCAGGATGCTTAGCCTGTTTTTGTAGCATGTACCTCTGTTGCTAAAAATGTTTTTATTCTGCCTGATGCAGTTTTTACATCATTTTAGAATGAAAGCCGTACGCCAAGCTCTCTTCAAAACTTTTACATGGTATGTTTTGTCCTGTGTTTATAAACCGAGTAGATTCTTGGAGATTAACATTGGAAAGCATTACATAGAGTTTTCACTTAACTTCCCTGTATTTATATGTATCTGCGACACCAATTTGCAGAGGTTCTTTTAACATCAACTATACTTCTCATTGATCGTTTTCTTCCTTCTGTAGATTTGTGAAATCCAAGAGAAATTTAGTCAGTTGGTAGCCTTTTTGAAACAACACAAGGTGAAGAACAATTATTCTGCTTGATTTTTCTAGAAAACTTGGTTTAATGCATTTATGGTGTAGAATTAAGAATTGAATGGAGATGTTTACATCTTTAAAAAGACGTTAGTTTGCCAAAGCTTAGGTCGAATTCTCCCTACTTCAGAAGAAATCCATTGTTAGTGTTTTTTCTTGAAAAGATTATCTTTTTTGTCATAATTTTCATCTCGATACCTCAATTGTTTTGATATGTCTCTCACTAGAGCTCGACATCTTTTGTAAACATCACGAGAAATTACGAAATCTTTTTAGATATTATTGCTGGTCTCCTTTTGATCTTTCGAAATATCATTTTCCATCTTCGCTATCAACCTGTTATCTATCTATAATCTATTGATGTATTTGTTACTGCTATTGATATGGTTTTATTAGGCTGTCTGCAACAATATTACTTTTCATCTTTAACTATGCGGTAACTGCTAAAATGCTAAATTATTGCATTTTAATAGTGTTTATTTTTGTTTTAGGACGAAAAGCACATCGTCTTTTTCAATACCTGTGCCTGTGTTGAATATTTCTCAAGGGTTCTCAAATTGTAAGCTTTCTTTTTATCTTAGTGATATTTCCCATAAATTGGTATTCTTGTTATAATGTCCCCGTACCTGGAATAAAATTAACCATACCATACTTAAATGCAATTTAACTGAAAGGCTTGCACGAGAATTAGTGTTTACAATGCCTTTTTACCAGCCCAAATTTTTAAAAAAAGTGGATAACACTTATTCCTCGGAATAATGTTCTGGGTAACAGGCTTGTGTCTACATTTCCAATGCTATTGCCAAAGTTTTCTTCAAGAAGTGACGGCCTTCTTTTGTCAATGCCTTTAATATTTTGTGCATTTTTTGGACTGCTTAACTATTTAACTTTATTATTCAAAATAATATTATGTGTTTAAAAGTCACAGCATTTTGCTTTAAAGACCTTCACCAGTTGTTATATTTTTATACCTTTCCCATCATGTCCAATGCTAAAAATGACTTTGTTCTTTGTTTATATTTACTAAAAGCCAAAACTGTTTATATTTACTAAATGTATGAAGACTGGCCGTCTTGTTCTGATTGCTGAAGAATCGCTCAGATCCAAACATTCGGTTTTGGCTTTTAAACAGCAGTAGGGACACAGCCCCTGTTTGTTAGCCATCCAATCAATTCTTATTTCTCATTATATACTTGATTTTCCAATCATGCCTAGCTTTGTGGAACAAAATTAATTCAAACATCAGTTTTATGAAAAAGACAATATTCTTGGCCTAGGTCATTTTATTTTTTGATGCAATAACAGAAAAAGTGATTATTCTGTCGTAATTAATGCTGCAACTTTAAATGATTTCATTTCACCATTGCTAGAATACTGAAAAAGGCAGATCTTATGTCGCTCCATGGGAAGATGAAAGGAAAACGTGGCAAAATCTTCGATCTTTTTCAGCAGAAAAGCAAGTAAGAAGCATGTTGTCAGCTTAAGAAGTTAATAATATCAATGTTTTGTATATGTCTTTTGTTGTCAGTTTAGTTTTTTTAATTAAAGGGTTTTTTAAGAAGGACAGCTTTTTTCATGTTCTAACCTACTGACTGGTTCATGTTTTCAGAGGTCTTTCCATGTTTCAAGTGGTCCTTCCATGATTCGAGAGGTTCTCTGTGACGTGTGCTACAAATTCTTTTAGCACGTGATGAGTTATTTTCGAAATGTGGCAGACAAGAACTATGATTTCACAATAAATTAAAAACTGCTTCTTTTTCCAACATTTTTATTCGTTTTTACATTGTGATAATTACCCCAATGCAATTTCTGTTACGATATTGTTGTAGAGTATGATAAATCAATGAGAATATTCAATTTTGCGCACATATTGTCACTTCAGAAGAGATCCGAGTTTCAGTTTGTGACCTTTAAGAGATCATGAAAATGCAACTTTGTTACTGTTAATAAAGCATTTCCTTCATGTCAAAATTTTGCCTTCGTCTGAAATTTTATATTTCCCATAGGGGCATTCTGGTATGCACTGACGTTATGGCAAGAGGTGTTGATATCCCAGAAGTCCATTGGGTCATCCAGTTTGACCCTCCCAGCAGTGCTAGGTTTGTGAACCGATTTCATATTATCATAAGATATTGTCACTACTACACCAAAGGTTATTATTTTTTCTGTTTTTATAACTAGTTTTATGGTGTTCGTTTTATATTATTCCCATTCATTCATTCATTTCAATTCGGTGTGTATTCCTTTTTAGTGCTTTTGTTCATCGTTGTGGAAGAACAGCAAGAATAGGAAATATTGGTATGCAGTGATATTTTTACGTCATTCTTTCATCAAAGTGTTGCTTCATGCCTGCTTGCTCTAATCATGCCTGCTTGCTCTAAATTTGAACTACTCTTCACTTATTTAATGAAATTATATCGACTCTGTTCTGCAATACGTGTGGAAATTTACTTAATCTTTTCCCCACTTCTTGTCGTTTTAGGAAAAGCATTGGTTTTTCTAAACCCAGCCGAAGAGTCGTTTATAGAGTTCATAAAAATTAACCAAAAGGTATTAATGAAAGAACTTTTTTCTTCCTTTCCTGATTATTTTTTTCTAGATGTGTTCAGAGTTTACCTTGTTCAGCACTAGAAAAATTGAATCGTTTGTAGTTGTTTGACTTATAATTAGATACTACTGAATATCTTTAGCATAACAACTAAGTAATATAAGTGGTTCATAAATGAAAAATAAAAAAAAATTTGTCTAATATTTCCTGCACTATTTACTGTTCTCATATCAAGGAAATCAATTGAAATGACTCTTTGTGAAGAAATGAAGAGAAGATAAAAAGCCATGGTTTAAATATGAACTACCGAAAGATAAAATTTGAAAAGTATGATGTCACTTTCCGATAGGTTACAATTCGTGCTTTGTTTGGTATGAATTTATATGTTGTAATTTTTTGGAGTTTAGTCTGCTTTGTACTTAGACAATTGTAATGATTTTGGTAAATGAAATAAAACCCTAATACTGGGCTACCTCTCGACTGTTTTAGGCACCTCTTGAAGAATTTGAAAAAATTGATGATGCACAAAATGTTTCTTCGAAACTGAGAAAATTTGCTTCAAAAGACAGGTAAGAAGATATAAGAAGAAGGTCTTTAACTTTGTACATTTCTGTTTTTTTAAATTAAAGAATGACGTTGATAGAAAAATTGGAAAAATGATGTAAAAATTAGCGCCTTGTATTATTTGATGGCTTCCCTTGCTGCCTCAAGCTTCCCGCTACGATGTATTGATGTTGGACTTCATATCAATTTGTAAATAACTTTTGTTTCAGAGATTTATATGAAAAGGGGATACGAGCATTTGTTTCATTCGTTCAAGCTTACAAGAAACATGAATGTAGTCTTATATTTCAATTCAAAGGTAATTACTCATTTATTTATGAATGTAAATAAAATGAAGTAGATCGTTTCTGGCACAATCTAGCGGCTACGTAGGTTAATGAATCAAGTTAAAATCAGTTGTAATACACTGTTTTGTGTCTTTCTGCTTTTGTCGCTGTTCTTCTCCACGTAGACGTGTTTACAAATATTCTCATATTGTTTATAGAATGAATTATCATAAAACACTTTGAGGCTATTAGTAATTACCAATTGAGAGACAGCTTCTTTTCTGACTCCTTTACACTTAATTTCTTCCATCAGTTGATACATTTTCCATAAATACTCGTTTTGGTATCTTGAACCAATTTTAGCTTATGTATAACTTTGAAAAGAAACATACCTTGGCTCCTACTTTGTCTAATGTTTCCCCACTTTTACTAAATCTCGAATTTACCCATTATTTTGAACACACGGACGAAATGTCGTCAGCCGATTTTCGCGCGCTTTTCCCGATTTTGGTTATGCCGAGTCTCAGATATTGAACCCTCTCGTTTCTTTTCGTCAATCATGAATAAATTGGAATCTTTTACTTTATTTTTTCAATGAGACTGTGTAATGTTTACTAAGGTCAACTACGTAGATGATTTTCAGTCTTGCTATCGACTCGTTTAGAGGAGTTTAGAATGACATAAAAATGATAGAGTGGTACTTACAGATTGATTTGTATAATTTTGACTTGTGTTGCATCTTGTTGTGTTTCATTGTATTATGGACGTACAAATTTGGCTCCATTATGAAATTGCCTCCTTTGCCTGTCAAATCTAGAACTGGATATCGGACAACTTGCAAATGGGTTCGGATTACTTCATCTGCCAAAGATGCCAGAAATTAAGAGAGGCGTTATTGACGGTTTTCAAAATACAGATGTTGATATAAACTCGATACCATACATTGATAAAACAAGAGAAAAACAAAGACGGCTTAAGTTAAATGAAAAAGAGGAGAAAAAAGACATGAATGATAAAGATTTCAAGCACAAAGACAAGTCATGGTCCAGAGAGAGGGAGAAGAAGGTAAAAAAGCAACTCCGCAAAGAGAAGAAGGAAAATCTAAAACGTAAAAGGGGGTTTGCTGGACATAAATTTGATGATGACGATGTTGATGAGCTCAACAGGGAAGTAGGCTTAATGAAGAAGCTAAAAAAGGGGAAAATTACAAAAGAGGAATTTGACATAGCTATTAATGATGTTGTTGACGATGATTTGACATGATATTGCACTTAATTTATTATTTTTACAGAACAGTTATTCTTTGTACAAATTATGCTTTGGATCGTTTGTATAATTAATTTATATTTGAATAAAACAATTTAACAGATCTTCTAAACATTAGTTCAACTTGGCCTACAGAATGCAACAATGCTTTCCATGCATCTTTATGTTTATTTCAGTTTGTTCATCAATGTTAGCTTGCTTTTTTTCTGGTTACCTTATTTCCTCTAATAAACCCTTTTCTTCAATAAATGCTGCATACCGCAGAGCAGTGCTCTATTAAAGAAATGACAGAAATATGCTAAACATTATATGGTTCATTCTGCATTTTATGTAACAATAACAAAAAACGAGGTCCTTTTAAACTCCTTATTCCTAAGTTCCCATATCAAGCCAAAATGCCCAATGTCTGTTCTGCCTCTCTTCGTCGAGTGTACTTTTCATCAACTTCTTTAACTTCTTTGGTTTGAGAATAAGAATAGTGCAAGAACAGCCCAGCTTCTCGTTTGTGCTTATCCTGTAGCTTTTGAAAATGTTGAATATGTATATAGTTTTGTGGCAAATAACTTACAAATCATGTACAATTTTCTCAATTAGCATCCAAGGTTGAATTTTTAGATTTGATGATATTAAATTCCGCTCTCTATAAAAAAGTTTTATTAAATGAAACACAGTATTCCTGATAGCGCTACTCGTGCACAAGACGTAAACAGTATTTGCCAAGCCAGGAGCAAGAGTCAATTGTGAAGTTCTATACATGTCATCTTTTCACAACATAAATTTTAAATATACTCTTAAATAAAAAAGCATTAAGTTAACCTACTAAAAGTTTCCAGTTTCAATTAGATAGTGATGATGCTAATTGCTACAACTGATTAAACAATAGTTAACATTGAAATGTCTGTAGTGCATTGAGAAATGCTTACATTCTTGATAACGACAAGCTTGTTGTATAAGTTATGAGAGCGAGCAGTTAATTCTCCCCCCCTGCTTCCTAGCATAAAGTATTCAATTGTGGAAACAGTTCATGCAAAGACGGATGTTTTTGTTTATTACATTCCATCGAAGCTTCAAATCGTACTTTAGTTTTATTTTGTTTTGTGAGCATGTGATCTTTGCTTGCCGGGCGGACAAATTTTTTGTGACTCTCAGCAAAGCGAGTTACATGATATTAATAAAAAATGAAAAGTATTTATCTAATAACACAAAAATAGAAGACACTGAGTTTTTCAAAATATCAGGGGTAACATGCGGAGAACTGAACAACGGATTAATCGGTAAGATGAACAAGCAAGTAAATCTTTTAGCAAGTTAGTGAATTCTCATTGTAGTCTCATTTATTTCTTTCGATAACTACTCGTACTCAAGAAATATTTGGAAAACGATACAAAGCCTAAATAACAGGGTGTTATTTGAACATAAGTATCAAATCTGGTGCAACATGCTCCTGGACAGTTGAAAATACTTGTTGGCAGAATTTAAATGACAAAAATCAATATGTAGAATTTGTTACTCTTTTGTCAAAAAAAATCTTTACGAACTATATGGAGAATTAACAATAAAATAGTATCGCCTTCGTGATATGTGCATCTAACAAGTTGTTCAACAATGTACATTTTTGTATAAGCAACTTTAACCCATAAGAGGCGACGTCAAGAGGCATGGTCTAGTAAATTTATAACTAAGGCAAAAGAAGATGTGACAATCATTTGATAATATTATAATCATTCCTAAATGCAAAGAAATGTTTTTGGAATGATACAGCGATTCAAATCAAAAGAACTAAAATCACAGGTTTTGTTACGGATATTAACATGAGAATAAATACATAAACTGCGGGCCTTCTGTGTTTAAACTATTTTTCAGTCATGGATAATCTCAAAATCATTTGAAGTTCTTCGTCTTCCTGTTCTTCCTGAGCTCTTTGCTTGAACAATTCTCTCTCTGACATTTCCAATGCTCGTCGCAAATCTTCATCAATGACGTCACTACTCGGTTCTCTTACCGCCTCCACTCTATCTGCTTCACTTTCATCCCCAGGGAACAGTAAGCTTTCCTGAATTGCCCTAAATTCAATTCAAGGACACAACTAGCATTATTGCTATGAGCAAAGACTACATTAACAGAAAACAGCAAATTAATCCAAATAAAAACACTGCTGAAATAATTTCTTTCAAACATGATCACACAATTTAAATGATTTCAAATATGCTACGATTCAATGTAATTCTTGTCCTATGCAGACTTAAAAGTAGCCAAGAATTGACATAGGGATGATCAGAAGTATTTGCTCGATACCTTTGGGGGTCATTTCGGCCATACCCCAAGGCTTCCAGCAGGGTCACATCCTGTTCTGGATCACCATCTAGTAAACTCTGCTGAATGGCTAACTGCAAAAGCTCATCGTCTTCATCTCTGTAGCCACCTGAGAAGAAACCAATACAATATAAGACTCACGTTGAAAGTGGAATTATAACCTAGACACATTCAAATTACAGTGGCAAAGCGGCTGTTGGGTTTGATTTCAAAACAAAATATAAAAATAGTCATTGCAACATAGCCATAGTCGACTCCCATTAAAGTCACAACAAATAAAAAGGTACGACTTTCTAGCGGTGTGTATCGGTAGGCAAAGTTTAAATGCGTTTGAAGTTTGAAGGGACTATGAACAGGAGTGTGATGTTAAGAGGAGTGTCTCTATCTGGAGTTGACTTCACTCTGATATTATTCAAAACATTTTGAGTAGCAATCCATGTAGAGACTTAACACTGTGCTTGTTGTAAAAATTAAGAAACTGAATGATTACTTTGATTAGAATAAACATTTAAATCCGAAGCCTAACTTATTTAAAACTTGGAGACTTGAACAACGAAATAAAACGCTTCCATATATATAAAATAAATGTGCATATAATGTAGATACATAAGAAATCTTCTTAAACCTCAAAAAGCTGGAATCAATCAATAGCAAGTTACTGAAACTGTTGTGCAGTTTATGGAATGATGAAGCTCATCGAAATGGAACGAAGAAAAATGTGTTTATACGGACAACAGGGATATAAAGAAGTGATAATTGACCACTAGTAAAGGGTCAATAGTGTCCAAAGCAGTTCCATAGAGCAGAAACCTGTTACCTTTCTAGTTAGAAAGTACAGCGAATCAGTGTTTACATAACCGATAAACGAGTAATTTTGACTCAACAATATTTTTTAAGCAGCAGAAATGCGCTACCGATAATAGTCTAAAATTTTGACAATAAATTGCACAGACTTTGCAAAGCAAAAACGATTCAGTATACAAGTACCTTGTCTTTCGTATGCTTCAACTCCTAGCTCTTTGTAGCCATGAGGCAAGTCAAATATCAGCTTATCAATCAAGCATCTGACTTTCTTGTGCACCTGTCCTTCAGCCCCAGCTTCGCTCGGTTCATCAGGATCTGGAACAGACAGATTGCCAGCCTCATCTTCGTTCAAGGTGATCAACCCTTCAGGTAAAGACTCGGTTCCGTTAAAGTTTCCGAACGTGACTCTTGCGTTCAGAACATGGAATAATGGGATCTCTAGAAGTAAAGATGACAAGATGAGTAGTGAAACCTTATAGAAATAATAGACTCTATTTCACATAACAATTTAATCTAACTACAAAGCAATGAATTTAAACAGAATTGGAGAAATGTGTCGCATTATCACTCCCACTTACAGCTTTCACCCAAGTATCTTGATTTTCTCTACATTAAGCATTCTTCACTCTTTTACAGAAGAAAAAACTTCCGATAATGTGGATCCATCACACTAAATGACATTCTTGTAATAGCTTTCGACTTCAAATTAAAGAGAAGGAAAAAAAGTTATAGGAACTACAAAATCTTTTTGGTATCTTGCTTAACTTAACTTGGTTATTTTAAGAGAAGCATGTACATCAGTTTTAAAAATATTCGTTCCAAAAAAAGGAGGTATTATAATTTACTTTGGTAAATTGGCGTTCTATTTCCAAGTTCCAAAAAATTTGGGAAGATGAAAGTTTAAAGAAACTGTTACGTTGTAAGGTTTTACGTACAGGATTAGGACTAAAAAGGATGAAAATGAGACCTGGATGCTAGCCTGCATGCGAGGCACCTCAAGCGTCGAAGCACTTGCGCAGAACAGGCAATCATGGCAAAGAGGTCTATGCTCCCAGAAAAGAAATGAGGCCTAAGATCATAAAATTTCGACACAACCCTAAAAGGCTACGGTGAGAGTATCCAGTAACGTTTACTTGATACGTGAATATGAACAGAAAACTTACCGATTTTGACCGGGAATCCAGCAGGCAATTGCAGCGTAATAAAGTCTCTTAGTTTCGCGAAATGAGTATTGCTGTTTGCCTTTAAAAAGAACATGTTTGAAAATAAATTAATGTTTGCCTACGAGATATTAAATAAACTATGGGAATACAGTTAACAAAATCTCAAGTTAGGGAAAACAAGATCGCAAAAAAGTTATCGTTTTTCGTTTTTTATTAGATATGTAAAAAAAGTACTCTTTCATTCTTAACAAACCTATCAAGTTTATTACGTACTCATTATCTCAAAAAAATCTTTATTTAGTATGAAAAAATTAATTTCGTCATTTGAGCAATCCTTAAGTGTTGAAATTGGTCGAGTAAAATTCAACAGTCGCTTTACAACAGCTATCGAGGATGTTTATACTAAAAAAGGCCGGTAGAAGCAATTTAAAAGCATATGATTCATACCATGAGATTAATGACTGGAAGAACTTGATCTTGCAGTGACAATGGAAAATTATCACACAGCGCAAGTGTTGCTGAAAATTTCTGGGATTTCGAGGTCATTCTTTTGCATCTCCCGATATCTAAAAAAGAAATTTTGTCATAAAATTCATATTATTGGACGATCTGTTAACAAAATGCCAACAAATAATACACTGTGCCTGAATTTAATTCATGAATTTATCTCAAATGAAAACGAAAACCCGTACTTACGTACACCGTATACCATATAGCTTTCTTTTGTTATTATAGAAGAATCTAGCCTATCCTAAATATAAGAAATACCTCTCAATGTGCAAAATCAGTTGAGTGTGTGACAAACTGGCTGAGATATGGCCCCATTAGCAGACGTTTTTTCCCCATAAAACCTCTGTAATTTGGTCTTGGTTCATTACTTTATGAACCAGGCCAGAATAACAGTAATCCGTTAGCAAACTTTAAAACTTTCATTGGTCATATCTCGCCCAATTTTGAAAACATCTACCTGATTTTGCATTTTGAGAGGTATTTTATGCCGTTTTTTCAGATTATATGGTCGAAATTAAGAATTTCTAAAATACTTCGGTACACACGTCACACTTCGGTACACTATACCACTAGCTATGTAACAACTTAACAAAGAATGGCCTAGTCACATCAATGAGATAATTTACTTAATATGTCTTTCACTAGGGAAGGATTAAGTACCAGTGACGTTCTGTCATTAGTGACCCAAAATGGCAATGAATAGTTGTTGTTTGACTTAAAATGCCAATGGCAAACGGCAAACGAATGTTGTTTAACTTAGAGGGAACCTTCCATTAATAACATCCTAGCCAAAAATTTCAGGCTTTCTGACTCCCCTCTCGTTGTATAATCTCATATGCTTTCAAGCTGACGATACCCACTGTTTGAGCTTACGAACTCTGTAGATATCTCCTTACTTGGAAAGTAACCTCCATTAGCGGATACCTCTAGACAATGGACAATTCTCAACAACGGACAGCTAATTTTGTCCCAAATGGTCGAAACGCTCTTGAAACACAGCGGAAAATAACACTGGTCCGAACGGTGTCCGTAATATGGAGGCTCCACTGTACAATGTCTTCAACATTTTAACTATCAAAACACAAGCCATTATCTTATCTACAACCACGATCTATTGACTTCTTTGCGTTCTACTTCAAGAATCCGGTCCAAAACACACTTCAATGATTTTACAGCTTAACTCTCCCTTCTTGAATTCCCAAACATCGAACGAGCTTTAGGGCGCATTAAAATACTTATTACACAAGCAAACATAAAATCAGCTTCTTACCTTTCCCAGGATTTTCCTTTGGATTAAAGTATTGTTCAATTGAAAGCCTGAATGGATTGGTCGTGTCAGGATCCAATGCTTTTTCATATAATTTACTCTACGAAGCAAAATTTATACAAAGTATATAACTGTTATACCGATCAGTATCATTTAGGCTGGCTGCTAACTTTGTATGACGTCACACGATGCACTTTCCAAACACAAACAGCACTCACAGATGACGCTAACAAGAGGATGTTTTATAAGCAGAAATCCATTGAAACTACTTGGATCGAGTTACAGTATGCGTTCTAGCAATTACATACGCCAGTCCTACTCCTACATCACCGAGAAAAACTGCAATGTAACAGATCACCTAATACAAGATCTGGTCTTAAATAAAGGGACGGTACGTATGTAAAATGGAGTCACCGGTTGATAACAAAAGTATGAAACCTAAAAAATATTGGCAAAACCACTACTTACGGTAGAGTCTTCCTCGTCTTGATGAAACAAATTGAAAAATGATGGAAGGCGTGATTGTGACTGCGTTTTCTCCTCTGCAAAAAAAGCGTATTAAGATCTAAGAATAGTTCATTCATACCCTCTCAAGTAAATAACGATGAAAGTTGCCGGAACGCAATCAGCACATAAACAATCATGATCAAAATCAATTTTAATCGCATAAAGAAGTGGAATACTTTGAGGACGCGGTTTAAACTGGCAAAGGAACCTTGGTACGTGGAATTCTTGTTTAGAACAGAGAAGCTTAAAATACTTACACATAACCCCCTTCTGTTGCGAAATGCTCCTATTACCTAATATGCTACTGTATTAGTGTATTACGGCTAAATTACCTTTAAACCTCTCTCTATCTTCCTCGGTCATGTGTTCGGTTCTAGTTCGAGTGATGACTTCCACTCCAGTGACATTATAAATCTTTGATTCATAGCCATTGATTACTTCACATTTATCACCACCCCAACCCAAGAAACCAGATCTTTGCCTGTAAAGATTCAAACCTTTTAGAAAAAAAATTAATCGAATTACCGTCTAAATAAATCAAGTGAAAGTCCTGTACCAACATGAGCCCGATATAAACACGAGTTATAAAATTATTCAAAGCGAGACTAATGCCGAGTCTAAATCTATAGCAAGCCAACCACTCTCATTTTTCTGACGTTCAAAAAGCAAAAAATAAAAACATTCCTTAAATCAAAAACAGCCATTTGTCATAATTTAGAGGGTTGTTTTGTTTCTCGCAACCTTCCTCAAATACTGCTACCAACATATCAAAAGTAAACGCTGGAATTGCAGATAGAAGTTGTTGGCGCCGATCTGTAATTCAATGGAAACCCATCTTAAAAAGACTTGATTTACAAACTATTAGTCAATCATTAGCCTTAAAAATGCATGTTGCTAATAATGTGCCTTTACAGCTAGAAGCCACCGAAATATATAAAACAGGCTTACTGCAGACAACTAAGAAAATATGTTAAGTAATCGAGTCTTTATTAAAGTGCACCTGTATAACGTCATTGTGCAGAAATACCTTACCGTGTGAATGAGAGTCTTTCTGTGTCTAGGGACGTTGTTATATTTGGTGACGTCATTCTCATGCTTATAATGTCAACTGGAGGCTTAACTGAATCGAGACTGACTGACTCTTGCCTGTTGGGAATGAAAAGAGATCAAACGTCTTAAAACACTGATCAAATTTTAAATAACTTAAAAGCTCTATTAAGCCCCCTTCTTTTTCAAGCCCCCTCTCTATCAAGCTACCGTTATCAAGCAAAAATTCAAAATAAGCCCCACTCTCTATTAAGCGCTCCCTCTCTTAAGCCCCTGATTTGTATGACATTTTCATAACAAAAAATGAATAGGGGCATATTTATAACATTTTTTATATTGAATTATTAAAAAGCCCTCTCTAACAAGCCTTCCTTTTTTAAGCACCCCATCTGAGACTGACAAAAACAAATAAGCCCCCCGAGGGCTTAATAGTGCTTTTACGGTGATAGCCTGTCTCAATCAACAATGTTGTGCAGAAAAACTTTGCCGCAAACTGGAGTTTCTATTTCGTCCTATACTTCTCAGGATGTTGAGTAAACTTTCTCGAGATACGAGTTGCTTATCAATGTCATTATTCGTTAGAATTTCAGAGCAAAAAGTAAAGACTGAAAAACAAACCAACTTATTACTAAGATAGACATCTATGAATTTATTTATCAAAATACGGTACCTGGAGAAATAAAAAAAGAAAATGAAAAGTTGAGGCCAGTTTCAATTTGCTACAAAACATTCTAACTTTGAATTCGTACCTAAGTTTAATGACTTCTTTCCAAAATGTTTTTTTCTCGTGATTTACTTCGAAGAGATGGGAGGAATTTCCTGCAAACATAAATGAAGAGCACATGACAGGACGTATGAAAGGAGTCACTGAAAAGGCATCACAAAACAAATTGCAAGGTTTAAGCTAGATATCTATTCTCCTTGGCTAAAGCAAAGCTGATTAACGAAAAGTGTTTATCGACAGTTGAATATCTGTTTCCTCAGAAAGTCGGTTCTGGTTTTCCTGCACTGCCTTTCCCGTCTCAAGATAGATAGCTAGTTCACAATGTGACGGAGCTTCAAGATTCTAAAGCTTAAATTTAAAGAAAAGCCGGAACTTCCCTCATCCTACGTGAAAATTTAGCAACAACAAGTACGACACTGTAAGATACTTTATTGAAAACATGAGCCAAGGGGGGTATGAAAGACCCTGACTCTAGAAAACTTGCAAGAAGGTCTCAACAGAACCTGCTGGACAATACAATTTGGTTTTATAGAACATGCACTGTGTTATATGTAAAAGGGGCTTTGAAGAAACCAATTAGGGGGCAACCACTCCTCAAGCCTAGGGTACAATTTTCTGTTAAAGATAATAGGTTAGTTTCCTTTGTTACAAGAATAACGGCATGAGCCCTTTGAAGCTTCGAAAATGCAAAATAAAACAACAATTCTCGTGTCTTCAGTTTTCTCAAAATTATTGCAAATCATACTTTCACATGGTTTTCGGTGTATGTAGAGCAATATTGAATCATATAACTTACTTTCGCCTTTAAATATAAAACTTTGTTTGCCACGTTGCCATGACATTTGATCAAACCCAACCAATGTGCTATCGATTCGAACATTTGCACCTGTTAATAAGATGAACCATTTTAACACATTGCCATAAGAAAACACAAATACTGTATTTGCAGAGGCTGATTGACATTTCTTATTTAGATTGTCAATGTCTTACACAATCATTTACTATATATTTTCATCCATATAATAATTCAATGGTTTATACATTTGCTGTGAATTGTTGAAAATGCAAAAGAACTCTTCAACTCAGTAATTACCATTGAAAATCTTACACAGATGTCCTTGCTTAAACTCAATTTTTGATTGTACACAGTGTATAAAACTTACTAAGCAAGAATCATAGCCAGTTTAAAACAATTGAGATAGAGATGGAGAAACAAGGGATGCATCAATTTACCCAATTGGGAAAATGTGTACATTTACTTTCATTAGAAACAATGCCATTTGGGTCAAAAAATATTCACCTTGTTTAAAATGGTACTTTTGTCTAATTTATACATTTTATCAAAAGTGCTGATCTGGAAAATATTTATATCATTTGGGTTATTATGTCTGATTTTTTTATCAATTAGCAATTGAAGAGCCCTCTAATGTAGCAATATGGTATAGTTAAAAATCCCCTTGTTGGAAAAGATGTTGTCAGAAAAGTTGAGTACAATCAAATCCCTTTGCCCTTTTACTCTTAAGAATATAATAATTATAACATTTCATATTCACAGGGGTTAATTTTCTCAGCAAATGAAATTAATGTTTTCAATCAAAGATCTGTTTTGCTTGTCCCTGGACATTCAAGCCAAAAAGTTGACTTTGAACAAGAGTGACAAATGAAGGGTGCTTGCTTCTTATCCTGACATGCTGAAACCCTTTTTCATAAAACAAATATGATGGCTAATCTATCATGTTTTAGATTTTATTGAACATATCAAAAGTGCTGTTAGATTCTTTATATGCTTTTGATGCTCTGCATAAATGCAAGGAAAGTTACTCAAAGGGTTTAATTTTATAACAATACATAACACATAAGCATGAGAATTTTACCACTTTTCCATATCCTGTAGGTATCACTTGGGCACATTCTGGAAACAAATGGCACTGAAAAAAACATTAAAAATTGAGCCAATTTAATAATGTATTATCTTGTTCGAACATATATGAACTTCATTAAGAACTTTAGAAATCAAATGTGAAATTCAACATCTTTTTGGTAATTAAAAGTTTTCTATTCAATTCAAAACTATTTCAATTCAAAATGTACTTTTGTGAAAAAACAGATAAAGGTAAATATCAGATGGAAAATAATAGTTCAACACTTTAAAACACTGATCAAGAACTAATAGTATACTGAAATTAGGCCTTTTTGCTTGATGCGAGCTATCACTTGCACTCGTATCAGCACTTGTGCAAACCCAACCATGCAAGCGTTTGCACAAGCAATACAGGAAATTATGAAAAATAAATGTTTTGTCAATTAAAACAATTCTAGTCATCTTTTGTGACCTAAGCAAGTGACATAGACAATACAAAGCTGGTATATCAAAACACAGGAAATATAATTAAGCCGAGTTAACCACATCTCAACGGAAAAATGCATTTATAAACCAATTCTACGGTGTATGTTTAGGAATACTATAGGCACTTAGTATTTGAACTAATTAGCACTTGGAACATTTTCTGGACAGTTAAAGCGCTTTTAAAAAAAGGTTTGGAATAACATTTTGCGATCATCTGGCAATAATTTTGCAATAATTTTTTTATGACCTTTGTGATGTACATCAAATTTATAAACGAAGCAAATTTATATTGGGTAAAGTATTTAATCTTTGTTGGAGTGCATTAAAGACCATCATAACAATTCATTTTCATTTGATAATGATATTACCTTAAAAAAAGTACCTTATAACTAGATCATATGGTTTTTTTAAACATTACAGACACTTTTACCATTAATGATTAATATTATCATTTTTAGAGCAATCGCCCTCACAAGGAAAACCATGGAAGCACAGGGCCACTCGCATGGGCAATTTATTACAAAAAGGTCTAACACATCCAAAAAAGTGCCATTAATACAACAATATAAATGAATGGCCCCGATGTGTTTATTTACATAAGGCTTACCCCAGCTTGAGAATTCCCACTTCATTTCAAGATAAAAGTCATCTGCCTGAAGCAAAGAAAAGTTTTTTTCATTAGCAAAGTAAAAGCAAAAATAAAATAAGGAAAATTATTTGCAGATCTTTTACTGAAAAAAGTTAACGACTTCCATCAGCACAATTTGCAAAGAAGGTGATCTTGGAAGTATAGAAGCAAAACTTAATTGAAGTGATACTAACTTGATTTTTTAAGCACTCAAGTTTTTGAAATACTGGCATCAAATTACTTGGAAACTTAGGTTATTTATGAAACAAATTTATGTATGAAAATTATACTGTCTACTATATTAATCAAGCCAGAGGTTAAAATCTAAGCAGCAAGGTTTTTTTATGGTTTATAGCAAATGATGTTTAAGTTCGATCACAGTCTGTTCATTGAGTCACATATAAAAAACTCCTGACCTCTTCCAAAGCTTCAAGGATTTGTGGTATTCCCCCAGTTCGTTCAGTCAATCTCTGGTATTCTCTATTTTGTATGATCAAAGCTAATAATTCTGGATTTCCTGTGCCAACTGCTTCCTGTACAACTTAAAATAAAACTTATTAAATAATAAGCTTTTCCATATTTATTGCAAATATTCTCAGAAGAGTAATTGTACCATTCTGCAAAACCTCACAAAATTTATTGCATGTTTTCAAATATTTACTTTACAAATAATTTACATAAGAATACAATATAGCACACTGTCAGGTGGAAAAAATTAGTTCACTTTAAGATTCTGATCATAAAAGCATGTATACCCAAGTTACTGACAATTTAGTTACCAGCACAAAAAGAGAAAGCATTTCAATGTCAATGCAAACATGACATCAATAAAACCAGGTTTTATGTGCTTTTCTGTTGTATTAACAATGCAACCAACTTTCTTTTAAAATTAGGTGTCAAAAGCTTGGATATACAAATGTTTGAAATAGTTGACATGGGAACATACCACTCCAGCCTTCTTTGTTTGTTGCATTTGCATCACATTTGTGTTGAAGTAAAACTCTGACACAATCAACCCTTCCAAGTGTTACAGCAAGGTGGAGTGGAGTTCTCTTGTGGGGATCAGTTTTCTCATAATCATGCTATTGATATAAATACAAAAAATTTAAAATCGAAAACATTACACAAACTTTAAGAGCAAAATTCTGTCTGTAGCACAATAATATTCTTAGATTTTTTATTCTTAAGAAATTTGTCAAAGGAGAAATCTATCTGTATCTCATTTTGGCCTAAATAGACAAGCCACACCTAATCTAACATCTATATTTATGGTCAACTAGGAAAGAAGGAAACTTGATAATACATTAAAAATACTTGCATGGAAAATATCAGTTCATGTGTTAATGGACCAAATGTTAGAGCATTGCCACTATTTAAATTAGAAAAAATTACATCTAATTAAACTTTAGAGACAAATCAAAACAAACCCCAGGATGGAAACAAACCCCAGGATGGCAGCCTAGGCTGGAAAATATGTATACATGATTTTGACATTTGAGCAGTCTGACTTTCCAAGGTGCAATCTGTAAGAAGTGTCAACAGGGGCAAGCAGAGTACTTTGGTCAGAAGCAATAAGTCTTGGGTGAGGAAGAATGGAGGTGTGTTCCAAACCTTTCAGAAGGTGTAATTGAAGAAGAATTCATGTATGACTAAGGATGATAACACCCAGACTTTCTGGAAAGAAATTACTATTTGGTACAAGTTTTCCAACAAAAATACCAGTATACCCAGAAAAAGAAATAATTTTCAAAGATTATATGAAATAGCTTTTACAATTTCAAGGTGAGGGTGATAATGAATATAAAACTGTCTCTTCCCTAAACAACTAATAGCTAAAAATATAATGATATCAAATTTCAAGTTTAGTTTGAATGGGACTGGTCTTGACTTAATTTTTTAGCACCTTACATAAAAAGGAAAAAATCCTTGAAAGACCCCCAACTTAATATATGAAAACACTGGTGCAAATGATTAGAAGGTAAAAGATCTGATAAAGAAAATCAGAGATTTAATAACAGCAGCGAGAATATATTTTTTAAGAAACGTCTGCAGCCAGAGACAAGAAATTAGAAATTAGGTCTGGTTTGATAGATTTGATCTGATTTGATAGGGAGTAGGGGTAAGCTTTACTTACTGACTTTTAACAATAAATACAATTTATCAACAATAAAAATTGCAATGATTTTGGTTACCAATTTTGAGGTTAGTGCTTCATCCAGTTGCACAGGCTCGTCATTCCAAATATGGCAATGGAGTGGATAATCTTGCAGAATAATCTCACTATTCTTGTATCCAGGAAGAGCCATATCTTTACTTCATTGCCTTGAAAATAATTCAAGTTCTGTTAATATTATTAATAGGTTAATATACAAAATAGATAACTAAAAAAGTAATAAAACTATGTCATGTAGGCATATGCACTTTTATGATGGTTAAGGATAGTCAATTCCATTCAAAAACCTGTGTTTATCAATACTTCGATACAACATTAGCATCAGAGCTTGTTTTGAAAAATTGGGTGGGATTGATCCTTAAAATGACCACAAACTCTAAAAGATATATCCAAATATTAGGCTACGATATGTGGGAGGAAGTAACTGCTTGCTAACATGAGTTGATGACATAACTATTGTATTCGTAAATAGGTACCTAGATTTTAGATATATGTTTTCTTATACCATCCTTTTTAAAGAAAAACAATAGATATCAAATTATTTTTGAACTGAAGATGAAATCCCACCTCAGGTTAAGATTCTTTCAACGCAGGTTTGGCTTTGGAATTTTCCAGCTGCAATGTTCGCGAAGATCCCAAAAACCAGTGTAGCGATCACAGAAATTGCAAGCAATGATTTGCAGTTTAGGCCAAGAGATTACACCGTCAGTCAGTAAATGAAAACTTGCAACGTCTGTAATTAAATCTTTAGTATTATAAATGATACATTGTCCAGGTTCAACATTTGCAACTAACCTAAGTTATTTTGTCTTGAATGTTTAAATGTTATTTCCAGGTTTGCGTTCATCTTATTGCACTGCTGAAAAAATTTCGCGTCTGAGTAGGTCCTTGAATCCCTGTGATCTACTAATTAAAATGGGGGTCTTTCGTCATTCTTTTATATTTTGAAGATTATACACATCTCATCTGTAACTCTTTACTTCTTTGCATAGCTTGGGTCGCAAGGGCTTACGTGGGGAAAGATTTCCAAGGAGGACTGAAAATTGATGAAAAAGGACACCAGCTACACTGAGTGCCATAGGATCTTAATGCCTCCTTACTAGGGTCCAGGAGAAACGCCTTGAAGATTCTCACGATTTGAAGCTAATTTATTTATAGTTAAAGTGTCTTTAAAATTTCAAGAACTTTGTTTGCAATCTACCATAAACGTGCCCGGAAATAAGCATATTTTTCAGACCCGAAAATAATTTCGGCTCTTTTACTGCAAGAGAACGTTCTTGCTGAAGAGAAATCAAATTTTACGGAATTTCTATTGTAAATCAATCTTGTTTTGAAGACAAAACATTTCATGCACTTCCAACAGGCCAAAAGCGTTTTGTCGATGAGAAATTGGTGGTTTTCTTTGATTCTGCATGGTCACTTTCACTTTCTATTTCATTGTGGTGAAAATATTTAAGTTCAACGGCAAATATAACTGCAAAGGATCAGGCTTTGATGAAAATAATTTGATTTTTATAAATGACTAAACCAATTAAGAAGCCAATAGAATTCATAATTTTGTTACTTTGAACATCAAAACAAATTTTGCTGACGACTCAATTATCTTTCACGGCATTTTCACGGCGTATCATCGATCGACAGAAGAAAGAAGACCTGAGAAAGTACAACACACTTCAGAATACTGAACTATGGAAATCAAGTTTCAAAAGATAAAACAACGTAATAAGGAACGTCAATACAAAGCTTTTAAAGAAAAACATTCTATAGAATGTGGAGACTGTAACATTGCATAACTAAAACTTTGAAAATTTCTAGTTAGGATTTTTGCCAATTTAAAAGCTTTTTTTGAATGAAAATGTAAAAGCTAACCCAAACATGGAATCCGGAGGAAATATCAAACTGATCTTGAAATGTTTCCTCAGAAAATGAAACAGAAAGTACAAAAACTATTTTCTTGTACAAGAGAAATCGAGGTTTCTTTAGAATATAAACATCGGATGCTGATTAAAAATTAAGCACAAATAAAGATTATGGCGATAGGAAGAATGTCACGTTTGATTGGCTTATTTTCTTTAGTTTAAACCAATCGGTGACTCAGGGATACGCTGCTCAGGCTGTGTTATAAAATTGCTGGTGAAGAATATTTTTATATAAATGAGCCTAACAAAGTACTCTTTTGTAGCTTGGACCACCAGAAACTGTGAACTCCCTCAAATCAATGGGTATGGTTGCGAGAGCAGTTTGGCTTCGTACCTAGAGAATAATTATTGAAGAGTAAATAATACAGGAAAAATCTTTGTTAATAGAATAACGGGTCCACTCTAAATAGAATCATTCGAATTGGTGCACATGCAAATATGCACATTTGCTGGCTCACTATTGCACTCCCAAGTGACTGTTTGTGCACTCCAGAGACATCTTTAAGAGCTGTCATAAAATCATAGCCTGCGGCAAGACTGTGTTGAGCAATTGAAAAGGAAAGAAAAAGTAACAGAGTCTGCAATCAGGCTATAAAAATCAAGAATGGTGTTGGGAAATACTTGCAAGACAATTTATTTTTTTACTGTAGTTCTTATGAATTCTAGCTAATCACTGTCACTTTCAGTATTCTCCATGTTTCCTTAAGGAATATTTTCTTGATGAGACTTTTAAACTTTAGCATCTTGCATAGGTATGAAACAACATTTTCTTCTTTCAATTTTTCATGCTATCGTGAAAAATTTGAAGTAATGATTTGAGCTGCGCTGGCTTTGGCTTTTGGTTCAAAATTAACTCCCATACTGCATGAAGGGAAATGATAAGCCATTTTATAGACAAATCCAAGCATTAATGAAATAAAATTGTCTTCCTGACGTGTTTTACGAAAGATCTGTTAAATCATACTTTTATGATTTTTTCTTGCAGAACATCCTAGACATGACATAAATTGAAACTATGCACAACTGAAACTTTTATTTGCTTTTTTCCTTGTTCACATCTACACAGGGTTGAGGAAACTGACTCCCGAAATTCAGCATCCGAAAATCAACATTATTTGAAAAGCGCAGACGAATTTTTAAACTCATTCAGATAAAAGAGCTCTTTTGGACGAGCAGACCAGTGGCGAATCTAGCCTTAGAAATCTGGGGGCGGGAACCAAAGCTAGCTATTACTGCGCAAACAATTAGAATGTAAAGCAGTGGCGTAGTGGCTCAAGATTGGTAACACGGCATCAATTTTGGCTCCCCCTAGAAAGGTATCACCTTGGTACAATTATATCAGGGCTTTGTAAAGGTCCTCTCTATGGCTGGTAGCAAGAAAAGGTTTGAAACTATAAAATTCTAGGGATGACCAGAAACTATATTTAAATATTTACAAAATTTGTAGGTTTAAGCCCATTGAAGAGAAACAATTTTGCGTGGTAAAATTTTCTATAGTAGTTATGTCTTATATCCAGCCTCAATGAGATCAAGCAAATCATTCTGTTTCAATATAGAATTTCAAATCATAGAATTTTGATATGCAATCGTAAATTGCCAAGGTATACTGGGATGGTATTGGTATTTCTCTGGGCTGGGTTCCAGAGCCAATACGGTTTCAGTGGGATGCGGAGAAGCTTGCTTTGGACTCACCCTGCACAACCCACAATCAGGGCCCCTGGCTTGTTAAATAAATGCAACAAAGAGTCGCATTGAGCAAAATAGAAGAGAGCAACCCTAACAAAGTCAGTAAACTATTAAACAGCTATGGAAGAAAACATCATATCTTTTAAAGTAACTTTTGCAAAGCCCCCCCCCCCCTCTGCCTCCCCTTCGTAGAAATGCCACTGGAGCAGAGATGGTGCTAACCTTGCTACAAAAGGGGAAGAGACATTGTCTCTAAGCACTCTTGTTTTTAAAGCCCTTTGCATAAATAAACATGGCTGCCCCTGGAAATACCTGCCTCGGTTAACATACAACATTTTAAAGCCCTGTACCTTAGATCCCTTAAGAAAGTTTTCTTTAAAGATTTGAAATAGCTATGATTTTGTCGAAACAAAAGAAAATTCTTCTTCTTTTACTTTTGCACGTCAGTTTTAACCGTTGATGAGGATAACAACAAAGACAACTGACTGTCAAAGAGCAGAAGTGTTTTACCTTTTATACTTTGAGATAACGAATATTTTATGCAATCTGTCTTCCTTTTTGATAAAAATGGCTAGAATCCTTTTTACGGTACCAAGGTGAATTAAATATCACACTCTATAATTTTGTTCATCAGCGCCAACTAAGGGTAAAGAAAGAAGAATTGCAAGACAAAAGAATTTTTAAATTTGAGGACAAGATTGAAGAATAATAAAGGACTCTCCTGTTGCTAAAACAACACAAAAAGCGCCAAAGAAAATATTCATTAATATTTCATCACTGAGACTAAAGGCAAAGCAAATATTTATATTCTTCAAATTCAAGTGTTTGAAACAGCTGCATGAGATTTTATTAAAGAATGCAGCAAAGGTTTTATAAGAAAACTACCACTGATAATCGCCTGGATCAATGAAACTCGTGAAATGTATTTTTGGATACTTTCCATAGAGTAAAGCAAACATCAAAGAATTCTATAGAAAACAGATAAGTGGTAAACCAGTACGAAGCCCTTTTATACTTCGTGACTTGCTACATAAATGTTATATGTCAGGAATCTTTCAGAATGTCATTTAGTTAACGAGTCAAGATGAGCCGACTAGAATACTCATGATATCCCAGATTAATCCAGTTAGTCTATCACGATTTCTTTGATGCGACACAAGCTAATGAATCTATGAATCTAAAATTTATGATTCTATCAGCTTTTTCCCTGACTCCAAAATAGCACCTCATAGATGGTGGATTTAGCCCATCAAAATCAGAGCCATGTAATTATGGCTTATAGTCAAAGGTAGCATCATGAAATGCTTTTCTTCAAATCAATACCCCGTAAAGCAACAGTCTTCTTATTAATGGCTCTCTGCAACACTGTTATCACCATGTAAGGAGATTGAAGGAGAAGACGAGTTCTAAAATGCATTATGAGTTTGCGATCATGATACATAATTTACACACAAAGACGCTTCTACAAAATTAATTCTGCGTCAACTTCTGTTCTTTTGAATATGCAACAAAGAAGAAATATTTCATTATGAAGAGAAGTTTCAAAGATTCCTCAAACTGCAAAAGTCAGCTTAGATGAAGAGATTAAACTACAACAATGTGAATAACTGGAAAATGTCTTAGCGATGACGTCAGTTCAGAATCGATATCAGCAAAGAAAGTCATTAAAGCTGCACAGTATCAAATTGGTTTTTGCTTAATTTTGTTTGGTCTTCTGCAAAAAAGTTGATTTTGTTTCGGCTAGGCAGAAATTCGTTGAAGTCAAACCTGTTTCATTCTCAAATCATCATATTTCTCTTCTTGATTTGAAATGAATGCCTTAGTCATTTCACGATTATGTCATATTTAGATGAAGATAAACGTCATGAGGAGAAGTGACATCTGCAAAACTAAACCTGGTGTAGGCGTTGATTGAGAAACGTAAATCGCTAAATTCACGGATAACAACATGATCTATGCTTGTTAAAGAATTTGTAGTCTCTCATTCTCCAGAATAATGTAACGACAATTTTCTCAGCATATGGCAGCTAAAGGTTATTGTCATTGACTATTAATGAGATATGGGATCACAGAAGAATAAGTGGTTTTGTGTTGAAGTTGTCATCCCAGGTCTTATTTTGGTTTACTGTTCTTGCATTAATTATGCATAGGTGAAATGAGTTCAATGCAGACGAACCGAGCCTCCCAAATTCAACTGTACAAAGTAGGACTCAGCTTGTTCAATGTTATAGCTAGATTATTTCAACGCTTTTTTGCACTGTTGAGGTTGATATTCAGCTGAGAGCTTTGGAATTTGTATAAATATGATGTGATCCCCAGCCTGTTTGCGAATTGCAGAAAGCAGAGGAAATTCTACAAGCGGTAAGTCACTTATGCATTGGAATGGCATCTGTTTGCCTTTGTAACATACCATTTCGCAGGGAAATGCAGCTACAGACGCTGCAACTAGCAGCAGCATTTTAACATATCTCTGCAAAAAGGGTTGGCTTTTCCTCTGTCAGAATAGCTTCATTTGATGTATTCTCAAATTATGTAAGAAAGAATTTCCAAGGATTGATGATATCAATATTCTTGCGATAAAATTCATTGAATATTTAAGCCTTTAAGCTGCATGGGTAAGTTACAAGGAATGAATGCATCAAGTACTGCATAAACCATCTCCAATGCTGGTTTTTCATAATAACACTGCAAAAGATTACAAGCAGTGGTGCATTGAACCAAAAGATCTTTTTGAAATATATCTTAACACAAGCATCGTTCAAGCTAGCATGTTTTGAAAACAGGGAAAATTCAGCTGTTGCCCTGAGCTTAGAAACCGTATGCCATTGAATGACATTTTTTATAAAGTAGCCTTAATCAGTAAACAAAAGTTTTGTTCATGTCAGGCAATTTTCCTTGAAATCATATAATTGCTCAGCACAAATCAAAACATTTATGTTAAATCTATAATCAACCCGCTTTTTCATAAGTGGTTGGTCTGGTTTTTATTCATGAAAGTTTGACTCCAAAGGAAATATGTTTGATGTGATATTGATATTTGGGGAATGATATTGTAAAATACAGAAACAAGGTATATTAAAGTTCAACGCGATCTAAATCTTATTAAGCTAGCAACTCTTCAAATGTGATGATATTTTACAATGCAATCTTGTATATACGAAAATCATTTACTCAAAAGAGAAGAGTAGGACAGATTTTTGAAAAACAAATTTTCATTTGATATGGTTGAGTCTCAGTTCAAATGAATGACAACTTATAGAAAATAAATGTCGAGCTTATGTAAATGAATGCCAATGGAAAACCAACTCTTACAATCTTCCACTGAGAGCACGATATTGAAGCCAAACGTATGATTCCATTTGTAAGTAGAGAGTAATAGCAACCACTATCAATGGAAAAAAAGACTCTTCTGTCGAAAGAAACTGAGTGACAACCACACGGGCCACAAGAAATTAAAGGGCCTTTGCATCGCCTTTTTTAGCCATTCTAAAGAAACTGAACCTGCTGTTTAAGAATTCATTATCTTTTTCAATATTTTACTAAGTTTGTTAGTTATAAATGCTCGAGTTTAGATCTTTGAATTGATTACGTTTCACGAAATTTTCGGTTCTTGTAAAACTGTGGCGAAAGTGTGACGTCACAATATGTTTCAGATAGTCTCGCCTCCAACCGAATTTGAGAGTCGGCAAATCACAATATGAACACTTTACGTGACTGTTCTCACAGCTCTGTTGCACCGACTTTTAATTTAAGCTTTATAGACACCTATTCTTGATCTAAGACTTTCGATACAGAAAAAGAGGCATGATATCGATGTATTTCGAAATGGTTTGGAGTTGGAAACGAGCTAGATTTGTGGCTTTTTCAGAATACTGAAAAACACAGCATGTTTAATCCTTATGATAAAAATATAACACTTTGGTCAAATCATTTTAGAAAATCTTAATCCCTGATTTGGTGAAATCATAGAGATTTATAAAAATCTTTTCATAAATCATTAGTTTTTTCTCCACGAAACTGTTTTTACAGCAAGAGGGCAATCCTTAAGGTGTTTGAAATCTAAAAGATCTATGGAGCTTTTAATTCTGTGTATTATTGATAGAAGACATATTTGGTTGTTGACAAAGGGATAGTAAGGAGTTTGATAATAATGTACCAACAATCATCAATAAATTTCTTACCCACGAGAATAATTTGGTTTAGCAGTAAAATTAATTTATGCTGAAAAAATATATACATGGACAGGAGCATGGAAAAATATTGTACTGGGTTTTATTCTTGATTTTAAAGAGAGGTGAAATTACAAAACATGATAATGGTTAGCGGAAAAAAATTGTGACCCGAACTTCATATATGTTTTAAAAAAGAATTTAACTTTAAAAAGTACTTAAGCAGATAAAAAATTTGCTACCAACCAATATTTTTTGGGTTTTGTGTCCAGCTAAAGTCTTTAGTCAAAGCAGTGAATAACAAAGGGCTAAGGGGTGATCCTTGTCGTATTTAATGCAACCCGGACGTTAACCCATGCCTCTAGTTTAACGATTTCTAGTGATATTACATATCTTGATATCTGTTCTTGTTTATTGTTATTCCATACAGATTCAAACTCGTATTCAATAATTGCGGCTCCATCGAGCTATCAATTGGATATGCTCAAAAAGTTGCTTCTATGGGACTAAATGCAAATATCGTGCAGTTGTCTAAACGTCTGATTTTCAAACATGCATAACGTATTACTGTGAATTTTTTGCTTCGTTGACAGAAATCTTACTCAATAACCTACCAACCTAACTGCAGAAGAGCCATGTAATTATGCAAATAATGAGCAATTTATAAATTGTTTTGTTTTTCATAAAATTTATTTGATCGAATCTGTGAATTATTAATGTGCTTCTTTGATTTAGAAAAGAGAGCTGAAAAATTCATCAACACAAGTTGTGATAAACTCAGGTCGTTAGATTTTGCAAATGATGTCATTTGAAAGATAATTTTCTCAAAATTTTTGAAGAGGGTTAGAAAGAAAGGGAATTCTCTTTGTTGATCTTTTTGTCAATTAATAAACAAGGATGGAACTTTCAAGAGGTTGTAAAGATGCATATAGTTGTTACCATGGTGGATACTGGAACGTGCAATTCTTGTACCTTGTAAAACACCTTTGTAAAGAAGACGTACTCGGCAAGTCACTGCTCTTGAAGCAGCGTCAAAAAATCTTCTTCCTTGAGAAAATTCTCAACTATTTCAGTAGGAAAAGAATCGTGCTTAGCAACTGAAAAAAGCTTAGTGGCTGGAATTTGAAATTTCTACAACTTTCATGGAGGGACTTTCAGCAAAGATTAGTAAGCTTATGAATTTATTTTAGTGCAAAGATCTGCTTTGACAAGAAACCGAAGAAAGGTGTCGAAGAGTTCCACTATTTGAGCTGGCATCCAAAATCCCAAGGAGGGGTTTGATAAGGAACAAGAAATCAATCCCAAGATGATTAAATCAGAGTCAATGGAAAATCTTATAGAATCCGACGAGAAGATGAAGAGGAAGAAAGTTGTTTCAGGTGAGAATTTTCAGATATATCAAAAGGATACAAGCTTACTTACTTTTACAGGCAGATAAGTCAAGTAAAAGTTCTGTTGGTTAAATTTCCAAACTTCCTGACGGTTATCCCCAAGCTTTAATTTCCATTATTGGTCGACAGGCTTGTATTTTAGAAGTTAAAGGTTTGTCAAAGCCAATTGGCAATAAAGTGATTATTATTCTACAGTGGCGGAAACTAATCCATTTTTGCATGGGAAAACGATAATGGCGACTAAATAGATAAAAATGCTTTACTTAGAATAAGCAACAGTATGACGTTTAAAAATACAGCAAAAATGTCATCAGAACAACTAAATTTGGGTCAGAAGTTAAAGAATGAAGCACCGCCTGCTACTAAGACAAGTTTTCATCTTTCCATCTATTCGGTTACGTTAGATTTTCCAAACAACTTCAATCGGGGGCTCTTGCCGACCATAACCCACAATTTCAGCCCCTGTTTGCTAGCCATGTAAAATGAGTATCAAGGTATGTCGTCATTAAAAACTATTTTAGGAATGTTTTTCTTTGGATAACACAAACTGAAAATGTCTTGCAGAGAAATTGTGCTTTCTACCGGTGTAGATTCAATACAGATATACAAGCAATAAAATAAACCGGTTTGTTATTCCAAAGTTTTTAAAAAGAATGTTTTCCGATTCAGTGAAGTCACACTACTGCCTAAATTTCAAAAAACGATGCCAAAAGTGAATTTTCAACGGAAAAATCAGCTTCATAAAAATCTAGTGGACGATGTTCACAAATGATGTCCTTTGGCGTCCACAAACAAAATGCGATGATTGCAATTGGACTTTTTCATTGAAGAAAATGTCTAAAAGAATTCAAATTGATTTATCTAAACCAAAACCTAAAATGCTTTTTTAAATTTTGCGGAGGCTTGCTCTGCTTGAAATGTAGGTATCTTCTACGAGTGTTTACGGTGGTCTTAAAGAATGTCCCTGTTCTGTTGATTAACTCTTTCTAAACAATTTTCTAGGAAATATTTTCATCCGAAGTTACGAAAACACTGGAAGACTGTTCTGGTAGCCACTTTACTGTTGCTGTTTGGGTTTGGTATGTAATAGTGAATAATTAATTATGAATTGTGAATTCGGATTGGAAGTATCATGGTTGCTGTTGGGTCGACGAACCGCTTACCATAGTCATACTCAATTCTAATCAAGAAATGATAAGAAAATCGTTTATGAAGTCAATGCTAAATTAGATGAAATGACAAAACGATCATATAGTTGATAGGTAGAAAAACAAAGAACAATAAAATTCGTCAAAGGGAGTTCCCTTCTTGCTGCATATTCATACAAACATTTGCAAACATATCAATTCTCAAAGTGTTTTCTTGAATAGTGTTTCCGCCCGTATGCTTTATATGTACTTTTCGATATGACATTTAATTGTTCATTATCAATACTTATAAAGATTTTGGTTAGCTCCTAGGGTCCGTTATTTGATGGACTGCCTTTTTAAGCTTTTTCAAGATTACTTTAAGTACCTCTTGTGAATTGTTTGGGAGACTTCCCATAAACCCCATCCGGCTATTGTGGTCCTTAGCACTGTATTGATGAAGGAAGGATGCCTAAAAATATACATCACTTTGCTAGTAAAGGAAGAGTTGCCATAAATCTTTCTATTCTGTTTGTCAAAACCAATCCTTATCAAAACCAATATCCGTGAAGCAACTGTGTTACATTATTCAAAGGTTTTTGTTAACACCTAAAATCAAACTTGCACAGAATACGCTATTGTAAGATAGACCCTGTCAACTTTGATTGAATGAAACAGAGATGCAGGACGAAAGCTTAATTCTTTGGCTTCTCTAACAATGAAAAGTGTCTATAGCTTTTCTATGTGGTCATTCCTGTCCATAAAAACATGTTGCGAAAGCATAGTTTTTAACAGTTTATTTAGGTAAAAACAGTTTATCACATACATAAAATTAAAGGATGAGAACGATAACTATTGATAAAAGCCCTTTTAATATTAATTTGAGGTTTTCAATGCATCGACTAGGTAATGATTGTACAGATTTGTGATTAAACAGTTCCTTAACTATGCACAGCAAATACCTAAACTTATTCTTCTTATCTTTCTTTTCAGCTTTTCTAATTTGTGGAATACTCATAATAGTGCTGCTTCATCCAAAATACAAAACAGGAGAAGGTTGTTTTTTAGAAGTTTTCTTCTTCACATGTTACCAGGTCAGATAAGTCGATCATAACAAATAGGATCATTAGAGAAAAAAATTCAAAAAATTGCTTTTCCTTTTACCTGCATTTTATAAATGGCAAAGGTAATAAGCATAGGCAAATTATTCCATGAATCCTTTCTCGATGGTAACTTCCTCGTGACTCCTCATTGAGTAGACCAACCTATTGTCCAGAAAAATTTTTTTGGGCCAAAAGTCTAAAAGACTTTTATTCTGTTATGTAAAAAGTCATAAATAAGCAAGGACAATCAAGAATATAGTTGGTTTGTTTCTATACTGACGCCATTTCCCTTTCCTTCTTACTAAGAAAATATGCTGTCATCATGTCTGAAACAATTTTTGTTTATAGAGGAGGAAGGGAAGAATTGTGTCCCTCCTAAAATGATAAAAGTCTTTTTTTCGATGGGATACATTCTCTCAGACAAAGGTGCTCCTCCAGCAATTCTTACGGTTTAAAGTTTTAAACGTTTTAAATACACTCATCATGTCTGAAAAACGCCTTTGTAACAATATCACTTTTAAAGAAGTTTATTTTCATAAATTGATAAGAATCTACTCAAGTATACACTCGTGTGTAGAGTTAGGGGGCTTACCTTTTGTAAGGACCCCCTTGTTTTAGATAAAGCAGATAAAGTTCAAATTGTGTTTGAAAAAACTTCCATCTGTTTTAGGTCCAAATGGTTACATTTTCTTCATATGTTCTGCAATGTGTCTTATTCCGGGAGGTTAGTGTAACGTTTTATGTATCAGCAAAACTATAGTACAGTTTGTAGTGTCCGAATACAAGAGCAAGTTGATTGATATAACTAGCTGATTTCGCAAAATACAAGATTAGGATAGTTGCAGATGCAAGAATTGGAAAGAAATGTGTTTTTCCAAACATTGTACAGAGTAATCAGTGACAAAATATGTGACAAGGGGCCCCTATACTGTCAGCTAAAGCTTCTGAGTGATGTCGAAATAGAAGCTCCTAGTAATTCATTTTATTTTCCTAATTCTTTTTAGTGTATCACGTGGTGTACTTCGTACGAGCAGTCAAGGGACACAAGGGCTACACAATGGAAGACGTCACACTCTTTCATGAATGACGTCATAATATATCGGGGAAGACGCCGCAATGTTTCAAGAATGACGTCACAATATATCGGAAAGAGTTGCCTGTAACAAACTAAATTTGTGAATGAAAGAAATACATTTTAGATATGAAATGCAGAAAGATTTTCTCGAATAACTGCTTTGATAGAAAAACATTGCACAAAGACTTAAGTTAACGTACCAAAATTTTGTTTTATGATTTTAATAGAGGAAATTTTAGAAATATATATCTTTATTCCATCAATACTGTACAGAAATATTTGCAAACTCTCTCTAAATAAAAAAATGTAGAGTACCTTTCTTGAAAAGATCTCTTCCAAAATGAGGTTAGAAGTCTAGTCAAGAGCTTTGATGTTGACTGCTGATTGACTTTGCATTGCCTCAGATTTAAGGCAACCAATACACAGATACACAGTGCCTCTCAAAAAGAAGATTATGACAATCTGATATTCTGATCGGGAATCCATTAAGCCTTAGGTGGCCAGCTTTCCTTCAACTGGTTTCTTTATCTTGTAACAAATTATAACTGCTAATAGCAGGTGTACATTTTGCATTAACTGGAGAAATTCCTTGTGATGAATCCTTTCAAACTGGCGATTGACATCTGAAAGTCTAAAATCATAATTTCACATAAAATCTTCTCATCTGCATCTAAGCATGCTCTAAATCTTTCATGACGACTAAAAATTGAACTTAATATCAACGAATCCTTCTTCTTCATAATGTATCAAGTTTTAAAAAACTGTTTTATACCAAAAGGCCCAGAGCTCCATAGTTGTATTATATATGGCCTATTTTCTTGAAAAGGACTTACTTTGATACACTAGCCCTGCTTATCATGCAACACGATTTTTACCCTGATAATGAGCACTTCGTATTAAAGAATGGGAAGAACTTGTACAGAATGTCCTTGACCCTCAAGGACAAAAATAAAGACTTAAATATGGATGAAGAAAAGCAATTATACATAAACTCTAAGGTGTTTGCATTTAAATACTCATATTCAATATCCTATGAGTTGGGTACATTGAGTAAAATAAAAATACTGTCTACCAGTCGGCCATGCAGTGCACGATGCCGTTTAGGCAGAGCTGAGCTGTGCAGATCACCAAAGGCTTGACGGTTACATTTAGCGTGAGATTGGTTTTGACGCAACCCCGAAAATGTGGCAAATGTGCCCTTTTTGAAAAAATAACAGTTTTAAATACAGTCATTTTTTATTTAAAGATTTAACATTAAACACAATTCCCAACAGCTCTTATGCTTCCATTATTCTTTTTGCTCAAAAATAATAGATGATTACAAAACAAATGTTAGAATTAACGAAAAATCAAGCATTATAACGTTAACAGTTACTTCCGTAAAATCATCTTAGGCCTCCCACTGATAATTTCTGTAACCTATTGCTATTGTCACGTCTTTTTTACGTCAAAGAGTTGCAATTCGTGGAAAAACTGACGCCGAATCAAATGTATATCAGTTTAATCTCGATAAAGCTATCCAGGGCGAAGGTCTCAAGCTCCTCTTGAACGAAAAACACTGTGTGAGTGCACATGATATTTTGGATGAGCAGAAGGAAGTGCTGGCTTCATGTGCTTGTAAAGAATTGTTGGATACGATCCAAGAAAAAGTTTCTTTGCTATTCTTGCAGATGAATCATTAGTTATTGCCAAAAAAGAACGACTTTTCTTTTCCGTAAGAACATGCAGTGACAAATATGAAGGAAGATTTTGTCAGCATATACGCATGCTCAGATGGTCTCTCTTCTGATGCACTATTTGGCTGCATAAAAAATATTCTGATTAGAACTTGTTTGGATGGTAAAAAGATGCCTGCAATAGGGTTTGAGGGAGTAGCTGCCATGAAATCTTTGTCACAGAAGCTGAAAGCAAAAACAGCTTCAAATGCTACTTACGTTCGTTGTTAAGGATGCAATCAAGAACAGCAACGTGCTGTCGTCTTCTCTTGATTTGTGTCAATCGCTATATGCAATTGTTGGTGCTTATCCAAAGCGTATCTTATTTTTCGAAAAAATCCAAAATAATTTTAATTTTGAACAGGACACTAAAGATTACAAAGTCCTTTGACTTCACAATCTGTCAACAACAAGGTGGACAACGAGAGTGAAAGCTACAGATACTGTCTTTGATAAATCTTCTGAGTTACAAAAAACTTTAGAGGGTATGAAAAAAGATCCTATAATTCCTAAAGACACTGCATTCAAGATAAAAGGAATAGTCAAACGTCAATTCTCTTCCCTGGATATCCTTTCCAATTAAAATGCAACAAGAACGATTCTCAGCTTGTTAGAAAAACTGTCGACGGAACTTCGAGCAATTGGTATTTCTGTAGACTACGCTTTATACTCTATCAAGCACGTTTTAAAGCGGCTTCAAGAGTTAAGAAGCTTGAATGAGTTTAACCGCACCCTTGACGAAGCAAATGCCATTTCAAGTGTAAGAGAGCCTCACACTGGACCAGGACCACGTCCATCAAAAGTGCCAAAACGGTTTAATCATAGAATATTATGCTAACAGACAGCTTACCTGAACGACAAGATGAAACAGAGGTAGCGCGTATGAAAAGATCATTTTATGGAGCCATTGGTGCAGTCATTGTCAGCCTTACAGACAGATTTGATCAAGATTATCTTGTCTTGAATTCATCTTGCAATGAAAAAATTTTGTTGAACTCAATGAAAGAAAGAAGCATCTCCATAGCTAACCTGAAGAATGATCTTTTGAATAAAGATTTGCTGAGAACGCAGCTAGATGACCTCCCCATCATCCTTGGCCTCTACAATGATGAATAAAGGAAAATCACCTCTGTGACAAGGATATCCACCATCGCAGAGATCTTCAACTCTATGCCATCCATGAAGATTCAGTGCTCAGAAGTACATAAAATGATGCAACTGTATTACACAGTTTCACTTGGTTCAGCATCTTGTGAGCGAACATTCAGTGCCATGCAGCAATTGAAAACATGGTTACGAGCTTCAACTGGTGCAAATCATTAAAACTATATCATGTTTGCGAACATCCAAAAAGAAAATAAGAACCGAGTGGATATCAAGTCTGTTGCAAAAGGAATTTACGGGAAAGAAAGAAACAAGACTTTGGAAAATATGGACAATAAGCATACAAATACATTCTTATTTTTTGTTTCTGTTGAAAATTGAAAGTACTTTTCAAACATTGGCTGTTTTATGGCTGCTTTTTTAACCTGGGGTAAGATAACCTCAAAGTCTTCTTTGCAGGGTAACCTTACGGCGCACATACGCGCCGATCTAGCCTCTAAAGATGCCCTTTCTAAATTTCTGCCCCCCCCTGCCCTTTATTGGCTCCGGCGTCCCTGAGAAGTGCTACAAAAAAGAACAAGGGGGCTCTTGCACAAAATGTTGCCAAAAAGCAATAGCATTGACGGCATTAACAAGGGGGGATCATCCCTCGCATTGCATGGCTAATTGCTTTTTATTCTAAACTTTTGTAAAGTAGGCCTAAATTAGCTTGTACATAAATTGTACATAGATAGCTATATTATACCCACCTACTGTAAATAAATTGATTATATTTTATTATATTATATCCCTGCTCCTAGCATAGTTCTTTTAAAATGACTTTGCCAACAAGAAGCTAGCACGTTGCACTTCATGCCAATAAAAGACGAAGGGTCACCAGCCCATTTTTCTAAAGGGTAATGGGCTGGTTATCAGGCTAGAAGGGTCCATACTTGCATAAGCATTAAAATAACTTTTCACCCTTTTTTCCCTTTCCAGTGGTGCCACTCTGATCTGCAACAATCATTAGTTAAAATTAAAACATTTATGTCCCCACTTCCGAAAATTGAGTGTCAGTACCAACACTTATGATTAACCAAGATCTACGCATGCGTCACGACATTCCATTGAAAAGGATGCTGTGATAATTTAGCTCAATATACATTCTCAATAATTTTCGGTAAGTTTTTGTACTTAATTCCACTCAAATTACACTTTTGTCAAGTCATGTTTATATTAGTTAACCACTTGGTCATTTTCTTTAGCAATTTGAACATTTTAGGCTGGAGGCTTTCATCCAATTCAACAGTTTTCTGGTGATTATCGTGCGTCCAATTCTCCTTGATCAACTTCTTCGTAAAGAAAACTAATTAAATTGAGGTGAATTCACGTTTAGAGAAAGTTTTGTAGGATTACTAAATTTTTTCTAGGGTTGTGTACAAAGATTGTGTGTCTTGGACACTAACGCGTGTTATTCTAAAGCAAATATGATTCGAAACTTTTTACAGGAGTACTTAGGCCATTATGGCGGACCGCCCTTTTGGCGACTGGACTGCTCCACTACACTGGTCTTCCTAGAGGTGGTGAATTCATGAATGAAGACTAAGTCGCTGGAGAGTTCCCCTCAATTTGAATGGCAAAATGGTTGATAGTATTTTGGTTCTGAGCAAAATAAATTTGGATTTTTTCAAATTTCTCGTGACCACAAGTAAAGAAATAGTAAGCTGTTAGCCTGTGACTTTACTAGTCTGGGAAAACAAGCTACGCCATTTGAGGATTACAAGTTCTCAGTCTTAAATATCACTAGCCTTCAAGCAGTTCTAGTTTACACTCCACCTTAAGCGCTTTCCAAATCTCAAGTCATTTCAAAAATATAGTTTTCTTTATAATTTTAAGAATGTTTGTTTTGACTCTGGTGCAGACATACATACATATGTACATACCAGTGGCGAAGCCAGCTCTGGAGAGTTGGTCATGCACTTGGGCAAAAAAATAAACAGGGTTTTCGGCACCACAGCAAGGTACCCAAGTTAAGTTAAGGTTAGATCATTTCCCTTGAGAAAAGTGTTTTCAGCTATTGTGAAAATACCCAGAAAAGCCTTAGATGGGCATAAAACTTTTAATAATTTGCAAAAAATTAATTTTCAGACCTTTCTTGAGACATGTTTCGAAAAAGCCTTGGCTTTATGTGCTAAACGTGTTTTTAAAATCTGAAATTAAAATTTTAACTTGTTTTTAATGTGCTGATAACTCTGACATTCAATTTATTCATATTTACTATTTCAAGAGCAGTTTGATTCACCTGATTAAACTGTCAGATACTGAAGGAAGGCTTTTTAAGATAACATAACATAGCTAGATTTGATTCTCACAACATTATATAAAATGTCTAAATTGTTTTGCTCTGATACATTACAAGATAAATATACTTTTGATGACCCTTCCCTAATTCCTTACTTAGAACTATTGTACTTACAAGTACAAATAGTGTTATTTTTACAAATAAAAAAATTAATGCCCCCTAGTCAATGTTCACGCTACACCTTATTTTTTTAAATTCATTATTCTTAATTTGTCAAAACAGATAATAATCAGAAAATAGAGAGTTCTCCTCTGAAAAAATCTCAATACTCTCATCTTACACAACATCAATAACAAAAAAGGCCATTTTAAGATAAAGACTGAAAAGGTTGAGACAACACTAATTTCATGCCTCATTGTATCTCAAACTTGCATTGCATGTCTCTAACGAGCAACAACAATGAAGCATTTGTGTTTCTTATACTAACAACAAGTTCTAGAGACATTCATTCTGAATATTTGAAGCTACATATTATGAAAATTTAGCATGTAAGTCTACTAGCCATTATCAAAGCATGGAATACTTTGGGCTTGCCAATTATCAGCACAGCAACAAAATGATATTAGAACCATGCAGTTTGTTTCATCATTTTTCTTGCAATATGAGCGTTGCCTGCCTTATCATCAGGCACCGTAGGCCTAGTTTGTGCATGTTATATCCTCGTTGACATCATAGGCCTAAATATATGTGTTAGCAAACATAGTTCACAACAGGAAGAATCTGTTCCACTACCAACTTTTATTTTGCTGCATCAATTCTTTTAAATTACAAAACTGTTACTTTTCGTCATTTCTCTGCTGCTTTATTTCTTGCAGGATAACATTTCACGAAATCCCTTTCCTCATGAACTAGCATACTTCCTCTTCAGTCTCACTTTTTGAACTCGAACAGGGAAACGATGCAATCAAGGTCATTGTCATGCCATTCCAAAAGTGCATGACTAAAACGTAATAATCATCATGTTTTCAGGGCTCTTTCCATTGTTTCACATGGTTTTGCTTGACCAAACATAGGGTTTTAGTCATGCGCATTTGAAAGTGATTTTCAAATGTAGAAGCCCTATGTTTGCGCCTACAGAGTTACATAAAAGTATGCAAAGAACAATTTTATTTAGTTTTGGAGAATTTTGAATGTGAAAAAACCCATCTTTTAAAATATCTAGAAATTTTATCATAGATTAAAAAATTATTTTCTGGAAAATTTTACATTTTACAATTTTACATAAGTAAAATTTACAATGAAAATAGTAAAATTTATCTTTGAAGATATACAGTAGCTTGCTCTAAATGATAAAAACACTGTTTTAGAGGATCCCCTAACTTTTCAAGAGTGTATCGACAGGGCATGAATGATCTCTTCAAATTTTCTTGAAATCATTTAGCAGATGTGTTGATGTTGATAGAAATAATGCCAGAAATGTCTTGTTTGGGTGGAAAACTACTTGGGCACCAAATTTAAAAATTATATCATTTTGCACTATTGAGTTATTAAATGGTAAGGTAGCCAAAATTGTGCTTGAAGCCCAAAATGGAAAATTTTGGCTGAATTTGATAAAAATTAAAAGCTTGTTAACTTTTGAAACATTTGGGCAATGAAGCTTGTATATTTCAAAGATTGAAGAAGATTGTATATTTCCAGGAAAGGTTTATTTATTTAGAAGTTTCAACAGAATCTGAGATGGTGCCCATGGGCATTTCTAGAATTTTTGGCATGGAATGACCCTTAAAGCAAAAAATGCAGCCAAGAAACTCAGCCAAGTATTTTTTATGAATCACTGTTCCAACATTGTGACAAAATTTCTTTAAAAGTATCTTCCTTGTAGGAAAATTAACCAGTTTCAGGAGAATTGAACCTCAATAAATTATATTATTTTTTGTTACCTTTCCCTAATAGCTATCAAGTCAGACCACTTAACATTAAAGCCACATGATACAAATTCCATACTGGAGAAAGCAACATCTTATACTTTCTAAACCTGAGTCTGCTAAAGGAGTTTAACTTTGACTTTAGAGACTACTATGATAACATTGCCAAGAGTTTGAGTAAGTGCAGACATCTCTCTATATAAGTTTGATAAATTGACTGTGATTTTGACTTTCAGGCAAATTTCAGTTTTCTACAACAATGGAAAGACAAGAACCCTCTGAGACTCAGACTGAAGCTGGTAGCAGCTTAGAGAATAAAAATGCAACATATATTTGTGAATTTTGCAGTGCTCCATTCACAAGAAAAGAAGATTTCCTCTTGCACTTTACAGAATCGGCATGTAAAATACAAAGTATTGGGAGAATTGAAAGCAAAGATCCAACTCAAATGGAAACTGAAATTCAAAATTCATCTTCGGATGTATCATCCTCAGTGCAGGATCAGCAAATTACTGTTTCAGCTCCGCAGATTCTTTGCACTGTTGATATGATCTTATGTGAGCAAGGAAACAAAATCTTTATAGCACCTGACACATTCAGAGTGGCAGAACAGTCTGGTAATCTACAGCAAATCCTGTCTCTTTGTCAAGTTCAAGCTTCCAGTGATGATGCAAAAGCATCAGTTGCTGCAATGGATAATGGAAACCAGATTGTAATCACTGAGGGAAGCGCTACAAATGTTTTGACTCCAACTGGTGCTGTGGTGACAGTTACTGATAGCCTTACATTGGGTGAGCAAAATGGAGAACAAGAAATGAGGACAGTTGATAAAAATCAGATTAACGAGGAAGGAATGGATATTCAGCTTGTCATTCATCATGTTGAGAAGAGTGGAGATGGTTCTGATGAAGAATGTAAAGACAGCATCCTGTCATCCCTTGCTAGTGTGGAAGATACCAATCCAAATGACCAGAGTACCTACCAATGTGAGGTGTGTCACAAACATTTCAAAAAGCCATCAGGGCTCGAGAGGCACAAAGTTGTCCACACAAGAGATATAACCAAAAAATTCTTGTGTGATATTTGTGGAAGAGTCTTTACAACTTTAAATCGCCTGTTGAAGCATGAAGAGATTCACGAAAAAGCAAGAGAAGAGGAACACAAAAGAAAACATGAACTACAGGAATTAGAAGGAACAACGGAAGAGAACAGTGAAGCATTCATATGTGAAACCTGCCAGAAGACATTTACCCAGTCATGCTGCCTTCTTGAGCATGAAAGGATTCATTTCAAGGATAATATAAAGAAGCACAGGGATAAATTTCCATGCTCCATGTGTGATAAATGGTTTCATGCTGCAAGTCACCTTGCAAGGCATGAAAAGTCACATGACAGGAAGAATACATTTACATGCGACACATGTGGTGAATCATTCCCACGCCAGAACACCTTACAGAAACATCAGGCTATCCACTCCAATGTGAAACCCTTTGTATGCAACATATGCGGCAGAGGGTTTATGCAGTCCAGCAACCTTACAACACATTTACGTACACATTCCAAAGCTAAACCATATGTCTGCCGTACCTGTGACAAGTCTTTCTCACACTCAAGTAGTCGTGTTATACATGAGCGAATCCACACTGGCGAAAAACCATATTTGTGTGAAAATTGTGGGAAGAAGTTTCGCCAATCAGGTGATCTTGCAAAGCACCAAAGGTCTCACACAGGGGAGAAGCCATACCAGTGTGCTGTCTGTGCTAAAACATTTTCAGTACAGTCAAATTTGCTGGCTCATTTGCGAATTCATGTCAAGAAGAATTCACAAAACCCACTGTCAGTGGCAATGTTGATTACAGAGGAGAACAGTCAAGAAGGTGAGCAGGAACCTGCAGCTGAACAACAACCAATAACATCAAAAGATGAGCTTGCATAAGCACAATAATCTTTTGTACATGCATTATAGACAATGACGATTTACTTTCCAAATGATGTTATTATCATAGTATTAGTGGGGTTGTAGGGGCCAATGTTCCTGAAAGATTATCACTTTCTTTCCCCCTTTTTCAATTGCTCAGTATTGGCCCAGTAAAATTTCTTATAGTCCACAAAGTCAGAGGATGCAAGCATTTTTTATGATACTTGCTCTAAAACCCATAGTTAAGCCAATTTGTTTGCTGTTAAGTCTCTTTCAGTGTTTTTTAATCTTTTTATTTTATGACATCTCTTGATGAGCTCTAAATGTAACATTTTTTGTTGAAAAATGCACCCATTTGCGATGAAATCACCCTTAGTATGATATGCTTAGGGGTTTGGTTACATATGATTTAAACCCATTATTGAATAAGACTTTGAATCATTGCTGAAAATCAAAGTTTTGTTATGAACTTTATAATCTGTACAATGATTAGTATTATCGTGTGCATCAAAAACAAAGAAGACAGGGTAAATTTGTTAATATTTGACCAGTTGTTAGTCAAGTCTCTTCATTTTACAAGAAATGGCTTACAGTTTTAAATAAGTAGTTAGTTGAGTCAACAAGAGTTGGTTAAGATAAAAATAAATGGCTGATTGCTCCATCCCTAGAACCATTTCCCCTAGTTCCACCAGTGCTCAGTGTGATAATCAAAACAATGAAATAAAATCTTAAATGGTTATTAAATATATTCAACCTGAATCAATAGTATCCTGATTTCTATATTTTTCAGTCATATGTCTAATATTGCTTTTGCAGACAGAATTAGTTTAGGCTAGTCGGGCTAAAGTTATTCTGCAGTTACTGTAATATTTCAAGTTAGTAAATATTTTGGTTTATCACTGTGATATTTATTGAAGACTCTCCTGGTGGCACTCACTGTAAATACTATCGTTTAAAATTAAAACTAACTAAAATTAATTCAAAATCTAAAACTAAAATTGTTCATAACAGGGAAACTATAAATCCCACCCAATTTAAACAACGTTTTACTGTCTTTGTTGAGTCTTCATCGCATTCTAATTTTCTTGATGGCAGCCTGCCATTGATCCACTCGTTTTTGTTTTCCTACTGGACCAATCAATGTCTATAAGAAAGAGGATTTGGCGATCTCTCCACTCCACACCTCGAGCTCCATATAACTGTTTTATTGGACTGCCTTGAAAGTGGCATGGCAATATGTAGACGTGATAGGGTTCTCCAAAATCCCTTTTCATACCTCAAAATGGACAGAAAACAAGGTGACAGCTGCATCGGAATTATGACGTTGAATAATGTTGAATTCTAGCGATTTCTAAACGGTTTCTAAACAATCGATTGCTAATCATATCGTTTCAGTTTCGGCATTTTTAAATGAATTTTGTTTGCTTTCTAGATCCTTTCCAAAAAGGGAGATGTTATGTCTCTAGCCACTACATCTCCATATAATCGATGACTTGCCTTGCTAAGTGCACAGAATACATTATATTCTTGTGCGCCAGAAGTGAGCCAGGACTCGCTTGATCTTCTTGTATTTTCCCAATGAAGCTCTAATCGAACGCTTCATTTCCTTGCTTTAGTCTAGGCTTTTCTCATTTCAAAATTTAAGATTCCATATATCGTGTTTCACTCAACTCGTTTTTTAGAAAGAACACTCGTTTTTTAGGAAGAATACCAGTGTCATTCTCAAATTCTACCCCTCTTCAAAATAAAAGATTTTTCCTTTATATTTTCACGGGGATCACCTTCCGACATAGCTAAGGGCAACGCAATAGTTTGCTTATTTGTATCTAGACCCATCACCTGTTCTATATACACACAAAGGTTCCGACTCTCCCGATTTGGGCGGGAGTCTCCCGATTTGGGCAAGAGTCTCCCGATTTGAGCGTTCTTTTCCCGTGCCCCCAATTTCAAACCGAACCTCCCGCTTTCAAATTTTTTTTGATGGATCTGTTACAAAATTGTATTCCTAAATACATAAATGAAATAAGTGAATTCTCAAATGTAAATCTGCATGTATCATTCTATGATTTAAAACAGAGAACTTTTGAGTTAGACTTAAGCTTTTAAACTGATAAATTCCAGCGTTTTTGTCTCTTAAAACTTCTTTAACTATAGTCAATTTTTCCACAAATCTGCTAGAAAGTGGATTCGTTCAAAGATGACGACTTTCCAAAAAGTAGCGAAATTTTGTAAGGGATATTAAATTACTTCATTTTTCGAATTATCACCTATCCAGAGTCCGAATTCCTTCTTTTCCAAGAGAATCGATTTTGGCGGATGGGCCAAGTCGAATTTTTTTGCGGGAATTTATTGCAAAACTCCTGATTTTAGCTATTCTTAGTTTGGAACGTCTGTACACAGCATACGTCTTCTTGCACTTTTTAACACTGTTGGGTTTTTGAACACACGAGTGTTTCCCACAACCCTTTTGCTACCAATTTTCAATAACTTTTAGGTTTTTAAGATAATATTATAGCAAACCCAACGCAAATGTGATAGATTAATCTGAAAATAAACAAAGTAACATTTAGATAAAATTCTCTTTGTGTCTAACTACAAAGCGTGCAATCCGTGATTATTTTCAATGTCATAATTCTACGATTACTTTTTGCCACCTTGTTGTGCTTTAAGTACACGTACAACAATTTTCTGTTCTTCAATGAGAAAAGCACGGACAATCCTTTCTCTGACATATTTTGCACATCATGAGCCTCCATATGCTCGGGTGATGTTCTTCTTTGGCTTAGACAAAGCTTTTAGTTCGGTTGGACGAACGGCTGGAAGCCCACGAAGCTTTAACTTGCAGTCACCGTATTTTGGCACACTTCCTACTTTCTTTGTGTAAAGATAAACATAGATTATTTTCAGTTTTGCCTATAAAAAAGCTACTGGATCTTAGATGATACATACATGGAATTGAACATTCCTGACCAAAAGCTGGAAATCCAACTTTCTCCATGATATATTCTTGTTAAAAAAGCTCGTTATCAACACAACATTAAGATACAACAGCTTAAAACAGATCAAGGGTCTGAAGATGACAAGGCTTTGTCAGAAATAAGACAAAATTGAAATATGAAACTGATGAGATCACAATTCTATGAGAAAATGCAGCCCAATCAAACATCTATCAACAATTACAAACCATCTTTAATTTACAAAAATGTAGAAATCAATCTAAAAACATAATGAAATGACTCCTATTTATGATAACATCACAAGCACATAGCTAGTCATCACTACTTTAGGATGTTAGGTCCTTGACAAGCATTGCTTGCCAAACACTGTTTAATGAGCAACATCAGGTTGGTAAACATAAAGTGACAAATTAATGACTTACAAAATGAAAAAATGTAGGTATAAAAGAGCAACTAGATATTAATTAAGTGTCCTAAACATGAACATAGGCACAGAAAACTGCAAGGAATCTTTTGCAGGCAAACAAGTGGTTTATGCATGAGAATGGGACATCCTAATATGTGTTGTGATACACCAAAGTCCTAATTTTTTTCAAACTTGGGAAAATTCTTTGAGGCTTTGGTACAAAGATTTGTTTACATTGTGCAGCCATGTTGTTTGAGCTTGCAAGGGGCCAAAGGTTATGAGTAAACTAGTTGCACTGTTGCAAGTGCAGAATGTAACATGGATCAGGGAAAAACAGTTGACAGAGGAACTGCATATTTTTCTCAGCTAATATGTTTTTCATTATGCATTAAAAGTAATGTGCTCTGATGATCCATATTGTCAGCCAGCAAATTATGAGTTATAAAATAAACAAATATTAGCAAAACTCTGAAATAATTTGCTTTAAACTATAATCATTATGAACTATAAACTTAATACTTACAAGTTAGAACTTATACTATTTGTACCCCATATATGCTAACAAGTAATCTCTATACAGCACACCTCACAGAAACATGTTGAAATAACAAAAAATCCTATTGCAATGCAAATAAATTTTCTATCACACTTGCAAAGTATTTGAAGCCAAGGAACATCCTCCTGAAAAAGCTCCCAAGCTAAAAACTCAGCTATTAAACCCATGCTTCATTATCGGTGTTTATTTCTTTTACATCTGATACTGTGGTAGAAGTCTGTTTCTCATCAATGTTTCCTACACCTACAAAACAAGGTATATATGTAAAGATTATGCTGCAGCTACTTCGATTTCACATGTACCACAGCATCTCCTGCCTTAATGTTAAATGGTATGCAAAAAAACCAAAATCGAACAACTTACTATTCATTCAAAACATGTCACCGGGGTATGTTTCAGAAAGTTGTTGATTTTCTAAAAGCTGAGACATGCGGACAGATTGCATATTATGTTGCTTCTATATGAATAACAAAATATAAAAGGTAATGGTAGTAATTAACTTTGTTTTCTTAGGCACTAGAATGGGGAAGGGAAAAGAACGTCCCTAGTAATAAAAACTAACCATTGATGGCATCCGCACAGCTATCAACTAATTTTTTAACAAAACATCAAGCGAGGATAATTAAGAATCAATGACCAAATTTTCAAACCTTTTTGCCCCCGTGACTGCTTTCTAGCTGCAAATTCTCTAATGAATGATGGAATGCTATGGATTTCACTTTCATCAGATTTTGAGGTATCGTTTTCTGTAATTGGTTCCTTCATACCAAAACTCTGCACACAAAAATGTACAATGAGTACAGTTTTTCAAAAGGGGAGATAATCACAAGATGTCAACGTCTACCCTGGCACTGCGATAATTACATACCTTAGTTCTTCAAGCAAAATGCCCTACAATACTTTTTATTTAAAAAAAGAAAGAAATGATCAGAAGGAGGACCAGGTCTTCAGAAACAGATGCTCCTCATGCAAAAGAAGGATATTGTGCAGATCCTTTCTAAATCCTTGAATAAGATTTAGTAAAAGCAGCTCAATCCTTAATCATTATTAATGGGGAGGATTTTGAATACCAGGGATCTAAATTGGGAGGGGAGGGGGAAGTTGCGGCTTACGTGTGACTTTTTCATTATGATCTCAAAAACTCATTCTAATAGCAAGCTAACATTAAATGAACAAGGGAAGGAGAAGATATGTATGCAAATCATAAAAAATGATTAAAAAATTGTAAATCTTCAGTTACGACATCATTTGGTATATTTATATGAGAAATCTATCATCACAGGATAAAAATCTTTTTAGTGGATCATTTCTTCAACAGCTTACCGTTGGTTTCTTACTTAGTAAATCTGGACTCGTCACAAGCCTGCTTCTGAAACTTGTACTTTCCTTAGTATTTTCCTCTGTAGCTGCGACCTTTTCATTTGATTTCTTTTCTAAAACGATAAAGACAGATCAAGTTAGTATTACAGAATATAGATTTCATAAAGCCACTCACAATGAGCGCATGGTCCCTGGAACAGAACCTAGCTAATACCGTAAGAATTCTATAAGCTAAATGAGAATGAAATTTTGCAGCTTATCGATACCATTTTATGTCTCTCAAAAACTATCCTCACCACCTTCAAATTGATTAATATTTATTTTGCATGATTCGCTGTGCATGTACAGTATTCATTTCTTAGTTCAAGGGGACTTTTTAATAGCTACATTCCCTCTTATAGTGGAATGGCTATAAATTTTTCACTATAGCTGTATGATCTCTTTCGCAATGCCAGATCTTTGTCACAGGATTTCGCTACTTAAAGAACAAACACTCTCAGATGAAGTGCTCTTAATCGTTTAACAGTTCACTTCAGCGTTTGCTGGCACGCTCCTTCCCCACTGAATTTTTTCGTGGTACTGTCATAGAGTTAAGGCCACTAGACTTCTTAAATTCCCAGACTTTGATAAAGAACCAACGGGCTTGTAAAAGGACAGAGTAGTGTTCACTTATCAAACTTGCAAACTTTCATCAGAATATGAAACCAAGAGTGACAAAAAGTAGCTAAAACAATTTAAATTGCTATAAATAGCTGTTTGACAATGAAATCAAGCTTGACTTTACATAAGACTACTAAAAACTTAAACTTATATACAAATGACTAACCATTTTTGTTATCACTTGATTTCAATCTTGCCAGAAGCTGTTTCTTCCAAGCAGGTATATCGTCATATTCATCAACTGGTTTCAAATCATTAGTATCAAATGCGCCTCTAAACCAACAGGATTTTTGTTTCTTCTCAAGAGCAACTGCAAATTTTGTTCCTGAACCTAGTCCTTTATCTGTGCCTTCGTTTTTCGCACTTGATGAAATGCTTTCAATCATCGATACAGGCCTTCGTTGGCCGATCTTTGCTGGATTCTTTGCCCTCATTGTAACTTTCTCAAACTGTGAACCTCTTAACTGTGCCAACTCCTTATTTTCAGTCTGAGCCAAGGTTGGTTCTGACTTAACTGAATCAGTTTCACTAACATATTTACTTTTCTCTATATTTCTTAAATTTTCTTTCTCGGTGAAAGCGCTACTGTCTTTTACAGTCTCTGTCTTTTTCTCTTTCAGTGCCTCTGTTCTTACAGGCAATTTAGGTTTTGGTTTAGGCTTTGGTGGTGGTGGTCTTATACTTTTGAACAACATCTCTTTCGGTTCCTTAACTGTAATCTTGTCTTCTTTTTCAGGCTTAGCATTTTTCATGCTTGTATCCTTCGCAGTATCGTCCAAAGCTTTTGAAGATTTTTCTTGAACTATTTTGGTTACACTCTTGTCTGTCATTTTCTGATTATTTACATCATCGTTTTCTTTAAATGAATCACTTTTCACTACTTTTGTTATCTTATTCATATCTGGAGAACTTACTTGGTTACTTTTTGGTTGAGAAACCAGTTCAGCATCTGCAGAGCTCAAGTCCTTGTGTGTCTCTTTGTCACAAAATTTATCTACACTAGATTCACCCTTTTTTGAATCAACTACAGGTCTAGAGAGAACACCATGCTCGAAAGAATTGACTCTTACTATTTTTCCCCTAAGTCTTTTAGGTAACTTGTCATCATCTGTCCCAGCACCTTGCTTTATTTCTGATTTTTCAGGCACATTGTCCTTTTGACCATTTATCACAATAATGTTATCAAATGCTCTTTTTGCATCAACCTGGCCAGTCTCTTGCAAAGCCTGGGTATCTAAAGCCATCGCGGATTCTAATGCATTTTTCTCTTCTTTATTATCAGAACTTGTGTTTACATACTCTGAACTGAGACTATTTTCACCAGAAGATGATTCTGCAGCTGTACAAACAGAACCAGACACATCAATTTGATCTCTATTATCCTTGTGCTTTGCAGCATCAGTAACCAAGCTTTTTATTTCTGGCAACTGGTCATAAGAATGAGATAAATTCTCCTGGGTTTTAATAGCAGCATCACTCCCAGTTGCCAGGCTTTTCAAGGCTTTTTGCTGAAGAAAGGAAGGCGGCTGTGAAATTTTGAGTTTGGGTTCCTGTTTGACGGTCTCTTTTTCAACAAACAACTTTGGCTTTGGTCTTGGCAGCACTTTTGGTCGAAAAGGAACTTTTGGTACTTCCTTTGCTTTTAAAATCGGGTTATCCTTTGATGCTACAGGTAACTCTGTTACCTTTGCAGCTCTAATGGCTTGTGAATTATCCATCACGTCGTCTTGTTTGTTATTAGATGTGGCACCTACTGAAGAAAATGAATGCAAAGCGCTTTCTACCAAAACTGTTTCTGGTTTATTTTCATCAGACTTATCCTTGGAAAGTTTACCTGTGCATTGGCAAGGGTCACTCGAAGTCTCTGCTTTAATTTCTTTATGTTCCCCTTCTTCAAAATTAAAAGCAGGATCTTCCTTAGTCTCACTTGTACCCACTTCACCTTTAGATTCTCCTTCAAGCTGGTTACTTTTCCTTTTTAGCACACCAGCTCCAGATTCTTTCAAGATAGAACTGTCATTTGAGCCGGTGGAGGCAGAAGCGCTTGTTTCCAGAAGTGGAACTTCCATAGACTCGGTTGAAATATCAGTTCTCTTGTTATTACTCCCTTCCATTACATCATCATTCGCAACAATCAATTCCATTTCAGTATCCATGGGTTCTTGATCCTGTTTGGAAACTTCCTTTGAATCTTGTTGCAAAATCATTTCATGATTGTCATTAATCACTACACTCTCTGTCAGTTTTGATTCACATATTTGATCTCTCAAATTGTCTGGTTCTGGGACTGTCTCACTCTTCCGTTGCATATCTTCTACATCACAATAATCACTTTTACAAGACTTGGCAACAGAACTATGTAAATCACTTGAAAGATTACCTTCATATTCAACCCCAGAATTCTCTCCCTCCATTTCTGATGAAGAGGCTGCCAGATTCTCCAACTTTTTGTTGCTTACTAAGCCATCTACAGAATCACTTTTAAGATCAACGTTTGCTGATGCCTTTTTATTCAAATTTTTGTCTACTGTACTTTTCATTTTAAGCTTCTTTTTTAGTTCACTCACTGATTTGACAGTTTGGTCGTCTTCATCGATAGGTTTGCTTTCATCTTTGATTTCCGCCTTTTTCAACTCCTCATGACTTCTATAGTCAAAATTTCCTTTGATTTCACTACTCTCATTTACAATGGGACTTGCCTCTTTCCTTAATCCTTTCTTTTGTTTCTTGAGATTCAGTTCTTGCAGCCAACTTGGAGGCTGTGGATCCTCAAAATGGGGCTTCTTCTCTATGTTAGGCACTTTATTTACAGATGATGTATCAACTAAGTTGGACGCCTCTAATCGCTTTTGGCGAGTGCTAACCTCTTTTTGCATCCAAGCTGGTAGAGTTGAAGTGCCTGACGAATCCATATCACTAGATTTCATGCTTAAATCAGTGCCTTCCAATGAATCTGCTTTAATCGGATCTTTAGATTTCTTCTTCTCCAACTCCTCAAGCCAACTTGGTTTAGGTTTGACCACATCTCTTGAATCCTCCTTAGCAACTTTGCTAAGATTTGATTCAGCTGCACTTTTCAGTAACATTGCTGATGACTGCTGAGACTTGGGTTTTGGCTTCGGCTTTGGCAAAGGAGCTTTAGGACCTACATTCAATTTGACATACTCATTTATGTAGCCAGATTGAACCTTGATGGTATTTGAACTCAAGGGAGCTGAAGGGGCACTTATAACGTCAGAAGTTGAAGCAGCATTTGATGGTAGAGATGGTGACGATGACATTTCAACATCATCATCTGAAATCGTCGTCTGTTCAGAGTCTGTTTCTTTAGACTTTTTAGATATACTTCCAGTTGAACGGCGCATTAGAAAAGGAGACATTTTAGAGCCAAATACTTCTTTCTCTGTTACCAAGACCAAGCTTACATCTTCAGGTGATGGAGTGCGAGTGGTTGTCAGATGTTGCTGTTGTATCGGGCTCGGGCTGATGGAGCGAGGTGAAAGATTAGGACTTGTACCTTGCAATGACGCTGGTGTTACAATCAGCTTTTTAGACAGCAGGGGTGATGGAGTGCGTTCTCGTTTACTTTCTTTCCCAGCCTAAAAATTGAAAGGAGCGAAAGCTTTGTACAAGAAAATGTCATTTACGGCTTTTTAAGTAACCTTGGATCAATAAGTCGCCAGTGGCATTTACGTAACAAAATATTCGGCACGAGAATGACACTCTAAACAATTCAAAGTTGACTCTAACTCTTTATCTATGTTTGATTGACTCTAAGTCTTTACTTGATGTTTAAGCATCATTGTCAAACCATTAATTATTCATTACTATCTATGTTCTTCTATAATTTCTTCACTTTATCAGAGAGGCTAATACTTTGAGGAATACTTTACTTTAAAGACTGAAAATACTTTAAAGAAAATTGAAAAAAATGTTCTGTAGGCAAATGCTTGTATGTACGTATGCAAGACCATGTAATACCACAATTTGACATATGCTCTTTCGAACATACAAAAATATCACAACTATTTTGCTGTGAACTGTTTCTCTCCAAACCCATACCTTGGTTTAGCTAACCGTTTAAATACTTGGGCTTAAAACCTAACTATGTGTTTGTTACATATTTTATGGATGATGGAAAGTTTCATGTACTTTCTTTTTGTCAAAATCTCCTTTATGTTGACAGGTTTTAGGGAGCTTCATTGTTCTTAATGTATAAAGAACTATAGTTTGCAAACTACAGTGTACAGGGTACGATGTTCCTACTAGGCCTGTCCACCGAAGGTCGAATAATCGGTATTCGGTTACCTGTTTCACTATTCGGTTAGCTGAAGTCCAAAGCGAATATTCGGTTACAAACGAATAGTTCGAATAGTACGATTATTCGGTTACAAACGAATAGTTCGAATAGTACGATTATTCGGTTGGAGACGAATAGTGCGAATAACCTCACTGTTGGAGGTCCACAATGGTTGTTTGAATAGCCGTGACTCATCGAATAGCGTTGACTATTCGAATAACCGTGACTGATCGAATAGCTGTGACTATTCGAATAACCGTGACTGATCGAATAGCATTGACTGGTCGAATAGCAAGGATTGCTCTAAAAGGGAAAGGCAACTTCCTATCTTCAATCTTCGAGAAAGTTTCATGGATACGGGCCTTCTTCAAAAATCGCAAACCCAAGAAATAATTACAAAGCGAATAAAGCAAGATTGGAGGGGGCAGGGGGAGTGGAGCCTGGGTTGCAGGTGGGGGTCATGGGGCTTTTTCAGGGCCTCAGACGAAGGGTGGCCGGGGGGCTATGTCTCTATCACTATTTTGCAGAATAATATAACTTTTCACAAAATCTTCTGTTGTGAGTGTTAAATTTTTTCTTGCCCCCCCCCCTTTCTCCACTTTCCAACCTGTGTCGAAGCCCGTGCTAGAAAGCTTTTCATTTCACAAAATGTTGGAAAACGACCCTTTTTGAAGACTTACGACTATAGTTTCTCGTCAATTTGATACTGACTTTCTGGCCATTAGGGGTGACTAATGCTAGAGAAGGTTCAAGAAAACATTTATTTTTGACAAAAAATCGTTTTAAAAATTGCTTTGCAGCACAAAACACAGGAAAGATCAATAGGAAAACAAAAAATTAATGGTTCTAACTTATCGAATAGTAATGACTGATTAGCTATATTCACAGCTAAGCACAACAAATTACAATAAATTTTCAGATTGCAGTTTTTTACCACCACCCTGCCACACCCATTTTGCCACACCCATATTCGCCGAATAACCGAATATTCGTTAAATTTTAAGCCGAATAACCGAATAGGAATATCCGAAGGTTTGGACAGCCCTAGTTCCTACATCCATAACAGCAAAGAATCTTGTCTCGGAACAAAAGCTGCAAAAATTTACTCTATCTAATGTTTATACACAATTTTCAGCAAAGAAATATCATGGCAAAAAGCTGGTCTATTAGGAAACGGGCATTAAAAACCAATCCAATTTTGGACAGGTTTTCTCATTCTTATTTTTATTGTCAAAGAGTCTTTTAGCCTTAAAACACAACAATGACACAACAATGACTTACATTTGTCGGACTTTTCTTTTTCTTCAATACGTTACCAAGATCTGACAGTAATTTTTCATTGAACACAGGTGAACTGAACCGGTTCTGAGGTCGAGTTTTTTTTGGACTATCATCAGCTTTATCGTTCTCATCCATGCGAATTTGCACACTTAATGCACTAAAGGAAAAGTTAATCAGTGATATTTTATCCTTCAGTTAGGCTCAAATTATAATAAATTATAACTTAGCAAAGGAAATGAGCTTGAGTAAGATCATCATGGCATACATTTCTATTGAATTATAATAAACTGTTTTTCCTCTCAAAATTGAGTTAATAAAAGGATAAGCAATTTCCTATGTTATGCTGTTGACAAGACCCAGGTTTCAACACATTCCGCTTCATCTAATACATGGTAAAATTGATGCAGCCAAATGTTTAGTGTTTTATGCAACTTTACCATACCCTTAATACAAGTGACTCTTGCATATCTCAGAAAAACTATAAATATATTTTTGAGACAAGGTTTCATTCACAAGCAATAACAGAGATAGAAATGATTCAATGCTACTTGAAAGTCCCTAAACAATGGGTATGCTCTAAAAACCATAAATCACTCATGTCTCATGGGGGTACAGTATGAGTTGTTCATAATAATAAGATAAGATGACAATAAAAAGATACTGGGGATACAATAAATCTAAAAATGTAATTACTTACATTTCAGAAGGACCTTCAATCTCCTTAATTTGAACTGCTGAGTTGTCAGATGTAGCCGTCCAGGCCCATGACTGAGGTCTTCTTCTCTTCTGCACCCGCCTCTGAGCAAGGCCTACCTTGAATCTCTCTCTGGAGAAATCCAGCTGCCTGTTAGCTGCCTTAAAAAAAGGTTTGAAATGGCCATCATAAATAAAGGTAAACATTTATTAACATTCATAAGCTTCATTTTGAATTTTTACTCTTGTGATGAGATTGAAGAGCTTTCCTTTATTGGTCTCAGGGCGATAACAGCAAACAGCTGCATTTTGTGTTTTGATGTGAGACACAAAGTCTGCAAAAAAGAGATATGGCCTCAGAACATCCACAAAATGCAAAGATTAAAATGACAATAAACTTACAAGGTTGGAGGCAAAATCTAGATCAAAGCTATCATCATCTTGGTGTTGTGACTTGTCATCAGTTGATGTCTTGATAAGAAATAAAAGCATTGAAAATCAAACAAAAAAGTAATTCTATACTATTACTAATAGATTGAAACAAAAATCATTTAAACAAGAAAACAAAATATTTTCACTGCCAGTAGTAAGCCAAGTAGGTTTTTTCCATGGTTTGTAATTAATTGTTCTGACACTTTCTAGAAAGCCCCTCACTGGTATTACATATGGTAAAAGCTCTATTAAGGCCCCTCTCTATTAAGCCCATTCTCTATTACCCCCCGCCCCCCATATCAAGCAAAACCTTAAAATAAGCCCCCTCTCTATTAAGCCCCCACTCTTTGGCCTTTAGTGTCAAACAAAGAAAGCATGTGCAAATAGTGGGTCTCTTGATGGGAGTAATGAAGATAAGATCATGTGTATTTAATACAGCCTATGTAAAGACTTATTTAAGTTGAAATTTCTTTAAAGATGTCCCAGGGTTAACAATTGACCCTGATGATTCTGATGAAGATGACCTTATATTTGATTAATTAAACTTTTGAAGTGGCTAGCAAAGTTTTCTGAGAACATTTGTATGACATTTTTATAACAAATTAAAAGACAAAAGCATTGTTAAACATTTCTTTTTTCAAATAAACAAATTTCTAACAAATCCCTCTTCTCTAAGCCCCCTCTCTCTTAAGCCCCCTCTCTTTTAAGCCCCCCTCTAGGACTGTAGTAATAAATAAGCCCCCAGGGTTTAATAGAGTTTTTATAGAGTTTGATAATAACTAATCGCAATCATCAACAACATTTGGCTGGTGGCACCTACAAGTAGATTCAAGAAATGAATGTTAACCTACCTGGTCATTTCCTCTTATTATGGCCAAGTAATCTTTCTACAAATAAACACACAAATACACTGTTAGAGGAAAAATACTACTTCCTTTACCAAATAAAAGATTGTAACTAGTGCAGCTCATTTAATTGATAAATATATCATACCAACTTGCCACATCATATCTTTCATGGGCTTTGATAGCAAAATGACAGTTTGCAGCCATTTGAAGATCAATAAAACTTTGTATGGCATGAACAGATGTCAAGTCAATCAAGTTTTTCAGAGAAACCAATGCAGAATATAAACTTGTGATGATAATGTATCCATTGAGGATAAAGGAATCAAACACTCATTCTTTATGATTACTTACAGTCTCCTGGTCCTCTTCTTCAAATTTTGAAAGTTTATCAGCAGAATCCTCTGGTGTCTGTCTTGCATTTTTGCTCAATACCTATGAGGCATTATAGATTGCATATCAAAACAGAAATGGCAATAGATATGAAACTAAAGGGATACAACTTACATGGCTGACTTAAATAAGAAGGCCTTTTAGAATAATATTAATTTAATTAATTAAATTAATTTGCAATATTACATATCAAATCCACCTCCAATCAGTGGCGGCTCCAGCCTGGGATAAGTGGGAGGGGGACAAAAGGCGCGACAACGCCTTTTTGGACCACGCCCTTTTCCCATGTTTAAAATTTTTCTTCGGAAGGAATTGCCTGTTGCCCCCAAGAAATGTCATTTACATGTGACTAACGCACATACCCCCCTGAATTTTTCTCATCAGGTTTGCAAGAATCTCAAGGACCAACTTTCTGGAAAAGTGGGGGGGACTAGTCCCCCCCATTCCCCCCAATGGCTCCGCCACTGCCTCCAATGTTTAGGAATACTATAGACATTAGCCTTGGAAGCATTGTCTGCGAAATTAAAGCATTTTAAAATCAGGTTTGGTAAAACACTTTGTGCTCATCTGGCAATAATGTCTATATGACCTTCCTGATAAACATAAAATTTATAAATGAACAGATGCACAGAACAGGTGTTTCAGGCTCAAGAGAATTTGTAAATATAGGAAAATAGGTCCATCGGAAAATATGCCTTAATGCACAATCCTTCCAAGAGAGTTCAAATTATAAATTATAATGGTCAACAGTAACTAAAGGTCAATTTGTTAAAAAATCTAGTGCACAAGAAGCCTTTTCAAATCCACCAAAATTTGAAAAAGGTGATCTACATCAGCATCAGATCACAAATAAGATTCATTGAACCTCAATTCAGTATGGAGAGGAGATTTAGGAAGTCACAGAATCTGCAAACCCAGTCGAAAGTTTGGATAAAACTGGTAACCTGGAGTAACATTTGGAAAATCCAATATTCAAAACCCAAAACCCCCTTTCCCAGAATAAACCCAAAACCTTGAAAATAAAGATGGCCAAAGCCCACACTGTGAGATCCCAAAATCTCCCGAAGTGTTTCAACTGAAATATTAAAATACTTTCTAAATACATCATATTTACAATTGTTTTCATGTTCATATTATCAAAATGAAAGTTTTTCAGTGAAAATAAAATCCCAAAAACAGAGTAAATTGGGCTGTTTGAATTAGAAATTGCCTAGAAATTCACTTTCCATCATCTGACAATTGACAAAGATAGACAAATTGTGGTTTGGCAGTTTTCAGTTAACTATTTCCTGTTACACTTCTGTGGTCAAATGGACACATGCCAAAAGGAAGTGTTTAGCAATATAATCAGGAGGTCTACACAGAAATAAAACTATACCTTTGCACGCTCCCTGACATCTTTCAAGAACTCATTCTGATCTACACTGAATTGCTCCATAACTGCTACCCAGTTTGCAAGGAACCTGAAACAAAAAGGTACCAATGATTGCAAAACCATCAATACCAAGGGCTGTGATAAATTGTTGCCCTCAGCCTAACATATCCCTGGAAAGTGACCATTTGATAATTCAGGCAGACTCTATTATGTTATAATGTCTGTGTAGACCAGCAAAACATTGTTAGGTTTATTGGCTAGCTATTGTCTCAGTCTAACTGTCTATTGTCTTTTGTCTTTTTATTACTTAATCTTATTGACAGGGTTAAGAGGCAGATTGAAAGCCAAATCAGGACTGAATATTAATATTAAAAAATTATGTGTTTTAAGGCAAGATGAGTATCAATCTTTTGTCATATCGTAAGTCCTCAGATAAACCCCACACTTTTGAACAAGCCCCCCTTAATTTAGTCCCCACCCTAAAGAAATTTTTGTTAAATAAGTTAAATAAGCTAAGAAAATTTTCAGAGCCTTGCCATTGTGCTATTTGCCGCTTACAAAAAGACCAGCTCAACACTAAAAAAAATTGCAAATATACATTTGCTAAGATTGCTTAAGCTTTGTTCCCTGAATGTACTTCCAGTACATACTTTATACAGGGGGCATTGGTGAAACACTTTTCTGTGCCTTATAACCCTATTCAGGCTTACAGGGAGCCATGTATGTAGGGTAACAATAAAGATGACACTTGAACTTCAAAAAGTAAACAAAGCATATATGGAGGGGTAGATGTTTTGCTTTCAATTTAAAAACTTAAAAAAAATTATTCGACAGGAACTTCAGAGGGAAAGTGTCATCTGCTTCTATACTTTCCTTGTGAAAAGGGACATTATTCAAATTTTTGGCCAATACATAATTTTATGCCAATAAGAAATCATGTCTCTGGGGTTAGAGATATACCAGGAGACCAAAACTGAAAGAGCAAAGATCTCAGGTGAGAGAACAGTGTAGTCTCAATCTAACTGTCTATTGTATCTTTGTCTTTAAATACTTGATCTTACAATAGGGTTACAAGTTACATCTCAGGTGAGAGTACACTGTTGTCTCATTGCAAGTGCTAGTGCAGAAAAAGCATAATTTTTTGCAAGTGCTGGTGCAGAACTATGTAGGACTTTTGCATATGTAGGACTGCAAGGAGAAGTGTGGACTCTCGCATATCTCAGAAAAAAGAAAGTTAACTGATTACGAATGGCTGATTACGAATGGCTGAGTACCCTAAAGCCTTAAACACTAAAACAATATTTTTCTCAATTTTAAGGGGACAAGAAAATACACAGGTTTCATAATGTGTGTTGGGAAACTTCAAGAACAACAAAGATTCAGCACCAGGATAAGAACAAGATCGAAATGTTGAGTTTGACAAAGTCAGCTGTTGGTGCATTATTTTGCTAATACCAGACCTTAAAGAAGTTTTCTTTTGGGACTTATGCAAACAAATTATCAATAAATATATCGAGCAGACAGACTTTTCGTTGAATTAAATACAAAATATCAGTAAGTAAATCATGAGCTAATATATGCTAAAGTGAGCCTAGAAGTTATAACATTTTGACTTTTTATAGACATTAATAATTTAGTGAGCACTTCGCACTTGAAGCTGACGACAAATGTTACAAAAATCACAGCTAAATCAAACATTGCCGGACAATAATCGAAAGCAAAAGTTACCTGGAAGCTATTTATACCAAAATCGACACTACACTTTCACAAAAGGAAGTACAATAATATCGGTATGGCGACTGCTTTCCTGCATCGAAAAAGCTTGGTTAGCCGATAAAATCAGTACAGCAACTAAGTCAATTACGATAACGGGGAATGGCTTATCACAGCTTCCTTATAATAACAACATGATCACATTGGCAGGGCGATAAGTTTTGATTCTCGGGGGCATTCTCACCATGAAGTTTGGGCCTACGTTTGCAAGCGACACGTTATGCAAGATGCGACAATATTTACCTTAAAAATTTTTTGAAGTGGACACGAAGGTAGGTTCTTTAAACTTGACATCTAGGACACTAGCATGACAACCCCTTCGTGATCTGTTTGCATTCTTCTTTGTTTCTCCATATCTGTTTGCTGTCGAATCTTGTAACTGTGTCTTCTTACAAGGAAAATTGGTTTGCTCCTCCGCATTCAGTTTCGCTGGTTCGCGGAGCCCACCGTCATTCAAGGAAACTCTCTTGACGTTGCTATGTCGATGTTGAAGCCAGAATAAAAATAACTGCTCTCGAGTTACTGCAAATCACAAAATTATTTTTCAATTTTATTGTCACTTTTCAATTAAATATACATATGTGGTCAAATAAAATTCATTATGACAATCGTAATTTTGCCCGTCGTTAAATGATTGAAACATGGATTGCCTAATGCTTCCACCAGGGCTTGCGTGTAACGGGACCAATCACATAGTAATATGTAATCACATGACATGTAGCATATAAATCGAGAGATTGGAAATAAGAGGGGAGATTTGATTTGAATATAGAAGAAAGTGGTGTTCTCTTTTCAACGCTCTATCGTTACGACTGGTGAAGGACCAGTTTTTAGGAGCCTGATAAATATCGCACGAAGAGACGTTAGGCCTCATACATGGGCTTGCTGAAGTCAATCAATCAAAATCTTTAATAATGTGTCAAAAAATATTTAGCTTACAAGCTAATTAGGGACACATATGTATAAGTCATAAAAAACCATCAACAGGCCCAGAGGCTACAGCGCAATAGCTTCAGGAGCTTTCTGCCACTGTTGCACAACTCTCTACCCACACCGCGAGACACCCAAGTGCCTATAAGCTACCGAATCTACAATTGCCAAAGTTTACGGGAGCTGAGGCGCTGGACCGATTTCTCCAGCAAATACAGAATGTTTTGACGTCCTTAGATGTCCCACCCCGTTTATGGCTCACTTGTGTCAAGCAGCAATGCTTTGCGCGAGCCTAAGACATTTTGTGTTCCATGGACGACGATAAGGTGCACGCCCTACCATTCGATGCAAAATCGCTGCCTTCGCTCACTTGTAGGACAACGAGGGATTCCGAAAGATCAGCAGATTCAGACCCTCCTGTCTCAATATTATTCGGTACAGCAGCACCGAAATGAATCCGTTGCCGATTTCTCCCACCATTTCACGGAAACCTAACATGCTCTAGAAAAATTGATTCCCGGAATCCACCGTCCCAGCCATGGCAATGATACCGAATTGATACATGCGTTTATCCTAAAACTGCAACCGGACCTTTCCAAGGATATCCTAAGCCGAGATTTCCATGTTTACACCCTTGCTACCTTGGTGGAAGCTGCCAAAAGAATCGAAGCCCGATTTCTGCCATCGTACCCGGAAGGACCTAAACTTCAGTCTTGGACGCCAAAGGATGCTATTGCTATGCCTGCAACACATTTTCCTTCGAAGACTGAGCGTCAAGAACCTTGCCGAATTTCAGGTGACCGTATTTGTATTCAGTTCAATAAATTTTCACGTTCTTACAGTGAACGAGCAAACACTTGATGTTCGAAAGGGTTATTTATTACACAAGTGTAGTGAATGCGACAAATACCGTTGCAAGGCAATACGCCATTCGCCAAGACAAATCTGATAGTGCTAGACGTCGTGTCGCATCTTCTTCTGTTTCTCTGCGAAACCGGGGAGCCACTTTTCTACAGAGCCAAATTTTTTGAGGCAAAAATAAAAAATGATTGTAGTATGCTATTCTGTACGTCTTTGTGCTCATTCTTAGTTTCGTTACTATGTCCTTTGGGAATTGTCATTTTTAATCTGGGTACAAGGGAGGAAGAATTTTGGAGACGAATGGAAAAGGTTTTCTTACCCCACTCACTTAATTCAATAATATTTGCAACCCCAATGAAAAATACTGAAATGTTATTGCTACTCGTGTCATACATCAATAATTTTATTCTATCAGAATCTTGAGTCAGCTATAATGCAATTCAGTGAAATTCTTCTCTGTCTCTTTAAAATCATTATCAATCTATGTAAGATGTTTTGTCGTTTTATCTGAAGGTAAAAAGGTAAAAGAGAGCCGAATTGCAAGAAAAAAAAGATGAAATAAAAGAAAAAGCTGAAGAAGATATATTGGTTCATTTACTAATTAGTTCACGCTCAGTCCTTTAAACGATTTATTACTCAGTCCTTCATATGAGGGTGAGGTTGGTGATCACACCCACTGAAGTAACAGCCTGGTGTATGCTTTCATTTGAAAACAAGTTATGTATCAGTTTATTGATTTCCTGATAGTATTTGTGGTGCAGTCTTTGCACATTTTGTAATTTGTGTCAATCAGTTAAACGTCCAGCCTCTGTCTTTGTGCTTCTAATCACTATGCGCCGTATTTACCAGAACTTTTAACAGCTTTTTTGATACATTTTGATTACACTAACTGTGGAAACACTCATCATTTGAAAAGTGTTATAGAATGGCTAGATCGAGCTACAGAGAAATTATACAAATTTACTACCGTTTTTGACAAAAATAAACAAAGGCATTTTGAATAATAGACAGATATGATTGAATTACCATAATGGTGTGAAGATAACTAAAAAGAATTTGATGAAAAAAGATCTGTAGACTGAAAACACTTGCAGACAAAGAGTCTTTCTGTATTATCAGCGTATTTTTAAATTATAATGTAAATTTCAGCTAAAGTAAACAATGCATTGCTCGAATTCACAGGAGTAAAACATACCACGAATGAGCAACATAAAGACACAATGACAGCAAGAATAAAAGGAGGTCTAAACGATACAAGGCAAATTGTTAAATCCATGGATGCAAGAAGTCCCTTTAGTGATGATATTTCCTTGAAATCCATCACAAAAGGTTTCATAGCAGAAAAGGAAGCAAATGTTGACAGAGCAAGATAAATTGGCGAAAAATGTTTAGATGATATGACGGGTAAGGAGGTAGAGCAATATTTTTAAAAAGGCCAACCAAGCAACTGTAATTACAACACCTAATGTGGCAGAAACGGCCAATATTGAAATCCAAGTGGATCTCCAACTCCTTTTCCAAAGGTTTATTGCATTTAAGGACTTTGTTGGACAAGATGTCCGTTCAATATTTCAATATGAATTATGCTCAGTTCCAGCTTCTTTATTTGAGGCAAGTGGTTTACCAAGGAAAGCTAACAAGCCAGTAGTCACAGAGGCAGTAGCCAAAACTGGCAATTCCAGTGACACGAGCCCAGCGGAACCATTCCAATACGTCCTTGATGGAGGGATTTTTTTGCAACGTTTGGCATGGAAGCGTGGAGATCGATTCGCTTCGATCTTAGATTCATATCTATGTTACGTCACTAAAAGGTACAGAAAAGCAGTTGTTGTCTTCGATGGTTACGAGTCAGGTTCATCTCCGAAAGATACGACACACCGAAGAAGAACAGGGTTATCTGCTGGAATGGAAGTCATCTTCAAGGAAGATATGGTCCTTACTATTAAGAAGGAAATGTTTCTAGCTAACAAGGGAAACAAGCAGCGTTTTATCTATTTGTTGGGCAAAAAGGTAGAAATGGAAGGGTGTGAAGTTGTCTACTCAGAGGGTAGTGCAGATTTCGCCATTGTAAATAAAGCAATAAGCGTATCAGCAGACATTGAAACTGTTGTTGTAGGTGAAGACACAGACCTGCTAATTCTTCCTCTTTATCACGCTAAACAGAATCGAAAATCCATCTTTTTTTGTCCACAGCGAAAGAAAAATGCAAAGAAAAATGCAAAGAGTCTGGGATATCAAGCTTTGTCAAGGAGTTCTCGGTTTGGAGACATGGAAGTCTATTTTATTTCTGCATGCATTTCTGGGGTGTGATACAACATCAAGTCTTTTTTGTATAGGCAAGGACCTGGCACTGAAATTGTTTACAAAGAACACACATTTTCCGGAATGTGCAAATGTTTTCAAGGAAGAATCCTCTACCACCAAAGATCTGGTTTCTGTCGCAGATGAAAAAGCATTAGTTGCCATATATAATAGAGAAGAGAATACTTCACTAGATGACCTCCACTATAATGTTTTTTGCGCAAAGCCTGTTTCTGCAAAATTACAGATCAAACCCGAAGCACTACCACCGAAATCAGCTACAGCAAAATACCACAGTATGTGAGTATACTGGCAGGTGATAAAATGGAAAGGCCATTCGATAGATCCTAACAAATGGGGATGGTAGGTCAAGGATTGTGCAATGTTTCCATGTCTCACGGATCTCCCTTGTGGGCCTGAAGAGATGTTGAAGCAGATTTACTGTAAATGTAATAAAGGGTGTACTAATATGAGATAATGCGTTTAGATGGTTCATCATCTAGTGATGAGGAATGAATAACCATATACTTAAAAGCAAATTTGGTAGTAGCAATGTTGATTCCAAATTTACATTAAAAATCTTTTCTAAACTACCTCCTATCTTTTTGCAAGAAAATAATCATAGCGAGAAAATCTAAGGTTATGACGCCATATTGACGTAATCAGCAACCATTTTTAATATGATTTTTGAATGGTCAGATTAAGATATAGGCTTTTGACGTGCATATGGCATAATCAAACGAAATTTAATGCTCAAATGCAATCCAAATTCTATATATATAGCGATTTTATATATGCATGGTGTACCACAAGGGCTCAAAGTATGAGGGAATTTAAAGCAAATATCTTGGGGCGATATTTGGGGGTTTCACAGCTGAGATTTTATGGGACTTTTTTCTGAACAAAGTTTAGCAGATGGAATTTCGATTGCAACTTAGAAAAACTTTGTTGGAATTAGTTCAGGGTCAAATGACAGTTTGATTGGACTATCATCGATTATTTAAAATAAGACTTGCAAAAGATGACTATCAAAAGCTTATACTTTACTTTTAACATTCAAATGAATTCTATCTTGATGGAGATATATTAGGAAAAAAACTTGATATCCCATCAGTAACGAGTGAAAAAAATTTGCTTCTATGTTAGCAGGGCAAAAGAAATTTTTCATGGAATTGAAAATTCCATTTTGACAGGACCACTTAACTTTTGTCACAATTAGCATGGAACCTTGGCTTTGTGTCTGATTCCAGATTATATACATATCACAAAAAAATTATTGCGATCTCACCACAACCGATATCTTTGATAAAGATGCCACACTTGCCAGCCTCTTTTAATCTAGAGGGAGGTATACACATGTCTTGCTAATTAGAATAGTCGTTTCATGACTTAATGCAAAAGTTTGATCGTTTTTACTAGAATGACCAGGGCCGATTTTAACCTACTTACTAGAACCTAACCTACTAGAAAGGGAGGGGTTGCCCCTCCAGCCCCAGTGAATTTCCATTGTTTTAAACAATAGGCCATTGTTCTTTACTTATAATAAACAAGTGTTTGCCCCTGAAACTAATTTCCCTTCGAAAAGGCTATGAGAACGACTGCTCTTTCTCAGCTTCGTATCTTTTTTGTTGCAGTAATAAAGTATCTAAATTAAAAAAAGTTTCATCATCAAGTGTATAATAATGTCGATAATATGAAAGGCCTACAAACAGTGATGTAATGCTGTAATAGTGCTAGTTTGGATTTCGTTTGTTTTGCATCCTGTAACCTTAGTAATTTTATCACCGTTCGCACATTCGATTGTTTATAATTCCTTTTGTTTTCTAACTGCACCTTTAGATTCATTAACTATTTCTTTTGGGATTTTAAGGATCATTATTCAGTTTATGTAATTAATCTTGGGACTAATATATTTTGTATTCACTATTATTATGTAAATTTACGTAGCTATGTAGCATTACAATAAGTTCTTGTTTAGTTATATTTTGGGCGTGTTACAGATAGAGTTAGTTTTTGAGTTCGTTGGAGTTGAAGTTGAAGTTGGAAATGGAATTCGGTTAAGAGCGATAGGGTTAAGTTTTGATATTTTGTATATTTAGGTTCTCGACGTTTCACTTATGTGGCAAGATGCTTGTGAAAGATCTTGTCGGCATAAATTATGGATTTATAGGACACGTATAGCTATTTAAGACATCGCGCGTGACGATTATTGTGGATTATTTGACATATTTGAGAGGACAGTGCTTGAGAAAGACTGTGCCTGTTATTAAGAGAACAAATCGACGTTACGGGACGACCGTAGAGAAACATTATATTTATAGAACCTTTTATCGCGGAAAGATCGTTTGATCTGAAGAAAGACGTTTCAACATTATCATTGTGTCTATTTGTTTCTTTTATCATTGATGGAAGAACCATTTAGTTTCGAAGATAATGATATGGTGGATACATTCATTTGGCAAAATAATCCTATTACAATGCTATCAAAATAACAAGGGGGGCCTTGCATAAATTGTTGCAAAAAACGATAGCAAAAGTAGAAATTTGCCAGTTTTTGCAATCAACAAGGAAGGCCCAGCCCCCTGAGCCCTCTAGCTCTACACCCCTGCCTGCGAAGCCGGGGGGAAGAGTCTCCATATATCTGCAGAGCAAAATAACTTTTTAGGAAAAAGTATTAAAAGCACTATATTGCCGAAAAAAATTAAGATCAGATTTTACAAAATAATATCCCCACAGTACAAATTTGCTTAATCTTTTATATTTTGATATTTTGGCACCTCCATTTTCAAACACGTTTTGATGGCTTTGGAATATATTTTATGCTCGAGAAAGACGCGCACCTAAGCCCCCCCTCCCCCTAACTCGACTGCTCTTAAGTAGTGAAAAATGTGCGCAAATACAGGCCACACCAAACCATGAAAGTGATTCAATTTTCCAATAAAATGTTATTCTACTCGTCGATGTTATTACAAATTAGAGGTGATTGTCAAGTAAAGATTGTTCAACATCATGTATTTTTCGATAACCTGGATGATACCAGCTGATCGTAAAGGAAATCGCCAAAACAGAAAAGCAGTTGAGGTGGAGGAAACGGATTCTTGAGATGGTATAGAGAGAAATTACGCTGATAGTATGACAGTTTTCTGATGAAAGAAATTTATAGAGTAAAAAAAGCTACATTGTTTAAAGCTACGGCAAAATTAAGCAGCATATAATTAAGGCTGTTTCTTTATTGTGTACGCTGTTTATTGTAGCATAAAAAGTTATTCTTTCCTCAAATTTTTCTGACGAGGTGGCCTCGTATTCGTTGGCAATCTCAATCTTTTCAAGAGGACTGGTATCTAGTTACAGCGACATGCGCAACATCCACGATCAACTTGCTTCGAAGTAGTCTGCCGTGTGTGCTGTATGATGAGAAAATAACACAAGTGTTTGATTGAAAAAGACACGTTCCCCGAGGTTATCAGTTTACAGGGGTAACGATATGTATAATAATATTGGACTGCAGACTCCAAGAGGCTCTGGAACCAATGGATATGTAACAAAAAATTTGTCATTCCTTCAGGCGCGCAAGGAGAAACAAGATTACCTGAAGGAACAAGATGTCAAAAGACACGAGCAAAGTTTGATGAAGAAACCGAATAAAGACATCCTTGAACATGAAAGGAAGCGGGAAATAGAACTCAAATGTTTAGAGCTACAAGATATGATGGAAGGGCAAGGGTACGCGAATAATAAATCCTTGTGGTTAGAATTGCTTAAAGTTTAAGAAACCGTGTCGTAAGCTTGTATTCAAAGTTATTCTGAAAATTAGGCATTACTTGATATTTATCTTAACGACGGCAAAGTTAAGGTATGGCAGATGGAAAAAGTTTTGACATCTGTAATTAAAAGAAAGGATTGCAATCCTTGATATGATAAAGAGCGGAAATAACTTTTGCTCAGAAAATAACTTTAAAGTGGTAGGTTTGGGAAGAATATGTTTGCAAAAATGAACCAGGGTCAAAAGTATTCTGGTAATTATACTCAAATTTATGTCATCTTATATCAAGGATTGTATTGCAGGCCTGGCCATTTAAGGAGAGCCATAGCTCTTGCTTCCCTCCAGGCTCTCCTCAAACGCTGGAGGGGAGCTATAGGTAGCTCTCCCAAATTGTTCTAAAAAGCAAATTTGCCCTCCTTGAAATCAATTTTCCCGTTGTTTCTATTCTTATAGCTCACCTGAATACTACTAGGAGAGCTGTTTACTGCTCCCCTATTAAAAGTGTCATGGCCAGGCCTGGCATTGCTTTAAAATGATTCTATATTACCTGAATATTCTAGGCTGCACTCCTACAAGGAATTTTTAAAGGGCCACATGCCCAGGCTTTACCCTAGTAATGCAAGAAGTGCCGCTGCTTATTTATAAGGGAAGAAAGACTTTCACTGTGAGCCCATTTCTGAATTTTTAGCTTCCATCTGTTTAAATGATAAACTGTATTGCATATTTCCAGTGAATTGCAATGGAATTAGATGTCATGTCAACACTTGTTTTATCAACTCTGCCAGGCCTCTTTAGTTCTCAATGGCAATTACCATTGCCTGTTACCAAATTATTGAAACAGGCGCTTGACTGCCTTGACAAAACACTTCTCTCACCCACAAGAAAAAGGAAGAGCATTCAGGGAAAAGTTTGTGACATATCTCAATATCGTTATAGTCACTTTTGTTCAATTCACTTTCTAAATAGCAATCAACATTTTTTAAAAGGCAAGTGAAGGCTTAAAATGCTTTAGAATGCTTAAAAAATAACTTCAGAGTATCAAGAAGGCAACTGTAAAGTCTGCTATTAAAACAAAGATTGATAGACTACAAAAATAGGTAATTAACAGGGGTGCAGCTAGCTGGGGAGTGTAGGGGGTGTTTGACAGCCTGCCCTAAATTCTTCCTGAGAGAGTTGATGATTCTTCAGTTGGTGCACAAAACCTTCTGTTTGTCAGTTGAATTCAATAGGTAGGTAAAATAGCACCTAAAGTGGACAGTTAAGGACAAGAACTGGACAAATAAGGAAAGAGCTTCTTTAATAGAAAGAGCTGTTTACATATATTTGGCGAAAAATTATAAGACTGCCATAGAGGGGCCTCCAAGTAAGAGAATTTTTCTTGAAGCTCCAAAAGGGTCAGCAATATATGTATAGATTATGTAGTCGAAAGGCTGAGGGAGAGAATTTTTACAACTGAGTCAGAATCTAACTACAATTCATACTCTGAAGAAGAACTTTGAAAAAGCCAATGTCTAGACAGTGGTTTTGATTCCTATCAAGTTTTTTTCTTCATGTTTTTATTTAGCTGGTCAAACTCACCCGGTTAAAGCCAATTTAACAATTTGAACAACCTAATTCTTTTGGAAAGCTAAGATTACCATATGGTGCCTTTATTTTTAGTTTAATCTACTCTAGCCTCATTGTGATTTCCATTATTTCCATTTTGTTTACATATTTTGTTCAGCTTGATCTCAACGACAGCATTTTTTAATAGGTACAATGATGATGAAGTTCAAGTCAAAGTGGATGAGTTTAGAAAAATGCTGCTTGAAAAGCAAGGTCTTGAAAAAGAGAAAAGGAAGTCCATACCTATTGGGTATTTTTTTAAGTTTTATATATATATATATACTTGTTTGTTTGGTCAAATGACTTAAGTTCATTTGATAACTGAATTGGAACATTGAAGTGTTTTCAAAAACATCAGTCCATCAATTTATACCTCTCATTAAGGATAACATTCTAATATAACCTTTTTATTGAATATATATAAATACAATAAAAATTCATTTGATATAAGAACTTTATTTACTATATATTTATAAAAAGGTGTTTGAACTTTAAAACTTCTTGCGAAAAAGTTTTGATTGGAATGTGGCAGCCTTTGATAAAAAAATTTCAATAAATTTTCAGAGCACCAGCTGGGAGTCATCAATTTGCAGAGGCTAATGAGATGAAAAATGAAAGAGTCAGAGAAGCATTTGGGATCAAGCAAGGTTATACAGAGGGAAGCTCTTTTAGTGCTGAATATCAAGATTCTAAAAGAGAGTCAGAGAAAGCTGAAAAAGAAGCAAAGCAGAAAGAATACGAGAAGTCAATTAGAAGGTCTGAGCTGTTAATTGTTGTTGTTTTAAAGAAGGATTTTTCCATATGCTGATATGTGCATGTTATATATATCATTGATTTAAAAAAAAAATTGAAGAAGAATGGTACTGAGAAAGGTTTCTAAAGGCCATTGTGAGAATGGTGAAATTTATTTCTGTCAAAAGAATCTTGGCACTTGCAAAAAGTTTTTTTGTAAGAGCTACAGAGTCTTAGGAAGTAATTTTATTTTTGTAAGCCTTAACCCTATTACAAAGGAACTTTAAAAATGGATCTTAAATATTTCTAGTTCATGTCAGTTGGATAAAAGATTATTTGTATAGACACAAACATAACAGTAGTATATAGTTTGATCGTCTACAAGTAAGCATTAAATCTCATGTTAACATAGTAATGAAATTGGAAGATGCTGGTTTTCTAGAGAGGAAAAGGAAGAAAAGCGAAGAAGAAGAAAACGAAGAAGATCATCAAGTTCAGATGACAGGTACAGTTTCACAATATATATCTGATGATTTAAACCTAGAAATATTGTATGTGATTCAGTTGCATTGACACACTAGGGTGAATCATTGCTTTGCTATTTGTCAGTAACCATAATGTTAAGAGTTTTGCAGTTATCATATTACTACCATTCACAGTTGTCAATATGTTATATCTCCTTACAAGGACTTTAAAATGTTAATACTTCATAAGAATTTTTTAGGCCTGTCTTGATTTCTCTGTGTCAGCTGATGAACATATCTTTGTTGCATCAATCTTTATCAGTAACTGGAACTTACCCTGTTTTATTTTAAAACTTAACATGCCTTTGTAGAAAAAATACAAAATGTGCATATATATATTTGTTATTTTCTCAAAATTATCTTTTGGGACAAAGTGAGATATCATATACTATGGAAAGCCTTGAACTGCTAGTCATGGGAATTAATAGCCCATTTTGAAGCTTTTTGTGCCCTGCGTGGTGAATCTTTTTGTTTGTTTATGATGACGATGGCCCATATATATTATCCAGAACAGTACCCTATTTATTCATTTACATCTTTCACATTGCTACCATTGATCATATTCTTTAAAGTATTTATAGATACTTTTATTTATAAGATCATGTGAAAAGTTTGATGTTGGTTTTAATGTTTTTGTTATTATTAGATTCATGATTGTATAATTATATATTTATTCTTCACTGTTTTTGAATATTTCTGCATTGAGCTGAATAAATAATTATCGCATCGAATTTGATGTGCAACAGTGAAATAAACACCTTTTCTAAGAGGTATACATTTTGAATGATCACCCACAATTTAATTGCTGCGTTCTCATTTTTAAAAATGAAATGAACTGAACTGATATCAAATGCAATCCAGTCACCCAGCAAAGTGTAGATAATGGAAGAAGAACATGGTTTTTAAGCAAATCTTTGTTTGTTGTGCCATATTTTGTAAGTGATGAGAGATGCCATGGTTTTTAGGTATATACTTAAAAAGTAGCTAATTTTAGAATTGTAAATCCTATTGGAACTTCTTATATGCTTATAAGTTCATTAAAAAGAACTAATGCTGGTATTGATTAAGCATTTTAATGATATGAAATAAATGGATACTGTTTTGGATAATATATTAGGGTTTCTAAAGATAGTAATGACAGAAAGGTTGTAGAGAGTGTCCAGGTATTAAACTGAGTTTCTCTGAGAAAAATTAATATTCTATTTTACAGCCTTCCATTTTGGATAAGTCAATATCTCACTTTGTTCCAGTCTTTTGTTTTTGCTTGGTGTCTCAAGGTAAGAGTAATATATAGTTTAATTTGGCACCTGTGAAAGTAAATTTTGATTCTCACAAAGCTTTTTTTAATAGCATCTTAATGATCAGTACTGAAATTTGATTAGTTATCTGGTTTTCAGTTTTTGTAATTGATTCCTTTAACAGATATTGTTGGAAACTTCAGTAATAAGATGCAACAACTAGTTTATTATAGTTGCCTTTTTTGCTAATCATGTTAAAATATTTGTTTCTTATTTAGTGAGGTTGAAGAAAAGGGCAAAGAAGATGTTCAAAGAGAGAGCAAAGAGTCCAGGTAATTTATTGATTCAGGCTAAAGTAATGTAAATATAGCTTAATGACCTGGTGGCAAAGGATAAAAATTGATAATTACCCAGCTAGGCTACATAACGCTGATGAAAATCTAATGAGGCCTGTTCAGAATATTTCCAAATTTCCTTCAGAATCTCAGTGCTCCTTTGAAGAGGTAAAAAATTCTGACAATGTCCAAATAGCTTTGTTTATTGAATGAAATTGTCAAAAAAGTTTCATATTGAATAGATAACTTATGCTTCTGCTCTTCAAAATGATCTAAGGTCAGACTTTAAATTAGATTATGCAAAGGCGTTCTCAAGTCCACCAGGGTTGACCACAAAGGTTTAGAAACTGCCTTTTTCATTGCTATACTGTTCTCAAGTAGTTATGGATGTATTATTGTTTTGAAATATACCCTAGCTTTTTTTATCCTGTCTACATTCCACCGGTGACTGATTTTGGTACACTGCTCCTAGAAATCAAGAATAGTGTAAGACCAACCAAAGCAATATGACTTTTTTTTGATTGAAGAAAATGATTTATCAGTTCAACATTTCCTTTTTTTTATTTAATGAGCGATAAAATTTTATGTTTTTTTTTAATTTAGACCCAATAACATAAAAGACAGATTTTAAAATTCCTGTCAATGTCCAAAATCAGTTAAATGTGTTGCAAGTAAGATAGGACCACAAGAGAATAGAGTCTTTCCTCATCAAGTCAATCTAATTTGGTCTTGATGCCAAAATCTTAGACCAGGCAAAAACAACAATAATCCATCAACAAATATCAAGACTAGCCAGTACAAAACTAGGTTTTGTGTAAACAAAGTAAACAAATAACGCTTGTTTGCTATGTGTTATACATTTCTATGTATTAAACATCTAGTATGTCTTTAGTAGCAACACTCACGCTCTTTATCTTTATAATTATCTTTTTTAATATTGATGCAGCAGAAGTTTAGGATAAGTAAGGAATGCTCTTATTTCACACTGAAAATTAACTACATTTTCAAGCTTACTCTAATACCTATTGTTCTTCTCCTAGTGGTGATGAAAAAGACCAGCGAGATAACAGAAGACGGTCAAGAGATAAGGACAGGTTTGTTCTAAGCTGATTCCATGTTAGCAAAACTGATCAAATTTTTCTTTTCAGATTGCAGCCAAGAATTTGCACCAGTGAATCTTTTCAAGGAAAGGATGGCTTATCCCTAATTATAGCTCAGTGTGAATTATTCAGTTACTTTTTACTTTTCAGACGAAGTTCAAGAGAGCAGTCTTCTAGAAAAGAGTCAAAGAGTAATGGCGAGAATCAGAAGCTAGTTGATGATTATGCTTCATCTGAGTCAGATAATGAAAAGGAACAGGGTAGGAGAAGGTAATTATTGAGCGCTTCTAATGGTAGTGTCAAATCTTAATGCCTTAAGAGAAGCTTTCAATATCTAGGGTGCTAGATTTTACTCTTCGATCCCGAATAGACGTCCCCAACTTATTTTTTCTGATAAAATTTTTTACTGGCTATTATTTTGTTTATTATTTCCCAGGAAGACCTGAGGAAGAAATCACTTACATTACATTATCGTTGCGCTTGACACATATATACTTTTGAAAAATTTTTGCAATACATTTGGTTTTATTAAAGGCAACAATGCCCATCCCCCAGCTAATTCCAACCCCTCCTGCTTTCTTTGACATTAGCAGGGGGCTTGGATGAATTTTCCAGCCCCCTGCTAATTAGACCCCCATCTATTTTGGACTGAGTGAAAAGGGGTGGCTTTTAATGTTAAATTGTCTGCAGACCCTTGTTCTTTCATTTGAACCCCCGTGTCATTTTTGTGCTTTTAGTGGTAATTTCGATGAATTTGCAGGTATTTTGCCTCCACTTTATTCAATAGATTAACATTTATAATACCATATTTCTTTAATATAGAAAGAGTTATTTTATTCTTTTTTGTGTGATATGCTTGGAACAAAAAATGTTTTAACATCATTAAAAAATGGTTTCCTTACTATTTGTTTTAACATCAATTTTCTGGTTGTCAAAATTTTGAATTTCAGCTTGGCTTTTGTTATTGCTCTTTCACTTAACAACCAAGACTTACTTTTTTCCATTTAAAGGGAAGAATTTTGTATTGGAATTACTGTTTTTACAGTCAGTATGACGTATTGTGATTTGTTTATAAATTGCTTTTTTCGCTTAGGTTTCTGTTTATAATTTTGTGATTTTTTATGATTTTGAAATTTCTTTTTGCAGCCAAGCACTGGATGCTATTGACAATGAGCTGAAGGAGCTTCGCAGCCGCTCCAGTCGCGGAAAGAATCGGGAAGAAAAAGAGACTGTAGCTGAGAGAGAGTCTGATCGCAGGCATGGGCGTGATCGCCGTTCCCGTGACAGGCGAGTAAGTTCTGAAGATGAGGATGATGGTCGTAGAGGTAGAAAAAGCAGGTCTGAATCGCGGGAAAAGCGGAATAGAAGTCCAGGACGGGAAAGACGGAACTCCAGGTATGACAGGAATGAAAGGAAGAGATCCAGGGATCGTGAAAGAGATGGAAGGAGTCGCCATGAAGTTGAAAGGCGGAGGGAAGAGTCCCCTGATAGTTCGGGTTCAGAAGAGAGAGGTAGGCGTGGTAGAGAAGATAGGCGTTCAAGAAAGAGAGGAGGTTCTGAAGACAACCATGCTCGCAACAGGCAAGAACTGCAGGACGGTGAGCATCACATGCCTAAACATGAACGTGAAAGTCATCGTCGGGATGCCGAGGAAGATCGTTATGACAGACGGAGGTCGGAGGAGGTCTCTAGAAGGAGGGAGAGACGTTCAGAGGAAGGTGGTAGAAGGCAGCGTGATGAGAGGGATGTCAAACGAAGAAGTCCTGCAAGAGACGATGAAGGAGGTAGGATCAGAGAAAAAGAAGATCAGCGCCGTAGGAGTAAAAAGAGTAGAGCAGAAAGAAGAAGATCTAGTGAAGAAGATGGCTCAAGCTCCGAAGATAGCGAAGACGAGAGGAAAAGAAGAAAAGAAAGAAGATCAAGGCAAGAAAGACGGGAAGATGAGGACGCAATACAAGAGGTGGGAAAGCAAGCTGAAAGTGATAAAGAGCCAGGGGAAATTACAGAAGAGAGCAGTGAAAATGATTCAAGAAATGATCGGGAAAGAAGATCAAGAAAGGAACGCCAAAGGGAGTCTCGGGGGTCCAATGAAAGGCCAAAGGAAATGACAAAGGAAAGGCAAGAGAATCAGCACAGTGCTAAGAAAGACTCAAAGGAAGAGCGTCGAAGGAGTGACAAGAGGGAGAGAAAAAGGTCAGTTTCCATTGAAGAAGAAGAAAGGAAATACAAAAGCAAGTACGATGCTAGTAAGGAAGACGAACATCTTAGACCCGATGCTGATAAAGTTGAGGTTGAGATGTTTGATCGTCAGGGAGAGCTTAGCAACAAAGAAAGAAGATCAGTGTCACGTGAAGGTGATCAGATCCAGCGGGAGGCAAGGAGTGCTGTGGAGGGGGAAAGGAGGAAGGGTTCCTCTTTTGGGGAAAAGGATGAAACTGCAGATATCATTGAAGAGGAAGACATGGATATCGATGAAGATTCTGAAAAAGAAACAGAGAAAGTTGACTCTGAAAAGAAAGTAGATTCAATATCCGAAATGGATGAAGAGAAGTCAAAAGGCCGAACAAAGGATGCTGATTTATCAAATGTGAACCGCGGGTTTGGCAAGGAAGATAGAACATCATTTTCAGTGGAACGAAGCAGAGATTCTTTAGAAAGAAGAAGTGATGCAAGGCAGTCGTCTACTGAAAAGGTATCTAGAACAGAGAAAGAAAGAGAAAGGCGGCAAGAAGAAAAACCACAGCCAAAGCGAAGAAGTGAGGACCAGAGATGCAAGGAAGACAAAGGTGATGACAAGGGGCAAAAGAAAATTAAAGGAAGACAAAGTGCAGAGGAAAGTAGTAATCGGGATTCATCATCTTCAGATGAAGAGGACAAGATGAAGAGGTAGGAAGATTTAAGAATGGAATAGCCATACATTTAAGTGTATGGCATAACTAGATAAGTACTATCAATATACTGGATTGCGTGCGGTACAATATAATGCTAAAATAACGATAGATGTAAGTAAATTGTACCAGGAATAAGAAATTGATTAAATGAATAACGAATTTTGGAGCATAGACTGTTATCAGTAAGGTTATTGGTTATCGTTATCGGTATCCGTTATTGATGATCGCTTATGCTCGAAACATCGTTATTCATTTAATCAATTTTTTTCCTAGTAAAATTTACTTACATTCATCGTTATTCAAGTACGATCAATGATGATAGATGACAACATTGTTCTTCTCTGAAGGAATCACTAGTGTGGTTGCTTTGATGTCAGTTATGGTTTTTAATATGAATTAAGAGGTAACGTTTGGGAAATTCTTTAATGTCGCTAGATAACACATTCTTCAAGTCCCGAGTAAGCTATCTTTCTAGAAAATATTTTTTAACTAAGGAATATTTTATTTAGTATTAGACCTTATACAAATCTTGGGTAAATTACAGGATTTGTCTGTCTAATGGCAACTGTTATTCTTTTACCCGCTGAAGTTAGCCTAGACCTCTTACTAAACATTTTGACCTCTTCTCTCCAACCCAGTGATTGACTTATCTTTCAGATTTATTGGATCTTTGAATCTCATAAAGATGTGAATGATTCTTTTATCAAGCTGTCGTAAGATCTACATAGCGCGAATGTCGTCCAGTAAGATTGTGTGATCAGGTGGTAGTTGACTATTGACAAGAAATTTCTGGTCTGCTGCTACCAAACGTATTTGTTTATTTCAAATTTAAGGCAAGGTCTTTAAGTCATCTCTTCAACAATACATGTCAACCCTATTAAAAATGGTTTCTTCTACGTATCCACAGAACAAAGGCATAACAGCGTTAATTCTTTTTCAGCAAAAGACAGACAGAACGTGAGGCAAAAGCCAGTTCTCAAGTGCGTAGAAGCAGGGCTGCCAAGCCAGAGGAGTCAAGCAGCTCTTCTTCAGGATCTTCAGATTCGAGCTCAGAATCAGAGGATGAAAACGAGCAGGAGAAGAGAATCTCGAAAGATAGAAAAAGTAAAGAAGCTGCTGACGAACGACGTACTCCAAAGGAACGGGAAGATAAAGGATCCAGAAGGAAAGTTGAAGAGGTATCAAGAAGGCAGCTGCCAGCTTCAGCTCAAAAGGGAAAAATATCAAAAGAGAAGAAGAGCAGTAGCAGCTCTTCATCGGAGTCAGAGAGCGAAGAGGAAAGCCCTCAGAAGACAAGCAAAAGTACCAAGAAAATTGATAAGAAGGAAAGAACTAGCAGTGAGAGCAATTCATCAAGTTCTGAATCGGAGTCAGATCGAGGTAAGAAGGGTCGTAAAGAAGATGCCGAAAGGAAAACGAAGCCCAAGGAAAAAGCCCCTCGTCAGAAGGATGAGCCTCCAAGTAAAAGAGCAAGAAAAGATGTAGGGCACAATGAAGGTCGTGTTTCAGAAAAGGTTGTCGATGTGGGTTTAAAAGCAACTGCGAAAGGAAAAGAGGAAGTGACTGTAGTTTCTGAGAAAAGAAAGACTTCTGAGAAAAGGAGGGATTCACTGAAAAAAGAAAGTTCAGAAAAAAGAAAGAGTTCTAGTAAACAGAAAAAAGAAGAAGTTGATAAGAGAAGAGAAAAAGAAAAGCTGCGAAAACAGAAGAAGGGTAAAGAAAGTTCATCTTCAAGCAGCAGCGAATCAGAAAGTGAATCTGAGAGCAGTTCGGAGGAAGAGAAATCGTCTGATTCTTCAGAAGAAGAGTTGTCGAAGAAAAAGAAGAGTAAAAAGGCTACGAAAGCACCAACAAAAGAGAAATCCAAGCCGAAGGCAAATAAAGATTCAAGCTCAAGTTCAGAGAGCTCTTCGTCCTCTGAGGAAGAAGAAAGTGCTGACGAGAAAAAGAAGAAAAGAAAGAAGAAAACTTCAAAGTCAGAGAAAGAAAGAAGTAAAAAGAAGTCAAAGGATGTGTCAAGCTCAACCTCCAGCTCGGAGAGTTCAGACGATGATTCAAGCTCAGAAGATGACAGGCGGAAAAAGACGAAAAAATCGAGGAAGAAAATCGATACAAAGAAGAAAAAAGACAAGAAAAGCAAGAAAATTGATAAAAAGTCTCGAAGGTAAGACTTAACGAATAGATAGATAATTAGCTTGTTTCTTCCAATCTGGCTTGAACAGTTGAAAATACACTATGATAACCGTGTTTAAGTTGGTACTCCTTAGTTTTACAAAAAGTATTAGCAATTATAACACGTATATCATGTTGCTGCTTATCATAATATTTACTTCTAGATGTTACGCTGCTTCCTTTAATTGTAAAATTTTTGAATTAGATGATTCTGACAGCAGTGTAGTATAAACAAACATTTGGCTTGTTTTTGCTCACTAAAACTAATTTTGTAAAGCAAACGTTGTCATATGATTGTTACCTGGCTTTTAAAGCCTTCCTAAAACCAACTACAACAATAATTCTGCATTGTACTTGGGTCCTTTTTGCTGCGACGATCTTCCATGTTTAATAACGATCAGTTGTGGAAACATGCACATAGACGTCGATCGATTTGAGCCATTAGGGACTGGGGACACCTGACCTGACTTCATTTTTGTAAGTCAGCATCGTTAAACTCTCTCACATTATTGAAGTTTCCTATTGGTATTTCAGAGTACCAGATTTCTTTTCCTGAGAACTTTCAATTTATTTTCTGTTAAATAATTTTACTTCGTAAGTTGTTGTTTTGTCAAATTCATAACTTTATTTTTAGGACAGGTTACAAGGGCTCGTGTTTGTTGACTGAAATTCTTTACACTCTTCCCTTCCATAAAACGAATCTATTCTAAACTAGAATTTTCTCTCCTTGCTCCAGACGAAAGCACAAAAAGAAGCAAGAGTCAAGCAGCTCTTCTGATTCTTCATCGTCGTCATCATCTTCTTCAGAATCTTCATCCGGGTCAAGCAGCAGCTCCAGTGAGTCAGAGCCAAAAAGGAAGAAAAGACGTTGACACGGACGAGAGACGCTAAAAATTAATTTTGCTGTTGTGTAAAGGGGTCATTGTAGAGAAAATAAACATGTCTTCAATGCCAAGCAGCTTATTTACATTATTTTATAAGCTTTCATATTTTATCAGCTTGCTTTAAAGAACTTCTCCCCGTAGTCACACAATGGATTTCTTTTGTATAGCACTGACAGCAGTTTGAAGTACTTATTGAGTACTTTGATCCCATGAAACTGGTGTACGGTTGCTTAAGATACGATTTCATCCATCTGATATTTCGAGGGTTATGATTGATTAATTTTTAACGATGCTAATTATGATTGATTTTTTACTGTCTAGATGAGTCCTAAATTTTTCATCCCAATGATAGCAAAGAACACTTGATTATTAAGTTGAGACCCCCATTTGATAAGCTAATTTCGCATCCAACATTAACAGCTTGTTATTACTAACACAATCATCTGCTCTTCCTTTGACGTCATAGAAAACAATTTTCTTTGATTTCTTAAGTTCCTTGCACAGCCATTTTAATGATTTATAGTTTTGTAAACAAGCTTGTTTTCATTTCTAGAATCAGGTGTTGGTTGGATGCCTCATTTCTCATCTTTTATTTGATTCTTTTCTTAGTAATAGTTAAATAAAATCATGCTTTGGCAATATCATTTCTTGGTTAATGCAATCAAATTTCTTGAAAGGCGAAAAATAGATACTCAATTTATCAAAGTGAAATTTCAGACAAAATTGAAGCGTTTTAAAGATTGCAAGCAAACAACTGCAAGAAATGTTCTGAACTTTTAATCTAATCTAGAGGGCGTGGTCGCAAAAAATTTTCTCAGGACCCTCGTCTGTACCTCTACTGAATGGCTTACAATTTTCCCTCGTTTTAAGGTTTATATAGAAATGTCTTCCATGTTTTTTAGAAATTTCCGATAAAATAGAAGTTAAGCGCCTCAAGCCTTAAAAAATCTGGGGATTCTGCAGATTTTACTCCAAGAATTACGAACTTAGTTTGAAACTAATGCATACTGCTTATTATTTTTAGATGTTTGCTTACAACTTTTGAAAATCAGTTTTTACACGTAACACTTCCTTGCCTTACACGATTCAGAATATAAATGTTATAGGAATTGTGAAGGAAATAGAACGTTGAAGAATGGGGTTCAGCCACAAAAAAAGCTACATATGAAGATTATCTTGTTAGATAAACCAACCATTGCCACGTTAAAGAGCCATAGATTTTCCAAACGCATTTACAAAATGGGGCTTTTCCCAAATTCTGAAGGGTGTGGTGAACAAAGGTTTTCCCCGGGGTAGTCCCCAGACCTCGGACCTTATACTTTTAAGAACCAATGGGTTTTCTTTCAACAGAGTGCTCCCGAGAAGAATGTGCAACTTTACGCTTTCCTTAAAAAACCCTGGCTGGGGCCAGAGGCGTTAATTGGCCCATAGATTTGGGGGAGGGATGAAAAGGGCTTCTGCCCTGCAAGACTAAGTGGTGCCCTCCAGACCTCGAAGCAAAATTGTTCTATAGATTACAAGTGAAAGCTTTACCACTGTACATTTGTCTTTACCAAGGTCAAAATTTTACGCAATAAAAACGAAATTAAAACTTAATTGCCTATGAAAGATCAGTTTTTCTTCATGAGCGTAAATTAATTGTCAATTTTGATTTTCCTTTGTAAAAATGCTTTGCATCTCATGGGATATGATTTCGGCTACATGATAGAGGCGGGGGGGGGGGGGGGGAGCAAAATTGAGCCTGGGGGGTGAAGACTCAAGTTTAGTGAGGTAGGAGGACCCACCATGGTTGGGTCCGGCAGAAAAGAAAGTTTTTGAAATTATACCTTGTAGAAGGGCTAAAAAGCATCTCCCAGACTAAAATCTAGCAAAATATTAAACTGCTTAGGAAAAACAATTTGACGGTTCTCGGAAAAAACTGATATTGTCTATTGGGGAAAATTGGGGAGGGGAGGTTTCATGCTGAGAATATAGTGATAGACGTTTGGGTAAAAAAGAAACGGTGACCTTTTGTTTCAGATTGCACATCGATGTGAATGACAGGGGAAGATGTTGTATTGACTGAGAGAATTTTATTTCCTGAATAGAAATGTACACTTTTATGTCTCGAGAAGACCATGTTTACACATCCAAAGTGAAGACATTGCATTGGTACAGAAAGTGATTTACTGAATTAATGAAAATAAAAGAAAAAAGATAGAAACACACGTGAATAAGTTAGTAATTCGATCAAACAATATATATTCTCTTTTTATTTCATACACTGTTTTAAAAATTAATAGAAAAAACGGTTAAAAAAATTCTTATCTGGACCAAAGTGGGGGTCTTCAGCCCTATTGCCCCCCAGTGACGCCATGCCTATCATGAAAATAATCTACAACTTAAATTAATTTTATGGGCTCAACCTTGCCCTCATAAACATCTGCATCACCATTGCATTCATTTGCTATGACTGAGCTTTTCCTGACATACCTGTTCCGTTCTCTAGAATGCAATGTCAGGAAGGGAAGCTCATCGCAAATATGATATTTCAATTTCAAAACTTCAAACGGCCCTTCATGAACTTCAGAGAGGTAGCCTTTCTGCCCTCAATAAAATTATCCATGGCGCCCTGCAAAATCTTCGATTGCCCTGCAAAATTGACTATTTTTGAGATTCCCGGGATTTTCGCCCCTGGCTGGGGCCGCTGGAGAAACTCAAGAAAATTAGTAGATGCATAGTTTTTCTTACACAGTTTGAAGTTGTTCTGAGAATTTTTTCACGTACCAGTGACTGCGTAATATACCTCAGTCAAATTTAGGGTATCATAGAGTAGAAAAATAGCAATGCGTCTTACTGAGATTTGCCGGTTCCTTGATGAATGTATACAGGGGCGAAACTACCGGGGGGGTGTGGGGGGGTGTGACACCCCCCCAATCCAAAAAATAGTCGATTTCGCAGGGCAATCGAAGATTTCGCAGGGCGCCAAGAAGAAATTTATTGCCACGCAGAAATGCCACCTCTGAAGTTCGTAAACAGCCGTTTAGGAATTTTGAAATGGAAATATCGTATTTGTTATGAACCTCCCTTCCTGACATTGCATTTTAGAGAACGGAACAGGTATGTAAGGAAAAGCTCCGTTATTTGCAAAGCGAAAGCATTTCTTACCGAAAGTCATAGCCAATGGATGCAATGATTGATGCATATGTTTACGAGGACAAGGTTGAGTCATGCAAATTAATTTAAGTTGTAAATTATTTTCATGACAAGCACAACGTCACTGGGGGGGGGGAATAAGGGGCTGAAGTCCCTCACTTTGGTCAAGATAGGAATTTTTTATCATTTTTTCTATTACCTTTTAACAGTGCATGAACTAAAAAACATAATAAATCGTTAAGATACCGATTTTGTTTCATCTAATTGCTAACTTTTTCACGTATATTTTTATTATTTTTCTTTTATTTGCATTAATTCAGTAAATCATTTTCTGTATCATTGCAATGTTTTAATTTTGGATGCGTAAACATGGCCTTCTTGATACAAGAAACTGCACATTTCTGTTCAGGAAAAAAATTCTCCCAATCAAAACAACATCTTCCTCTGTCATTCACAACTACGTGCAATCTGAAACGAAAGGTTGCCGTTTCTTTCCTTCCCCAACGTCTAACACTAGAGTTTTAGCATGACATCCCCCTCCCGTTTTTTCACAATTAACAATAATATTTTCAATAAACAATCAATTCTTTTAGCACAATAGTATTTTGCTAAATTTTTGTCTGAAAGATGCTTTTTAGCCCTTTTTACAAGGTATAATTTCAAAATATTTTTTCACGTCGGACCCAACCATGGTGGGTCCTCCTACCTCACTAAACTCGACTCTTAGCCCCATTGGGTTAAATTTCGTTGCGCTGTCTACATCATGTACCCATCCCCCCCACCCCCCAATTAGCTGTTTATTAGCTTAATTTTGCAAACCAACATTAAATGAAGTGAATATAAAAAAAAATTTACGCTCACGTAGAGAAATAGAAATTTCATAGGCAATGAAGTTTCAAGTTTGTTTTTTTTGCTTAGAAGTTTGTCCTTGGTAAAGACCAGTGTACACTGGTAAAGCTTTCACTAGTAACCTATAGACAAACCGTTGCTACGAGGTCTGCAGGGCACCACTCAGTTTTGCAGGGCAGAAACCCTTTTCACCCCCCCAAAGCTATTGGCCAAGTTACGCCCCTGAATGTATATGAAAATGAAATTAATGAAAATAAAAGGAAAATGATAGAAACATACGTGAATAAGTTAGTAATTCGATCAAACAATATATATTCTCTTTTTATTTTATACACTGTTTTAAAAATTAATAGAAAAAACGGTTAAAAAAATTCTTATCTGGACCAAAGTGGGGATCCTCAGCCCAAAGCCCCCTCCCCCAGTGGAGAGGAGAGGAAAGGTTTTTTCTTTGCGACCCTGCACACCCATCCCTTGTCTAGAAATTTTCAGGGGTTTTTATTTACATGCATGTTGACTTTCTTCTTTTTTTCGTGCATTAGTTAATGGCCGTATGGCTTGCGACTTTTTGCATGAACAAGGTGCTGCTAGTCGGTGGAAGAAGGCCATTGTTCTTCTTCTCAACCCCCTCAAAAACGGTTGGGGTTTTATTTATGGCCGTCTTTGCGATTGGCGCACCGACAGCCCAAAACTAAAAGGTTCAAATGATGAGAGAACACCACCTTCAGTCTTATGATTGACAATGGTAAAACATTCTGAGGACCATCCTACCCTTATTTGCTAATGGTTTTTGTTTAGTAACCTGGAACAAATATTAAAGGTATGTTATGGTAGGAGGGACAGTTGTTTGGTTTTGTAAAATTTGCTGCTATATATTTGTAAAACTTCTGACACCATTCGTTGTTTGAGCGATTGACCGAGCGAATAAATGACACGTTTTGACACACAAAATCAATTCCTTTTGTTCCATCCAAAGCTAAGACGTACTTTTACACAATATCGAAACTTAGGTACTAAACAGCCTTTCACAAGCACTGTTACGCCATTAAATTATATATATATATGAAACGAAACCTCGAGTGCTTTCACAAGCCACTCGGGTTGAATGCCATCAGCCCTCTCTTAGCCTTTCCATCCATACCGTTCTGTGTGTGTGTGTGTGAGTTAGTCTCTACATGTTTGATAGCAGTGGCCTTTCGCAAGCACCACGCTTCTCTCTCTAACTAACTAACTAACTCTGTTTCTCCGTACTCTACTTTATATAACAGCATTACAATATGCAAACTAATATCAATAATTGCCGGTGTTATAGTCGGTATCTATCGTGATACGTAAATGAACTAGTAGGAGGTGTAAGATATATTAGGATACGCGGGGAACTTTGTAGAGCAAAAGGGCATGTAAAATATACTATACGGAAAACATGAAAAACTAAAGCGCGACACGCTAATATTTCCTAATCAAAGAGAAGCATGAACAAATATAGACATGAACACGAGAATTACCTAGAGTGAATAAGTATCGATATTACATACCTCCCTATCAAGGAAAATGAATCGTCCTCGATTCTTAAAGTGAATCTAATGAAAAATAATTAAACGTCCAATGAATATTTTGTGTCCGTAAACTAGAAATCGACAAGTCCTGTGATTGAGATATTTGCAGCTACTGGGTTTGACTATGCATCTCTGGATGGTATGCAGGGTGTTCGAACTGTCGTCTCGTGAACAGTTGTTCGTCGCCTTCCATCTTGAGGTACATGTCCTAAACTGATTCGTGAATCTGGGTTCTGGTCTGTTTCCAGCACCATATAATCCCACTCCTGTCACCATTGTAAAATTTGCTGCTATATATTTGTAAAACTTCTGACACCATTCGTTGTTTGAGCGATTGACCGAGCGAATAAATGACACGTTTTGACACACAAAATCAATTCCTTTTGTTCCATCCAAAGCTAAGACGTACTTTTACACAATATCGAAACTTAGGTACTAAACAGCCTTTCACAAGCACTGTTACGCCATTAAATTATATATATATATGAAACGAAACCTCGAGTGCTTTCACAAGCCACTCGGGTTGAATGCCATCAGCCCTCTCTTAGCCTTTCCATCCATGACCGTTCTTTGTGTGTGTTTTGTGAGTTAGTGTCTACATGTTTGATAGCAGTGGCCTTTCGCAAGCACCACGCTTCTCTCTCTAACTAACTAACTAACTCTGTTTCTCCGTACTCTACTTTATATAACAGCATTACAATATGCAAACTAATATCAATAATTGCCGGTGTTATAGTCGGTATCTATCGTGCAATACGTAAATGAACTAGTAGGAGGTGTAAGATATATTAGGATACGCGGGGGAACTTTGTAGAGCAAAAGGGCATGTAAAATATTACTATACCGGAAAACATGAAAAACTAAAGCGCGACACGCTAATATTTCCTAATCAAAGAGAAGCATGAACAAATATAGACATGAACACGAGAATTACCTAGAGTGAATAAGTATCGATATTACAGTTTGATCTGTTTTAGAGATTGTGAAGGTGAATGGTATGCGGTGGCGCTTTCTTTCCCATTCGACTGTTAAAACGAGGTTGTTGTAGCATGTGCTAGGAGCGGCAAGGCCAGCAGAAGCTTCTGGAAAAAGTTGGATTGTGACCGTCGCTATCAAAAATGTCTGCTATCCATGTTGTTAACCCGAAAGCCGAAGTGGCCAGAGCAGCACAAGCACTGCAGATAAATATAAGTGCTGCTAAAGGACTTCAGGAGGTCCTCAAAACCAACCTTGGGCCTAAGGGAACAATGAAAATGTAAGTTGAAGGGGCTAGGCCAGTGTTGTTTGGGGTTTATCCTGGAAGTCAATAAAAGGCTGTAAAAATTAAGCTTTGGGAACGGTGGATTTGCAGTTATAACATTTATAAATTGCAGTATTTTGTAAGTCATCAAATGGTAAGGAGCGAAACGATTTTGAGAAACTGACAGGGTGCGGTAAAAGGGAAAAAGTACGGCATTTTGATTATTTACCGTACAACAGTCGTTACTTTCTACCTGGTAGATAAATGAAATGTTCGAGTTGAAGAAGTGTCTATCTTTTTTCATAAGAATTTTTGTCTTTTATTAGTGTTTGAAGCTCCCATTCAACGGAATTGGCTGGAATCCGTTAAAGATTATGAATTTTGGACAAAAATTATAATAACCGATTTTATGTATTTTTTCATATTATCAAACAGTAATTTCAGGCACCTTAAGTCCTAATGGAAACCTGAACTACATTTTCAAAAAACTTTCAACATTAACAGACCTGATAGCTGGGGAAATAATCAACCATCCATATGAAGATATTTCCCCCTTTGTGGGAGTCACTATAAACTCATTTTGAATGCAAAGTGTGGGTTCTGTTTGTCCAAAGGAAACATGTCTCTGCTTTGCCAGGAAAATTTATTCATTTTGGAAAATATTTTTCTCACCTCTCCTGTAGGATCCTGGTAGTGCTTAAGCAAGATCTCGGTTAGCTGGGAAAATGTTTGTCCAGTGATGTTTGGGCTATTTTCAGTTGTTAAAACTATGAGAGGCAGGAGCTCAACTGAACGGCCTAATTCCTTTAACTTGCCAACATTGGTCAAAAATGTTTTGTTGATGGCCCTTAAATTACGTCAAAATCTAAGCTGAAAATTTGATGCCCTGTGCTTGCAAAGCCAACATGCTTTTGAATCCACAAATCCTTTTAATTATAGGCTTGTTTCTGGTGCTGGAGATATTAAGCTTACCAAGGATGGCAATGTTTTGCTGCATGAAATGGTTAGTTTTACGTTTCTTTATATATAT